TTGCGTAAGTATTTATGATTTAGACCCCCAGATAGGAAGCAAAGATGGTGACAGAGGTGTAGTGATGATGCTAATCACTACACCTCTGTACCGCCCATCAGATTTCACTTTTTGGGGTTTGATTTAGGCTATTTCCATTTCATTGTTTTGTTTGAAATGCTTCTATTTACCTTCCAGGCCAGTCTGGTAGTCCAAAATCATGGTCCACACTCCAGTGAAAGAAACCTAAAACACTCGAGGTTTGAAGGCAGTGGTCAGGAATTTAACTTAAAACCATCTTGCTGTGAGGCTTCGGTGCTAACTACCCCACAAACATGTTGTTTTGTAGGGGTTTCTTCTTCAGGATTAATTTAGTCACGGATTAATCTGGTTTTTCAAAATCACAACCTACACTTTAGTGGGACGAAGCTGGATCTCTCTCTGCACAGATTGTCCCTGGCTTGGATGTTGACCAAGAATGATCCTAAAGTGAGGATCAGCAGTGGTAATGACCACAGTAACATATCAGCATGTGTCTTCTTATCCCAGTGGCACCTGTGCGCCTGATCACGCCTCCTTTTAAGACCAAAGCACCCATGGCACTTATGTTGGCCCAAGTTCATGTTGTGTTTTTGTACTAAAGGCGCTGCATGACAGGGCACTTTTCACTTATGTCTAAGAAGACTAAAATATCTCTGTTGTACTTGTAAGTTAAAAAAAAAAAAAAACAGGAACATATTTAAGATAATTCTATGCTAGCTCACAGATTATAAATGATAGTAGTGATTGAAAGAACAAATAACTGCTATTCATTCATACGTGTGTATATATGACACATGACATATCTCAACCCACCTATGCAAAGGTTGGTCAGAAGTGTAGCTCCACTCTTCTCCGTCACTCCCCATCACATTTTTGTGGGTGAAACCTAAATCTATCATATTTACTGCAGTCTCTCCAGCAGGGGGAGCCCTTTAACAGAGTATAAATTTGCACCTTTCTTCAGTTTGGTCACAAACCCAAAAAGTAGGAGTCTGCCTTTGAAAAAAAAAAAGAAAGGCTTTAAAATGAGGATTTCTGTTATTCCCATGTTTCTTTTAAATTAGCTCCTCAGCAGGGGGTTAACTCTTCACAGCAGCCTTCATAGTCAGTGGAATTATCCAACAAACCAAATTTGGGTGAAAGCTCCTGATTGTGTCAGCCAGAGAGCCGTGTCTGTTAAGCACAAAGACTTTTAAAAACAGGCGCATAAGAAGAATATTAATGAGTGAAATAGCTTGTGGAGAGACCTTGTAAATGTTTCATTTCTAGTAAACATTCTGATTTTTTGAGCGAACCAAAAAAGGTGATGAATCAACGCCCTTATGCGATTATCATTAAACCTTTGAGTAAGAAAATCTCCAAAGTTCCTGATTATGCTGAGCCGCTGATTTGGAAACAGTCCTCTAAGAAAGCAACTGGACATTAAAATTCAAAAGTGATCATTAATAACCATTTACACCGTATCTGTCTGTGATGTTTTAATACCATGTGTAATCACTCTGCTGAATACTTTTAACAGCCTATAAGATTAGAAGAATGACATTGTCAACCTGAGTATAAACTGAGCTGACCTTTTCTCCATTTTCATGGGCATTGTAGTGTACAGGTGGGGTCAAATGTCACATTTCCTGGTGTCCACAGCTGGAGAGAGCTCACAGAAATTCCAACAGGATTATTTGATTAAGAAATTGGGGCCTTGAGTTTCTAGATGTCCTCCTGCAGATAGAACAATTATTTCATGAACAACTGTAAAGCGCTGGATTTAAAATATTTAAAAAGCTTTATGTTTGAAATAGAAAAACTGGAGACTCCCCTGTGGAGCCTAGTAGAAACCTTATTAACTTCGTAATCAAGTGGATCACAGGTCTCTGCTTTTCTGTGTGAAAATAAGAATAATTACAGAATGATTTAAGCTGGGCTTGAACGTCAATTTCCAAGAAATGTACTGCTTTATTGCAGTCGGTGACCAGCCAGGTGTGTCTGACATAGATTATATCAGGGGCCAAAGACCCTTTAACATCTTTACAGATCTGAGGGTCTATTTACAGTGAGACTGCCCAAAACAGTTGCCACAAGGATTGATTGGAAGTCTTGCTGATACGCAGTTTCAGAGGTGAGTACCAGCACTATTATTTGTTTACATTTTTGATTTTGGAGGGGCTACCTAATCAGGAAAACAAAACTTGTAACGTTGCAGTAAACCTCTCATCAAAGTAGCTCATTTAATGCCTGGTTCAGAAAGCTTCTGAGTCGTCTACATAAATTTGACAAGTGATGATTATGTGGCAGATGCTTAAAATTTTGCGTAACATTGACCATATTCGTTAAATGATGTTCATTATGTCTTCAGCTTCTTAGAAATAGTTTTCTTCCTTTCCTTTATCTCAGCCATGTAATCTTTTTTCAGGTACTTTCTGAGGAAGGCGGGAGTGTCCGCTAAAACATATCAATGTTCGGGAAAAAAGATTATATGTCTGAGATAAGGGGAAAAAAGAAAACTGTTTTCCAAATTAGTTTAACACTGATGCAGTACTGCGATTGGAATGCCACACATTAGCTGCAGCCATCCTGGTTATTCTTTAACCAAAGTGCCTCAACAAAGTTAAACCCAATGAATGATAAAAAGACAGCATAGATATATAAATCAACATATACTATATATATAAGATACATATACTATAAATAATCTGATTACATGCAACGGAAGTACTTTTTGGGTTCATCAACTATCCAGCTCACTCTGGTTCTTAAAATCTGTGGTCAGCACTCTACTGGGGTATATCTAGAAAACCCTTAAGTTCATAGTTGTGAGGAGGAAGAGTTGATTTCAAACTGGCATACCATCAATGCTAATTTCTCAAGGTTTATGTTAGTTTCCGGTTCATTCATATACTTTAGGATCATGTTTTACAGTCTAGTGGGAGAAACGCCAGAAAACCCTGGCTTGGATTTGAACCTGATACGTTCCTTCGGTGAGGCAGCATTGCCAAAGACCACTATAACTCCACACCTGTCATTGCGAAGTATTTATGAGTTAGACCCCCCAGATAGGAAGCAAAGATGGTGACAGAGGTGTAGTGATGATGCTAATCACTACACCACTGTACCGCCCATCAGATTTCACTTTTTGGGCTTTGATTTAGGCTATTTCCATTTCATTGTTTTGTTTGAAATGCTTCTATTTACCTTTCAGGCCAGTCTGGTAGTCCAAAATCATGGTCCACACTCCAGTGAAAGAAACCTAAAACACTCGAGGTTTGAAGGCAGTGGTCAGGAATTTAACTTAAACCATCTTGCTGAGACTCCCCTGTGGAGCCTTGTAGAAACCTTATTAACTTTGTAATCAAGTGGATCACAGGTCTCTGCTTTTCTGTGTGAAAATAAGAATAATTACAGAATGATATAAACTGGGCTTAAACATCAATTTCGTGCTTTATTGCAGTCGGTGACCAGCCAGGTGTGTCTGACATAGATTATATCAGGGGCCAAAGACCCTTTAACATCTTTACAGATCTGAGGGTCTATTTACAGTGAGACTACCCAAAACGGTTGCCACAAGGACTGATTGGAAGTTTGGAAATTGTTTTCTTCCTTTCCTTTATCTCAGCCATGTAATCTTTTTTCAGGTACTTTCTGAGGAAGGCGGGAGTGTCCGCTAAAACATATCAATGTTCGGGAAAAAAGATTACATGTCTGAGATAAGGGGAAAAAAGAAAACTGTTTTCCAAATTAGTTTAACACTGATGCAGTACTGCGATTGGAATGCCACACATTAGCCGCAACCATCCTGGTTATTTTTTAACCAAAGTGCCTCAACAAATTTAAACCCAATGAATGATAAAAAGACAGCATAGATATATAAATCAAATTCTGCTGGTCACAGACAAACAAAAATGTGTTCGGACAGAGACCTATATCTTTCACCCAAATATGAAGGTTGCACCCTTTGTGTTTATTTGCCCCAAACTGTCATTGTACCAACTGTGTACCAGCTTGCAGTTGCAAGTTGCACTTTTATGAAGCATATTTAGCTGTGAATTTATACCAGATTCACATCTATACAATCACTTGGTGTGTAATCTGACCATCCCAAAATGAATTAATTCACACTTGACACAAGTTTTGTCTATCGTCTTTGATAAAACTGTGAGTAGAGAGGAACATTGTAAAACTTTTGACCATTTGTAGTTATGGTGTATAATTCACCTATTACTATGAGAAGACCCCTGTTTTATTAGTTTTTCGTATTCCTGCAACTGGGTAATGACACAAATTCATGCCAATCACCTTTTGAAAACATTGTTATCGATGGATTTCACTATAAGGGCAATTTAAAGAGTTAGGGTATGTGTTGTTTGTTTTGCTTTGTCTTAGGTCACTTGGCTGATTGTTTACAATGTCAAAAACAGTGAGAGATTATTTATGTCTTTACACCGCAGATTTATTGCAGGTTTTGCATCTAGGTAAAAGGCAAATTTCTGACCACTGCAATGTCTTTGAATGAAAAAAGTTTTTTCTTTTTTCAAGACGCAGACCTTGATGACAACATAAAGACTACTTCTTAATGAGAAGTCTCACTGTTGTCATCAGTTGTGCCTATTTGCATAAGTACATTGTGTTTCCCTCCAATGTTATTTGTACAAGTAGACATGGATGTGTGAATAATAACATACAGACAAGTAACTATGAGTTACTTGACAACACCTATAGTTTCTGTCTTAATTTTTCTTAGTGAAATATTTTACACCAAAGCTTCTCTTTGCTGTATAACTCTTTCACGTGGCTATTTTAGGGTCCTCAGCTGCTAAAGTAAATGCGCATAGACTGAGAGGAGTAAAGACATCTGTCCTGCTGAGTGGCGAATAAAGGCAGCAGGGTGGCGACTCTGAAAGTCACAGAGGGGAGGGAATTAAAAGTCAAATTAGGACGAAAAAGAGGGGGAGGGAGTAAGTGATGAAATCGCAGAGAGGAAAAAGTGTGGAGTCTCTGCGCGAAACCCCCATAAGAAAGGAAGGAAGCAGAGAAAAGAAAAGGTTGAACTCAGGGGCTTAGCTCCCACTTTTCACAGAGAAGAACGAGTTAGGTTTAATCCTGATTTTCACTCAGCGAGCAGCAAAGGAAACTTTTCAAGTATATTTATCCCCTGAGAAGACAGACAACCCAAGTAAGTAATCTTAATGAGTTTTTCTTCTTAATTTTCATTTTCTTTTCTACTGTAAATAAACATGTAGTACTCATGTAGACTGTAGTAACGTGCGTAAAGTGGCGGCATGAGGCGCGAGTATGGCTGAACCAACCGGCTACAGATATGCTACACGTGGCAGCAAACTTCACTGTAGACTACTTAACACTGAAACAAACGACACTTTGTAACCCTGACAGTCTGCTTAAAACTGAAATATATTTGGGGGACAAAAGTCAAGGTTTCACAGAGAGTGGGAAAGTGAGAACAGAAACCGCAAAATGAGGGGGAGTAGATGGGCTGGTTATTTCGGAGGTGACTAGTCCTGTAATAACTGTAGTTTCATCTTTAATTTGGTGGTCAGGTAATGTTTTAGCAAATTGTGTGTAAACAACGAGGCCGTACCCATGTGTTTGCCAGTATACGGTATTACACCCTTATGTTTACTTTAACTGCGGGCCAACTGTAGTACTGTTGGGATGGTGACACGTTTTAGTGTACCTTTGTGTAGAAGCACCGTTCAAGTCACCTCCTGTAAACTGAATAAGAAGAAACTTGTAAGACGCAATGGGCTTTATTTTGTAACATTAGGCCCACTTGAAATCGTCTGTTGTTTTAGGGGTTACAAGTCGTCTGCCCAAGTTTGAGGCAACTTACCTCTTTGTTACAAGAAACTCAATTGCAAAATGTTCTATGAAACAAATGTGTCGTCTATTACAATCTCTACTCGACTGACTACTCAACACTGTTACACACTGTCAGTTAAAAGGCCAAGAGTGGACTCGTATTGTCTAGATTTTGGGTTCTTCTTTAGTTGGGTAATCCATAATTTTCCTCGTTGCCTACATAAACCCACTAGTTTCATTGATTCCACTCCGCTTCCAGGCTCTCGTCTCATTTGTTGGCAATGGTAGCAGGCTACCAAATAAGGGATATTACCCACATGGTGTCTGTCTGTCTGTTGGGGGGAAAATCCAACATTTCAGACAGCACGTGAACGCGGCAGTCGACCGAGCACCGGGGCCGGGTCTTCTCCGGGTCTTCTCGGCCGCCGTTCAGAGCTGGTAACCGGACCCCGTGGTGAGGTCATACCCGTGGAGAGACAGCTGCTTGCCAGCCGGGAGGCGAAGTGGTTTGGTTGCCTTTTTACGGACTCCTCGGGAAACTGAGGTTTCTAGGGTGCTTGGTTTATTTTCTCGGAAACTTGTGAGGATAAAGAGTTTGGCCGGCGGGCCTTTGTGTCCGACAGAGGTACATAAACACGAGTGGTCAAGGTCAGAAACATCTCTGCGGGGAATAAAGGCCAGAGCTGGATGGGAGCACTTGGGAACACTTGAAAGGAATCAGGACGTGTGAAATGAAACACCGACGAACAAGTTTCATTGCAGAAGTGGTGAAAATGTTTGTTTTTATAAGAGTCAATAATAATCCCAAAATACAGGGAAACACAGCTCCCCACTGGCCTAAAAATACTACAACTCGACATGACTATAACAGTGGAGTTTATTGCATCATTCAGTCGCTCATGCTCAGGTATTTCAGGAAGCAGTTTCCTTATATGGCGCCTCTCTCTGTCCTGGCTTTACCTGCCCCCCTACGCACACAAACACAAACACACACACTTTCCTCAATTGGTTCACTTTTGGGAGTATTACACATAGTTTCTCGTTCATTGCCCTTCGCAATGTGCTGCTGTGTTCCAGGTTGTCAGTCATACCATGTCTGGCATTCACCAACCTAGGCTTCTTCTTTAGGGCTACATAATCAATACTGTTAACCCCGCTCCTGTGTTTGGGTCTGCACCAACCCGTTTTTGATTTTAAATGCTTAAAAGAACCACTTAAATCAGCTTTTTTGTATCAAGACTTTTTGACTCCGTCAGGAACCTATATTTTCTCAATTTAAAAAAAAAATCAAATTGATTAAATTATAAAATGCTTTTATTAAAATTATGGCACTTGTCGTGTTAGGGTCGCTGTTGACCTGGTTAAATCAATATCTAATAATTAGAGAAAAAACTGAAACCACAACTGCACTGTCAGACACCACACTGACAGTCAGATCCTCTTCCAATCATGTGAGATTTAGGAAATTATCATTTTGCCACGTTTATCCCTGCACAAAAACTATCTTGGGCATGTTCAGATATGTGAGACCAATTCAGTATAGATGTCTGTGTGAGGGGTATACTGACAGAGAAAGGCCAAGAGGCCCACTACAAATATATTATGCACAATATTTTCATGGATAATGAAGCCTAACAAGTTAACCTAGAGATAAGAACCAAATTGGATGATAGAGAATTGTTTTTAGTGTAATTTACAGCTGATTTAAGACACGGGTCAAAACCGACCCTTAACGTGGTGGGTACAAAGTAAAAGCTAACACAGGAGGAAGGTTAAACCTCACAATAGAAATGTCAAAGTGTTGGATTAGATAGCAACAGTGATGTTGAGTTATAATGCCACACTGAAGTTATCATTGGAGCTGACTGGATTTAAAACCCAGAACAATCCTGGAACACAAAAGTACAACAAGAGCAAAGTTTGAGCTGTGGTATGAGTGAAACATTCAAGTAAGATGGCTGCTGTTTGAACATGGTGGATGGTCACCAGTCACAATGTAGTGACAAGAACTCACAACCACCTGTTAACTGCTAAATCTTGTATTAGTTCTTGTAACTGCTCTTGCTTAATGACAGCCTGTCTGTTTAACAGCAATTACGGTTGTGGGTGGCACAGAACAGGCGGGAAACAGGCAGGAAGAATGCGTGATAGAGGAAGAGGAGGAGTAGGAGTACACAGCTCACCACACTGTTTTCTCGATCTAGCATGTCTGTAGCTGACTTGCATCAGTTGCACGTGTCCAAACATCTGAGCTCCCATACACAGTTAAGAAAAGACCGTGCCTTTTTTAAAACACGCTCTCTGTTCATGGCTTTAGGTTTCTGTGTTTAAAACTTGGTCTCCTGAGAAATTACTGAACACAGGGTCAATGTGATGTGGGTTTATTGTATATTGCAGCCCGAGTGCCATAAATCCAGCCCATGTGACAGTGAGCTCTATACTTAGGCCTTTAGTGGAGCGTGTCTGTTCATGTGGGAGGGACTGTTTTGTTTGTCTGTCTGCTCAGTTAGATTAACACATAAGGGAAATAAATCATTTAGATTTTTATCTCATGTTTGGATAGAAAGGTGTTTTAATCATTTAAATTGAATGCTACATATAAAGATATAAAGGCGGCAAGGGATAAATGTCTCTGCAGCCCACACAAGCAGTCTCATGCAACAGAAATTCACAAAATATAGAAAGATGATCTAACAGTATCACACGAATATGAATATAAGGGTGTTTATTTAATTATTCATTCATTTTATTATCTAGGGATGCTGATAAACTTTGGCTCCAGCACTTTTGAAAGACTGTGCTTTTTGTTGCTTAATTTGAACTTTTATGGGAGCTGGTCAAACTCTTTTTGGACTGGAGCTGTTTATTTTGAGCAAGACTTTAATGAAGTCACACCGAGTTCTAGTATTATTTCATGGATATTTTCAATGTTTTCTAGGCCAAACAATTACTAGAGAAAATAGGATTAATCAAAATAATAGCAGGTTGCAGACCTAATATCCTCATCAGATAGCGTTTCACCCCTGATTAAAGTTACGCTCTTCACACTCTGTGTCCTCCTGCGAGTGAATTAACACGTTTATTTGTGGGTGAATCATTTACTTGATGGGGGAAACGGACTCTCTCAATCACAAAGTTAATCTTGAGATCTGGAGAGCTGTGTGTATGAGTATACTGAAGGTTTTCAGGCTGGGGTGTCAGTTACATAGAAATCCCCCCTTTTCAAACTCTTTTCAGCATAAAGCCAGTTCAGTGGGCCGTGGATAATCTCATTACACACACGCGCCTCATGAGCTCATACGCACAGACAAATCAGCTCCATTAGATCCTCGCCCCACTAGGTCTTGTACGACACATGCGGACAAAGGCTGAAAAGATGCCTTCAATAAGAACCACTGAAAGTGTTTCCCATTTGAGGCCCTGACCCATCCCCACTCCCCACTCCCCATCCATTTCTGAAATGAAGTGGTATACCTGTTTCTTTTTCCCTCTAATTCCCTAATTTGCCATCTGGCATTAAAGCCGTCAATGGGTTTCATCCAATTTTTATTTTTACTTTTTTGGACCCTGTTTCAATTGCCAGTCACGTTAGTGATCAATGACCTGTCCTGCGTGCATCTACTTGTGTACTTTCCAGGTGGTCATGACTAACCTGACTGTTAGTTTGGCCAGACACGTCATGAGTGTCTTTTCAGTGTGTGTGTGTGTGTGTGTGTGTGTGTGTGTTTATGTTTACACAAAGGCAGCAGCACTACTCACTTTTGACCCATCAATCACAGTGAACGCAAAGACGGACAGTGTCCTCATGCTGCAATAAAGACCAGTAAAATTTGTCTTTGTGATGCTTTTAGATGGAAATGTCCCCTTTTTAAGTAGTTTCACATATTTCCAGAACCAAAGCCTGCTCAGCATTGTTACATTTGGTCAAAATCACTAGTGATAGCTGCTCTGTTGACAGGGCGATTGGACGTCTCTGAGGACAATACAGAGTGAGGTGTCATGTACCCAACTGGCATTTATAAAACAAAGACTGCTTACATGGGCACTCATTAGACGAGGTGGGTGGAAAAAATGCCCCAACTGCCTGCTCACCTCCAGCTGAGCAGGGTAACATCAGGTTAGCCTTGGATTTCCAGGAGGCTCACTACTAGTAAGATCGGACTGATGCAGGTCTGGTGTTTTGCTGTTTGGCCTTGTTAGAGCAGTTCGTCTTTAAGATAAGACACCACTGTGTTAGCCAAGAGGCTCCCTGGCTTCCCAGATGACATTACATTTGAGAGATAATCATTTTCCTTTTTACTAGTGTCGTCTTCTGTCATAGATTAAATTAATTAATTAATGAACTAATATATAAACCATCAAAATCTTGGAATTATTATACGCTGTGATACGACAAGCCTGGACCTGCTCATTTACACAGTATAATATTACAATTTATCATTTTGATTGTAAGATATGCTTTCTTTCTAGGTGACTACTGAACACGTGTTTTGACATGTTGAACCTGAACGTGATCATTTGTTATCAAAGCTTACATTAATAAAACATGCTATTCCCCCAGGATAGGTGAACACTTGATGGCGGCGGTTAGGGAAAGTGAGACCTTATATTGATCTTGATAATTTATCATTGTTTATCAAACATGAAGAAGACATGCATCTTTGTTCTATAGATCAGTGTGTGGAACGAAATCAAACGATTCTGATAGGATCTTTTTAAACTGATGTTGGATCTACATTAAGAGAGGGTTTATGCCATGTAATCACACTGTATCAAATGGTTGGCATAGTGTGTAACATCTTTGCGTTACAAATCTCTTTACCCTCAGTTTCCTGTCAACATTTCACATTTGTTTCCTGTTCTTAGGTAAGGTTAATTTGGCAGCGTTGAGGTTGCTGTTTAAATAGACACCTGAAGATGCCTTTTTTTGGCTCTTTAAATTATGAATGACCTTTGTGTCAAATGATTCACAATTTCAACACATCAATAACATGCTTGTTGGATAAAATGATGAACAGAGTTTTTCTTAAAGAAGCATCTCTTTTACATTTTTACAAAGATTCATGTTTAAGCAAACTTAGACACATGCTGTGGTATCCTTCGCTCAGAGATATATAGTTTATCGTCATATAGAGAAAAAAAAAAATTAAATTATAAGCCATCTCATGCTTCTTGGCTCTGGATTAATTTTTTCTCTCTACCTTTACCCCCTCCTTGTCTCCCCTCTGTCTCACAGAATCAGCGATGGCGCCCTCTCTCCTCCAGGCCTACAGGAGGCGCTGGTGGATGGCAGTGACTGCTGTGATTGAAAATCTGCTGTGTTCGGCTGTGCTGCTGGGCTGGGGCTCTCTGCTCATTATGTTGAAGAGGGAAGGTTTCTACTCCCACCTGTGCTCAGGTAAAAGCCGATGCTCAGAATTTCAACACCCATATATATATTTTTTTTTTCATAAATATCTCCAAAGAACAGACAGAAAAGACAGCACCTTGTTTTATCGTCTTGATTCTTCAAAACTTCCCCTACTTTAAGATGATTATTTTATTTTTTGCCATAAAACATGATTCAGTGCTGAGAAGTTTGGTATTTTCTGAATCAGTGATTGGTCACTTTCTAACAACACAGAGGATTCAAAATCAGTCTAATGTCAGCTCTTCATTTGTGTTTTCTTGGGTAAATAACCACAAGAAATATACTGTATGTCTGTTCATATCCCAAGGCCATATATACGTAAAGAGGAAGTTATAATGATATCATCAGTTAGTTTCTTTTGCAAACTCATGACAGCTCTGTCTGACCGGTTTTATGATGTATGAGAGTTATAATTTTCCAGCTTTTATTATGATCTCTTTCCCCAAAACTCTGATGCTCCGATTGGTCTCTTTTCGTACATGATCTGACTGCTCATGTTTCTTGTCATCCCCCACCACAGTAAATGAGTCCGTGGTCGTGTCTTTGGGAAACTCCTCTGATGGGGAGGCGGAGGAGTGGCTCAGCTGTGTGGATCAGGAAGAGATGCTGAATTTAGGTTTCACGATCGGCTCCTTCTTACTCAGCGCCACTACCCTGCCACTTGGTATCCTGATGGACAAGTTTGGTCCACGTCCGATTCGCCTTACGGGCAGGTAATGTTTAGAAACACAAGCATGTACTGGAATATTTGTTCCTCAGGAGTTAACTTGTTAAATTACAGCCAAACCTCTTTTGCTAGATATACAATAACTCTGTAATAAAGGTTGTCATTGAGCTTATTCCATTCATAAATGCTGTAAAGATGAGAATCTGGAGTAACAGCTTAAGGAAACAGAGTTCAGTTTCCTCAACTAGTCTTGAGTTTATAGCAAAAAAAGCTGATAGATCACATTCCCAAGGTGGGCGGAGTGTGACTGTGGTACCTGTGTGTTCCTGTTTGAGAATCAATGAATATAGGTGGGGCAGCTGAGTGTGTGTGTGGATGAGTGAGTGTGTGTGTGTATTGGTTTTGGAGTAAGTTCTGACATTCTCTGTGATGGGTGTGGGAAAAATATAAACACAACTCCACTGCAATAAAATCATACAACAAAGTACTATCAGAGTAAACCAACACTGCACGTACATACCTGTCAGACAACAAGTGGAGAAACAGGAGCAGCACATGATTAGACTTTTTCAATCTTGGCAGATGATGAACAGCCTAAGTGATCACTTACTGTGTTATTTAAATGCCATTGTTGTAGTTGTACATCATGATTTTATGATTACACTTGTGTCATTGAACTTGTGTTCACATCCGCTTGCTGTACCCGACTGTATGTGAACATATTTGCACAAAGCTTTCACTCATTGTTTTGACAGTTGTATGACTCAGGCGTTAACAAACAGAGAAACTGCTGAATCAGCAGCTGTGGCCCTCTGGGAGTTTATATGTACTTATATGTTTAAATCTGACTTAAGTATTTTAAGTGCCTTTTTAATCTCAGTTCATAATGTGGTATGAAATCTTATAAAATCATTTAAACTTTGTCACAGCTCTTGTTTCGGCCTGTCCTGTGTCCTGATGGCCTCGTCTGCTTATGACCCACATGGTAAGTAAAACAAGCACATTAACCCTCACATACTGTTCAAATCTGGTACCCTCACAGTATGTTACGGGTCAAAATTGCCCCTTCAAAGAGTTGAAAGAGCAGCTTTCTGTCACAGAAAGTTCTCTTGACTAGTTAGGTCATTTTGACCCCTGTCTAGGTGTGTCTCTGTGACTGTATGTCTGTGTGCGTGCGTGTGTGTGTGTGTTTCTGTCAAGGTAATGATAGTTTCATAATGATTTGAATATATCTTTTTGAACAACAAACCTTACATTGAACACTGTTGTTACTGTTTGTCACTTGTCCCACACTGCTAGATCTAAAATCCATCTAAATATAGATACGGGTCAAATTTGACCCGTAACAGCCCTAGAGGGGAAAAATTTGTAGCACATAAACAAAAATACACATGAATATTTTTAAATTAATTTCATGTATTTTGGGCAACTTCGGGAAAAGTCATCAAGTTTCAGGCTTAAAAAAATATGTTTAGGGTATTTTTACTGCTGTTAAAAGTCAAAGCGGGTCAAATTTGACCCGAACAGTATGTGAGGGTTAACACATTGATTACAAGTTACATTAATTTACTTTTAACTGTTGCATAAGTGATACGTGAACTTGAAATACTGCGGTGATTTATATGGGAGTCACCCTATTCTGAACATTGCATAGGTAGTATTGATTGACAGCTGAAGGTAAATGTCTGCAGGTGCACTAATGTACTTTGATATCACAGAGGTTGTCTGGAACTGCAACATTCACACATGATAACAAAGTATGCTCAGAATTCATGTGTTACATAACAATTCACCACTAAAGAAGGGGGGCTTATGTTTGATGGTTAGATAATGTGGAAAAATGTAACAAGTGATGTCATATATGTCCCTAAAAGTCGATAAGTAAATGCAAAGGTTAAGGTTAAGAACTGGAACATTTCTGCACTCTTTCCATCTGGCTATATTTCATAGATCATGGAGGCGGTGCAGTGCTAGCTCACACAAAAAGATATGTCTGTCTGTAAGGTTGAGTAAACCCTCAGGCCTGTAAGTCTGAGGCTGAAGACATATCTTCAGGCTCACCCAATAATGTGAATTCTTCTTCTGTCTTTTTCTCTGCAGTTCTGTCACCTCTCATTTTCTTAGCTCTCTCCCTGAACGGCTTTGGAGGCATCTGCCTGACCTTTACTTCACTCACGGTGAGACACACATATCCACAAAAGAGGACTTATACAAAGATATGGCTTTGACTGGTTTAAGGTGAAAAACATGATATGTGTATTGACAAAGGAGCCAAGTGATGCCTGTGAGAGAATAGTTGGTTTCCATTTCCCTCATTTGATAATTACAGTTCTCAGCTCTTCCTCAAGCCAGACCCAGTGTGGTCGTTTTAAAACACCAACTGAATTACCTAAATCACCATTTTTGGTTCTTTGTTTTCATGGTTGTAATTTTGTCCACACGCACAGTACCACAGAACTGAAACACCTACTTTGTTTGGTATCAACATCTTACAGAGGAGGAAGTAAATATAAGAGGGAAACACATGTAAAGTCACCTCTAGAAAAGGACTTCACAGAGTGTTTGTTGGATTGTATTCAAACCACAAATTGGATTAGATGGTCAGAATGTCTTTGGCAACAGCTTTTGTTTTCACACTTAGTACTGAGAGTCAGCGACCACCTCTCATAGTTACTGCCATTTAAGGCAAGAAAGGGTGTCTGGGTCTAAACCAATCAATGGAAACAAAGTGTAGACCCAGAGATCATGGGCACACTAAAAAATCACAATGCACCAAAATATTGGTCTTTGTCTGGTTTAGATGCAAAAGATACAAATCAAAGTATATGAAAAATTCAACAATCCCTCAGAGCCTCTATCAACTCCTCATCTTTATGTCAGTATTTTACACATAAGGATAGCAGCATAACTTTTAAGCCGGTCCGTCATAATTTTGCTGTGAAATGTTCCTCAGCATGCAGAAATAGTCCGCTCAGTGGTTACATAACTGTGATTCTGAGATGAAGGGTTGTTTTCCTGGAACCAACAAGCAGAAAAGTCCTGGTAGCTGAGAGTCCCAGTGGGTCGGGGCCTCTGTTTGTCTCAGCTGAGGAAACAGTATGTGTTGTGACTGGGGGCTGTGTTTGTTTGCATTCACGCCAGGCATGTGTGTATGCGTGTGATGTGTCAGCTGGTATGAACATTATCGAGTGCTTTTATTGTGGCCGCTGCCTTCTGACCGTGTCCTGTCAAGTATTTGGGTCGGTGTTGTGTGTTGGTACAGTGTGTATTTTACATTGTAGGTGCTTTCGTCAAAGCTGCACATGACTTCTCCCAGATGGAAACTGTCCCATTTATGTTTCAACCAATAACGGCCCCCGGTTGACCACACACACCCTTCCCAAAGCCCAGCCCACTCACCTCTGCTGAAACACTCAATGCCACCCTTTCTTTCATCTCCTCTGGTCTTTGTGATCACATCCTTTCTTCCTCGTCTTTTCCTCTTCCTCACACTCTTTCCTTTTTTTACTGTCCTTAGCAGAAAATCAATCAGCGCAGAACCTTTTCAACTCTGCATGACTGTGCACACATGTGGTTGTGCAAGTGCATGTACATGGTTATGTACACACAGGGAGTTGAACGTGAAACAGATGTCTAGATAAAGAGGGTCCAAGTGAGTATGGACAGATGACCCTCAACTGTGACCCCTTCTCTGACCAAAGCTGGTGTCAGTGTAAAAATGAAAGAAAACTCTTTGTGCTTGGTCCTGCTCAAATCAAATATTCGTCTCCTTTATAGCTACCTTTGTACATTTAATTTGACTGGAAACCGCTGACAAAATAACTAAGCAGATGAAGCATTTAACTAATATCCATTTAAACAATGAAGTAATCAATAAGTTCACTTTTTTGTCTAATATGAGAGTAAAATGTTTATTGTTTATTAGGATCCCCATTAGCTTTTGTCAAGACAAGTCTAGTCTCCTTGGGGTCCAAATGAAGGTCCTTATGTTTTATTTTTAACTCTGTGTCGTATAAATCAAGACATGAAGGCAGTTGAAGACCTCACCTCGGGCTCTGGAAATGGTTTGTGGCATTGTGATGGATAATTTAATAGGTGATCAGTTATTTTGAGTTTGCTGTCTTGTTCTCTTTGGCAGCACAAATTAGTTAAAACTGATGGTGACAGCATTGAAAACACAGAATAAACACAGAATCCTGCAAGCGTTAAAAGGAGTCATTCACAGTTTTTTGGCGGTGAATCATCTGGGTGATGTTAAAGGCATCTGAGATTTTACCCAAGGATGTTGCCTTGAATCTTAACCTTGTTTCCTTCAGTGTGGATGAATAGATTACACCCTCAATTACATCTGTATTACCTCCGCTAAAGCAGTTAAAATGTCGTCATAAAGGTAAACTTATAGCATCAGTAAACAGCTCAAAAATAAAAGCAGGAACAAGATGATCCAATTCACAATAGAGTTAAATTCAGTGATTTTAATGAGGTTTCCATGTAAACAAAAGGAAAATGAGCTGCTGAGAGAATCAGAAGTTTTACACTTTGGATCATGACACAAGTTGAAGTCGAAACGGAAGGAATGAATCCAGCACAACCCCCAAAGTATGATTAAACCTGTGCTATTTGCACCCTTACATGCTCACCCACATTAATGGCAGGAAGGCACTGTGCTATTTGTACTCTATTAATCAGAAACACACTTGAGTAACCCCTCCACCCCCCCTGGGTTTGTCCTTGTTCAACCTTAGTGTGTGTCCCTCTCTCTTATGTATGATTGGGCAGTTGAGTGTACCGGCATTAACTGACCTCCACACTGTTGTTGTGGTTCCTAAGAGTGAATGACGACAGAGCACGAGGACGGGGGACAAACAAACTCATGATTCAAACCATGTGGTCGACAATTATAACTCATAGGAGATAATAAAACGAGAGATTTCTATGTTCTTATGGGTCAGTTTCAGCATATTTGCTGTAATACACTAGCCTTTAAGAGGGACACAGTACCCTAATTCAGAGGGTCTGGCTTGTAGTGCAATACAAGTCCTATTATAAACTTGTTGAAATGATAGTTGACAAAAAAATTGACAGTTACCATTTTCTACAAGTTTGTCGAAGTCCATTGCATTTGCAGGATCTGCCCTCATTGCCATAGGGCAGACATCAATCTGTGAAAACTTTGTCAACTTTCCGAAGGTCAGAGTTGCTTTAAGAGCCTTCGATGTAAATTTTAGTGTGAGCGAGAACCTTCAATCCGTAAAAAGGGTTCGTAAACTTTCTGAAGGTCAAAGTCTCTGAAACTTCTCCATCTGTCGTTGATGGTTTTCAAAACCGTTTCCCGGAAAAACCTTTACCTCCATTTTTCCTCATAACTACTGACAAATGAACAGTAGTGTCATTAACCTGTATAAACACAACTTAGTGGTTTAAAGTTCATTTAAAGGCATCAAGTGGATTCATCTCAATCTTCTCTTAACCAGAAACGTAGAGGTCATACCTCCCGCTTTCAAATTAACTTTCATCGATGACGCATGTCAACTATGTACAGTATGTCAGAAAGCTTGTGTGACACCTTTGCTGTATTTTCATTTAGGAATGCACTTACTGCACCTACTGTAAAAGACAGGGGATCGCCCTTTCATGGTACTGGCTGTTTGCAGAGGCTTGTCTGGTCACATGCCGCTGAAGAAAGTCACAGTTATGAGAGTCGTTTGTCCTCCACGTGTTGTCGTGGGTCTCAGGAAGAGGCTGAGTTTCCTCCGAAGAAACACATTTGGAAGTTGGTATTTTTTGTGGAGGACAACTGAATTTCCATCTCTACTTTTCAAACACGCTTGTTCATTATGTGAGTCTTGTGCAGCTGGATGTAAGTGCTGTGCCCACACTGAAAATTAAAAAAAGGGTTAAAACTGAAAAAGGTGAGAGAGGGCAGCAGTGACCAGACATGTGGAAACAAAGCTGGTGCTAATCAGCTGTGGTTTGGTGTTTCCTGCAGAGATTTCCACAGAGAGAGAGAGAAGCTGCAGCTGTGACTCAGGGAGATCAATCAAACTAAAAAATGTTGCACACAATACGCCTTTTTTTTGTCACTTCATTTTGTGATGATCTTCCTCTTTCTTTTTGTTTTAGTTACTTTTGTCTCACTTTTTGCTGTGTATTACATTTATTTCACATGCTCGGCACTGCATAAAACGCTCTCTACTTATTAAGCTACAATTTGGCCCATTCTCTATGCGATTAAGATCTTAATTAAACTTTGTGCCAAAGTCTTACAACACCAAAGTGAGTGAGCACAGCAGGAACAGAGCCCGATGTGATTAGTGGTGACAAGTGAACGGCCAAATCCCTGTTTCTGTGTGACTTTGTGACACCAGTTGACCCCGGTGTTCCTCCACGCAGTCACGTGTTCCCATCTACGCCCCCCTCAGCTAGCAGTGCTAGCATGCAGAGCATGTGCTGCTTGGCCCTTTGTGAAGTATGTATTTTATGAGAACTGCCAGAACTGCTGGGAAACATGCCTGCTGCTGGCATATGCACACACTTCCACATGCAGCCACACATGTCACGCATTTTCTCCCTTTGCCTCATGCACAAATCTCTTGGACACACTGCGGTTGCTGCTACAACATTTTGAAAGCAAACATGAGTTAGCTAACATCTCACATGGCTGGAATATCTTTACTTTAACATTTGTCAGAGATGCAAACTCTGATGTGTGCTCAGAGGGCCCTCTCGCCTACATACTACAAATCTCCGCGAGTCAGAGAGTCCAGTGCTGCAGATCTCATGGCCACAGACCGGCCGTGAAGTATTTCAATTCTCAGAAGCTCTGAATGAAGATGGGTGTTCTCTGAGATGTTTTTCTTCCTTCATTCAATCAGGAGCTCTGTGGAACATCCTCAGGAAAGCTTTTTTTCCTGTTTACCTGCTAAAGTCGCTGTTGTGTCAGCTTTTGAATTGACCTCACCATCCCACTGGAACTTACACAAAGAACATACTAGTCTTTCAGGCACAAACTGCAGGCCCTCCCGTGAGAGAGTTTATGAACCCTAGTGTTAAAGCTTGCATCACGCTAACCTAACTTTGGGGGGAACATTTGCGACTGCAGTTTAACTTCTGGAAATAACTATAGGCCGAATTTCACATTTGCTCATTTAGTTTTTGCAAACACCTTCAATTTTGCTTTCACGTGCAGCTGTAGCAGGCACCTTCTTCGCACTTGAAGCAAAATTATAGTTAATGAGAAATTAAACAGTTTAAGTGACTGATATTTCCCCACATTTGCTAAAAACAGTAAGTGCAGTGCACACAGGAGCTGTGTATGGTGAAATGTGTCAGCACCAATGCTGATGGATGGATGGATGGATGGATGGATGGATGGATGGATGGATGGATAGATAGATAGATAGATAGATAGATAGATAGATAGATAGATAGATAGATAGATAGATAGATAGATAGATAACATTCACCAGGTGGCAGTAGCTCAGGAGGTAGAGCGGTCGTCCAATAACCGGAAGGTTGGCAGTTCGATTCCCCCCTATCCCGAGTCTGTCCGTTGTGTCCTTGGGCAAGACACTTAACCCACCTTACTCCAAGTGTGTGTCCTCCACTGGTGTATGATTGTGAGTGTTGTGTGGTGGCAGCCAGTTTGCGCCCACCGGTGTGTGAGTGAATGACTTATGGATCCAATTTAAAGTGCTTTGAGGGTATCTGATGAAGCACTATATGAAATCTGATCCATTATTATTGTGTTGCTCTGTACGTTCTATGTAAATAATAGTGATTTGTAATTAAATAGTAAGTACCCGTATGATTAAGTGTCTGCCATCGGTGAATCTGCACTTTGTAAAAGGATCAACAAGTGGCCAAGAAACAGTGAATGAAGGGTAAGCAAGTATCAATGCACACAGAAACACTTGAGTTAATATTGGAGAAGCAGATCGAGTTACGTCATCATTGCTACAAATACAAAGTGTTAATAAAAGTCCTAATTATTTTTTTTCCTACTGGTTCCCTAATTTTCCATCCTCAGCTTGACGTCATTTGTTCCAGCTTCAGTGAGATCAGGTCACCGTTGAGGTAGCAATGCAGCGCCCTTAAAATCCTTAACATGTGATCTTATAATCATTATTGACCCATTTAAAACTCCAATCAAAGGACACTGAGTGCGCTGGCAGCACAATAGGTCATTGTTGTGTTTGCTAAGCTTCTTACTACGGTAAATAGGTCGCTTAATATATGATGTGTTAGTGCCTGGCCCCCTTCCACCTTGTCCTCTTTGCAGTGTGTCAGATATGCTCCCACGCTGCGTCCACCGAGCCCTCAAGTTCATCGAGAGCTTGCTATGGATTGGCTTCCAAGTTTTTAATCCTTACTGAAAGAATATGTTGAAACAGCAGGAATAAAGAAGATGAATATGAGCCTGAGTATAGCTTAGACTGTGTGTGAACCATGGGGTCAGAGCCAAACTAGGTCATGACTTCGTTTTCAGTTTCCTCGGGACATGGAAACTAATATTTTATTAACGAGTCTGCTCTGCGGGGAGAAAGAGAGGTGTTACTGGGTGCAAACTCAAGGTAGGGTGTGTTCACAGTGTTTAGAGGAAATGCAGGACATTTATTTTGAATGCGCCTTTTATAATATTTGTGGAAATTCATTTTGCAATAAATCCCAATTCATGAATAAATTGCTGTATAAACAGTGAATTTGGTGGCTGCGGCTGTGAGCCAGTCCTCTCACAGTTTAGTCACTTTATGCACACTCGCTCGTTCCACTGGGTGGCTTTGACATTTCATAAATACTTTCAAAACTGTGCTTACTCTTGCCAAATTTTGTCACAGCTATGGAGGAACTGTTGAAGTTTTTGCATAGTACTTGAACAAAGCAGCAGTCTGCCACCTGCTGGTCAGGAGAACCCCCTGCACCTGGATTAACTCTCAGTTTTTTGTCTCAGTGAAGTAGTCCACGCACAGACTTCATGTGGTCAGAGGTCTTAATAAACATGTTGAAGAATGTGAAACTGACATACATTAATCCATTTCACTCTATGTCTTTCTTATTTATTCCCCCTGTTTGTTTGTCTCTAAAGCTCCCCAACATGTTTGGTGCTATGAGCTCAACCATCATGTCTCTGATGATCGGCTCCTACGCCTCCTCTGCTGTCACTTTCCCTGGAGTCAAGGTAAATCATAGGAGACTACATTAATCATAAATGCATGCTGTATTGACTTAAATGTGGATCAAATTAAAAAGCGCTAAAGACAAATAAACAACTCTTTTCTTCTCCTCTCTTATCTCCATAGCTGATCTACGATGCAGGTGTCTCCTTCCAGGTGATCATGTGGATGTGGGCGGGTCTTGCTGGATTTGTCTTCTTCAACTGTTTCCTTAATTGGCCATCTGAAGGTTTCCCAACACCTGACGAGGTCGACTACAGGTAATTGTGGATGCTTTTCCAATGCCGTCCTTTCATTCCATAGATACAAAACTGATCAGGAAATCACTGTAGCCACAATGCGTGTGTGTGTGTGTGTTTATCCAACAGTAAGATCCTCACACTGCAAGATCTGCCATCATCTGACCAAAAGGGTGCTGCAGAGAGACTGAGTGAGAAAAATGGAGACATCAGGCACTCCACAGAGAAACTTCCAAATGGAACCGACACCCAGCTGGCCTCTAGTGAGTAGAAACTCAACCCTCAGTATGAATGCAGTGAGAGTTTGTGCCTTTGTAACAGGTTAGACGAGTCAATAAAGCGAGACCACTTCAGATGTGACGGTGGCTTTGGCTGTTCATAAAAGACTCTCTGCTGTCCCCTCAGATGCTGTCCCCTTCAGGAGGTCTGTTTTCTCTCCCATCTTTCTGTGGAGTCTGGTTACCATGGGGATGTCCCAGCTCAGGATCATCTTCTTCATGGGGGCCATGAACAAGATGCTGGAGTTTATGGTCACACATGGTGAAGAACATCGTAAGTGTCCAGTTGTCAGCCACGTGATATTGTGTTTGTGTTTTCAAAGGGTGATACTGACAAAGTGGGTCTTTGTTTTCATATTTTAGCATCAGAGCAGCTGGTGATTGAAGCAGAAGAAAAAGGTGAGTAAAAGTGGCTAAAAGAAGATATTGATGTTCAATAATTATCTGACATTTTAGCAGTTTTAAAAACAAGTTTTTCTGTTTCAGTGAGTTTCTACTCGTCCATATTCGGCACACTACAGCTTCTGTGTCTGGCCACTTGTCCTCTGATTGGATACATCATGGACTGGAAGATGAAAGAGTGTGAAGATGAGACGGCTGTTTCAGCCACAGAGAAGAGGTACACACAGGGAGTCCTAAGAGTTAAAAGGGGAGAATCAACAACATGAAAACATTTGAAAGTCATGCTCCTAAGGTTTTGTGGTTTATAGAAACCTCTGATATCTGAGTCTGTTTTGTTTATGTTGAGAACTTTCATGGGCTCCACTGATGTAAAACACCTGTGTGTGTGTGTGTGTGTGTGTGTGTGTGTGTGTGTGTGTGTGTGTGTGTGTGTGTGTGTGTGTGTGTGTGTGTGTGTGTGTGTGTGTGCGCCTTACCAGACAGACCAGTGCCCCAAAAAGAGACCGCAAAATACAGAAAGTGACTAATGCTATGAGAGCCTTCATCCTGACCAACCTGCTGCTGCTCGCTTTTGGAGTCTGCTGCCTCATAGACAACCTGCCTCTACAGGTACTGCGAACACACACACAGATTTTTGGAGACACATGAGCATGCACATTACTGCATAAACAGGTCGGAGACAAACAGCTACACCGATTGCATTGGTTTATTTATTTTCTCAGATCTTGACCTTTATCCTCCACACCATGGTCCGAGGTTTTATCCATTCCTGCTGCGGGGGCCTTTATGCTGCTGTGTAAGTGCTTCACCATAAATTAAACCATAGATTTATAGTTGGGGATCTATTGTTTGCTCTTGGCTCATTACCTGGACTTCTAAATGTTACAAACTCTTGGTGTGTCTCTCTTATAGATACCCTTCCAACCACTTCGGCACGCTGACAGGTCTTCAGTCAATGATCAGTGCTGTGATCGCTCTGCTGCAGCAGCCGCTCTTCATCGCCATGGTTGGACCTCTAGGAGGAGACCCCTACTGGGTGAGGATGCAGATTTATTATTATTATTGTTTATTCCAGTTTTGGGCCAAGTGTGTGTAATTTTTTGATGCTGCATCTACCTTGATTCAGCAGAAAAAACATTGACTCACAAAAACCTGGTCTACAGACAATGGGACAGTGTTTTCTGATTTAAAAATCCTTAAATGGACAGTGAGACTGTTAGGTTTGATTCATGATAATAACAATGTCCGCTTATTAGTTTCCAAAGCACAAGTATATTTGTGCCTTTTTCACTGACACACTTCTCTATATCTCTGTTGCTCTAACTTTCTCCCTTTGTCATCCTTCTTTCCTCCAGATCAACCTGGGCCTGCTGATCTTCTCATTGGCTGGCTTCCTGTTACCAGGTTACTTGTTCTACCATCGTAGACACCTGATGAGGGAAAAGGAGGCCAGAGACAAGCATGCCGCTGAACAGGAGATGCAGGCCCTTAGGCACAGTGAGACAAACGGCCACAAACCCCACAGCAATGGCCTCGCTGCTGTGGAGGCTTAAAACGAAACAGTAGAGTCACCATAAGGGGAGCTGTCAGATCTTTTTTTGTATGTGCCTTCAAAATTAGCACCACCAATCTGCTCTTTCATAAATATTAGGAGTTATATTTCACTATTCCTGCTCTGGTCATGCTGGTTCACATTTGCCCTCCAAACGATCAAATCACAGAGTTAGTAGGCTCTCCCGTGTCCGTTATCAGTCAGATTAAGATTTGAAGTTCCTTTTAAAGCGGAAAGGAACAGTGTTGTCATCACTGATCGCTGTTTATTGGTTTTGTTTGAGTCGAAGAGCCAAATTAGTGCGATGTAAAGCCATAGATTTCACGCACACGCACATGAAAAGACACGCACAAATCCTGGTATGGCCTGTGTGTCAGACTGTGGATATCACGGTACTTGAAAAACTGATGAATAGTTTTATAAAACTTCTGATAATCATGACAATCCTGGCTAACACCAAAGAACAGTTAGGATATATCAGGAAAGCTACACTTATTAATTTAATATGTCATCTTTAGTATGTTGTGCTGGTTCTACTGTAAGCTACAGAAGCCGAGAGCAGCCGTGCATGCAGGTTTTCTTTGCCACTGTGTCCCGCTCTGAGTTAATTACCTTAAAATCTGGTGTAGAGGGTGCACTTTGTTATTATCTGAAAAGTAGGCTGTGTCCTACACAAGAGTGTGACTACACCCCCATGACATTCAGAGAGGCCGCATCTTTTTAATTCCTTTCTTTCTCACTATGTCATCATCATCATCATCATCCATTTTCAGAAAGCTATGAAGTCATTAAATCCTGACAAATGCTGGTTACATTGAAAATACTTCTCAATTTGAGAAGACTGACCAATGGCAGGAGAGTCTGAGCAAACTGGTCATGGGCAGTGGGTCTGTCTGCACCTCAGAACTACAGGCTCTGCTCAAGTACTGTAAGAGTATTAAACCAGATAAGAACCCACTGAGATTGAGATCTCTTTTACAAGGGTGACCTGGTGGACAGCAGGATGACGTCATCATATGATACCTGGAAGAGCCTGCAGAGAAATTGTGTTAATGAACACAAAGGAAGTCCTGAATCCCCCCACCCTCCAAAAACAGACTGTATCTTCTATATCATTGCAGTTGATATTCTGGATCTTTTGATTTTTACTTATCATAACTTTTTTTATCCCAAGAAAACATAACTTATCCCAAGTACACTTTCAAACCATGTACTTATTTTCACGTTCTCCGAAAATATCCTGTGCTCTTGGGAAAACAAAATTTAAAATCTAAACACATTATTTTTCATCCTGACATGTCTCTTTTAACCAATAACTTGTCTTTAGAAAAACCTGTAAGTTCTGCTGCTCTTGACTTCTGTAGGAATCCATTCAGTACGAGCTCTACAAACACTATCTTCAGAACACTCTGCAATGCAATAAAGCTTTTAAAGAAAAGAACTAAAATATAGGAAAACTGAACTTCAGGTTTATAGAGAGAAGCTTTTGGGACACTTTTAGACCCCAGGTAATCAGGCACACTCACATGTACACAGATAGGCTGGTTGTAGAGACACCACATCTACCTCCTCTGCTTCCTTTTTGTACTGTCTCTCTGCAACTATTCCCCCCGTCTGTCCATCAGTTTTGTCGACTTCTGAAAGCATCCGTCCCCAAGGTCATTTTATTAGTTCATGGTTTGTCCTTATGTGTTCGTGCTCCTTGGCCGTTGCATTTCTGCAATTTTATGTATGTATGACAAAAAAAGTTAAGGAATTTTACGAGGAAAAATAGGACTATTATAATGAGTTTTAACACAGAGTGTGTCGACGTAATGAAACACTTTTTACTGCTTTATGCACAGAAATGAACTAGTGTGTGTATAAAATATGTATTTAAGTGTATTTTTTTATTGTAGCTGCAGTAGCATTGAAAAGGGAAGCATTTGTTTCTGTTTATTTGTAGTGTGCTGATCATTTATGAAGCTTTGCTGATTTTTATGTGTATTCTACTTTTGCTTTTTTTAGTCTTTTTTTGATTTTGAAGAAAAGAAACCTCAATTTTTGTAAATAGAACTGAGGTGTGTTTTTATTTTACTACATATTCAGTTTGTTCTACAATATATGGGTGTGTACAGTTTATTAAGTATATATACTGATGGCTGCGGTCAGTATTGCTTTTTACTCTGGTTTTTATGCTTGAATGATGAAATTTCAGTAAAATGGTTTCAGACAGGAGGTTAAAAAAAAACTTTCATCCAAAGTCCGAACAAAATGTGTTTTATTTTTACACATTTACTATAGTGTCTTGGAGATTTAAGGAATCTGTTGTAAAGTTAAAATTTTCAGTATTTGTCTCAATCAATGTTAGTGACAGGCAGCTTTTACTTCTTGCCTGGAGTATTTCTTTGTTTTTAGTCCATACATGAAATGTGTTTCACTTCATGAATTTTTGCTCTCTCACTTTGAAGACTGTCTAGCTTCAAGTCTGTGCCTTTGCTGCTGTCTGGACTTTATGCAATAGATGTTAATGTGAGATTACTGCCTCTGCCAAACATCTTTCTCTGTATACCAAAGCCATGTGCAGAGACTGTCAATACGGTGATACTACGGCACTTTTCCTCAGGAGAATATAAGACTAATAATGACAGGAATGCCTCACTTTACAATGTAGTAAACATCAGTCTGGTTGCTACTTTTTATGTCTTGATAATTGTCAGAGGTGTGGATTTACTTTAATGGTAACTTCTGTCTTTTGGTTGTGTTCAGTATGGGTACGACAAAGAACATTTCAACAAGAGCAGGGAGGGTTTCACCACAGTATCCGTTACATTTTTAAAAATGGTTCTAGCAACTATCTGAGCTTTCTAAAACTCTGAACATTAAAAAGTATCTGCCCAATTTAGGTTGTAGCTTAAGTGTATGAGTGAATTGGTAGAAGAGAAAATTAAATCAACATCTCTGACTCTCAAAAAGTCAGTATCCGTCCTCTTGTGCTTATCTCTTTTTTGCCTGTATCATAAATGTTTTGCCCTTGAGGTTGCTCTGTTGGTATCTCTTGCTGAATGAACATCTTTTTCCTGCTTTAAATAAATGTATCGTGTTTGTGCATTTGATAAACAAATAAATGTCTGAATGCAAATATAATGTGTAAATGGAGCTTATGTTATTGTGGCTTTAGGCATGCTGTCAAGTTTGTAAAACTGAATATTTTAAACCAAATCATCTCAATGTGTGAAAACGGCCCTGAGAAGTCTAAGATACTGACTCAAACAAAGAATAATTACCAAAGTTTATTTGATTTTGGCATTATGGTCAAAAGTTATCACAACAGAGTCAAAGAGGGACATACATACAGTGTCTGCTCAGTCGTTCCTAACATCATTCAGTTCAACAGCAGCTCTCTGCCTTTTACACTATTCTGTAACATTTCTGACATCCTCACACATCCACTGAGTCCTTACTCCTCTCACGCATATCATACATCCTTTTGCATCATGTCTTCTAACCCCTCTCCTATCAAAACATACTGCCAATAATACAATTATCTGGAAAACACACATACATCCTCTTACAAAATGTACAGACACACACTCACATTCAAACACAGGTGTGCACACAGTGGGCTCCTGTCTATCTGAGGCTGTTGCTGTTGGGTTGTGATCCAGCAAGGCCGGGATGGTCGGGACTGTGACGGTTCTGGGGAAAGAGAAAGAGAGAAGTCATTACTTTAAACTTCACATGTGTAATAGACATCCCTCTGCTTGAGTTTGTGAATGCAGAACCAACCACAAGCCTGAAACAGTGAAGAACTGAGAGTACAGATAATGTGTTCATGAATCAGGAGGATATCAAAGTGCCTCAAGATCTCGTGTGTCTAGTTGAAAAAACATCTTTTAAAGAAAATTCCTTTTTGTACTAAACCATGAACACCACGCCGTGCTTTAACGTTTTGTAACCTGGTGGTTCAGCCAATTGATTCAAATTTTACAGCACTGAATCAGTGAGTTGCTCATTATGACAAAGCCACTAAACTAAACCAAATCTCACATTTTCTGTCCAACATTTGGTTTGACTGAATCCAAACGGCATAACTGGAAAGGTCTTTGTTTCTCTAATAAGAGTTGCTAAGTCCCTGTTGGAAGCAAAAAGGTTGAGATCATTTGCACAAAGCAAAGGGATTATAGTTTTTGATAGTGATATTATTTCATTGGTCTACATCAGAAACAATAAAGTGCCAAATATGGATCCTTGAGGTACACCATAGTGAACCGTTTTTCTTGTTTACTCATTATAAAGACCAGGGTTAACAGCAACAAACAAAAAAGCCCTGGAGAAGTGGGGAGAAAAAGTAAGAATGCTTTCAAGAGCTCGCCAAAAGATTGAACATAAATGGTGAAAATGTAAGATCTAGATTTATTATGACATCTATAAAAGTACTCTTACCTGCTACAAGACAGAATCAAAAGATTTCTCATTAATGATTAACGACAATCGGAATAACACTCATTATTTGTTCTCCACTTTACTACTCACTTCACAGAAAAGATCTTTAAGACAAGAAATGACATTTCACAGCCTTGAAAAGACACTCCTAAATTCTCCGGTCCCCTGGATCTGCCCAAACTAATATGTGTAATTATGAACTTGTGTGCTGAGGTGATCTTGAGGAGGTGATCAAGCAGTTGTATCCATCAATGCCTATTTGAGCATCTTCTTAATATAATCATTGTCCCTCTGTAGTCTGATTTTTTCTCCTACTTTTTTAACGCATGCCAAAGTTACACTCATACTTAAAAATTATAAACCTTGACCCACCAAAAAGTAGTAACTACAGGCCCATCTTTCTCCCTCCTGTTACTAGTAAAAATCATTTAAAAGGTTGCGATAAACACAATTATCTCACTGTGCTCTATTAATAAAATTGATTTTTTTTTAAGTGGCAAAAGTGAAAAACTACAACAAACCCAAACACTTCAAAACATCAAAAAGCAGATGACCAGAGAGAAACAAGTTGGTGAATAAAGATAGTTTCTCAGACTCAGGAGAGCTTAAACTTGAGTCAAAAGGGTGGAGGATATTGGTCTTAGATACAACAGGAGCTAAAAACACAATTTTTTAAGAATGATGATTTTGCTAAGGATCTGATAAATGATGAAAATGTTGGGAATCAGGCAGTTACTTTCTAAAAAAAGAAAGTCACATTTTATTCTGCAGACATGGAGCTTTTTCGCCCTCTTCTGGCCATTATGTAACTATTGTGTGTTGGAGCTTACTTAAAACTTAGTCAGAGTAAAGGTTTTTTAATTATCATCATCTCTCCCTGTAGTTGCACTTAGACCTATTGCTCATCTTGGTAGATATTCTCACCTTCTTCTTTTTCTTGTCTTTCTTTTTTTTCTTGCGGTCAGGATCATCATCCCTCTTTTTCTTCTTTTTCTTGGGATCAGAGTCTGACGGTGTTTCTGTAGGATCAAAATTAAGCAGGTCAGTGGTTGTAAAATATTTCACAATGCTTTTCAGGTTTGCATCTTAACTGTAAATAAAGAACCTTGTGGTAATGGATCCTGCGGTCGGTGGTGTTTGTGCTTGTGTTTGCTCTTCTTCTTTGGAGGCTGTATGTGCATCAGTCTGTACTGTTCTGGAAGCTGTGAAAAACAAACAAAAAAAAAGAATGGATGTAAGTCTTTAATGAAAAATAGCAAGAAAATTAAGGGTACCAGGCCCTAACAGTCCAAGATAGTTTAACTTGTTTACAATGATACTGCTACTGCATGAATTTATCTGTGTCAACGTTCTTTTTTTTACATCCTTTGTTTGTACGAGTGTTGTGTTATTAGTTCGTACCGGTCCTGTGTGAAGTCTGAAGCCTGTGAGAAGAGCGCCGGTCAAAGGGCTGAAGGAGTTTCCACACACAGGAGGCTTATCGATCAGCGAACGTAACGAGCTGCCGTCTTGAGTGCCTGGACAGTCGATCATACCTGCAGCACAAAATAAGTATAAAATGTTGGCATAGTTGAGGAACCAGATCAAAACACAAGCAATATGAGGGCAAGAGAGTGAGCCCCATACAGTTTCATTAAGCTGATGTTCTCCAGTCTGAACAACGATGGACTCATAGCCCAGTCTAACATTCTTCTCCATGTATCTGAGCATCTACAGGAAGTAGGCATGGTGAGGTTCTTTGGATATCTGCTCCAAAAGCAGAACGGCAATGCCTGATACAACTTAAGTGTGGAGCCAGTAAGAGGTCAAAACTACTGCAACACTGCTTCTGAAAAGCACAGCAGATCATCTGGATGTGGTACACCTGCAGATGTTAATGGAAGTAAATCTGTGCCATCTGATTTTGAATTTGAATTTCTACAGCAGAATTTTTTTTTCATCAAAATCAGACTTTGAATTTTAAAACCATCAAATTTCAAGCATGCATTTTCATTTCTGACACTATTTTTTTTTCACAATGATAAAATAATTCAGTGTGAAAAAAAAGGTCTCTCGAAATAGTCGTGAAAATTGGACTTAAAAAAACTGTAAAAAAAAAAAAAAAAAAATCAAATAGTTAGTGTGTCAAAAAAAATTCAGTGTAAAAGAGACCAACTCAACATCCGGGTTACCAGGGAGAAGTAATCAATTCCTGGCTCAATCATCCATCGTCCAGCCAATCAATTAATGCTAGATTGGTCATGTGGCGCAGACCCCAGTGGAAGATTGAATCCAATCGGTTGCTTCTTGCTGGTTACCCGAATGTTGAGTCAGTGGCCCAATCCCAAACCGACCCCTACACACTCGCCCTTCATTACCAAGTGTCACTCATAATAAAGTTACACTCGCAGCTGTGGAGTGCGCCTCAATTGAAATGGGTATAAACAAGAGGGGCGGGTATGGGACGCCCTCCTCATTCCACCGGAAAATGGAAAAATTCATTGCCATAGCAACACAAAGACGCGTCCTGTGCATTGGCAGCGTTTCTTTTCTTAGTAAATGGACATCATGTTCAGTTATGAACCACACCGGCTGCCTCGTTTCTTCATCCTCCCAGTAAAATTATAAATCCAACAACCACCACAGTGACAGGAGCTAAATTATACTTCCGGTTGTTAGTGATTCCACACGTCTTTGAACTCCTTTACTATTTGACATGTGCCTGCACAATCAAATCAAACCTCAGCAAAGAGTACAATTTCGGAGTTACATTTGATCTTTCCAGACCACGTCTTTTGTGATTTTTTTTTGTCAGTAAGACAAAGGTGGACACATGTGGAACTTATATTTGTATGTCGTTTCCTCCTCCTCCACTTTTGCCGGCACACTACCTGCAAATCCTGTCGCGAATGAGCATCAGTGCAGACTTGCTATTTGAGGGATGAACGGTCCACTCGCTCTCCTCACTCTGTGGTTTGGGATGGCCTTCAATATGGCCGAGCCTCTGCGCAAACGGAGTGGAGTGTGTAGGGTAAGTGTGTAGGGGGCGGTTTGGGATTGGGCCAGTCTCTTTTACACTGAATAATTTTACACTGAATATTTTTTTATGTTTTTAATTTTTTCATTTTTTACACAGTTTTTATAAGTCAAATATTTACTAAACAAGTATTTTTGAGAGACCTTTTTTTTTTTACACTGAATTTATTCCATCATTGTGAAAAAAATTAGTGTCAGAAATAAAAAAAGCGTACTTGAAATTTGATGGTTTTGAAATTCAGTCTGATTTTTGATGAAAAAAAAACAACAACATAGCTTTAGAAATTCAAAATTAGATGGCACATATTTACTTCCATATATGTACTTGTGTTGGTAAAACACTTAGACAAGGCACTAAACCATAAACGGCCTACAGTGGGCAAAGTTGACAAGTTTTGGTCCCAGAAGATGAGAACTAGGTTCCCATAATGGGTTTACAAAGAGCCAATGCAGTAACCTCTGAGAAGATGTCCTCTGCTAAGCATTGCTCCCTATTTTAAGTCATATTTTTCGTTCATTTTTTTGTAATATGATACCAACCTGGTAACTCTGGCAGAAAGTTGCTGAGCTTCTCCTTCACCTTCTTGCCACAGAATTTGTTGTAGGCGTGCTCCAGGTTGTAATGCGTGATGAGGTTGGTGTTCCCCGTTAACTCGTTCCCCACTAAACACAAGCAATTATTAAAACACGACAAACAAATACTACATTTCATTCACAACTTTACAAAAACTTAACATCGTGTTCCTTTGTAATTCACTAAAATATATCCAGTTGACCACTTCAAAACAGGCCAGGACCGTTTAAGACTGTTATTTTCAAGTTACATAACAATTACTTGGACAGCGTTCACAAAAAAGTAATGTATCATAATACAAGCAAAAAAAAAAAAACAACAACAACTGAGTGTACAACACGAAAGGTGATAGTACTGTACTTAGTGTTTGCATGTACTTATCTCATAGGCTAACGTAAGCTAGCATTGTAAACAAACTGCTGGGTAACCAGAACTATCAGCTCATCTCTATGTTAAATTTTACACTCAAAATGGTAAACACATATTCAAAATACACCAGTCTTCAAACCGTACCAGGAAGCTCCCGCAGTAAGTAGAAAGGTTCATTCATGGCAGCAGGCTTTCGCATAGCGGCCCCTTCATCCCCGAGCTGTGGTGGCAGCTGCCCCACCATGGAGACCTGATTCTGCGGCAGAGGCGGCTGAGGTTTCCCCGCTCCGAAACCAAGAGACGACGAGCCGGGCGGTCCCTGAGCTTCATTTTGCCCGAACAGAGTTGAAAACATTTCCGTCATAACTATCACGAATAATACATTAAAATAAAAACAAAAAGCCGGTGTCTTCGAGCTTATGGCCTATTACTCATGAGGATGGCGATTACCACGAATCCATCCACTATCAACTGCCCGACTCCTCACTTCTTTGTGGCATTATTTTCTTGGCCCAGGTACCGTAATACCAGACATAAACACGCACGTTACCGAAATGAATGGTGTAGGGTGGCAAACAAAAACATCTGATCAAAAACAAATTGTTTTTATTTCCACGAATTTTGTTTAGTATGATAACAGATAAAGTGAACAGAATTCATATTTACAATAAAACAAGTTAACATATGCCGAGATCAGCCAATTATGAAGATCATACATCGAAGACATCAGCAGGGCAGAGAGAAGAGACCAGCCTTTCAAATTCAGTGACTGATGCCTAAAAGACAGGAAAAAGCAAAATGCAAATAGAGAAAAATTCAAGTTTGAGAAACAGTCACTGTGAGACTCATTAAATAAATTTAATATAAAATTATCCAGTCTTAATAGGTCTCAAAATTCAGCTTCAGATAAATACTGTTCAGTTTGCAAATGAATGAAAAATTTGTGTAGGGGTGTTTTTTCAGTAAAGTTACTTTTACAGTCCAAACCCTGAGAATTGTGGGACTTTCTATAAGGGTGATTTGGATGGTTTGAAAGCAATGATAACTTTGGGAAGATTAACGTAAGTGGCTGGAAGATGTCCCTCCAGTTGCCTTCCAACTCCATGCTTCGAAACGGTTTTGGTTTACTTTTCTCAACTTTTTGAAATATGTTCCTGGTGTCATATACCAAAATCTGTTTTGTTAACATTTTGTACACCATTTTAAGTCTGTCTGAGTCTGGTTTGTGAAAGAACTTTAATAGATTTACTTTCAAGAACATATCTGAGTAGAGGCGGCACATGCCCCGCCTAAAAATACAACTACATATGATTACATATAATTATTTTTTTCCCCTTACCTTCCACTCCTCGACAGCGGTAGAAATATGATGTTCAGTCTGAGTGATACTCTCTCTACCAGCCTGAACCTTTTGTGCGAGTGCAGCATTCTCAGCCTGAATCTTTTTCAGCTCCAGTCGCATGTAGGCTTCCTGCTTTTGATAATATGGCATCAAAAATGAGCAGAAGTCCTGCTCAGGAATGCCGCTTGGCCGCCTGATAGAACAAAAATACAGGTTGAAGGATAAAATAGTTGTATTATTAATGCTGCAAAATGAAAATGTTGCTGTCCTGATAAACAAAGAAACTAAGAAAGTCATTGGACCTAAGGTACAGTTATGGAGTGAGACGAAAACTACAAATGATATAGAAATCAAAGTTTTGAGATGTAACCACTGGTACATTCTATATTATAGATAATAATGCTGTTGACTGACCATGCAGGTTCTGGATTGTCTTTTGCAGCCCTCTCCAGTTTGTCCAGCTCATTCAGTTTAAACTCCAGCCGGCCTTCTTCAATCAACCTGTTGATGTCCTCCTTTAAAAACACAGACGCACAAAATTGAGTAAATATGTAAAAACAGTCAGGCAGACCAGTGATAACTGCATTCACAATTTAAATACAAACAAGGCATTTTACATGGATGTTCACACGCAATGTCAACAGGATGTGCTCCACACCTTTATGGCTCCTTGCAGCTCCTCTATGAACTGTTTGTGAATGTTTTCCATCATTTGAGGATTCTTCTTGTACAGGGGGCGAAACATGCTGGCAAATCTGTTAAAACTGCAAACAAACACAATGTAAATGAAAATAAAGAGTACACCAAAGTATAGCTTCTCTTACAATGCAGAAGCCAAATAATACAATAGGGGAGAGTGGGGTAAGATGAGACATTTTTCATATTTCCGATCACTAGATAAAGGCAATCATAGTTTTCTGCATTTTAGTGTATCTGCATATATTTCAAGATGCTGTGCATTCCTGCAAACCAACAGAATGAGTGTAAACATAACTGTCTTGATAATATAGCATGCCAAACAAAAGTGGTCTCCCATACATGGGGTAAGTTGACCATAGGAGTGAGGTAAGTTGAGCCATTTCAACTGGCTCAACTTACCCCGGAACAACTATGATGACTTAATTAGTCCTCTAAGCTAAAATGGTGGACTTTTATGATAGAATTTTGACCTCATGTTGTCGCTCATAGATACAACATTTGATGTATGAAACATATTTAAAACGATGTTTTTTGGTCTGAACACAATTCTAATAAAACTTATGACAGACTAAATTCACTTTCAAGAGAGAAAAATGTTTTTTTGAAATAAAAGTCTAACCCCTTCACAGACTCCATGAATTGATGCCCGTCTCTAAATATTTGGTCACATGATCAATGTCTTTTACCTTTTCCAAGTAACAGGGGATGGCTCAACTTACCCTTTGGCTCAACTTACCGCACTCTCCCCTACTGGAGTGATGAATAAACTTATTCATATATATAAATAAACTGAATAAAAGAGTTGGTTGACAGGGTCCTATTCAGTAACAGCTCTAATTTTGCAGTTATACAGTAACTGGATGAGAGAATATGGAGGGTTGTCTGCTTACAGCCTCTCTTTGTTCTTGTTGGTTTTTCGGTGATACATGCTTAAATAAAACACATTTCACTTCCAAATTTTTACATTGACGGTTGGGAACTATCTTCAAACTGATAAGTAGCACGTTACCTGACATGTTGGATGAACCTTTCGAGGCTTTTCTGCATCACTTTGTCGAACAATTTCAACCGGTTATGTTTCACTTCTGTCTTCTCGGACGGCTTACACTCGGAGCCAGAACTCGACATTTGTGAAGAAACTTCTTCAGTAGCATCTTTCATCTGGTTTTCGGATGACTCTTTTATGCCATCGTTATCTACAGTCGCTTTTGATGTCGCTACTTCGCTTTCCTCCATTTTCAGTCTCCTCTGTTTACGTTTTGCAGTACCCGCCAATTGTACGGCAACTCGCTGAGCTCAAAAACGACGAACTCCGCTTCGTGCCGCGCAGACGCAGTTTGAATTGAGAGACCCCGTCCTGTCAGCAACTTCAGCTGTCATTCCTTCTCAGACCTCTCGTAGGCGACTGTCGTGTCTCTGAGCATGGGGCTGATTACAGGAATCTGTTCTTTCTTGTACCACTTACCTCAAATTTATAAATGGCTACTCAAACCGTACTATATAACATCGGTTTTCATGACCGTTGCCTTTCTTGTTGTCCGTAAGGCTCCTGGTCTGTGCGAGCACCTGGCGTCGCAACGCGAGGACGGCAACTCTTGCGACTTTGACTGGGTGAGAGCCTGAGGGCATGGTGGTGGGGATAGTGTTGCTATGAAATTCTGACTGCTGCTAAATATAAGGAATCCGACACGAGGAAGCGGACTCATTTACGGTTATCTCATGTTTTTGCACTTTATTTCTGTTTTTTAGAGAGAGTTGGAGATTCTTATGTTTCTAAGTGCAATAGTCATGATGAAGAACAGGAGAGCAAGTAAGTAAACCCCACACCACCTCTTTTCACATCTTTACATGTACTCAAGTGTAAAACAACTAATATCATACATGTCAGCATTTGTTTACACTAAATAGTCACATTATCAATTGACAAAGCTGGGAGTAGTCAGTTGCTAAGGTTAGTTTACACCTTAAAAATATGTCTAATTTCCAGATTTTACATGTAAAACCGCTTTTTAATGACACTTTAAATGTTAATTCAACCAAATGTGTTATTCCAAACAAATATGTAGGCCTAACTGATTGTGACCACGAGGGAAGCCCTGCACAGGTGGACATATCCAGGAAGAACCTTACTTTAGACTACTCTGTTTTGTCAACAAAACAGCTGCAGTGGAGCTCTGTGACCTTGTATAAAAGGTTTGAAGGTTTTACACCTCTGCTGCATTCATTCTCTCTCCTTTCTCTCTTTCTCAGTCACCTTGGAGCAACACATTGGCAACCTGTTCCTGTTTAGCAAGGTGGCCAATGTCATCCTCTTCTTCCGGCTAGACATTCGGTTGGGCATCCTCTACCTCGCTTTGTGTGTTGGTTAGTGACCCGCTTATCCCTGATACAAATGCTGCCCCTCTCAAGAATACATCTGAGTTATGGAAAGCTTAAGAAGCACACATTGTGGTGAATCTACCAGCTAATCACCTACACCTCAAAAGTCTCACAACTTCAGATGATGCTGTGGCGTCAAATAATCTCTAAACCCACAACCTTTTCTAACCTGAACAGAAGTATTTTAGAAATGTACATTTCTCATTTGCCTAACTGAGCACATTATGAGCCCTTGTATTAGGCTGTTTTTAAGAAATTGGTTTTCTTTCATGTGTACTTATCTGTTTAAAAATGTCCTTTTCCAGCTTTTGTCATGACCTGCAAGCCGCCTCTCTACATGGGCCCTGAGTACATTAAGTACTTCAGTGACAAGACCATAGACGTGAGTGTAACTCTACATATAACACTGATTTTCTTTTGACCAAATATTTGCAAATTCCCCTATAAAATTCTTCTTCTGGCGGTAATGTAGAACCTAAGGCCTGTGCCATGTGAAGTATAAACTCTTACAATGCAGATGGATTTGCCATTGAAGAGTCACATACATGTAAGCATTGTTTAAAGGACATAGAGATGAGCCTTATTCATATCATTTGCATGATATATATTTTATTTAATCAGACCTTCCAAACTGATAGTTCCCCATTCCTATTGATTGTTAGGTGCAAATGATAGAGATCTTTATTTGTGTGTTTTTTGTAAATTTATTTTTGTTATTGAATCTTTAGGAGGAGCTGCAGAGAGACACTCGCATCACCTGGATTGTTGAATTTTACGCCAACTGGTCATCTGACTGCCAGTCCTTCGCTCCAGTCTTTGCTGATCTTTCTCTCAAGTAAGAGATAGTCAATCAGGACCAAACGAGATACTGAGTTTGACAAGAGATCTCAATGTTGTTGGTGAAAAAATTGTTTTGGAATTGGCTGTAACTGCTGTCTTCACAACAAGACAAAACAGAAGATAAACTTAAGCATTATGTCTCTGAATCACCAGTAACACATTTAGAACCGGTGTGTGTTAATTTTGCATGATTTGTACAGCTTAAAGAGTTACTGTTTGACGTATGTATATATATTTTTAAAAATGTGTATTTCTAGCTTTTTCAGTAATTAAGAAAAAAATCTGTACACAGTATATGAAACGCCACAGTACAAAAAAAACTCAGAAAAGATAAAAATGATAGTAAAAAATAGAAAAAAGAAAAGGAAATGCAGTTGAAGACAACACTCGGAGGTCATAATTAGCTCATTCAAACACATAAATCATCAACTGTTTGGTATTCAACCATCTGGTATTGGTCGCACTACTTAGTATAAAATTTGTCAAATACGCTTAAAAAATAACAGTTATATTTTTTGCTAAGTTTTCAGGTTTTTAGGTGATGTGTAAAAGTCCTATAAATTTTCAGGTACAACTGTCCTGGACTCAGGTTTGGGAAGGTGGACATTGGACGATATGGAGAGGTTTCAGAAAGGTCAGCCATTTTCTTCCCTCTGCAGCAGTGTTTGATCATGTTCAGTTTGTTTACACATGCAATAAATTCCTGTGACTAATTTCTTCTTATCTGTGAGCAGGTACAGGGTCAGTACGTCTCCTCTGGCTAAGCAGCTCCCCTCACTGATACTTTTCCAAGGGGGACAGGAAATAATCAGACGTCCAATGGTGGACAGCAAAGGCAGAGCTGTGTCTTGGACCTTCAATGAGGTAAGTCATGACTGTGAAGAAATAAACACTGAATAAGCCACACTCAGAGATAAATGCTAACAAGAAGACTATTTCTCCTCTTACTAGGAGAACATTATCAGAGAGTTTAATCTCAATGAGATCTTCCAAAAGGCCAAGAAGTTCAACAAAGGCCGGGGGTCGAAAGAAGAAGGCCAGAACAGCGTTCAGCCAGAGGAGGGCAGCAGCGAGCTTCATAATGGAACTGACAACCTGGAGCAGCTTACAGAGAGCAAAAAAGACCAGTGAGATGAAAACGACTGTTCAAAGAGGGACTGCTTGAAGTGTTTGCTCTGCTATTGACATTTCCATGCCTCACATTACAGTAAAAGTTATTGAGGATTGAGAGATGACAGCAGGTTCAACTACTTCTACGTGATCGCTCAACACTAAGTCAATGCCTAAATATGTCAAATGCCTTCAACAGCTCAGTCATCTGTGCGTGCTCTGCCAAAGTATACAGTCTTCAACTCAGCTTCACATGGTATGCAATGATTATTTGAAAACATCTTCATACAAAGTCTAAGCTATTCGAAACCAAATGCCTTTTTGTATTGACTTTTTTTTAGCTGTGTTCTGCTGCCAGTGTTTATGATTTTTCAAACCAAAGGGAAAAGGTGATTGTGAAATAAAGAAGTATACAGACACTTTTGTTGTTTTTAAATCAGTTTGACCTTTTTATTCTGAGAAGAAATCTTTTTAAAAATTCTTTATAAGGCCATTTTGGAAATGTCTTTAATGTACTCATTACAGATATTTGTGAAACTCGTTCCATTCATCACAGCCCACAATAGCAATATTTTATCTCACACAGAAGTTTACCTACTATACTCAAAAGATCAGATTGTTCAGCGGCCACCATGATTGGCCAGAGCAGGAAGAAAAGTAACACAGGTTCTTTATCTCCATTCAAAAGCTGCTTGTGCCATGAATCTTCTTATCTTGTTGCCACCCACACATGAACTGGGTGGATGTCTGACAATATTCTCACAAGTAGCCAGTTCAGCATGACAAACAAAATCACATGCACACCAAAGACAAAGCCTGAAAGGGTTGAAATCTTATAACACAGTTGTTTGGGTTGAATGATACTCGTGTGCTTCAAGCGTGTACTTTCTCCCAAAGACGTGCTACATTCAGCCAGCCTTGACATACTACTGCGAACACCGCTGTGGGCTTTAATATTAAAAAAAGGAAAATAAATAAAGCTAGACTGTAATGCCCGGTCCTGAATGATGCATGTGCATACACACCTCTGTTTCTCTTCTTAGTACTGTCAAAGTGGCTTTTTTATGTACCTTTACAGAAGTTTCTCAAAAATGAGCAAGTCAATCGAGAAATGTTATCTTTTTTTTCCTTTGCGAATGTAAAAAATAAAAATCATTAAAAAAAATTAAAATGTGCTTGCTCTACTCAGAATGTATTCAAGGCAAAAGAAAAACAATCTCCATTGCAAACCAGTCCCCTTCAATAATCTATTCAGTGGCATTTCACACTTACATTTTCTTTTAAAGCATTAAAAAAATAGTCAAGTTCTCTTTTTTTCTTTCTTTCAAAAAAAAAAAAAATGGTAGAGACTGGTTTGAAATATTGTCCAAAACTAAGTTTTCTTGTCTTGTGAAATAAATAAGCCCTTCCCTCACTGCCCCTATTTGGCTGGCCATCTGTTCAAGGTACGAGGGTCTGCTAGCATCTAGACTGACTGACAGACGACTTTAAAGAAAAGGAGAAAAACCATAAAAACACCAACAAGACAAACAATGATCTTAAAGCTACAAATAGATTTTGCATAATGTCTCTAGCTTTAACATTACAAGCGTACATTCCACAAAGATGTTTGTGCTGAAAATCAGAAATTTCTTTGTGGCTTTCAACAAAGTTAAGCTCAATTATTTGCCACTTCAGCTGTCCACTAAAGGATCATCTTTCTCTTTGGACGATGTCAACTCCAGCAAGAGCTTATGAGTGGCTGATGCAGCCATTTAATATAAACAGGCAACTGATTTGAAATCGCTTTCATGAATAATTACACACAGTACATTTGCCACCCTCATCAATAGTCATCTTCAATACCTGACAATTTAACCCAATAATAATCTGAAAGATTTCATACATTTATATAAAACAATATCTTAAAAAAAGATTTATAAAACTAAAATGATACTGTGTTTATAGGTCGGACTCGTCTCTCAACGGTTATATCAATAAACAGGTCATGTGGTCCGTTCAGACAGTACAGAAGTAGACGTTTCTATTGGTCAACAGTCCTGAATCCACTCAAAAACTCTACACCCACTGGATAAAGGCCATCTTTTCCTTGAAGGTGTCAAACACAGAGGTCAACACTCTGTGAGCTATGTACCAAAGTAAAACAGCAACTCATCGGATAGCTATGGTGTTCAATTTGAAATATCCGTACCGTGGTGGTACAGTCACGTTAGTCTATGGCTCACCAAGTGGAAAAAATGGAGACACATTGATCCTTTGAAAAATAAACCGTAGTCCCGTTTTACTCTTTGTTCAAATCTGAAAGGCTTGCAGAGAAGAGAGGCCAGAGGCCAAAGCTAACAGAGTGAGTACCACACGGGCCTGCCTCTGGAGTCCAACAGGAAGAGTTGTTTCTCTGGGTCCTGCAGTCGTGAATAATATCCAGCTCGGGGAAGTGGAAGCAGTCCAGAGACTTTTTCTCCTCCGCCTCATGATAGACCTTGAAGGACATCTGTCACTCAAACCGATATCTCATAAGTGGTCCCTCCGACGCCTGTTACCTTCTTCACACCGCCCCCTGGTTTGGATGTGGTGTGATTGGCCAAGGCTGGGCGAGAGGTGGATCTGATTGGACAGTCATCAGGAAGGGTAGAGTGGGGATGGGGGGGATTCAGGATGAGGATAAAGAATAAATGGAAGTGGAGATGAGAAGTTCTACTTCAAAGACAATGAACAAGCAAAAACTGTAAAAATATTTCACTACCATGGATCTTGTAAGGCATTTGGTTACTAAGCTGAGTGAGTTGGAAGAGGGAAAAAAGGACAGATAAAAAGGGCAGCATTGTTAGACATGCTTTCATCAGACTAGTCGCACACTGGCATGCATAAACACTACACACACATTTTATCAATTACACCAACACAACTTTCACACACATCCAACTGTTACAAAATTAACAAGCAAGATTGTAAACTGTTCAAGAGGAAAAGGAAGACTCACACAGATCAGGGAGGAAGAGGAAGGCTGACACAAACCAGGGAGGAAGAAGAAGAGGATTATGAGGGAAAGGAGAAGGAAGAGTAGCAGGCTGATGGATCTGCAGAAGGATCACTACTCACTGTGGAGCCTGTTGCCCTCCCCCGGCTCCTCCCCCACTCAGCACAGTGCCTCCTCCCGTAGGCCGAGGCTTGTACTGAGGCCCTGCCTCCCCAATGTAAGACTGGGACTTCCCAAGGGAAAGCCCTCGGGGTGGCGGGGAGACAGGAGGCTCTAGTGAGCGAGCCCCAGGGGAAGAGGATGAGGAGGAAGGGTTACGGAAGGCTCGGGAAGAGGGGTCGTGGTTATGATGGAGCAGGTGCTGTATTTCAGGAGGCCCAGATGAGGAGAAAGGGGGAGGGCTAACGGCACGCAGGTAGGCCCTGTGGGGGGAGGAGAAAGTGGCAGAGCCCTGGAGAAGCTGCCCCTCCCTCTGCTGTGCAATCTGAGCTGAGAGGAAGGGCGACGTGTAGCCCTGCAGCGGGCTACCGGGTGACACCACCTCAGGCTGGCCTGTTAAAGTCGTTGAGGGAAACAGAGCTCGAGGCTTCTGTGGGGACAGCTCATGGGCAGCTGACTCAAACTCTGGGCTCTCGGAAGGCGTCAGCAGGCTGTCATAGGACAGGCTGCCGTTCCGAGGCGTCTGATTGGCCAGGCTTTTGTAGCTGGTGTCTGTGGTACCCTCTGATTGGAGCGTGGCCAGTGGGTTATGTGCCGTGTGCGCTGAGCGCAGACTGGAGGAGCGGGAGCCGCCAGTGGACAGAACCAGAGAGGATGGGTAGGAGGTGTAGGAGCGCCCAGTCAGGGAGTGACCAGACATGCCCCCTGACATCCCCACAGCAGTCCCGCCAGGGCCTCCGGGGCCCTCACCCCTCTCCCCTCCCCCTCTGCGCACCCCTACACCTCCCCCTACTACTGTGGCCCCGTCCAGGCTGCTCGGCTCTGAGCGGTAACTGGGCTGGCGGCTGGACTGAAGAATGGAGGGTGATGGAGAGTCCAGACTCTCCCCACGGATCATCTATGAAAAGGAGAGGAGGAGAGAGAGGAGGAGAGACAGATCAAAGGCAGAGAGTGGGAGGAACAGTGTGATGAAGATGGAGGTAGGAGTGAAGAAGAGGGAAGAAAGATGGAGACGCCATGTTACCTCAGGAAAGGATAACATAGAATCAAAACAAACTGTCTACAGATTGCACCAACAAAAAAATAATAAAGTGGTGGGGAAAATCAGATGCTTGACCGGTGCTCTACTCCATCATCACACTACTGGATTGGAAACATTGACTGGTTTAACAAGCACCGACACTGCATGTCAAAGACTGTGTGTATCAACACATATATGGAAGTACAAATACATACAGTACAGGAACTACACATTCCAGTCAATGGTCTCAGGGGGAAGGATAGATCCACTCAAACACACATAAGACAGTCAAAGGGAGACACACACACTTCCACTCACACACAGATGACACTAGCTGAGACTTACTGATCAACCGATGGCCACTGAATGATCAATTCAAAGTAAAAACAAAAAAACAGGGGCACTGTGTTAACCACAACAGAAATCAGGAGGGCCAGGGGATATTGTTTGCTTGTTTTCCTAGATTCTCAGAACAGAAATGTTTAAACATCCCTTTGTTTTACTAATATTAAAATATCCTTGAAATATGGCAATCAACAAGGTCGAGTGAATCTAAAAGAAGGTACATACAGATTTACTTGTGTATGAGTTGCTAGTAAGACAAAGACGGGGTAAACTTCAGTTTAAGAAGACTGCTTATTATTCATACAGTATCTACACGATAATATGAGTGTAGTTTAGAGCCAAGGGTAAATTGACATGTACCTTGTTTGGGTGTGAGAGGGCTGTGTGGTTCCTTCCTGGGCTACTGTAAGTAGGTCTGTATTTGTACATTGACGGTGTAGGTGGAGCTTCAGTCAGCAAACTGCTCTCTGGAAAGAGATATGAAGAAAATAAGTATTTCACAGGAGGATCAACTATTAAGTTTATAGTCATTAATAGTCTGTGGCTGTGTCCGAAATGGCATACTGCCTACTATCTACTTACCTACTCAAGCAGTAGCTACTGCCTACTGACTACTCAAAGATGATTTGAGTATGCCGCGGCTGCCCGAGCGTTTACACACATACATACTAAATACCCCAGAATGAATTTCGTGCCGGCCGGACGCAGCGCCGGGAAAATTTAAATAGTCCTACCACAAGCTACACAGAACGACTGCATTCTGGACAAATTATATAAATTCATTCAATAATAATATTTTTTCTAGCGAGAAAGTAAGTGTTTACATCACGATTATGAGCCCAGTCGTTTGAAATAGTTGCTGTTTGTAAATTTGTCTCTGCGTTTTCGGAGACCGAAGCGTCCGCTTGGTGGGTGTTTGCGTCTATTTACCGTAAACACCGGGCAGCAGCAGCTCCCCCTTTACGTTTCCAAATTATTGCGAAGTGTTTTCATAATCAACATCTACACGACACAAACCGGGCGGCAGTGGATGAAAAAAATCACACAAACATCTGTGTATCCATGGTGATAATGCTATACACCACCTGCTGGTTGTGTGATGAGCAGCAGAGGGCTGCAAAATGACCAACACACAACATAATTATTACGACCTTGTTCGGTTATTCCTTGGCAAATACATCATTTCCCGACTACATTCTTTCATGTACAATGATAATTTCAGAAACCATCAGATTTTCAACCACAAGTAAGAATTAGTAAAGCTCACATAGATTGTCAACTGGAAATTCCCCCGTTTGTATATTCTGAACCATGTGCTCTCTACCAATAATAATAATTATTAATCAGAGGTCTGTGCTTAATATGAGCGACCACTTTGATGATGCATTCAGAGATGAGAAGATGCTCAAACTTGATGTAATAAATACATCTTTAATAGACACTGAAATAAATAAAGTCAATTCATACGAATAGTTAAAAACATTACTTATAATCCTAATTTAAAATACAAATAAATCTGGTAAAAAGATCAAAATATGATAAAATGATAAAAATTGTGTAATGTATACTGACTAAATATTGTTTATCTATTTATATATATATAATTATTATTGCAATCACATGCCATCTATTTCTTTTCAGTCTCGGGAAAGAGGGCCATATTACCAGCTGAGGTGCGCAATGCATTGTGGGGCAGAAGCAGTACGTGAAGCAAGCTCCGTTGCACACTCAAAATCGAAGCCGATTGAGTATACATCCGGGCATTTCTCACATACACAAAATTCGCATACTGTACAGTGTGAACGCACTGTCCACTCAATTCAGAGGCGGGGTTCGTAGGAGTAGTAGGAGTAGTAGGCCATTTCGGACACAGCCTGTACCTATGTGTGTGTGTCTCACCTTCTGTGTCAGCACGAGGCAGGCCAGGATACCGAAGCTCTGGCTTTGGAGGAGGTGGAGGCTCTGCATCTGCTGACTGGCTCTCCATCTGATCTAGACTGCTCTTGGACTGGAAAAGACACAGAGTCAAAGAGCGTCAGGACATGTTGATGTTGAGGGGAAAGAAGTGGAGCAAAAACAGAGTCGAGATGAATGTAGAGTCGCACGGCACACAGACTGCAACACCATTACAGCATAACACTGTCTGACATTTTTAAAGATGTGGTACAAGTAGTTGCTTTGTAACCTGAGCGAGCATGAGTGGACGTTAGAGACAAACACATGAAGCAAACTGCTCTTCATCTCAAGATATAGGAATCACTACAAGCACAGGCAGAAGTTTTCTGCATTGTGAAAATGACTATTTCATTCCACAGAAACATCCAAAAGTGAGATTCAGGCCAAATATCTCTCAGCAACACGAAAAAGCATGAGACCATTTGTGGTAAATTCTGTTTTTGTTGTGTGGTTGTTGGAATCGGTATGACTCACCCTGGTGCTGTGTCTATCATTCTGGATGCCATTGTCTAAGACCTTCGCCTCCAGCTGCGCCTCAGTGAGAGGCGGTCGAAGAAACGGTGGCTGTACTTCTACTGCCTGAGGGCTCCTCCATCGACCCATGTATCTGTGAGGGGGACATGCACACAAAATTCAATTCACTTTAAACGATACAAACACAGAAGAGAGCCTCACATGACATACGCCTCATGCTGAAAGACTGTACTCAAGTATTTTGTTGACTTGACAGACAAATGTGAACAACAAAAGAGAAAAAGCTGAAAGGTGGAAAGGGAAGGAGAGCCACAGCACCATTTTTAGCAGTGTTCATGAGAGTAGAGTCAAAAGATGTGAACAAATGAGAAGATGGGAGGCTGACCTGGGGGCCTGGGAACTGCACAGCACATGTGAAATGTTCCTCCAGCAGCCATTGGTGAAAGGGTTAACGCCACCCCGAAACTTCCCTGTCACCTGCAGTGAGGGGGAGGCAGAAAAAAAGGGTTATAGCTCACATGGAAACAGAAAATCTTGATCTGAGTATCAGAACAGAAAAAAATCTGATGCAGACAATTGGCTCTGTACCTGTTCATTTGTGGTCCTACCACGGGCCACTAACACTATGTGAAACCCAGTCAGGCCAGCAACTGGGACAAAAAATAGACCAGCCACACACATGACGGCCATACTGGGGAGAGAGTCAAGGAGGTAAACACGAAAAGCAGGAGAAATACCAGGATACAACTCATAAGGAAAAAAAGTCAAATGGGGAAATAACATCCTGCATATTTACGGCTACACCAAACCAGTTCAAGGATACGTTACAGCAGCATGTGGTGTGTCCAGCTGTTGGCGGTGGTGCAGGACATAAACAAGGCCAAAGCCGAATACGTTCATGATGTGGGTGGTCAGTGAGAGCAGGAAGAGGAAAAAATAGCGATAATTCCTCCGACCAATGCAGTTGTTCACCCATGGACAGTGATGGTCAAAATCCTGTAGGGCACAAGGTCAAACACCAACAAGATGCAAAACAGTGATGAATTAATTCTGCTTTAACAAGGAAACAGTCCATGATAACCCAGAGCATGTGTGTGCACTGTGTTCCAGTTTTGCTGAGTTTGAGGGTACATGTCCAGGGGAAGCATGGTTGAAGCAACAGCTCTGCTTTGCCTCTCTGATGTTAGGGTTAGGGTTTACAACTCATTTGGATATTATTCTAAACCATATATTTTCATTCTACCATCAATGGCGATCTATGTTATCATTAAGTTTTATCGTGTTTAGTCTTCATAAATATGTTCCACTTTACTGTGCAGTTATTTACAGACAAAGTTAGCCAGCCAAAAGTCCTGTTGTGGTCCACATGCATCATGGATGACAGAAAGATTGTTTGTGTTAACAATAAATCCATCATCAATAAGTGTTTCTTAATACAAAGATACATCCTTCATACATGATCAGGAGTGTGCATATTGTGTTTTATTGTGGAATTTAGCAAATAGTATATTCTGTCCCTGTGTTTGACATCCTGTCTGGGTCAATAATCTCTGATCAGCTTGACATGTGGCAGGCACGGACTCTGCTGAAAATAGACTGGGCGTGTATCTTCGGCAGAGCAGAGTGGAGAGATGCTTTTTGGAACATGCTGAGGCGCTCCCTGTGCAAATAAGAGCATCAACTAGAACAGGCACGCATTAGCTGCAGAGAGCATGGTATTGGCGGAACACTACGCACACACATCCTGTAGGTTTTAAGGATAATCATTTTGGTCAGATCTGGGTTTAACAGTCAAATCTGATAGGAGATTACAGACATTTGTTATGAAATAAGTATGATTAGAGAAACCAAGGGGCACAAACTGTCATTACAGTTTTAGACTTAGAGCTGCTGGGGATTAATGCCTCAACTTTCAAACACAAGTTTTACCCAAGAGTTAAGGGTTTTTATAACAGTTCCACAAGCTTTCAATGAATAATAGTGAAATAAAGGAGTAATAACAACAATAAAAATTAAAAGGAAAAAAACAGTCATGAAATTAACACACTCAGCCTCCCAACCAAAGCACCATATAAAAGTGCTCATATGAAAAAAGAAATAAAAGAACTAGAGCATGAACAGCCCAATAAATTTACCTCCACACAGTTGTCGCACACAGAACAGTGTGAGCAGCGCGGTGGGCGGTAGAAGCGGCAGGTTGAACACCACTTCATGCGCACCTGGATGCCTTTGATCTCCACTGTCTTATAGAGGGGAGCGCGGAAATCATCCTCTTTATCCTCATCCTCCTCCGCTGAAGACGACAGACACACAGACTGAGATCACAAAAAGTTCACAACTCTGGCTCATATGCTCTACCTGCATTGCGATATCACACAGCAAATGATTGGAGAAGATACTTATCAGTTCACTATATTACAGGATAACTTTCTGAAGCAAATACTTGCACACAAGCCCTGCCAGTGTATGTTTACCTCTGGGAAAGACTCCAGGGTCCATAAAGGTGGCCATGCAGAAGTTGGCAAGGGTGAAGAGGAAGATCACAGCAATGTAAATGGGTATGACAGAGGAGAAATACACTGACAGCCATGGGCACCTGGACAAACAGAAAAGAGGTGGACACTAAGTGAAGATTTAACAACAAAGTCTTTTAAGTCAGACATAATCTAATTGCTGCTTTTTAGGACACAAAAAACAGGGTGTAAATGTTACAGGATTGCTATTTCCTGCACTTGTTGGCAAAGCAGAGAAAGAAAAATGAAACTAGTTCAGTTTTAAACATAACCAGTGGCTGCTGATATAATTTATCCCATAACAGCTTTGTTTAAACTGTTCGGCTCACATGTGACCATAAGGACATGTGAGATCTTAAGTGTCGCCTCAAGAGTGGCCAAGTTTGCTCTGTAAACTTTGTCAATTGTATGCAGTGACATAATAGTGTACAGACATGTAGGCCCTAAGGTCATGTGTCGATTTTTTTTTAAACAAGAAAATGTTACTCACGTAAAGCAGAAAAAAAGGGTCGTCGCTCCGACCAGGAAGGTGGTGGCTGCAGACACGGGGACATATCGGCTAGGTCGAAATGGACGGGGAGGAGCAGAAGCAGGGCCACCCACTCCTCCCCCAACCCCCCCACCACTAAAGCCCGGCATCAGAGAAAGAGAGAGGGGGGAGGAAGAAAGAGAGACAGAGAGACAGAGAGGTAGATATCTACTGTCTACCTGGTGTTATGAGTGCTCTACAGGTCAAAACTGTGAGTAAGTTGGTTGTTATGAGGGGCCATAACTGCAGACTGGAAAAGAAAACCAACACTATGCAAAGCAGCAACTCAGCAGAAACATGAGGGATTCTCTGTGCACAGTCACTGAATGTCTCACAGCACTTCTGAAATCACTCAAAATCAGATCTAATTTTACAATCTGCAGCTCTTCTTGCATGAGTACTGTTTGTAAATACTCAGTTCATGTGCATATTCATAAGAGAGGCTTACAAAAGCAAAACTATACAAAAGCAATGTGATACAAAAATATGTGTAGGTAATTCATAAATATTCTTTATGGCTTATTGTAACCGTGTTTGGTGCAAGAATATAAATAAAACGTATCTTTAACTGCTTGCTGGCAGCAGTGCAACCGTTGCACAGCTGTGCATGTAGACTACAGCACAGACACTTGCACACCTGGCTAGAACTGGAACAATTTGGGTTTGTTCCCACTCATTAAACTGAAGTGTTAGCAGAAATGATCATTCCTGTGCTTGACTTCTGATTTTACCCCTCAGAGAAAGTTAATATGAAAAGAAAAGACAGGAAAAATAAAGAGGTAGTGGGTGGGAAGCCAGCAGGCCCACAGCAGAAGCACATAGAGGAGAACAGGCAGAGGATTGAACGTAGCAGCTGCTGATGACTTCTGTGATTGTCCCGAGAGGGCTTATTTAGGCACTAGGTGGGTGGAAGAAACTGAGGATGGTGGCAGGAGGGACAGCTCCAGCGTTTTAAACAACATCAGCAAGAGAACAACAACTGAACCAACAAACACCACTTTTGCACCAGTGGTGTGTAGCCGCTTAATGTCAAACAAAACAAAGTCCAGCTGGATTTTCTTTTTAAAAAAAAAATCTGCTTAAAAAAATTTATTTAAAATGATTTCAAGCCTTGCCTTTTCAAGTAGCTCAAAAAGCAAAGCAGTCCTCTGGATCTTTTGAGACCCCTCCCCTCAGTCCTTAGGAGGATAAAATCAACTCATTCCAAACATGAGCCCTGTGTATGACATCGAGGTGTCACCAAGGTAGGCCAGGTCTGGGTGAAGAGACCTATCCCACCTCCGAATTCTTTGCAGATAGACCTCATTTCCCATTTTGCACGTCCTGAGTAAAGCCATGTACAGCTGCAGTGCTATGTTGTCAGATGCATTCTGATCCTTTTATTCGGTTCGTCTCCTGGTCCTCTGTTACCCACTGGTTCTGTGGGTAAGCTCTTGGATGCCACCTTTGGAAATCAGTGTTACTGAGCGGGACTTAACCTGCGGAGACAAACACAACACATGTTGCATACAGTTACAATGGATTAAAGAATCTGGTTGGGTTTCTTTTTGTAAAATTTTCACTTCATTACTCAAAACAATTGATCTGGAATGTAATCTACAGATGCAATTAATATTGTGACGTGATTAATTTTAGCTCTGCATGTACCAAATAAAGCTGCACAAATTCTTTTTCAGAACAATTGTAATATGAACATGAGTGACAAACACACTGCACTGAATAACATTTACAAAAAAAAGAGGTTTCATGTGTATGTCCCCTGTCCTGAATGTTTTCTGGATTCCTTGAATTTTTGACAGGATCTCCAACAATGGGCTACAACACTGGTTTTAAAAAATATGCTAAACAGCTAAAACACAAAAGAACCTCATGAGATATCACAGCAGCAAATATGTAAACATCAATGCTTATTTCTTGCACGTCATACAAACATTGCAATCCTGGACAATGATACTGCACACTTTACATACTCCTCATATTATTGCAGGCATAACAACAGGTGGAAAACACATTACCAAAGAAATAATAGCTTGTGTGTTAAAGCTTTTGTCTACCATTTGGAAGCTTGGTACTTATTAATAACACAGTTTATAAGGCCGTTATGGTCCTATGGTCCGATCTACGCAATATAAAGATTAAAAAGAACGAAAAAAATCCATTCAGTATATCCGCTGCAAAAAGGCATAATAATCGACCAATCCGAACCGCGGTAACCCCGAAGGTTCGGAGTGGTCTGTGAGTCCATTCAATTCCCTGTCTCCCCTGCTCCGCACCATCCCGCCCATGATCCCACCTCCTCCCCACTACCCCCCTTATGTACATGTGATTAGCGAGCTGCACAGCTACTGAAGCATAATGGAGCCGGAAGGAAACATAAAAGTTTCGAGGTAAAGGCTGAAGTAAGGAAGAAATATGAGCGATACAGGTGCCAACGGAGAGTCTACATTGGAGAAACATACGACCGGTGGAAAAAGCTGCAGAAGGATTTGGGATTGAAAACTGACGCTGAGACAGCCGGATTTCTGTTGAACAGGTTAATTACTTTGTTTACTTCAGTGGGAGATGTCTGCTGAATAACTCTGGTTAGTCTGTGCCTACACCGGCTAATGACTGAATGTTGTTGGTCAGAACGGGTAGGCTCTGTCAATAGATTTTAGCAAAAGTTAGCCACGCATCGCATCATCTTCGCCCCGCTAGTATATGGTTTTGATTGCGCTGTGAATCTGTGAATCCGACCCAGACATCCTGAGTTGTTTTCAAAGCTAGCTTTGCAGATGATATTTTCTGCCGGCCGGCTTCTTGCTCTATCGGAGGGGGCGTGTTGTTTGGAGGCGACACAAGATAGGGGGGCGGGATCTTAGAACACAACACGGAGGGGAGGGGTGAGTGAAGGGGGGGCAGGCTGCGTTTTTCAAATCTGTCTCAACAGCCAAACTGGTTTTCAGATCGTAGACAGTAGCTTTAAGTGTTTTTTAAACTGAAACATTTTTGCACTTGTTAGATTATACTCAACTCAACTTTATTCATAGAGCACTTTAAATATGACCAAAGCTGACACAAAGTGCTGTACATAATGACATAAAACAACAATAAATCATTTAAAAAAAAAGCAATAAAACAAATGCCGTCTCATGCTGGGTCAAAAGCCAAGGAATAAAAGTGGGTTTTTAGACGGGCTTTAAAAATGGACAGTTATAGTAGATTCGTATCGGAAAAAGAGGTGTTTCCTTCAGATTTCTTCAGAATGATGACTAACTAAACTATTACTGTCCCTTAAACACAAGTAGTGAGTACTTCTGAATTTCCAGTATTAGTCACAGAAAGGGTTGCTCAACAACTTGTTGTTAAACAGAGAGCTGCCACCTCTATGCCCTCAGGTGGTCAAATTAAACACCGCCCAATACTGGAAATGCAACAGCATGAAGACAATGATCTGATCTGAACATCAGGGTGGGCGCGCGCGCACACACACACACACACACACACACACACACACACACACACACACACACACACACACACACACTTAACATATAGATACTCTTCATCTCCAGATTAAGAAAACTCGTCCGTGCGGTGTGATCGCACTGGAAACGGATCCAGTGTAATCTGATAGTTTGGACACACCCCTCCTCTCAACAATCATGATTACTAACTAATATAACCTCTGTGCAAAGTAGAGTGTCTGTTAGTAATCATCTCATCTGCTCCACAACAAATCCCCCCCTGACTATAATGGCTGTTAATCCTAAAATCTCCGAGTCCAGCCCTGTCCTGTCCTCTCATGTCACCGTAACAATCTTCAGTCAGCAGGCAAATCTTGGAGCGACTGATCGAGCAAATTCAACCAATCTAGCAACAGTGACACAATGACAGACCCTGAGTGAATTCTTAGTCGATCATACGCTATTCCGTCTGATATCACATCATCTTTGGATCATATGGTTAAAAGGAGAGACGTCAAACAGCAGGCCAGGGCAGAGCTGGGCTTCAGTTCACACAACTAAACGCTGTTTGCTCACACAACAATCATCCTCATTAACAGGCTAATTTCTGCCCTACTCCAGATAATAGACGCTGCCAAGTTCAGGCTCGGTGTAATAAATGTGAATAAAATAAAACACAACAACGCAAACCGTACTTGGTGATCAGTTAGCTCTTACCTAGCCACCAAAGTTTTTTGCGACACCGCTCAGTCCTTTACCACAGCTAACAGAGTAAGCTAACGCTAAGATTTTTACATTCGCACAGTAACTTCCATTAACACTATTTTTGCTCGGTCCCGTTTATTTATTATCAAGAGGAGCAAGTAGGGCGAGTGGGACATACCTAAAACCGCACATGTGAGCTGTCTTGTCCTTTGGGTGTTGGTCGTTTACGGTCCTCCTTGAGTTAGCCACTAGCAAACTTGTTAGCTCGACTGCTAGGCCGACACCGGAATCCAGGAACTAGTCCGACGTCCCTCAGGTGGGGTAGGACAGCCAATCAGAGCTCGAGTGAGAGGGAGAAAGGGAAGAGGGGGCGTGGCTTCAAGGAAGCCCAAACACTCAATTCAACCAGACTGATTTCTTAAGCAGAAGAATAGTTGTTGTTCCTTCATTCAATTCTGTGACTGATTAAAGTCAAAAGACCAGATCATAAATTAGTTGTCAAAAACTTTCACAGCAGCTCTTCCTCTGGTAATATTTTCTTTGGCTGGTATCTATGCAACACTGGAGTGAACATTTCTGAAATACCCCTGCATGCCTCTACTGGTGAGATTGTCCCTTTGGTGTGTATTCACCTCATTGTCTACAGCTTATTGTAAATTTTGGGGATGTCCTGCCCTTGACGGTCTTCTTGGTTATTTAAATTTCTTCTTCTTAACAGACCTATGGCACTTCTAAATATGTGTGTTTTGGTTTCTAGATCGCAAAACTGAAATCTCCAGTATGTGGAGTTAATTGGTGATGACTTGTTCGGAGAAGAAACTTTTCTAAGATATGGGATTTGAAGACAACGTCTTTGGGAGGTTTTCACTGCAGATGGTCAGATCAAATTGCCAACAACAGATCCACCTACAAGAAGCCACATCCTACACTTTTACTGAGCATTAAAATTCAAGTGAACAGAAATTAAACAAAACTATGACACAGTAAGTGTTCCTTTTTTAGGTTTTACTTTAATTTGAAATGTGTAAAATTATGATCATGATATATTCACATTTTTACCTTCACATTTTAAGTAACCGAATAACCCAGCCTTAACATTATTTGATGAGTTTTTATGTGAGCTGGCAGGTGTTTACAGATCACACATCAACTGAGTTTACATTGTCATGGCCCTAAGCAGTCACTGAAATAGTGGTACTCTGTGTCCGTAAGGAAATGGCCGGCAGGTTTAGCATCCTTTGTCCCAAATATATCCCATCCATCCATTTTCTACCGTTTATCCTGTTAGTGGGTCATGGAGGGGCTGGAGCCTATCCCAGCATCTTGGGGCAAAGGCAGGGCACACCCTGGACAAGTTGCCAGTTCATCGCAGGGCTGATATATAGAGACGAATTCACGCCTACAGGCAGTTTGAGAGTGACCAATTCACCTAACCCCACTTCTGCATGTTTTTGGGATGTGGGAGGAAACCAGAGTACCCATAGTAAATCCACACAGACACAGGGAGAACATGCAAATTCCACACAGAAACGCCCTGACCCAGACTCAAACCCAGGACCATCTTGCTGTGAGGCAACAGTGCTAACCACTACACCACTGTGCCGCCCACCAAACATATCCCCTCAGATGTAAAACGACTAGAAGAATACAAAATGTTATACATATCTCTCATTTTGAAGGCTTCTGTAAACAATTACAGACTATATAAAGCCATGAGATTTATCTAGTTTTCTCTGGCTTTTTTTTAATACGAAAACTATTGTGTTTTCATGACCATTCCATAAGGAGTAAACATCTTCAGATTAATAAGTAATATTCTCAAGTGCATGGTCAAAATAATAAAATATACCAATCTTTAAATTTCAATCAATACAATTAACACAAAGCAAGGATTTCTTTTAATTAAAACATTTATTATGAGAAAAAGGTGTTAAAACAGTTATCAAGAATACAATTCTAAACCAAACTGCCCAAATATCTGTACAATGGGTTGACATCAAAAGAGCTGTCATGAATATTTTTGTCTTTGTTTTTAAAATGCACAAAAAAAATGTGGGAAACAAAATCTAGCTCACATTGAAAAAATACTTTGAAACAAAAGTCTGGGTTAATTTGACCCGTTTCTTTTATGTCCGAGTCCTTACTCCTGAAGTCGAACCTTATTTCATGTCCATGAAGCGTATGTCCATTATCAGCAGAGTGTGTCTGGGCAGTGGTCTTGGTGCTGGGGACAAAACTTTCATCACCTGGAGTTGTGTGTCTACATAGGTCACTACAATGAAGCCACAAACAGGACTCTCCACAATACCCTTTCTGGAACCCTCCTCTCCATCCTCTGCACTACTCACACTCAGTACATGATATGTGAGGTCTCTTCCTGGTGTCACAGGAACTAGCTTCAGCTGTGTGTCATCCTGAGACATTCCCAGAGGCAGGCATGAGTCTGGGATGGATGGTGCCCCGATCTTGTAGATGCGTACATCTGAGAAACGCACTTCAAATGAGAAAGGGTAAAAAGACACACCACGGAAACCATAGAAGTATTCACGGATCTTCTCATCCCGAGTATCCCGTCTGCACTCTTTGGAGCGCTCCACTACACCTCCAGATTTTGGTAGGAGGACCACTCGCACAAAGTGAGGGAGGTCTCGTTTGAGTTCATTGTAGAGCCTCTCGTGATCCAACACCAGCACCACGTCCACCTCAAAGGCAGAGGCACAGTGGACCAGAGCCTGGTATCCAGAGCCCTTTACCCAGCCGCAGGTGTTGATGATACAACCTCCAACACTGGCCTTCCTGTTCACCTCACAGCGCTGAGAAAACACCTCCGCAAGGCATGAAGTCAGCTAAATTTCAGGAGAAGACAACGCAAAAAGATCAATGTCATAAACCTGAAGATAGACAGTGTGCTTTCAGCTTTTAACTGTTTGGCTTGAAACATTTACAATCTCTTCTTTCTTACCTTGTTGTAAAGTTTAATGTTGGTTCCTGGGGTAGTGGAGCCAAAATGGTAGACTAAAGGAGCCTGGACTGAGAAACCCTCCTCCACATCTGCTGGGCGCTCAATACACAGAGCTGATACTGTACCCGGAACTGAAACCTGAAGGGCAGAGTTACTTTACACTTAAACAGAGTTGATGACAGTTGACAATTTAATTGTGTCTGATTCTGAAACTGCCATGTAAGTATGTGTTGCTCCTAAATCTGACACAACTGTCTTGACCAAAAATTTGCAATTAAGCTTGTCTATTAAATAATTTATCTTTGCTTGAATTCAAGATAAATCTCAACAATACAATAATGGATACTAAAAATATAAACTTATTATTTCTAGCTGAAGCCATGATTATTATTACCTCAATTTAACTTACCCCACTCTGTCCAACATCCAGTTCAACTAGTGTTGGCCTCCGGCCTACCCGCACTGCATAGCTCAACAGCAGTCGGCACACTGTTGACTTCCCAACATCCGTGGGTCCAACCACCATCACCTGTGGGATTTCATAATTTGCTGTAAAAAGATATGCTAAACTATGACAAGCTTGTATTTAAGAACTTTCCAAAGGGTTCTTTCTTAAAACCTACCCTTGGCCCCCTCTCATTGTCTCGCTCTGCTTGCTTTCTCATTTGCTCCAAGGCGGCGTGCGTGTTCAGGTAAAGCAGCATAGGAGTATCTTTAGACACATAAGCTACCTGTGGCATGAAGGGAGAGATAGTAGTTATTAGACCATGCCATTTGTCAAATTACAAACACAAAAGCCATATGCAGTTGTATGTGGCACCACATCCCACTATTGATATTAAAGGGATATTCCGGCATAAAATTAATCTAGAGTCAAACACATCGTAACACTGAGTTAGACCCCCCCTCGAGAGATGAATGTTGCCAACCACTTGCCTCTCTAGTTATGCCAACTTTAGTGACGACCGCAGGATAGCAATACACAGCAGTCTGAGGAGCCACACACAAACCTCAACCAAATCGCCACTCTATATCCACAGATAAAGCTCAGAACAACACCTAACCTTATCAGCAGTACACATAAGGTCCTAGCCACCAAACATCTTTTAAACTTTGTCAATTTCTTTAGCAAAGAGAATAAACACAACTCACCTACTCTCTTCCAGCAGCCGCTTGTTTGAAGTGAGACCTCTGGCCAGTCCATTACTGACTGCAGCAGGCCCAAGAAATCGGGCAAAGTTAAAAAGATGTTTGGTGGCTAGTCCTATGTACTGTTGATGAAGTTAGGTGCTGTTCTGAGCATTATTTGTGGCTATAGAGTGGCCTTTTGGTTGAGGTTTGTGTGTGGCTCCTCAGACCGCTGTGTATCGCTATCCTGCGTTTGTTACTAAAGTTGGTATAACTAGAGAAGCAAGCGATCAGCAACATTCATCTCTCAAAGGGGCGTCTAACTCGGTGTGTTTGACCCTAAATTAATTTTACGCCGGAATATCACTTTAATCATCAAATAAGCATTTATAAAACACAGAAACTTAACATCATCTACACACACTCAGTCCTCACCTCCGGCTTTCCATACAGATTAACACTACACCCCTGCCAGGTAAACACAGCGATCTTGGCGCCTGGTCCAAATGTGTACTTCTTGTTGCGGTTCAGTTCTGAGCCAAACACCTCAGCCATTCCTGTGAGGAGCTCCATCTCCACTTGCTCTGCTGCCTCCCCTGCCTCCACCTCAAACCGGAGCTCAGTCTCCTTCTCCAGGTCGAACCTGGTGCTGGCTTTCCCACTTGCTGGAGCATCTTCACTTATCTTTTCCACTCCCTCTGTTGCCATGACTCTGACAAGACAGAGTTATTACCTCAGAGTATAGGCACACTGTGAAAAAAATACATCAAGGGCAAAACCATAAAGTCTCTAAATACGCAACATCTCATTTTTTTGACACTTTGACCAATCAACGAAGTCATTTGAATACAGAGAGCAGCTAACAAACCGCAGCTAATTCACTTAAATTTAAAGATAAAGAGGCAATCAAAGCTTGAAAATCTAACAAAACTGTCATTAATACTGTGAGAGACGCCTGTGTTTTTATAACTTGTGTGTAATGTACTTACAGAGTCAATACAGGGTCAATAGTTGGATAAATCAAAATCCCCGAACTGAACAAACCGCTTGCGTGGTCGCGGATCGATGACGTCACTAGCGTCACTAACCAACCACCATCAGCGTCCATCCCTGCTGACGTCAAACAAAGTTTTGTTCGACCGAAAACGTCCCATCAGACTATTTGTGAATAAGATTTGATGTTAAAGTAGTTTATTAGAAGACCCACTTTAACAGCATTTAAATGTATTATGAACAAAAAAAATATTCAATTTATTGTCATGTGGTTACTTTTTACTTGGGGCAATGAATGACAGAGGTTAACAACAAATGAACCTGCACATACAGATGAAAATAAACCCGTTATAACTAATGGATGTATTAGAAGTCTCCAAGTTTGAATATGTTTATTGAGGCTAAAACCAGTTGCCTGTACAAACTTAGTTGCAATAGATTTACTAAAAGCAGGGGAAATTTTCAATGGAACATTAGGGGAGAGTGGGGTAAGTTAAGCCACCCCCTGTTGCTTGGAAATGGTAAAAGAAATTGATCATGTGACCAAATATTTCAAGAGTACCCAGATGCAGCGCCAAGATGGCGGACCCAAAGATAGAAAACCACATTTACAAAACGCAATAAGTTTCCGCATTACCTCCGATTGGCGGACCCAAAACATGAACTTTGAACTTCTGCTTTGCGATGCCAGAACAGTAGGTGGCGGTATGTACCTACACTTTCTGACGGCAAAATTTACAGAAGAAGAAGAACTCTCAGGAAGTTTGAAAAGAAGCAAGCCGTCCGCATTCATTCAATCTCACCTCCGACCACTCAAACTAACCCTAACCCTGCATTCCATTGTTTCCATCATGGGAAATCTAAGTGACGCTCTCAAATTAACAGGAACATTGCGCAGAAGATATGTCCTGGGCAATGGACTGAGAAAACGGGCAGAGATTTGGAGGTATTTGTGCATGCTCTATATTACAGTTGAAAAGTGTATAACAGCTTTCCAATGCTGTTACTTGTGGCGAACACCTTTTTGCTTGAGTTGATGCGTGCCCGCAGGTGGAATAATGTCACATGTCACACACATTTTCTGTTGTTTTGATTTATTTACTCATTCATCATTTTATGTGCGCACCTCTCCTAATCAACCCACCCATTAAATAGACAGGCACAATAGCACCATCTGCTGGCACAAAAAATACATAACAATAAACTGCAAAACCCCAATCTGGCTCCTACAAAGTGTATGTGACAAGATGATTAACGTTTGCTTTTGTTAAATCAGGGCTTCCCCAGCCAGGACTTCGGCTCAGACTGTGGCATATTCATGTTGATGGTAGGTCATAACGAGCTGTAATGCACAAATATTGTATCTAGAATAACTTTCCAACATGGACTTTTTTAAAGTTATCTCACATGTTGTCTCATAATTTTTTTTTTAAGTCTGCCATGTACATCGTTATGGAGTCACAGTTTGACTACTCAGTTGTAAGTACTTTTCAACACGCAGTGTCATCCTCAAGGTTGTATTTTGTATTGTGCACTAAAATGAAATACAAACAACAATTTCAGCATGACATGCCTGTTTGGCGGCGATGGTGGTGCCTGTTGCTCCTGGAGAACAATTCTTTGAACAGGTAGACAGTTTAAGTAAACTAGATGTCCTAATTAACTGGAAGACAATCAATATATTGTACTCAAAGACATATTGTCATTACAGTTGTGGGAAAATCTTCGCCCACTGGACCAAAGAATGTCAAGAGCTCATTGCTGGAAAGCATACTCCGGTCTTCAGTCTAAAGAGGAAGGCAGAGCAGCAGGACATAGAGGTTAGAAAATTGCCTTGTAAAAACAGTATTATCTCAGTGGGAGTCCTTCAAAATGCACACAGTTGTATGGATCAACATCGTCTCGATGTATTTGGTAATTGATGTTACTTTTCAAATTGCCTTGTCAAGGAAACCATGACGCAGACGGTATCGGATGTCCAAAGAATGTGCATGGCAGATTCAATGCAATTCTGTGTCTACCAGACATCGAACAACACAGGAGAGAGGTGTGTTGCAGACTCAATTTAATAAATGCAATTATCGGGGCCTATTCAGTGATTTTCCATGAAGTGACCACTTTTACATATAGTTTAAATGCACGAATCATGCAGGAAAATTATTTATACATTCAAATGTGCTGCAGAGGTATAATCAATTGGACAGCGTGTTTGTTTAATATTATGTTTGTCTCTCATTTGATCAGATTGCTTTACCCTGAGGTAAACGTCATAAAATGGGTCCAGTGCAAGACGTGCAGGGGCTGGCTGCATCAGGATTGTGCTGGGATTGAAATGGAGCCGTTTGACTGCGGGTGCGAGGACTCCATTGAGCATCCTCGGTATAACATAATTTATCAAGGAAACATAGTATCAGTCAAAAATACGAGGCTCAAAGGATGAAAAAATGAGGGCTTGCTCTTTTCTTATTTCTCTGCAGGATCAAGGATGCTGTTGACAGTTGAGGAATTCATGCTGTCTTTTCTAAGACACAGATCAAGGTTGCTTTTGAATGCACTATCAGTTGTTAAAGCCACCGTTTCTTTTTCAGATGATTACATTTTTGTCTCTTGCTCTTTGGTTTCAGACATTACACGATGATCTACTGTCTGGAAAGATCCGCTCCAACAGAATGTTCCTTTGGAGGAATCCCGCCACCTCACTCCGACTAAAGCAGCATCTTAAGATAAGGACACTAAGTTGGAGTGAGCAGCGCGTAAGTAAAAATGCCATCCATCATGAGTATTTTTACTCTCAGGGGTGTTACATTTGAAAGGTGTTTACTTTCTGTGTTTTTCTTCAATAGATGTTCGAGCTCCTGCGGTTCATTGAGGTGGCAACAAACATTTCTAAAAAAATAAAGAGAGGCGAGATTTATCTGCTTGATTTCGTTTTTGACGTCATGCTCCCAGAGGTGAGTAGATCAAACTATATAGCTTGCTTTGAAAATTGATGATATTGTTAAGAGGTTGTTCTTATTCATTTGGAAAGCTCAAGAACAACAATTAACCCATACTGCATAACTTCAATTGTTCACATTATTTGACTGTTTTTCAGCTTTTGATCAAAGCACTGAAGGAGCATGGCATCAACCGGTTCAGAGCAGAGCTGATGATGGCCTGTGGCAACATGTTTTAAGCCCCCCACCACACCGACGGCAGTGCTGAATTTTGTATATATATATATTTTTTTACTGTTCACAATTTTGTTTGGAAAAAATTAAAGAAATCTTCAAAGCAGTTGTATGACAATTTCCCATTTCTTTACACAGTCTGTAATGATATCGCTATTCAATTGTTTTTGCTATATGGCTCTTCTGAACCTTAAAGAGATCATGTGACTTGTCTCTACAACTATTGTATACTTGGATTTTGCACAGTCAAGCAATCCTGAAGAGGTTCACCAGGAAGCACACCATTTCATAAATTATGTCCCTGGTTACACAATGTTACTAAAGGATGGGGGGAGTAAATTTGTGCAGCAACATAAGCACTCTCATAAAACATAATTATGAACAACAGAAAATATGTGAGGGTCAGGGCAACATTGTTGACATTAAACAAGGTCCTAATAGGAGTGGAGAAACAAGGTCACAGAGAAGTTAAGAAACATTGATGTGCTGTGTAATAAAGCTATTGGAGAGAAAAGTTAGAAAACACTGTTATATGATGTGTAACGAGAGGTTAAAACAGTCCATACTTGTAGCAAACTCTTACAAAAGAATTTGAGTAAGATGATAACTTCTACATACATTTACCTATTCTGACAAATTATCAGAATATGAGGACATCAGGCTATATATACATATTACTGTAAACTTCAGAATTAAATCAGAACAAAACAGTAGTCATAGTTAATACATAAACGTTTTATTTTGATTTTTAGCTCAATAATAAATTTAATTCGATTCTTATGGAATGAACGGAGCAAAAAAAAAAGGATCCGGCGACTAAATCCGACTACCTGAAGTATTTCGGCGCCGGAAGTCCGCCAACGAGAAAGCCTTTCCACCGGAAGTAATTGTTTTGGGTCCGCCAATCGGAGAAACTTATTGCGTTTTGTAAATGTGGTTTTCTATCTTTGGGTCCGCCATCTTGCGCTGCATCTGGTCACCTCTCAAATATTTAGGCGATGGGCATCAATTCATGGAGTCAGTGAAGGTTAGAAGCACACAAAAACATATTTCACTCTTAAAAGTGAATTTAGTCTGTCTTAAGTTTTATTAGAATTGTGTTCGGACAAAAAAAAGTTCATTTTAAATTTGTTTTTTACATCAATTTTGGGATCTATGAGCTACAACATGAGGTCAAAAACCTAACATAACAGCCCACCATTTCAGCTAAGAGGACTAATAAAGTCATAATAGTAGTTCTGGGGCAAGTTGAGCCAGTGACTAAACTGAGAAAGTAACTTGGTCAACTTACCCCACACACGGGGTAAGTTGACCATAAGAAACCACTTTTTTTGGCATGCTATATTACCAAGACAGTTATGTTTACACTTATTGTGTTGGTTTGAAGGCATGCACAACATCTTGAAATATACACTCACCGGCCACTTTATTAGGTACACCATGCTAGTAACGGGTTGGACCCCCTTTTGCCTTCAGAACTGCCTCAATTCTTCGTGGCATAGATTCAACAAGGTGCTGGAAGCATTCCTCAGAGAGCTTGGTCCATATTGACATGATGGCATCACACAGTTGCCGCAGATTTGTCGGCTGCACATCCATGATGCAAATCTCCCGTTCCACCACATCCCAAAGATGCTCTATTGGATTGAGATCTGGTGACTGTGGAGGCCATTTGAGTACAGTGAACTCATTGTCATGTTCAAGAAACCAGTCTGAGATGATTCCAGCTTTATGACATGGCGCATTATCCTGCTGAAAGTAGCCATCAGAAGTTGGGTACATTGTGGTCATAAAGGGATGGACATGGTCAGCAACAATACTCAGGTAGGCTGTGGCGTTGCAACGATGGTCAATTGGTACCAAGGGGCCCAAAGAGTGCCAAGAAAATATTCCCCACACCATGACACCACCACCACCAGCCTGAACCGTTGATACAAGGCAGGATGGATCCATGCTTTCATGTTGTTGACGCCAAATTCTGACCCTACCATCCGAATGTCGCAGCAGAAATCGAGACTCATCAGACCAGGCAACGTTTTTCCAATCTTCTATTGTCCAATTTCGATGAGCTTGTCCAAATTGTAGCCTCAGTTTCCTGTTCTTAGCTGAAAGGAGTGGCACCCGGTGTGGTCTTCTGCTGCTGTAGCCCATCTGCCTCAAAGTTCGACGTACTGTGCGTTCAGAGATGCTCTTCTGCCTACCTTGGTTGTAACGGGTGGTTATTTGAGTCACTGTTGCCTTTCTATCAGCTCGAACCAGTCTGGCCATTCTCCTCTGACCTCTGGCATCAACAAGGCATTTCCGCCCACAGAACTGCCGCTCACTGGATATTTTTTCTTTTTCGGACCATTCTCTGTAAACCCTAGAGATGGTTGTGCGTGAAAATCCCAGTAGATCAGCAGTTTCTGAAATACTCAGACCAGCCCTTCTGGCACCAACAACCATGCCACGTTCAAAGTCACTCAAATCACCTTTCTTCCCCATACTGATGCTCGGTTTGAACTGCAGGAGATTGTCTTGACCATGTCTACATGCCTAAATGCACTAAGTTGCCGCCATGTGATTGGCTGATTAGGAATTAAGTGTTAACGAGCAGTTGGACAGGTGTACCTAATAAAGTGGCCGGTGAGTGTATGTAGATACACTAGTTAGAGACAAAACTAGGATCGCCTTGATGTAATGATCCCAAATATGAAAAATGACTCATCTTACCCTACTCTCCCCTACAGATGAAAATAAATCAGTTATAGCTAATGGATGCATTTAAAGTCTCAAAGCTTAAATGTGGTTATCAAAGTTTTAACAAGTTGCCTGTACAAATTTAGTTGTAACAGATTAACTAAAAGCAGAGGAAATCTTCAATGGGACATTATACCATGCTTTACACATTGAGGATTAAATTTTGAAAATGAAAAAAAAAATGCTGCCCAACACACAAATCTCAAACTTTAACAGAGAATTGGAAATAATGAACTCTTTATTTAGAAAAAGACATAAAATCACAACAAACCATCAAGAGTAAAGGCATGCAACAGCAAGAAAAAAACAGCAGGAGCATGAGGTGTACTAGCTACAGGACAGTCCACAAGGTGTCGCTGTGTGACCAGAGGATGTGAGCTGATGGAGCTTCCATCATCAGAAAAGAGACTGAGAGCATCTCCTTGGTCCCTCCTCATCATTTTGCATCCATGGGCCACATCCCCTGAACATCCAGCTGCATTCAAGAAAAAAAATTTTTTTTAATTAACTTTTCTTCATTCCTCATTGACTCAGGTTAGAAAAGCCTTCATTTGGTATAAAACTCTGGGATCAGTTGACTTAGTTTAAGACTGACTTGAATAAATCTTTGCACAAATGCTAATTACTTTAGAAACTGGTCTCCCCAGAACTTGGCCTTCCCCTTGAAGAGTAAAAAAGATAAGAAAGGCTGTTGGCTTTTATGTAATGGTTGAAGGTTGACACTGCGTCAGAGCCCAAACTAACAAGCAGTTTCCCTCTCCCCTCAGCTGGTGACTCATAAGATGTGAAGACATGAGCTGAGTTTAGGTTATGACACATGGCTACAGGGGAGAGGAAGAGGAATATGTATGAGGAAAGCCAGACACATATAAAACACCATATAAAGTGGCTTTCAGGTGTTAATCCTTGCAGTGGCTTCAATCCTTGCATCTATCTTACATTAACAGTTTTAAATTAATAAACCTCACTTTTTCTTTTTTTTTTTTTTTTTTAAGTAGGGCCATAATTCTTGACACATATTATACAAACTTTTATCTGTATATCTTTACACTGTCTGGCAGTTCTGTGAGACAAACCTTCACTTGGCGTTTACTCAGCCTTCAGAGCTTCTAGTAGAGCAGCAACTACAACATCCGGTTGAGGAAACTTCAGCTTACGAGGCGGACCCTTCTTTATGCCAGTCCACAGTGATGTTTCTTAAGAGAAAAAACAAATGGTAAACATGTCATTGTAAGCACAACTGTCAAGTCCAGGAGAATTTTAGATTAATGGAAAACAGAAAAGACTGGGGATTATTATTATTAATGCCGCATCTTACGCTAGTAAACAAAGCCTCCTGTTGGATATCAAACCATGGTTTAGTAAGACAGATGACACATTCAGTCAGATTACAAGTTATAACAGATACGTCTTCATTTACTGACTTATGTAACAACACAGATAAAAAGCTTATTTAGAACCTTGTGAAAAAATTTGATTGGTAACTGGATTGGTATGTTTCCCTCTATGCATGAACAATATATCTTTTACAAAAACAGCAAGTGAAATCTTTTCAATTTTCCTCATTTGCCCTCCTCACCTTTGCCTCCATCCTGCAGAGAGATTTCAAAGCTGTTCCTGCGAGGTTTCTCTGGGTTGAGGACCACAATCAGTCCAGGCTGGGCAGCCAGGAGGGCAGATTTCACCTCCTCGGCATTACGCCCATACACTCGTCAGCTCTTACTGCCAAAATAACAAACCAGCCATGAGGTGAGCACTCAAACTTCTTATTTCTTATTGTGGTATATGGATGCATATGATTTAACTGCTATATAGACTTCTGAAAATGCCTTTAAGATACAGAGAGAAGTTTTTTTTTTTAAAGTATGAACTAGGGCTGGGACGATGCTTTTCTCCTGATTCGATTTTTCAGAGATTTTTTGGAGGCCAATTCGATTTAATTTGCAATGCTACAATATTGTCGATTTTCTACATTTTTAGTCTGCATTTTTAACGCCAGTGAAACAGTTGAACAATTATGATTGTCTACTGACTATGTAAGTCAGTTTTTTAAGATTTGTTCTTAAATTTGAGGGTAAAAAAAAAAACAAATTTTGAACATAAAAATTGATTTAAAAATTGTAAAACAAAAAAATCACGACGCTTATGTGAATAGATTTTTTCTCCCACCCCTAGTATGAACTCCCTCATTAGCATTAGCAGCAATAACAAAGAAAACTGTGATCAGCCGGCTGTTTTTTCAGTTTGTCTTGTTACCCATTTCCAATGATAAAGCAGAAACTGTAAATACAGATCAGAACTGAATTCAGTGTTTACGGACGAGAAGAAGATTCGTCATTTTAAAGTGAAAATTTATGAACAGTACACCTGACTGTTTTCTTCTCCAAGGCCCCATTTAATTATCCTGGTAGTATTAACAGCTGATGGACAATGCTGAAAAAGATTTCTCAAAAACTATATTTAAATAGTTGTGACGGCTGGGTCCTATCATGAATGTAAGGGAGAGTGCGGTAAGTTGAGCCACCCCCTGTTGCTTGGAAATGGTAAAAGAAATTGATCATGTGACCAAATATTTAGGAGATGGGCATCAATTCATGGAGTCTGTGGAGGTTAGAAGCACATGGGTAAATGGGTTCAATGTTAATTTAAAAAAAAAAAAAAACATTTTTCACTCTTGAAAGTTTTTTTCGAATTGTGTTTAGACCAAAAAAGATCTTTTAAAATTTGTTTTATACATCAATTGTGGTATCTATGAGCGACAACATGAGGTCAAAAACGTAACATAACAGCCCACCATTTTAGCTTAGAGGACTAATAATACTTAGAGGACTTACCCCGCTCCTATGGTCAACTTACCCCATACACCGGGACCATAGGAGACCACTTTTTTTGGCATGCTATATTATTAAGACAGTTATGTTTACACTCATTCTGTTGGTTTGCAGTGATGCACAACATCTTGAAATATGTGCAGATACACTAGTTAGAGACAAAACTATGATTGCCTTGTAGTGATCCGAAATATGAAAAATGGCTCATCTTACCCCACTCTCCCCTATCTGACTCTTTGAGACCTGAGGAGGATTTCATTTAACACAACTGTAAATACAGCAAAAAGGGTTTCAGCAAAAAGGATGAGTATCACTGGCTCTCGAACATGAAATAATAAGGCGTGCACCACTTTTCTCACCAGTGTTCAATGACCACCCTCGGACCCTCCTGGCCGTTCTCCTCATCTCCTCCATCCTCCTTTTCCTCCACAGGTGCCTCCTCTGCTTGTGGCTCCGCTTTGCGCTTTGTCCCCCGACGCCCTGAAAACACGTGGACTGGTTAAAGGTGTATTTCAATAACACAGAGCACGTGTGCAATAGTGATATAATAACATGACTGCCGACGCTAACACCAGACATGACAATTAGAGTTCATGTTATGTCGCTATAAAACACAATTTTTGCTCATGGTCGCAAAAAAGGTCGTCTTAAATTAATTCCTCGACGGTTCAATCTCTTGTTTTGCTTCAATGTCAGCCATCAAGCTAGCTGGCAAAGTAAACTCAGAGGAGGCCTGCAGCAAAGATACTGCTTTAACAGAAAGATGACAACAGCTGTGCAAGGACTATAACACACCAAAGGTATCGACAAAAACGAGACCGTACATTACATCTCTATGTTGCTGAATTTAGTGTGAGGTACTTAGTTTTCAAGTAGACACACATACCTGCAGCAGACGCCATTGTTGTTATAAAACTTTGGCGCGCTAGCGGACTGTACCAAGTTATAATGCCTAAAGGGTTTTCTACATCAACAGGAGAAACCATCATGGAGGGGACAAAATCATAAACTTTTCCTTAAATAAATGGCACTACAGCAGTGCACATGCTTTAGTTTTTAGTTTTTAATTAATTGCATTTCATTTTATTTTCTGTATGGGAGGTAGACAACAATGAATATAATTTCTTCATGGAAATGCAATCAGACCGAGATGCTAAGGCAGAAGAACTACTGCGTCTGCAGTGCAAAATGATTAATATGGTGATTATCACTATAACGAAATGATAAAGTAACGATCATAAATGTTCTTCCTGGCCCGAGGTCTCGCGACAAACAAGCAGCTGCTGGAAGAGAGTAAGTGAGTTGTGTTTAGCCTCTTTGCTAAGGAAACCGGGCAAAGCTAAAAATATGTTTGGTGGCTAGGGCTATGGCTAGGACCCTATATGTACTGTTGGTGAAGTTAGGTGCTGTTCTGAGCATTATTTGTGGATATACTGTAGAATGGTGTTTTGGTTGATGTTTGTGTATGGCTCCTCAGACTGCTGTGTATTGCTATTGTATGGTCGTTACCAAAGTTGGTATAACTAGAGAAGCAAGTGGTTGGCAACATTGATCCCTCGAGGGGGCGTCTAACTCGGTGTTATGGTGTGTTTGACCCTAAATTAATATTTCCCCGGAATATCACTTTAAATCTCCCTTCCCTTAAGAAAGGATGGTATTCTAAATAAAATTCTACTTCAGATATTTTGCTCCAAACAATTCTGCAGCATCTTCATCAAAACAGAGTGATGGCTACAGGTTGAGGTGAGTATTAACAGGTCAGTTTAGACCAGTGCTGAACAGATTCTTCTGTTGATTCAAACCAGAACAAAACGATTACGTCGAATTAAATCTGTTTGATAAGAACTAACTCTAATGATGGAAACCATGTTTGAGAAAGATATACACAGTGTGTATTTTCATTTCCTTGCTGGACCCAGACTTTACCTGTAAACAACACAAAGGAGGGTTTATGACGAATCAGTTGGGGGAGCTCTAACTCTTATAGCTATATTTAGGGTGTTGATTTTTAATGTAGTACAGTCTATGGTTGTAACCATAGTGCAGTGACAACAACATGGGATGCTACATGAATATTTGGTTGAGATGTCACTCTTAATAAACAGATGGTGTGTCAGGACCTCAGACGAAAATGGGAGCTGGACTTTGTTTGGCTTTTGTCTGTGCCATGTTGCACAGCTAAGATCCAAATACACTTTGAGATCAATTTCCTTTGTGTATCCTACATAAAAATCGGCGTAATCTTTAAAGACAAACACATTTATGCAGGGCCCAAGGGTCCTGCTCCAATTTTCTCTAGTCATGTGCATTGTCCTCAAATGAAGATTAAGCCATTGAAAGACAGCATCTCAAACAAAGAGGATGGATGTGTGAGAAAAACCAGCAGTCAACAGATGGATGTGTTTGAATGTTTAAACTCACAAGCAAATATGGTGTTACAGGAATAGCAGTGTAGAATCCTATGTCTCTAGGTGACCGTGGCGGCCACATTTTTTAGGCACTCAGACAAATTGTTTAGAGGACGTCACAAGCTGTGCCAACGTCTGTGCCAACAAACATAGGCTATACAACCTACCAGAGGGAGGCGGTGTGACTGACTCATCAAATCACTGTGCTTTTGTTCACTTGTTAACAACAAACCCACTCTTCATCTCGGCCATGCCATCATTCTCACTTTTGATGTCTTTGCTATATGATTAAATCCATCAGTCAGTTTGTTCCCCTTTGTGACACAGAGCAGACACAAAGCCTCGTCAAATCTGCTCATTCAGTCCCCATCTGTCTTTGCAGAGTATTTTTAGCCGTGTGCGTAAATCTTCAGAGGAGCGGACAGCATGTAGGAGACAGTCACATGTGTCCTGCAGCCCCCTCTCCTCTCATACTTATAAATGACTCAAGACCGGATGCACAGAACTCCATACACATTTATACCCATAAACATTCATGCATACACAAGTAAGCAGAACAACAACATTATGTTAGCTGCTCTTTGCGTCACCATTATTTCATATCATCTGATTCAGTAGGACTGTCCAACTGATAAAAGTATTTGGATTTTTTGATCGAATGAGTGTCCGGCAGTGAGTTTTCCTCTTGAAATGACTCCATAATAACCCTATCACAAAAAAGGAAGTCACCTCTGTCAGCTGAGCGGGTTGTAGTTGTTGGAGGTGGGGTCAGGGTGACATGGCATCACATGAAGATTGGGCTGGCAGGAAAAAAGTTGGTTTTGTGCATGTGTGAATGCAGTTTATGAGGACAAATTTGGTGGATGCCGTTTTCCATTGCTAATCAGAAAATCCCCACATCTCTCTAGATTCACTCTTTGTCCTTCCTCCTCTGTTTAGTTAGTAATCAGAGGTTCAGAGATGCATGGCCCACAAGGCTGATGTTTCTGCAACCGTTTTCAGACATGCACTCAGGAAAATTTTAAGAAAGTTGCATGACTGTACTGTTTGCACATACAGTATATCCTCCTCAGAGCGTGAAGTGGCAGACAACATAGCTGCAAATGTATATCGTCACTTATTAATGAAATATTAGATGCAGCTCTGCATTGTCACACTCTATTTTTTTAATATATCTTCTTTTTTCAATGTCAAAAGAATTTAACTCTGTTCAGTTTACTCTTTTATTTTAGGATGGCAGCCCTCACGTTCCTATTAGACTCTTTGACGTCAAAGCGTGAGTCCGGATTCTCCAAATAAGCCTCTGTGTGATGGACGTCAGCAAACACAAAAATAACACACGAACGATCGTGCCAACTCACATGATCAAACGTTCGGGCTTAGCCAAGACAAGCGTAGCCATGTGTGGAGACTGTGTGCCAAGAAGAGATGGAGAGAGGTGATGGGGGAAAAAGGCTGAGGAAAAAGAAACAGGATAAAGTTGGGGGAGTGAGTGGGTACAGTACGCACAGCAAGGTCTGACAACTTCAAAGACAATTTCTCTGCTAATGGCCTTCTTGTGTTCCTGCAGCTGAAAACAGTCAATATGTGACATGACCACCCGGGCAGCTGTATTCAGGCTCAGAGGGCAAACACCAACAGTTCTGACATGCAAACAAACTAAGAAGTAAGACATGACTCATATTGGTCATGATTACAGTTTGTGATCCGCAGTTCCCAAAGTAGTGTGGAAAAGTCCACAGATTTTCATCCATGCCATCTGCAGACTTTGCTGAAATGACAGTCCATGGGTGAAAGTCCAGAGCTGTATCTACTACTTACTTTTTTTTTTTCCAAGATGATCGAGAGAAGTTCAACCCACTGATACTTTAACCATCTGGCCAAAATCATGCTCTTCAGAGGATGAGGATTGAGATTGTCTTGTCGACTGCAAGTAGGTTGCTAGTGTAGTTTAGCCAAAGAGACTTGAAAAGTGGAAAAATAACCGCTGACCTGTGTGGCATCAGTTGAAAATAAACTATGGATGTACAGTGTCTGGTAAGACTTTGCATTAATCGGTTTAATCACATTAGGGATGCACACCAGTACTAATCGTTCTTCTAATGATTTAGGAAGTGAAAGTTTTATTTTCAAGGCAACTGTCTTAATTTTAAATAGAGCCCTTCAGAGTAAAGATTCACATTTAACTTTTCAAAAACAGAATACAGAAGCGAGAAGTAGTGAAAGAAAGATGCCAGACACGAATGTTTGTGGGTTGAGATGACTTATCTGCTGTATGCTGTGACCAAAAGTAGTATTTGTCATAGAGAGGAGAAAAGAAAGGAGAGAATAAAGGAAGAAGAAAATGTGAGAGTGAGCGTAAAAGTGGTGAGTCAATAAGAGGTCAGAGGGCTGCTAAACCAAACTTTTCTAAACTTCATTTTGTGTGTGTGTGTGTGTGTGTGTGTGTGTGTGTGTGTGTGTGTGTGTGTGTGTGTGTGTGTGTGTGTGTGCGCGCGCGCACCAGCATTTATTTGCACATGGCATGTGCAAGTGCCCCTGCTTTCTCAAACACATGTATGGGTGCATGTATCACCACCATCATCATTATCACGGTGCGAGCTAATCTGTTGTGGGGGTGTACGTGTGCTGATTCTAGAACACCTCATCACATTTTCATCCCTGGTGTCTTCCCCTCTCTGCCCTTTTTCTGAATCATACCTCAGCATATACCCCCAGCCAGGACTCCCCAGAGTGCAAATACATCTCATCACATCATTTGTGCCCACGTCTCTGTTTACTCTTGCATAGGAATTTCTCCAACTTTAGACAGAATACTTCATCTTTGTTTTCCCTTGGCTCAGACTTTTGGTCTGAGCTCTTTCACAAATGTCCTGCACAAAGATGCTCCGGCTATCAGATGACAAATTGGAACTTGATAACACTGTCCGTGTTGATTATTCTCTGATTACACAGGCTTTTGGTGTGGAGGTGTAAACGACCTGTTCAATGAGTGTAGGCCACGTGAATGCATCAAAATGATTTTGAACAAAAATCACTTCTAAATGATGATTGGACACCAGATTTGTGACTCAGTCCACCTCACCTGAATCTGTTATGGTCTTTATCACTAGTATTAGTGATTGTCTACCTGCGCACAGGCTTTTGATCATTTTGAGTGCTCCTTTGTGGTGTCCATGGTGACTAAAGAGAGAGTGACACAACAAATACCCACATACTCAGTTTTGATTGTTTATTTTTTTAATCTGAGAAGCACTTTTATAACAAGTTTTTTATCCAAAAATACAGAACCTGACAGCGTCTTTCACAGTCTATGTAGAAACTCACACTTGCAAGTTCATATTTCCAGTTGGATTCATAAGGACTTTTTCAAGATATGACAAAGATCACAGCCAGGTTAAATTGGCATCTTGTTGAACCAAGTGAATTCCCATCCCATTTTCCAAAAAACATGCACAAGAGTCAAAAAAGTTTTATGTGTTCAAGTAGAGCTTTAATACACAATAGATTGCCCAGTGTTTAATAAATCAATTGTGTTTGCTGTGCATGACACAAATCGGATAGACAAAGTATCTCTAAAATTAGCCGAGACCTTCAGATATCACAAATTTTAAAATAGTAGAAAGAAATCAAATGCATTTTTAAAATGAGTGAGTTTTAAAACAGTTTGGGGTCCTGAGGACATATTGGTTGACCAAACCTCTCCCAAATAAATATTGAACTCTTCCTTCACCTGAATTTAGATTTAAGAACACACAATCATCCTCATACACCCACAAAAAGTCACACTGCCAGAGACAAATGGCCGGTCAAGGTGTGATGCAAGAGGAACCAGACAGTTAACTGGGTATCTATTCAGAAGAGTCATGAGTGGTTATTCCTATCTTGTGTGCTGTTGCCTTGGACAACCAGCCTTACAGGCAGATGGAAACCATACATTAAAGGAAAAGTCTGACACATTTACACCGCAGGCACTCTTTAAAGACCCACTCCGGTGAAAATCATGTTTTTCTTTTTCACGAGACAGAAATCTAAGGGGTGGAAGGAGTTTTCTTTCACTTACAATCCACAGACTGTCAGTATCTCAATCTTACTAAAATGGGATGTACAAATCAAGCTGGTCATGATCAGAGAGCAGTTTGTGATGAGTGTATATACAAATGATGACAGTATCTACATGTGTGGGTGATGTTTTGTTATCCTCAGAGTTTGAATCTGAAGTAGAGAGGTGAGTCCGCCTTGGCTGCAAAACTAATGATGTTCTCATCCTTTTGCGCCTCCAGATGAATATCTTAAGCTTTCTCTGCTCACGTTGTATTGATTTTCTCTTCATTTCTCCCTCTGAGACATCAGATTTTTTTATATCTGGTAAAGCCTCAAATTTTCTCTGTTGCTCTTTCTATGACTTCTGCAGACTTCTGCCAAACAACACATCATCAATCACTGTTTCTACTCACGTTGAAAGATTTAGTAAAGGATAGCGATGGTTGTATGGTGAGCACTGTTTGATTTAGAAAAAAAGCTGTCACAACGCCTGCGCTGTTTATGTTATTGTGATATCAAAAACCTTTGGAGACGCCAACAGCTGACTTTGCGTTCTTTCTCTTCCACTTCATGATGTTTTCTGCCCTCACACCGTCTTTATCACAGTTTCATGATGCAGCTGATTTTACCTAAATCTCATCCTGCTTTACATCAACTCAACTGACCTCTATCTTTTTAAAGACAGGTCCCCACTGCCTCGCCTGTCTCCTGTGTCAGTGTAACATCTCCTTCAAGTCAAGGAGGTGACTGAAAGGAATCAAGATCCAGGTTTTTGTGAAGGTTGGAAAGAGCAGGGGTAGTTATCAGAGAGGACTGAAAGGGGGAGAGGCGGGAGGAGTTCAGCCAAACAAGAAATGGAGGCAGAGCATGACTATGGAGAGGGAGAGGACGTGAAGGAGAGATGGGGTGACAGCTGAGGAGCTGGGGGAGAAGAACGGTGGGTTGTCATAGCCTGGGGGGCACTCTAGCTCAAAACAACGGACGGAGGAGTCTTCATTGCCATAGTTTGCCCAGTATTCTGCTTGGTCCAGCTTCGGGAGCGCCGCCTCATCAGCAGACAGTTCATACTTGGAAGGGAAAGTTTCTATGGGGGTTTTAGGGAGATACTGAGGCTTGACAGCAGTGAAAGGGAAGGCTTTAACAGTCTCTTTGCTCTTCTGGTAGGAGGATTTTGATGAGGATGCCGGCTTGTGTTTGGAGAACCACCAGCGGGTTTTGGTGCTGAAGGTTGTCGTTGTTGATCCAGCAAGAGAGCCAGGGTCAGGTAAAGGGCAGAGGGCAAAGTCCAGCTCCCGCAGGAATCTGAGGTCCTGTCCACGGCGCTTAGATGGGGAGATGCACATAACCTCAGAGGAGGAGATGCGGGCCTCGCGGAACCACTCCCAGAGGGGACGGGCCTCACAGCCACAGGACCAGGGGTTTCCATTGAGGCGGAGAAACTGGATGCCTTGGGTGTCCTTCATGGCCTGACCTGGCAGCTCAGCCAGGGAGTTGTTGAACAGGTAAAGGATAGTCAGGCGGCCAAGGTCACGGAAGGCACGACGGTTGACCTGCCTGATGCGGTTATCATGGAGAAGGAGGCGGTCGAGGTTGACCAAACCTCTGAACACATTCTCAGAGAGGGCACGAATGCGGTTTCCGTGAAGGAAGAGGTGAGTGAGGTTAACCAGATCAGAGAAAAGATCGTCCTGCAGAAAGTGGAGCTGATTGTCCTGGAGCAAAGTGAAAAACAAGAGCAAGTTTTAGTGTTGTGGAGAAGTGGGTGAGAAAATGAAGAGTTAGATATCACAAGGTGTGCAATGAATGCTGATTGTCAATTTCAGATTTATTTCCATTTGTTGTATCTCTCTGAGCCTTAAATCATATTCGAAAAGAAAAGGACTCCTCCTCCATGATTGAAAGGTGATGATGAAAGTGTCTTAAACCTGCATTCTTTCTAATGACCAGCAGGGGGCGACCATGAAAAGTCTGTAGGAGTGGGATCCTGATTGACTCATTATCAGGTTTGTTGAGTGATTTTATAGCTTTTGCTAGTCATTTCAAGTCTTCTGAAATACAGCTGTATTTTCTTTATTATCAATATCAGTCCTATCAAAAGTTAGGTTAAGGATAGAGGAGGTTGTGCTTTACGGCAGAGCTACTTTTAGAAATGATCAAAATCTCCTCCTGTCCACATACTGTATGAAAAAGCCAATATAGAAAGGCAGAAATATTGCCAATTAGGAGACATCACAATTGTTGTTCTCCAAGTACTTTTGACATCATGGTGGCTTAATCAATTTCTCATAGTCTTTGATAATCAGCTTTTGTCCGTGTGTATGGTATATATACCTAGTTCAAACCTACATTCCCTATTTCCCTCAGTAAATGTCTGTGATTCTGTGATACATTTACTGTATATAGACTTTGACATGTCCTATTTGAAATTGACCGCAGTGGGCAGAGTGAACCACACTAAATGTGTTTAAGATTTCTGACTTGTTAAAGACCAACACTGGCAGCACTTGTCTGTTTTGAACAGAGATTCAACTCTCCATACAAGGACATCCTCAGCTGAAATCTCACTCTCAGCTGCCAGACAGTCAACAACAACTCTGGGAAAAATACGAATCATATTACAAAAGAAAATCTGGAAGCTATTGTTTCTGGCCAGCTGGAATAAATTAAAACCTGAGAAGATGAAGCAGGGGGTAAGATATTTCTTTGTGCAGGCATTTAAGTCTTCCTTTTGCCTCTACCTTTAGCACAATCATGTTATTAATTATTGTATTATCTGACTCTCAGTTAATATTAATGCTTAAGATCACAATCTGAAAGCTATCAAGTGAGCTTTGACCGTAAAGTGTGTTCACTGCTGAGAAAAGTATAAATCTAGTTTTCTGGTTTTAAACAGTGCCCAGTGATTGCATTTTGTTGCACATTAATATTCTCCATCTGAGTGTGAACTCCCTCAACCTACTTGGATCAGCTTTTAACATGCGTAGCTTCGAAGACTGTGTAGGTGTGCAGCCTGCGTGTTGGCAACAGCGACATGAATAATTAATTCATAAACTCTGAAGAAGAGCTTGTTCTTTTGAACATAATGTATGCTGTATCAATTTACGTAAGATGACCTAAATGTGCAGACTGTATAACTTTGGGTTTTAAAGTGTGTGTGTGTTTGTGTGTTTGTATGTGTGTGTGTGTTTGTCCCACCTGTAGGTATAAGAACTGCAGACTGTACAGTTTGTGGAAGAGGTCATGGGGTAGAGCAGCCAGCTTGCAGTGATGCATGTGCAGGCTCTGCAGCTTCTCCAAACCTCTGAATGCTCCACCTTCCAGGCGCTGCAGCGGGTTATCGCCCAGGTCCAGCTCCTCCAGCACTCGGAGGTTACTGAAGGCCCCGGCTTCGATCCATGTTATGTTGTTGCCATACAGCCAGAGCACCTGCAGAGAAAGACGAGAGAAGTCATGAGTAAGAAAAAAGACTGACCACAAATACTGCAGAGAAATAATGCAGATGTAGAAACCCTGCCATTTTTAACCTGTGTCTCAAAGCCAAAAGAGTCCGCGCGAAGCTCAGTGATGCGATTGTTTTGCAGGAAAACACGTTGTGAGTCATACGGCACACCAGCTGGCACTATGGTGATGTTCTGGGACTGGCAGCTGACCGTCATAGGCGTGGGGTAACACACACACAACTTAGGGCATGCTGACACCCCGCCCGGCTTCACCACCACCAGCCAAAGCACCAGCCACAGAGTCAATCCACCTGCAGGGAGGACACAGAGACACACAAAATAAACCCTCCAAACAAAGGGTCAGGATAGGAGCAGAAGGCTGTTGCTGCTGCATTATTCTTGATGCCTTTGAGACAGAAGAAAGGAGCTTTGTTTTCAGCCCTCTTTGCTGTCCGTCCATCAAGCTGTTGCTGATGACAGTGATTGGTTTTAGCACTGCTGTGCTCTCACCTGTGACTTGTTCATAGTCTTCAGAACAGAGGAGGTTATATATAATTCATCAGTTTACAATGCAGGAATCATCCAACCATTAATATCTACCAGATCACATTACACAGGTATCCTTGGCTGTTGTAACAGGATTGCATAACCCTTCATTTCAGAAACAGAAATAATATCAAAAATCAAACAAACAAAAGGAGGCATAAACTCTTCAGGGTCCAAAACGTGAGCACCTCGTGTTTCTGCACAAATTAACCTGGTTTCCTAGTTCTCAGACCTTTACAAGGATGTTTCCTCTAGAGGTTTGTCACTGGATGCGCGCGTAAAACCGGCAACCAGACCCGGGTCAGTTTCGGTCCATCTTAATATTGCAACAGCCTCTTGGCACATCTCAGATGACAGCGTACAAAGGTGGCCACCGCGGGAAAATTACATGCATGAAAAAATAATGAACTTCCCATTCATGCTGTGCGCAAGTTTTTTCCAGTGGCTGACCCCCTCGACCTTTTCACTGGTTGGATTATCAGATGCGCGGGGCGCCGAAGGAGAACTTCAGATTTTATCAAACTGCTGCAGAGTCTCTGTAGACTAGAGATGAAAGACTGAGCCGAGACTCATGATAGGAGGGTATTTACAACTGTGTCTCCCTGTGCGTATCGGAGATGAAATTGCGATGCTTTGGTAAATTTTACAAAAGGGACAAATAATTCACACATTGACTTCAACTGCAGATGATTCGTCAAAACATTTAAACATAGCTTGTCATGGTAAAAACAACGCCATTTACTTCCAAAACTCTGCGTAAAAAGGTGCCAAAAGAGCGCACCCTGGTTCTCCCTGTGCCACATCCACTGTTTTCAGTTTTGAAAAAAAGATGCTGGAGAGCGAAAAAAGCCCTGATGAGAATTGTTAAATAAATACTGAATGGCTGTGGCAATAAATCAAAGTAAAAGTTTATGATTTCTTTAGTTTCCACCGTTCCCACTGACATACATGCTGTTGACACGGACTCATCACCGTGAAGTTTATAGTTCCAGACACAACTTTTTAAAACATTATCAAGTTTTCATTCGTAAACGAAAAACGACAAACTAATAAACCTCATAACTTGCGAAGTCAGAAAAGCATGCAGATGAATGCAAAAGAGAAAGGTACTCACTCTTGAAGTTTCGGGCGCTTGAGCCCCTCATGGCGCAACGAGTCTCCATCTCGAACCAAAGCCGAAAGCGAGTTAGCCTGCGCGGCGAGAAGATGCCTGCTTGCTGCTATCTCTGCTCAGGTTCAGCTCTGGTGACCGAGTCGCTGCCGCTTCGAGCAGTGACGCAAAGAAGTCCCAGAGATCTCTTTATACCCGCGGCCGGTCCGTCGCCCACAACCGTGGGTCGCAGAGGATCCACACTACGTCAGCCAGGAAGGAGGAGGGGCACCAGAGGAAGAGACATGAAAGGCAGCGGCAGCGCGGACAGGTCTTCAGTGAGGCGTCACAGGCAGCCTGTCAGATGTAAGGTCGTTCATGGATATTACTAATAATGAGGTAATTAAAGTCACTGGCACATGTCTTTAATAGTTTGAGAAATGCTCTGAACTTGTTGAAGAAATGTAGATTCTGTAGTTTAACATTTCTTCTTTCTATCATTTATGTGATGTCAGTGGGAGATAGCTTGCTGAAGACAAAAAAAGAAAGAAAGGGGGAAGGTGGTCTACTTTTTCTCTCTCTATTTGGTGATGACAGGAAGGTGTTCCTGGCACAGAAGGAGGAGGACTGGTGTGGAGGACTGAGCTGTGGTTCCACTATGGCACATGCAAGAAGAATAGTAGAGGAGGCGGAGGAGAAGAGAAGGTAAAACTAATTTGGAATTAGAGCCAAAAAAAATCTTCTCATGTTGTGTAGGACAGCTGGAAAGCAGCCAAGAGCTGCCTACGACCCAGAGCAAATGAACAAATAAGAGAAAACCCAATGGTGGGCTGAAATAATCCAACTCAGCACATGGACTCAGGATGGTAGGCTGAAAATGAGGTAGATAAATTACTAGATTAACTTTTTATGTGCCTGTGGATCAAAACTGCCATAGGAAAAGCAACATGGCCTTAATTGGCATTATGGTGTGATGATCTCAACTCAGTGCGCTGACACAGACAGCGAAGGACACTGGGTGATCTGATAAATCACAGTTTGGGTTTAATTATAATTGGGTTGGCTCAAGAAGGTCTGGCCCAGCAGGGAGGTGGGAGATGTACGATGGGACACATAGACATCTCTTGGAGTCAGGGCAGAAGATGTGGGCAGTGTTTACTCACCTCTGAGTCCTCATTCGCGACATTTAGCCCTGGGGCAATACCAGATCCAACATGATGCATATCATCTGGACACTCACATGCACCAAAACCTGCTCAATGAAAGGTCAGTCTGCAACTACAAGCTGTGAGTGCAATAATGCCATAGGTTGTGTGGCTGGAACAACACAATTCTTGGCTTTAGTGGCCCTTTGGGGAACTGTGAGAATGATACAGTGGCATGTGTGTGTGCATGTTTTATCCACACCAGGGCCAGCCGGCCAAACAGATTCTATCCTCAGGAAGACTGTAGGAGTGTATGTCTGTTTGTGTGTGTAATGTATTTATGACCCACCAAAAGGCATGAGCAGATAAATAGAGGAACGTATTTAACAGCTCACAATCACATGCACACACATACACACTACACACACTTCTCCACACCCATACATCCTCTCACTTGCCTGCTGTGTCAAAGTGAATCACGGGCGCTCTGGCATTTGAACTGGTGTAAACACAGCATGTTCAAAGGTTCTGTCCTGATCCTAAGAAAAATGTGTTGCGCCGTGTCCATCTTTATCCTCGTTCACACATGTGCACACTCATACTTCCACACACTCACACACTGTGCATAGAGCTATCTGTGTGGACTTGGTGTGTTTCTGGGTTCAGGGTTGACAAGCAAGAAAACTACAGAATTAGACCTCCAAGTTCCTGTCTGTTCGGAGGAATCCCAGAGTCTCAGTTTTTGCCTGTAGATAAAATTTAAAGGTTCCTGTATCCTTTAGAATAAAATAACAGTTCCCAGACATGATCATAGCTCCCTGACATCTTTTTCTCTCTTTATAGCGATGATGTTTTTCCTCTATGTAACCAAAAGCAAAGAAAAAGTTCTTGGTTTGTTGTAGGAAACGTTTTGTGTTGTGGCTGAAATAATGTACAAAAAGACTCCATTGATGAAGTACTTAAAAATCACCAAACACCACCAAAATACCAGAATATTTTAGCCCTGCATGGTTGTTAAAATTTCCAGCAATGATTAAGTAATCAGAGCCAGCCCGAGGCATAAGCAAACTAGGTGTCTGCTTAGGGCCCAATGGCGAGTAGGGGGCCCCCAAGAGCAATAAAAAAAAAAAAAAGAATATATTTTTTATTTTTTTGCATGTATGAGTGATGCTTTCTGTATGATCAAATATATATTATTGTAATAATAAAATAAAGTAAAAACATTTTAGTGCTGCTGCTGATGTACGCTTATGATTCCTGCTGCCAGTGACAGTTTTACAGTAAACACAATGCTTTATCACTTTGAATGTTATGAAAATCAACCCCAGGCCGCTCTTGTAGCTGAATGTGTTAAATTTTGAGAATAAAAACCTTATGTATTATTTGTACCATTGCATTGGTATTATTTATGTTATTACCTAGGCCACCCCCTTAAATGTGTAAAGAGATGCCAGGTGCATTAAATTTATACTGTAGTAGGTGTATGTATGATCAATAATCAATATTATTGGCCGAATTAGAGGGCCCCAAAATCAAATTTTGCGTGGGGCCCCATTGAGGCTTTGGCCGGCTCTGAAAGTAATGATCATAAATGTTCTTCCTTGAGCTGCGTCACCCCGCTGCAGTTGATGGACCCACCCTGAGGTCTCCGTACAAACAAGCGCCTGCTAAAGAGAGTCGGTGAGTTGTGTTTAGTCTCTTTGCTAAAGAAATCTGGCAAAGCTAAAAAGATGATTGGTGGGTAGTGCTTTGGCTGGGACCCTGTATGTACTGTTGATGAAGTTAGGTACTGTTCTGAGCATTATTAGTGGCTATAAAGTGGCTTTTTGGTTGGTCGTGTGGCTCTGTGTTTTGCTATCAGCAGTCGTTACTAAAGTTGGTATAACCAGAGAAGCAAGTGGTCGGCAACATTCATCTCTTGACGGGGTGGGTAACTCAGTCTTACAGTGTGTTTGACTCTAGCCTAATTTTACGCCGAAATATCCCTTTAAGTCTAATTCAAAGCCAGTAAAAAAAAAACTCACAGGAGCTTTAAAACCTGAAGGGTAGACAGAGTTCAAATATCTCAAAATTGTTTAACAAGTACCTCACTTTCAGTCAACAAACTGACACTTTTTCCAAACTTTGTAATATTTTTCTTCTCTATTGGAAATAACAGTTACGAGTCACTGTCATCATTAGTCTTGTACAGTTTGGTGTGCTTACGTATGAGCTGGTATCCAAAACAAACAATTATTTCCATCAGCAGAGAGAAGACAGTGATCAAATGAGGCCATTACATCCCCCTGTCGCACTGATAAAAGAAAGGCCCATTTTTATGAGTCTGACAAATATATGTGTCATAAAGACAGCCTCAGTCACTAAGGAGAGTCAGACTCACAAAAACCAACAACACAATCTACCTCATTATCAGATGGCTTATTTTTGTCTTCCACTCTCCCTCTCTCGCCCTTATCCCCATCTTGCATCTGCTCGCACTGTTCTGTTACTTTAATTTTCTGAGATACTGAGGTTGTGATCACCAATGACGCAGATCCAGGACAAGAAGCTGCCTGTGTGCACATGTTCCTCACACACAAACACACACTCATTTATAGGCACTGAATGTGGCAGACTTGGTGGAGTTATATCATAATGTTTCTGGATTCACAGTATCGTTGCACCGCAGATGTACAGAGAATTTGAGAGGGGCTGTTGTGGGGGAGTGTCCCTGTTATTTCGGGTTTAAACCCTGCCAAAGATTTTCCCCAGAAGATTCATGCCAGTACAAAACGTCTCATTCACAATCTGTGTGACTGTCTTCTGTGATTCTTGTAGATTTAAACTTTTTTTTCATTGAAACTTTGCGTATTTTTTATTCCAACAGATTGCAAAAGTGGTCAGAGAAAAGCAAACTGGAAAGGACTAGTGAAGCACAACCAAAGATATGGCCCTTTATATTTTAGAGGTCATTGTTCCCTCTTGTCACCTTGTCTGCAGAAGGATGGCTTTGATTTTTTAAAGTGGGGTTGTATGAGATACTTGTCTGTAGGAAGTGAAGCCCACAGACCTGAACATCTGATCAGTGTGCTGCAGTCAGAGGAACACATATGTGTTCTCCAGGTTTTAAAACAACACCACTAATGCAATCTGTCAGGGGACGCTAAATGTGTGATCCAGTGTTAGAAGACTAGAAAATTAAAGCTCAACAAGGAAAAGATCTAACATGAATTTGGAACCAGAAACTTCCAGGAACCCATGAGAAGATCCCTGCCAGAGCTCAAACCTAGAACCTGCTCAGTATGAGGCATCAGTGCTAATCATTACTATAAAGTGCCATTTTGCAGGGCTTATTCCTTTAGTTTTATCTGTTCTCTACAACTTTGTGAAGATTTAAGCATGGTCATGCCTGCAGGAGTAGAGCATGAAAATACTAGCACTGCAAAGAGGGCCCTCTACTAGGACTTTAAACCCAATACCATCCATCCGACAATGTTCAAAAGCCAATGAATGCAACACTGAAAGAAGTTGGGGACACTAAAAATTAATAATAATAATGATTTCCCAAATGGCAAATGTGATCAAAAACATATTTCACAAAACCCTTTTTTTTCAGAAACCACCACTCAGAGATAACACCTGATGACTAATCGACCTTTTTTTTATAACTCAGTATTCAAAAACACCTCTTTGTCTTTCTTTTTTCTTTCTTCAATTATTCATTTATTTTAGAGTGTGAAACTTTGTGTTTGCTTGGACCGGATAGGAGGTGGACAGTGCAAGTTATCTGCAACCACGAAGTGTAAAATGTCAACATGTTTAGCATATTGTGCCCATAGACTGTATATAGAATAGTATATACAGTCTATGATTGTGCCTGGGTTACGTCAGCTTAAACGGATTTTAATATCAGTGGTGTCATTTACATTTACATTTATATTTGTGTGCATTTGCATACATGCGTGCGTGCGTGCGTGCTTGTGTGCGTGGCGTAGGTAGGTGGGGTGGGGTGGGTTATTTCCCAATCAAGAATCGTCCTTGTGTGACAGCCAATCAAACTAATATCTGAGCAGGACTGCTGTGAGTGACAGAGTTCTGAACCACTAAAAAAAGGTTATAAAAGTTACAATCTCCGCTAAACTCCATGGACGAAAATACAAAACAGATGTTTGCAAACGAGACAGCAGTGGCGGTTCTAGACGAAATTACTCCCCGGACGAGACCCCGTCCAGCCTTTGTGCAGCACCTACGCAGCAAGCAGGGGCGCCTACAGCAGCAGGGGGGCGCCAATTTGAATACAAGAGTTAATACAAAAATGCTTTGCGGTGCAGATTTATTATTAAACATTGAAAACAACCAACAAGCGAGGCGTACTGGCTGTGTTAATTACATTGAATATCACTTGAACGAATGATACACGGATTCACTGCCCCCTATCGGCCAGAAGGGGCCAGAACGAGTGGGGTCGGTGACGTCATTTTCCTGCGCCACTTGAGATTGCGAATCAGATTGAATTATGAGACACTTTTTGCGGGGCGAACGAAAAACGAAAAGGCATTCCTGAGTTTGCTTTTGCTTTTTAATTCAGTCACAAAATGAGCAGTCTTGAAGAAGAAAATGAAAATGCATTTTGGAATATTGATTTTTATTTTTATTTTTGAGTCAAATAGTGCAGCCCAGCAGCCATGACTCTGAAATGAAAAAGCATTTCTGCTAATGATTTTGAATTTTCGAATTTGACATTTCAAATTGATTTTTGTTACCTTTTTGCTGGTGAATGTTTTGAAAATTAAATGTTAAATATGATTTGCTTTTGCTTTTTAATTTAGTCACAAAATGAGCAGTCTTGAAGAAGAAAATGAAATTGCATTTTGGAATATTGCTTTTTATTTTTGAGTCAGTGCAGCCATGACTGAAATGAAAAAGCATTTCTGCTAATGCTTTTGAATTTGAGATATGAGTCACAATCGCTTCCATACAAAAGTGAGCCACTAATAAAGACATAAAGACAATGTAATGGAGCTATTCTTACCTTCAATGAAAGAAGGACTTGATGTTGTATGCAGTCAACCTTCAGTCTACTCCAAAGTTAATTTAATTTCATTAGATTTGTCTGCTTACTTTGCTGAGTCCAACTTCAAATTTTTCAGAAGTTTTTCTTTTTAAATCACTTGGTTCTGACAATAATTCTCTGAGAACGTATTGTGCTGTTTTTTTCTGCATTTGTGAAAAAGTTTCGACAGAAAAATGCTCATTTTTAGACATTAACAAGAATCAAAGTGTTAAATTCAATGTAAGAACAGTCAAGAGGACTATTATTAAGACTTAAACACGCATCAAGAAGAGAAAGGTTCAGTTTAGGGTTAATTTGACTCACAAGTGGGATAGGAAGAATACTCTCACATTAAAAATTTTGTTCTGAAACAGCAATAAATTGTGGCCAATGAAACCACCACTCAGATTACTTCTCAAAGTTAACCTGCTGTATCTTGTTTGTTACAGAGGTCTTGTTGACCTCTTGGATTCTATCCCAAGTGACCACTGGCTTACTTTTATTATCCCTTAAATAACTATTACAATCATCATTTTACAGCATGCATGATTCTACAAATCTTTTTCACACACTATTTTTTAAATCGGATTTCTACTTAACTGTATATGGTCTTAAACTGTAAATACGTTTATCCTTATATCAGGCATTTCATAACATCCTATCTTATTAGATTTCTTCATGCTTACCTCCATATAAGCATTAAGGTGGCCCCCTAATGTCCTCACAGGTATGAAAGATGTGATTCTTATTGCTTTTTTGGTATAGTGTTAGTTTTAGCACAAACTAACACAATAAATACAAGAGGTTAATCACATTGAATCCCTCTTTAATTTGCAAAAACAGGAAATGCAGAAATGTTTGAAACAGTCAGTTTCTGCCAAGTCAAAGGCATTCACTCACATCCTTTTACAGAAACCTGCATGCAAGCACAAAGGAGAAACAGAGTGTCATTTCCTAAATCTAATTCCCATTTTTAAAATACATTCCAACACTCGTGTCCCTCTGTGAGCTCAGGTCTATTCCCAGAAAGCGTACGCCAAGCTAACAAAGACAGAAAATACGATGTAGAGCAGAGGAAACCTGAAAGAGGAGCAGAGGAGGAGAGAGACAGAGGACAGCTACAGAACCTTTAAAGCATTTCACATGGCAGACTTTCCTTCAGACAAACTTCAACACTTCCAAAAACACATTTCATGTCACACCAGAATATCCATGTACTTGCTGCAAACCTTTAAATTATACATCTACACTGATGTGACTGCTAGAGCGAAAACATAAGAAGCTATTTGTAAGGAAAGAAAAAAGACTGAAAGAAAGTGATGCTGCATATCCAACCATCATCAGACATGTGATACTGAAATGTACAATTTTAAACAGAAAGAACACAGAGCACAACTTCTTTTCTGAATCTAGAGCAACGACAGAGGAGGAAATATGCTTACAGAAGGATTTTACAACTCTGACCATGTTGAGTTCATGTTGAGTAACTGAATATCCCAGTATTTTGTACATTAACTGTGCTCATTAGATTGTCCAGAGAATGTAAAGTCAGTCTCACCTGTAAAAGGTAACCAAACTCTGAATATCAGGGTGAAAACACCTGCTGCACAGCTCTTTTTGACAGTGTTGGTGTTTTCAAGCAACCTCAAAACAAGCCAAAGATTAAGATTAAGAGAAGCTACTATTTGAAGATTAAGTTAAATTTCTTTGCAGAAGTAAGAGGCAAAGGAATGCAAAATTGACAAAATCGTCCCCTCTGCATGATTTATTTTCTGGACACAAGAACAAAATGTTGAGAGGAAAGTCAAAATGTCAAAGAACTCTGCTTTTACTGAAATCTGGCCTCTTCTCTCCACTTTTGGGCTTCATTTTGGACTTTTTAACTCTTCCTCTGTTTCACTTTTGCCTGGTACTTACACCAGATGATCAACTTAGTCCACTGTGTAAACAACTTTTTTCAACATTTGATCTTACGCTGAAAATGAAAAATTCAGGAAACTCTCCCTTTTTGTACTTTAACCACCTCTGTCATAGTTTCAAACACTGAGGTCAGTGCAGAGGCATTCTCCCAGCATTTTCTATATCAACTCTGTGTTTGAAAGTGTTGCAAAATAAAGAGAAAATAAATTCCTGCCTTTTTTGAGTTTTGCAGGAGAAGTTGTTTCCCTGATGATTTACAAGTTTATGAAATTCAACAACGTGTATATTGAAGTGAGTCGTTTGTAGAGGTCTGTCGAGTCATTTTAGACTGAAATCATGAGGAAAACTGAGGTAGCAACACAGCTACAGTATGAACCAGTGAGCTTTAAGTGTTTCTGCATAAATAATGTACAGAGAGTGTTTCCAGATGTTTAAAGAGAATCAGAAAAAGAAGAAACCTGAGGTCGGGTACTGTAAAGATTGCTGGTGATAGAGAAACTCCCCTTTGTTTCCAGAGAGGACACCAGAGGTTCATCACATGTGGCAGGGCAGTGACTGGAGAATAAGTAATGTCTTTATTCAGGATTTTAAACACTAAAAGAGATGGAGGTGACAGCACAGGTGGCTCAGTTTTGTCCTCAGCAGCAAACAGGTAGGAAAAGTGACATTGTAACAGCTATAAAAGGATCTGTTTACTGTAAAGTCAAGATGTCGGAGTCAGAGTGGAGTGTCACAGTAATGGGGCCGTATCACAGCCACTACAGAGTGAGGATGGAGTTGATCTAAACACAGTAAGTTATGTGTATTTTCAAAGTGGATCGACATCTTAGCCTGTTGTGTTTTTACAGGTAAGAGAAGGAAGGGAAAGGGTTGGGAGAAAGGCACGTCCTCTTCTTCTGCAGGACAGAAAGTCTTCATTCTGGAGCTGTTTACTGTGACAGAAGAGAGAAATATAAAAGTCAATTATACTAAAAAATGTTTCCGTTTTAATTCAAACATCTCAACACTTCTTCTCCGTAGTATTTAAACCAGAGTTTAACAATATATAGGTGTGATATTTAGCTTTTGTTTAAAGCCTACTGTGCAGCCAGTGTAGTAATAAAAAATGGCTCAGTACCTTACTTGGAACTACTGCATTTGAATCCTAAGAAGACGCCGCTTACCCTGAATAGCAGAGTTTAAAGTTAAGGTTAGACTTGAAAAAGCCCATATGGATTTGGACAAGCAGAGGTTTAAACTTTAAAACCTGCCTGGCTTTTCTTGTCATCCTCTCAAAATATTGTCCCCTATAGAGCCTGACTGATACTGTTTAGCAAATATTCTAGCTCTGCTTGAGTTTTCTGTCTGTTTAAAATGTGTTCTCCCATCTCACTGCTGCCAGAGGATTGTACTTCTGGGATCTCAGTGAACATCATAGCAAAGAGCAAATACTGTTTATTGCTTGGGCAGATTTTAAAAACGGAGTAGTCACATACTTTGTCCAGCAGAGGGTGTTCAGGCTCCTAAATGTATATTACTCTTGGCACGGTCTGCACTCGCAGCACAGCCGAATAGAATAAACTGACAATGAACAATGACATTAAATTTACTTATGATTAAGTTATTTGATCAAGAAAGCAGCCTTGAGTAATACACAGTGTTGTTACAAAGCGTAGTCAGTGGTGAGTGCTCAAAGAAAGAATGAAGTTTTGTTGCAGCTCAAACATTCTTCAGTATCAGTCAGTGTATGGTCAACATTCCATCAAATACTGATATTGGTGAAAAGTAATATAAGGCAGGCCCTTAAATTTATGCATTGAAAAATTTCTGCCTCAACTAACATAAAATATTTATTTTGTTGGCCAGGATATCAAGAACTGCTGATATTATTGCCTGTTTAAAAAAACAATTCTGTTTCAAATATGACATATCAGTCAGGCTCTATCCTATTGAAATAAAAAGGCAATTAATTTAAGAAATATGCTCAAAACAAACACTGTTCCTGAAATCATCTGAATTATTCTAAAAAGGTTAATGGTTTGATACCTGAGAAGAAGGGGCATCGTCTTCATCTGGAGCTGGGATGATTCTACCAGTATTGGCCCCGACTCCCAGCACCTTGGGCCGATTTTCAGTTTTAGGTGCACCTTCCAGTACCACAACGATGTACTCCCGCTTCTGAGGTTCTGCCTCAGCCTCCACAGGGGCTGGAACTGCCTCTTCCACCACAGCAGTGGCTGCTTCCGCAGCAGGGGTTACAGCAGGTTCTACTACTGTTGATGCCTCGGGTGCAAGAGGTGCAGGGGTCTCTTCAACTGAGGCTACCTCAGCTGTTGTCATTGCTTCAACCACAGAAGCAGAAACCTCTTCAGCTGCTGAGGTAACTTCTACAACTGGTGCAGGAGTTTCTTCTACCACTGGTGCAACTTCTACTGGCGCAGGAGTTTCCTCTACCACTGGTGCAACTTCTACTGGCGCAGGAGTTTCCTCTACCACTGGTGCAACTTCTACTGGCGCAGGAGTTTCCTCTACCACTGGTGCAACTTCTACTGGCGCAGGAGTTTCCTCTACCACTGGTGCAACTTCTACTGGCGCAGGAGTTTCTTCTACCACTGGTGCAACCTCCAGTGGGGCTGGGGCTTCTTCAGTCACTGGTGCAACCTCCACTGGAGCTGGCGTTTCCTCAGCCACTGGTGCAACCTCCACAGGAGCTGGTGTTTCCTCAGCCACTGGTGCAACCTCCACTGGAGCTGGTGTCTCCTCAGCCACTGGTGCAACCTCCACTGCTGCAGGAACCTCTTCAGTCACTGGTGCGGGTGCCTCTTCAGTCACTGGTGCCTCTTCAGTCACTGGTGCCTCTTCAGTCACTGGTGCAATCTCAACTGGGGCAGATGATCCTTCCTCAACAGCCGGCGCTAACTCTTCCTGTGCTTCGGCTATCTTCGTTACCTCTACAGAAGGGGCAGCTGCCAGCAGCACTGCAACACAAAATCCAGCCATCCAAACATCACTTATGCTCCATCTTTATTTCTCCTCATTGAACTTCACTACTCAATTTGGTTGGACAAGGTAATATGATGGGCAATTGTGAGACCCTATAGAAGAACAGAGAACTTAGTGCCAAGGAGAGAACTGAGTGGATTGTGACTTCATGCAAAGACCCAGTGATAGAAGAAAGAGAAGAGAAACAACAGTTTTACGAGAAAGACATCTGGACACCAGTGTAACAAAGAGTATTTTCTTGTGTACAAAGAAAACTCAAACGTGCAGAATAAGACACAATGTGTAATGGTGCGAATATTTAGTAGCTGGAATAAAACTCTTCGGCCTTCTCTTATGGTTGACCTTGGATTTTTTTACATCATTTTAGTCTACGCAACATTTTTTAAAACTATATTTGTACAAGGTAGATTCAGCCAATACAACAGCTTAATTTAGGCTCTGATCAAGACAGGAAAACAGAGTCTCTAGGCTGACCAAAAGCAAGGCAAAGACAGCTTTGTGTTACTTGCACTGGTTTGACTTTGTGATCTTGTTTGAATTAATGAGATACAACCTGCAAACATTTTCCCTCCTAGATTTGCCACAAAGCCAAATACTGTCTGAGCATCAGATTACACGCACACAGCTTAGATAATTTCTCCAGTGTCTGGATTTACTTTACAGCCACCAAAGCTACTTAAGGTTGATCAGTGCCCAGTTTGATGACCTGCCCGCCCAGTCAGGCTCTATTTAGCTCAATGCCAAGATCTCCTTGACTGACACCAACCCCCTGAGTAAACTGCAAAATTATATGCTGGCTTGAACCTGGTTTGAACTCAAAACAGATTTTTATGTAGTTTTGCAACTGTAAACTACTGTAATTGGTGCTAAAATACTAAAGTAGACCTTCAAAAAAGAACAAAGGATGCTTCATCTGATCTGTTAGTACGGTGAAACAAACAACCAGCCTTAACAATAAGGTGAAGATTCGTCACTTCTGATGCACCATCAAGAATATCAACACTGAACACCTTACCTCTAAAACTAACTGAGTAGTGCGGAGACTAATGATCTTTAACAACTCAAATACAACAAACCAGGAGGAGCTACATCATGTGAGAGTTCTAGGACATAAGAGAAGAAAAAGTCTTCACTTGATACAAAAACCATCTAAAAACCGAGAATTACAGACTTAACACAGAAAAAGTTGACGACCCCAAACTTAACACGGAAATCATCAAAGACTGCCACTGACAAGACACAGACAATCACTAATAAAATGTTGTGGTGTGGTTTTCGTTTTTGATGTCTTGGTTCGGTACATTCTTAACTTCAGAGGGGTATCTATACCAAACTAATCACCTTATATGAAATCGCGGCTCATTCCTCTTTCCTGCTCCTCTAAGGCTTGATAAATTGTTTTTCTCTTTAGATGAATAATTCTAGACTTAAACGACAACAGCACTCTCTGTTATAAAGAGGAGCAGGAGGGGCAAAGCAAACAGACGCAAAACTGATCAGAGGTTAAGAACAATACAAACTCTGCATGTTTGGAGTTGATTTGCTAAGTAACTGCACTGACTCGGTTCAGTAAAAATATGTGTACCTATACACAACTAAGATATCAACCACGTAGTTCAACAATAAGTTGCAGAGGCTGCTCAATTATGGAAAAATGAAAATCCTGAGTATTTTTACTGAAAGAGATCATGATTATCAAACAATTATTCACATTATGACATCTGCTTCACAAACATTTATGAAACTCTTCAAAACTCAAACACCCTGAGCTCTTGCAAAATGAAAACACACATTAAGTGAAATTAAACTATTGATCTTTTAGTTTAGCAAAGCATGAATGTCCATCTAACTGTCTGATGTAACTTCAGGAAACAGTATTAAAACAGAAATGAACCATACTTCAAATCTTCACTTTAAGAGCTCCAACTGAATTCCGATGAGAATAGTCACTGAACTAAATGGCAGGTTTTATTTGTAGTAGATTTAAGGTTTTTAAGCTAACAATTGAAGGATTTTAAACTACTTCCACCAAATACATTTACCACAGGCTGCAGATCTAACAGATCATTCAGCCTTTTCAAAACTGCAACTCTATCAAATCAAGACTTACAGGCTTACATATTATCATGATATGGACCAGTAACGCTGTTAAGCTCGGTGAAAGGTAGCTTGTCTATAACACTTGGGATTGCTACAGCCTCTGTCTGCTCCTCCCTCTCCCTGCACTCTTCCTTCCTCTCCCTCCTCCCACTCCTCTCCCTGTTTTCCCCTCCCTCCTCTTGCTGCTCCTCGCTCTACTCTCTTCTCTCTCCTGCTGCTCCTCTCCCTGCTCTCCTCTCTCCACCTGTCTCCATAATCAAACCTATGATTTCCTTGCTAACTTTGTTTTACGCTAATCTGAGCTCATAACAATGACATTAAAGCGAGAGCTGTTTGAGGGGAGGACATATAGGGTTGTGTCAGTTATAGTCCAGGACAAAACGACTGACACAGCAAGCGGCACAATAATTGTCTCAAACAGTCTTGATGATCATGTTTTTATGAACGTGGGGAGCCATAATTGTGATTAAAATCCATGCTCTGCTCTAACAGCTGTCGTGCCTAACAGCATGCAAACACAAAAGTCTGAAACTATTACAACTTCATTGTAATAAAAAAGAGCGGGCTTGTGTCTTTCCCATTAAAACATCAAATATTATATTTCATAAAGCCAAGCTAGAGTGTTAGTATGTTAAGGAAGATAGTGTGTGACTGTTAAACTTGTATCAGTAGCAACAATTTGAAATTAAAATACAACTTAGGGTAGAAAGACCAAATCAGACAAAGACTGCAGTAAACCTTTCCAGTTTGATAAAATCTTTATTCTCTGGCTCAATGGATTAATTGTAAATTGTTCACAGTGCTCATTTTCCAGTTATAAGCAAAATAAAATTATGATCACAAACGATTTTAAATCATTACTGAATTATTTCTCTGACAGTTTCTGACGATGATTTCTCTGACAGTTTTACATTACTTAAAATCAAGAAAAATAACACACGGCAGCAGTCACAGGGTTTGTACACATACTCAGAGCCATCTCGTCTTACTGGAGAAATCAACAGAATCAACCTGCTCTGCTTACTAGCTAAGCAGTACAACATTACAGAGGCCTCTATGAAAGGAATACAAATTGAAAAGTAGCATTATGGGCTTCAAAAAAAAAAGAAAAAGGGTCCAATGTCATTTAGTAGCGGTCTATGAATGTGTGGTCGATTTAACTTGATAGAACAAATCTTGTAGTACTTTAACAAGGGGGTGAGCAGGTTTTTAGATCATGAGCGAACTGATCAAGGCCCATCTGCATGTGGAATATTTATATAAAACAGTGTGATCACATTTATTTCACCCATAACTGCATATGAGCGTCCAATAACGACCTCACTGCCACTTTGGAAATGTCTCACTGTGGTGTGAAGAAGCTGCTGGGTTTTTAACTTCTCTGGGCCTCATGATAACCTGAACAAATATACACATCATACACAGAGAGATTGTGCACACCAGAAAAGTCTCACACCATCATTACGCAAATAATTCCCACTCCAATAAATAAGAGAAAATATACAGCTCTGGGAAGACACACAGGATGATAAACAAGAGGTGAACCCTGAGGAGAAGCAGCTAGTGGTTGTAGTGACTGTAAGTTGTGGGTTTAATTGTTGCCAGTGTTGTGAAGAAGGGAAAAGACCTGCAGATTGTGAGTTTAAGTGGTTTAGCGTTAGCAGAGTGTGTGTGCTCCCTGCAGTGAGTGTGAAACCTCAGGCTTCAGAGGCCTCGTCCTCAGGTGAAGAAGTCGTACCGTTGCTTTCGGGCTCCTCTGCGGCTGGTTCTGCGGCTGGTTCTGCAGCTGCTTCTGGTTCTGCGATAGCCTCGGCAGCCTCCTCGACAGCTTTGGCCACTTCAGCAACTTCTTCTGCTATTGTCTCCACTTCCTGGGCAGCCTCTGCAACGTCCTCTGCAACCTCAGCAACCACCTCAGCAACCTCTGCAACCACCTCAGCAGCCTCAGCTACGACCTCCTCAGCCGCCTCCGCTACGACCTCCTCAGCTACGGTCTCCTCAGCCGCCTCCGCTACGGTCTCCTCAGCCGCCTCCGCTACGGTCTCTGCCTCTTCTTCCCCATCAGCAGCTGCAGCCACCTCCTCTTCGCCAGCCTCAGCCTCTCCACCGTCCTCTTCAGCTGCAGCTTCTTCCTCTGCCTCCTCTTCACCTGAAACACAAGAACCAGAAGAAGAACATTGGCCAAAGTAATCGTTTCTTTCTGACTTATAAAGCTATTTCACAGCAAGCAGTCTTCACAGTCACTCCACTGAAGCCAGCCATCCACACAATATTTAGGACAGATGACACAACTGTGTGTTTTTGACAGACACAATCGGTTTGAAACACTACATGTAGGAAGAAACTATCAGGCAAAATAAAACGCTTCAAAAGCAGAATATTACAGCTGGTTGAAATGTTCACAGTAGCTGAGTTTCCATCCAAGATTTTTTATCAGAGAGAGAGATGATTTATTTTTCCTAAATAAAACTTACAATAGAGATTCAGGCTAATGTTCTGTGATTAATAATAATTAATAATTTTCACCTTTTTAACGTGATATAACGTTATAACGTGAAAATATATCTTGAAATAACGCGATACTTTGACATTATAACATGAAAACTTCATATCATGAAATAACGTGATATTTTTACGTTATAACGTGAAACGATATTGTTATAACAATAAACTTTTCACGTAATTACGTGATAATGAGCCCCCATTTTTTTTCTCTCGATGTGGCAGCACCACGCTTCCGTAAAAATTAGTCCAAAGAACAGACCAGAAAAATATTACTCTGAAATACAGAGCTTTTTTTTTTTTGTTTAATGCAATTCACTCCCATACATAGTTAAAATGACAGTTATAAGCTTGGAAATATAACTTATTATATCTGAATCATTGATGAAAAACTCCAGTTTAATGAACATTTTGATTTGACTGACAAAATTCTGGTCCAGCCCGAACACTAAAATAATGTTCATAGGTTCGTGGATTATTCAGAGAAATATTAAGCTTTGGTGCATTTCAGAGATTTTTGAGAAAACTGCAACCTGAAGATGGTAGAGATGATAGAGAGATGCTGCCGAATGTCTTGTTTGTGGTTTCTGACTCGCTGAATCAGACTTAGATTTTTTACAGTCGCTGGTATCCTTTCATTGGTGCCTCAGACTAAAGTGTGTATCATGAACAGTTTGAGAGTTGGATGGAAACACAGTTACTAACAGCTCTTCATTTTTCCAGCAGGTCGATCCAGAAGTACAACTTCCTAACATGCCACTCCAAGCCTTACCGTTGCCTCTGTGAATAAATGATGTGAAACCCCAGAGGGGACATGTTTAATACACAAACTGCATGCAAACTTAAAGACAGGGAGCAGCACAACACAGGCACAAGGGAGAGGAGGAGGGGAGGGAGAGAAGTGCAGGAAGAGAGGGTGAAGTTGAATCTTGATTCTTACCATCAAATTTACAAGCTATGAGTAATCTGGAGCTGAGAGGAGTCTGACAGAAACACAGACACTGAGACAGCCCGCCAAGATTGTGCGTCTTTAATCTTTAACCAAGAGATTTTCCACCATTTGTTTCACATTTACCATCAACCGAAAAAAGGAAAAGGAGCAGTGGGAACGTAGCCTTATGGTCAGCTTCACCTCCGAGCGAGCGCCAACTATTTGGAGTGATAACAGCATGTGATGGTATTTAGCTCAATGCTAACACTTTAGCTCGCACTCTGCCTCAGTTGAGTTTAGGTGTAATTCTCCCTTGTTCACATTGAAAGGTTTCTTTCACAGTATTTTAGATTTGATTTGTTTCTATGGCACCAAATCACAACATTACAATCAGGGCAGGTCTACAGATTGTACGGTATCATTTAAAAAGATTTCACATTAACACGAGAGAAACAAGAAACTGATTGAGTTCTAGTTCCTCTTTTAAAGAATGTAGGTACCCCAATGGTCAAGCTGTAGGGGAGAGAGTGGCTCATAAGGGAATAAACTGTTATTTCATTTGACCTTTTCACAGTCTTAAACCTTGATTACTTGTACAGTAGCAGCAGATGACTGTCTAACATGAGTCTGGTTCTGCTCCAGGTATCTGCCTGTTGAAGGAAGTTTTCTTGCTGCTGGAACTTCATGACTAATTTGGGCTAGAATGGAAAGCCTCATTCAGATAACATTTTTGAGAATTGGGGCTACATTTATTCATACACACATGCATTTTAAGAGCCCACAGAACCAGAATTTTATTTGAAGTTTTTTCCTCCTTCAGACTTAGGTCACACAGTCCTGTAAATCGCCGAGCTGTGGGATTCAGGATCAGGATTAATGCTGTTGGCAGTCAGCCATGTTATCTGCTAATCTACGACTAATCTTGTAGTTTATCTTATAACTAATTATGGTGTTTACTAACTTCATCAGCCAATGCGCAAGCTAATGAATGTAAATGGAATAACCTTGAGGCTGACTACATTACACTCATGCTGTTGACCACCTGATTAATCTATATGCGCCACTTTCACCTGTTATATAAGTGAAGGCTTTAGCCCGCATTCTTCCTAACAGCCAGCAGGGGGAGACTTCATCGTTGACAAAGTCTCAATGTCTACAAGTTCTGTAAAAGTTATTACAGGAAAAAGTATTACAGAGAAGTGAAATCATACATCAGGCTGATGGGCTCTTCGCACAATCAAGTTATATTGTTATTGTTCTGAGAATAAAATTTATGGGATAAAAACAAATAAAAGGTTTTCATTTTCTTAATTTCACAGTTTAAAAACACTGTACCACAAGTATTCAGAGAGGAGAGGGAAAGTCCTTGAGTTTTAATCCACAAAAGTCTTAAAACTCACCTGAAAAATTGACATTACAATGAAGACGTATTGAAAGAATAAGCAGCAGCAATAGCTGCAGCTAGCATTAGCACCGAAAGAAATGGCCAATTTAAGAGCTGAAGAGTTGTTAGGAGACGACCCAAAGCTACAGAAGTGATGAAAACATCAGGCAATGTCCAACACTTGATGAGCGAGGTTTCTCTTCCTAGAATCAACACAAGTTTGTTCATCTCTGCTACGGTTAGTGACAAAAAATCTTTCATCTTGTCACTATTAGGCCTCCTCCCAGTCGACCTATCACAAGAGTTCTATGTCCAACAATGAAGACAAACTTTACAGCTCTGTGGCCTTTGTATGTACGATAAGACAACTTTGTCCTTCATTCTGCCTTCTGCCATTATCCTCTGTCGAGGTTCTGTTTTCTACCAGACTTCCTTTGAACAAATTCATACTGCTCAACTTCTGGTTCAAACTCTGGAGCACAGAACGCTTCAGTCTTCCAGATGGAGGAGAAAACTGATCCTGAACCACTTGACCCTGGTATTTTAGTCCAATTATGAGAAGGTGATTTAGTGTGATTTCAGTCGCACTGACATGTTTAGATGTATTTAAAAAAGTCCAGTTTCAGTCAGACTAATGACTGGTGTACGTTTGACCATAAACACATGGACCTCTGACATTAGTCCAGCGAGTCTGCCAAGTTTGACGGCCCAGAGTCTGGAAGAAGACTTAAACATGATGAAATTGAAATCTTTGGCCATCAGGTGCAAGCTTTTATTGGTTACTGGCATCTGCTCAGAAGCCCTAACCCTAATCCTATTTGTGCACCACTCGTGAGTTTCCTCGCCAATGAATCTTGTGTTTCAAATGTTCAAATTCGTTGATCGGGGGACACATCTGGACACACTTAAAACCCTAGAGCTTCAGCACCACATCAGAGGAAAATGGCTGCTGTGTAAATATGGTAAATTGGTGATTTCGTTATCACTCACAATAGTGCAGCATTAATGTGTTAATGGACGCTCGACAGTGAAGTTGACCATGTGGCAAAGGCCCACAGAAACTGTTCTTTTGAACAACAAACAATGATGCAGTCCATGGGCAGAAAGTAAAATCTGAAGGTGTTTGTTTGATGATATTTCGTTAAGTCCAGTTATCTTCATCACAGTTACATGTTAGCATTTAGCACCAAGAGAAAAAGAGACCGACGACAGCAGCAAAGACTGAGCATCCTTCACAGAACTGTCCCGAGGTTTTAGGTGAATCGTTTTCGTTCTTAGCAGTACAGGAGAGGAGGAAAGGAGGAGGAGAGAGGGGGTTCAGATCCAAAGAGTCCAGTTCTAGGGACGAATATCCAAGCGGCCACAGAGGACCTTAGCTTTAGCATTACACTGAAAGAGTAAAGACACAAAGAGTTAGAGAACGGGGAAGAAGAAATTTAGCCTTTACAAAAGAGCAAAGTCAAATTCACACAACAATGTCATTACAACTTTTCCCACAGAGGTCGTACATCTGGATTGGTGAGAAATGGACATGGGCTGCCTCTGTGAGAAGAAGGGGAGTCACAAACAGGGACACCAATTTGTCTAATCTGGTATAGAAGAAAAGCAGACTCCTCAAAAGGACTGTCCAATCTGAGCCAACACCAGAGAATAAAAAACAGTGAAGAGTGAGGGAGAGAGAGGAGGGGAGTCATATCAAAAGGAGGGACTCATTTTCTAATAGGGTGAAATCAGGAGAGGTCAGACTGAGTTCACACAGGAGGACTGATTTGATTGGCCAAGCACAACCGTGCTCCATGAGGATTAACCTACACACACAAAGTTCAAACTAGCAATCCTGCAGACCAGATCTCTAAATACAGAGACTTTAGCTACAGTTAAACTCTGAAAATTTAAATCAAGCCAAAGCTCAGCTGCTGAAACTAATGATGAGGCAACATGATGGTATATAAAACCTTCATGATTTAACATTTAAAAGGCAAACAGCCATACTTTTTATGTGTGTTCAATTTGTATTTTTTCTGTCTTTCTTACCAAAGTTACTCCAGGGTTAGGGTGTATAAAAAGTGAGGACAGAGTCTAAGTTTAGGTTTACCAAACTAGAGCCTGACAGAAATGTGACCTTTACAGAATAAACAGATTGAACATGGGCTACAATTTTTAATGTGCTGAGATCATGTATCTGTTCTACATAGCCGTGTGAGCGTGGTGTGAGGATACCAGAATGACTGGTTGGTTAAACAAATCATTATTTATTATAAACACATTTATTTTTTATTGTATTGGCAACTGTATAATGTACTTAAGGTGTAATGCAGCCAGTTGCCACTAGTTGGGGCTGTAGCTGAAGTAAGGATTAGTCTACTGCCACAATTATATATTACTCTACTACCTGTATGGAAACAACCACAGATAACAGCTGGCATCTCTTAACAACACAGTGTGCCTGTTTTTTGATTTGTGTTAAAATGAACGAGGTTCACTGAACGCGCTCAAACTTTCATTCCCGGTGAGCTGTGCAACTTTTTTTACACTCAACCCTCACACCACATCAACTTAGAAATAAGTCAGTTCAGACTAGCTTTAAGATAAGATAAGAACTTTATTTATCCTTTAAGGGAAATTCAATTTAGTTGATCCTCAAATAATAAGAATGCTCAGTTATGACTCTGCAAGGGGTGCTTGTATAAATGTTTTCTAAATAATAATTAGATAACTTTAAGACCTTTTAAGAGAATACATTGTGAAGCAACTGACTTTATTGAGAAAGTATTGTAGGGGTTGGAAACTTGAGGTTAATGCACCCTCTGCTGGACAAAGCTTAATGTCATTATGATGAAATTAACTTCAGCATTTTGTAAAAGTGAAACACAATAATAATTGCAGAGCTTTATTATTACAGGAAAGGGTAAGTATCAGTATAGATCTTGAGTTAGCACATAAACACACAACAAAACAATTTGTACTGATGTCATTTTGTCTGTTAAAGAAGAATAACCCTGAAGGGAAATTCAATAATTGGTAAAAATAGAAAAGTCAGGCTCTAGTGTAGGACTGTCTGTGGTTTTGAGCTGTTAAAAAAAGATGGCAAAATGTCTCTAAAAGCCTTTTAAGGGGAAATTTCTAAAAATGTTTGTGCAGCCACAGAAGAGCAGACTTTAACTCACATGTTTACATGTTAGCTGGGCCGTCATGAGTGTTCACTGAAACATGACCAAAGGTCTGAGTGCATGTTTCTTCAGAGCTGCTCATTACTAATTCCTGCAGGTTAGCGACACTTTGAGTTAAAAATCTCTTGGCCTCATAAACTACATGCCATAATTTCAAATCCCCATCTGTATTCAAATTGCCATCTATACTTGGAACTGTAAGCGGTAAAAACAAACAGTGTCTAGTATGCGCTTTATCGCTCTGTGGACATGTCAGATTGAGGGAAGTAAGGTTATTAAAAGCACAATCAAACTCATGCCATCAATTCCTTGAACCCAGGTGAACCAGGAGCATTCATAGATTAAGTCAGGCAGTGATGATGAGTGAAGGTGCGATGAACTGTGGTGACAGGACTTACCCTCTTCTTCGCCTTGACCTGAAAAAAGAAACAGAAAACAGAAGAGTCAGTTTCCTTTAAAAACATCTCAACACTCAACAAAAATAGCAGACTCCGCTGATGAAGAAGAGACAGCATTCAGCAAAAAAGAAACCATGTGTCACCAGCATGTTAGTATGTCCGGGTTCTTTTACAGTCAAATGAATGTGAGAAAGCAAAACGTTTTGGGACACATCTGAACTTTTATTTTATGCATAACGTTATGCCTTTCTTTTAGGGATATAGAACAATGAACAGAGTAGGAAACCATGAAGACAGAGGGGATGATGGGCTACAGGTCGGCTCTGAACCCCCCGACACTCACTTTGAGGAACATAGGGCGCTTGACTTTGCTGCTTCACTGTTTGGATTTTTTTGTGTTTTTTATGATGTATTTTTGTTGGCATATCTGAAGTACTTTGTGTTTTATAGGTGTTATAAACTCAATAATACCAGCTTTGAAAGTTGAAAAAATAACAGCCAAATGAAAAGAGTGTTCGAGAGAACATAAAGAAAGTGTTCTCTACACTTCATGGGTTATTCTGAAATCTGTTCACTTCTCTTTTAGTTTAAGACCATCTCATTTTTATCAACAGAGAGCAAAGATGGTTTGATAACCATCAGAATAAAATACAAATCTATGTTGGTGTGTCATTAATCTCATTTCCCTTCCTACCTTGAAATGCTTCATATCCCTAAAATCAGAACAACCTACAGATCATAAAAGGTCCTCCAAGTTCTTCTTTAACTATAATGCTTCATTTAAAAAGATGTATAAGATATTCATCAGATCTGCTGAAGAAGTTTAAAATACAACTGTGCAAACACAACCACCAGTTGTGCAAACTGGAGATTATGTTGAGTGTATATTTGAGAGGGGTCTGGCTGCAGACCTCCACTGAGAGGACCCACCTCCAATAAGCGGACCAGAAGTTGTTTGAAGCCTTTCAAAATAAAAGCAAATATACTGAGAGTACGTTACTTTTTTTATATCCTAAGTTGATTCAAAGCCTTTTCAAATTAAAAGCAAGTACACTGGGAAGTACATAATTTTTGTCTCTTGTGAATATACATACATACATACAAAACACCACCTCATGTCCTCTCAGTAGAGCATGTCTTCATAGTGGAGGTCTGCAGCTAGACTGTCTTGGAATATTTACAAAACTCTGTATTGTGTATTTATTCATGTTTTACACAATGTCCCAACTTCACTGGAATTGAGGTTTTGATGTTATGAATTTGTTGAGCTGTAAAACATGTGAAGCTGCAAAGAAGCTTTCGGAGGGACAGAATAAATAACAAACAATAAGTTTTTTCAGTTTTAATACTTTCAAACCCTCAGTCTGAGTTGTGCTTGAGTCATCTGGAAAAGGTCTACAGGCAGTGAAAGTTTACACAAGGGATTAATCTCCCTCCATCATCAGCTACTGTGCTGCTGCTGCTGTTATGACCACACTGATAAACACACTGTTTACTCTTTCTCTACGGTTGACTGGATCAAATAAACCAATCAGATTTATCTACCACAGAGCGTGGCAGTTAAGGGTCTGTGAGCGAGACCAAATAAACTATCAGAGATCACACACACTGATGGTATCTCACGGGACCTAACGCTGGATGATGTCTGTGTTCAGAGGAGCAGTTTGTGTCAGGAAAATAAACAGGGATAACAGAAGTTCAGCCCAGATGTCAAGGATAGTAAATGGGAGTGTCTATGGAGCTTCTGCTACTGCTGCAGCAGCAAGAGAGCACTGACAAGAGTCACCTTTTCATGGCAATAAAATCAAAAATACATGGTGCTTTTATTAATGGACTGAATTTGAGTATTTAATGTCCTCACCCAGAGGCAGAGCCCTCTTTGAAACAGCTGTTGATGAAAGCACTTTTTTTCTAAATCAATATTACAGATTGTACCTGATTTAAAACATTTCTAAACTGTCTGACAGCAGAAGGATGTGTGCTGGTTGGCTATCAACAGATTTGAACTGATCCAACCTGAGCACTTTAGCACCACTAAGACTGAGGTAAAAATACACAGGCAGGACACAGGGAATAAGAGCGTGTCTCCCAGTGTGCGCTTGTGTCTCAGTGTGTGTGTGTGCATAGGAGTGTGTGAGTGTAAGTGATGGAGACAGCAGCACGGCCGCTCAACCAGCAGAGAGCAATCAGACTGAGATGGGTGGCCATGCTGGCATCCTCTGTGTGTGTGTGTGTGTGTGTTGGGGGGGTTTAGAAATTTTTTAGATACAAAATACAAAGAGGATAATCTATGACTTTCCCACAATCCTTTGCTCAAACTTGATTGATCTTCGGGTTTTGACAAATGGACCCTGTTATTGATCCCCATCCCTACAGATGACCACAAAGTTTAACAACTGCAGTTACTGGTGCAACGAAATATCAAGTAAAACAACTAAAACCTGTGAAATGAAGAGGGTTTAGAGGCTCAAGTCTTAAATAAATCCTGGAATGGGTACAAATTTCTGGGGGAGGGATGGAGACTGGGGTGAGTACTTACCCTTGGGTGGCCATGGTTTGGGGACCCACTGTGTCTTGGGTCTGGTGTTGATTTCTGCGATACGTTCATTGAATCTAGCATGGTCTGAAGAGACCGTGCTGTACGCCTGTGGGAGGAAAAGAAATCTAAAATGTATTCATTTTTCCTCCAACAAGGAAAAGATTTAAATTACAGAAAATTTGCGAACTTTCAACACTGAGAGCAAATCTCAAATCTACAAGGCAGACCTTGATGACCTTAAAACAAGACAATGAGAACAAAAAAAGAAAACTGGTTTTTAAACTCTGAAATTAAAAACAGTGCAGGAGGTAAGTTACTAATAAGAAATGCTCTCTGAACAATAAAAAAGGTTTTATGTCCCTTTTTTAAGGATTCAGTGGTCTGTGCTGCCTGATCCACTATATTGTAACATAGTCAATGACTGAAAGAGAGGAGAAATGAATCTCAATGAACTTGTTTGTGTGTCAGTAAGTTACACATGCTCCTTTGGTCAACATTTTGTTCGGTGGAGAGACGTAAAATTTTTTCATCCTTGAACGGTGTTATGACAGAAAAGTGTGGGGACCGCTGGCCCACCAGAAGACCTGAGTGTCACTGAGTCTATGGGCGCCAACTCAAGCACTTCCTTTTCCATCTCGCTTTTCACCAGACTTAAAACTTTTAATAACTTCAATCAAATCTTGTGACAGAGATATACACTCACCGGCCACTTTATTAGGTACACCTGTCCAACTGCTCGTTGACACTTATTTTCTAATCAGCCAATCACATGGCGGCAACTTAGTGCATTTAGGCATGTAGACATGGTCAAGACAATCTCCTGCAGTTCAAACCGAGCATCAGTATGGGGAAGAAAGGTGATTTGAGTGACTTTGAACGTGGCATGGTTGTTGGTGCCAGAAGGGCTGGTCTGAGTATTTCAGAAACTGCTGATCTACTGGGATTTTCACGCACAACCATCTCTAGGGTTTACAGAGAATGGTCCGAAAAAGAAAAAATATCCAGTGAGCGGCAGTTCTGTGGGCGGAAATGCCTTGTTGATGCCAGAGGTCAGAGGAGAATAACCACCCGTTACAACCAAGGTAGGCAGAAGAGCATCTCTGAACGCACAGTACGTCAAACTTTGAGGCAGATGGGCTACAGCAGCAGAAGACCACACCGGGTGCCACTCCTTTCAGCTAAGAACAGGAAACTGAGGCTACAATTTGTACAAGCTCATAAAAATTGGACAATAGAAGATTGGAAAAACGTTGCCTGGTCTGATGAGTCTCGATTTCTGCTGCGACATTCGGATGGTAGGGTCAGAATTTGGCGTCAACAACATGAAAGCATGGATCCATCCTGCCTTGTATCACCGGTTCAGGCTGGTGGTGGTGGTGTCATGGTGTGGGGAATATTTTCTTGGCACTCTTTGGGCCCCTTGGTACCAATTGAGCATCGTTGCAACGCCACAGCCTACCTGAGTATTGTTGCTGACCATGTCCATCCCTTTATGACCACAATGTACCCAACTTCTGATGGCTACTTTCAGCAGGATAATGCGCCATGTCATAAAGCTGGAATCATCTCAGACTGGTTTCTTGAACATGACAATGAGTTCACTGTACTCAAATGGCCTCCACAGTCACCAGATCTCAATCCAATAGAGCATCTTTGGGATGTGGTGGAACGGGAGATTCGCATCATGGATGTGCAGCCGACAAATCTGCGGCAACTGTGTGATGCCATCATGTCAATATGGACCAAGCTCTCTGAGGAATGCTTCCAGCACCTTGTTGAATTTATGCCACAAAGAATTGAGGCAGTTCTGAAGGCAAAAGGGGGTCCAACCCGTTACTAGCATGGTGTACCTAATAAAGTGGCCGGTGGGTGTATATCAGATATATCAGGGTTTTTGTATGATAAACCAAAAACACAACTTACATATGACACAGCAGCAACAAAGGCTCCACCACACAGCAGGGTGTAGACTATGTTCTCTCCAGAGCCACCAGGAACCGAAGACATCTGCCGCCGCTGCACAGCTGTAAAAGGTGAAAGGTCACATGTTATATCCTTCTCGAACAGCTTATCATTTTCAGATGGTAACTCAAAAGATAAACCATCTGCATTTTTAAAGGACATTCTCGTTGGATCAGACTGTTTTACAAAAAGGTAAAACAACCTCCTCTCACACCCATAAAAAAATGGATGAATGACTTTGTTATTCATTCAGTGATAGTAGTATCGTCACACCAAAAATATCAGAAAATTTACAATGTTTTTGAGACGAGGATGCAACAACTTTACAGATAAAGAAGCATGTCGAACAAAAGCCTCAGTTCAAGTTTGGTCTTGAGTTGACTTTGAAATGTATTGTCTTCTACACAGCCGGACTGGAAAACAAACACAAACGAACTTTGTATTTACACAAACTGCTCTGCTGCATGTTTACCCACGTAGACTCCAACAGGCAGGAAGCTCTGCAGCTCTATCAGCGAGGAGGATAGGTGAGAAAGCACCCTCAGGCACAAAGCTGGATCATGATGCCTCCCATTACAGCAGGATTTAACGCAATGACTTTAGACTACCAAAAAAGTGCCTGTCGGTGCTTGTTTGCAGCCTGCCAGGTGATACACTCCACAGCTTTGATTTTTTTTTCCCCTGTTATGCTTATAGTTTTAACATGTACCTCAGCCAGGAGCTTTTAACATTGCAGTAAAGTTTGAGCTGCAATTACAGGTACTAAAATGAGAGAAGTAAGAATCTCAGAGCAGATATCTAACTTTTCCATTCAAATAAAGAACTTATTTATTCTATTTTGGCACACTGTGTCCTTCTTGCCTGATTTTTCAGCAATACAACCAAAAGAATGCACATAAACAAGCTGCAACTCCAGGAGAAAATCTGGAACCTCTCATCAACACTCTGTAAAAGGTTCAAGTAAAAGGAGTGTGCACTAACAACTGCAGGTCTAACTATACGATATGGGACTGAACATTATTCACCAAAGTCTGCTATAGAAAGCACAGTTCACAAACACCAAGATTGATCAAAATCATCTGAAATGACTCAAAGGAAGATACCTCTAACTATTTTCATGCTTTTATTTTAATGTTTTATTCATCTCATGATCCATCTCATGGTCAAACTACACTTTTATTTTTAAGTACTGAACTGCTGGTAGATCTTAAGTTACAAAATTGAATGAAGACTGTTAAAAAGAAGGTAAGAATATATGTTTACATGATGAGTATATATAAATCTTTGAATGTCCTTTTTTTTTTTCTTAACTGTCCCAGTCTTACAGGGGGATGCTACAACTATCTAGCCAAGGCTGCTACTTCTTCTTCGTCTATCCTACATTGAAAGGCATGTGGCAACCTGAAACACATCATGCTGTCACCATTTCCTGGTTAGTACTCAAAACTGTTTTGATGGTTTCTGACCTGATCACAGCACTGAGGATGCTCTGGTTCAGGTGTTTTAGGACATCAGCCTAAGCACAGACTGTGGTAGAATTACAGTCTTAGTGCTACGGGATCACAGTGCTTCTTTCAGCACAGACAGTTGACCTTAAAATACTTCTCGACAGACCGGAGAACTGGTGGACTTTCTGGCACAGCATTCAGTTGGTTTAAACCCTATCTAAAAAGGACAGAGACTATTTTGTGTCCACAGTTACTTCAAAACTGATGAGGAAAAATTATTTGTTGGGTTTCCCAAAGGTCCATCCTAGGGCCTCTTTTGTTTAACATCTATAAGCTCCTACTGGCTCATATTACAGAAACAATAAGGTACTATGACTATTCAGACGACACAGTTATATGTAACAATGTCAGAGGGTGACCATGGCCTCAGGCAAACTCTGAGTAAGCACCTTCAACAAACTACGGGTGGAAGTGTCAAAATTTCTTCATTTGAACGAAAGACAAAAGTTGAGGAGCAGGTTTTCGAGCCAAACACAGCAGCTTAATGGTCAGTCAGCAGTTTCAGCTGTTATATTAACAACCAAGGCAGAAATTTGTGAGTAGTTATGGACACAGACAGAGGGAGTAGAGTTCAAATTTGGGTTTATGATCAGTTTGCTGAAATCTCTTTAAAGCAGCCCCTCATTTGAACACAGAGAAACTGTCTGCTGTGCAGGCACCATATAAATCTGCGTGTGTTACATAACCACAAAATGTAATCATGCTCGTAAGTAACGACAATGTTACCATCAAATTCCCCCAAAAAAGCTGCATAATGCTGAGACAGCACTAAAGACTGATTTGAGACAGTGTTGTCATACTCATCTCAGTGCTAATGGGATCGCAGAGTGCTTAGTTTAAATCTAAACCTGCAGTGAGTTTTGATTTGATTACAACTTACCAACTTGATGCTTTCAAGCTGACTTAACATAATTTTTAATGTTGGCATAAATAACTAATTTTGTGAAATTCAGTAAGCTGCATTTATCAGAAGTTAATTTATCTAGTAACATGTTCCTCTACCTGTTTGCACTTTTTCCTTTGAAAATAGAAAATAAACCAAAAAAGTGTCAATTATTAGAAGTGGAATGCATTTCTAAAAAATTGGCTTACAAATAATTAAAATACACTGCTCTGCTTTCCAGTCTATGTAGTACTGATGAATCAGCATGTCGATGAGGAGAGCAAAAGCAGGCAGAACACAGTCCACCAACATCCCAACATCTACTGGTGATCTAACTAACACCACATTATTCCTCCCCATTAACAGATATTAGGAGCAGCAAGGTGTTCCTGTGATACTGTCAGACCCATTGACTAAATATCTCGGTCTATCAATGATAAAAAAAAATTTAAAAAGTTTGAAAAAGTAAAAATGACAAAAAACATTTTCTTAGACCTAACAGCAATGCCGCGACTGAAGCCATTAATTGCAGTGATTTAAAAATTGTTGAAACCTGCTGCTCATATACAGGCCTATCAATGTTGGAAAATGAAACGTAAAAATATGGCTGAGGTTCAACAGTACTCAGGTTCCTCTTTAAGGTTTCTGGAGCTTCATCATGTTCAGGGCTGAGGGTATTACACTCTTCATATTCTCAGGAACTAATCCAGAGTCAAGGGCTTACACACACACAACTTCCAACCACCCTGTTATTTATACTGGCTAATCAGATCAAGTCTTGTTGAGTAGGGGGGGATAAGGTGGCAAAATTTCATGACCCACGGACAGGGCGAAGGCCAGGAGGTCACAGGATTAGCGAGTGATACCCTCCTCTTGTTAAAGTGGACTACAGGAGAGGACAAGAGTGATCTCAGGGTCCTGCACATGTCTAGTGTTGTCACAGACTGGATTTTGAGCACAGAGTGGACCTTTCCCTTATGTAAGCTCTTTACATGCTCCAATAGTGCCTTGCTGTGTGTCACGCTAACATTTTATTTTTGGCTTGGGCTTTGTGTCAGGAAGAAGAAGCCAAAAAGGTGTTTCCTGAAAGGAGAACAGCCTGGACAGATGTAAAAGGAGACTGGGTTTTGATAACATGTTGATTTTAGATGTGTACCATGAATGTGTGAATGCTGCTACACCTTAGGGGTCATGTTACTCTTCCTCAACAGAGCTAGGGTGCATGCAAGGAAAAAATGTAGTGGAGCTATTTTAAAGAAGGGTTGTATGAGGAACTGGTCTAAATTGAGTGCCATACCCACAGGGGATCCTTGTTAGCAGGGCACCATTGCAAAAAAATCCCCCATATAACCAGTCAAAAGCTAAATTATACATTGCTGCAGACAGCTAGGGCTGGAAGTTAAATCAACGTGGTGGTGATGGTGTAGCATTTACCGCAAATACAAGAATACATCTTTATAAACCTCGAGAGCTCCTGCTGTCTGGAGACTTGGTATCAACATAACTTCCCCACCTTTTGAATGAAAGGAAATCAGCGGTTCACAGCTGCAGTCTGCATCACGCAGGATCTAGACTAACGTATGTCTACATTAGTCATATAGCATCCAGCTGATGAGGTGAAGGACAGGGGATACTGGGAATATGTACCACTAAACAGACCAATCACAGAGCTTGTGGTCTGTGTCGATACGTTTTTGAGTAGTGCATGGCAGGCTAAGCATGAATTTCTATGGGGATTTCTCTGGCTTGGTTTCTCAATAGAGCAGCTGAGCTTGCAGGATCCTCTTATAATTACTATTAAACTGTTAATCGTTAATAGTAATATTTATAGTTAATTACTATTAATCATACAACCAAACCTGAAAAAGTAAAACAAAAACATCTTGAAGCTCCTTTGAAAAAACTCCGTTTGAGTCGATTTGGGCCCCCCTGTGGACAGAGGGGTGCTTTCAAATTCTTCTCTTGTCCTTTACATGTGCATGTAGGGTTGACAATAAAACTGTATGTGTGTAGATGTATTTTTATACTGGAGCCAACTGTTAGCATTTATTCATGAAAAAACTCAAATAATTATGGAAAAATCCAAGATTTTTGATAGATTAAATCATGGTGAAATGTTCCCAATACTACGAAAGCAAGTGGTTCCTCCTGATCTGATCAGGGTACTCTTCTTTTGGTATTTGCTTTAAAACATGTCAGCTGGTCTAAGCAGGAATTAGTTGGCAGCCTTCTGCCAAACAATCAGGGTCCAAAAAGGTTGAATTCTCTCCCTTCTCCTCTTTGTTTAACTGACAATCCCTTTCAGTCTGATCACCCTCTTCAAACTCCCCACAGGAGAGGTTAATACTGACGTACCAAGTAACTGATCTTAAAAATCAGCCGCAGTTATCAATAATTTCCAAAACACATCTGCACTGTCATCAACAAAAGTTAGACTTACAAGTTATATCTTTTCTGTGAGAACAAGTGCTGCATGTCTGTCACCAATGCAACGGCTATAACACTTATCCGTCAACAAAATTAATGTTTTTTGTTACATAAATGTGGTTTTCCCACTTTAAATAATCACCTCACATTAAATTCCACATGCATACAGAGTATCAGAGTCCTTGTGCTTCAAAACAGCAGTCCCGTTGAAGGATACCAACAGAGCTGTGTTTTACAGTCACCCTTCTCCCCTGACGCTGCAGTTTTTGTTTCCTTGCGTCATTCAGCGTTAAGTAAACTGACGTCATTGCAGAGGAGAGAAGCTGCGTCCACCGACCGGCTCGTGGCGCAAGTTTTCTACAGCTGCGAAGGTGACATGGCTCGTACCTCTGGAATGCGCTCCATACATCGAGCCATCGTCACACGCATGCACATACCACGTGACCAACGGCGGCAACCATGTTTCCATATTACCCCCGGTGTGGTGAAGGTCACAAAGGAATGTAGAAATACTGTGTCTGAAAGTTAAAGTCAACTGTTAATCTTTAAAATGATCCACATTAAACTAAGAAGATACTTAATCTCACATTATATGAGATTATTGATGGTTTAGTTGGAGATACACCGATTTAATCTGATGAGATTCATTCCTACAGTGTGGAAACCAAATGGTAACAGTGTGATGCTGCTTAGATCTGGCAGCCGGTTAAATACCCGGACAGAGCATACACAACCATCAATATGAAATAATCCCACCAGGAATCAGAGTTTCACCTTTACCTCCACGAGGTGTAACCTGAATGCCCTTCCTCACACATCAATCTAAATAAAAACGAGGTACAACAGTCAAACAGAAAATCTTCCCAAAATACCAAGTTGACCTTCACATCCCGGGCAGCCATGTCCAGCCTCCGGTCTGTGGATGCAGCTCTGTAGAGATACTCACACGAGGACAGAGTGTACTCTTTCACCGCTCACATCGTGCACTCAGTATGCGACAGATGGATCACAGAAACCTCTCATACAGCTCAGAGAGTGAGGGCCAAGGAGAAAAATCAGGCTTTTGTCATATTTGATGCTTATTTCTTTGGCTGGCTGATGAAACTCACCATCCCGGGGCAACCTGTAGGCTGCTCTCCGTGCCAAAGGCCCACACCTCTGCCAGGCCGCTCTGCAGGAAAACATCGCTGCACTCCGAGGGCTACAACAGGAATGCTGCACTTTCAGCTAATGTGAGATGAATGGTTGGCCCGATCTGCTCGGAGAAACGTGCAGGGAGGCGGAGAACTGACCCGCCCTCTGTTGCGCAATATATGTAGCGTGGTGGTATGAGGAGTAGTTAGTGCCACGATAACCAAGGAAGAGGACATGTATGACAAGTGTTTAATACCCGGGACAGGAAGGGTAGGTATGACCCCACAAGGGGATGTTTGAGAGGAGGAGCTCAACTCTTGATCATTGTCTAAATTTTTAAAAACATAATGATGTTTGAGATAACAGCTGCTTCTCGCAATACTATAAAATCTGAGAAAATAAAAACCCATTAAATGGAAAACCAAGCGGTGGAACAGGCTGCGTCCATTTGACCAATACAAGCCCCCCTGGCTGAAAGAGTGACAACAGCAATGCAATTGATCCTGAGTGATATCATGAAAGATTACTGGTCTCAGGAAGAAACCAAAAATGGCTGTTTAGGGATTTGGCTCTAGTGGTCACTCAAGTATCTGAGATAATGCATTACAAATCAGGTCCAATAACCTGAAAGCCCAGGACAATAAAGTATAATGTTAAAGTTTATAGCAAAAATATTAAACCTCTGAAAGATAGCTCTGTTGGAGATTACGACTTCTAAGCTGATGTGACATTGGACTTGTTTTTACAGACAAAATCTTTTCTTTGACTGTTCTGTTTCATCACTGATTTGTGGACTCCCTGCTGTTTTATTGTATGTATGAAGCAGAATCTGGCCCATAAGATGTGTTAGTGCCACTGCAGGGGTATTTGGCTTTAATAAAAACATGGGGCCTCAAACTGCTGGCTGTGGGGCCTTTTCTGGGGCTTTCTGCCCTCCTTCTTTGGCCCCTGATGTTTAAAACATAATGTAATCTGGCACACAATTTTCTTTTTAGTTAGTTAATTGTAATATTTTTTGTTTTGACGCACGCATTCAAAAACCATGTTATGTATAATCAAATACAAACTACAACTATATTAAAACATAACTTAAATAATAGCAGTGATCAAGGGTTAATGGTGTCCACACGTGCACAGATGGGTTCTTGGAGTTTTCAAAGGCAGGTCAGGGACATTGTCGTCTTTGCCAGCAGCAAATATATCTCCTTCTGAGCTAAAGAGAAAAGATGACTGACACAAACAACTTCATGAAGGATGTACAATCCTTACAATCCTGTTTTCTTTGGTAGGTTTATGTATGAAGAATGACAATATATGATACAGAAAATACAAGCATGTTGTTGTGTTCTAGTTCTCAAACATTGAAGCGGCCTACCTTCAAAATGACAGTACCAATGGTGGCCCAAAGCCAAGTCCTAGTTCGAGACCCCTGACGCAAGTGAAGGAGATTGACTTCATCAACCTCTGACCCTGTGACGCTGTCTCCTGTTTAAACTGGCACTGATTGCCCTCCATACATCATGGAGACTCTTATCCTCCTAAACCCTTTCACTCAGAGTCAGGCAGAGCACAGAAGGTCATCGACAGCACATTTATAAAATCGTGCTTCTGTAAAACTATAGTCTTCTTTCTAAAGACTAGTTAATAAAAAAAGATCAAAAAGTATTGCTCCAGCTCTTAGTGCTATCATTAGTTGAAAGACTAAAAATCCACTAAAAATCCACAAAACCATAAATACATTAAAATCAGTTTATGATAACAGCATTACTGATCTTATTAGGGCTGCCTCCTTACTTCTTGAATCATTTAAGCTGTATCTTTCTGTATCTTTTAATGCCAAGTAGGGGCGACATGTAATTGAATGGAGGTCTATGAGAAAAAAAATCCTCTTCTTTGCTTATTTATTCACCTTGGTTAACATATCCCTCATGAAATATTGAAACAAATTTTCAACTATGGTGATTTACTGGTGCTTTCTGTCACAATCGCACAGGAATCATACATACAAAATGACCATGACTCCTGTATAATTTTCATGACAATTTTTATTTTACACAGAACACAGAGTGGGAATCAGAGGGGGTGAAAATAGAAACAGAGCATAAACAGGTGCCTTCACAGACAGGAACCCGTGACCTCCTGTACAGGATGAGAAAAGACAGAGAAAAATGTTTTTTATGATTGTTCATTCATTCACAGATACACATGAAATATTCAAAATAAAAGAAGACCAGAAACACTATCAGGTGACAAAAGAGTCAGGACCTAGGATAACAAAACACAGACTCTGACATACCGCTGTGGTGGGTTATTCCAGACCATTCCTCACTTTGTATTCATGTACGTCTGTGCTGTGCTGCTTGAAGAGCTGAAGGTAAAACACAGACACACTTAGTCATTCAAATGTGTACATCTGAAGAGTCTACATATTACATCCCATCAAAATCTATAATTCATTAATATCTCATGGATCTATTTAATATTGACCATTTCTTTGTTTTAAAAGATTCCTACAGGATCCTTTAAGTGTTCGCATCACCTTTACAATGGCATCACTAGGAATAAGACAAGAGAAAATAAGAAGCTCACTGCTGCCCTCCTCTGGGTGAAATAAGCCAAATAACTTTGCAGCAAGTGAACCAAGCAATAAAAGTCATGACTCCCTTGAATATCCCTTGGCGTTTTCCATTTCAAACATTACATTTCTTGACAGGTTAAACACTATATAAAAACAAGTATGGACATCCAACTCCTAATTTCAACCAGTTTTCAATATGTTTAAACAATTTTTTTGTTCAATAATTTCCATGTATTTCCTTTTAAAGAAATGTTGAGGATGGAAATGCTTGTTGTTCATGGCTTTTTTCCAAAGTTATTTTCCAGCATTTGTTTTAACTCATGTTTGCCACATCTTACTGAAAACATGTTTCATTTTCATACAGAATTAAACGACAGCTCTCTGAAAGCTATATGACAATAACAAAAAAGTTCTGAGATGCTGTAAGGGAAGCAGTTTTTAAATTTTCCCTTTAAAAATTTGAAAAAGGTAAACTGAGAATTTGTTTCACTAAATTTGTAAATTTGGTGCCAACTAACAAGGGTAACGACTTCTATTTGTTTAGTCAACTAAACACAAATCTCTACTAGTTATTAATAGTTCATCTGATCAAACTCGTGAAAAAGTTGAGTGAAACCTGACATTAGGTGACACAAGAGACAGTCATAGTGTTGTGGAAATTCATAGCCTTTGAAAATCTCTCTATCCTGTCATCCCAGAAACACAGCCTGCAACTTTAAGTGGGAGATTTTCTGGTATTTTCTGTCAGTCTTTCTACTTTTACAAAAGGTCTGATACCAATAATCAGAGACATTTTTAATGAAGAAATGTTATTTTCTGTAACCATATATCCTAAAAATGGAAAAGGATTAACTTAATTTATGAAGAAAACATAAATCAGAACATATTCTGCATTTCTGTATTCAGGGAACAATAAGAATATGACATGTATTCTTAATTTGACCTTTTCAAAGTCTCTTCAAAAATGAGGAAATTGCATTGTGAGCACAACATTGCGTTTTTTTTTTCTTTTTTTTTAAAATCAAATCTTGACTCCAGCACATTCCCATTAGACATAACATGCCATTTAATTGTTCTGTGAAAAGATGTGGTTATTTACCAGGCCCCAGAGGAAAGCGGTGGACCCAAAAGCAAGACCCACTCTCAGCCAGTTCGGTTTGGTGAGGTCAGGTTTGGAGCTTGTGAATGCAGACCTCGATCCAACTGAAAAATATCAAACAAATATCAGAGATGTTCTGCTTTAGGTTCAACGATAAATCAGTACTGAGCTAAAATAGAAACAGGGAACTATCAGTAACATATGAGGAGAGTGACACTCTTCAAACCTTGGCCTGAGAGGTTTAAATGTATTTCGCTTCTTTAGACAGTCAAAATTCCACTTACATTATGATCAGTTTAAGATGTGAAAACATATTCAGAAACGTCCCAATGCTCCAGTGTGAGGAAAGGTTTTGGATGTATCTGTACACTTTGTGGTTATTTGAAACAAGACGAATTGAAGAGGAGAATCCATTCAGACTTATTTATTAATTCCGAATTCTCTTAAATGTGGGACCCTTAAAAACCAGAGCAACATTTAATTTATGATTCGTCAATGAAGTTTAGCGTGAGGAATACACCTACAAGTCTAATACAAGAATGGCTGATAAAACTATATTAAATAAGTATTATGTATACAGTACAAGCAAATACTTACAACGGGTTATGTATTTATAGTTTTTTGAGTGCATCAGCTGTTAAAGAACTATCCCAAAACCGTATTTCTGACAACAGGGTTACATACAGTAAATGCTAAGCTAAGGTCAGATTTCAGGATAAACACACCGCCCTGACTGTTAACAGCAGGATAACGCTAGAGTCTTGCAAAACCAAAACCATGACCAGACTAACATACTGTTGTTAACTTACCTCTGCTGACAAAAACAGCACGTGATAATAACCGGTTGAAAGTCATTTTAGCTAAAGAGCAGCTCCCTGTGTACGATTTCCGATCCTTCCACTCTGAGTCTGATTACATTTCCTCTGTAAGGCCAGAAGGAATGATCGCAGCATCACTGATAAGCCACTCGAGCACTCGTAGAGACGTTGTATGCTGATATTTCACTCAAACTGTAACAGACATCTCTGCACATTTTAAGATAGATTTTTATTACGAATTATTACCGGACACACACATTTCACGAGGGTAAATATGCATAGATATTGATGAACATTCTGTACAGTATTTTTAAACTCTTTGTTCAGTATTTAGATTTGACTGGCAGAGAAATTTCCAACAAGATTATCATGAGTCTGAGCTGTTATTTTGTCAGGTAAACATCAAAACCGAGTCAAATAATGTGCAATACAGCCAAACCACAGGTGTTATTTATCCATTTATTTATCACCCTCTGTTATTCTATTATTTACTGTCCATTTTTTAAATGATGAGCAAAAAAAATATATTCTATATTTTTAATCACAGATAACTGTTGAATAGTTAAATTAATAAACACTACTCCTCAGTCATTTTTGGCTCTCACTGCAGGGCATAAAAAGTGTAAATACACTTATAAATAACCAAATAGTTAACAGGATTGACAGCATGATGATGATAAAGCTTTATTTTTCTTTATTTAATAGTTTTCTAGGTGCAGCACTTCACGCATGATTATAAAATCTCGTTTCTGCTATTTAATCAAATACACGTTGGGGACTAATACGATGATACGTTCAGGTGTTCCTCGGTTCTTTGTCTACTCTAAGTTGAAATGTCATTCTGGGAGCTGAGGCTCTGATGCAAAGCACCAGCAAAGTGGCCAGCTGGTGGCTGCTATTGTTTCTAACGGATTAAATCAACCGCAACTGATGTTCAATAATTTTTACTGTATTTAAAAGGCTTGAAATGGGTCAACAATACCTACCGTGCTATTTTTTCTCACATTTGTTAATATTGACAACCACTTGTCTGCGTAATAACTTCACAATTTTGCTGCCAAATGTTAATCCGACTTCCCCAACCAATGTTAATAGTATCATTAAAATTTAATGATCAAAAAGTAATATTTGTGTTATTTCCGACGACACCTGAACGCAAGGTCAGCGAGCAGCCTGACCCGGAGGAGAAGCGCGTCGGCCATTTTCCTCGGAAGGGGGCCTCGGCTTCAACACGTGAGAGAGAGGAGCCTGAAGAGACTGAAACAGTCCAGGATCTCTGACTCCGAGTGGATATCATTCATGTGTGAGCCGGCAGAGGCGTAGGAAGCCAGCACAATGCCCACAATCACTCTTCCGCCGAAGGAGAATGCTCTCTTCAAGAGGATATTGGTAGGCTCAATGCGATAACGTTAGCGTGCGGCTAATGCTAGTGACAAAGTAGCCGTCAGTTTTAGCAGTCAGAGCAATTTCACCAAATTGGTAATTACATTTAACAACAGATGCAATAAGCACAACAAGAAAATGTAACTAAGAAGGTGGTATACCTGAAATTAGCTGATGAGTTTGACTTGGCCTTGTAACACATCTAAAGTATATCAATGACAAAGCTGCAGGACACATGACAGCCACACACAACTTAGTGAACTACAGTTTATAAAGTTACCCTGCTGCTCTGCCGGTAAAATACATCACTATTCACCCTGAATATGCAGTATAAACAGATGTGTGGAGTTTGGGTCATTCGGGACAGCACGTACAGACACATGCCGGTTAGACTCAGTTTTAATGGACCTCTGCTTCAATATAACAAGACAGTCACCGTGGAAACAACGTTATTTCAAGATACTGTCAACTTTAACTATGAAACATACTGAAATAAAACATTTAGCCTAAGTTGGAAACAAGGTAGCAGGGGGGAATTACGAAATAACAAAGACTTTATCAAATGCTCAGTGTGAAATCACAGACTATTTTGGTCCATTGGTCGAGGCTGGAAGGTGGCTTGGTTTCATTTACTCACATGATCAAGTAGTTTTTTTTTTTTTGGTATACTTTTACTTTGTTTTAAACCACTTTTCTTTCCTTTCCTTATTTGTTTTTGAGGGAAGTGTTTTACTTTTTTCATAGCATCGTTTAATGTCCTAATGTACTTGTTGTTTCAAAGTTCTTAAAGCAGAAAGCTTCAACTAGTTTCTCTAAATTTCATTGTGTCACAAGATTCAGTCCAAAAACATTTTGCCTGCTGCATTGCCCGGCAGTTTTGATCATTACAGTTCATAAAGCCATTATTTCTGGTTAGTAATAAAGATCTTCTCTGCACAGCCAGCCATGTCTAGGGATGCTGATGTTGCTAAAGTGTTGAAGAGCTTCACCCCAGTTAGCGGTCAAAATCACATGTTGATGCTGTTGGTTATTTCACAAGGTAGCTAGGGGAAATGTACTTGGGGGGCATATTGTGTTACAAGCAAGCATTGAGTGCTTGAGGTACATTCCACATAAAGTAGTCATTGCTTCGACTTAAGTAGATTAACAGAGCAGTAGTTGTACCTTTACTGAAGCTGAATATTTAAGTACTATTCCTCCCCTGACATGAGCAGTTGAAGCCATTTTGAAGTTGTCTAAACAAGATTTGAACCAGACTGACTGACACAGCCAGACAACTTTATTTAGGTGTTAGACATACACCTGAACACTGCCATTAAGTGACAGTTAATAGCTCTCGGCTTTATGCAAACATGACCACTGCATTAAGGGTTTGCGTATAATTAAATGGCACTAATGTTACTGTATGCCCATGTGAAATAATCAAAATAAAAAAGTACTGTAAAAGAATTGTAGTAGGGCTTCCGTATATGAATGTAAATGATTATTTATATCTATTTTGAAATCAAAATTTAGGTTTGATTGTCATACTCCTGTAATTCCTGTTCTAAAAGCCTGATGCTATATTTTATTGAATTATAATAATATTGTTACTCTTAGCTACATTTTTGACTACTTTCTCAACTACAGGTAAAACAAAGGATAATCCCTGATCCTAGAGGTGTCTGTCTTCTGTCAGTCTGGGAGTTGTGTTAATATATTGTAGTGTATGTTGCTCAGATCTCCAGCAGGGGGTGCTCTGAGCTCCTAGTATGAACTCAGAGTCTGGGTCAGTGATCTGGTCTCTTGTCTGATTATATCTTTTACCTTTATTCCAGTAATCTCTGTTTACGTTTCACACTGCCGAACAGAAGGTGGTTTTGGGTTCATGTGCATCTTTTCTTGCTCTCAGCAGAAAGGTCGGCTTCTTTCAGGAAGCTGGGAATAGAGAATTTCCCAGTTTGGAATCAATAAAGTATATCTATCTATCTATGAACAAACAGCTTTTGAAGTGATGTGCTTTTACATACATGTATGTGCAGCACAGAGTGGGGAGCTATTGGCCCACAAATGTCTGATGTGGAGTCTGTTCTGTCTTTTTTGCAGAGATGTTACGAGCACAAGCAGTACAGAAATGGTCTGAAGTTCTGCAAACAGATCCTGGGCAACCCAAAGTTTGCTGAGCATGGAGGTACGACACACAATCTCTCACAGGGAAGAAGCTAGAAACAGTAAGCTGATCTCAATGTCAGCTTTTTCCTCCTACGTTTGAGCTGAGGGCAAAAATATTATCACTTTGACCTTTAATATCTTTAATATTTGTCCTACTATCAAATGCAGAATTGCTGCTGGCCAACAGGATTGAAGGTTAAACATTGGAAAATAGTTCATTAATGTTTTCTTTTCAAAACTATGAGGAATTTTATCTGCAGTCGTCCCCAGTTCTGACTTGATCATCCTCTCCTTGTTCTTTTCTTGCTGCCTCCTGCTCTTCATTTTTTCTTAAAGTCTCTCAAAAACACAGCTTCCTATTTTGTAAAGTTCTGTTTGGACGTCAGGTGAACAGTGTGAGGAGGAGCCTTATTGTCAATGGTGAACACAGAAAAAAATATTCAAACCAAGAGCTCAGTGGAAGACAACATTGACCACACCCAGGCACACACAACTATTAAAAATGCACAAGAAGGTGCACCCTTGAATTGAAATGTAGTGTCCATGTGAGGAAACACTGAGCAGGTCGCTCACTTTTAAGTGGACTACTGTCCTCCTCAGATCTAACTGAGGTAAGGAATCCAGACATTTGACAAGTGTATGTGTTCAGAGTGGAAATGAGGGAGATATAAACTCCTTGGGCAACCAACCTGGTGACTGAATCAGTTTAAAGAGAGAAAATATTCTGACTAAAACTAGACCAAAACTAAAAGTGCAAAAAGAACCCTCTTAAATGTAACTAAAAACAAAAGCATTTTCAGTATAGACCTAAAACATCTGTCAAAATGAACACTCATCTGGTACTGGGTTGGAAACCAAAGTGTCCCTGAATGTCTCACGCCTCTCCTGTCTTCTGTTTGTGCTGCAGAGACGTTGGCCATGAAGGGTTTGACCCTCAACTGTCTGGGCAAGAAGGAGGAGGCCTACGAGTTGGTTAGACGAGGCCTTCGCAACGACCTCAAGAGCCACGTCTGTATCCTTCAATCAGAGTTAATTCCACACACAACGGTTTGACCTTCAAACTCAGTTGAACTCCAAAGCTGCTGAACCCATCCTGTAACTCCTTGAAGACTTGCTCTTAAGTCTTCTCTGCTTTGACTCTCCTTGTTCAGAGGAACATCTTTCTCAGTAAGGTCCTCTATAATTCAAGGGAAAATAAACATTCATTCAGTCAGAAAACTTGCTTCTGACTGGCCTATTTTGCTGTTCATTTTGCCTGTGTGGGTGCATCTATATACATTTTGAGTTGTTCTCTGTGGCACTGCCCACAGCAACAGCAGCACTGTATGTTTGAGTGGTCTTAGGCTAAGTCAGAAGAGCTGCTGTGTGACTTTAAAAACGTGCTCTGAGATCTTTGAAGTAAATATCAGAGCTTATCTGCACCCAGTTTGACTCTGGTATTAGGATAGCTTACGGTGACACATGACACAACAGTTTTTAGAATTGGAATAAAGACAAACTCTTGTGTAGATGAGACCTCAGCTGATCCGACTGCATAAGAGTCTGTTTGATTTCAGTGTTTGTAGAAATTGAACACACAGGGAACTGACTGCTATCTACAGAGACCCCGTGTGTCTCCTACCTGTAAAATGTGAACATGCAGGCCACACCGCTGCAGCACAGATGCTGCCCCCTGGCAGCCTGTCAATGTCATGAAGTTTTCCTCAACTAACTCACTCTCTCAGGCTGGCATGTTTACGGCCTCCTGCAGCGCTCAGACAAAAAGTACGACGAGGCAATCAAGTGTTACCGCAACGCCCTGAAGTGGGACAAGGACAACCTGCAGATCCTGAGAGACCTGTCCCTGCTGCAGATCCAGATGAGAGACCTGGAGGGATACAGGGTGAGGGCTTCCGGGGAGATGAGATTAAATCAAATATAGCAGTGAATGAAGGAGGCTGAAGGTAGTAAAGGCTTGGATTGTAACCTGAGGGGCTTACACAGCATGGAAACATGATGGTGAAGATACAAACAGGTGTCTTAAGAGCTGGGGAACATTCATAGACAAAGAGTGAAATCTTACTGATCTTGACATCAGGCATTACGTCAGAGTTTGATTATTTGTGTCACAGCTGTGAAACAATGCCACGAAGCCCCCGGCTCTTATTGGGATATTAAAATTGTATATCATCTTACATTTGTGTGGTGGTGGTTTTCTCCTCATCCAGGAGACCCGGTACCAGCTGCTGCAGCTGCGTCCAGCCCAACGAGCCTCATGGATTGGGTACGCTGTTGCTTATCACCTGCTGGAGGACTTTGAAATGGCGGCCAGGATAGTGGAGGAGTTTCGTAAAACACAACAAGTAGGTACAAACGAAGGAACGCTCCATACAGCATCTGCATGATCAGGATTCAGGTTTCTGATTAGGTCTTTTGTTTGCACAGGCACCATTTGTTTTTATTTATGTATTTAAGCAGACAAAGATGCTATATCAGATGTAATTAGTCGGACTGTTGGCACTAATGTTCTCGATGGTTGCTTTTCTGAAATCATGGATTGAACCTGACAGACTGGTCCTCATTTGATTTGATAGTCTTGTTTATCTACTAGGCCAGGTGGCTGTCAGCTGTCACAATCTGGGATATAGTGTATATGTGTCACAGTATCCTGTTGTCTTTTCCAGGTAGCACCAGGTTTTAAGCTTCTGATATGAGAAATGAGATTCATGAAAACCCGATCATAACTGTGATATCTAAGTCCATGGAAACACACTCACTGATTCTTTCCTCTCGTGTGTGTGTGTGTGTGTGTGTGTGTGCAGACATCTCCAGACAAGGTGGATTATGAGTACAGTGAACTGCTGCTGTATCAGAACCAGGTCCTGAGGGAGGCCGGCCTGTACAAGGAGGCCCTTGATCACCTCAATGAGTACGAGAAACAGATCTGTGACAAACTGGCTGTGGAGGAAACAAGAGGTGGGTGCATGATGTGACACGACAAATGACATGACGTGAAGTTCAAACATTAGGAGCTCCTCAGATATGTTCGACATTAACCAAACTTTAAAATACGTGTCATATCAGTGTTTCTCAAAGATGGTTTCTGTCATAATAGTTCTTATCTGTCATGCTGATTCATGTCCCGGTATAAGGCTGTGATAAACTGCTCTGTTGGAGGAGACAAATGAGGCTCCTGCTGCGCTGGATTATCAGAATATAGAGCTAATACTGTGTGTGTGTGTGTGTGTGTGTGTGTGTGTGTGTGTGTGTGTGTGTGTGTGTGTGTGTGTGTGTGTGTGTGTGTGTGTGTGTGTGTGTGCGTTTGTGTTTGTGTGTGTGTGCGCACAGGAGAGCTGCTGCTAAAGCTGGAGAGACCTGGGGAGGCCTGTGAGGTCTACACCAGACTCCAGGAGAGGAACCCAGAGAACTGGGCCTATTATCAAGGCTTGGAAAAGGCTTTAAAGCCAGGTGAGCACTGCTGTTGGACCCACACTTGTGTGCTGCCGCAGTTCATAATTAAGACTTTTCTCCTAATTTTGGTACTGCTTTGATTGAATTTGAAGGTCTCATTTGTGCGTGAACTTTGCAGGCTCTGAGATGATGCAACAAGAGAAAAATCCAGACTCTTTGGTTTCTAACACCCGGTTACAGCTCTGCTCATAATGTATGTTTGTGTGTGTTGTCCAGGAAGTATAGAGGAGCGTCAGAAGATTTATGAGGAAACCTGGTTAAAGTTCCCTAAAGGCCTGGTTCCCCGAAGACTGCCTCTTAATTTCCTCACAGGTAAACACAGTACAGCCTGCAGCACAGCTAAATACCCCAAACAAACAAAAACCTCCATCAGCAGACAGAGTCACTGTCTGAACCTCCTAATAATACAAGAAACAATGAAAACCTCAACAAAACTCACAAAAGTCCTATAAACTTTGTAGTTTGTAGCTATATGAGCGATATGAAATACGAAGGGAGAAACATCGAAATCAATCAAAAATCTGTGAAGACGGTGTGTTTCTTTATCTTTCCAAAAAACCTGCAGAGTTCAGAAAAGCGCTACAGTGTTCAGAACTTTTTTATTTTTCCAAACTAAAACGTTCAGAATGTTCTGTGTTTAATGAAGCAGAATTGTTCACACACAAACTTTGAAGGTTTCTATCTTTGTGTTAATTTTTGAGTGAAGAACTCCTACTCTAATTCTGTGTCACTCTATGCTGGATGTCAGTACAAACCTCACTTTGCTGTATCTTTACTGTGTGTTGTGTCGGCCAGGAGAGAAGTTTCGTGAATGTCTGGACAGCTACCTGAGGATGAACTTCAGTAAAGGCTGCCCACCCGTCTTCACCACCCTGAAATCCCTCTATACTGACAAAGAAAAGGTAAAGTAGACTCTCATTCAAGGTCTGAGCTCCTGGTGTCATCGCTTCTCACGCTGACCAAGACTTCTGGATTGAACACAAATTAAACCTCTGAGTCTTCATATCAGTTTGATAACTTTGGAGGGATGTCCAGCCCTGCATGGACTAGATGAGATGTCCGTAGCTCTCATTGTTTTACTCGTCTTTGGTTGAACTATTTATCAAATATCCACAAATACATACAGCGAGTGCGCAGTTTCACATTGAGCTAAATTTGTCACTGACCTGGAGGAGAGATTAGAGGTTGTCATTGAAGATTCTTCCACACATTGCAGCTTCTCTGACCTGAACCCAACCAACTCTCCTGAGCTCGTGTGTTTTCACCCTTTGAACTGCGATTCCCTGGAGAATAAGCTGCTGTAAAATGGTTGTTGTTTCTGGAATCTGACAAGCTGTTAGGCAAACCCAGAACTCTACTACATTACATCAATTCATGTTACATCGTGAATTGAGTGACAGCAGATGTAAGTAATCGAGCAAGATGCTAGCTCAAATTGCTGAGCTGCGACCCATTAAAAAGTTCCCAGATCAGCTCCAGTCTTATCTTTGATATCAGGACTGAGACATGCTGAGTTAAAGTGTTGGAGAACAGATTGTGCCCGGCGCTTGAATCATCAGATTTTGGTCCTTACAGTGAGTTAGTTTTATAAAAAAGAAACATACTGTTTTCTTTTTGCAGATACCAAATCTACTGATATGCCAAAGTTCCTGGGTGAACAGATTCTCAGTTTTATGCCAAATCTGTATAAGACGATCATTGTGGAGCAATCTGAGCTTCAGTGACTTCCCCGCTCTCATTTAAATATGTCGAATATCACCTCAGGCTGCATTTGAGGAATCTCAGATCCAGACGTTTTTTTGAGACAGCTCCAGTTTCCATATTGAAATACTTTTTCAGAAATTCAGCTTGACTTGAGCTTGTTTTCTCCACACACAGGTCACAATTATTGAAGAGCTAGTGGTGGGCTTTGAAAGGTGTCTAAAAAGCTGTCGGATGTTTAGTGAAAACGGTCAGTACTGTGTGATCCATAAATGGCTTTCTTGTCTTTGCTCTGAGTTTATTTGTGCTGTTTGGATTCATTTCTGATGTTGAGATGTTTCTGGAGCTGACTGTTGTATAATGTGTGCACAGATGATGGGAAGGAGGAGCCTCCTACCACCTTGTTGTGGGTACAGTACTTCCTGGCCCAGCACTTTGACTTCATAGACCAGCCCAGCCTTGCGCTGGAGTACATCAACACGGCCATCGACAGCACGCCCACACTCATCGAGCTCTTCCTCATCAAGGCCAAGATCTACAAGGTCAGTATCATCTCCACGGAGACCTCATCAACAGGAAGTTTGATGCTTTAATGAAGTTTGTCATAGAAAGGGATACTCCACCAGTTTTTTCTTCTACAGGACAGACGACCCTCATTTGCTGAATTTGAACATTAAACAGACACTAATGAGAATCTCACTTAGTCTAAGAGTGTCCAGGACCTCCTTAAAAATGTTCAATTGAACTGTTTTTTTTAAAAATGTATTTATGAAAAAGTAAAAAAAAAAAAAAACTTAATCTGTAGCATGCAGCTAGAAGTTTTTTTTTTCTTCTTTTAACATGAAACAAACAGTAATTTGTTCCTCTATTGTTTCAACCTGTGAACTGACCGATCAACCAAAAGTCACATTTGTTTCTCATCAGTTTAACATCTAACAAGTCCCCCTTTTCTTCCCTTTCCTCCTGCAGCATGCAGGCAACATAAAGGAAGCAGCACGGTGGATGGATGAGGCTCAGGCCCTGGACACCGCCGACCGCTTCATCAACTCAAAGTGTGCCAAGTACATGCTGAAGGCTAGCCTCGTCAAAGAAGCAGAGGAGATGTGTTCCAAGTTTACACGAGTGAGAAACAGAAGCCCCTTCTTACGTTTTGAGATGATTTCAAACATCTAGTCTCTAAATCTTAGCTGATTTGATTTTCTCACATGCACCTCACTGGACATTAATTGGACAGGGGGGCCAAGGTTGCACATGCAGAAGGAGATGTGTTCAATAATGATGCTTGTTTCTATGTATATATAACTAATATGTTTAATCATGATACAAACGTGATAGTAGAAAAGAAAACAGACAACTAACGTGAGCAACAAAGAGCAAACACAAAGAGACTCCTCTAGATGTTCAGAGTCATGAGCATTCACACTGACTCACCTGGAATGCTGCAGGTCATAACATGCTGGATCAGCACATCAACTCACACTCAGTACGTTTATATGCAGTTTAAAAAAAATGATTGACAGATGAAGAAAAGACATAAAAAAAGACAAACAGCACAGACCTGTTAAAATGATAAAAGTGTTTTTATCATCCAGCTTTCATCCCGTCAGTATATCGATCAGGAGACGACCACATAGAAAGAGGCTGACAATATCATCTCAGTGAACTGATCACAAGTGGACAGGTTTAAGCACAGCTGTACATGTGGTGTGTTGAAGTGTGTGTTTGTGTTTTCAGGAGGGGACGTCTGCGGTGGAGAACCTGAATGAGATGCAGTGCATGTGGTTCCAGACGGAGTGTGCCTTGGCCTACAAAGCCATGAATAAACTGGGAGAAGCTCTGAAGAAGTGCCATGAGATCGAGAGGGTGAGCTTCTCCTCTAATCTGCTCCAGCTGTCACCAGTTCCTTCCCCCTCCCCTTAACCTCGCCGGTGTCCATTTCCACCTTCAGTCTTTTCAAACGTATGGTTCAGAGATGAAATCCACATGTGATTCAAGCTTCATGTGTTTCTGTGTGGCCTCACAATCAGCTGAAACTGACGCGGTAACGGATCACACTTGGTCGGGTCTGTTCTGACTGCCCTGTACTGTTTGGACCATGTGTGATCTGTGAATGTGTGCAGTAACAAGTAGTGAGCTTTGAGAGTGTTTACAGCGACAGAGTACTGGAAACACTCAGTCATAAGGTAAACTTCTGTTGTCCCTTCTTCAAGTTTAAAGTCAGCTGATAACAATAACATGAAGCGTCTCTCTGCACGCTCTGTGCATGACTCGACCCTCTTTGATATGAGCTCGGTGGTTAAGTATCTGGATAAAACGATTTTACCTCCTTGAAGGTGTGTTTTAAACGATGACTCACTCATCCTCAGATAATCTCTTTTTACACTCTCTATGATCCGGGTTAAATAAAGGCAGTTAATAGTAGGGTTGGGTATCGAGAATCGAGAATCGATGGGAATCGGGACTAAAACTTCGATTCTTCCGGTATCGTTCAAATATTAAAATTTCGATTCCAAGTTTCGATGCCAGAGTCTGCCGACCGGAAGAAATAGCCGCCGAAAATCAACGAAGAAGAAGCCGCTTAACACTAACGAGGACGGAGCGTATGAGACGAAGCCACACAGAAAGTGAATAGAGACAGAGAGAGAAAGTACATTGTAACCCACAGCAATGCAGCCGCTGTGGGTTACAATGTAATCTCTCTCTGTCTCTCTCCTCTCTCTGTGTGACTTCGTCTCATACGCTCCGTCCTAGTTGGTGTTCGGCAGCTTCTTCTTCGTTGGTCAAAAGTTTGGCTAACTTTAGCAGGAAGAATGAGCTCTTATCTCAATGCAACATTAGCAATACAGTTATATCATGCAAAGGAGGGTAAACGACCAACGTGATTAAACACCTCAGGATTCATGGAGGAGAAATACCCGAGTGCTCGTCTTTGATGCGCTTCGCCAGTGTTATGCCAGAGAATGCACCCCTGCCGTAGAATGTCCCCCTGACGGGAGCGCGGTTGAAAGTACACAACAAGGCGAAACAATCCAAGTTTTCCTTACCGTTGAACGGAATCTAAAGCGTGTGCCTTTAATGATTTCCTTCAGGCTATTCAGATATGCCGAAAACAACGGCCCTCTGATTCAGAATATTTACTGTCCGGAAAATATAATGTTCTGTACCTTAACAGCTAACTGTACAGTTTATATACCCAAGTACACCTCTATATGTGCATTTTTGAGACACATAAAAACAAAACGAAAGTTTACTGCTCCATTTGACATGTTTTCATGATCTAATACTCGTGTTTTTTTAAATATGAGATCATTGTCTTCCACTTTAAGAAGCTAATCAGTGGAGGGGAGGCATTCTACGGCAGGGGTGCATTCTACAGCACAACACCTGTCTTCCGCTAACCAGTCAGGATCAGATAAGTGAAACAATAAATTACTTCTGTCCTCTGCTAACTTTGAAGCAGTCAACTTGCACTGAGTACGGTGGGTCAACTTAAATATCCAACTAACGTTAGCCCTTGTGCTTTTTCATAGACAAACGACCTGACAACAAAAAATGATATTTATATACTGATTGAAAATAGCCCTGTGAGAAATTCATAGTAAAGTTCCTAAAAAGTTAATATGATTTAAAAATTCATGGAGAAGTTCAGAAATTTCATCCAAAAAGAAGAGCTCCGGTTAGCGCCCTCATTCAAACCATGCTTTTTTTTTTTATGATATCCTGCCTTTTAAAAGAATCGAAATAAAGAATCGATAGGAATCGAATTCGAAATGAGGAATCGAAATCGGAATCGGAATCGTTCAAAATCAAACGATACCCAACCCTAGTTAATAGTTGTATGGTCTGAACCTGCTTCTTGAATTCCTCTAACAGTCGCAGATCTAAACACTGGCCTCCTCTTCTTCTTCCTCCTCTCCTTCATTAGCATTTTGTGGAGATCACAGACGATCAGTTTGACTTCCACACGTACTGCATGAGGAAAATGACGCTGCGCTCCTATGTGGACCTGCTGAAGCTGGAGGACGTTCTACGGCAGCATCCCTTCTACTTCAAAGCTGCTCGAACAGCCATCCAGATCTACTTGACGCTGCACGACAAACCTCTGACAGACGATAGCAAGGAGAGCCAAGCAGACACTGGTCAGTGTGTGTGTGTATTAGTTTGTCTGTTTGTCCATGTGCATGTGTGTGTGTGTGTTGGCCCTCTAAAAAGTTTGTTTTCAGGCTGTGAGTAAAGTGTGTGAACATGCAACTGTAGAAGAACTGGGCCTGAATATTAAGACACGGAACAGACGAAAAGCAAAGTCAGAGACCAAAAGTTTCTGTTAATTCTTTGCAAACACCATAACCCTCAAATTGTCAGATATTTGTGGTGCACAGGTGGAGGGACTGGCAGGAGTTTTAGACAGTCAGACTTTATCATTCTCTCATGGACTTTTAGAGCCTGTTGAATAATTTAGTCTTCGAGACACGTTTCCTGTCATCAGTCACTCTAAATAATGTGAAGAGGAAGATGTAAAAACTAATCAAAAATGTATTTATGAGAGCGCCACAGATGAAGCGGTCACTACTGATTCTAACAACCAAAGCACTAATCTTGATGTCCACCAGAGGGCGCCCTGACCAGTTAAAATCTTCATCACAGCAGCACAGACAGACACTGGGCAACACTGGAGCTTATTGATATGAGGTAGTGAGGGATAATCACCAAATAATATTTCTCATCTGTTTAACATAATTTACCGTACCGCTCTCTGTAGAGAACCTGACAGACAAAGAGCTGAAGAAACTGCGAAACAAACAGAGGCGAGCTCAGAAGAAGGCGCAGCTGGAGGAGGAGAAGAAGAACGCCGAGAAGGAGAAACAGCTGAAGAATCAGAAGAAGAAGAAAGAGGATGACGACGAGGAGATCGGCGGGCCGAAGGAGGAGCTAATACCTGACAAACTGGCCAAGGTGAGCTCATTGAGTGTGTGTGATCACAGGGCGTGATCAGTTCTTGGCGATCATCTGATTTCAGTGTTTACTTCCACTTCTGTAATGTGTTATTAGAAAAAAAAACAACCTTTACACGATTCTGTCATGAGTTCTTGAGTCAATCTCACCAAATGTAAACATATAACAGATAAAAATCATGCTGTTAGATATCTGCTCAAGTCATCAGGTAACTCCAAAAATCAGACAATGATTGATTTTGTAGTGTGCATGTAAACACACTCATTTGTACCTGTTGTTACAAGCTGCACATAATAACCTGCTTAGAGTCTGACTGCTAAAGATATCACGGATTGCTCACTTCTTCTTCCAGCCGGAGAATCCTCTGGAGGAGGCGGTGAAATTCTTGATCCCCTTGAAGAACCTTGTGAGGAACAAGATTGAGACCCACCTCCTGGCCTTTGAGATCTACTTCAGGAAAGGTCAGACTGCAACTGCCAAAGCGCATGAAAATACCTTTCACTCACACTTTGGGTGGTCTTGACTGTTTCCTTCATTCCTCCAGAGAAGTACCTGCTGATGCTGCAGTCCATAAAGAGGGCCGTCCCCATCGAGCCATCCCACCCGTGGCTGCACCAGTGTCTTGTGCGCTTCTTCAAAGGAGGTGAGTGGAAAGTGCAGATTTAATTGAATCAAATCTCATCATTCGTTTGAGAGGAAAATACCTGTTATGATCCATGAAGATGTCTGGGTAGTGGGAGAAACAGATCAGCTGCCTACACGGTGCTGAGATGTCATGGTGGATCATGTTCTGCCTTCTCCATACAGACTGTTTTTGCTGCAGACACCATGACTTCACCATGATGATACCTGATTGATCAATACTGCACAGACTACAAACGTACCACAGACAAACATTAGTGCAACAAAAGACAAATAGGAAACTGAATGAAAGAGTGAGTCAAGGTCGAGCCTTTGGTCAAGTTTACAGATATTAGCAGATTGAATAGTCTGATCTCCTCCATATGTCGAACAGCTGATGAAGGAACACCCCTACTCCAGCCCCCTTTTGTTATGATCTAATCGAGCAGATTTGTGATAAGTGTTGTTGCCCTGATGATGGATATTACAAAGATTTAAAAATGTAAACTAGGACATTAAAAGTCATGCATGTGATAAAAAAGGTGCAGTATTGTGAAATACTGACAGGTTTGCGAAAGCTGCAGATTCTTCCAGAGACGTAACTCTGATGTATATGCCTCATTTTAAACGTAGACTTTTGTGTGTCTGTGTGTGTGTGCGTGTGCAGTGGATGAGAGCGCCGACTTGGCAGAGGCAGTAAGGACCGTTTTGAAGCAGGAGATCTCCAGACTGTTTGGAGAAAGCAACCCTGAGAGCTTCAACAAGAACTACCTGAGCCAACACTCCAACTCTATCCCACACCGACTGGCTGGTACTACACACACACTCTTACACGTACACACTCAACACACAGAGACAGACAGACAAGAAAGGACGCATCAGTATTGTCAGTAACCAGTGGAATCAAATGTGTTTTTATATGATATAGATTTTACACCTGAGGTGAGGATCAAATGCTCAAATGCTGTTTATCTAGTTTTATGCCCCGTTCTCCAGCAAATAGACAGTCACAATAAGAGTGACAGGTCAAGTTTATAATAGAATAACTGAAGTTGATTATAACTGTAGCTGGAAAACAAACAAAAACAAAAGACAATGAAATATGCTCTAGTTCCAGAAAGTGGAGTTTTCAGCTGATGTACAAGCTGCATGTCTGAAGGAGCTTTATTTTGAAACAGCTTGTGATCAGTGTGAGTCTCTGTCCTGTACCCACAGCTGCTAAGATGATGGTCTACCTGCAGCCGTCCTCTGATAAGATGGCCTGTGAGATCGCTACAGCCCTGGACGAGTCTCTGTCCGGTAGAAGCATCCAGGTGAGTGATAAGTTACAAAAACCTTTACTTCCAAACATGTACTCTGGTGTGTGTTCATATGTGTGTGTTCATGTGTGTGTGTGTTTCCTGCAGATCTGTACTGAGGTGCTTGAGGCGCTGCGTGAAGGGCAGCTGGGCGAGGACCAGCAGAAGGCAGCTGAGGCCTACCGGGCTGCCTGCCATAAGATCTTCCCCTACAGCCTGGCGTTCATGCCCCCCGGTTACCATGACAACAGCACCTCAATCAGTGCCAATGGCGACTTGTCAGCAGGAGAGCATGATGACATGGCAAACGAAATTTGAGCTCTGACAATAGGAGGGAGAGAAGGAAGTGGAGGTGAAGGAGGATGTGGGAAAACGCCAGACACTGTAGTCCGCCAACACACCCAGCCCCCCGCCTTCCTCCTCCTCCTCTTCCTCCCTTCTCCCCCTGCTATGGCTGCTGTGAGTCGCCCCCCCCTCCCCACATTGCACTGATCTGGATGGACTGAGCGCCTGAGGAGGTACAAGGAAAGGAGCTGGCACATGCAGGAAGACAAACTTTTTTAAGTGATAAAAAAGGCCCCTTCCACAGATGATCTGCCACTGTAAACAAAAACAGATAAATACAGGACGAGGAGGCAAAGGGGATTCTGGGAAAAAGTGGACATTGGATGGCTTCAGTAAACACAGTCCAGGTTTTCTACGACTCCTGTGTTCTCACGCCATGTTCTTCTTGAAGGTGCATCTGCCTCTCACGTTTTTAAAAGTAATTTATATATTACAAACTGAGAAATGGATTAATAAAAACAATGTTTGCTAAACCAAAGAGTACCATTGTGACAGTGGTGATATTAAGGGGGGTTGGGGATGTTCTTACAGTGTGAAGTTGATCCAAGAGAGTACTAACAGCAGTTATTACCTGGAAACAAGCGGGACAGGCCTGAATGAGCTGCAGAAACGTCAAATGTAATTTTATTTACCCTTTATTCAACCAGGTAAGCCCCAGGCAGATATAAACTGTGCTTTTTAGGAGACGTGGCCACAACAACGGCAAAAAACACCAAGTAACAGACACAGATACACAGGGAACTAGAACACACAACACAATAAACTGCTTCACATCAGGGCTGTTGCAACAGTTTTATTGGTTTAAATATCGTGAACAGTGAAAAGCTCTGATATTCAAAAGCTAAAATCAGTTTCTGAGCAGTGTTTCCCCCTCTTATCATTTGGAGAGATGGCCTCTCCAGTTCCATCCTGCCACTCCAAGAGAAATATGCAACAAGTATTGTATGGCAGTCCTTTATGTAGCTCATGTGTCTTTGTTTCAGTTCATCGGCACGGACAAATGATGTTTCTGCTCTGCTCACATGCTAGCTCCACTCTCATCATTCATGCTCCACTCACTTATCCAAGGGCTTAATATTAATTTCAGCCTGTAAAGTATGAGCCTTACATCTGCCAGTGAGAACACAAAGAACCTGTTTCACCATGAGATCAGGTTTTCACCTCACTGAAATCATGGACATAAACTATCAACATATTGATATCATTGCCATATTCATGAAGAGTTGATAATAAAACAAAATTCAAGAGTAACACATTAATAAACATAACTAGTCAATACAATTACCTTACATGTCATCATCCTGTTCTCCTAATGTTCAAATGTATGATTTATCCCCTTCACCAGTCCTGTACCTGATACTACTTTGGAACAGACTCCACCCTACAAACCAGTTGCATGCTTTCTTTTTTATTTATTCATAGATTTTTTTTTTTTTGTCTTTTATTTAGGCTGTTTTATTTCCTGTATGGTCAAATCATGCTTTTATTTTGAAATGTACTTCGTCTGGTAGACTTGAAGCAACAAAACTGAAAGAAAACCACGAGGACCCCTACCATGAACTCACTTTTTTGTATGCTTATTTTTAGCATGATTTCATTATGTAAATTTTTCTTTGGAAAGACAGTTAACCTCAATTTTGGTGTATTACAATAGCCCTACTTAACATGAGTTTATAATCACCTTTTTATCATAAAAAAATAACTTTTTGTTTATTGAGAAATTCACCTTTTATATCTACATTGGAGCAGGTCGCTGGAGGCCCGACTCTTTGGCTTCTAGTTCCTGCCCTATCCTTCACTTTTCTCCTCTGAGTACAGGCACAACAACAACCCTAAAAATCTCATCTAAACCATGTCTATATACTTTACACTGAACGCTCTACTCCTACACTGACATGCTACATAAATCAAAAATAAGATTCTTGCCTTAAAAAAACACACACAAAGCAGAATCACTGGGACAGAGGAGATAAGGAGACATAGACATAAGGAAGAGAACTATCAATAAAACATGTCTGATGATTTTAAACCAAAAATAACTGAGTGGAATATCTTACATTTAAACATCAAGATCTGTAAGATAAAACAAGCTGGAAATCATCATCAAATTCACCACCATCATTATCATCATCTTCATCATCTCTTCCTTTGCTGTTTCACTGATACAGAGACCTTCATTGGTAATATCTTCAGAGGAGTTGACTCATCAGTCCAAATGAATGGAAACAGTTTGTCAGTGAAAATGTGTGTGAAGGTGTGTATGTGTGTGTTGGTATCAGGATCAGAGAATGACAGCTTTCCTCTGTCCCAGTCCAGATGGACTCTGATCCTATGAGGACGTCCTTTCACTGACAGATCAACACGACCACCTGATGGAGTTATTGCTCCGTATTTATTGTTCCAAGACACTATTCTCCATAATCCTGAGTTAATGTTTCTCTTCCTGTTCGCAAACTCCTCAAACACACCTACTTCCCAACACATGGTCTCTCCAACCTCGACATCCCAGCTGTGAGTCTCTGAGTTAAAGCCCTCAGAGCCCAGGACAGAAAGGTAATGAATCCTCTCTGGATTATCAGGAAGCTGCTGCTCGTCTCCTCGTCTCACAATGGTCAGATCTTTAGACAGGATAAGCTCTGGACCAGCAGTGTTTGGGTCCAGGATCACAGGACTGTAGGAGACCATGTCCTTCATCTTGTTCCAGATGTTGAAGCCCAGGTTGCCCAGGTGTTTGGCCACATCTATCAGAGCTCCTGAAGGCAGCTGTGGATCCTCCAGCAGGGGACGCTGCTGGACTCTTTCCACTGCAGCCTTGTAGTTTTTCAGGAATGAGACGTCTGCATCTCTCAGCTCCTCCTCTGTGGCTCTGACTGTGTCTGAAAGAGCTGCCATCTCTTTGCTCACAGCCTCCACCTACTCCTTCATCCTCTGACTCTTCGGCTCCTCTTCCTCCCTCAGAGCACAGATTCTGGCCTCCTCTTCCTCTTCTAGATACTGTCGAAACTTCTTAAACTGCTGCTTTAAATCCCTCTCTGTGTTTGCAGCCCAGGCCTTGATGTGGTTTCCTGTTTGATCACAGTTCTTCTTGATTTCAGTGAGACTCTCCAGTTTTTTCTGTAAACGTTTCAGGTTTTCCTGGAGCTGGTCTCTCAGATCTTGAGCAGCTTCATCCATGGGTCTGAATGTGTGGTTGGCGTGTATTTTAGAGTCGCAGTATTCCAGTATTTAGCTGCCGTCTCTCTGTGGACGTCGTCTCTCCTATTTCTCCAAGTGAAAATCCGTCAGTGTGTGTGTCTGCAGAGATAAAGACTGCTTCCTGGTTTGTCTGGTTAAGATGTAACAGGGTTTTTATTTGTCTGTTTATGATATTAAAGTCTAAGAGGAGTGGAGATGATCAAGTTACTCATTCATGGACAAAGTGTTTGTATCACTGTTAGAATAACACTTTTCTACTTCTGTTTTCATGGAGGAGATTAATACAAATCTCCAAATCTGAGGATTTTCATTGTTTATTTCCTACCAGGAGGATGTTTGAAGAGAATGAGTTGTAAGGCAGTCACAGAAATAAACTCATGAGTTTGTCTCCTCCCTCTTTCCAGATCAGATATTTTGACAGTTGCAAATACAGCCTACTGGCTGGTCAGTGCTGTCACATGAGAGTACCACAGATATATAAACTTATTCAACTTAATGTGTTTATTTTTTTCACGTTAAATGGTGTTTGCAGCTCATCACATGTTCGATCAATCAATCCAGCCTAACAACCAGGACATGACTTGAGCTTTTTTACTCTCCAGCCACTGTGACCATTATGTCTCTAAAGTTACAGGCCACAAATGTAATATGATAGCAATAATATATTAAACATCAAGATCCTAAAGACAAAACAAGCTGAAAAATCACCACCATCATCATCTTCATCATCTCTTCCTTTACTGTTTCACTGATACAGAGACCTTCATTGGTAATATCTTCAGAGGAGTTGACTCATCTGTATAAATAAATGGAAACAGTTTGTCAGTGAAAGTCTGTGTGAAGGTGTGTATGTGTGTGTCAGGATCAGAGAATGACAGCTTTCCTCTGTCACACTAGCCTGGCTGGGCCATCCTGTGGCGTGAATCACTTGCCGTTCCTTCCCACAACAGTCTGGACTTCGGCCCATTGGGAGCGTGTATTAGCCACAGACAGTACATATATATGTTTTTTTTCTCATTGTTTGTTGAGTTTTATAAACTTTAGATGGTGGATTCAGTCTGAACATGCTGACCGTGGACGTCCAGAGTCTGAACCCACAGACTCGTGCTGTCCGTCGCCGGGTGCGGTGGCGCGCGCCTGTAATCCAAGTCACCGGGAGGCTGAGTCTGGAGGATCGTTTGAGTTCAGGAGCTCTGAGCTGCAGTGGACTATGTCGATCGGGTGTCCGCACTAAGTTTGGTATCGATATGCTGATCCTGGGGGAGCCCGGGACCAGCAGGTCGTCTAAGGAAGGGTGAACCGGCCCAGGTCGGAAACGGAGCAGGTCAAAGCCCTCGTGCCGCTCAGTAGTGGGTTCGCGCCCGTGAATAGACGCTGTAGTCCAGCCTGAGTGATACAGCGAGACTCAGACTTTTGACCACTGACTAACAAACATTTATTCTACGGTCAACGGTAGAGTGTGTACCGGTTACAACAGCTTCAGCACAACAACTCAACATTCTTGTTTCATCCAAACCTGTACGGAGCAGCTGTGTGTGTTTGTCCTACAGCGCCTCCACCTGGTGGACTCGAGCAATGACCATCAGACACATCAGTAATTCACGCAGCTCACATCCACTACATTATCAGGTGTCATTTAGTAAAGAAAGAAGAGGAATTGGAGAGATTTAGTGGTAAGACTAATAGATTTTCATACCAAACATCTCACACTCAGATATTTGGCATGTTATCTTCGAAATAAAACTGTATGGGAGATATGTAAAAGCTAACTTTCAGGTTATTTAATGAAAATATGACATGTCCCTGATGAAGACTTGTCAAGATTGGAGAACTAAAACTGGTCATGTAACTGGCACAAATATTACATCGCTAAGTATTTAGAGAACCGCAGAGCAACCTGGACACTCCAGCACACAGCTAAACTCCAACTTTTAGGACTTCATGTTTTTCACAAGATTTGAATATTTCCTCTATGCTGTGCTTCTTTTTAAAGTGAAACATTATAAACAGGAAAATAACCTGTTTTGGATACTGTGCTGTAAAAATGTTATGCATTTTAATGCAGTACTTGAGGAGTTGGGAGACCAACTGCAGTCTACAGTAATCAGGGGTGAGTCAGCTGTTTTTTTTTCATTTGTGTTTGTAGTCACTTGGGAAAGTGGGAGGAGGTGTGATTTGGCTGCAGCTGTCTGCTGCTACAATGCACCTCCGTTTGTGTTCATTCTGCACATTCATGTTGACAGAGGTGTGTGCTGGTAGGGTGTGTGGGTGTGTGTGTGTGTGTGTGTTTTAATTGGGGCATTATTATCACATGCTTTTAATCGATGAGCATATATTGATGATCATGTCATGTCATGTCAGCGTGGGCCACAAAAAGTCATTCGTAACAATTGGGGGCTGGGTGACCTCCGGATGACCTATAACACAATATTTAATAACTTAAAAACCATAGCAGCACAAACGAAAATTTTAACGGCACGAACCAGCACAAACGAAGCAGAATATTTTCCCAAATTTTTGCGTGGGGTGGGGCGCAAGCTTCACGCAGGTTTCTTGAAGGGAAGGATTGATTCTTCAAGAGGTGAATAAAAATATCCAAAGCTGAGGGTTTGTATATTTGATTTACTGCCAGCAGAAACATTTAAAAGAAGGATTGTTTAATAGTACATCATGTGTTTTGGAAATGTTTTCATCACAGTCACATGGAAAACTAATGAACTTCTGTTACAAGTTAAAAAGAGTTAATAACTGTTTGTATGACATGACTTGAATGCAGCATGACACATCTGCATACAGAGACTGTTAAAGCAGGCCTGAGTGCTGGTGTGTTCAGGGATGATAATAATGGCATGCTCCGAAGCTGCAGTTTATCAAACCCAACTCAAATCCAACGCAGAGGAAGAAGTATTTTTTTGTCTGCATTGGTGCCACGTGATGTCAAGGTCATGAGGTTTGCAGGTACCTGAGTGTATGATGATGGATGAGAGTGGTCCACCAATGCAGTGCGGTGTGACACAGTCTTCATGAACCCATTACAAAAAATTACTGAAACCTTTTTCAAAAAACAAGAATCAGGTGAAGAAGAGAGTTCAGAGATCAGTCTTTGCTGGATGAAGCTCTACTCCTCTCTCTACCTCCCAGGAACACAGCCCAGTCAGAGTCTCCACCCACAACATGTTTCAACCACACTGGATCATCAGCACACAGCTGGTCTTCTGCCAACATATCCACCTTTTGGATTGTTCACACTGCGACAGAGATTACTTCCAATAGCTGTGAGAAGAGGACAGACAAAAGGAACAATACATCAGTGTTAATCAGTCAGCATGTCCAGTTTAGAGACCAGCATAGACATCTCAACAGGACGCTGGCACACTGTGGACATGAGCTGCTGAGAGACCCTGAACGAATCATAACTACAAAAAGAGAGAAAAAAAACAGTAATGATCCACTTTTATTAGAATTTGAAGTAGATACTCAGAAACATTTAAATACTTGTATGAGGAATAAAGCCAGATAGTCAATGTAATAATTTTATGGACACTGACTGGAGGACAGAGCTGGTTGTTCCTGAGGGTTTGAATTATACCTGAAATGATCATTATGATCTAATTAGATTTAGCAGGCAACACAGCATCATTGCAGTGATACTAACTGTGGTTAGTGCAACACAGCTAAAACCAGCACGGACTGACTTCTACTGACCTCACGTCCTCCAGTCTGTAGTGTGGGTTCCTCACAAGATCACACAGCCGGCTCAGTCCTGCACCCTGCAGACCGTTGTTTCTCAGCTCCAGCAGTGTCAGATGGGAGGGGTTGGACTCCAGAGCTGAGGCCAGAGAGACACAACTGTCCTCTGACAAACTGCAGCTCTCCAGTCTGAATGAAGAGTGAAAGGTGATGATTTAAGTCCACCTTAATACCAGGCTTTCTTGCTGAGTTAAATACCTGATTTTGAATGGTCAGAAACCCTTGATAACCCCTTGTTAACAGTACTGGCATGCTAAACTGGTGGTTAAACAGACTCCAAAACTGCATTATCAGCCTTTGACTGCAGTTTAGAGTCAGTATGACTTTCACACCACAACCCAGAAATCTTAGCACAGGAGGAGAAAAGATTTCTGACCTCAGGATCTCCAACATACAGCGAGGACTCTCCAGAAAACCACACAGCTGTTTTACTCCTGAGTCCTGCAGGTCATTGGAGTTCAGGTTCAGGTCTCTCAGATATGAGGGGTTGGACTTCAGAGCTGAGCCCAGAGAAGCACAACTGATCTCTGAGAGTTCACAGTCCTCCAGTCTGAATAAAGAATAAATCACATTTATTTAGTAGTAGTGACAGTAGTGCTGTTTGAAAGTATCAAATTAGGATCAGTCTCTTTTAAAGTGATTACCCAGCTGTGCTTGGCTCATAAGTGACAACAGTAATTCATCCTGATAAGTGGTTGACCAACAATGAGAGAGCAGGTCCACTCATGACTGATATATAATCCAATAACAGGTTTTTCCATGTAAAAAATACAACAATTTCATAACTCTTAAAAAAAGAGAAAGAAGATTGCATAATTTAGGTGAACACTGATTCAAATAAACAGAATGTTGTCTATTCTTTTGGAGGGCTGATGCAGATCTGATGTGATTTCAATTGTCATTCATTGACCGCGGTTAATCAGCTGAAAGATTCATCTGTGAAAAAACTGTTACAGCACCTCTCCTGTACTATTAATGTTTTTTTTTTGTTGACAATGTGAGATACATTTACTTTCCAAAAGCATCTTTGAATAACATGGGGTATATTTATTAGTCTTACGCTCAATTGTAAAGCAGCTTTGGTGGTTAATGGTTGTGAAGTTGCCGGCAAAGGAAAAAAGATGAGAAGCAGGACACAACACAGATATGAGAAAGAGATGTCAAAACACGACCAAACCAGGGAAATCAGACACAAGTTGACCATAAACCACAGAGAGCTATGGACTCAGACAGAGTTACAGGGAAGCTACACTTCATTGATCATATAGAGCAAAATGAGTGTGACACAGCAAGCAGCACATCATCATTCAGTCTAAATTATCATATTTTTATGATCATGGGGAGCCTTAATCACCATTGAAATTGAAACCTCATAAATCCTCCAGCTCTAACATTATCCCTTACATAATCTGTTCAAAGTTCTACTACATGTTGAAGTGCTTAATAGTCTGTAATGGAGATCAGGGTAAAAAAAGATCCAACATCAAAGAGGACCACTGAATAACATCATCCTTTAATCATCAGGATTATGCCTCCTTCGGAGAACTACTAGCAGCACAACTCTCGCATCAGATTCATCTCTGCATAGAAGTATAAAATATGAGTGTCTCACCTCAGAGTCTCCAACATACAGAGAGGACTCTCCAGAAAACCACACAGCTGCTCCACTCCTGAATCCTGTGAGTAATTGCTACACAGGTCCAGCTCTCTTAGATGGGAGGGGTTGGACTTCAGAGCTGAGGCCAGAGAAGCACAGCCGATCTCTGTGAAACTGCAGGCCTCCAATCTAAACCATGAAAAAATGACAAAACCTTAGTGAAGATTTAGTGACATCAGTTCTTCATTTACACAAGTGCTCACTTTTAATCAACAAGCTATTAAGCATAGGCTTGAGGTAACACTTCTCTTATTGTCTTGAGACTGTCTCTCCCCTCCCAATTCCTTTTTCCATGTGTACACGGACCAAATAAGACACACCAAGGAAACCAGAGTGCACTGCAGGTATTGGCATTTGAAGGAGACATTACTGCTAGCTGAATGTGTGTGCCTGCAGTTCGAAAAACTGAAGTGAGTTAGTTTTATGCATAAAAACGTTTGACTCCAAAGAAGTGGACACAAAGTTAAATGAGACCAGAATGTGATAAAAAAAACTAAAATGAAATAGATATAGGCGGAAACAGAGAAGGTTTTATTTGTCTGGAATAAAAGCTTTAGGATTATAAACAGAATATTGTCATTTACTTTAAGGATCTCTAGGGCTCTTAAGTTGTATGACCCTTCAAACTGTGTTCATATTGTTACAACTGTCTCAAATCCTCCTCTTGGACTCTCCTGAAGTATGAATGGATAGAGGTCTTGGTACCCCTCAGGCAAAAGGGGTACAACAGGCCTTGTGTCTGCTTGTGTTTTATGGTACCAATACCCAGAGAGGGATTGTGCCTCCTTCAGTGAGCTACTAAGAGCAGTACTCACAAGAAATCACAAGTGAATCATTATAATATCAGCCTTTAATCTGCAGTATAATGTCAGCACATCTCTCGGATCAGATTCACCTCAACATAGACGTAAGAAAAATATGGGTGTCTCACCTCAGAGTCTCCAACAAACAGAGAGGACTCTCCAGAAAACCACACAGCTGCTCCACTCCTGAATCCCGCAGCTCATTTAATTTCAGGCCCAGCTCTCTCAGATGGGAGGGGTTGGACTTCAGAGCTGAGGCCAGAGAAGCACAGCCGATCTCTGAAAAATTGCAGTCCTCCAATCTGAACAAATGATGATGATAAAAATACAAATATAATCTGTTTGTGGTTTTAAGTGGGAAACTTTGCATAACAATTTTTGTAACTGACCTTTCCATTGAGTTACTGCCGATCAATTATTTAGGGTCATCTTTTAAATGTCAAAACAACACCTTTTACTTCATCCATTTGACAGGACTGCCTACCTGAGTCAAGTCTGTTTCTGAGGATTATCACATTGTTGACTTTGCTAGTTTTCTTCTTTTAATATTAGTCTAAGTTTTAGTCTTGAGACTCAAAAGCCCTTTAGTTTGAGTCAACACTTAAACTTGAGTAATACCTGGATTTCTCTTTGTTCAGACTTTGCAGTGCTGCTGTGCTGTCCCTGCTTATCTACCAAGATAAGTCAGATATTCTGTCTGTGGCAGTAATCAAGTATTTTTTCTTGGACTTCTCTTTTTTGTGGACATCTCTGGACAGGCACTCAGTTTAGCAACTCTCATCTGCATCTTAATCTTCGATGATTTATAGTTCATTGTTACTGCCAAATCTCAAGTTAAGTTTGCTCTCTAAAATATCTCCAAATGTGGATAAGGAGGTTTGGGACACAGAGCCATGAATGGTATTAGCAGACAAAAAGCTGCAAACATTAAACATTAAACTGACATCTCCCGGTAGCTGGTTACACCTTAATCAACAAGCAGCTGGAAAAGTTCACAGAAATGAGAAAGAAGCATGGGGGCAGGACTAACTCAGATGAAGGATTAGATGTTCAACAGGAAAATCAGACAAATTTTGAATGTCAGATGTTCCTCCTGCAGCATTTTTATTTTTTCATCATATCATGGACAGGACTAAACCTTCATCTGTGTGAGAAAAAGTCATGAACATACAGTATTTTGTCAGCACTGAGATTAACATGAATCATTAAAAGAGCTGAGACAATGAACTAACTATTGTTGATAATTTTATTTATTACAGAACCTCCTTCTTACACTTTTTCGGGCATTTCAGTAGGTTATTTGGGAGGGAGATTTGCAAGTTTGCAAGGCATATATACTCTGTAAATGTATTATCATAATTAATCTTGATATTAATATTGTTAGTATTTGTAGTAGTAGTATTTGTACTACTAGTTGTAGAAGTATTGCAGCAATCCAATCTATGAAAGGTTCAGTTTATTCAAGCAGACTGTTCCCATCCTCCACACAGAGAGCTGCCATCATCTGGCTGAAGATAAAGCCTAACCAGGAGTAGAACTAAGACTAAAAACTCATCGCTGCTTTACTCACATAAGGGTCTCCAGTTGACAGTTTGGACTCTTCAGTCCAGCAGAAAGCAGCTCCACTCCTGAATCCCGCAGGTTGTTGCAACTCATGTCCAGCTCTCTCAGATGGGAGGGGTTGGACTTCAGAGCTGAGGCCACAACTCCACAGTGAATTTCTGACAGTGCACAGTCAACAAGTCTGTCATGACACACAAGCATGCGTTAAAGGGCTGTCCAGTTATGGCAGAAATCATAATCACATTCATTTGACTGATTTTGAGATCCTGAATACTCTTCATGAGACACATTAACAGTCTTCTACCACTTCAACTTCAAAGCAGTGTTATTCTTGACACTTAGAATTTTTTTTTTTTAGTCATGGGAACCTGGATACGTCGAGCGAATATCAAGTCTGCATCTGAAAAAAAGCTAAATGTGAATGGCTTTTGGGAATTGATTGGTAGTGTTACAGAGTGACTTTGTCCTGCCTGTATTTAAAGCTCATAAGATTGCAAATAGTTCACAAGACATGAGGAAGACTCTTCAGGTTTGCCAAAGCCCTCAAATGAGGGATTATTGACAGGATCCTCAGGATTTCAATAGCGTATTCCTCTCACTTCTCAGCCCTTCAGTAAAATATTTTCAGGCAATAACAAAGTAAAGCACTATTTGAAGAGTAATCAAAAATGTAGAAGTTGTTTTTTAAAGCTTAAATATCACTCACCTTGATTTTTAATATTAATCACGTCTGAACTTACCGAGCCTTCCTGCAGTTCCTCACAGCTGCAACCAGCCTTTGCTGTCCACATTGTGTTGCATAGTATTTCTGCAGGTCCAACTCATCCAGAACCTCCTCTGACATCTGTAGCATGTAGGCCAGAGCAGAGCAGTGGATCTCAGAGCGAATCTTCCATCGTCTCTCACTTCTATTATCTGACTTCAGGAACTCTTGGATGTCCTGATGAACTGAGAGGTCGTTCATCTCAGTCAGACAGTGGAAGATGTTGATGCTTCTGTCAGGAGAGATCTCGTCACTGTTCATCGTCTTCAGGTTGTTGATCACTCTCTGGATGATTTCTGGACTGTTGTCTGTCCAGCCTAGTAGACTTACAAGGAGTCTCTGGTTGGACTTCAGACAGAGACCATGAAGGAAACGAACTAACAGGTCCAGATGACCGTTCTTACTTTGAAGAGATTTTTGCATGACACTTCCCAGGAAGTCCTGCAGCGATGAGTTCCGATTCAAATAGATGCAAAAGGGGTCTTCTAAGAAAGCCTCAAGTATTTCTGTGTTTCCGTTAGTGTGACAGTGGAACAAGTAGACTGCAGCCAGAAACTCTTGAACGCTCAGATGAACAAAGCAGTAGACAGTTTTCTGGAAGATCACACTCTCACTTTTGATGATCTCTGTACAAACTCCTGAGAACAAGGAGGCCTCTGAGACACTTAGACCACACTGCTCCAGGTCTTCTTCATAGAACATGATGTTTCCTTTCTCCAGATGTTCAAGTGCCAGCCTCCCCAACTTAAGGACAACTTTCCTGTCAGAATACATCAGCTCCTGAGGACTTGTCTCATGACCCTCTTCATACTTCTGCTTCTTCCTCTTGGTCTGAACCAGCAGGAAGTGAGAGTACAGGTCTGTCAGGGTCTTGGGCAGCTCTCCTCTCTGCTCTGTGTTCATCATGTCCTCCAGGACTGTTGCAGTGATCCAGCAGAAGACCGGAATATGACACATGATGTGGAGGCTCCTGGAGGACTTGATGTGGGAGGTGATTCTGCAGCACAGATCTTCATCCCTGAACCTCTTCCTGAAGTACTCCTCCTTCTGAGCGTCAGTGAAGCCTCGTATTTCTGTCACCCTGTCCACATATTGAGAAGGGATCTGATTGGCTGCTGCAGGTCGAGAAGTTATCCAGATGAGAGCTGAGGGAAGCAGATTCCCCTCGATGAGATTTGTTAACAGAACATTAAGTGAAGACTTCTGTGTGACGTCAGACACAATCTTAGAGTCTTCGAAACCCAGAGGCAGTCTGCTTTCATCCAGACCGTCAAAGATGAACAGAGGTTTACAGACGGCAAGCGTCTCTGCTGTGACCTCCTGTAATGTTGGATGGAAAACCTGGAGCAGACTCAGAAGACTGTACTGCTTATCTTTGATCAAGTTCAGCTCCCTGAATGAGAGAAGAACCACCAGACTGATATCTTGGTTTTCTGAGCCCTCTGCCCAGTCCAGAGTGAACTTCTGCACGGAGAAGGTTTTTCCAACACCAGCCACACCGTTGGTCAGAACCACTCTGATGTTTTTCTGCTGGTCAGGTAAGGCTTTAAAGATGTCCTGGCACTTGATTGGAGTCTCATGGAGGGTCTCCATCCTGGAAGTTTTCTCAAGCTGTCTTACCTCATGCTCAGTGTTCACTTCTTCGCTCTGTCCTTCAGTGATGTAGAGCTCAGTGTAGAACGTGCTGAGGAGGGTTTCACCTCCTGTTTTATCTGTTCCTTCAGTCACAAATTCACATCTCCTCTTCAGACTGATCTTATGATTATCTAAAACCTCCTGCGGACCACCTGTCAACAACAAAGGGGGGGAAACAATATCCCCTGATAACCTTGAGATTATTTTTATTACACAGAAGATTAATAAAAGGATCTAAAATGTGTCAAAGGTTAAAAAGGTTTTGTGAATAACAGAAATATTTCTTTCCTTCCTAACCTTGGACTGTATGTTTGTGCACATGACACGTTGACCCTTGACAGCTTCCCATCTTAACTTCTCAATGTAGTTGTCTCTTTACCACTACAACATTCCAAACTGATCAAATCATGCAGAATATGTTCACGTAATACCTCACAGACCTTTTTGTCATCAGGAACTACCACCAAAGCACTGAGAATCTGTAATGCACTACAGCTCCCAAATAGAAAGCTGATAAAGCAGCTGATTGAAAAAAAAACAAAAAAAAAACGTGTGAGGTAGAAAATTTTTAACAATAACTTTTCATTCAAGGAATACTTTTTTTTTTTTTTACAACTAAATAGAACATCACTAGAAATAGATGATGATTGATAATGATGAGCTGAGATGATTGGCTCTCTTTTGGGGAATACCAGTTCAATCACAGTTTTTCTCCCTTTTCAAACTAATCAATTTCTGCATGAAGTGCACCAGTATTAACCCTCACTGCTTCTGCTAATCTTTTTCATTGTCACTTACAGAGGTGACACTGTCTGCAGAGTCTGTGTCCATAGCTGATGGAGACTGGATCCATCAGGACGCTCTGACACACAGCACAGAAGGTTGGTCGCTCCATACCAGAAATAGGACTCCTCTTCTTCTTCTTCGCTCTGTGAAGATCAAATTTCTTCATATTATTAAAATGATTTGATGAATTTTGTTGAAAAACACCAACTTTGACCAACACTGTCTGAAGCTCAGATATAACAGAGAACACATGTTTTTGCTGTAAAATTAGCTCGCCTATCTGGAGTTTGACATTGATACAAACTAAGGATGCATGGATCTGATCCTGGGATTGGGTATCAGTGACAAACAGTGCATACTCTAAGCCAGCCTTAGGGCATTCACACAGCCTGATGCTGAGAGTGATATTCACATCAAAAATTTTAAACAGCCATATAAATTGCTTACTAATAAGAAGATGAGATGTTTTTCCATCTAAAATTCCACATCAGATCATATTATCATTGGCTGGATCATACTGTGAGGTGGTCTGTTAGTCTGGACTAAATCAAATCTTTGGGAAAAAGTTAAACAGATTTTACTAAAAACTAAAGTTTAAGTGGCTGTTTTGAAAGCCCACTGATAGATCACCTTAAATCTTGATCCAGTCAGTAACAGTAAATCTGACTTCTGCACCCTAAGTGTTGTGGGGACTGGCTTGACTGTGTGGAGGCTGGTTTGACTGCAGTCTTGCAACCTACTTTTTATTGGACTGATGATGTTACATGACATTTATTTTCGCCACAGAGGGCAAAATTAGATTTTACCATTTTATAATGACTTTTGATTGAAACAGTTAAGACAAGATTTACTATGTCTGAACCTGTTGCTTTCATAGCTACTGTATGTAGGTTTTTCACATTTTTGCGCCAAACTTGAAAATATCTATTTGGACAAGAAACAACAACACTCCCAACACTATAGTATCCCTCATTCACATGTTTTTCATAATACTAGTGCCAGGGGTTTGAAAAGAACTGAGTCAATGTATATAATTTGACTAATAGATTTCTATTCAACTACACTCTAAAATTAAGGAAGAAGTGTTATTTCAGCAATAAATGGAATATCTCTGTGCTGCTTGTCATTGTAGCTGAATAAAAGGGTAGGCAAGTGTCATGAACATAAACTGTATATAGAATGGACAGAGTCTGCCTCCTCGTTGGGGGAAGCCACTCCGAGAACAGCACCCTCTGTTGATGGGCTGCAGTATAGGTCATAAATCCCGCCTCTGCCAGCAAAGCTAATGGAGCTGTGGACAAACTTTAGAAATTTATCACACAGAACATAATTTTTTCTCCCCGCTGCTTGTGATGTTGACATGTAGTTATTGTAAGACTGGTTTGTGCTCAAGTCCTCTTTTTTCTGTGAAGCTCAGTTTTTAAAAGTTATTAGGGGGTTCATGTTTTCTATGATTGACACCTGATACAGCCTATGGGCGTTCAGGGATTGCGTAGCTCTCCCAGTGGACACGCTGTTTGAGCCGAGCGTCATCACAGCGACTGTCTGCGACTGCGCGGCCGAGTACGCACATTGCTACTGCGCAGCGTTGGTTTCAGGAAATGAAGAAAAATCCCGGAAATACAGAGAGCTTCTTGGCTCCAAATCCGTATACAGGCGGTAGGCGGAACCGAGTTGTCCATAGTATATACAGTCTATGGTCATGAAACCATAGACTGTATATAGAAGTCTAACGCATTATTTAAAAAAAAAGAAAGAAAAAAACTTGCGCCACATTCAGAGCATTTACGATCCAAATACTGTACATGCGCACTTCACATTTATCATCAGCTGAACTTTTCAAAGGGAGCGGCTGACTTGACGACAGTGATTCAAACGAGACAACAGAAAAGAACAATCACAATACAATTTGACCAAAACAGCCAGGGCTTCACCAGCTCTTTCTCTCTCCCTGAGATCTCTAGTTTTTTTTTAACTTGAGGTTTTAAAGTTCGCAGCCTCCTGCTCACAGGTAATCCGGACCGTACTGTTCACATAACTCAGTTCTCGGTCCACCAGAAGAAACGTGAGACTTTGACACTTTAATGACATGAATACTGATTAAACTCTCACCCTCCTTTAGTCTTCCCTTCCTGCTTCCTCGACTCGGAATGACTTTTACATCTCCCTTCTGTTTGCGTAAGCCTGGATCATGTGATCAGGTCGCGCTCTCCAGTTACATGAACTATAGTGAAAATGAAGCCAGATGAGAGTAATTTACAGCTGATGTGTTTGCAGGTACTCAGGAGAAACCAGCGCAACAAGTTCCCTCTAACCCAGCCCTGTGTGAGTGCAGCAGACCGTCTGCAATCAATCTTCGTTGCTTTCTTCCGGTTCTAAGATTTTTTCATGAGTTTGCTCGGCCCTCTTTTCTCATTTTTGTGCACTGTATATTTGAAAATTTGCTTCCCTGACAGTTCACAGCGCTAGGAGGAGGCATGTTGAAATCACAGGGCATAATGAGACCATTTTTAAATGATCGAGAGTGGATTAGTATACTTTTCTCCACTATTTTAGAAAAAGTTGAGAAAATAAAAACGAGCTCAATCGCGACTTCAACAGAATTTTTTGTAAAAATACAAGCAAATTTTATGTAGATTTAGACTGAAGATTTCGATTTATATTTAGGATTGATATCTAGATTTAAGATTTATATTTATATCCAACATTTAGATTTAGCAATAAGATTTATATTTATATTTAAGATTTGTATTTATAATTAACATTTAGATTTAACATTCAGATTTAGATTTATTTTTTATGTCCACACATTTTTAACAAATAAAAAGAACATGCTGTTTTACAAGAATCTCTGTCTCAAATGAAAGAAAAGCGAGCTAAGTGTAAGAAAAGTGAGCTAAATCTTCACAAAATTACACCTATTAAATAGTGACTGAATTTTTACATTCGGCGCCCCATAAAATTTTGATAGCTATTTTTGTAGCTAATGATGGTCAGGGAGCTGAATTCGTCGTTTTTGAGGCAAAGGGACTTTGATCACAGGAGTGGAGAAATGGACAAATCATAAGATTGAACATTAGGCTGTCAGAAATGGTTAATACATGTAAATTTTAAAAAAACATGTATTGGTTAAGTTTATGAGGAAATATGCTGCTCTGCCCTTGTCTTACCTTTCCTGAAGTTGACTGATAGTGTTTTATTGACATTATTATATTTCATGGCCAAAATAACTGTACATAGAAATGTGAAATCTTGACAGTCCTGGCTCTACTTTTATAGTAACTTCTTTCAACTTCAGCTGATAGTCACTCAGATTTAACTTTTCGAATGATTACATGTGACCAGTGTGTATAACATGATACATGAGTTACAATAAAATGAATCAATCTTGGTGATCCAGTAACGCACAAAAACCATAGACTGTATATAGCAGGGGTGTCAAAGTCAAATGGACGGAGGGCCAAATAAAAAATTTAGCTACAAGCCGAGGGCCGGACTGATAGAATGTTCATTGAAAATTTTTTAAATGACGCATATAGTCTAGTGAACCTAACTGAACCTACTGAAAACCTAACAAATATATTCCAATATGATCAGATAAATAAAGCAATATTTTCTTATGGCTCTGTCAGTAATCTTTAATTTTCAACAGACACAAAAGACAAATTTCCTTTATATAAAAATCCCCATAACATGAACATTAAATGAAAGAAACCGGTATTATTCAAGGCACCATCAGTAGCCTATATTTTCTATTTTAGCAAAAGTGGGCTAAATTTACTTCAAAGAAAAAAATAATAATAGCAATTTTCTATCATCCACTCAACTGAAATATTTTTAAAATATAATTGGATTGAAATACAATAAAAACGTGTTTCGTTTCATAATGTCGTCTCAGATTATACTCTTTCAGTACTGCCACACTTTCTCCACACAGAAGACACACAGGTTTTCCAGCTACCTCCGTGAACATATACTCCGACTCCCACCTTGTTTGAAACCCCCGGTTCTCAGTGTCCACCTTCCGTTTTGCCATTTTTGATGGGTATCTGAAAGTTAATTTTACTGTTATGCTGACGACTGCTGTGCTAATAAATATTGAAATGAAGCAGCCTACTGCTCGGTGCGTCACCGTTGCATTGTGGGAAATGTAGTATTGGTGCGTCTAAAAGATCTGCGGGCTGCCGGCTTGCTGCGGTCTGCGGGCCGGTTCTAATAATAAATCAAGATCATCCCAGGGGCCGTAAAAAACCTTCTCGCGGCCCGGATGTGGCCCGCGGGCCTTGACTCTGACATATGTGGTATATAGAATGGACAGCGTCTGCCTCCTTGCTGGGTGAAGCCACTCCGAGAACAGCACCCTCTGTTGATTGGCTGCAGTATAGGTCATAAATCCCACCAGCAAAGTTTATGTGGCTGTGGACAAACTTTAGAAATTTATTACACAGAATATAAATTTTTCTCCCCACTGCTTGCAACTCTCCCGGTGAATGCGCACAACGCTACTGTGCAGCGCTGGTTTTCAGGAAATAAAGAAAAATCCCGGAAATATTGAGAGCTTTTTCGCTTCAAATCCGTATACAGGCGGGAGCGGAACCAAGTTGTCTATAGTATATACAGTCTATGACAAAAACTCAGTCTACCATGTGTCTTTGTCTATTTTTCTATTTAAAAATATACTGTAGCGACTGCTTTCCTTCAACGAAAGGCCGCTGGGGTTTAGGTTCGCTTGCATCTGTGACTCATTAATTCATCAGTCCTGTTGAGTGTTAAAGGTGATTTATTGTTCGAAAGGAAAGAAAACTTACAGTCTTACACTGATCTGGATCCAAAACTTTTGCCTTCAAATGAAAAGTAATTTGATAAAAAGAGGGTAAAAAAGGATGAGTGAAACGGTCAACAGAAAATTATCAGAGCTTACCAAAACCCATTGTCTCTGACTACACCAGTGTTTTTAAATAATCCACCAAACATCCCAAATCCCGACATCCCTCTGTGTCGATCCCCAGAAGTGATGTACCTTGTAGAAATCATACCCTTAACAAATACATTTAGGCTCTTACACATACTATTGCACTTGGAGCTGCTATAAGTAGGTTTAATGTGGTTTATTCAACAGGAAACTGATTATTTCTAATACCTGAAATCGATATGAAGAAACTCCCTTACACAATCTGGCTTTAGCTGATATATTTAATCAAACGCTTTGGGCTAAACAGATGGTCAGTCAGGTTTCTCCCAGTCTTAGTCCTGGCTTTGTAAATCTGCAGACTGCTGGTCAGGATTTCTATGAAGAGCATTAAGTTACATGTCCATCTTTTCAACTAAGTTTTTGGAAGGTTTAATTCTGGCCACAATAATCCTGCCTCCCACTCCTCCTCAGGGTGGTTCTTTCTCTTAACCCAGTAAGGAGTTGGTGCTAGTCTGGATCCATTTTTTTCTGGTTTTGATCCAGTTTTTTGGTAGTCAAAAACAAAGAAGTGGTTCTTTCGAGGTTTGGCTCTGAAACAATCTTGGTGGGATAAAGTGATTCAACGATATTGAGATCAGGGGACTAAGATCGCCTCTCCAGTACCATTACTTATTTTTCTGCTGTAGCCAATGACAGGTCGATTTGGTTACTTTTAGTAGCTATCTAACAGTCGCCCAAATCACAAAAGCTCAAATTCTGCCAGGGTATGTAAACTATGATCACAAGTGTATTTATTTAAAAGGTGCGTTGAGTTAAAATATGTTTTTCTATATCTGAACTGTTCCAGTTATTTAAAGGCTGCGTGACTATGAGAACACATGTCTCTGTTAGTGTTTTATCAAAGCATTGTTTTCTGAGATCTTGGCAATTCAAACTCGATTGTTGATGGTCAGGAAGTCCAGACCGTGGTGAGAGGACTGTGAGGAAGTTAGACTTTTCCTGTTCCTTACCCAAAGAATTGTCTGAGTCTATTTATGCAATGAGTTGAGATGTGTGTGTTTGTCAAGAGATATTTTGTGAATGTCGCTCTACAGAGGAACCATCAAACCAAAGCAGAGGAAGTCTATTTGCAGATAAACACATCAGCACTTGCAATTGGTAGTCTGACTGTTGAAGACTTGAGTAAAATTTCTGAAGTCTTCGACCACATCAGGTGTAGCATACAGAGGAAGTGATGTTGAGTCTATCTTCTTTATGAGGAACTCAGAGTTAAAACAAGTTTGACACCAGATCACAGTCATTTAAATTCTTTGCAAAACTTCAAATTTAGATAGAGTGTCATAAACAGAGTCACCCTGGCTTCAGGAATAAAGACCAGGACCAATGACGTTCAAGTCCAGGTGGAGGGTGGAGGAGTCTCAGCAAGGAGTCTCAGTATATCTGCAGAGACTGTGTAGAAGAGCAGAGCAGTCCAGGTACTGTGAAGATATTCTGTCACATACAGGATGTTGGACTTGACAGTAGAGCTGACCTCAGAGCAGTTCTCACAGTCTGCTCCACTTAGTGTGATTCCTCAGTCAGTCTCTGCTGGGTGAAGCTGTAACGCGACCACTGAGAGTCTCCACTCACAAGATGCTGCTGCCTTAACCTCTCTGGACCATCTCACTCAACGGATCTTCTGTCAACACATCCACCTTCTGGGCAGCAACTACTTCCACCTGATGAGAGAAGAGGACAGAGAGCAGAAGATAAAAGCCAGAGTCCACTCATCAGCTGTCAACCAGCAATGCAGCAAATCCAAAGTACATGCCCCTCTTATTCTACAGTTGTTAGCGCTATCATGGCTACAGGTTCTAATCTTCCTTCCAGCATGAACAAACATCAAAATAAATATTTTAATTGATGTCAAGTTAAAGCATATGCCACTATAACAATCATTTAACTGATCATTTTCAATGAAAGTCATGTTGGACAAGATAAACTGGACATCTGTAGGAACATCTAAGTCTGCAAATTAGTTACCTTTTCCAATAAACATTAAACATTTCCATCATGACTTGTTCAGTAACATGAACAAGTCTTCTCCTAGACTGTCAGTGCACTTTTGTCCTCTCCTATTTCATGTTGTCTGACTCGGCATAGATGTAGTAATGCTTATATAAAGGATAAAAATGATCTGTATGCTTCAGTAAGACTGATCTTGGAGCTGCGACAAAGATGAACTCATCAATTAATCAATCCTTACAATTAAAGAAAACAAAATTGAGATCAGTTCTGATGCTTGGAGGAGGACCACTGCCTCTAAATATCTAGAAATACTACCTACTTTAACTCAGTGTAAACATAGACATGAACATAAACCAACAACAGCTGTCTTCACATCAATTTGAACCATAAAAACAAATGTTTAGCCGATCTAAATGGCTAAACAGGATCTTTGCTTTGGAAACAAGGATGAAACTATCAAGCACTGACTCAAACACTGTACTGACTTCAGAGTCTCCACTAGATCAGACAGCTGCTCCACTCCTGAGTCCTGCAGCTTGTTGTAGCGTAGATCCAGCTCCCTCAGATGGGAGGGGTTGGACTTCAGAGCCGAGGCCAGAGAAGCACAGCTGATCTCTGACAAACTGCAGTCTTTCAACCTGAACAAAGAACAAGTGATGTTACACTGGAAAACAATGTTCCTGTGTACCATTATTTCATGTAGCATTATCCATATACAGCTGGAAAATGTTAAAAATGATCTACTTGTTTACTCATTTATATTCTTATTTGTTTAAGTCCATTTCCCACACCTTAAGGATTTTGAGCTTAGCTATAAACTTCAGTTAAAGTTTAGGGTAAAGTATATAAAATAGACAAAACATACCAACAAAGTAGAAATTGTGCAAAATAGCAAATGTTAATATTACTATACTACTAATAATTCTATTGTTTTTAGTTACTTTTCAGCAAAGTAGAGTGCTCTCTGAATATTTTCTTCTCTGCAGCAGTCAATGGACTAAACCGATGAAGAAGAGAACAGATTTTAATACTAAGATCCTCTGTGTGGATCATTATATATTAACCTTAGTTTCTGACCTCAGAGTCTTCAGTTGACAGTCTGGACTCTCCAGAAAACCACACAGCAGCTCTACTCCTGGATCCTGCAGGTAGTTGGAGTTCAGATCCAGCTCTCTCAGATGGGAGGGGTTGGACTTCAGAGCCGAGGTTAGAGGAGCACAGCTTTTTTCTGACAAACCGCAATCCCACAATCTGAGTAAGGAATAAATGATGTGACATTAAAATACAAAGTTCCTGTTTGACACTGTTTTTTTAAATCATTTTCTGTTTAGAGCTAAAGAGATGAGAAAGTAGAGGTTTAGAAAATGGAAACTCAAAACATGAAACACAAAAAGTGAATATGAGCTCTCATAATTATGAAAGACAGCATGCTGCTACTACAGTAAAGATTCAATCACTTAAACTCTTCTTAGTCTTAACATAACACACTCTTAGTCAGTTTCAGGTTGACGTATGGTGCTAATAGTCTGCAGTGATGCTCAAATAGATAGAGATAAAGTGGTAAAACCTCTTGGTGAGATGGTAATTAGTTTAGTGTTCCAGTATTTTTAACAGCTGCCAGTATCCTCCCCTGTCCTCTTCATGTCTCAGTTCCTGTTGGGGCTTGAAGATAGCTCCTAATAAACATAACTTTGAAGTTCTTCAGTGGATGGCACAAGATACCCTTTTCTCTATTGTCAAATTTATTATTGTATGAGGTTGGAGTGTTGCAGAGATGCTTCTTAGTGTGAACCACTAAAAAAGACGAAAATAAGGAATATCTTCAGATTGTCACATTACAAACAAAAACGTAAGGGAGGACCCGAGTGCAGATTTATTAAAGCACAGATAAAAGGAAAAACTTGAAACAACAAAAACTTCCTTCAAAAAAGAAAATCTAAATCCTGGAAAAAGAGGCTTGAAAATAGTTGTGTACCGAGGCTCCCTATCCAACCTGACAGAGCTTAAGAGGATCTGCAGAGAAAATGCCAAAACTAAGGTCTACCAAGCTTGCTGTGCCATACTTAATGAGACTAGGGCACTTCTGTAATGAAACAACATGTTGAAAAAAGGGAAGGGGTGGGAATACTTCACAGATGCAGTGAATGAAAGTAAAATGTCCTAATTTTGCCTGATTTAAGATTTCAGCTGCTCAACAAACCAGAGTGTTCTTTGTCTTGATTTTTGTTTCATGATACTCCAAAGGTTTTTAATGGGTGACAGGTCAGGACTGCAGACAGCGGGACTGTGGCATTAAGAACCACAGTGAGGATCAGTATAATGACAGCCCTTTTTGTTTTTTTGCAGTTCATCATCAGACAACTACAAAGTCATCTCAGCACAGAAGTCAAAAATTGATGTCTAACCTCAGGGTCTCCAGTCGACAGTCTGGACTCTTCAGAAAGCCACACAGCCACTCCACTCCTGAGTCCTGCAGCTTGTTTTTACTCAGCAGCAGCTCTCTCAGATGGGAGGGGTTGGACTTCAGAGCTGAGGTCAGAGAAGCACAACCGATCTCCGACAAACAGCAGTCTCTCAATCTGAAAAAAGAATAAACTATTTTACTATCGCATACTATATTTGTTTTAAATTATACTATCTGTTTAGAACTAAAGACAAGATGAGAGTTTACAAGAAGAGCTCTGAAGCATTTATAAGACGTGATATCCTCTAAAAATTTCCCCTAAAGACCAGATAAATGATATTTACCAATTATTTTACCTCTTCACTCAGCTCCTAAAGTGAGCTCTGTTAAGGGCTGTGCTTTAAAGGCTTTGGAGTTTTTTTCAAGCAGAGGATAAAATGTTAGGAAATGATGAGATGAGAGAAATGTTCTCGTAAAGTAAATACAGGATCCAGCCGTGATCATGTTGGTGGTAGATATCCTCAGAAATGTGCGGACATCTTCTAAACAAAAACAATCATTTAGCTCTGAATGTGTCAAACCATACATCAGGGCCCCTACAAAGATCACTGTGTCTGTCCCTGAATTTAGTAGGCTAACTGAGGAGCTTTATGGGAACAGTTTTGAATGTCTTTGAATAAGCAGAAATGTTAAATGGTTAAAGGTGAATAATAGTGTCAAGGGTTTTCCTTGTTACATAGAGGTTTGAAGTGTGACCCTACATTGCTCATCTACCGTGAATGGACTAAACCTGTGAAGAAAAAGGAAGCAGACTCTAACATAAGGATCCACAGGGAGGATCACTGTAATATCAGCCTTCTGCAGTTAAGTGTCAGCACCACGTTTACTTCAGTCATCTCAGCACAGAGATCAAATATTAATGTCTAACTTCAAAGCCTCCAGTCGGCAGTCTGAATTCTTCAGAAAACCACACAGCTTCTCCACTCCTGAATCCTGCAGCTTGTTTTCACTCAGCAGCAGCTCTCTCAGGTGGGAGGGGTTGGACTTCAGAGCTGAGGCCAGAGAAGCACAGCTGATCTCTGAGAAACTGCAGGACATCAATCTAAACACAGAATTAATGATGCAACTTTAAAATTCAATGTTCTTCTTTCAACCAGTCCATCTTTAATCATCCTTTTAAAGCTGAAGTAGGTTTAACATTTAGAAGTTCTGAGAATGAAACTCCGAACACGTGAAGGCAATGGAATGTTAAAATGTGTAAAATACAAAAAGTGAAAAAGAACTTTTTTTTATGTTTAAGGCCACACCCTGCTGATGTGCACTGTATTTTAAACTATTTAAATGTGATCTGAAAAGTATCTTCATTTTAAACTAAAGTCAAAGCTGACAATGTCAACAAAAGAATGGAAAAAGTTAATTCATTAAATATTGATAGTTTGTGCAATCTAATGATGATCTATTTAACTCATTATAATGGGCATTAACTCTGAGTAAAACATGAGGAATAAAAGATGAAATTAGGTGTGAAAGAGGTTCAGGGTAGATTACACAGTGTAGAATTTTTCCTTTCAATGTTAAAGTTTCAGATGTGAAACTCAACAATGCAGCACCCAATGTACTGAACCAGTGAAGAAAAAGGACGGGCACTTTGGCATCGAGATCCACAGTGAGGATCAGCCTGTCTGTTTTCTGGACTTTTCAGCTTTTCAGTCACTTAGCTGTTTTTTAACTGTGTAGAATAGTCCACTAAAGGTACATTCTCCCTCATTAGACTGTAGCCTGCTACACTCCATAACTTAGTTCACTACAGTGTAGAAGGGGCTTTCCCATCACTGAGTAAAACATGGTTTCTGACCTCAGAGTCTCCAGTTGACAGTGTGGATTCTCCAGAAAAGCACACAACTTCTCCACTCCTGAATCCTGCAGCTTGTTTTCACTCAGATCCAGCTCTCTAAGGTGGGAGGGATTGGACTTCAGAGCTGAGACCAGAGAAGCACAGCCAATCTCTGACAAACGGCTGGACATTAACCTAAATAAAGAATACATCATGTTACTATAGGACACAGTGTGCCTGTGAAAACTTTAATGTTGTCTGTATAGAGCTGTATAATGATAGAAAAAGGAAACGGCAAACATCTGAACACCTGAACAGGATGCAGGTTAAAATGTGTCAGATACAAAAGGTGAAAAAAAGAAGTCTCACTTATATTTAAGGTACATAGTGTAGAATTTATCAGCACATTGTCTGTTTAAATAAGTTTATCTTGAATGTAATATCATAATCATTTCAGTTCTAATGACTTTAATGACTCTGAAAAAGTCTTTTATATAAAACAGGCAGCAGGTCCTCTCTCTGGAGGCCACCATGTTTCCTACAGTAGCTCAGAGTGGACAAACTAGCAGGAACCAAATGAGTTTTGTTTAGTTTTGGGTGGCTGTGGGAGGCATGCCAGTAGAAGAACAGAGAGGACAAAGTGAGTTTAATCCATGTTCTTGTGTGCAAATGAATTTGTACTGACAGAGATTTTGATCGTAAAAACCTGACCGAAAGAGGATCTTACTTGTCATGAATCAGTGGAACATGGATCTGAGTGAATCTGAGTTTTTGTCCAAAAAACAAAAACATGAAGAAGTCCTAATATTATGAGAATAAAGTTACCTTCTCTGACCTATCCAGCGGAAAACTGACAACTTCAGCGTCAGTTTTCAAACATAAATTTGTCATTAGGAGTTTCCATCTTTGAAAGGTAATACCCATGCTGTCCTGATCTGGTTTTACTACAACTTCATTTTGTAACAATAAGACTTTAATCTTGTTACATTCAGGTTTTATTTAATTGGCTTTATTTTTATAATACAATCAGTGATGTTCATAGATGAGGTGACTCTAAGGAAACAAAGGTGGGTGATCACTTACTGATGCATTTTTATTTCTTGAGCACTTGTAGCTTTAAAATATATATGATGAACCGATGTATAGTCAGGAATGTTTAAAATATACAAGAAATTATGAGAAAAAGGCTCTTTGGTTGCATTTTTAGGTACCAGCAACCAGTACCTCTATTCTTCAGGCAGGAGAACTAACATGGTGGATCTGTATTACTTGTGTTTATCTGATAAATGCTGACAAAACATTAGAAGATCAGGAAGTCACAGAATTTCACACCAAAAGTCCAACAGGTGCACAAAATTATGCTGTGCAGCCAAACTCACACAAAAACCAGCAGAAAAATATTGAGTAAGTAACTCCTCAAAACACCAAATTTCAGTTAGGGTGACTTCATGAAATGTGAAATAAGACATCTCAGATGTTTTTCTTAAAGCAAAGAGAGCTCTGAACTTTAGATTTCTTTAGTTTCAGTTATTCGTTGAAAGTGATTCGTTCGCCACGTGATTCAGGCGTCGGTGCATGCGGTCCCTCATTCGCCGGCAAAGCTGTTTCTCACTTCAGTTGAGCTGAAGTGAGGAACGAACGAATCACTCGAGGAAGTGATTCGGTTTGGTAAGTTCACTTAAGATTAGGTTCGTTTGAATGAATAGTTTGTGAACGACACAACACTAACACCACAGTCAGTGGACTATAACCAGAGAGAAGTAAAGCAGAGTTAAGCATTAAGATCTTCAGTGTGAATCTGTATAATGTCAGCCTTGTTTCACTTTCACATCACATTCATCCCTGCACAGAAGTAAAACATGGTTTCTGACCTCAGAGTCTCCAGTTCACAGTCTGGGCTTTCCAGAAAGCCACACAGCTGCTCCACTCCTGAATCCTGCAGCTCATTTTTACTCAGCTGCATCTCTCTCAGATGGGAGGGGTTGGACTTTAGAGCTGAGGCCAGAGAAGCACAACCGATCTCTGACAAACTGCAGCCTGACAGTCTGAACAAAGGGTCAATGATGAGGATTAAAATGCATTCATAATTACATGTGTGTAGGTTTTAAATATAATGTTAGTGTTACTTTGTCAATAATCACAGTTTGTTACAATGTTGTGGACACATATAGGATCCTTTGGTGGACCAACCAGGTATATTCACACCCACCTAAGTAGATCATTTTTGCCTTGTCCTCTTTTTATTCTTTGTCCATGTAGGGTTACCGTCCGTGATCAATAAAGTATAAGCAGTTAATTTGCACTGCACCCCTCTGCATACCTGTCAAAGCACCATCCGTATTATTCGCTATCAAGTCTCATAAAATGCATGACAAACATAACAAACCTGTAGCTTTTTGCTGTTTTGTTACACCATTAATATCCTCCTGTAACAAAGCTCAACTGATGACAGCACCTCTCTGCCTGTTAGAGGGGCAGACAAAAATACAAGCAGGCAAAAGAGGTTCTTACGTCAGCAAGGTCCAAACCTTGATAGATCAAACAAAACCCTCATATTTTACAGATTAATCAGGAGGGTGCATGCTACCCAGCGTGATCTCAGCCAGCTGAAAGCAGCTCTTCTTGCCCCTCTCCTATTGACAATACTGGGCCAATGCAATTTCTAAAATGCAAGCTTTTCAAATGTTGCTGGTCAACAACTCAAACACTAAACACAAACACTGATTAAGTTCATAAATTTACTGAAATGAATGCATGACTAACTGATGTGAGAAGCCTACAGATGGACCCTAAAAGGTCCTCATTGTCTTGAATTTCCCAAAAAGCCAAAAGCCTGGGTTGGCCAGCACAATGATGCCGAGATCAAAATAACAGGGCATAAATAAGACAAAAAAACGTATGAGATTGATGCTGTAGCAATCAAGACAACCCTGTATGTGAAACTTACACATTCCTCACAGGAAAGTTTCCTTATCTGGTCCCAGGACACAGGATATAAATCTTTCCAGACTTGTTTGCACTTTCAGGTTACCTAACTGACACGAACGGAGGTTGACCAAACCTCTGACTCTTCACGATTGGCCAATTCGGAGAACAGAGACAGAGTTTTTATCACATTTCAAACTGACTCCATCACTGATTTACTGTCTTAAACATACAAACCCCAAGATAAGGTCTGAGGAGCAGGACTCTGACCTCCAGACCTCGGTTGTAAAACCCTGCTCAACCATGTACTGATAAAAACTGATCTCCTTCGGAGAAAGAATACAAATGACTGATCATGACATCTTATGCATTCAGCAATGTATTAATCTGTCTAATCATGAAATTTGTGTTAAAATGAGATGTTTCCCATTTTTCTATGTGCTCCAGAAGCCGAGTTATCACTCTGACAGGATAAATCCCTTATTCTTTCATTTCTTTAGACCAACAGCTTTTCAGACTGTTTCATGAACTTTTAGGAGTTAAATTTATTGACTGTGAATCATAACTTTACTCTAAGTAACAGAAATGGCTTAGAAATGTTTGGTTTATATTTTAATCGTTTATTTAGTATTTTTAACAATTTGGTGGTTATAATGTTACTGAATAATCTGAATGTCAGTGTTTAGAATCCATTATTAATCATAATGAAGTTCATTCACATGTGTTTACTCATTTGTGGTTCACAGTTTCCATGTGTTACTATCTGTTTCATTTCAGAGTAATTTAGCATGTTCAATGTGATACTTAAAAAATAATGAGAATGTTTGATGTGATCCTACATTTCATTCATGTGTTTAGTATCAAATTATTTATCATGAAACCTAGCATTCAATGATATTAATCATAGTGAGTGAGTATCAGATCTGACTCTTTTACCAGCCAAAAGTATAAGTTAGATCAAATAATCAGAGATCCGAGGTCTCCTCTGCAGATGGAGACCCCACGACCCCTCCTCTTTCTCCTCACACACACACACCAGAGACACTCCAAGTGTGAGAAGATAAAACCATAAAGTGGGGTTGCTCACTCCCCCTTACTCTCTTACACCCACTTCTTCACTCACTGTCCACACCCTTCTGTGTTCCTCTTTCTTTGTTTTCTCTTAGCTCTTACTACTTAGTCTTACTTTTTCTTAGTCTTCTAAGTTTTACGCCGTGCGTTCATTCACGTTGATTCTTCTTTAACATCGTCTTAGTTCAAGTTTTGAAACTTCAACTTTTTGTGCGCATAGCAATTCAAGATTACGCCTTTGATTGATTTTTCTTTAATTTTGCGAAGCCATTTTTGAAAAAGTTTCAACTGGTCATCGAGCCTTTTTTTCCTGAGTTATCTGGGGGATTTCAAAGTCACCTCTGAAGGCCACCCAGCAGGCCCAGGTTATCCTCTGTGCCAGAGTTTTTGAGTGAGACCAAAGAAGCATCCAAACGAGCATCCAAAGGATCCACAGGGCCGGCTTTTGCTTTGGGCCCGAGTACTGCAACTCCTGGCCCATCCTACGGCTGACCTAAGTCGTCTTCTGAGCTGAACCGCTCGAACCGCCGGTAGCCCGGACCTTCTGTACCTGCTCCATCTTCTCCAAGGACCAGTCTCACTTAAGTATGCAAACATCCAGAGCTCCAAACAGAGCTGATGCTGTCTCATGCGTTCATAACTCAGATATTCACTTATTCTGGAAATCCTAGGTTCATCCAAATCCACATCCAAATTTATCTTGACACCAAAGTTAGTGTAGGTTAATATGTTAGAGCATACTCACTCACTATCATTAACTTTAGTGCTCCTAGCCTGACTCAGAATCTTTATTTATTCATCTATTATTATTTATCCTCATTATCTTATCATCATTTATTGCATGTATGTTGTACCATCATTTATCCTGTAATAAATAGATCATTAAGTTCTTGTCTGTTAGTGTTCTTCCAGAAGTGGAGTCCCTGAAATAAGAATTTTGGCTTAAGATATGAGATTGATTAATTTAAGATGGACTTAATGTTTGATTTCTGAATTAAACTTTGTTTTTCTTTATTTTCCCACCATGAAGGGTGAGTGGTGCCCCTTTCAACAGTGCATAAATGTCATAATTTGAGATTATTAATCTTCAGACATTTATTATAAATTCGAATCGCTACAGTATTATTTTGGTGCCCCGTGTGAGGTGTTTCAAACAAAACTTCTGGATACTAACAGATGACTTAACCTTCCAAATTGATGAGAGAAACTTATTTCCAGGCTATTTTAGACTTAATCAATGCTATGATTGCTGAAGTTGCTGAAAATTATCTGATGCTCAACCATGAGGAAAACTGAGAAAGACTTTCTAAATTTCTGTAGATTTGTGATCAAGTGAATCCCAGATGAACAAAAACTTCCAAACTCAAGTCAAGCATCAGAACTAAACATGTAGAAAATATATGAAAAGGCAAATTCTGTAGACTTACTTAAGAATCTTCAGTCGACAGTTTGGGCTCCCCATACCAGCAGACAGCATCTTTACTCCTGAATCCTGCAGCTCGTTGTAGCTCATGTTTAGTTCTCTCAGAAAGGAGGGGTTGGACTTCAGTGCTGAGGCTGCAGCTTCACAGTGAGTTTTTGACAGTCCACAGTTTTCAAATCTGTCATGACAAAAACAAAACACAACAGTTTATCATAGAAAAAGACACTCCTAGTTTACTAAATCAATTTGAAGACCAAACAATTTCACCTGTCAAAGATGTAAATATCGCAATTTCACACTGACTGTAATGGGCCGGTTTATCTACATTATGGGCCTGTTTATCCTCCCAAACAGGCTGCCATTCATCCTGCACTGCCATGTTTCTACCTCAGCACAGAGCAAGAAAAGGCAAGTCTATTTTTTATCCAAGGCATCAATGTGTTTTATTCCTTAACTGATGTTTAGATTTTTTAAAAATATATTTTTTAGACAAACAGCTGAAAAAAAAATTAATTTGTTAACATTGAACAACTACTTCATGTAATCCATTCCGCTGGTGCCAGCCTGGTCTGGTTTGGTCATACAATATTATATAATTAAATATAATATATAATATCATATCAAATAATATCATATAATAACTACCACACTGCAACATCAACTTCTTGATACTTTTCTATTTTAAACATTATATCACAGCTTTATATCACCCTGTGGTGTGTTTGACTTTAACCAGTGTCACCCATATATATACAGTATATATATATATATATATATATATACAGTACAGGCCAAAAGTTTGGACACACCTTCTCATTCAATGCATTTTCTTTGTTTTCATTACTATTTAAATTGTAGATTCTCAAAACTATGAATGAACACATATGGAATCATGTGCTTCAGAAAAAAGTGTGAAATAACTGAAAACATGTTTTATATTTTAGATTTCTCAAAGTAGCCACTCTTTGCTTTTTTGATAGCGCTGCAAACTTTCGCTGTTCTCTCAATGAGCTTCATGGGGTAGTCACCTGAAATGGTTTTTACTTCACAGGAGTGCCTGAAGTAACCCTGACAAGGTACTTCTGTCATCAAGAGCAAAGAGTGGCTATTTTAAAGAAACTAGAATATAAAACATGTTTTCGGTTATGTCACACTTTTTTTATAAGTAAAAAATTCTACATGTGTTCATTCATAGTTTTAATGCCTTCAGTGACAATCTACAATGTAAATAGTCATATAAAAAAAAAGAAAAGACATTGAATGAGAAAGTGTGTCCAAACTTTTGGCCTGTACTGTATATATATATATATATATATATATATATATATATATATGTCTCTCTGTGTGTGTGTGTATGTATGTATGTATGTATATACTGTATATATATATAGTAAAATGCCATATTACTTTTTCCTTTAGCTTTTAATTTTATAAGCAGTAGCTGCATAGTACCAGGAACAGTTGTATATACCACTTATTTTTATCTTATTTATTTTATTTCATATATAATTTTACTTTATTAATTTGATTGTTTTTTGGATTACAGTTTTAATTTTCCCTCTTTTATTGTATTCTTACTTACTTACTATGTCTGTGTTGCTGCAATAGCTGATATTTTCCTCAGGAGATAAATAAAGGATCATCTTACATGGCGGAGACTGAATTATTTATTTATTACTATTCTTGAAAACACCATCTACTGAACCACAAGTTCGGGGTGTCCGTCTTATCACGCTCAGCTTTTAGACTAAAAATAACTGATATCTGATATATCAAACAATGTAATATTCTAACTGGTCGGGATAAAATATTCACTCGTCAACATTTCTTTTCTCATCTGTTCATAACATAAAACAACAACAATATGATATTGGCATTATATATATTGAGCATCCGCCCACAGTATCAGTATTGACATAGGCCATTGGAAAAATTGCCGGTCACTGCTAGATCAGATCTTAAAATCAGATCAATTAAAAGGCATTCATCTAATTGTTACTGTGATCATTTCTTGCAGCCCTTAACGTAGAAAAAACAAACTGGTTTTAGAGGGTTCCAAGTTTGTATGCAGCTTTGAACTAGCTCAAGCATCAGTCCTCCAGGGCCACTCTGGGGGGGGATAAAAAAGCTGCAGCAGGAGACCAGTGACCACTTCTGTCCCTGATTTGTCACACTTACTGAGTCAAACCCAATATGGGTACCTTTAAAACTAAATGGGGTGCTCACTTCTCCTTTCACATTCAATTTCTCAGACTCCTGTCTTCTTTATGTCTTAGTGTTTTTCACTTCTCCGGCTTACCACACTTTAATTTTCTTTAATCTTGTTCTTAGTTCAGTGTTTTGAAACTGGCCATTGAGATTATTTATCATAGACATCTGTGAAAATTTGTAATTCTGAAGTTAGGCTCAGAGTCAACCAGAGTTTTTTGAAAGACAGAGGAAGCAATCAGAGGGATCCTAAAAGTACTAGTGCAGTGGACCAGGCTGTGTGGTGCTACTCCTGGCCCTTGAGATGCTTGGACATTAAGTAAATGCCAAGGAGAATAAAGGGCAGTGCCCACCATGGAGGAAAAGGCTGGAGGCTAAGATCAAAGTGACACGGAGAGAGCTCAGCCAATTGTCAGAACTCCAGAATGGTGCAACCAACCAAAGAGGCACCCAAGAGGTACAGACAGATGACCATACCTGAGGTCTTGGAAACTGCTAAACAAAGACTCCAAGCCTTGGCCACCCGACTGAAGAGGTACACAAGAGAGACAGTGACCAGACAAATAAACCAGCTGTTCTCCACTGAACCAGCCAAAGTGTACTCTTGGCAGTGGCAGGGTAATAATACACGAGCAAACCCACCAAGGCTGGAGACTGAACAATACTGGAAAGGCATATGGGAGAAAGAAGCATCACATAACAACAATGACTAACCAATCTAAGAGCAGACCACATGAATCTCCCTGAACAACATGCCGTGACCATCACAGTAGCAGACATCCAAGAAAAAGTCTTGCGTATGAAGAACTGGACAGCATCAGGCCTGGATTTGATCCATATCTACTGGCTAAAGAGGCTGACCTAACTCTATGACAACCTGGCAGCACAAATGAACCAACTGCTGAGAGATGGGCCCCAATAGCAATTTATGATAAATTCAAATTGCTACAAACAGCTTGAGACCATCTGAGACAATGTACAGGTAAGAAACTTAATACAATGGAGAAGAGTTTAGAGAATTTTATAACGTTTCGAAGATCTGAATATGAAGAACTAAACTAGTGATCTACTCTGATTTTAATGTTAACCACATCTGGACTTACTGAGCCTTCCTGCAGTTCCTCACAGCTGCAATCAGTCTAAGCCGTCCCTGTGATGTTGTCTTGTATTTCTTCAGGTCCAACTCCTCCAGAACCTTCTCTGACATCTGCAGCATGTAGGCCAGAGCAGAGCAGTGGATCTCAGAGAGTTCCTGCTCTGACCTGTTCTCTGACTTCAGGAACTCTTGGATGTCCTGATGAACTGAGAGGTCGTTCATCTCAGTCAGACAGTGGAAGATGTTGATGCTTCTGTCAGGAGAGATCCCAACACTGTTCATCGTCTTCAGGTTGTTGATCACTCTCTGGATGATTTCTGGACCGCTGTCTGTTTGGCCGAGCAGACCTCTCAAGAGTCTTTGGTTGGACTCCAGAGATAGCCCATGAAGGAAGCAAACCAACAGGTCCAGGTGACCGTTCTTACTTTGAAGAGATTTTTCCATGGCACTTCTCAAGAAGACATCTAGGGAATTCTCTCCTGCAACAGTCTCTATGTCTTTTGTGTTTCTGTTAGTGTGACGGTGAAACAAGTAGACTGCAGCCAGAAACTCTTGAACGCTCAGATGAACAAAGCAGTAGACTGTTTTCTGGAAGTTCACTCTCTCACTTTTGAAGATCTCTGTACAAACTCCTGAGAACACTGAGGCATCTGAGACACTTAGACCACACCGCTCCAGGTCTTCTTCATAGAACATGATGTTTCCTTTCTCCAGATGTTCAAACGCCAGCCTCCCCAACTTCAGGACAACTTCTCTATCAGCCTCCATCAGCTCCTGAGGACTTGTCTCATGACCCTCTTCATACTTCTGCTTCTTCCTCTTGGTCTGAACCAGCAGAAAGTGAGAGTACAGGTCTGTCAGGGTCTTGGGCAGCTCTCCTCTCTGCTTTGTGTTCACCATGTCCTCCAGGACTGTTGCAGTGATCCAGCAGAAGACCGGGATCTGACACATGATGTGGAGGCTCCTGGAGGACTTGATGTGGGAGGTGATTCTGCAGCACAGATCTTCATCCCTGAACCTCTTCTTGAAGTACTCCTCCTTCTGAGCGTCTGTGAAGCCTCGTATTTCTGTCACCCTATCCACATATTGAGAAGGGATCTGATTGGCTGCTGCAGGTCGACAAGTTATCCAGATGAGAGCTGAGGGAAGCAGATTCCCCTCGATGAGATTTGTTAACAGAACATTAAGTGAAGACTTCTGTGTGACGTCAGACACAATCTTAGAGTCTTCGAAACCCAGAGACAGTCTGCTTTCATCCAGACCGTCAAAGATGAACAGAAGATTATAGACGGCAAGCGTCTCTGCTGTGACCTCTTGTAATGTTGGATGGAAAACCTGGAGCAGACTCAGAAGACTGTACTGCTTATCTTTGATCAAGTTCAGCTCCCTGAATGAGAGAAGAACCACCAGACTGATATCTTGGTTTTCTGAGCCCTCTGCCCAGTCCAGAGTGAACTTCTGCACGGAGAAGGTTTTTCCAACACCAGCCACACCGTTGGTCAGAACCACTCTGATGTTTTTCTGCTGGTCAGGTAAGGCTTTAAAGATGTCCTGGCACTTGATTGGAGTCTCATGGAGGGTCTCCATCCTGGAAGTTTTCTCAAGCTGTCTTACCTCATGCTCAGTGTTCACCTCTTCGCTCTGTCTTTCAGTGATGTAGAGCTCAGTGTAGATCGTGCTGAGGAGGGTTTCACCTCCTGTTTTATCTGTTCCTTCAGTCACAAATTCACATCTCCTCTTCAGACTGATCTTATGATTATCTAAAACCTTCTGCGGACCACCTGTCAACAACAAAGGGGGGGGGGGGATAATTGTGGACAATGATGATGGTAATTATTGCAGGACATCAAAATAACATAAAAAGAATTAAGCCGAAAAGTTGAGATTTTCTAAAAAATCAGAAGTATGTCTACCCCCTGATAGCCCCAGAAGTGCTGGTGGCCTGTGAGGACAAAAATATTCTGTTCTGTGGTGCTGTAGACACATGACTGTGCAAGATAGCAGCCTATGTGCAAGGGGATCTGCTCCTTTGTTGATATGAAAAGCTTACTCTGGGTCAACAAAATAAAACAACTTAGATGATTATACACCAGTTTAAACATATTGTATTCCAGTTCAACACAAATCTGCATCACTTAACTATACACATTTTACCAGAAATGTCTTGGTTTTGGGCTCTGATTTTATCCTTGCAGAAGAATACAGGATGAGACTCAGAGCAGATGTTTGTGCTGGAGCAGAACAGATCAGTTAAAATGTGAAGATATTTATGAAGATGTGAATTGTGGATGCTTTATGACACAACGTATGTCTCTGTACTGAAACAACAAGTGGTGTTCTTAGATATGATCATATCAGCAGACTGTCTTACCGTGTTCTGTTCTGGATTTTTTTCCACAGTGGGGACAGTGGGGGTCTCCTGATGAACCAGACTGGTCCCTGTGTGAGCTCAGGCACTGTCTGCAGAGCCTGTGTCCACAGCTGAAGAGGACTGAACCTTCCAGGACGCCCTGACACTCAGCACAGGGGGTTGCCTTGTCGCTCGTACTTCAAAACAAAAGCATAGGTAATGTTACAGGAAATTTAGCAACCTTAGGACACAACGTAAAAATACCGAAATAGCATGACAAACAATTGTTTTATGAAGCAATGTCTTCTCCAAAGAAGGTTCATACACAGGGCTGGTGATGTGGGTGAATCATGAATTTCCTGGAGGACTTGATGTGGGAGGTGATTCTGCAGCACAGATCTTCATCCCTGAACCTCTTCTTGAAGTACTCCTCCTTCTGAGCGTCTGTGAAGCCTCGTATTTCTGTCACCCTGTCCACATATTGAGAAGGGATCTGATTGGCTGCTGCAGGTCGACAAGTTATCCAGATGAGAGCTGAGGGAAGCAGATTCCCCTCGATGAGATTTGTTAACAGAACATTAAGTGAAGACTTCTGTGTGACGTCAGACACAATCTTAGAGTCTTCGAAACCCAGAGACAGTCTGCTTTCATCCAGACCGTCAAAGATGAACAGAAGTTTATAGACGGCAAGCGTCTCTGCTGTGACCTCTTGTAATGTTGGATGGAAAACCTGGAGCAGACTCAGAAGACTGTACTGCTTATCTTTGATCAAGTTCAGCTCCCTGAATGAGAGAAGAACCACCAGACTGATATCTTGGTTTTCTGAGCCCTCTGCCCAGTCCAGAGTGAACTTCTGCACGGAGAAGGTTTTTCCAACACCAGCCACACCGTTGGTCAGAACCACTCTGATGTTTTTCTGCTGGTCAGGTAAGGCTTTAAAGATGTCCTGGCACTTGATTGGAGTCTCATGGAGGGTCTCCATCCTGGAAGTTTTCTCAAGCTGTCTCACCTCATGCTCAGTGTTCACCTCTTCGCTCTGTCTTTCAGTGATGTAGAGCTCAGTGTAGATCGTGCTGAGGAGGGTTTCACCTCCTGTTTTATCTGTTCCTTCAGTCACAAATTCACATCTCCTCTTCAGACTGATCTTATGATTATCTAAAACCTTCTGCGGACCACCTGTCAACAACAAAGGGGGGGGGGGGGGGGATAATTGTGGACAATGATGATGGTAATTATTGCAGGACATCAAAATAACATAAAAAGAATTAAGCCGAAAAGTTGAGATTTTCTAAAAAATCAGAAGTATGTCTACCCCCTGATAGCCCCAGAAGTGCTGGTGGCCTGTGAGGACAAAAATATTCTGTTCTGTGGTGCTGTAGACACATGACTGTGCAAGATAGCAGCCTATGTGCAAGGGGATCTGCTCCTTTGTTGATATGAAAAGCTTACTCTGGGTCAACAAAATAAAACAACTTAGATGATTATACACCAGTTTAAACATATTGTATTCCAGTTCAACACAAATCTGCATCACTTAACTATACACATTTTACCCTTTAACAGAAATGTCTTGGTTTTGGGCTCTGATTTTATCCTTGCAGAAGAATACAGGATGAGACTCAGAGCAGATGTTTGTGCTGGAGCAGAACAGATCAGTTAAAATGTGAAGATATTTATGAAGATGTGAATTGTGGATGCTTTATGACACAACGTATGTCTCTGTACTGAAACAACAAGTGGTGTTCTTAGATATGATCATATCAGCAGACTGTCTTACCGTGTTCTGTTCTGGATTTTTTTCCACAGTGGGGACAGTGGGGGTCTCCTGATGAACCAGACTGGTCCCTGTGTGAGCTCAGGCACTGTCTGCAGAGCCTGTGTCCACAGCTGAAGAGGACTGAACCTTCCAGGACGCCCTGACACTCAGCACAGGGGGTTGCCTTGTCGCTCGTACTTCAAAACAAAAGCATAGGTAATGTTACAGGAAATTTAGCAACCTTAGGACACAACGTAAAAATACCGAAATAGCATGACAAACAATTGTTTTATGAAGCAATGTCTTCTCCAAAGAAGGTTCATACACAGGGCTGGTGATGTGGGTGAATCATGAATTTGAACATCATTAGATATGGCTTATAACACGTAGGTTTATGAAGTATGCACTGATCCACCTTTGTTTTGCCATTCACCAGTTTGATTGTGTTGTTTTGATTTGAACTTTTCCATAAATACTGCAATAATATTGAGTTAGTTTATGGCCTTGTTGAGGATGTGTCGAAAATCTTAAATTGTGACAGCACTAGTTGTCTATTAACAAAAAAAGAGTTTAAATACTTAACTTTTTTATAAAATGATGTGAAAATGTTACAAAGAAAAACACAAAACCAAAATGAAGTCATTAGATGAAATCAGAATAAATCCTTTGATAGAGTTAGTCTCAGTTTTCTTACTCTGTCTCTGAGGACTCAGATTTATCAGAGAGGCGGGGGGGAATTTCTCTAGACCGATCACTCCTCACAGACTGATCAGAGCGTACTGAAGACCTTTTTCTGTCCTTCTTTGTTTCTGTCCCCATCCTGTTCTGGAAGTTAAAAATATACATGGACACTTTTCTTCAAATCTGTTGTTGTATTATTAGTTCACTGCCGTTTTAATGTGAAAAAAAAAATGTGAAAGTGAAAGTAGACTTCAGTCCAACATCTCTTTCTTCACAGTCCACAGCTAGGTAAAAAAAATGTCTCACACACTTTTACAGTTTAATAATGAAGATATTGGATTAACACTCACTCTGATTCAGTCTCCAGTTTCTCTCGTCTGTCGACTCAAATGGAAAAGAGACTTCAATAGCATGTTCCCATGCTCTTCCTTTTGAGGAAATCAGGAAATACCAGAGGGGAGGAAATACCTCCCCTTTCAATAGGAAGGGGAGGAACATATCTGACAAGATCGGACCAGATGACCCTTTGCTCCACAACCAAACATTTCATTAACTTGAGGTGGAAACAACTAAGGTGTTGATTGCAGTGGCGGCTGCTGGTCTTTCAAGGAGGGGAAGCAAATTTTTCTGGCCTACATCATAATTGTGTTTGTTTATTTGTATGTAACAGAACAGAGTCGCCAAACACAACGGCAGTCGTTTTTAACAAGGGCAAAAGTCGCTGAGGATCGGTAAAGTCTCTGGAGCAGTTAAGAACAACGGAATGATTAACTTGGAAAATGCTCTGGTAGGTGTTTTATTCTTCAAGATCGCTGATTCACTTGTTTAGCTGTCAATCAAAAAAGGATTTCGCCTCAGACAGCTCATCCAATCATGGATGCAGAAGCTCGGAGTCCGGGAGAAAGTCGGGACCGCCCTCTTGTCATAGAACTCCAGAGAGGCTGAGCGTCCGATGGGCGGGACAAAGCCCAGCATTTATCCAATGAGCGTCTAGTTTCGCTGCTGGAACAACCCACTTTGAGCTTCCATATTGAAGTCAGCAGACTCTGAGCGTCCGGCTATGTAAAGCGCTGAGGCGCTGCGAGGATGAATGAGAGCGAAGTTATGCCAGTTACCTGTGATTATCAGCTTCTTATTACAGTGTGATAAGAAGGGCCGTCTGGTGGCAAAGATAGTAATGTGACAACTTACCCATGTGACAATAGGCCCCGGTCTCCCCTACGTGTTGAACTTCACTTTATCCTTAGCCTTGGTTACATTCGTCAACAGTACAAAAGTTCATCTTGCCCTTATCTTATCACAGTGTGATAAGATAAGGGCCAAAGTTCTGGTAGGTTACATTAAAGTCCTTTATTGTACTCCAGATTGATTTATTAGTTAGGGTCACCTGCCTGACTGCCCTCAGCATCACGTCAGGTACTGCACTGCTATGTGCACAGACTCTCTGTGTTAATTTTAATCCCTTATAAACATGTGACAACTAACCCCAAAATGACTGAGACATGTTGTCCCAAACTACCATGTCTGCTAATTCTAGCTCTAGTTTAAAGTTAGCTTAAAACAGAACGATGACTGAGGTATGAGAGGATGCCTTAACCCCCCTCTAACAAGTCCACATGTATCACTGCTAGGATTTTTATCTGGAAGAAGCTTATTTTAAAATATATAAGGTAATTTTTTTTACTTTGGGTTGTGCAAAATGGTTAATTGGTGCTCATCTCAGCTCACAATGTTCTCTTCTCTTCTCGGACAGGATACGACCCCTGACCATGTAAAGGAAGAAAATTAGTACTTCTCTTTTTTAAGTTGTGCCGTCTGGTGGCAAAGATAGTAATGTGACAACTTACCCATGTGACAACAAGCCCCGGTCTCCCCTACGTGTTGAACTTCACTTTATCCTTAGCCTTGGTTACATTTGTCAACAGGACAAAAGTTCAGCTTGCCCTTACTGTGCCTCCACTCCCCTCTGCATATTTGGAGAAGTAATAACTGCTAGTTTGATATTTTACATTTCCAACTTTCAGTGTGGTTTCAACAACTCTGTGGTTTTAATGTCACATGTATCTAACAATTTTTTTTAATGAGAACCAGACTTCCTGTATCTGTGTTGGATTTTTCTTTTTTTACCAGTCTTGTAACTGCGTGAAGTCTCTGTCTGCCAGCAGAGACTTTAGCTCCTCCCTCTCATAGAAAAAAAGCCCAGACTCTCAAATGCTTTCACTTCCTCTGTCCACCCACCACAAACTCTCCTTCCCGTCATCAGCCACTCTGCTTCTCTTCAAGGAGATCAAAACACGGTAGGTCTCTCTGTATTGTTGTGTAAATCCCTTCATTCTTGTGGACTGCTTTAACAATCATACATTCACCAGGTTTATAAACCAAAACCGCTTTTTCTGTGTTTTTTCATATATGACTGGTGGGCTGTTGTTTGCAGACCCTTCTGCTGTAAACTGCTGTTTCGAGTTATTCTTTTTTCCCCTCCCACGACCAAACACAGATGTCAATGGAGGACACCGAGTCAACAACCAGAGAGAGAGCAACAGCAAAGGATGGGAATCAGGATACAGACAATAGGGTACTCATGACCAGCAAGCCCCTTCATCGCTATGTACAAAAAGATCCCAGAGCTCTCGGGGTAATGTGCCATAAAGATCCAAGCTGTCAAGTTGTAAATATTTTAACAGAGTTGCAAACTAACCCAAAGGGCAGCTGTGAACTCTTCATGCATGGTGCGTCTATCCCTCTTCTCCTCTCTGCAGATTGTCATTGTGATCCTTGGCTGTGCAGAGCTCCTGATGGGATTTCAGCTGGCCAGTGAAACTATACATAATTCCAATAAAATCTACATCCCCTTCTGGCAGGGGGTCCTGGTATGTAACATCAAATAAAAAATGGTGCTACTCTCATGTCTGTACAACACAAATTGGCAGCTTTTCCTGGAGTATTGTTCAGCCTCAGTATAGAGCAGTGGTTTCCAAACTTTTTCTGCCATTTTAGGATGAGAAATTCCCATGCCCCTTCTACCTTACATAAAAAATGAAAAAAGGTCCACTTGATCACTGCACCACCCAACACTCAGCACCCTAATCTATTATTTGATGATATCGTTATATCAATCAATTAATCAGTCTTCATTTATAAAGCCCCAATTCACAACAAGTGTTGTCCCAAGACCCCTAACAAAAAGGCTGATCCAGACCAGACTCCATTTATGAAGATCCAATGTAAAGATGGGATCCACTCCTATCCCATCTTCAACCACATGAGTGAAACACTGAACAGTATTTAGAGAGGTACAGTGGAAAGGAAGAACTTCCTTCTTCAGGCAGAAACCTCGAGCAGGACCAGACTCATGTTAGAGTCATCTGCTGAGACTGGGCTGGGTTTAGAGAGGGGAGAAAGGGAGAGAGAGATGGACAGAGGAGGGACTGATAACATGGAGCTGAAGCAATGAGAAAGCAGGCAGGTCCATGCCAGCAAACATGTCTACAGCAGCGATCCAGAGGAACCTACAGCATGATGGAGCTCAGGGACTTCCAGTTAAGACTGTTGTTAGTGACTCTAATGGGACATAATGATTCAGAGTTAATGACACAGACAGAAAGAGGATGGAGAAGAAGGGGAAGGGGCTTAATGTGCCAGTACCCCCAGGAGTCTGAACCTATAGCAGCATAACTAACGCTGGTCCAGGCCTGAACCAGCTCTTACAAGTAGCTTGTATCAAAAATTAAACAATATGGCACTTATAGATCGAGTTAGAAACCTGAAGTCTCATGGACAATACGATTTGGCCTAGCCCCAGTATTGACACAAGCACTGCATCATTCTCATCAGCAAGCTCTGAAAAAACAGAGGCACATCATAATATTTTTGAAAATAAAAGCTTTACATTTCACATTTTAAAGGAAAGGGACCACCAATATTGTATACTTCTATCTTTTTAACTTGTATTACAAACGTGTACCCAAATGCTTTGTGAAATAAGAACTTCAGTTCACTGTCTACTCAGGTTCACAAAGAACCTTGGGTTACTTCTGCAGGTGATATGACAGAAAACTTGGTATTGAGTCATTTCTAATTTAATTTCAAGAACTCATCAAAATACTTGATTTTTGTTTTCTTCTTTTGTCAGTTTCTTGTCTGTGGAAATCTATCAATCTATACTGAGGTGCATACTTCCAAGAAGATGGTAAACCTTGATTTTGCCTTCCAATCTTACTCCCCGTTGACTTCTTCTGTCTCTTTTTAACTAAATAAACTCATCTCTACCAGGTGACGGTGTGTTTGGCCATGTATATTGTTACTCTTCTGGGAGTCATACTCTCTGTGGGCTTCAGGATAGTCTGCCTTCTTGAAAATGAGCACCTAACCTACAGGTGGGGCAAGCAGGAAAACGAGTGGAACGTAATCAGAGTGGTAAGTGAATTATAGCTCTGGTGTAGTCAGGGAGGGGGGCAAGGTGGGCAGCTGTCCCCCCTGGTGCACTAATGTACAAAAAACAACAAGGAGGTGCCCTCTTGGATGCACCAATTATAAATCAAACATCATAAAACACCCTCTAAAGTGTTTGCTTTTGGAGGGATGTATGAACATATGAAACATGGCTGCAGAAGCTGTTCATTTAAAGGATGACACCTGACAAACTGCCCTCTGTTTGTCCTTCCAGTATTTAAAATGTAAAAAGGGCCTTCTGGATGATGGATAGTAGATTGCACTTAAAAAAAATTGTTCCTTGTTGCCTTTTTCAGTGTAAAATGTAAAGAAATGGCGTCTTGATGCCCTTTTTGGAAATTTAACCTTCTTATATAGTTTATGTAAAGTTCACATGCAAGGTCTGGGACCAAAGTGCAGCACTCTGTAACTTCCTAGTTTGATTGATGTTGCATTAAATCAGTTTATTCTATCATTGACACTTCGTCGTAAAGTGACCATGTGAAAGATAACAGATCAAATCTCACCAGAATGTGAGCTTCATGCAGGAAGTAGCATGAATTTTGTGTTTTTGAGCCCCTGAGGTACAGCACTTATTGCATGCAGACTGTAATGATGTGTGGATAACATTCCTCCTGACTTTCTTTTCCTGCAGATGCAGATTACTTGCATTGAGAGCATACTATGCACAGCTTCTGTGTGTGTGTTCGTGATTCTCATCTTCCTCTGTTGCGTCACTCGTTTGGCTTTGAAATCCACACGCACTCAGGTCAGACATTTTTTATTTCTACTTTGTCCAACCAGACTCCACTCACTGAAATCAAGCACCAAGCTCCTGTGGCTTTCAGTTAGCTTACAGTTAGCTTACATTTTTGGCTTGCAACTCAGTATCTTCTGTCCCTCAACATCACTTGTGTGTTATTGTCAGACTTGAATGTTTGTAACATTTTATGTGAAAAGACTTACTTGAAAATTCGGTTGTGATCTCTTTGGCTTTGTTGCTGTTGTTCCTTACTTGTTCTACCTTCATATATCATATCATCAACAGGTTATTGTGCAGCACATCTCAGCACCACGGAGTGACACAGCATCAGACTGAGATCCACCTTCACTGGTCTCGGAAGTCTAACACTGGTTTTCCTGCAATGAGGTGGTGTTGTAGCCTATATTGTACTGGTGTTTGCCTCTGTGGGCCTGAATTTCACATAACCAGTGCATTCACACAAATTGCTTGCATTATTGGCATCAGGTGCAAAGACCGTAGAGGCGGTGTTATTAAATCAGGGTTTAGGTGTTTAACTGGAGAAAACAAAACCCCAGCAAATAAAACAGGCCACCCCAACCCACTCTGCAAAACAGCAATTATTAACAGGCACCTCTGTGGAGCCGCAATTTGATGCACAAGCTAAAAACAGTCAGCAGCTCCTGGAGACAGATCATCTAGGGCTCTATTTTCGTGCTTCGCCGGAGACATGGCGCAGGCGCGTCATAAGTCAGGTCCGCCGCGCTGACAAGACGTTATCAAGCACAATTTGGTATTTTGGTGAGCAGCGCGGTGAGTGAGCGGCGCGGTGAGTGAGCGGCGCGGTGAGTGAGCGGCGTAAGTATCCCCCCTCCCTAACTCAGCTCCTCCCAGCGGCATAAGTCATAGCGAGGGAGGAGACAGGGCATGGAGTGGGTTTAACACAGCCGAGACCTGTATTGACCAATCACATCGGCCCCTCTCCTCGCCTTTAAATCCGCCACCGGCGAGGCATATTACTATTTTCGTGAAGTAGTCAAAGAGATCAAGAGATGTCTGAAGACAGTAATGCCACACGATGGCGACAGAAGGCAGCTCCTCAACAAGTGTCACTGTAAGCGCTTCATTGGGCGTCCTCCACACTCTCTCATATGAGAACAGATGGATTTGGTGTGTGTAATGTTGGACCCACTAGTAAGACAAACACCCTTTTCCACAAATAAGGACACTCACATAAAGTTGCACATATTCAAATCTCACGTGACAAAAGTGGGTTGTGCGCACAGATCACAACATAAATTCCAATAATGGCATTAAAATCGGAACCATCTGTGCGTAAATGACGCATTGCGCTCCGTGGCCTGGCTCTTTCTTTCATAGATGTTGGCATATAAAATACATTTGGCTCACAAAACTGAATATTACAATATTCGTATGTAGACTTAAAGTAAATAACTCATCTGAGCACTGAAACAAATCATCTGTTCAGCCGCTGCTGCTGGACGGGGAGAGGACATGGAGACATGTCCAGGTTGAGCTGCACGAGAATAAGAGGAAGAGGAAGATAGAAAAGGAGCTAGACAAATTACATATCATAACTTCATTATGTGTGTCTATTTACTAGATATTTAATTTAATACGGTGTCAGCTGTGTTAATTCGGTCAGGTTGTGTGTCTAAACGTGTGCCAAACGCGCTCATCAGATCAGATATAGATCAGAATATATCTATATAGATCTAAATGTATGTGCTTACTCAGAATATTGGTTGTTGATGATTATTTATTGCACTAAAATGTGCCTGACACTGTGGAAACCTGCCGATGAGGCATCGGTGACCTATGCCGATACGCCGCTGGTCTACCAAAATACTACTGGACCAGCTGCGCTCCACCTGCGCTGAAAGCTGGCCAGGTTTGAATCGGCGAGCTTTCAGCGCACTTTATACGCCGGTGGCGAGCATGAAAATGTCACTGTGCCAGCTGATTCTGTCGACACCTCCCCCTGCCACGCCACCACGCCCAGCTTGGTGGACCTCAGTGTGCCTCAGTCCACGAAAATACCAAACTGGCTCTACGCTGGGCTCCGCCAGACGAAAATACAACTACGTGGGGTCCGCTACCCTCTGCCACATCCCCGGCGTACATGAAAATAGAGCCCCTAGAGGCAACAGCTACAGGACAAGCTTCTCTTTGTTTCTAACTCTTAGCTTCAGTCTTTAGTTTGCAGAAAAGACGCAATACTGAGCCACATTTATTTTACATGCACTAATCACAAGGTACTAACAAGGTACTGCTCGAAGGTACTAACAGTGAGTCATTGAATGTTTTATATTAAAGAATAAGTTATCACAAGATATAGTACCGCATGCCTCCATTATTTACATGAACACTGCATTAACATGAGAGTTTCACAGAGTTTGTCAGTCTGTCTGTGAATATTATTATTGTACATTGTGAACACTTTGATGAAGTGTTTATGTTTTATTCATGTTATTATCACAGAGTAACTATTTTAATAACTCTCCATAACCATAAAAATTTTTGTGCACATTCAACTGAGCCTTTTTTTTACAGTGTAACTACATAACTGAGCAGACACAGACCCTGTATTTGGTTCGCAGGAAGGCACATGCCATCCACCATGTTGTAAAAGAAAAGTATGTTTGAAAATAGTTTTTATGTTTTGGATTGGTGACATTTACTAAGTACAGTATAGATGTTGCTCAGTCTGTATAGTTTGGCGTGTTATTTCATATGAATGTGAGGAAACCTGGTGGAAATCCTGTTGTCATTCTTTTTTAAAAATCTGCAGGGTTGAAAGGTTCAGGTACAGGGACAGTTTCTATGCAGGGACAGTTTGCTCTGACTTTATGTGGCTCAGTATATGAAATGTAATATCTTTGTTAAATAAAAATGATAAAATAAAATTGCACTCAAATAACTGCATAGTATCTGTATGTACTCTGCAACACACATTCTATTATTAAAAAGATAAGGGTTTTAAGTTCTGCTGCTGTTGAAATTTAGTGGAAAGAGAAGATTGTATATGATTGAGGATTGTATATGTCCGTCCTTCTTCAGCTGCACCGAACACTTCTTTGTGACTGTGCCCTAACTGTGTTGGAGTTCAAATGCTTCACTTTCTTCACCTCTTTGCATATGATCTCCTTCATCAGTAATTCATTACTGTATGTTTTGGAAAGGGGCTGTAATTCACAGTTTGATCACTGGGTGGAGTCCTTGTTTAAACTGTGTGCTAAGTTTCGTTTTCAGGTGGTCAGGGCCACGGACTGTCGTGCAGTCCATTGGAACAAACCGCCAGCTGAGATCAGACGTGCCCAGTCTGCTGTTACCCAAGATTTCCACGTCCTCCGCTGTGTGTGAGGTTTTGTCATACAGGCTACTGTATGTTGTGTTAGTCTGTGCCTGATGTGCTCAGAAAATGACATGAAACATCCAAGAAGCAGATTCTGTGAAGATAATCTGCAGCTTTATTCACAGCTGTTTCTATGAGAATTTAATGGTTTTTGCCTGGGATTAGAGAGGCACATTTTTAAAACTTCTCTCTAGATTAAGGAATAAGAAAGGAACTGAGAGCAACATGCTTTGAAATGATTTTGGAGAAGAAACCTTAAAAAACACATGAGTTTTTGAGGGTTCAGCTCCTCTAGTTTCGTGGGACATTTGTTCCGTAAGTGTGCACGTTCAAATGAGTTACATCACACAATCAATGTCTACTGCTTTAGTTTGGCGCTATTGTGGTTTTACGGAGGAGGAAGTTAAAATGCAAATGTAGTGATGCAGCCTAAATTTAGTTTGACAAGAGACTGCTGAGCACTGCAGGCACGTTTCTGTGGAGTCGCCCTCCCACATACTTTTACAATCATTGTTTAAAAACAGTCTTTTGGTGCAATGTAATTCAAGAAATTAATTTATTTTGCTTTAAACTGCCTTTAATCCAGACAGGTGTGTTTGTGTTTTCAGGTGTTAAAGCTACAGTTTGTGACGGTCAGCAGCACATTATTTAGGAAGTCTGCTTTGTTGGGTTGTCATTTTCTGCTAAGTGAAACTTAGTGTAACACATCAGGCTGTCATGCCCATTCAAACAAGTGGAGCACGTGTTTTAAAAAAAAACCAACTGACTAAATAACTAACTAGGCAATTTTGGGGGGATTCCACACTTTCAGACATAAAATTACAAATGTGTGTCTTTTCATGCACAAGTTTATGTCAAGTTCCTTGACTAAATTAAACATAATAATTAATAATGAATATTCATTAAACAAAAATGAAAAGTATAGGCTATATCCTACAAACTCTGACCTGTCAAGATTTGCTGAAATTAACAACAAACGTGATTTTTCTTAAATGGAAAAAGATAACATACAGCACTTTTTTTTTCATGGATGTCCAATAACTGGAGCGGTATTCCGGAGCGATGTAAGAAATTTTTGATTTATAAAATTTTATTTTTTTATTTAACCCTTATTTAACCAGGCTAGTCCCGTTGAGATCAAAAATCTCTTTTTCAAGGGGGGCCTGGCCAGGAATGGCAGCAAAGCAGTTTCATAAACAAAACAAAAAAAACTTTGTATCTAAGGTTAGGAATATTTTTTTTGCTATTGTGGGATGTCGTGTGTTAACATTCGTAAATAATACAAAAACAATCTGTAATTTTGTTGGGAGGTGTAGCTTGTCTGTTAAGAAAATGTAAGCATTGTGGAAATGTGTTCACTGACTGCATATTGTGTGAAACTGACATGAAATGTGTGAATGGTATGGCCACAAAAGACCGATGCTGTGCTACTTGTGGTTAGAGTTTTGAAAATGTGACAACTGGTCGGACAAACGCTTGTTAGCGACTGAAAAAAAAAACTGTAAAAAAGCAGTTTAGAGCTGTAAGGGGAAAAGTGATTGTGATTTTCATCAGGAGGGTGAAGATGTGAGGATGAAAAGCAAAATAATGACCACAACACGATGATCATCATGACATGGTTCATGATAGTTTCAGTTTAAACAATAATATGTCAGAGTAGTTAGCTTTGACGGTAGTGATGGGACATCATAAACTGATGTGATATGAGAGAGAAAGACAGATTTCAGCAATTATGATTTTGTAAAGGATTTGAATTAAAGTTTTTCTTTATTGAAAATATCACCTCATAATCCCAAACCATTTATGTGTAAAAATACTGAGTCTCTCACTGTATCCCCCCAAACTTTTGGCTAACATGAGGCCCCTCTAGCACATTTATTAACAGTGCTTCAGCCCTCTCTACACCGGAACCACATGACTCACAGAGAAACCTTTCTGATAATAGGATGGAGGATGGTTGGTTAGGGTGGTTTCACACCTCTGTCTTCAATCAAACACATATAAGCACACGCTTTAACCTGTACCACACAAAAAATCAACACATCATTGTTTGAAAATGTACGTAACTTTAATATATTCACTTCAAACACAAGCCGCAAAACATTAAACGGATGATTCAGTATTTTTAAGTAGAGTTGTATGAGGTTTACCTGCATACTTTAGTCTATAGTAAGGGTGTCTGTCACAGGGGATCCCCATCAGCTGGTGAACCAGAACAGAAGCTCTGCAGACGGACTCAGCTGTACCAAAGCTGTTTTAAACAGGGCTGATAATATGTGTAATTCTTCTGTAAAGATGGGCTTATGTGAATGGGTGTGTATGTGGCTTTGGGGCTCTGCGAGACAGACAAGAGGAACTGCAGTTTTTATTACATCCGCTTTGGCTTTACTTATTAAGACAAGAGGTTCCTGCTTGGAGCTGACACATTTGTGTTCTTTCTCTTGCAGCATACTAATGAGCTGATGTGGTCTGAGGGCTTTACAGAGACAAAAATACAACCAAAGAATCAGCGATTTTAACAGTAATGATGATGATGACATGCCTTTTACTGTCGACACAAGAGGATACCTTTAATGGAGTTTGCAGTGGGAGAATGGGACTCAGAGGGGACAAACTTCTGTGCTGACTGGAGAGCAGAAGAGACCCTGAGTGGGAGCAGTGGTTGGGGTGGAGGTTATTAGAGTTGCCAAATCAGGGGTTGGTGCTGACATGGTGTCCAGTCAAGCTTCCTTTTGGCTCATGGCAAAATATTAACTATTGACAAGAACCTCATGTAACCCCACTTAAAAAATACTGAACTATCCCTTTAAAAGTCAAAACCTTAACCAAAATAGACTTATGTAAAATTCTTTGAAACAACATTTTGTACAACAGGAACAAAAGTTCAGAGGTTTTCCTGGCAGACAGCCCTGGACTTTTCTCTGCATTTGATTCTAGTTTTCAAAAGTTACTCTGAAATATTCACCCGAGATTTAAACCCTTTCATGCTTCAGATAGTCAATTCACACTTTTGTTGCTAAAAAAATATCTGCAGGATACACAAATCATTTTCTGATTGAGAGTGGTTGTTGCTCGCGTCCTAAATGTTGTGCATTGTGGACAAGCCCTCAGGAAGGAGTGATGGAGATAAGCCTCTCATTCAGGCTTCAAAGTTTTAAAAAGTTTACCTAATCAAAGAATAAAAAAAACATTTAACTGATGAAACCTGTTAAAAAATGTGCTCTTCATTTTGCACTTTATCCCTTCTTTAACCATTCAGCTTCAAAAAAGGCCTCATATTTCTGAGTGACCTCGGCCCGCTTTTTCTCAGCTGCAGATTATTACACTAGCAACTGTAAACCGCAGAGTCACATATCAACCTCAGACAGCAAACACAGCTCGATGGTGTTAAAGATAAGCAAAACACTCTGTCAGACGTGACAGATTTTCTGTCTCTGAGGATGTCTTAAATAAATTCTGCCAAAAAAAAACCACGTGAGAGCAAAAGACTAACACACTCTTCTGAAAATGTTTCTCTTTTGTTATTTAAAACACACAAACTGCAGAAAGAGGGGAATGTAATAGTTGAAGTTTATTGTAGTAAAAAAATGCACAAATGAACTGATGTTGGAAACTGATGAAAATTTGTGAAACATGTTTGAGTCAACAGTGGACATCACTATTGAATTAGAACTTTAATTAACTACCAGTCTGACTCTCAACCACTCCTTTTTGATAGAAACACAGTTGAGCCAATCTGAGCAGATGAAAACAGCCACAAATAATCAAGCAAGAACAAATCAATGCTGCTTTGACAGAGCACTGAACATCATTCACATGTCTGCCAATCATTTGCACAAACTGTAAATAGTTTATCCTAGAAGTACTATATTAGGTCTGTATTATATTTACAATATTTAAAAGATAAAATCAGAAATACTACATAGTTTAAAGAGCAGTCCATAAAAGCTGTAGCCACACTTATCATCAGTCCAGTAGAACCTCTGAACAATGCTTTAAGTATGTCTTTGAAGAAGTCAAACTAGCCTAAATAAAAGTTAAGTATCTTGAATCAACAAACATCTCCTGCCCTCAGTTTTGCAACCTTGATCAAAAATCACCTGCTTTTATGCACCTTGGCATATAGACTATTTTCTCCAGGTGGTTCAACAGGCTGCTGAGGTCTCTGTGCAAACCTGACCTGGCCGTACTCCACCTCAATCTCCACCTCCGGCTGCACCTGCCTCCCCTGACGCGGGACAATGTTGACTTCAGCGTAGGTTAAGTCCTGATCACCCCTCACATCTGCATAGTTTCAGAGACAAAAAGCACAATTATATCACATTTAATGATTGTTTATTGTAAGGAATATGGATACATGTTGGATAACGCAGGTTCATGTAAAGGTGAGGGAACAGGTTACTGTCTATCAGAGCTGCTTTTTAAGACTTAAATAGAGACTATGAATGAATTAAATTAATGAATTGAAAAAAAGAGTTAAACTATATGGATATTAATCTGCAGATTTAGATGGTTTTACACCGTGCAAAGCTACACCCCCACCCTGGTGCTGAGATAGTCTTTTTATCCAAAGCTAACCAGGTGCAAGCAGAGCTTCCTGATAGAGTAAGATTATATTTTCAACACTGCTCTTGGCAGTATATTTGGTTCAACTATTAAGTTAGAAAGGAGAAAATGACAGAGTAGGGTGATTAGTCAGTAAAAAAGGGGTTCTGTTGGGTACCTTCAGCCTTGTTCTGTGTTTTGCTTTGACTCCAAACGACTCCCATCCCAACAGCCAAGAAGACCAGCAGAGAGGAGAGGACGCCAACCATTACCAGCAAATACACTTTTACTTCTAAGTAATATAAGACATAGGAGAAACATAAAATCTTGAAGTTAATGCTCTCATGGTGTTCCTATGAAGAAGAGTAAAGGTAGAAAAAAATAAACAAGTACTCTGATGGAGCTGCTGCAGCACGGTTAGCTAGCACTTACGAGTGGACCACAGGTCTCCTCTGTGGCTGGAACCCTCAGTGTGGTTGGACGCTGTGACATTATTTGAGGGTTTAGTTGTCAGTGTAGTGTCAGTCTCCTTACCCCCAAGACTTGTTGTTGTTGTTGTTGTTGTTGTTGTTGTTGTACACTGAGTTTCACTGGTTTCAAGCACATAGTTCCCATTACGTTGGATGCACTTGACAGATATGTAGCCTGTTTGAAAAAACAGATCAGTGACTGATGCGTGTTTGATGATCAGAGTTAAAGCCATCATTTATTCTCTCCTCATGTTTTCACTCACCACAGGTAGATATAAAGGTTTTATTTGAGACTTCACTGACATTGTTCCTGACTGTGCAGACCAGCCGTCCTGACATGTCTTGTTTCAGAGTGATGATGTTCGTCTCTTCATGTTCAGAGAGGAGCTGAGAGTCCATCAGTGTGTGTCCATCCAGAGTCCAGTTGTACTGAGGACTGTCCCCCCCACTAGAGGAGCAGGAGACCCTCATCTCTCCGTGGGACAAACACTCAGGGACCAGCTGGACAGAGGACAGAGGAGCTGAGGGGAACACACCAAGGTTACTGTTCATGTCAGGAGCATCATTATTTTACAGCTTCTAGTAGAGAAAATATTCATAGAGATAAATTTACCATACAAATTCTACCATTTAACATGTATGCATATCAATACAACTGTCTATTCATCAGTGAAACAGGTCAATATTCACCTTGAATGATCAACTGGAGAGTTCTCTTCTCTATGCTCTGTCCAGTTGAATCAAAGATTTTAAGAGTATAGTTACCACTATCGTTCCTGTTCAGGTTATTGATCCTCAATGTTCCATTATTGGGAGTAAAGGAGGATCTGTTTGCTATCTGATTAATCACAATCATATTTTCTCTCCAATGAAGTGTTGTTCTTGTTTCTTTTATCCACTGGTATCTAAATATTTCTGTGGCATCATCCATCAGCTGGAGGATCACAGTTCCTCTCAGAGCTCCATAACATTCAGCTCCATCATGTCTGCCATCACAGGAGGTTTCAACACCTGGAAAAATAATGAGAACACACATAAAACAGGATCATACCACATTATTGATCTTTTACCAGAAAAAAAAAAGAAAACAGGCAGATCTGTACACTAAGTAATCAGTTAATCATGCATATCATTGACGTGAGTTATAAAAGGCTGCCACACACCACACATGAAACATGTTCTCCTTTGAGTACCTTTGTCCTCCCCACTTTACCTCCCTGAGCCACTGAGAAAAAGGAGGACTCAGAGCTCCTGTGCTGCACTGTAGTACGTCTGGCTGTGAGAGCTGTAATACAATTGTTTGGTTTTGCCTGGCATCTAGATCAAATGTTTCAACAGGGACTTAGGGACAGAGTTGAAAGTTGAAACCTAGCACTGTGGAAACAATTTGGAGTGTTATGAGATCCAACACGTGTCTACAACATCTGTGTCTATGACTGACAGCTGAGGTTTAGAAACATGAGCCTGATTTAGCCCCTGAAGTTGTGTGAGACAAAGGCGAGCACATCATGCTTTACTTTGCACTCTATCTCCTAGAATCCCATGTTCATTTCTATTCAGCTCTTGTTCCACTTTGCTTTGGCTTTGAAAGTTTCACTGAAGATTTTTTAGATTAATGCTCTTTAATGAGAGTGTGGCAAGGGTAAAGTTACCCACAGAGGTTTTGGAGGGAGGTAAAGCACACCTGGGGGAAATGTTAGAGTGCTTTATCTGTGAATTCCTGAAAAGATGTGATGTTGTCCCCAAATTAGACAACGGAGAAGAAAAACTGGAGAAAACCTCATCTACATATGAATCTTGAAAAGACTTGATCCTTTTCTTAGACCACCAAGAGAAAGTTGAATCAAACAGTGAAGACGGATATAGGGAGTTATTACAAATTGTGGCCGAAGTAGATGTGGCAAAAACTTGAATTGATGTCAAAATTGCTGCCAGAGTCTTTAAGGTGGTGAATACAACCAGACTGTCTGTACAAAGTCCTTTTTTCATGGATACGGAGGAGGAAAGCACAAAGTTTTCAAGGACTCAAGCCTTTAAAATAAAGTTTATGAATATGAGCATCTTAATAATAACAACAAAGTACGGTCAATGATACACCTACACTAAGTTTGCATCTCTGCAGCAGGTGGATAAGAAGGTCATAGAAATAAATAATTGTACTCTAATACAATACAAAGTACTCTAATCCTGATGGACATACAGCAGGTGATCATTTTCAATGGACACTCAAATGGATTTCACTCATACAAACTTATGTAAATTTGGACAAACATCTGAAACTCCCACTGCTCACGTTTATACTTTGGTAATGAAACCAGCTGCTGCTCACAAATAAGTATCTGCTGCTTTCATAGAAGATCAAATCTACTAAGTTCAGTAAGTTTATTAAAGAGCTGACCATGAGAGGCTCCCAGCAGCAGCAGCATCAGTCCAAACACAGTGTCCATGTCCCCTCACAGTTCAGCCTCAGTCTCAGCAGCTCCCAGACAAAGTTCTGGAGCGTGTTCTTCCAAATGATCAGCCTCAGAGAAAAGGTTTGCTCACTCGAACCAAACAGAGAGTCTCTGCAAAGAAAAAAGGAAGTGATGACGGTTTTACTTCCCTTTTAGCCAAATCAGACAGGTCTTTTGGTGTGATGGAGTGACTGGAAGAGAAGAAAGCTTTCCCCCTTTGAACCAAAAGAGGATTTGAGACCAACAGTTGATGTTTCTGCTACATGGACGATCAAATATCATCAAAAAAATTAATCTAAAAACAAAACTCACTCTTCTCTTGCCTGATAGTTCCTTTTCAATAAAGTCCTGATACACTAGAAACCCTAACTCTAAATACATAACAGCCATAAAAACTATTCAGGTATGAATTTAAAGAGCTTCCTCTTCCTCACATGCTGATCATGGACTTTAATTATAGGTTCAATTTTAAAGAATGTAAAAAGACATTTCAGGTCAACAGAAAAAGTCAAACTGCAATTTTTCTCAAAAACATAATCGTACAAAATAAGTCATTGTTGCACACATGAGAAAGGGTTTTTATCTCATGATGGTCTACAAATGTTTACTGTGGTGATAACACAATAATAGAAAATACATATATTCTCAAAGAGTGTTGACCTCTGACTGCAGTGGATTAAAAGCATCACATCTGTTGCTTTGATTTGTTACTTCAGTATTTACAGGGTCTTTGCTGTGAAATTTATTGAACTTTCAGGTCCTAAACAGACAGAAATCTGTTTTAATGTCTCCTTATATGAGGGCTCTGGTTGAGCATACGCCTCATAAGGACAGGCTGCAGTCCTCAAAGCTGCAGATGCTGCAGATCCAAACCATGACTCTGAGCTGCATGTCTTCCTGACTCTCTTTTCCCCACATTTACTGTCTCTCCTCAGCTGTCCTGTCAACATAGACCATGTTAAAGTAAGATTGAAAACTTGAAAATTAATCCATAAAGACATGATGACTGGTTTGTCTTTGCTGTTTATTAAAAACAAGAGGTCAAATAAAACATAGACAGCTTGGATCTCAGACTCTGCTCTGTGAGTTCAAAAACAGACACATTTCAGCCGTTTAACATCAATCTGTAGATTAAATCAGTAATGTGAAGTTGTTCCTGATTTGAGTTTCCACATAGCCCACAGGATCCTCTCTCTCAAACATCACGTCTTTTTCGACCGTGGTGTCTTCTGGTGGTATCTTACAGCAAAGGTAGACAACTAGTATGGAGCAGGGCAGACAGTTGAGGGAAAGGCAAGAAAATGTATCAGCTAACTTCAGAGCAAAAGTAGAGCAACAATAACATTCATGCAAATGAAGAAGGGTAAAAAAACAAAAACAAAGTACAGATACTCAAAATAAAAAGAATAAATACATTCAGATAATCTGGTCTCTGGTTGTAATCTGATTTTATTTACTTTTACTCATTTTTCAGAGCCCATCTTAAAAGCCTCTTTGTTAAAATGTGAAATTAAATTGTATCACAAAAGGATAAAAGTCCAGTACATGTCCCTCTCTCTTCCAGATGTTTGAATCTAATTTCATTTAAATGAATTTGGTATTTAAACTGCATTTGATCCAAATCACACTCAGTTTTCTGTAAAATTTCAGACTGAAGCAGTTTTTCCAAAGCTTTCATTACAAATGACATCAGTGCAACAGGAAGTGGTCTTCTGTATGATGTTACATATACAATAGTTAAAGAGGTATTTAAAATGCAGAGCAACAAAGTTCAATAATAAAACAAAAATGATCATTATTCTCCAAAACACAAACTTTGATCATAGAATAAAAAAACAATTTTCAACAAACACATATGGCGTTTTAAAATAATGAATGGACCCTTAGCTACCAAGACATAAACCTAAGACTGTCAACTCATATTTAATAGAAAATCTTTAATTTTAACCAACAGTGATGATGTGTAGAGCTCTAAACTGTTATAAAACTAGTTTGAATATCGAGATTACAACATGAGCTTTATTTACACAAACACACTTTGCTTTTTATAAGAAAAGAAACTTAAAATAAAAACAGGATAGCTTCGGATCTGAACCTTATTTTTTACATCTTTACAGACACACAGTCTGAATCCAGCAGTGATAAAGAAGTTAAGGTTTCAGAGAGTTAAGGTTCAGCTGCAGAGCTTCTCATTTCAACCATCACGACAGAAGAGTTTTCATATTCCACCTCTTCAGAGCCTGCAGATCCTTCAGCTCTCATTAGTTTCCTTTTCTTCCAGGTAAAAAAGGCAAAAATCACAACCAATACCAGGATAAATACAACTGCTCGCAGACCACAAATGAGCAGGGAGTGATCTGTTTAAAAGAGAGGAGAGAGAAATGAAGAGTTGGGGTCAGGTTTAAGACGTGATGGGTCATGTAGCGCTCTGATGTTACTCTGACTCACAAAGCTGGATTAATACAGAGATTCTCTGGCTGGAAGCAAAAACACCGTGATATAAATGTGCCAATGAGTAAAGTAAAGTCGGAGACTAAAAGCCAGTATAAGAACAAAAGTACTCTGATGGATCCGCTGCAGCACGGTTTGCGAGCACTTACTAGTGGACCTAAGGTGTCCTCTGTGGCTGGGACCCTCAGTGTGGTTGAAGGCTGTGACATTATTTGAGGGTTTAGTTGTCAGTGTGGTGTCAGTCTCCTTACCCCCAGGACTTGATGTTGTTGTTGTTGTTGTTGTTGTTGTTGTTGTTGTTGTTATTGTCATTGTACACTGAGTTTCACTGGTTTCAAGCACATAGTTCCCATTACGTTGGATGCACTTGACAGATATGTAGCTTGTTTGTAAAAACAGATCAGTGACTGATGCATGTTTGATGATCAGAGTTAAAGCCATCATTTATTCTCTCCTCATGTTTTCACTCACCACAGGTAGATATAAAGGTTTCATCTGAGACTTCACTGACATTGTTCCTGACTGTGCAGACCAGCCGTCCTGACATGTCTTGTTTCAGAGTGATGATGTTTGTCTCTTCATGTTCAGAGAGGAGCTGAGTGTCTATCAATGTGTGTCCATCCAGAGTCCAGTTGTACTGAGGACTGTCCCCCCCACCAGAGGAGCAGGAGACCCTCATCTCTCCTTGGGACAAACACTCAGGGACCAGCTGGACAGAGGACAGAGGAGCTGAGGGGAACACACCAAGGTTACTTTTCATGACAGGAGCATCATTATTTTACAGTTCCTAGTATAGAAAATATTCATACAGATAAATTTACCATACAAATTCTACCATTTAACATGTATGCATATCAATACAACTGTCTATTCATCAGTGAAACAGGTCAATATTCACCTTGAATGATCAACTGGAGAGTTCTCCTCTCGATGCTCTGTCCAGTTGAATTAAAGATTTTAAGAGTGTAGTTACCACCATCGTTCCTGCTCAGGTTATTGATCCTCAATGTTCCATTATTGGGAGTGAAGGAGGATCTTTTTGCTATCTGATTAGTCAGAATCCTATTTTCTCTCCAATGAAGTATTGTTGTTGATTCATTCATCCACTGGTATCTAAATATTTCTGTGGCATCATCCATCAGCTGGAGGATCACAGTTCCTCTCAGAGCTCCATAACATTCAGCTCCATCATGTCTGCCATCACAGGAGGTTTCAACACCTGGAAAAATAATGATAACACACATAAAACAGGATCATACCACATTATGGATCTTTTACCTCTAATAAACAAACCTTTTACCTGTCTTTTAGGGACATACAGATTTATATTTTTAAAGGTGTTAAGATTTCTTAAATTAGTGTCAATCAGAAATTCTATAAGTGTTTAATAAACAAACCAAAGAGTTTCAATAGCTCTAATAGGTGCTCACAGAGCTAACATTTTTAAATACTCTTTAAACTAGAAGCAAAATCTTAGACCCCTTTTATATAAAAATGTACCACGATTGTAAAAGGTCACAGCTTATTTGAATTATTCACCTAAATATCTCACCTCTCTTACTTTCTTAAAAAAATAGTAGCTTGTTGAAGACGTGAAGTGCAGCAACACTCTACAGGTGGACATTCAGCAGCTACTATATTTGATTTTTTAACGACCTCAAGATTTAAAATTAATAGATTTTTTTCAAGCACCATTTCAACTAAAGGGAGCTCTCAAAATATCTATATAATGACTGAGCTGAGCTTCACTGGTTTCAAGCACATAGGTCCCATTACGTTGGATGCACTTGACAGATATGTAGCCTGTTTGAAAAAACAGATCAGTGACTGATGCATGTTTGATGATCAGAGTTAAAGCCATCATTTATTCTCTCCTCATGTTTTCACTCACCACAGGTAGATATATAGGTTTTATCTGAGACTTCACTGACATTGTTCCTGACTGTGCAGACCAGCCGTCCTGACATGTCTTGTTTCAGAGTGATGATGTTCGTCTCTTCATGTTCAGAGAGGGGCTGAGAGTCCATCAGTGTGTGTCCATCCATAGTCCAGTTGTACTGAGGACTGTCCCCCCCACCAGAGGAGCAGGAGACCCTCATCTCTCCGTGGGACAAACACTCAGGGACCAGCTTGACAGAGGACAGAGGAGCTGAGGGGAACACACCAAGGTTACTTTTCATGACAGGAGCATCATTATTTTACAGTTTCTAGTAGAGAAAATATTCATAGAGATAAATTTACCATACAAATTCTACCATTTAACATGTATGCATATCAATACAACTGTCTATTCATCAGTGAAACAGGTCAATATTCACCTTGAATGATCAACTGGAGAGTTCTCCTCTCGATCCTCTGTCCAGTTGAATTAAAGATTTTAAGAGTATAGTCACCACTATCGTTCCTGTTCAGGTTATTGATCCTAATTGTTCCATTACTGGGAGTGAAGGAGGATCTGTTTGCTATCTGATTGGTCAAAATCCTATGTTTTCCCCCATGAAGTATTATTGTTGATTCTTTCATCCAATAGTATCTAAATATTTCTGTGGCATCATCCATCAGCTGGAGGATCACAGTTCCTCTCAGAGCTCCATAACATTCAGTTCCATCATGTCTGCCATCACAGGTGGTTTCAACACCTGGAAAAATAATGAGAACACACATAAAACAGGATCATACCACATTATTGATCTTTTACCTCTAATAAACAAACCTTTTACCTGTCTTTTAGGGACATACAGATTTATATTTTTTAAGGTGTTAAGATTTCTTAAATTAGTGTCAATCAGAAAATTTATAAATGTTTAATAAACAAACTAGAGTTTCAATAGCTCTAACATTTTTAAATACTCTTTAAACTTAAAGCAAAATCTTAGACCTCTTTTATATAAAAATGTACCATGATTGTAAAAGGTCACAGATTATTTGAATTATTCACCTAAACATCTCACCTCTCTTACTTTCTTAAAAAAAATAGTAGCTTGTTGAAGACGTGAAGTGCAGCAACACTCTACAGGTGGACATTCAGCAGCTACTACATTTGATCATTTTTTAACGAACTCCAGATTTAAAATTAATAGATTTTTTTCAAGCACCATTTCAACTAAAGGGAGCTCTCAAAATATGTATATAATGATAAAAAAAGTGCATCTAAAACAAAAGTCTCTCCCTACAATAAAATCAAAACATCTAAGTTCAAAATTGAAATGAGGATAAACAGAAACCACGCAAACATCCAGCCTAGTCCTGATGAAACACATTTTAATGATCAGCATTACTGTATTTGTTAAAAACATCAGTCTATGCAGAGCAGAAGTTGTTCTAGTGTGGGACATTTTTCATGAATTAATGTTAAAAATATCTGATTAAAGACTTTAAAATACAAAATCTAACATCCATTCTTATATTACTATTACTTTTTTTCCCCCCAGGGCTCGAAACATCAGCATAAAGTCAAAATTTACAACAACGTAAACAAAGTATTAGGAGAAAAGTCATAAAATTATGATGGAAAAGTTGCAGTTGAAGCGTGTTGTGAAAAGAAAGAGAAGAGCAGCCTGCAGCTTAAATTAAAATGAGGAACATAGAGCATCTTTTGAGGGTTTAATAAAAACCTTTAAAACTCAGTGATAAATAAAGTGTGGACTGACGGCAGCTGCATGTTTCCTCTTTCATTTTCAGTGTAACTTTCCAAACCTCTCATGACTTTATACAGCAGATTACAAGATTGATCTTTTTTTGTCATTTTCTAACGAAATAAAGCTTGATTTAGTAAGAATATTAGGAGAATAAAGTCCTCATGTTATTAGAATAAAGTGTTGATAAGTTTATATAGTTATTATTATTAATAACTATATTATTAGTTATTAATAACTAATATATAGTTGTTATTATTATTATTATAGTTTCAGTTCATGATGGGCAGCCAGCTGTCTAGACCAAAATGAGGAACAAGGAGCGTCTGGTCAAATTGTCCCTAATATTTTGTCTTCTAAGCTCCACATTGTAATAAGTATCATGACTCTGAAAAGAAATCAAACAAATTAACGAATGGGCACTGATCTACTAATATCCACATTACATGATTTTGATTTTTTTTGTAAAACAAAAAAAATAAAAATAAAAATAGGGGAAACCGGGGCTTGTTGTCACACTTTTTACACTCTTATATATTTCTTGGGATCAATAGATCATATATAAACAAAAACTGTACCAGATGAAAGACCAGAATCTCAGGTAGATATTTTGCATTTATGTCTTTTTCATATCTTGTGTCAGTGCAGAGTTATAAGCAATCAAATAGAGAGTGTGAACATATGACATGTTGCCCCACCATCGGGTAAGTTGTCTCACTACATGGGGTAAGATGTCACAGTGGATTTTGTAGCTAATAAAACAGGGACAAAATTATTGTTGTTCTCATTTTTTTTTACATAAAAGGGAACATCAAAGTCAGGCACAAAAAATATTTATCGTTGAGCTAGAAAAAGTCATTGAATATAGCCATGAAACACACGTTAACATAAAAGATTATGCAACATGTTCTGGAGTTTGGAGAGCAGTCCGACTCTGTATATCAGCTGGGGTGAATGTTTTGCAGTACCGAACCAAAGTTCTGGTAGGTCACATTAAAGTCTTTTATTTTACTCCACGCTGATTTATTAGTTAGGGTCATCTGTCTGACTGCCCTCAGCATCACGTCAGGTACTGCACTGCCATGTTCTGTTCTTTTGAAATTCCTCACCATGTTTTCTCACTTTCTCCTCTCCTTTAAACCACTGTTTTCTCTGTAAAAAATAAGTTAGAATTTCAATATGACAAGTACTGATAAGCAGACTCTCTGTGTTAATTTTAATTCCTTTTAAACATGTGACAACTAACCCCAAAATGACTGACCCTGACCCAAACTACCATGTCTGCTAATTCTAGCTCTAGTTTAAAGTTAGCTTAAAACAGAACAATGACTAAGGTATGAGAGGATGCCTTAATCTCTCCTCTAACAAGTTCACATGTATCACTGCTAGGATTTTTATCTGGAAGATGCTTATTTTAAAATATATAAGGTAATTTTTTTTTACTTTGGGTTGTGCAAAATGGTTAATTGGTGCTCATCTCAGCTCACAGTGTGCTCTTCTCTTCTCAGACAGGACACAACCCCTGACCATGGAAAGGAAGAAAACTGGAATTCCACTTTCAGTTGTGCCCCCTAGTGGCAAAGATAATTGCAATGTGACAATTTACCCATGTGACAACAAGCCCCGGTCACCCCTTTGAATTTGAGCTGGCTGTGACAGCTAGCAAAAAAAACCTCCGATCAAATTTAGACTGAAAATTCAGTCTTAAAATTCTGAGAAAAGAAAACAACGTGAAAAGAATCAGATCTGTTGTACTTTTCAGTAGCCATAACCCCGTCCTCTACCTCTAGACATTCATCAGTAATCTCTGTAATAATTGAAAAACTCACCATGACAGACTCCGAGCATCATCGCCAACAGTCCAAACACAGCCCTCATGTCTGAATCAGCTCCTGCAGTTTGTGGTCTGAGAAAACGTAAAAAGGTGTTGCTGTAACAGGAGGAGATTAGTGCAGCAGAAAATTCAGCATGTTTGATCAACAGATAAATATCACACTCACCTTTTAGTTTGAGAGAGGTTCTCCAGTCTGTACTTCCCCTTTCATTTACCATCTTAACTCAGTAAAATTAGCTCCCTCGTGGTTCACACACAGATGTTATTATGAGTCCATCACGCTGGTTAAAAATCAGTGCTGCTTGTTTATTCTTCTAAGGAGTGGTGTAAAGTCAGTTTAATACAGTAAATAAAGGTCCTAAATGTGTTTTCATGCAGCTGGAAACTGTGAAAGTATCAAATGTTGATTTACTGTAATTGTTGGTACGACTGATGCTCGTGGTTGTTCTCCTCAGATGTTCCTCATTTGTCGGAGACAAACTCACACAGGATGCTGAGAGAATTCACACCTGATTCAGAGTTTGAGACTCTTTAGACGTAAGAGTTTGTCTCTTCACCTAAAGCTTGATTACAGATCAACATTGAACTCTACCATAACCATCTGTCTTTACCTTCCTCACCAATGAATGCTGTATGTTAGTTTTTGTTCTTTTCACACATTCCCACAATCAGACGTCAGCCATGCATACAGTAACACAACTCATCCATTGATTGATAGAGACATCCTATGAATCAATCACAGTGGCTTTTATTTACTTATTATCCCTCCAGGGGCTCATTTTACACACTAACAAAGACATAGACATCAGTCACAGCACCACACAAGCAATCCAGACAGCATTCAACGGTCGGTCTTTGCTTTAGTGGCTTTAGGTACTTCTATGAATCTCCTGTCCGATCTGTACTACACCTGTGTAACTTCATTTAAAGGCATTAATGAAGTTAAATGTGTCCCCCACTCACTCTTTGTGTGTTGCTCAATTATTTTTTTCATATTCAACATTCATGGATGCTGGTCATGGACACAGGGGGGCTCTATTTTCGTGCCTCGCCGGCGACGCAGCGCGCCAACAAGGCTTTCCCAAGCACAATTTGGTATTTTGGTGAGCGGCGCAGCCCGGCATAAGTATCCCCCCTCCCTGACTCAGCTCCTCCCAGTGGCGTAAGTCGTAGGGAGGGAGGAGAGTGGGTGTGGGGTGGGTTTAACACAGCAGAGACCTGTTTTCACCAATCACATCAGCTCCTCTCCTCACCTTTAAATCTGCCACCGGCGAGGCGTATTACAATTTTCATGAAGTAGTCAGAGAGATCAAGAAATGTCTGAAGACAGTAATGCCACACGATGGCGACAGAAGGCAGCTCCTCAACAAGTGTCGCTGTAAACGCTGCAGAGGGGGTCCTCCACACTGTCATAGAAGCACAGATGGATTTGGTGTGTGTAATGTTGGACCCACTAGTAAGACAAACACCCTTTTCCACAAATAAAGACACTCACATAAAGTTGCATATATTCAAACCTCACGTGACAAAGGTGGGTTGTGCGCACAGATCACAACATAAATTCCAAGATTGTCATTAAAATGGGAACCATCTGTGCGTACATGACGCATCGCGCTCCGTGGCCTGGCTCTTTCTTTCATAGATGTTGGCATATAAAATAAATTTGGCTCACAAAACTGAATATTATAATATTCCTATGTCGGCTTAAAGTAAATAACTCATCTGATCACTGAAACAAATCATCTGTTGAGCTGCAGCAGGGCGGGGAGAGGACACGGAGACATGTCCAAGTCGAGCTGCGCGAGAAATTAGAGGAAGAGGAAAAAAGAAAAGGAGGGAGATGAATTACATATCTTGTTAATTTCATCATGTGTGTCTATTTACTAGATATCTAATTTAATTTAATGCGGTTTCAGCTGTGTTGATTCGGTCAGGTTGTGTGTCCAAACGCGTTCATCAGATCAGATATAGATCAGAATATATCTATATAGATCTAAATGTATGTGCTGACTGAGATTATTAGTTGTTGATGATTATTTATTGCACTGAAATGTGCCTGACACTGTGGAAACCTGCCGGTGAGGCATCAGTGACGTATGCTGACACGCCACGGTCTACCAAAATACCACTAGACCAGCTGCTCTCCACCTGTGCTGAAAGCTGACCAGGTTTGAATCGGCGAGCTTTCAGCACACTTTACACGCTGGTGGCGAGCACGAAAATGTCACTGTGCCCGCTGATTCTGTCGACACCTCCCCCTGCCACGCCACCATGCCCAGCTTGGTGGACCTCAGTGTGCCTCAGTCTACAAAAATACCAAACTGGCTGTACGTTGGGCTCCGCCAGACTAAAATACCACTGAGCGGGGTCCGCCACCCTTCGCCGCCTGCCCGGCGGACACGAAAATAGAGCCCAGGGAATTTGCCTGTGACCCGCTCCACACGGAGGGTCAGCCACTGAAGGTCTTTTTGCTTAAAGTCTGTTCACAGAGTCTGTATGGAGGCAGATTCCTGAAAAGTTGACTGGAGGGGAAGTGAAAAGGTGACCAAGCAACATGGATGAGAGCAGCCCTGAGAGGAATGACAAACAAAGAAGATTCAAGAACTTAGAAGAGCTTCACAACATGAAGACTCAGACAAAAAGTCTTGCAATATTTCACTTTCTGTGTGATTAATCTAGAATATTTGTAAGCTTAACTTTTTGAATTACATTATGGAAAAAAATTAACTCTTTTCAGGAGGTACTAATTTTCTAACTGTACCTGTATGTCGGCATACATCAGGTCAGGGTCAGGACATCTTGATGAGATGCTCTCACCAGCTCTGTTGGTGTTGCCTGGTTTGCAGGACAGGATCCCTTGTCAAAATGTCTTCCTTTTTGTTTAGTCTACTGATTTAGGATACTGATAGAGACAGACATTTTTTTGCCTCACAATGTCAATGGGCAGTATAAAATCTGTCATTCTTTTCCATGGATTGATTTAATATAACTTTTGAGATCAGGTTGACCCTCTTACTCTTGAGTAATAGATACTTTTTTTTTTATTAGGGTTTTGTCTCAGCCAATTAATCAGCTGATCTAATCGCTGCAGCTCCAGGTTACTGTCTCTATCTGTACAGCTGTTCTTCACACAATCATAAACCAAAGATTAAAAGTGAGTTTCTGATATGAACACAAACACATAAAACAGTTGTGAAGTTTTCTTTCATGTCCTTACAATTTATTGATTTCATTTTTAATATATTTAAGTGTTGACTGGTAGATCAGAGGGTTAAAGAGAGACACATGAAGCTTTAAGTAATGCATGATGGAGCAAATAGTGTTTCTGTGTGTCTGTAGTTAGCTTAATGAGGCTGACGAGTTCAACTTCAAGTGATTCACCTGGTACTGTTAGCATGATGTAGTTACAGTTCAGGAACAAAATTATAACTAAAAGATGTATTATTGCACTAAAAACTTTTAGTCTTCCTTCAGCTCTGTGTGGATTTCTTTCTTCGGTTTCCATGGTGACCATCCACCACAACAGCATGTAACCTCTGACATGAAGAAACTCAAAACTAGCTGTTATATCACCATTTACAACCCTCCACCCATGCAAGCCATAACAATAAGACAGAGGTGCTAAGCTAGCTTTAATGCCAACAAAGAGGTTGCTCTGTGAGTGTGTGTTGAGCAAGATGAAATGATGTTTTGACTCAGAGTCCACCTGATCAGACAGGAATCTTTAAGTCAAAGAGTTTCAGGTTCAGCAGTCCTACAGTCCTCCTCTGCTGGGCTGCTCACAGGCTCAGAGTCATTAGCCAATCATCAGTCCTGCAGTGAGTGTTGGGCTAAGCTGCTCGCTGCCGCCCTCTGCTGTCTTTTCTTGTAGCTTGGCCAGCGGCACACAGGGCAGCAGTGTCGGCCTGACGCTAACCAGACCATGATGCATTGCTGGTGGAAGGCATGGCCACAGGGCAAACCCATCAGCAGTTCCTTGTTCACAAAGTTCTCCAGACAGACCACGCACTCTGAGCAGTGCAGCACGTCACACGGCCAAACCGACCAATCACAGGGCTGATGTTCCGGTGACCTATCAGCCAATGGCAAGTCTCTGTTTTCATGACAGGAGGAGCATGACGCTGCGGGGTCAGTGTGTGGACCTCTGTCAGGTGACTCATCGGTCTGCTCGCTGCTCTCTGAGTCTGAGCGAGAACTGTCTGTCTCTTTGTCTGCCTCATCATCAAACCCCGCCCCCTCTGTTCCACTCCAAGCTCTAAACCTCCATGTGGGAAGGGCTTTTATGTAGTCTGTGTCTACTAAAGGGCGAAGCCAGAGATCAGGGAAAGCCAGACGCTCCAGTAAAAAGTTTGGATCCTCGTCCCAGTCTGAGTGGTCGGATGGGACCTGCTGCAGCGAGGCGATTGGGTGGAGCAGGTAGGAGGTGTACCAGTCCCACAGACTGGCCAGCCACTCCAGGTTGGTGGTGCTGTCCTCCTGACTCCTGGCACCGCAGCGGCGTTTCTTCTCAAAGTAGTCAACCAGCAGGCCGTGGGCCAGGTATGTGGACAGGAAGAGGGCAGGGTGTGAGGAGTAGAAGGTCCAGTCCGCCCTCACCAGACTGGCCAGCGTGGTGGTGTCAGCATACCTGAGCAGCTTCAAACTGTAGCCGTATAGAGCATCCAGGTAAGGCAGCTGCAGGAGAGCCTGGGGAAGACCATTCAGTAATCAGTGTTTATTATTTCAACCAAACTCCCATTCAGTGGAAGTAAAGCTAGTTAACCTCAGAGTTTGTGTGTGAGCTGTACTGGTATTGATTAAAAAGTCATTTATTGATGTAAAATCTGAAGAATAAAACATTTCCTACCAGAACAGGGAGCCAGGACACCAGCAGGATGGAGTTATATGTTCCCAGAGTCCGAATCAGAACCACAAAACGTTTAACCGTCGCTCCCTGTTGATCAGACAAAGACGGACTTTGCTTAAAAAAAATAGTAGTAATAATACATTTACCTTTGTCTCTGAACCAGAAACACAGGAAGTCACCTGAGTGATGAAGAGGTCCATCCAAGCCAGCAGGTTGATCAGAACTAGACTGAGGACAAACAGGTCGTTGACCTCAGGCTGGACAGACCGCAGGAACGTATCCATGGCAACCAAGGACAAGAACTCCCCTGTACTGAGAGTGGGAAGTGTTTGTGTGCATATTCAAATATTTCTTTGTCAGAACATATTTTGATTAGTATTGTCATGAACGGTCAATACCTGTTGCCGTAGCGATAAATGCCCTCTGGCATCTTGAGGATGTAGGCAGGGCTCTGTGTCACACCGATCTCTGATAGGCAGCTGTGGTTGTCCCAGTGACGGATGTCAACAAAGATGAAGTCTATCCTTCCTGTGAATTTCACAGACAGCGAGGAGAAGAAAGCAGGTGGCTGTGACAGATGTGCGAATAAAAACATCTTCACCGGGTGGGTGGGGTCAGGACGCCACTCCTCCTTCAGCTGCTCAGAGTGACGCAGAGTTTTGATTCGCTGAGAAACATGTGAGGTCATCCAGCGGAAGATGTGTTCGGTCTCAATGCGCCTGCCGTCATATTCTCTGAGCATGACTTTTCCCTTTGACGCTGACGTTTGAGGAACCGCCATGATGAGGGTGGAGCGCTGCCAGCCACGCCTGATGCATGATCTGAGGGGCGGAGCAAAGGGTGACTTTAAACCAGGTTAGAGTCACACACTGATCTTTCTCTGGTGCATAAACTATTTTAATGACAATTAATGAGACTACTTTAGCTGAACGGAGGTCTGCTTGATGACTTACTAAAGTTACTCTTGTGCATTTATGTCAAATAAAGGAAATACAACTGCAGCACTCAGAGTCACTGCAAAAAGCTGTGGGGTTCAAGGTGTCCGAGGGTCTCACCTGTGGTCATTGGAGCAGTTGAAGGTCCCAGTCCTGATTCCAAACTGGGACACTTTTTGCACCATTTTTCCCCAGTTAGACTGACTAAGCAAAGCGTCCCGGTTCTGGGCGATGACCTGCAGAGACACACAGAGACAAGAGCTACTTAAAACACCAAATAAGGAATATGGACATATTTCTGAACCCTGGATTTGACCCTAGAAGAGCAACAAAAAAAATCCCCTTCAAGAAAGAGCAGAGCAGGATGTTTCTGTCTTCTGTCCGATAAGAGTTGAGTTTATTCCTGAGGAGATTCACTAACCAGTGATGTCACGACTTGAGCAAATCTCATGTGCATTTGTTCAGTTTCTGTTTTTCAACAAACTGATCAGAGCAGCCTGTGGTCTCATCCTGGGAAGTCTGCCCATGTTTAGTATTGACACTGAACACTTTGACTTAGTATTTGTTTGTAAAATACAAAAAGCACAATACCACCTCTTTAGATGTTGACAAAAAAGAACTGAGACTTTACTGTCCAGCACTTTATAGACACTTAAGCATCTAGAAATTATACACAACCTATCTTTTTAAGCTGTTAATGTGCAAAATTATTTTGCATAAAACAGGTGATTATACCTGAACCAGCCAGATCCCATCTTTCGTGTCCTCCACTAACTCGTAGAAGTGCATCTCTCCACTGAAGTTAGTGCTGCTTGAGTCTCCAGCCTCTGTCTGCTCCGTCTCCTTCTTCATCGCAGAGTACAGCTCGCCATGAGTCAGCTCACCTGAGGGAGCAAGGCCAGAGTCATCAATGAAAAATTATGAGCTCAGATGATCATATATAAAAGGTCAATGAAAAAACAATTAACATAAAACATTTTACATTATATACTTGATGAAAGGACAGCTTGAGACAGGAAGTGCGAGGAGAACAACATGAACACCAACACCTGTTTGGTTGGATCCAGCGCCTCCTCAGTGACAATCAAACTCTAAATAAATGAGGTGAAATGTTTGAATTATCTGTTTGGTATCTTGCTCACTTAACTACTGAAAACTACTCTGTGCTTAAAAACAGTTGAAGCAGTTTAGGTTCATGGACACAGAGGTTCTCCTGTAGGGGAGACCGGGGCTTGTTGTCACATGGGTAAGTTGTCACATTGCAATAATTTTAGCCACAAGAGGGCGCAACTAAAAAGAGGAATACTAGTTTTCTTTCTTTATATGGTCAGGGGTCATGTCTGAGAAGAGAAGAGCACATTGTGAGCTGAAATGAGCGCCAGTTAACCATTTCACACAACCCAAAGTAAAAAAATATAGATATATTTTAAAATAAGCTTCTTCCAGATAAAAGTCCTAGCAGTGATACATTTGGACTTGTTAGAGGAGAGATTAAGGCATCCTGTCATACCTCAGTCATTGTTCTGTTTTAAGCTAACTTTAAACTAGAGCTAGAATTAGCAGACATGGTAGTTTGGGGCAACATGTCTCAGTCATTTTGGGGTTAGTTATCACATTTTTAAAAGAGATTAAAACTAACATAGAGAGTCTGCTTATCAGCAGTTGTCTTATTTGAAATTTTGAGTGGTTTAAAAGAGAGGAGAAAGCGAGTACAATGAAGGACTTTAATGTCAACTACAATATCTTGGCTCGGTACAGCAAAACATTCACCCCAGCCAAAATACAGAGTCAGACAGATCTCCAAACTCCAGAACATGTTGTATAATATTTTATGTTAACGTTTGTTCAATTACTTTTTCTTTCTCAATGATAAATATTTTCTGTGCCTGACTATGATGTTCACTTTCATGTAAAAAAAAAATAAGAACAACAATAATTTTGTCCTTTTTTTATTAGCTGCAAAATCCACTGTGACATCTTACCCCATGTAGTGAAACAACTTACCCAATGGTGGGGCAACATGTCACATGTTCACACTCTCTATTTGATTGCTTATAACTCTGCACTGACACAAGATATGAAAATGACAATGAATGCGAAATATCTACCTGAGATTTTGGTCTTTCATCTAATACACATTTTGTTTATATATGATGGATTGATTCCAAGAAATATATAAATGTGTAAAAAGTGTGACAACAAGCCCCGGTCTCCCCGACATCAGGTCTGACATGAACTGAGGGGTCAGCTGGTTTTCCTGTATCTAATCAACATTTCACATAAAGTCGTTACACAATGTCAGAGCAAGTATCTGATGGACAGACTTAGTTTTGTCGCTTTCCACCAGCCAATCAATTTATGAGAAAGTCCACAGTCACAAACAGATGTCACTTTTTACAGTTACATGATGTGATGGACGGAGTCATGTGACTGATGGTGTGACCTTTGACTATGGTCAGGAATGTTTTTTTTTTTTGCACTGATAAATCAGAGCTGTAATTTCAAAAGGTTAAAAGTCAAGATCTTTTACCTGACTTCTCAACCAGCTCGCTAACGTCCCTCTTCTCAGCTAGTCCGGCATATCCGAGTCCCCGAGTCTCCAGGATGGTCTTCAGCTTCTTGTAGCTCAGGGACACTGGGTCCACCAGCTGTGTGGAGAACATCCCAGTCTCATACCAGACCACTGCCTCAAAGATCCTCGCCAGCAGGAAGAGCAGCAGGAAGTACAGCAGCAGGAAGAAGAGGCGGAGCCACATCCTGGAGCCGGACCCAGGACCCAAAGACCCTGAGAGACCCCAGCACCTTCAGAGACCTATTGAAGACCTACTGAGATGTTCAAGGACTGCCAGGCAAACAGACAATCTAATACCAGAAGATGAGAGCGTCTGTCTGTGTTAGTGACAGCAGCAGGAGATGTATTTACAGTGTACAAGGAGACCAGACTACATCCTGGACCACTGTGTGTGTGTGTGTGTGTGTGTCTACCCACAGGCCAACATAAAAGGCTCCTCCTTACTGGCTCCTCCGAGGCTGCAGGCTTATCTTTGCTTAGCTCTTTTTAGCTGACTCTAAAACCTGTTTTTCCGCAGTCCGTCATCGTCCCTGAATGCAGCACTTCTCGTCTCGCGCTAACGGTGACAGCTAGCTCGTTAGCATCTCAGGTAGGCCTTGGTGATGCAACAGCCCGAACTAACAAGTAATTGGTCTCGTGACGTCTCTCGGCTGCCCGCTGCACGCGCTGGTAGTTCTCGATAATAGTCCGCGGCGCGTGCAGCTGTGAGCTCCAGGTGTTCACATTGAAAACAACATCACCTATTAAAGAGATCTGAGTCCGATCCGATCAGCTGGACTCGGTGGAGCTGACGTCACATCCGGCGCCACCTCATACATGTAAACAAGCTACAAAATAAGAGCTGCACATATACATTTTTATGTTATGTTTAATGAGCCATGTTTCTTCATTTGAGTTAAAAGATGTACTTCTAAAAGCAGCAACACAAAGTTTCAACACTGTAACAGCCACACAGCAGAACAACAAAAACAAAATATTAAGAGTCAGCCCAGACATTTGCATACAGAAAGCCTGAAGACTTTACACCGAGGCTTTACAAACATTAAAGCTGCTGCGAGGTGATTTAAACTGGTTATGAAACAGACTGAAATGAATCTAACTCCTTTTATGACCAAGAAAAAAATAACAACCATAACTACCGATCACCAGTCTGAAAAAACTATATATTGTGATTTTCAACGGGGCAGAGTGGGGTAAGATGAGCCATTTTTCACATTTCAGATCACTACATCAAGACAATTATAGTTTTGTCTCTAACTAGTGTATCTCCATATATTTTAAGATGTTGTGCATCCCTGCAAACCAACAGAATGAGTGTAAACATAACTGTCTTGTTAATATAGCATGCCAAAATAAAAGTGGTCTCCTACGGTCAACTTACCCCCCTGTATGGGGTAAGTTGACCGTAAGAGCAGGGTAAGCTGAGTTAAGTTATGACGGACTGAATTCTCTGTCAGAGTGAAAAATGTTATTTTGTAAATGAATGTCTAACCCCTTCACCCATGTGCTTCTAACCTGCACAGACTCCATGAATTGATGCCCATCTCCTAAATATTTGGTCACATGATCAATCTGTTTTACCATTTTCAACTTACCCCACTTTCCCCTACCTGACACCACTGTGAGAGGACAGGTTTCAGGACAACACTTTACCATTAGAAGATAAAATGTTTATTAAATTAAGGCTTAGTTGATGTTGTATCAACGTACGAGTGATGTTGAATTCCTGTTTGGGATGCATCATTAATCCCTGGGATGGCGCAGGAACCCTACTCAGCAGCTAAATTAAATATTGCAGCCCTACAATGTGGGGGCAGTTTTCTTCTATCTGTACTACACAGTGGTTACACTTTTGCTCGACTCAACACCTACCTGTAGATGGTCTGGTTGTACTAGTCCTGCAAATTTCCCCACCATGGGATAAAAGACCTTACCTTTTCCACATTTTTTTCATCATATAAAAAATATACTACCGTGTTTGTTGTTAGAAATATGAAGGTTTTGTTTGTAGTAAACAGAGAGGCTGATTATATGCTTAGTCCCAAAGAAAGCTCATATGTCCAGCTAATTTGGTCTGATATAAATTAGTGTAAGAGGTGCATGTTAATTAACATACTAATGATAAATTACACAGATACTCATTACCTGAAGTAATAGTCTTTATTATCATAGTTTTATTTGATGATAAGCAGCAGGATTTAATGATGCATCCAACAAAAACTCACTGATTAAGCATTACTTATTTTAAAAATTGTACCTATTGTAAAGTGTCACTGTTTTCAGACCAGATGAATGACATCACACTAAATAAACAACCCACTTCTACACTTCCTTTATATCCCATATTCACAGAGTGATACATTCCACTAATAAAGGGAAACAGTTTAAGGATTTTTAGAAAAGACATTGTTGATATCAACCATCTGTGCACAAGTGAGAACACCTGGCATCATCATAGTATGATTTCAAACAGCTCCTGATGGTTTATTAAACAAAGAGTGAACAGGGATCTGTTGGAACTACTTTCTGCTGCTGATCAATCCACAGGTGGTGCTGTGGTGAGCAGTTTTGGTTCACCAGTGTCTGTGTTTGTATTTCAGTGTGTAAGTGATTATGGAGATAGAAACAGTCAGTCTGGTTGATGAGTTTAAGTTTTTTTATTTTTTGGCACAGAGGAAACGTTCAGTGATCATCAGGGTTGTGTTGGTTCATTATCTTAAAACAAAAACAGAGGTGAATTACTGTCTATTTCAGAGTGAGGGTTTTGTTGACTTAATAGTGCAGTTTAACTTTTATAAAAACCAGAGTTCCTCATTTTAAAATAAATTTTTTTAAACCTTGAAATCAAACTTTGAGCAGATTATCAAATCTATCAGGAATTATTCAATCTGACATTTCATTTATAAATCGTACAAATGTAGAGATTTTTTTTAAAAAAGACAGCGTTTAGCTGTAGTTCATACAAACAGGACAATGTGTTACCATGGAAAAAACAGACCAACAAAACAACAACAAAACAACGACAACAACAGAATGGCACATCAAAGAGAAAAGTGGGGTCAGAGCACTTTAAAACACAAATATAAACAAACACTGAAATAATGTTTCGTCAAGGGGTCTGTCTGACAAAACCAAGATCAACACAATCTGAAAACTGACAGAGGAGGCAGACAGAGTCATGTGACCTCCTGTGACACCATGTGATTTAATATGATCTCTTGTTTTAATGTCATTTGGCGTGCTAGCTAATGTTAGCCTTATTAGTAAACACAGTCAGCAGCTCTGCCTCTTTTCACCACTCCTCTCTCATTGGCTGTCAGGGTGGAATAGTTATGTGGTCATAAACCAATTTAAAAGTGCAGTGTGACATATTTAGGGGCATTTATCAGTAAAGACTGTGTAGAAATAGAATATAATGGTCAAATTCATAGGTGTGTTTAAAGCAGCCTGGACTTGTTTTTGACTTAGAATAAGCCCTTTTTAAATCTACCTCAGAGCAGGTCCCTTCCATGGAGGCTGCCATCTAGTGCCACCATGTTTCTACAGTAGCTCAGGTCAGACACATTTTAGTATTTGGAGAATGGCAGCACAAAATGCACTATTTGGAAAACAAAAAAAGGTAATGTGCACAAAAAAATTGTATTGCTGGGCGTTTCTGATGGTAAAAAATGTAGTATCATACTGATGTATCAAAAACTTCTTGTCCTCAACTCCACTGTTGCCTCATCAACAGGAGGTGAAAGCAGAGGAGAATTTTGAATCAGAATTCAACCGCTAGATATCAATAAATATTTACACACTGCACACTGTACCTTTAAAATGAACCATGTTTGTAGTTTTGGGAGGTCTAAGGGAAGTCTCGATCTGAAAGGTGCTGACAAGGGCAGCAAATGTGCAGAAGCCTGACATTATTAGATATGTGCTAGTGGGTTTGGAACTGCTGCATTTCTAAAGATTTCTTACACCAATCACACTCCTTCATGATGAAATGAAGCGGGCTCTACAAGATGATGATGTGCTGCTTCAGCACAATCGTAAACAATCAGGATGGCAGCTTCTGCTGCTTGAAGACCCGTTGGATCTGCCGTTTTAAATGAACTAGATGATTCACACAGCGGTCATTGGCAAGAGGGTTGTGTTTCTTTCCTCTGCATGATGCTGTCTGTTTACATTGCTGTTGCTATGAGCTACATCACATGCTGCATTAATCTGATTGGTTGCAAGTCTGTCTAATTGCTTCCAAAGGCACTTTTGCATGTGACTGTTGCAAATAAATGTTAAAACTTGATGGACTGTAGAGCCAGATTAAATACCTACATTAGCACAGACTAAACTGTCAGACTGGAGGGAGTCAGTCTGAGTGTGCTCATACACCTGTGGGTTTGTGACCTTCAGCCCAGGTTGCCTGGACGATACCTGTGGTTACTGTTGTAACAGACACCTGGATTTTGAACACTACAAACTCAAACTGGCCAAACAAATCAATCGTTATTGTTTCCCCTTAACGCCTTTAGAAAGTATAATTAGTTTATCCTGTGAAGGGTGGGTATAAGTACCACAGGTGTGCAGCCTGGATCCCTGTTCATCTGAGCTGTTGTGTCTGCATGATGTGATACAGCAAAATAAACAGTGAGTCTTTTCCCCAATAGTTAGAGGCTTTGCTCTGTTTTTCATAGATGGTTCTTCAAAGACTGATTTTTAGCCGTTGCTCAAGGTAAAGGAAATAAAGGGCCATTACAAACAAACATCAAAATGATCCAAAACTAAAGGGCCATTACAAACAAACATCAAAATGATCAAAAACTAAAGGGCCACTACAAACAAACATCAAAATGATCAAAAACTGGGTAGGAAAGTGAAAAATGAAGGAATAGTTTTGATTGATTTGTACATTAATACTGATGCGTGTGTTCCTGACATTACTTTGTCATCAGTATGAAAACATCAGACTCTCTGTGCTCTGACAGCTTCTTGTGCACAACAGTTAGAGGACATTTAATTGAGACAGCAGTGTCATATTGAGGGGTACATCCAGTCTGCTGAACCAGTGAAACCAGTACGATACAAGCACACACAAGCACACACACGCACGCACGCAGTCCCTTTGTAGTAGTCATAAGAACCTGACCTGTTCAGTCAGAAACTTCATGTTTCAGTGAAAACATGTTTTCTGTTGGACTGCAGATGTTCTGATCGCTGGACAGCAGTAGGTTCAGGTCCTGGTTCTGGTCCTGGTCTTCTTTCTGGTTCTGGTTCAGGTCTGATGTTAGTGCAGGTTGGGATACTTCATGCAGAATCTGTTGAATGCGTCATATATGGCCTGTCTGCAAATACAACACACATAAATTCCTGTTTACAACAGAAACACCATACACACATTAACACACACACTGACACACATGTCCTCTGCATCCTGGTTTACCTGAAGACGTTCTGTTTGAACAGGTATGCACTGATGTGTCCTCCATTCAGGTAGCGAACCTCACAACCAGGCCAGATCTCCTGCAGACTGAGGACTCCTGTGCGAGGGATGTAGGCGTCCTCTTTAGCCTGGACCACAATGATCAGACTGGTGTCCACTGGGACTGAAAGGCACAAATGACATTCCTTGAACATTCAGCACACCAGTGCAACTCACTCGTAGCAAAAACATTTTCAGTTTTAATAACCACAAAAATGTACAAACGTCTGCTACACATTAAGAAGCCCAATGTGCTTCAATGCAAAGACTCCAAACAGCTCTGTGTCTGAACACTGAACATGGACCCCAGGAAGAATAGTTGTGGCTCTTTGCTGTAACTAATGGTGGATCGAAATAAACTGAAACTGAAACATGTCACACTTTATCATTTTGAAAGGAGGGGGGGAGTTATTGGTCCTTCCTGTCAGGAGCAGATCATTCATAGTGTCAGCCTTATGAGTTTCATTACCGGAGAAGTTGGCCATGTGTGTGCACTCGTCCATCACTCCCTTCATGAAGCTGATAGACTCTCTGTGTAAAGATGGGCGACAGCATTTGTCTGATTCTGCCTTCTTCCCTTGCAGAGAGTTGGCATGAATACCTCTGAAAAAAAAATAGAACAAGTTTGTAGAATAAAACTACCTAAAATAACAGATTCAGTGGTGTGATATCTAACTTACATAGTGATATCTAACTCACAAAACCCTACATTAGTTAGAAATAGTACAAAGCCAACATATAAAGTTTTAAAACTGAAAAACTCGGGGGACTGACAACCTAGTTCAAGTGGCCCAGGTTTGATTTTTTTAAGGGAACAGTCATACACATCAGTTAATGCTGCTTTCAATTTGTTCCAAAAGAAGTAAACACATAAATCACATTCTTGCCGATCTCTACTAGTTACCAGTTAGTTTAACAGTGGATTTCAAACTCTTATTGCTTGTTTTTAGAGGGCTAGAAGGCAAGGAACCACCCTACATTTGTGATCTTGTAAATTTTTATCTACAAGATCACTGTTAAGGACCGTCTGGTAGGAATTTTCTGATTGTTCCTGTACCTCAGCTGGAATCTAGAGGTGAACAAGCTTTCACTGGACAAGCTCAGATTATCTGACCCTGTATCCTCCTTTTAATCTGCACAAAAAGCTTTCTTTTATTGAATGGCCTTTTCCTATCTGCTGTACTATTTCATTTTTTCTGCACTGTGGTTATTTCGACATTTTAATTGCTTTTACTTCTTGTATTTTAACGTCTGATTGTGTAGCTCCTGTTTTGAAAGGCACTTTGTAAATTATGTTTCTATTTTTATTATGATGATAATGATTATTATTAAACTAAGTTCACAGATAATAGTTTTTGCAAGTGATGTTGGGTTCATGCAGTAATTTCCACTACAGAGTCCTATCTGTTTTAATTGAGTGTTGCCTTAATTGAGTCATATTCTCTGACTCTTTAATGATATTATGTTCTGTACATGATAAAATCCACTCATTCTGTGAATTTATTCTGAAACTGTTGAACTATTTGCTCTCACAGTCTCTCACAGAGTGGTGAACCTCTTTTCATCTTTCTGTCTGAGAGCCTCAGCCTCTCTGATTGTTCTTTTTATAACAAGTCATGTTACTTACCTGTTGGAATTTAACCTCATTAGTTGGGGGTGTTCCTCTAGAGATATTTTCATATTAAACACTTTTTTATCTGTTTCATTGTTCTTGTTCAAACTTTTCTGAAACCTTTTGCTGGTGTCAAATGTGAAACAAACATATTTTTCATAAAACAATACTTGAAACTGTGCTCTTATAAACCAAACTAACTTTACTAATGTTGATAAAAACTCATCTTGATTACTTCTGCACTGAGTCTACTGTGGTCCCACTGCTGCCGACTGTGGACAGGAACTGGTCCACCTGGTCTTCGCCAATCAGCAGGCCTCGTCCAGTTCTCTGCCCCACTGAGGTTCTATCCTCAGACAGACCCAGCAGACCCTCCAAAGATCCTGGATCCTTCATAAAGTCCTGTCCCATCTTAAAGGAGTCAGCCTAAAAGACAGCACACGCACACACAGTGACAGACTAGCTTCAATTAATCTGATTGATCCAAATAATCAATAGCCCCACGATGAATCTACTGTGATAAAAATCCTCCTGAAAGGTCAGACTTAGTGATGAAGATGATAAAGTTGATGATGAACTCACCCCGCAGTATTCCAGCAGGTTAATAATCTCTTCTTCATACACAGAGTTTACAGCATACTGCTTCTCCAGCTCTGTCCAGTTCACCGCTCTACTGAGCACGCCCTGAAACACACAGACTCAGAGTTTTCATTTAAAGTGGCTGACCTGAAAACATACAAACATAATGACCTCTTTTCTCTGTGTGAGTATCGAGTTAATAATTCAGTTTTACATCATATTTATTCATGTTTATTAATTTACTGTTTACAGGGACCAGTCAAGGGTTAAACAATAGCTTTTCTGCCTCATCATCCATCCTCAAACCAGGCTCTGGTTACAGATCCTTCAGCCAATCAGAAAAGAGATCAATTTTAAGCAGCTGTGTGTTTAGGAAATTAACTTCTGCTTTGCATCAGCAACAGGAAGTGACCTCATCAACCATGAGAGTGTGTTACCGTGGTGAAGACGCTGGAGGCGGTGGACCAGGACAGACAGGGAACCAGAGGGATCGGCTTTGGCCAGTTAGTCACTGCTAGAGACGCCATCTGCACACACATGATCAGAACATGTGAATGGCTGAAAGTCAGTCTGATATAGGACATGTTACATTATTACTGGCTTCTTCACTCATCACCTGCCTGTGTTAAATACTTGATTCTGATTGGTTGAAACCTCTGACAATGGTTATAAACTCTGAATAGCAATAGCAGCCCTAAGGACAACCTGATGTACTCCAACACATACGCAGTTCTTATTTGCTGGCTATCTCTGTGTTAATGCACCAACCGTATTTCCCCTCTGGGATCACGCATCTTAGCTCACCCTGTCTGAATTCCCTTTTACATAACCACCACCAACTATGCATTATCGTTTACCTGACTCGTGATCAATACATGTGATCGACTGAAGGACTGGAGATGAAACTGACTTATAAAATGATGTCAGGCTGATTAAAAAGAACAGAAAATATTGACTTAAAGAAGTTAAATATCTGAGATCTGGTGCTCTCCATTAAGGATCAAATTGCCCAAAAACATGTAAGTGTGTTATATAGGGGGCGCGCAGATGGCCGGGCGGGTTAGCGCACCCCATACATGGGGAACAGTGGTCACAGGCTAGAGTTCGGCCCCAACCATGTGCTGCATGTCCTCTCCCCGCTCTCACTGACTCCAGATATTTCACCCTGTCCTGTCACACACGCATGCTACGCAGGGTCCTAAATGTACACTGGAGCTCTCACACAACCAACGAAGTGCTTTACGGCGAACTGCCCGCAGTCGCTGACAAGATAGCAGCCAAGAGACTCCAGCTTGCAGGACACTGTCACCGCCACCCTGAGCTGAGCACCCAGAAAGTCTTGCTATGGGAGCCAAAACACGGCCACAGAAATAGAGGGAGGCCACGAACATCGTATGTGGATACCCTAAAGAAGGATACTGGAGCGAAGAGTGCCAGCGAGCTAGCTTCACTGATGAAGGATTGTGACGTTTGGCGCAACCATGTTCAATCTCGCCGCGTTGCGACCTAAGTCAAGTCAGTCAAGTCCTGTCAGTAAAAAGGCTAAAATCGCGCTAAAAAGGTGTGTTATATAAATTGTCATTAAATAAGGACTTACATATCCTCCCATGGAGATCCCAGTCATTCCCAGAGGCCAGTATCCTTCTCTCTGCAGCCAGCGCAGCAGCACAGTTGACTCAAGAATGAGAGCGCCCCCCATCACAAACAGGTCCGACACGTTCTTTAGACAGGACCTCCTGAAGAATCACACACAAAAACAGACCCAAAACTGATGATCAAGTATTTGATCAGGGAATAGGTGTGGAGGAAGGTGAACTCACCGCTGGTCTTTGGGTTTCCTGTATCCATGTGAAGGCTTGTTAAGAGACAAACAGTAGTTTAAGAGACAATGAGACTGATGAAGATCCTGATCTTATCTTGTTTTTGTTGATCTGTTTTGTTGTTGTTGTAGTCAGGTACAAAAAAGCGACCACTAGATAACCTGCAGAGAGTCTGAACCCTAAATTGTTCCAGACATGGTTTTAAAGGATATAATAAGGATTCTCCAGAAGCAGTGAGGCCATTCCTGCTTCCTTTATCATCGGCCGAGCCATCAGGGTCCTCCTCCGCCAGAAAAACTACAAACACAGAGTCAGAGAAGGTCGGGGCTGAGGCTTGAGTTGACATTACAATCATCATTACGGCAGGTCAGGTTCAGGTCAAGGTGTCTTACATGGTCTCCGGTCCCCGCCAGCTGGATACATACTGGTCTGTTTTTCTTCCACCTCTTAGGAACAATGAACTGGAATCTGAAACATCCACAACAAACACAATGACGAGTCACAGACAGGTCACAGATGAGTCATAGGGTGTTTTTACATGGACTGATGTATCAAGGAAACTAACTAAGGAAACACAGAAAGGTCACTTAGAGGTCCTGACTCTGGTACACTCTGGTGGATCTGAACCTGGCTCAGATACACTCTGGTGGATAAGTGCTTTTTCTAACACACTCTGGTGTACCTGGCTTTAACAGACTCAGATGGCAGGATTCCAGGAACCAGATGTTCCAGGGGAGAGATCAGGAACCCATCATGGATATGACAGTCAGTGTGCTCCTCCGTCTGCACACAAACATACACCGAGAAATGAACAAAGATAAATGTGTTTTTCTTAAGCGTTTATGCTGAATCATAGTGAGTAGTGAAGTAAGGACAGATAAAAACCTTGGTGATGTAAACAGGATAATCATCTGGCACCAATAAGTTGCACTTCTCTCTGTCTCCAATAATCTTACGAAACTCAAATATTCTGAAAAACAGAAAAATTAGATTACTGTTAGTTAAATGTAATTGACTGTTATTTTAACTGCTTATTCCATTCTGAATCACAGGAAGGCTGGGGAGGTTAAAGGCCACCCAAGCAGTCATTGACAGAGAGGCAAAGTACACCCTGGACAGGCTGCCAGTCCATCACAGCTGACAGTTATAGTGATGGTGATGATGATTGCAATAAAGATGAAGATGACAATGATACTGATCATAATGTTGATATGAACAATGATGGTAGTGTTTAAGAGATTGGTTGTTTTAACGATAATTGTAACAATACAGTTGATGATGAGCATGATGATAATGATGGTTATAATACTGATGATAACACTGATAATTGTGATGAGAATAACAAATGTTATAAAGTGATAATAAAGATAATGATAAAAAAATAAACAAACAGACAAAATTACATTACTTTAATGAAAAAATAACAATTATGGTAAGTATGCCAATAATGTTGATTATCATAATGTTGATGACAATTATAAGTATTATGATAGTAGCAACGATAATCATCCTGATGTTAATGATGATGATAATGTTAATAAAAAGGATGATGGTAATAATCAGGATGACAAAGGTGATCATCACTGCTGCTGTTAACAATGCTGATGATATTAATAATGATGATGATGATAGTAATAAGAATAACAACAATGATGATTGTGATGCTCATGATATTTAAGATCACAATGATAAAACTAATGATTGTTTAGAAAATGACCATATTAATGATATTATAATAGTAATAATGATGAAAATGATGTTGATTTTCATTATGAAAGATGATGATTACATTTATTTAAAACAACAGCAATCATGATGATGATGATGAAGAAGCTAGTAGGAGTGATGACGCCAACAGTGACGTGCATGGTGTCCAAACTGTCCTTGTTGTGTTGGGTTTACTGTATGCTGTAAATGTTGTTCTGCATGTTACATGTTGTGTACATTTGTGTTATATTGTTGTGAGTTACATATTGCATGATGGTGGTTTTGAACCTTTTCAGGTCTTCAGGCTTCCCCCATCCCCCGATGAAGAGTTTGGTGAGGAGCAGCCGTCTGTAGAAAATATCGAGTCTGCTCACACCCATGGACCAGCACCTGGCATCTACACCCATACACATCCACATACAAAGATACAAGGAGGAAACAGGTAAAAAGGCTGACTCAAATAAGACATGATTTTGATCACAGCACTCATTTAGACAGACTGCAAAACTGGTGGGGACTTATGGCACAGCTTTAGACTGGTTTGTATCTTCTTTTGTAAACAGAGGGTTTGTGTTGCTATAAATAACCACATCTTCATATTCCTCAAACGGAGTATGGTGTGCTCCAGGTGTCAGTTTTGGGTTTGATTTTATTTTTCTTGTATGTGCTCCCCCTGGGCCACATTATACAAAAACATGATGTCTTCTCTTACTTTTGATGATGATACACACCTGTACCTGCCCATCAAAGCCATTTAGCCTGGGTCTTTAAGTAGAATACATGACTGTAGACATGATGTATGAATAAACTTTCTTCCTTCAGTCAGTTCCACTTCAACTTAAACTCTTTATATCTGGACAGATTAAGCCAGTTGTAAAACATCTCATACATATGATTTTTTGTTGTTTTTTTGAAGACACAAAGATGATTTGACAAGCTTTTATTGAATTACGGCTGAATACTGTAACAGTTTTTTTTAACACGTCTACATCAAACTTCCTGGACAGACCACAGTTAGTGCAGACAGAGTTCAGCTGCTAGGATTTTATCCTGCATTAATGAAGATATCTGTCTATAAAGAGGATTTAATTTTTGTCAGATTACAGCTGACATGTGACCAAGATGTCTTTACAATGGAATGTGTTCTGCCTACTTTTGCTCTCCATATAAAACTGTTTTTCCTGCAAACCTCGAAGTCTGAGACCTGATTGTCGATACCACTCAGACTGCAAACAGAAACTTGTCTAGACATACAGGTAGATGTCACTCAGTGAGGTGAGTTTGCACAGGTTAAGTTAAACACAGGCAGATAATTTATCAAGGGTGACAGGGGTGTTAGACTCTCACTTGCTCAAACTCGGTCACAGAGTGTGTGTTATTCAACAAGTTGTCGAGATTTACTGTGGTTTAAAGTGTGACAAAAATAAAAATTGTATAACTGTGTCAAGTTGGAAGAGGGCAGACTGACCTCACTGACACAAACACAGTGTACATACTATGCCTTCTGTTATGTGTGTGTGTGTGTGTGTGTGTGTGTGTGTGTGTGTGTTAGAGCTCAGGGTTCAGTCTGTATTAACACAATGAATGAACTGAAACATGACAGCTAACACACACGAATGCGTGCCCGCGCGCACACACACTTCATATCTATAAATGACAATGTCATCAATCAAACTAACGTTAGGTCCAGTCACGTGTCCACGGGGTGAGAGTTACATGAACACCTGCGACAGGTAATTAAACAAGAGTCTTCATGGCCAAAGTTCAACTCTGCTAACACACACAGATTAGTTCATTCATAACACAGACACATACACAAACACACACAGAGACACACACACACACACAGTACCTCACTCAGACGTCTGGGCTCCTTCTGGACTCCTTCAGCCTGCTGTCTACAAGCTGGATGCTAAATGCTAAGAGCTAACAGATCTGTCCTCTCAGAGGGCGAATCACTGAACATCAAGCTGCTGCAACGTCACACTGACACACTACCGGCCACCTTCAAAATAAAAGCACATCCTACATCTGCCTGTATAAACTTCTGAAGTGAGCATTGTAAATTGAAGTTTATTCGATTTAAGCTTCAAATATTTTCTTTTATCTACATTGATTGACTTTGAAAAATCAAAGCACACCTGAATAATATCATATTGACTATTGTGATCACTGGTCGCATATGATCCATCAAATTAAAAATGACATTTTCTATCTTTGAATGTTGATATTGACATGAAAGTGTTTATTAAGTCACACTTTCAGCTTACTTATCACTTTAATGTCATCTGTTTTTCATAGTTTTTAAGTTTCATCAATATGTAAGAATATAAATTATTTGGTAAAATGTTAAATATTTTTGTATCTCATGTGTATCTTGTAAAATGCTATATATTCACCAATCTGATAAAACATTGATCATTCATGTGTCAAGTAAAAGATCAAGACTTCATGAATATCAGATTTAAAAGAAAATGCTCCTTTTGAATCTGGTAAAATCTTAAATATCCACCTGGTAAGAAATTAAAAGTCAATTTCAGAGTTAAATGATATTGAATAATAAAGGTAAAAGTGTGAGTCCATGAAATTAAAACAACAAACTGCAGATTCTTTTATTGACATTCACTCAAACATGGCGCACACAGACAGGAAATGACATCAGCATGTTACAACAGTGAATCAGCCGCAGATTAATTAGCTGATAGGTGTGTTAGTGACCCCCCACAAACAGTTCAAAGAAGGCTCAGGTCCTGGACACATTACACCTAAGCCAGCCCAAGGGGATCTGGATCAGGTCTAGGTGATCTGGATCAGCCCATGTTTTGCCGGTTTCCATATCCTCTGCGGTGAGAGTCCTTATAATCATCCCAGTTCCTGGCCTTCATCAGAGACTCCGGGTCATCCTTTTCGGCCAGTTTTTCTTTTTCTTCTTCTTCTCTGTCTTTGGCTTCAGAGTCCTCCTCCACAGCAACCCTGCTGGGGATCCCCTGATCTGGCAGAGCTCCGTGTTTCCTGTGCTGTTCATACCAGTCGTCCACTGTCATGGTGGCAAGGCTGGGATAGCCGGCACCGAACACCTGAGCCTGACGACAAACACACACACAAACACACAGAGAAAACTTAAGTGTGTGGTCCCAAACTGGCATGTTCATTTTAGTCTGTGTTTTCCCTTTCCCCGCACCGTAGGAAAGTCAAGGCTGCATCTCCCTGCCCCTGCTGTTGCACAGTAGAAAACTGAACGCCCCTCTGTTTTTGAATGGCAGAGTTCACCTTTAAAAGATTCCATGACAGCTCAGCTGACAAGTTAGGAGTAATACACACTTTGTGTCAAACTGATGTGGTTTGAGATTGACGTGCAGCCAATCAGACTGATGTCAGCTGGCTAACACAAAAGCTGACAGAGCACTGTTTTAAAGTATGTAAATCCCCACAGATTTGTGGACAAAACCAAACCCTGTTAACTACAGCACCTGTTAGAGCTGGGTGATTCTCGGGTTTTACTTATCGATTATGCTTATGGCTCCCCATCCTATAATTGTGAGAATAAAGACTGTGCAATTAGTTGGCCACTCTTACATCCTATAGGTTAAATGAAACACCCCCTCCCTCTCTTCTTTCACAGCCGAGGGACAACATGAGCACAATGAGAGAGAGTCTGTTGTGGTCTTGAGTGAGCACAGGTGCTTTAAAGTTTACAATGGCCGGGATAAAAAGTGAGCGACATCAATCTGGATCATAATACAATAAAAGCTCAAGTCTTTACATTATAAAGGACGCTCTATGAAAGCTTGAAAGGAGTGAATAATTCATTCAATCTCCAGCTTGTGATAAAACGTAAGCAGTAAAAGGGCTCAAATTCTTTCATTTCATATGACATAGTGAGTGTTATCGTCAAAGTAAAGACAAAGCTTTGAAAGTGAAGAAGTGACACATATCTATCTATCTATCTATCTATCTATCTATCTAATGTTTGAACTTGTATCTTGAGTTCATGTGTGATGGGACATGCCGATACACATATATTTGTATGTACTGTATTTCTATATATGAGGGTAAATATGGTTTGCTATTTCTTACTTTGATTTGGCTTGCTTGATGATGTTAACATTAACACATTAACCAAAATTAACCTGTAATTTTGGTAAATGTGTGTGGTCAAACACTCAACATGACCCAGACATGAAAATAAAGCATTTATTCCTTTAGTCAATGACTCTCATTCCCCACCCAAAAAAGGGTGACACTTTCTAAAAAGTATTCACTGAGACTTCTGTGATAACACTGATGCAGTTGAAGTGGTGTAGTACTGCCACACACAGAGACATCCACACACACAAACACTGCACCCCATAATCTCACCTGCATGGCGTCCTTGGTGAGGATGAAGGGTTTCATGGGGGCTCTGGGGGGGTGGTTCTGCTGCCTCGGGGGATTCTGTCTAAGTGTGTCCATGTTCTTCAGGATCTCCTCCTCCTGCTCGATGCTCTCGATCTCCTCCAGACTCACACCGATCCACCTCTTCACGTTCAGCAGGTAGAACTCTCTGCTCACCTCATCATCTGCCTGTCCGCTCTCCACCGCTCTGCGAGCATCAGACAGCCGAGCCTCCAGCTCCTTCTTCTGACGGTACCGCTCGATTTTAGCTTGCCTCTGTGCCGCCATGGAAACCAGGTCAGCGGAGCCAGGCTGAAAGAGAGTCATGGTAGTAGAGTCATTACATCCTGAAATAAAACTTTGTCATTCTTTTTCATTCAACCTTCAGTAACCAGGTTAGTCCCTTTGAGATTAAAAATCTCTTAATTGAGGGAGACCTGGATAAGACAGCAGCAAAAACATAGCAGCAAAGTTGCAGACACAGACACACAGGGAACCACAATACAGTCCATAAGCATTAAACTTAACGGTAAAATGGGAGACTACCTCAGAGCCTGTTGTGCAACCAGGTAGTCTAAAGACATCGACACCGCATTGACTGACTCCATCTCATTCAGTTTCAGTCATTTATATTTGAGCTTGTGGACAGATAACTGCTAAATAACCGCTAGTTTGGTCATAACACTCTATTTATCTGATGTAATTTTATCATCACTGATCTGTATTCATACAGCACCAATTCATAACAAATGCTATCTCAAAAAGAGAGGGTCTTAACGGTAGCTACTTTTTGTCTTAATGTTTACAAAGACTCATAATAAAGATAGGAGAAGACTGAGCCTCATCTTGAAAGATCAGACCCACTCCCATCCCTTCTTCTACCACGCAAGTGCCAGAAAGCTGTGTGACAAAGATTATTGCACTTGATGACTAACTTTGTGCAGCGGTAACAGTGTTTTATACTGTGGCTGCACACAGAGGACCGTACCAGGGGTGGGAGTCACTATTGGCCACATGATACGATATTATCATAATACTTGGGCCACGATACGATACTATTGTGATTTTTAACATTTTGCACTACAGTGAGTCTTGCGATACAAAATATTGTGATTTATATAATTTTTTCAACTGTTTAGTTAATTTAGCATTTTTCAACTAATTTGAAAAATCGATACTTGGTAAATGAGACGATACGATATATCACCAGACAAAATATCATAGACTGCATTTAAAAAAGGGCCCAAGGTTTCTGGAGTTTTTCCATCAAAATGTTGAAGTGAGTGTCTGATTTTCTGGAGTTTCAAGTAGGACACCAAGTTCCTTTGCCATTGTTTACAAGTGGGCGGGGCAGCGTCCCTCTACTTGCACAGTATTAATCTACCAGCCAGAAAGAAGGTTAAAGTCAGGACCATTGGTGTTCTCCAGCAGTCTGCTGTATTTTCTCTCAAACAAGGCCGACAGAGCAACCAAAGGGTCTGTGTTCAGTTTTACATTTAATCTCTACAGTGGCCGAAAAGCCACTGCTGCATGTAAAAAAGGATGCAAAAAAAAAAAGGAGAAAAGAAACCAAAGCCCACTGCAAATAAATAAAAAAAAAAAAACGGTGCAGATCAAAAAAAAAAAAAAGCCACAACGGAAGTTAACGATGCAAAAAAAAGTGGTGATGAAAAAAAAATTATTTATTGTGAAAATAAAATGATGCAATTTGCAATTGGCTTTGGTTTCTTTTTTTTTTTTTTGCATCGGTAACTTCTGTTGTGGCTTCTTTTTTTATTTTATTATTTTTTATTTGCAGCAGTGGCAGTTCTCAGCCACCATAAATATCTGTGATGGTGTTTGAAATACATCCAGCCAGTACTTGTTAAGGCTGGGATGGAGGCAGTACAAGTCTTCAGAGATGTCACAGCACATCTCCCCTGTATGAGCTTCCCTGTGTGATTGTGTGTGTGGTGGTTTAAAGGCCGTTTTGTGTCCCAGTAAGGGGACAGAGGAGGTCCAGGGCTCATGAAAATGAGTCTTTCTATGAAAAACTGAGACTTGATCAGATTTGGATCAACAAATGTCTCTTTTTACCTTTCCTGCAGACAGTCCTTGGTGAGCCTCCTCGTCGGTACCTGGACCGTCCCTCCTCTTCGGCATGTCGAACCGGGTCACGTGGTACTCCTTACACCTGGTCAGGAAGTCCATGAAGTGATCCCGGGCGGTCCGGACCGTCTGTAGCCTCTGGTCCCGGCTGGTGAGCTTCAGGGTGAGAGCTCCGAGCAGGGCGGGAAGAAGCAGGTACTTGAGGTCAGCCGTGGACACCTCCTCCAAGTCTTCATTCCGACTGAACAGGTCGAGCTGCTCCACCATCCGGGCCGCATCCTGCAGCAGACCCAGCCCGGTTCTGACCCGGAGCTGGACGCTGCTCGACCCGGGCGGTTCCGCACAGTTATCCACCTGCTCATAGATCCTCCAGCCCCGGTCTAACAGCTCGCTGAGTTTCGGGGGGTCGGACAGGACCGGTTCTCTCGGGTCACTACTGGGCTCACTGTTCGCCATTTTGAAGCAACTTCCGGGTCCCCTCTTCTTCGTCTGTTTTTTGTTTTTGTTGTACAATGTTTTCTGGTGTCACTGCACCCGAGCGGTCAGAAATGAAACGGCATCCAACCACCACCAACGGTGACAAGAAATACAGTCATTACAGAGTGTGTGAGTTTAATCATTCACTAACATTCATTATTACGATGATGATTACTACTATCATTATTATTATGAATATAATAAGAATATGCGATGGTGATGATCTGATCAGATATGACTTTAATAAGTCTGAAATTTGTATCTCTGCAGCTTCATTTACAACATAAAATTTGAGAAACATTAATAGACGCCAGACTCTCCTCTAATTATCTGTGCTTTAAATGTCTAAATGACCTCTACACTGTGTGCACCAGGGTTTAAAAATCTAGCTCAGTCCTGTGATAACTCCTTGCCTTCAGCAGGTGCACGTCACACAGATGTTACACTGAGCTGAGCACTCAAATATGTAGAAATATTTATCATTCGTATTCTTATCATTCTACCATGTGCTTTAATTTTTAAAATGTATTTGGGCTCTTCCTTTTCTCAGTTGACTTTGATTTTTACTGCCTTATTCTGGTGACTTTAATTGTTCTTTCAAACATTTTCATGTCATGTTTTTCTGACCCCTATTTTCTTTTAATGTCTTGTGTGAAGCACTTTGAATTGTAAAGTTGAAAATGTTGCTATGAATGTAAATCTATCCAGCCTTACTTGCTCCTTATTTTATTTTATTTTCTCAGAAACAAAAATAAAACAGAGCTTTGGGGTAAAGGAGGTTAAGGCACTTTAATATCAGAAATAATCAAATTTATCTTCAGGTACACACTGATTTAAAACACAAACATTTAAAGCACTCAGTCTCACACCACAGTAAGTTATTTTTCTCCCTGACACCTGTTCTCACTCTGATCCAGATTGATCTGAGATCATTATACGGGACCAATCCAGGTACATGATCATTTAATATTAAAACAGGTCAAGCTCAGAAACATTGAACTTAAATGGCTTGAGCTGGACTGTAATCTTGCACAACAAAACAAAGATTTATTGATTCATACACCATGGTAAGAAAAATCAATCACAGTTCAAAAGCGAAATGCTCTTGTTTAAATTTTTGTTCCATGTTTTTGAATGTAACTCTCTGTCATGAACCGTTTTGGACAGACTCCCTTCAAGTGCCAGGTCAAGGGAAAAAAGGATTACTTGCAGATCCATGATTTATTACCCGTGTGTATTGAGTTGTAATCCATAGAAAAAAAAAGGTTGTTATTTGTGTGCAAAGATGATGAATTTACGGAGACAGATTTTTAAAAAATGTCTCTTACGTTTTTAACCTGGTACCTGGGGGGTTTTATGGTTACGGTTTTTAAGTGAGAGGGGAAATTGTCTATCATTCCCAAACAGTCATTGATCAGTTATCATCACATAAATTGCGTCTTTATTTTGCAATATAGAATATATGTATTCATCTACAGTCTTTTTATTCATTTAGTCTATGTGTTTTTTAATAAAACAATCAATGATTGATATTTTTGTTTTAAACCCTGAGACAGAAAGAAAAGGAAGCCTCTGATTTTTTTTAGTGGTTCCTCATCTCTGAATGTACTGAACAGAAGATTTTATCAACAACTCTGTCCCATGTAGGGGGCGGGCTTAATGGGAATAATAGCTGAATGGGGGTGGGGCTATGTTTGATTGACCTGAGGGATGTTAAGTCCAATCAGAGCTGAAGAGGAGTCTGTAAAAATCCACACTGACATCCACACCGACATGAGAGTTTGGCACTAACAGTCAGAGCCATACACACTGATAAACAGTCCATACTCAGGCACAGTGTGTGGTGTGTGTGTGTGTGTGTGTGTGTGTGTGTGTGTGTGTGTGTGTGTGTGTGTGAGAGAGAGTTGACATGCTCATCAGAGGGCAAGTCATGGCTGATCAGACAGACATGTTGTCATGGAAACATGCCTGTAGATGAGGGAACCTGAGGGTAAAACTGCAGGGACGCCATCACTTTAACTCAACAGGAAGCTGAGATAGAGAGAGACAGACAGAGAGAGAGAGAGAGCGAGAGAGAGAGAGAGAGAGAGAGAGAGAGAGAGAGAGAGAGAGAGAGAGAGAGAGAGAGAGAGAGAGAGAGAGAGAGAGAGAGAGAGAGAGAGAGAGAGAGAGAGAGAGAGAGAGAGAGAGAGACAGAGTGTCAGCCAATGGGAAACTAGGAACAATCTCAGCCAATCAGCACAGGTTTCACATTAAAAACACACACCTGTATGGGTACCCATGATACTTTGCTCTGAAGATGGACAGCAGCCAGCTGAAGAAGAGCATCACTAGACCAACACCTGCCACACACATGACTGGCACACACACACACAATAAACACAAACACACACAATACACAATATATACACACACGTGACACAAACACACAGTTATACACAGTCAAGAAGGGGCAAAATCTGAAGGTGTTCAGACAGGAGAGATTCAGGAGTGTTTGTGTGTTTGTGTGTTTAAAGATGTAAGTGTGTGCTCTTACTTTTTCTCTTTCCAATGTCAAGGTCAGAGGTCGCAGCTTCACACAGCAGCACCATTCCCATGGTAACAGCAGCATCTGACACTCAGGTAAAGGTGTATAATAACACAGGTAATGATAACAATGAGGATTCCCGGTCACTCTGAACTCTAACGACAGACAGAAGAAGGGAGAAGAGGAAGAGGAGGAGGAAGAGGAGGAGGACCCCAGCAGAGAGTTGTTGGCTCCCTTTGAGGGCTGTGTGTGTCCCAGCAGAGAATCAGATGATTACTAACATATGTAACGTGTGTGAGTATGTATCATGTGTGTCAAAGAGCAACACCTAAAAAGGGAAATAAAAACCCCGAAGGTTGAAGGAGAATCATTTCGAGGATGAGAACAGTGACGATGTCTGTTTTTAGTTTTGATATAAATATATACATTGGACACCAATATCACACCTTTCCAAGATAAATACTGAAGGCGTTGCAGAGCTGATGCACAGTTCCAGTGTGTGAAGGGCTACAGTCATTGTGTGTGTCTGTGTGTATTACAGCAGTAATGCAATGAAGGATACTGAAGAGGAGGACAATGTGAGTCTCAGCCACAAACTGAGCCTGACTGCTGCCATGGATATAACTCTGAAACATAGACAAAATTAGCACTTAGGCCATAAATAAATACATGTAAGATACAAAGACTGTGAGTTTTATCGTAAACAGTGGGTGTGTGTGTCAGTGAGTTACCACTTGTCCAGTGCTCGGGTTCTTGTGAGCGTATGGAGGTCCTCTAATATGATTCCACATCTGACCTGAAGTCATAATCAGGACAAAACCCTGAAACAGACACACATCAACATGTCCAACATATTAACCATTGTGGTAACTGGTGTTAAAACTGGTGAGTCCTATATCACTCTGTCCTTTATCAAACAGATCACAGAGAGTGAATCAGAGTCACATCCACTGAAAAAGGGGAAACATACACACACACTTCATAGGCAGATGGAGGGGTAAAAAGTTTGCATTTGGGTGTGTTACCAGTGCAGAGAAGGCCCACATGTTTCTGTTGAACAAGAACTCCAGATTGTGTCTGCGCAGGTAGGCCAGTCCTCCGATTACAGCGAGCAGGAAGCCAAGCAGCAGAGGACCAGCGTAGTTGGGAGGGCGGATCACCCTGATCTGAGGGACAGAAGAGCCATCCATCATTGTCACCATCCCCATCATCTTCACTATGTGAGACTGTGCTAAGACTCAAGTGAGTGTTACCTGTACATCTGTCCTGTCAGCCACCCAGCGAGCCAGCTGCTCGGCAGCAAAGCCCCGAACCTGCAGCTCATAGGTGTCAGAACGCCGAGGTTTCCCTTTAGGAGGGAAGTGGAGGAAGGTGGGAGCAGAGTTCATGTTCAGCTGAAACACACACACACACACACACACACACACACACAAGAATTTAGAGCTTTTGTTTTCACACGGTGAGATTCAGAAACAGTCAATACACTCCAATTGAGTTGTAATTATGAATGAATGAACAAAGAGAAATAAAAAGTCAGCAATCAATAAACTGAAAATTCAATCTGATTATCCTGTTTAGAATATGGGGCAGATCTGTTAACCCTCTTAGCTCACTGACTGACTTTATTTTACTGACAGATTATCTGCTGGACTGCCTGCACTGAACACAGGTTAGTTTCTAACCATATTAGGATCTTTCATTGCTTAGTGTTTTCTCACTAACACTGCTGACTGATTTATGAGAAAACTGGCTGATAGGTTGACTATCTTCATCTTTCTCTTTCTGTAACCAAGCAGCCATACTTCCTACTCCGATATCATGAGATAAAAATGTAGGAACACAAAAACAGATGTCATAGCTTGTCATCCTCAGAAGTTTTTGACAGAAACTTTAATCAGATTTAACTGCTAAAGTCAGTTTTTTTGTTTATATATATGTATTTTACTTTTACAGAGTATTTTTTTTCTATATTAACAAATATATGTTTCTGTGATTGATGGCTTAGATATTTGTGCATTTCCTGTTGCTCTTTTATGTTGTGATTAAATGTTTATCTCGCTTTATGAGCCTGTTGGCTTCTTGGCCTCTACTGATACATATAGATTTATAGTCACATTTTATGCAGTTTTATGTAATTTCCGTATTTCTGTATGTCACACAGAAAATACTCAGCATTAAGAGACTTGGAAATTAATCTTACCATCTGGAAGACGTCCGATCCTTCGTCAAAGTCGACGGAGGCAAAGAAGACTTTGTTGGTGAAGGCAGAGGAATATCTCCAGGAATTAGCCAGCACCTGGAACTCCTCATCAGCTTGTCTGAGACATAAATATTTATCAAAATCATGACAATGTTTGTCATTTCAATGCGGTGTACCAGTGGGCCAGGTATTACCTGCACACTCCACACTGTCTCTGTGGCTGCAGGGCCGTGAACATGATGACCACGGAGTAGTTTCTGGGTGGAGCTTTAACAAAGCGTCTGAACTTATCTCCATTCATCCTGATGACTGAACGCTTCGACGTCCAGTCCATCAATTGAGACACTTTCTCTGACAGCAGGGACTGTGCCACACACACACACACACACACACACACACACACACACACACACACACACACACACACACACACACACACACAGAAGGAACAATGAAGGTTTAAGACATGAAACTTGTTGATAAACTAGGCTTAAATTGTTTAATAAAATTTATAATTTAGCGTTAAAATGTTTAAGTTTGTGCATGATCCAGGTGTTAAATTCCCCTCCCAGGTGTGACTTCAGGTATGTAATTCAGGTGTAAAACAATGATGAACCTGTCAGTTAATGTTGCTCATTCATAAATCTGAATAATTAATCTAAAAGCATGCAAACCGAATGAATGTTTTGAAGATTTAATTAAACTCTAACATGTTTAAATAAAGTTTTATTAAAAAAATAAGGTGTGGGTTGACCAGGTGAGTTTACCTGAATCATTGAACATATGAACAAAGACTGATCACCAAGACCACAGATGCCAAATTTAACTACGTGACATCAGTGCAATACTTTATTTAAGGTGGTCAGAGTGTTTTTTAATCAATAAAGTTTTTCTTTTGTTTGTAACTTTTCCTCACTGACACTCCTCAGCTGTTTCTGTTAGCCGCTAGCTTAGCTCTGATACTAACACGGACTCACTTTAACATGCTCTAAAAACACTTATGTCCCTTAAATAAAGTCTGTCCGTGTCTTCGTGGTGTCAAATGGTGTACCTCTTTCTTCCTCTGCGCTTCGGCCGCATCATGCTGGAAAATAAGGACGATTAATAGACAAATAGAAAGTTTCACAAACATGCTGCTAACGCTGCTACAGCCGCTCCACACTCCTGTCAGCCTCTGATTGGTCAGTGGACATCCAATCACACCGCTGCCAAGAGCTACGTCAGCTCATATCAGCCAATCACAGCGCTGCGCCTTCTTCCTCTAACTGCTGCGGGGTGAGAGGAAGAGACGTTATTCCTGCCGTGTAATAAAGTATTTGGATTTCGGTTCCAATAAAATTAATACAAGTATTAAAGGAGAATACAGGTAAACAAATGTACAAAGACACGAAGCAGCAGGGGGTTAATAACAGCAAACACACAAAAGGAGGTAGAGTGATTAGTAAAAGAAGACTAAACATGTATAGAATTTAACAAATATATTGAAAGTAGAGTATATTAACAAAAGCTTTAGCAGCCTTTTGTTACACGAGTTGGATAACGTGTAATGGCAAAGCCCTGTTTCTTTTTTAAAGGCATAATAAAGAGTTTGGTTCTTTGAACCTTACATTAGGGGGGACACGGGTAAGTTGAGCCAAAGGGTAAGCTGAGTCACCCCCTGTTGCTTGGAAATGGTAAAAGAAATTGATCATGTGACCAAATATTTAGGAGGTGGGCATCAATTTATGGAGTCTGTGAAGGTTAGAAGCACATGATTGAAGGGGTTAGACATTTATTTCCAAAAAGTAAAATTAGTCCGTCATAAGTTATATTTAGAATTGTGTTCAGACCAAAAAAGATCATTTTAAATTTGTTTTATACATCAATTGTGGTATTTATGAGCTACAGCATGAGGTCAAAAACATAACATTAAAGTCCACTATTTTAGCTTAGAGGAGTAATAAATTCATAATAGTAGTTCAGGGGTAAGTTGAGCCAGTGGTTCAAGTGGAAAAGTAAAGGAGTCTGATGAGAGGATCAGAGTTTCAGTTTAGATTGTTGAAATGTGTTACTTTTTCTTTTCAAAAGTACAGCTGTGAATGTTCTGAATCACTTAAAGACATTCTCGTGTTAAAATGAATTTTTACAAAACAGCTTTTTAGCAGTTATATGCAATAATAACAAAGAATTATTATACCAGTTGAATAGAGTAATAGATAAAAATACACATGAATGTGAAAAAGTGACTGTTATTTAGGGAGAGAGAAGGTGAAGGAGGGCTGGGGTGGAGAGTGGGGGGGTAGTAGAGATACGATTCAACTTACCCCACTCCTATGGTCAACATACCCCACACACAGGGTAAGTTGACCATTTTTTTGGGCATGCTCTATTATCAAGACAATTATGTTTACACTCATTCTGTTGGTTTGCAGGGATGAACAACATCTTAAAATATATGCAGACACACTAGTTAGAGACAAAACTATGATTGCCTTGATGTAGTGATCTGAAATATGAAAAATGGCTCATCTTACCCCACTAACCCCTACATAGAAATTTATGTCTAGTTTTCTAACAAATTCTGTTAAGGAAAACGATCATTCTTCCGACAAGGCACAGCTTAATGCAGATAAATTGTAATAGTGAATCGACAGATGTCCCGCCACAAGTTCAGAATAAGTGAAGAGTAGTTTCTGGATGCAGGTTATTGACAGTGCCATGGCATCCATCTCTGAAGAAGACAGCACCACACTCCGGTCCGGCAGGGGGCGCTAATAAAAGCCATCAGCGTAAGTCAGCAGCCTTCAAAAATTACAGAAGAAGAAATATCACGCAGAGTGAGGAGACGAAGAAGAAAAGAAGAAGTGATCGGGTAGTTTTGTGGTTTTACTTCCATCTCAGAGGATGTCAGCAGAAGAAAAACACCTCCACCTGTACGGTGGAATTGTTCAGGTATGCTAGTATGCCAACTTGAAGCTCACCGCTCTGTAAGAGTAAAGATAGCTTGTAGTATTGTTCTTTTTCAGTGTGTACATTGTTAGCTGTGGCTATGCTAACAGTTAACCTATCCGACAAAGAGCAGGTTGTTCCTGTACTGATGTCAAACAGACAGGTGAGCAGAACGAGGCTTCCTCGGCTGTGGTGTTAGGTCGCTGTCTGTGATCACATCAGCTGTGAGCTTATAGGATGCTGACGCTTTGTGTGCGTGCGTGTGTGTGTGTGTGTGTGTGTGTGTGTGTGTGTGTGTGTGTGTGTGTGCGTGCGTGCGCGTGCGTGCGTGTGCGCGCGTGTGTTTGCACGCAACGGAGTGCAGAGCTGAGGTCCATGCTCAGGTGACAGCACCAGGTGTCACTGCAGGAGGAGAAACTGCGTGTGAGTGTGTGTGTGTGAGTGTGTGTTTGTTTGGGCAGTGATGGGTCTCAGGAGGAAGGCGTCTAAGCTGCAGCCTGTAGGGGGCAGCAGTGGAGGGGAGGAGGTCCCGAAACAAAGTGAGCTCAAAGACTACATCAACGAGCTGTCACATGAAGTCCTCTGTCACATCTTCAGGTACACAATCTCTTTGTGTTTGTGTGTGTGTGTGTGTGTGTGCATGCAAGTATGTGTGGGTGTTTACACAAACCTTTAACAAAACAACTCTCACACAAGACTATAGCAGCCTTGGCATATACAGCCTCAAGCCTATGGCTACCATAGTCTGTGGCAGTCTTAGCTTAAAGCAGCCTAGGCCTATCAATCCTAAGCCTTAAACAGTTTACACCTATGGCAGTCTAAACCTGTAGTGGTTTAAAATCAAAGCAGGCTAAGCCTATGACAGTCTGTGCCTGTAGCAGCATCTGTAAGAGCTAGTTTAATGCTTTTGTAGCTCCAATTACAAACATGACCAGAAAGAGATTTTTAGTTTCCACTTGTAGTAGAGGGTGTCTGCTCTCTTCTCTCTGGTCTTGACTGGTGAAGGATTTTCAAGGGGAGAGGACCAGTAACTGAAGACGCTACTTCCACTACTACTTTTACATTTATTCCTTTCAAACGTATCTTTCAATTTCTCTGCAGACTTAACATCATCTGATACAGTCTGAGTGTCTGCACCATTAACAATTGAAAGTCCTGATTGACAGCTTGCATGTTTTATATCATGTCTTGGATGTCATCATGTGACCCTACATCAGCTAACTTTACAGAGAATCACATTTATCTGGGCAAAAAGACAAAAAAAAGTTCAGTGGTATTTTATTTTAAAGGTGCCTGAAAGTGATGAGGTTGTGTTGTTGAAATATTGCTTTATTTTGAAAGAGCGTTTTATTTTGAAGGTACCTGCCCATGAAGGACATCATGTGCATGGAGAGTCTATCCAGGAAGTTGAGGGAGGCAGTAACTCTGTACCTGAGGGTGGTGAAGGTGGTGGATCTGTGTGCAGGCCGATGGTGGGAGTACATGCCTTCAGGTAAACACACCTGTCACACATGATGTCACATATTAACACAGTACACAGACCACTTAGAACACCCTGAGACCCCGCCCCTTCTTAACCTCCACAGAAGTTTATGAGTTTTATGCCTGAGCAAATTTTCTGGAACTTTGTGGATGTCTTTTGGAGCTGATTCTGCAGGGATCAGAATTTAAAGAGGGAGTTTTTGTCCCTCAGAGTAATGAATCTCTGATCACTGTTTCATGATACATGTTTTAAATGTGTAATCTTTCTGTGTTTGTGTCCCAGGTTTCACAGACAGCAGCTTTCTGCTCCTCCTGAAAAAGATGCCAGATCTGGAGCAGCTGTACGGCCTCCACCCTCGATACCTGGAGAGAAGACGAGTCAGAGGATACGAGGCCTTCAGCATCCCTGGAGTCCTGGAGGCTCTGCAGGCCTGTCCCAAGCTGCTGGTTAGGAAACATCTGAACAACTTGTAAAGCAAACTCCTAAAAAACAAACAGCACATGTTTTCTTTACCATTAAACTGTCCGCAGATCAGACTCCTCTCCGTCAACTCACCTGATTAGAAGCTTCTTTTAATGTTTAGATCCTCACAGCAAAGTGGTCCATACTCAGGATTCAGAGTCATGTATCTTACCCTGTATGAAGGTTATAAAGGTGTGAGTGTTCCTGTTTCAGGGTGTGGAGACATCTCACCTGGAGCTGGTGGAGGCCATCTGGAACTACATGCCTCAGGTCCACATCCTGGGAAAGTTCAGAAACCGCAACGGAGCATTTCCAATCCCTGCTGAGAACAAACTGACTATCCCCATCACAGCCAAGATCCAGACGCTGCACCTCGTAGGTGAGAGGCTGAACCGGTTGTTGTAATAGATTGATAGAGAGTTTATTTCTCATATCTTTAACCATAGATGATTGTGAACACTGTGTGAAGGATAGTATAAGTGAGCACGGCCCAGTCAGGATGAGCAGGAACATTCATGTTAGGCTCCTGCTCATTTCTACTCAGACTTCTTTCTGACCAGAGTGTGCTGCCTGTTTACCTACCAGTCTGTCAACTTCCAATTTTGTAAACTACCTTTTCTGAGAACAAACCAGCCTGTAAACTTGTTTTTGTGTTGCTTATGAGTAATTTAACAAATAATCCAATTAACTCAGCTGTCTGTATACTAACCAGTCCTTCAACTAATCAGCCTGTTGACTAACTAGTCACTCAACTAACAATTTTATAAACTAACCAGTCTGTAAACATTTTAGGTTTTTACATGTCAACTACATTTCTGTCTTTTATTTGACAAAATGTAATCTATCTGTTTAGTTTTGTACACCCGAGTATCTATACCTTTGTGTGTGTTTTAGGCGTAAATGTCCCGGAGATCCCGTGTGTGTCCATGCTGCGTCACTTGTACCTAAAGTGGGTGCGTTTGACAAAGCCCCAGCCATTTAAGGACTTCCTGTGTGTGAGTCTGAGGTCGTTTGTGATGAGGAACTGTGCAGGGCCATCAAACTCTCTGAAGTACGTCCCTCTAGTCACCGGGCTCGCCTCCGCCCGCAACCTGGAGCAGCTGGAGCTGGTCCGGGTCCCGTTCCTGGGGGGTTTGATCCAGCACGTGGTGGAGGACAGCTGGAGGTCAGGTGAGCTGCAGGTGTTTGATGTCTTTCAGTGAGTGGTTATCAGGATACTCTGGTTATCAGAACTGACAGATAATCGGTTAATTTACAAGAGGTCATTGTTTGAAAGGTGACTAATTATTATAATAAACATTTTAACTTTAAACCTTTAAAATGGGACTCCATGATAATCTGTTTTTACTATGTGTGTGTAGGAGGATTCAGAAACCTGCACACCATCGTGTTTGGAGCCTGTAAGAACGCCCTGGAGGTCGACCTGGGCTACCTGATCATCACGGCTGCTCGCAGGTTCAGACATTTAAACAAACATCACTGAACTGTCCTCAGGTTTCAGATTTTCATCATCGTAACATCAACAACAACAGAGAGGGAACATTCCTGCTAGTTCTTACTGTTCTGAGCTACTGTAGAAAACATGACATGACAATTTGTCATCATCTGGAGTGAGGGAAATGATTTCGAAATAACATCCAATTTAAACTAATTTAAGCACGTTTCTGCATAATACATTCACTCTCTTTGGAGAAATGCTGATAAATAAAAGTGGACCTTTTCACTGTTCATGTAAAAACATTGATTGGTGTACTTCTGTGCGGGCGTCGGCCTATTTTTATACGATTCAACATAATCTCCATCATTTTCTCACCACTCCCTCCACGTCTCTCTCTTTCAATGGGAAACAGTGAGCTTTATTGACACGTCTGCGTCAGGACAATGTTTCCACATATGAAACAATAATCGCTATAGTATTCAATAACAACTGTAATGAAATAATAATCCCCTTCTCTCTCTCTTTTCAGACTTCATGAGCTGAGGGTTCAGCCCTCTCTCACCAAAGATGGGGTCTTCTCAGCTCTTAAAATGGCTGAACTTGAGTTTCCTCAGTTTGAGACGCTTCATCTTGGATATGTTGATGAGTTTCTGCTACAGTGTGAGTTTATTATCATTACACAAAATGATTTTACATGATTATCCAACATGAGTATCTTGTTTGACATTTTAATGCAGTAACAAAAAGCTCTGATCACCGTTGTAGTAGACACTATGCCCTTACAGACTCAGAGGAGGAAAAACTGCTCCACTGACTTATTATTGTAATTCGGTTTTCTGCCTGTAGGCGTCAGTAAAGATGCAAGCTGACAGAATTGTGAGTGTGATGCCCAATTCCAAACCAAGCCCTACACACTCAGCCTTCACTACCAAGTGTCACTCGTAATGAAGTTACACTCGCAGCTGTGGAGTGCGACTCAATTGAAATTGGAGGGTATAAACAAGACGGGCGGCTATGGGACGCCCTCCTCACTCCACCAGAAAATGAAAAGATTCATCACCATAGCAACACAAAGATGCATCCTGTGCAAGGCAGCATTTATTTTTTTAGTAAACGGACATCATGTTCAGTTCTGAGCCGCTCCGGCTGCCTTGTTTCTTCTTTCTCCCAGTAAAATCATAAATCCAACAACCATCACAGTGACAGGAGCTAAATTATACTTCCGTGTACCTTTATTTGTTATTACATCATGTATTTGTCATTGTGTAAAATATCCCAAATATCCAATACCATTTTCAACGCTCCTTCTATGTTTATTTCTGTCTTTAAAGCCAGCACAGACCTACAGTCCTGTGAGTCAGTGTGGTGTAAATCTCTCTTAAAGTCGTACCGATTTGCTCGTGGGAGACTGTGACCATGACTTGCTCATGCGCTGATTTGCTCATGCATGCTGTGCTCTATTTAATCAGTTATTCCGCTCTCTGTGATGATGTCTAACTTACCTGTCCCTGCAGGTAAGATGAGTCATTCTGAGCTGGTCAAGTACGGTCTGGCTGATGTCATCGAGAACCCAGGGATCATCACCGACATCGGCATCAAGGTGGTCAATGAGGTGTTCACCAACATCAAATATCTGCTCATCTACAACTGTCCCCACCTGCACAACCCCCACCAGTGGATCACAGGTAACACTCCTGTTCTCACAGACTGGTCAGGATAATGTAGTTTTTGATATGAAACCAAAAGAGGAGGCGTCTGTTTTTAAAATCTCTATATGTGTTTGTTTTCAGATCAGTCCAGGTGGAGCCGTCTGGTCGATCTCACTCTGGTTAGGTGTCACGCCATCAAGCTGGAATCTTTCTCCCAGTTCATAGAGTCGCTGCCCAGTCTAGAGTTCATCTGTCTGGACCAGATGTTCAGAGAACCACCCAAGGTATACACAAACACAAACTTTTGGTGTGTTTTTACACCTGGATCATTTAGAGACGTTATTCTTCAACACAACAGTAAGCAGTCTCAGTGCATTTGGCATGAAGGTCTTTGCCCAGATATTACATTTGGGCATTTGCTGCTGGGCTCTGTATTAGATCTACTTTTGTTTGCCATTTGTGCAAATAATTTGGAGCAAAATTGTATCAGATGCTATGGTCCAGTTGTACACTGATATCACAGTTCTAAGCTGTTGAATCCTTGAATCAAAAATGTGCATGTGCGTGTGTGTCTGTGTGTATTAGGGCTGTGCCAGGGTGGGTCTGAGTGCAGGTACAGGTATCGGTGTGTCGTCAGCCCTGGTCAGCAACCAAAACTCCAACAACGACAATGACAACAACAACAACCACCACCACAACGAGGCCAATCTTCCTCCTGCTGCTCCACCTGGCGGCAACAACAACAACAACAATGTCAACAACAACAACATCAACAACAACAACAGGCAGAGACAGCAGCAGCGAGGTGAGTGACCTGGACTCTGCAGATCTGAACCACAAGTGGGTTTAATTCAGTGTTAACAGTGTTTATCTGCCAAAGCAGCTATGAGGCTCCAACACAGACTGAAACCTGCAGTGTTTACTGGGGATGTACAGTATCAGATAAAGACAAACAGATTTTTTCAGACATGATACCCCTATACACACACACACACCTTTTTTCATCATAAAAAATGCAGTTTCTCCTGTAACAGGATAAACCTGTGAGTATTGTGAGTCTATTTGTTGGAAATAAAAAAAAAAAAAAAAGACAAGAAAACATTAGTTTTTTATCAGAAATTACCATCACATCCCTTTTCAAATGTAGAAGTTCAGGAATAACTCAACTGTTTGTTTCCAACACTTAAAGGGATATTCCAGCGTAAAATTAATTTAGGGTCAAACACAACGTAACACCGAATTAGACACCCCCTTGAGAGATGAATGTTACTGACTGCTTGCTTCTCTAGTTATACCAACTTTAGTAACAGCTGCATGATAGCATTACACAACAGTCTGAGGAGCCATAAACAAACCTCAACCAAAAAACCACTCTATAGCTACAAATAATGCTCAGAACAGCACCTAACTTCAACAGTACGTGTAGGGTCCCAGCCATTGTACTAGCCACCAAACGTCTTTTTAACTTTGCCTGATTTCTTAAGCAAAGAGACTAAACAAAACTCACCCACTCTCTTCCAGCAGCCACTTGTTTGTAGCGAGACCTCAGGCCAGTCCATTACAGACTACAGCGGAGTTTCGCAGCTCAAAGAAGAACATTTATGATCATCACTTTATCATTTCCTTGAAGTAATAATCACCATATTAATCGTTTTGCACTGCAGATACGGTAGTTCTTCTGCCTTAGCATCTTGGTCTGATTGTATTTCCATGAAGAAATTAATTTTACACCGGAATATCCCTTTAGAATTACTTCCATATGGTCAGCATGGGTAAGCAGTCATGACCTTTTCAGATGATGATAACAGCTGAAAGTTCCTATCTGCAAGTTCCAACGTATCTGACGTATCTGCACGTCATCTCATCCTGACTTCACACGGACTTTTGCAGAGGGAGAAACAGATCCAGGTTTTTTGTGTTTGCACATGCAGCTCACCTGGATAAAGTCTGGAAAGGTTTAGGAGTACAGAGTATGTTTAAGAGAGGAGCTAAAGAGTGGCTAAAGAGTGTTTTTTTTTTTTTTCAGTGGAGGTGAATGGGATGGATGAAGATGAAGAGGAGGAGGACGAGGAGGAGGAGGTGATGTTGGAGGAAGAGAACATGGAGGCGGAGCTTCAGAGGGAGCAGAGAGGAGCAAACCAGGAGGAGAGAGAGGAGACGGCTGACAAGTCGGCAGGTCCGAGTCACAGTGCAGAGACTCCAAGAGTACCTGATGAGGAGAGAGCAGGTACACACACACACACACACACACACACACACACACACACACACACTGATGATTCATTGGGCCTGGCAGTGTGAGGTATGTAGCCCCATCTGTGGAGAACTGCTGCATACCTCGCATCTTGTTTCTACCGTCAGTTTCTCATAGTGCTGGGCGATAAACTGAATTGCATCTTTAATACATGTGCTAGTAACATGTAGTGCACACAACCCCATTTCAAAAGTACAAAAATATCCTTTTTTTTTTCTTTCTTTGCAAACTTCTCCTGCAGGTCCAAGTGGTTTGGTCCAACAGAGCAGATCCTCCCAGGATGCTGTCCCCAGACCTGCCCTCACTCTGTCGGACTCAGACAGTGAGGAAGAGGAGGGACTGGTGTCAAGGCTGATCCCGGCTTCTTGTTCACGGCAGACGACTTCCTGCACAGAAGGTTTAAAAAAATAATCTGCTGCATGAGAAAATATCAAATTTAGCGTGATATTTCAACACGTCACATGATACCTCGGAGTAATCCTGCGCAGGTCGGCAGGGGTTTCTGAGTTTGTGTGTGTGTATATGAACAAATGGAGTGACAGGTTTTTGTCTTACAGGAAAGGGAAAAACTCCTCTGCGGCGGTCCAGCACTGCTCCAACATCTGTAGCTACAGGGAACCCTGGACCTGCAGGGAACTCTGGACTTAATGGGAACTCTGGATCTGCAGGGGGCTCTGGGCCCTCAGGGAGCTCTGGGACTGCTGGGAGCTTTGGACGTGGAGGGGGCACTGGAACTGCTAGGGGATCTGGACCTGTAGGGGGCACTGGACCTGCTAGGGGCTCTGGGCCTGCAGGAGGTTCAGGATCTGGAGGGGCAGGCCAGGTGAAGGCCCAGGTGTGTGAAGGCAGCTGTGAGAAGAGCTGTCAGGTGAGCAGTGAGCAGATCAAAGCAGACATGAAGGCTGCTGCTGAGACCAGCAGGAGGACTAGTTCTAAGGGGGTCAGTACTGAACCTGCAGAGACCCCCTCCAGACCTGTGGTAGACTCTGGGACAGCAAGGAGTTTTGGAAGTTCTGGGACAGCAGCCAGGACTGGACTGAGACCAGTACCTGGATCTGCAGACAGGACTGGACCTGGTGCAGCATCATGCAGGCAGGTGGGGGGGTTTGGGAGAATGGTTGCAGGTACTAACCACAGGGGGACCACAGACAGATCCACAGGGACCAGGTCTACAGGGACCAGGTGTTCAGTAGGCTCAGATGGACCCACTGCATCAGAGGAAGGGCAGAGACCAGGTTCTACTGCTCCAGACAGTCCTGAACCCAGAGGGGGTCCCAGGAGACCAGGGGACAGACCACTCGCCGGGGTTGGTCCACAGCAGGGATCAGGTCCTCACAGAGATCAGGACTTTGTCCCCAGGCGACCTTTGACTCGATCATGCAGCAGGATGTCCTCAGTGAGTCTGGTACCTGAGACAGGTGAGTGTGTTCAGCTGCAGAGGGAGGGAGGGGCCTGTTAGCTCTGAGGTTAGCCTTCGAGAGGAAGCTGTTAGCAAGTGTTAGCACTAGCATGTCTGTCATCACTGTCAGTTTGTTAGCAGTATAAGAGTATAAGATAGTATGGAGTATAAGAGACCACATTAGCTTTCAAGTGTATTAAATGGTAACCATGTATATCAAGACCTTTAGAGCTCCCCCTGCTGTTGGGCTGCAGTATAGGTCTTAAGCTATAAGCCCCGCCCCCCTCACGTCAACAAAGAATCTGGTCAAGATCACCAGCAGATCCTTCAGACTCCAAGTAGTTGTCACATGAAACTGTGCTGGATCTGTTTATGGTTTTATGTTTTTAGTTTTCTGTGTTTGGTCTAAATCAATAAAGGTTGATCACATTCAAACAGAGGGTAGATGCAAAGCTATAAAGTTAGAATAAACATGTTTCTGTCACTGTAGGTGGTTTTTCATGTGCTGAATCACGTCCATGAGTTCATTCTTCAGAAAAGTTTAGTTGTGTTTAGTTATTTAATTCTAAGAGGAGCAGATGTGCTAATGCCCACATTTGTCGACAGCTTGTTCTGCTCTGGGCTGCACTCACCTGAGGGACCGTCAGCATTTTTTAGTGGAGTTTGATGCACATTTTGTGTTGTGTCACAGATGGGACACGAGTCCTGAAACCGTACTAGCCAGGTTGCTTCGGTGAAAGCCCTTGTTTCACCAGTGTGAATGTCAGTGCCTGTGGAGATGTTGTTTTTTGCTTCAAAGCTCACAATGAAGTGAGGTCCATCCTGTAGACAGTCACATGTGGTTTGCTCTCACATGCAGAAATATGACATTGTCATTTAGCAGACGTGTTTATCCGTAGAAATGCTTTAATTCCAAACACTTGGGCAGCTTGGCTCTTTAAAACATTCAAACCATTGTTTCAAATGGTGTAGATCTACAATTAGTCATTTTGTTATGGTGTTGTAGGTTGATAGTTTGTGTGGCAGATCATTATTTTCAGCAGTGCAGGTCTTTGATTGGTTATTTGCTCACTCTTACACTATTAAACCTTAATGCAAAACCAAAATCAGTTTGATTTCTGGATTTCATAACACATTATTATTCCCACAACTTTATCCAGAACTCTTTTAATGTAACATCATTTTCAAAACTTTTTCATATGGAAGAATGCATTACCAATACTCTGTACAGCGTGTTTTGGGCACTTTAAGTCAAGGAATGTCTCTGTTTGAAGTTATTAACAATTATATGATCCTGTAACACACTGAGAGGAATTTATAATCGTATTTTGTGGCTGTAAGTTAAGCATCTGACAAAAATACTTGACAAAAATGATCATAATAATTCATTACACTTCAAAACATTTTATTAAACTTATTCAAAGGTTTTTAAACACTCTCTGGCATACTGAAGTTGAAGCCGATTTAAGAGTCATACAGATGACACAGTGAATGGCTCTCTCCAGGCTCATGAATAACTGGATAATGTTGTAGGAGTTATAATATATTATGAAACTCGAAAGACACTGTTAGTTCTACATCAAACTAAAAAGCATTATAAATCACACCTTTTGTAAAGCATTATGTTCAGTGCGTCTACCACTCTTTTAAACAACCTTGTAAATCCATTTGTAAGGCTTCATGAATGTGCTAATGACACGTCATAATTGGTTGGTTTCTACAAAGTTATTTCATCTGTGGTGTAGATCTTTGATTGGTGATGTTATTCCTGTGGTGTAGATCTCTGCAGGTCCAGGCCTCGAGTGGCTGTGAGGAGGAAACGAATGTCAGACAAATCAACGAGCACGTCAGACCCAGTTACCGAGGATGACCATGTACAGGTACACTCACCTGCCAGAATCTGACACAGTTTGTATCTCTGTGTTTTTGTAAATGTCACTGTCTACCTGACGTTGTTTGTTTTGGTGCAGGTTCTGTCTCTGAAGAGTAAGAACCTGGTGGGCATCACTCTGACCAACTGCGGGATCACTGACCTGGTGCTCAGAGACTGTCCTAAGATGATGTTCATTCACGGTAAACACACACTTCATTCACAGGTTTACTTTAACACAGTTAGTATGTGTCTCTGCCAGCTTCAGCTGAATAGAGGCGCACTGACATGACAGCAGCAGGTGACAATTTACACAGCCTGTGCTTCCCACACGTAGTTGAAAACTGGATGGTCAAAAAAAAACTTTTTAATTTCTTTTTATAGATACAGGATTGACACCTATTGATTAACTAGTAGAGCCAATCTAAAGATTTGTTTCCAATGATGTAAACTTTAAGGTTCTGATGTTTTAGTGAGAATTTTTTCACCTTAAAGGTAAGACTAGATCCTGGTTAAGTTTAAAGTTATTTACAAGGCATTTAAACTCTTCATGTCAAAAACTGTTAGGAGGGGTGAGAAGGAGTTAAGAGGCTCTCGTGTACTTTTTTTGTTGTAATGTCTTATGTTGCTTATGTGCCAAGGTTTTTTTTTTTTTTTTTTTAACATATACCACCTGTCCTCCTTTTTCCCATCTAAGAAAACAGAGCGCCTCCTTTGTGACAATTTGTCAGTTCTTCCTGCTCCTTTCCCCACTTGTATGCTCTGTACTTGTGACATGTGCAATTACAAATTAATCCAATCTGAATCTGAGTCTGAAGAATATTCAAGCGGAGGAGAAAATAGCAAAAAGACAGTGAAATCAGAGAAGTGCACTCCAAACTACAGTACGTCTACGCAGAGGTTGTTATTAAAGACAGAACAAGATAAGGAGAGAGATAAGGAGTAGAATAATGTAGACGATAAGAAGTTTAACAAATCAATAAAACAGTAAAACCATCTGTAAAATGTTCATAAATGACAAGAGGTGTTACAATGCAGTCAGACTTTTAAAGGAAGGCAGAAAAACTGACAGTCTGAACAGAAGCATGCAGAGCGAGGGCAGATCACACATACTTCCTCAAGACTAGATAAATTGTTCTGCCAGCTCAGATAGACCAAGGTTTGATCGACCTGCGTGTACCACCAAAGTCGTTATTGTAGATCCATTTTTGAACTGTTTTGATTTACTCCTCTAACTTTACTATCTATAGGGAGTAGAGAGGTTTACATCGTTTTGAATAGTGTGTGTTTGTGTGTGTGTGTTAAGCCACTAGGTGTCGTGTGTTGAAGCAGCTGAGAGTGGACAGCGCCCCCATCGTGAACAGGTTTGACTTTGCTCAGTGTAAGAAGCTTGACATGGAGCAGGTGCTGGATCAGATCCTCAGGATGCCACCTGAGAGGAACCGCATCATCTACATGCGCCCCATGCACCAGGTGAGCCACCTGTGAGGTCACTTGTTGTCGTGGAAACTAGTAAAAACATGAGTAGATTGACATCACTATGTGGTTGACCTGTTTACCTGCCTAACGCCTACCTGTATTTCCCTCTGTGTCTCTGTCCATGTCCTCAGGTAGACTCTGTGTCTCTGGAGCGGTTGTTGTTTCAGGGTCCTTATCCATACCACATAGCATTAGTCCATGAGTTCAGTAACCCCCCAAACATCAGGAACAAGGTCCGGATCCGCAGCTGGATGGACACCATCGCCAACATCAGCCAGTAAGACCCCCCCCCCCACACACACGCACGCACAAACACACCCACAGCCTGTTTGATCAGATACAGATTGATTAATATTGATCGTTAATGTTAGTTTGTTTACCTGTATTCCATCCTTAAATCTAAGATCACCCCTTCATGTGTGTTTTTCCTCAGAGAGCTCATTAAGTACGAGTTTTTCCCAGAAGCCACTAGGACAGAGGAGGATGTGAAGAAATTTCCCAAATACCCCTGGGGCAGAGACATCTACACACTGGAGGGTAACACTCCTCACACACATACACACACACGTGCACACACACAGACATTCATTATAACAACAATAAATACGCTGTTATTACTACTTCTTATCATCATCATGATAATAGTAGTGGTAATGAAAATAATAAATGTTTGAGTTGAGGTTTGTTGGTTGGTTGGATTATTCAAATGGTTAGTGAAAAGTACAGTCCTAATTTCAAATGGTAGGGATGCTGTGTGCAAGTAATGCAAAAATAACAAATCAAATGTTGAAACTGAAAAATGTTATTTTAAAGAAAAAATATGTTCATTTTAGATTTGATGCTAGCTAGATGTTTGTTTTGTTTGGTTTATTTGTGCCGTGTCGTTGGAATCAGGACTGCCGTCAGACCAGTTTAGCATCAGGACTCTTCTACTACAGTTCCATGCTGTTGTAATCCCTGCAGAATGTCTCGGATGTTTCAGTATCATTTTGATAACTCGTTTCCTCTGGTCCAGTTTTGTGGACCTCATTTGTGGATGTAGTGATTAACTGTGTTCACAGACAATGGTTTTTGGAAGTAATTTTGAGCCCATGCAGGAACATTTCTCTGAAATTATTGAACTGTTTGCTCATGCAGTCTCTCACAGAGTGGTAACCCCCTTCTCATTTTTCCTCCTGAGAGCACAGCCTCTCTGAATGTCCTTTTTATACCCAGTCATGTAACTAAACCGTTAGAAATTAACTCAATCAGTCTGAGATGTTCCTCCAGCTGTTTTTTAAGAATTGCACATCTTTTTTTACCTGTTTGTTTGCTCCTTTAATAACTTAAATTTAAAATTAAAATTTCATAAAAACCAAGAATTTCTCAGTTTCAACATAAGATATGTTGTCTTTGCTTAATGGCAAACAATTCTAGGATTACAATGATTTGCAAACCATCAAATTCAGTTTTTGTCAAGATTTTGTACAGCATCCCTTTTCTTATGAACATGGTCTTGTACTTGTTTGGAGTGTCATTATCAGTTTACAAGATTACTGTGTTTACTCTGCTGTCAGTATACGGACACTAACATCCACAAAGACTAATATTCTCTGTTTCATTTGTGATTGACCTGTGTGATGTGGTTCAGGTGTGGTGGATGGCGCCCCCTACAGCATGATCACAGACTTCCCCTGGCTGAGGACTCTGAGAGCTGCTGAGCCCAACAGCTACGCCCGCTACGACTTCGAGGACGATGAAAGCAGTGAGTGTGGTTAAAGTGTCAGTCAGTGATACATCAGTACAGCCACACTTCAGGACATTCAGTCAAATACCAATGAATGAGTGTGATCAGTCTGTGAGGTGTGTCAGTGATTGGTCAGACTCTGACGTGTTGCTCTGTGTGTCCCTCCTCAGCCACCATCTATGCTCCGCGGCGTAAAGGTCAGCTGTCTGCTGACATCTGCATGGAGACAATTGGGGAGGAGATCTCAGAGCGCAGACAGAGCAAGAGTGGAGTGTTTCAGAGGGTTGTGGTGGTCTTCCTCCATCACTGTGACACACCTGGAGAACCTGTGGATGATGACTACATATAGACGCCAAATCATCAGTCAGCACACCTGCGTACCCATACTTAGTCCTCTGCGTGAATCACCTGAAGAACCTTAAAACAGACAGACTGACATGTGGTCTGATTTCCAATGGAGTCCAGACCTAGAAAAAGACCTACATCTGGTGTGGTCCTGGTCCAGATGAAATCTCTCAAGTGTCCTTCATGTTAAGACGCTGCAGTGATGAAAAGGGGGAGGAGCTTATCCCTGTGACATCACTTTATTTTTTGAAGATTATAATATCAACTCCTCACCAGACCTGAGCACTCTACCCTCATAGTTCTCCTTCCTCTCCACCTCCTCCTGTCATCATCTTGTCTCTGTCCCTACCTTCCTCTCTTCCTCCTGCTCCCCAACCCCCCCTCCTCTTGTCCTACCCCTTGTCTTCATCCTCTGTGGTCTCCTCAGTCTTCCTCAATCTAAGAGTCAGTGAAGACAGTAGAGGTCGTCTCCCTGATCATAAAGTTTCTCTGAATGTTTCCTTTGATTATTTTGATCATGCTGTTTCTGTTTCTCACTCAGATTACAGGATGTGTTTAAACATTAAATCCGAGTCCTGAGATTAAACAGCAGAAATCAGACAGTGTTTTGTCTTTTGGATTTATTAAAGTCTGATTTATTTCTGATTTATTAAAGGCAAATTAATGACAGAGGAGAATTTCCGTCACTCAGTCTGGGATAAGAGATAGCAGAGGATAATGAGACAGATATATAATTTTCAACCCAGAAGCCTTTCATAAATCTGTCAAAATTCAGATTTCAGGTGTCTGAATTTCAAAATGCTTCACAGATTTCTGCTCTGAGTGGGATTATGTCCTCTGAAGAATCTGAGTTTTTGCTTCTGTCTGCAGATTATTGAGTTTAATCTGATCTCAGGTCACCAGAAACAGATTCATAAAAACAGTGAATGTTGAGTTTGGTTTCATAAACTGAACCTGATGTGTTTGTGTGCAGAAGTGATGGATGATATAATCCATCGTGTTTATATGTTTATAAGGAGTCAGAGAATAAAAATCAGAAATCTTTCTGTCCTTCTGTTTTTTTTTTCTTCTGGATAGAGTGCACATTTTTACACACTCTCCCTCGGCTGAGTGGCGGCAGCATAAAGCATAAACCCCGCCTCCTCCATGTTAACAGGTGGGATATAGTGGGTCAAACTTTAAAACCAGAATACATGTGAGAAAAATGACAAGGATGTAATAGTTATTTGATGCTAAAAATGGGGCGGGGCATCCCACCATGATTGACAGCTCTGATGACCAGTGAGGCTCCTGTAGTGCTGTGGGTACAGGATTTTCAGAGCAGAGGAGAAATGGTAAAAGGAAACAAAACAAACAAAAGGTGTTGACCTTTCTATCATCGTGAGGGTCTGCTTTAAACCAACACAAGAACTTGTTCTGCTGTGGACTGGACCCACCTGAGAGAGCTTTAACACCTTACCAACGAGGTCAACATGGGTTTGATAGAAGACAGGGTAGGCCATTAAACCAAGGATCCACCAGCTGGTCTGCACAGACTCTAGACAATACAGTGAATCATGTCACAGGAAGAGGTGCCATTTATCCTCAGACAGAAAATGCCCCAGATCACTCTGAATTATGGGTGATCACAGGTGAGGAGGCGGAGCTTAAGAGCAGTGACAGGCCGACAGAGTTTAATCAAAGATATAGAGAGGGGGGAAAAAATGAGCAAAATTTAATTTATAAAAAAAAATGAAACCGCCTAAACTGGAAAATTATGATCAAAATGATAATCAGCTGTTATTCAGTCATGTGATTAAAACTTTGATGTTTTACAACCAGCCACCAGCAGGTAGGCTAGGTGCCCCACTACATACTGACAGTACTGTTATGATGATGAGGCGATTAATGATTAGTAGGATAGATGTCTTGATTTTCAAGGGGGTTCAAGGGGGATACTTGAACATTCATTTCAAAACCATAATTTTTTATACGATCGTTGAAACAATAATAGAAATTCAAGCCACTACAAGTATTCTTCTTATGTCTTATATCACAGCACAAAAAACATCCTACCCTGCCCTTGTAGTTGGTTTGATCCAAAAGATGCTGCATGAGATAATTTCTGGAGGTAAACACACAAATATAGACACACAGCTAACAGGACGCAGTGCCCTGATCTTACTTGCTAATGTGGAGTTATTGCATCTAAAAACCTAGCATCCTGTTTAATGTTCACATAGAGACTGTAGAGCTGAGTAAATTTTACGACCATCAGAAAGCTGACGATGTATCAGAAGACAGTAGAAGGCTAAATTCTACATTGTATCAGGTTGCGGATGCAGAGAAATAATCTCCCCCTTTATAAAATGAAAAGTAAAAAAGCACCAGAGGCTGAGGGAGGTTATTTATAGAGAGATAATGAAGCTGTTTTGTAGAATGGCTCACAACAGAATCAAACAAGTTATATCACTGTAATGTAATGTATTGTAATTAAGGTGTAGAGAAGCAGAGGTATATCATAAAAATACTAAAATGTGCTTTAATATAAACAAAAGTACTTGTCCTATTGAAAGAAGATTTGTTTAAAGATCTGTCTCCTGTTTGAAGGAGCAGTTCAGAGCTGTGAGGAGTGATGATGATGATGTTCGTCAGGAGGGTGAAGATGTGAGGATGAAAAGCAAAATAATGACCACAACAAGATGATCATAACGACATGGTTCTTAATAGTTACAGTTTTAACAATAATAATATGCCAGAGTACTAGTGAGATTAAGTCAGTTTGCCTTGGCTGTAATGTAATGTTATACAAGAAAAAAAAAGATTTTAGTAATTATGACCATGTAAGGGATTTCAATAAGGGGTTTTCTTATACCAGAAATAAGCCCTCCATCTTTCTTAATTTCTTTGAGCATGACACTTGTTTCAGCTTCACTCCACAAATGCTCACCCTAACACATTTGTTGCTGCTAAATGCCATAGCTGATGTTTCGTCTTCTGCTGCTTGCATATTTTACTCATGCCCAGATGTGATAGAACTAAAGAAACCATACTAAACTGTAACATGCACCAAATATAATTGGTTTTGAGGGGAAAAATGAGGTGTGTTCATCTAACTTTTCATAAATTTATAATGGCCTTTCTTAGACAAAGAATATCAGCTTCTTAGTGTGTATCTAAACACATTCACTGAGACCATGAAGATGATGAAGAAGAAGACAGAGAGCAGACACACCTGAACTCTGTTTAAACCTGAACTCTGAGACCTGCTCTTCCTGCTGTGACAGTTTAAACACACACACACACACACACACACACACACACACACACACACACACACACACACACACACACACACACACACACACACACACACACACACACACACACGCATGCACCCGTGTGCTCAGTGTAAACAGAGAGAGTGTGTGTCTCCTGTTGGACTTCCTGTGACACTGAGCAGACTCTTCCTCACTGGTTCTTCCTCCTCATCTTCTCTGAGTTTATAATGTATAATGTCACCGTGTGTGGACTGAAGGAAAGAGAGGTCAAAGGTCAGGGAGGGAACTCTGGGTGAATCTTTGGTGATAACCTTTAAGAAATAGATCTTTTTTTGTGCGTTTACAAGAGTCAGGCTGTGAATTTGATGAATAAACTCATGATTGAAGTTGATGATCATTGCTTGACTTATATTGTAGGAGAGTATCTTTGAAATCTTAACTTTAGTATATTACAACTTAAATATTGTAAATCAGTTGCTTAAATCTCGTAAATTTATGACTTCGATCTTTTGACTTTATTACTTACATTTTTATTTTGGAACTTTGAGTTTGTGTCAATTTGACGCCCCCTGTGGACAAGACACTCTTTACATATCTTGTCTTCTACATATTGAAGTCTTGTTTTCTGTCAAAAATCTCATCCTGCTGCCTCTCTCAGTCAAAATCACAAGTTAACTCATGTAAGCTGAACCATTTATTTCCTTACAACTTACCTGTTTTACTTGAACCTATCAAAAATTGACTACTTTTTCTTGTTTGACTCCTTTCTAGCAAAATTCGACTCAATTTAAAAAAAAAAAGACCTTAAACTTAAATGCTTTAAATTTACGACTTCAATGTTGTTTCTTTACAGCTCTGTTCTTGAGTTCACCCCTTTCCTTTACAACATTCAGACTTTATCTCCAAAATCATTTACAATTCTTGTCATGCAAATTTATGATTTAAATGTTGTTAGTTCATTTTGATTTTTTGTTAGTTTACCACTTTTTAAAATTCAACTTTATTCTTAAAGTATTGTCACTTTATTCCAGCAAAACATTTATGACTTAAGTCTCATGTATTACCAACATTACAATTTAATTTTTTTAGAACTCTAATCCCATAAATAAAAATTATAATCTTAAATGTTGCCCTTATACTCTGTAATACTTAAACACTCTATTGTCACAAAGTTTACACCTTTTTTTGTACTACTTAAAACTTAATTCTAGAAAATGTACCACTTCTTTCTTGTTTGACTTTCTTCTAGGAAAATTATAACTTTGTTCTAAAAAGAATTAACCTAATCTTGTAAATTACAGTTTAACTATTCTTAATTTATGACTGTACATTTACCATTTTTCCCTGAACAACTTTATTTTTATAACCTTTTGACCTTATTTCAGTAAAATACTGCCACTTTCATCTTGAGAATTTACAACTCTGATCTCACAAATATATGACTGTTGTCATGACTTTCCCCCTTTATTTTCCTATGGCTGTCTATATGAACTTTAATGACCTTTCCTTATAAGTCATTAGTTTTTGTACATGACCTTCATCTCAGAAATTTAAAACTTTTACCTTGTGAATATTTTACTATAATCACCTCAATTTAAAACTCTGTTGTTGTGATTTTACCTTTTATTCTATTATGAATTAACTTTTATCCCACCATGAGTTTATTTTTGTAAATTGACCTTCTTGCGCTCAGAATTTTGGCCCTTATTGCCTGTTGTACCTGTGAGGTTCCGGTTCTCTATTACAGCTCAACAAAGTGAGTAAAAAGGGAATCAGGAGAGTTTGAGAAACTGATTTTATTTTTACTCTGCAGTCAGGACCTGACTCTTCTCCTTATGAGGGAAACACTGAGAGGTCCATATAAGAGAGTGCGTGTGTGTGTGTGTGTGTGTGTGTCTGTGTGTGTGTGTCTATGCTTGGTTAACATCACTAATAGTCAGTTCTCTGCTGCTGTAAACACTGAACCATCTTCAGACATTCAAACATTCAAACATTACCTTATTAAGACACAGAGCAGACACAGTGGGGAGGGGGGTCTCTCTCTCTCACACACACACACACACACACACGCATGCACGCACGCACGCACGCACACACACACACACACGTCTTGCACACTGACTGCTGCAGGAACAAAGCCGTGTGTTTGATGGTTGTATTTGTATTTGACAGTGATCTCAGTCTGCAGGGTTATTTAAAGCTCAATGTCCTTCCATCACATTAAGTTTATACTGAAGCGATCTGAAAGCAGGCAGTTGCTTAGACTTCAGACAAACATGCTACAGCAAAGGATCTTGGGACTGTGAGAGCCGATGTTAAGAAGTGTGTTAATGACATTTGAAGTGGTAGTTTACATAAATTTAGTAACAGTTGGTAGTTGTGTGTGTTAAATGGCATTTTCAGCAGGAAAGAGAGAAAATGCTGTTTGTGTTAGAGACATCTGTCCAGTGGTCTGTCAGGTGCTACTCAGACTGCAAAGATCTATGACTATAAATATTATTTCAATTACTAATTGTTGTGTCTGGGCTGTCCTCGATGTGTAGATGCAGAAGGAGGCTTCGTGACACTGGCTTGCTTGTATAAGAGGAGTTTATTATAAAGACAAAACCAGTATCAATACAGCACTGCAGTTGCTGGGAGAGGACGGCCAATGATGTCCAGCTCTCCCAAACCAGAGTTTGTGACCCTGTTATATAGATGTAGGGATGTAAGCCCTCCTACATTCCCAAATTATCTTTCCTTACCATCTTGTGTTTGGTAAACCTAGAGTGGTGTTTTATGACCTGGGGCCTGTAACCAGTGAAGTGCCCCTCCTAGGCTATCGCACCCCAGGTATCACTAATGATAAACAGATAAACACACGCCCACAGTTCACAACTGATTTCTCAGGCTATTCCTGAGAAATACCTTAAGGCAATGCATAGTGGTGTAGTACTCCAGATACTACATAATTAACCACAATGTGTTGAAGCAGTCAGTGATTATAGAGTAATAATGTGTTAGATGTGAGAGGGTTCACCTGCAGGAGGAGGTTTCTCTCTTTAGAAGCAGCTGGAGGATCAGTCCCTCTGCACACAGACACTCTACAACATTAAGTCAGATTAAACCTCGTCTCTGTTTAATGATCACTGACTGACTTTAACAGATCTGTTTATAAAGTGGAGAAAAATAAACTTTATACCTTTAAGCTGAGAAAAACTATTACTGTCAGTGTTAGAATCACTGACACTAACATCAGCTCTCCTACAGACCACAAACAAAGCTTTATAACAGGGACACAGGCAGCAGCTTTCACATTTACAACTGACTGACTGCGAACAAAGACACTAACAAAGCTCAAGGCTGTATTTGAAAGGTGCATTAATCCAGACATGTTTCCAGGACTAAAGGAGGAGAAATATTTCATCTGTCAACTGTATTTTAGCATTGAATACCATTATTAAGTCATATAAAGACAGTGTGATTCGTAGCTTTATATGTTTAATGTAAAATGCTGCCTTTAAAAAGTTCTTTATTATCTGTTTTAGCCCTTTACAGTTTTGTAAACTCCAATGTTTGTCAGTCTATATGGTCCATTACAGCTTTATAGGGTCTTTGTAAGCTTCTTATAGTCTGTGTAAGGTGGTATAGTCTATGTACACTCTTTTTGGCCATTTTAAGCTCCTTATAGTCTGTGTAAGCTCCATATGGTCTGTGTTAGCTAATGATTGCCTATATAGACTCTTAATGATTTGTTAGCTCTATATGGCCAGCGTGCTGTGTATGGTCTATGTGAGCTTTATTTGATCTGTGATAAGTCTCTGTGGTCTGTGTTTGCTCTGTATGGTTTATGTAAGCTGTATATATGATATGTGTAAGATCTTAATAGTCTATGTCAGCTCTCTATGATTTGTGTTGGCTCTTTAATCACAACAGAAGGCATGTGAGATCAATGCTTTATATAAAGTCTTGGTTATGTTCTGTTCTGTGTGCATTTCCTTGTGATTGCTGTACACTCTAAAGTATCTGTTGAAGCTTGAATAATTATGTCAGCTTTTTATGATCTATGTTAGGTCTAAATCAGTCTAGATAGGATAAGATTATCCCACAGTGCAGCAACTGTTTGTGCTGTTTCTGCCAACAGCAGAAACTTCCCCGTCTTAGAGGTTGATGAGAAAGATAGTCAAAGTGTAAAGCAGCCTCTCTCTCTCTCTCTCTCTCTCTCTCTCTGTCTCTCTCCTCACACACTCTTCTGTAAAGCTCAAACTATGAGGGGAGACCCTCTTCCTTGACATCACACCCTCACCTCAGTCAGCTCCCTTGTCCTGGTGTTTGCTTTTCCTGGTTTAAAATAATAAGATAGCGTCCATACATTAATTATTTGGGGTATTTAAATATCCAAGTGCTGATAAAAACAAATGTTTCACCAGATCATTTCCCTGTTAGCGTTTTGTCAATGTAGAACTTTACCTCAGTGAGCTAGCCTTATCATGTTAGCTTACAGTTTATTAGCCTTACTATAATTTCTAGTCTTTCGCTTCATTGGCCATTATTGTTATGTTAGCTTCAGCTTTTACCTCATCAAGCTAGTACCATTTAATTATAGTTATTTCATATTTACCTTATTATTAATTCGTTATTTTCTATCTGTTCAGCCCTTATTACTTCTCGCTGATAGTGGAGCAGTAGATGAAACCCTGGACCACAATTGACTATCCATCATGTCAGAGGCAGCACTTACATGGAAATCAACTATCAGTGTTTGTGTTTAACAGGCTGCCAGTTCCTCCCTTTTGTTTCTATGATGAGCATTTTCTTTTGTTTCTTCTTTACATGGTGACTTTTATTCTTTATGGACATCTTCCTTTTGAGTCCATGAAGAATAAAGATCAGTTGATTTTAATGTTGTAGCAAGCTTTTAAAGATCAAAAACCACATACAGGAAATCACAGTTTTTTAATCATCCTGTGTTAGGTGTCAAAGTAGATGTGATTGGTGGAGATTACTCTTCCAGGTTTGGGATAAGCCTCTAATGTTTTCCATGGGCCACCCCTGCAAAAAATAGTGCCCCCCCCCCCATTTCAAAAGTTTAGCTATGCCCCTGCTGCTCACAAGCTTCAGATTTGTTTTTTATGTGGTCATTAAAATAATGACATGTTGGTAAACCAGGTGGAAATTCTGTGTTTGCCCCTTTTTCTCTTCACTCTCTCAGCCTTTTCTCTCTCTCTCTCTCTTTCTCTTTTTCTCTCTTTCACACACACACACACACACACACAGACACACACAGTCTCAGCAGTGTAATAGTTTCCACATGGTTTTTTGGTATTTCAGAGCGCTCCGTCTGTCTGATGAGAAAAAGACCAAATTTAGAAGAAATATGAAAATTGTCAAACTTTCTCTCTCTCTCTCCCTCTCCCTCTCTCTCTTTTCTTCCCTTTTCTTTTCCAGTCATTCCCCTATCCTTCTCCTTTATCCCTTTTCTCTCCTCCTTTTTTCTCTCTTCACTTCCTCTTTCTCTCACTGTCTCCCCTCCTCCTCTTTTTGTTTATCCTCTCTCTCTCCTCTCCCTCCATCTTTTCTCAGACTCTACAGGTCATCACTCCACTACTCTGACGTCAGCTAACAGTCCTCTCAAAGGGGCGTTCCCTGCTAAGGGCTCCGCCCCCCACTGACCATACAAGGTAACAGAGGAATGCATGGCCTGGCAGCCCATCAGCTTCATAAGAGACACAGAGAGACAAGGAAAGAGGGAGACAGAGACAGAGGCAGGGGGAGAGAGTCTGATGTGACATCCAGGTCTTCATATTGAACTTCACTTTCATGGAGTTCGTACAAACTTCAGACTTTCCTCAGCTCACAGTTCAGACAAAATCCTAGACGTCTGGACAAGTTCAACTATCAGAGACCCTGTCAGACCTGCAAAGACCCCAATAGACCTGCAGAGACTCTGTCAGACCACTAAAGTCTGGGACTGGTTCAGGTTTAGGTGAGTCTGATTTTGTGTTTTCATGTTTTAGAAATTTAATTGTGTTTTCTTTATTGTGTTCCTTCAGAGACTGTCTCTCTCCATTTTTTATTTTTAATCTAAATATTTCTTCAACTGTTTTGAATGTGATGATTCCATGAAGATAACGTTTGATTTAAAATAATCTTTAAGTTTTTACCCTCAAGCTGGTGAACACAGACTGTTTGAAACACACTGGAGTGAACACACATTAACAACTGATATATAATCATGTGTCCACAAAAGGGCGCGCACACACACACACACACACACACACACACACACACACACACACACACACACACACACACACACACACACACACACACACACACACTTACTCATGACCAGGGACCAGTAGATCAAAAACAGGTAAAACCAGACATCTCACCTCATACAGGAGACCAGAATTCAGGACCAGAATTCAGGACAAGAACCAGACCGACATAGATCAGGACCACAGGGATCATGTTCCAGAACCTGCAGCATCATGGACCAGAACCAGAACCATCATAGGTTGGCTGAAGAACCTGCTGGGGGAGAGTCAGGCAGTGTGGATGAAACAGAACAGGTAGATATCCACATGTGCGTGCGCACACACACACACACACACACACACACACACACACACACACACACACACACACACACACTGAACTTGGCCATATTGCTAAAACTCTTGTACTGTTGGTAGATTTAGCTGAAATGTCCTCACAGTGATGGTGAAAAATTACCATTAGTCAACATGTATGCACCCTGATCTTTGTCTTTTATTAGTTCCTGTTACTAGTTACTGTCAGTTCATGTTCCTCTTGGTTCCTGATGTTATTTGCCATTCATTAATTTTTTTTGTTTGTTTGTTTCTTCTTTATTTGTTGGCTCCACTTGGTCCCTTTAGGTCTTTAGCAAATTGCCTGTTAGGGCCTGTTGCAATGATGTTATTTCCCATTGGGTACTGTCAGTAAATGTTGGGTCTCGTGTTTTAAATGTTTTAAGTTTTTAGTTGGTTCCTGTTGTTTCTTGTTGGTCTTTTGTTAGTTCCTGGTGGTTACTGTCAGTTAATGTTGTCCATTTACTGATTCCACTTGATTTCATGTGACTTTTCATTGAAATTGTTAATTTATTTTTGTTTGGATTTTTTTTATTGGTCATCCCTTTTGGTCTTTTGTTAGTAACTGTTTCTGTTGGTGCTTGTTTAGTTCCTGTTGCTTACTGTTGGCCAGTGTTACTTTTTTGTTGGATCCTCTTTGGTCTTTTTGGCAGGTATTGATATCTATTGATCTATTTTTCATATATTTTGTTTTTAAGTTGATTTCTGTTGGTTCCTTTCGGTCTGTGTTAGTTGTCATTGGTTCCTTTTGGTCTTCTATTTGTACCTGCTAGTTACTGTCACTTCATGCTGTTTTTTCGACTGTTCCTCTTGGTTCCTAAAGATACTTGCATAGGTTCCTTTTGGTCATTTGTCAGTAACTGTTGGTTCCTGTTGGTCTTTTTGATGATAACTCAGTATAAGGTTTTTTTATTGGCTCCTCTTGCAGTCAGTTCATGTTGGGGTTTTCTGTGTAAGATCCTTTTGGTTTCTGATGGCATATAATGAATATTGTTGGTTTATAATTTTCATTTGCTGAGGTTTTTTGTTGGTATTTTTCATTTCCTGATAGTTTCTGACATTAAAAAGATGTCTGATATTGTTTTCTTTTGGTTCCTGTTTGTTCTTTTTTATCCTTTTGGTTTTTGGATTTTTGTTTTATCTTTTATTTATTCTCTTTTCCCTCTCTTGTCTTTAGTTGGATCCTGTTGTTGATTTTGCTTTGGTTAAAATCAGTAAATATTGTAATCCTTTTTTCTTAGTTCCCCTTGGTCCCTGTAAGTTGTTGTATTTTTTGTTGGTGTTGATTTCTGTTGGTGTCTGGCAGGTTCTTCTTTGTCCTGGTGGTTCCTGAAAGACCGATGCAGTCTTTTATTAGACTGCTTGATGTTATTATTACTATTATTATCAGTATTAGTTTCTTCTGATCCCTGAATGTGTTTTGTGTAATCCTGTTGGTCTTGTAGGTTCCTGGTAGTCTTTTGTAAGTGCCCTGTGAGTTAATGTTTTTGTTATTTTTTGGTTAGTTTCCAATAGTTCTTGTCTGGTTTGTGCTTTTTGATCATTTCTGCCTTTATTGGTTTCTGTTGCTTCATGTGAATTTTTTGTCCCCCTTGTTGGTTTTAGTGTTTTCTGTTGCCAGTTGTAGATTTTTTTTGTCGGTTCTTGTCAGTTTGATGTTATTTTTTGTTGCTGTCTGTCTGTGTTGGTTTCTTGGAATTTTCTTTTTTTCTTTTCGAGGTTAATGAAGTGATTCTTCAGAACAGGTGAGATTGTTATCTGTGTGGAGAAGGAAATCATGGTCAGATGTTCTCTGATATAGACACCCCCATCTCCATCTTCATACATGAGAAACTATTTGTGTTGTGTGTGTGTTGTGTAGGGGTGGCAGGAACAGGAAATGCTGTATTTGTTTTCTGAGCAGTAAGAAGTGTTCAGGGCAGCAGGTCATCAGGACTTTCACATGACCCCCAACACACTCTCACAAACACAGACCGGTCCTCCTTAGGGACTTCAGAGTACAGATTCCCAGGCTCTGTTTCACATGGGGGGAGGGGGGTCTCATATCCAGATGAAGTCTGTTCACACACAGTTTTTATTTGAAACATGAATCCAAACTGATACCAGACAGCTGACATTAAACCATGACCAATGTCTGAGAGGACCAAAACCTCACAAAGAGCTAAAGTCTGACTGTGTCTCAGACTACATGGATCGGGTCTTGTAGATCTGAAATTATAGATTAGGTTTATATGCCATGTTTTTAAATCAGGTTTTAAAATTAGGTCCTGTAAAATCAGGATCTGTTAATTACAGCCGATTTTTATTAAATTAGGTCTGGTATTAAGTTTTAGATGCCAGGATTTGTAAATTAGGAATTTTTAGTTTAGATTTACGTTCCATGTCTCAAGATCAGGGTTCATTTATCAGGTTTTTCATATTATCATGTTTTCTTATCAGGTTTTAGATCAAGTATGATAGACAAGTTTCAATAGATTAGGTTTAATTGAACAAGAGCTGGGTTTTTTTGGATAAAGTTTTAATGTTTACATTTTATAGATCAGGTTTATATATCATATTTAAAACCAGGTTTTGGGACCAGGTAGGGTAGACAAGGTCTTATTAAATTTGTAGGTTTTTTGGATCAGGTTTGAAGATCACAGTTGAAGTGCAGGACAATAGATCAGGTTTTGAAGGTTGGGTGTTATAGATCAGGTATTGTTGAATTGTTTTTATCACAAGTTCATTGTATCAGGTTTACTAGATCAGTATTTTTAGATGAGGTCTGTATGTTTTGGTTTTGTGGTTCAGGGTTTGAAGATCAGATTTTATTTATAGTCTGTAAATCTGGGTGTCAGAGAGATGGGATGTAGTTTTACAGGTATGAGGGATTCACTGGAGCTGCAGCTTCATTCAGTGAGATTTATACCTTGACAAGATAATCATAAACTCATTCTCCAAACTTGCAGGGAGCATTAATAAAATAGAGTTCCTGTAATATGAGAAGGAGGAGGAGTGATGAAGGAGCTCACTCAGGAACGCTGATGGTGATGTTGGTGATTAAGATGGAAATAAGGACCTAGTTCTAGCAGGTTCAGTCTCTTTAAACTGAAAGTGCATTGACCTTTGACCCGCTCTCATTCTCCTGAACCTTGTTAATGTTGTGTGACTGTTCACATGTTCACTCCTGCACTCAAATATCCTGAATATTTGTTTCCTTGTATCCTTGAATCCTCGTTTCCTAAGCTCCTGTTCCCGCTCCGTGTGACTCAAGGACCAGTGTGACCATATTTGGTGTCTGATCTTAATAAGTGAAGTTTATGGAGAGTGAGTGTGTGTGTGTATTAGTGTGTGTATGTGTGTGTACTTCCTGTGTGTGATTTGGGGAGCAGAGGGGAAAGAGAAAGACGACCATATAAGGAAATGTTTGGCTCAACAGGAGAGATGGCTCTGACTGTTATCACAGCCTGTCTAAACACACACACAGAGTCACACACACACAGAGTCTCTCTCTCTCACACACACACACACACGGACTCACAGATTTATAGACTCTAACAGTAGACTGTTAATCTAAATGAATGAAGTCAGGTATATTTCAGCTCTCAGTCATTACAGACGCTGCTCGACTGTTTCCAGGCCATCACAGACTGATGACCCAGAACTCACTGAATACTTCACCAACAAAATCAGCCACAGTTCCTTTTTAACAACTCCCACTTCATTTCCAACTAATCTTATCTACTATCAGCAGGTCTTGTCTTGTGCTAAAAATAGTTTTTGTCTCGCCTTTTAAACCTGAAAGATGCAGATTCTCCAGCCATGAGCCTCAGAGCGGAGAAAAATCCTCCATGCTCCATCACCTCTCATCTGGACTACTGTACCTCACCTTCACACAAGAGGGTCAGTCAGTCCATTAATGTCTGCAGTAGGGGAAACCAGGGAGGGCTCTGCACATGCTCAGTTTGACTCACTTCTGCATGCTCAACAGGAGTAGGATCACCTCCCCACAGCAGGAGTTTTATGTTACTGGCTGTACAGTAAATTGAAACTTACATAAATTCAATCTATAGGCTATAAGTGAAGAAGAAATTACGTGATATATCCCTGCCAACAATCTCACATTTGAGAATTTATCATACCTGCCAGGTCGAGGGCAATTATCACAGTTTTACAAATGAAATTAATACCATTATTTATTCTAATTAGCTATGATTTCCATTTTCTTTGCTGCTATATATGACATAAAAACAGATCAGGCTGATCCTTTCACCACAAATATACCCAGTATTGCCTGCATGGAATCTTACCTACCGTGTTATTCTGTCCACGTGTTTATCTAGTTCCATCACAGACTGTTCTTGACTCATTTTTTGATCAGTTTGTTGGATTAAAAAACTATTTCTATTCAGTTTAATTTATCAAAACCTGGTAACCACTTAAGCATTTACCTAGTTTTATGCAAAAATAGCTCTATATATAGATAAAATATACAAATATATATGTATACTGGCCGCTCCAAGCCCCCACCCACCCAGAGACGGGGCTTCAATCAGCTGTGTTTTGCTGTTTGCTGTGTTTCATTTCTGTCTGTCTTCTTAAAAGTGCAGTGTGAAGAAACAAGTCAGGTTCTAGATTAAAACTCTCCCTTACTCACTCACTCTTCCTGTCCACCCTTTCATATTTTCAGTGTTTTGTATTAATGCGGTTGTTCTTGTGTTTATGATATTAAGTCTGAAAACAGAACAGTACAAGGTAGTGACTTATTGTAAAACCCGCTCACTTTGTGAGATCGGCAGCTTTTAAAGGATGAACTTTGTGTGTTTTTTAGTCTTACTGTGAGGATCAGTGTATTATCAGTCAGATTGTCCAGATCCAGTCCCTCAGAAGGACAGGTAATCTGTAACAATTTGTGTGTTGATTTTAGAGTTATTCGTGCTGAATAGAGTCATTTTTGTCGTTAGCTGACTTTGCCACACAGAGACTGAACCCTTGTTTTGGTCAGTCGGCCAATCAGAGGCTGTATCTGTGATCAGCTGTCTTCTACAGGTCCAGGGAGAAGCCAGATGTCACAGCCTGCTCACAATACAGAGATGGCAAAGATAAAAACACTTCACTTTATTCTAGTAAGAGAACATTTGTGTTCTTTCTGTGTCCCAATACTTTGGTGCCTCATGTACACACAAGATCATAACATTAGCTTACCTTGTTTCATTCAGTGTGTCCATTTTATTATTATATTATTATAAAAATGCTTTCTATAAAACAGGTTGGGTCATTAAATGGTCTTTCCATACAATCTTGTCTTTAGCACTGGTGCTCAAGTGAATACTGTCCACTCTGTCGAAACATGGCAGCTTACATGTATGGGGACATGCTCCTCTGTGAATGTAGATGGTTGTACTGGCTGACCCTTTCAGGGAGATTAAAAATCCTCTGACAGTTAAAGGCATCATTAGAAGTTTTTAACTGACAAATAGACTGAACTGGTGCCGTTTATGACCTTCAAAAGCAAAAGACACCATCTGCAACAGGACTGATATTTTCTCTGTTGACATTTTTAATGCCTGAAACCACTGTGAGGGGTAAAGATTTAGACCAGATTGTTGACAGCCGCCTGAAAAAACAGCCTTTTTTGATTTTTGCTATGACAAACACTCACAGGGACAGAAACATTTGACACATTTTAACACTGCTAAAAGAAAGCAGGCTGCATTTTTTCTGTCTGAAAACACTACTTTCTCACATACCAGGAGAAGAGATAAGATGTTTGTTTGAAAAAGAACATTAGAGCCAACACAAATCAAAAGTTCCTCACAGCGGCTTTAATATGACCTGGTGGCTTTTAAAGATTATTTTAGCTTTGATTTTGATAGGACAGCTCCAGAGAGAAAGACAAGAAGTGTGACATTTACCATCACATGAATCTTCCTCTATCTTCTCTTTAAACCCAGTTCAGTCTCAGCAGATGACTGTCTGACATAAGTCTGGTTCTGTTTGAGGTTTCTACCTGTTGAGGAAAGGTCGAGTGTTTGTCTCATGGTAAAGATGGGAAAAACGTTTCTTATCTCACGTGATGAGACTCAATCTTACTCTATCTGGTTGAAACATAGACAGTCTAGACCTGCTCCTTCTGTACATTGTGGATAACATGTTGCTAATTGGTGCTGTTTAAATAGACTGATTGATTGATTCATTCATTCATTCATTGACACATGACTAGATCAAACCATCTGTCTCTATCAGGATAGCAAGACTCTGTAGTCAAAGACTTCAGAGCACACAGAGTGAATTAGACATATACCTCTGATATTATTGGCAAGTTTTGGGCTGTAGGTGCTCCTGTGAGGGGTATCAGGAAGTCTGATCCAGCATAAGAGGTGTGATTTGGCACATTTGGGTTGACTTGTAAGTCTTAATCCATAATAAGATATTCTGGGGTGAATAAATATATAAAATTCATTCAAATTAGGCGAAAGCAGTCTATGAATATATGTAAGACTCTGAGGTGAGTGACTTAAAAGCACAAATTCTGCTGATCTCTATAAGTATCAGTGAGTGATTTTAGTCTACTATCTTCTCTCTCTTTTTCTCAGTTAGATATCTTACAACTTATCTTTTATTTTGCTGCTCATGTTGCTCAAATGTCGCATCTTTTTTTGCTGTTGATGTCATTATTGTTCCGTTTTTAACTCATTAAAACACTTCAAATCACTTGGTATAATTGGATAGAGCTCTGATGAGTCCAGAAATCAAATGTACTACCACAGTAAAGAGGACATGAACCTCAGGGCGTGCACGCTGAGCTAAACCAACATCCACACTTATCCCAGATTTAAAGGAACATTTCAACAATTTAAATCTAACTAAACACTTCAATCCACACTCACACACGTGCACGCACACATGCACACTCACACAGAGGCTGGGAGAGGTCAAGCCTGTTTGTTAGTGTACTTCCTGATGTCAAGGAGAGTTACTATTTGAGTGTGTGTGTATGAGTATGTGTATGGTGGGGTATAAGTGGGGGTGTATTTCCTTAATAAGGAGTTGTGTGTTGAGTCTCTGCTGAGGAGGATGATGATGATGAAGGTCTGCTCTCCTTTTAAAGCCTCAGTCCGTTCTGTGACTATTAAAGGGAATGTATGCAGTGCAAGGGGGGGCTGGGGGGGCTGTCAGCCTATCAGAGGCAGCGATCTCAGACTGAATGTTTATCCCCAGAGCTCGTTTTTCCATCAGCCCTCGAACACATCAGACCTTATATGGACACATTCCTCTCTCACTGGCAGACAGGCTCGCTCTACCACCTCTGTCTCCCTCTCTCCTTCATCCTCCTGTATGAACGTGTGTAATAAGGTGTGTTTGTGTGTGAAGATGTGGGTAATAGGGTGTGTGTTCTTTATTTCCTATTAAAGATCAGCTGAGGATGGGAGTCAGACAGGGTGCATTATGGGTAAAACAGAGGGGCTGCATCCTGTGAAGGACCCGGTCTTTGCAGGCTGTGCGGACAGTTCAGGCCAAACTGAGTCGAGACCATTTGGTCTGATCTGCATCACCAGCCGTCCCCACCCTTAAACTAGAGTCCCACGGCACCACCCCTGTTTACCAGCTATGGGGAGTTAGCTGACTTCCTAACATAGCTGGTGTCACGGCACTTAAAGAAGTAACTTTAAGTTTTAAAGCGTCTGTCTCTTTTAACATCTAGTTCTAACTGTATATGTTCGGCAGAGAAGGATGCAGCTGATACATCCTCTGCAGCAAAGTGAGACACATTTGTCAGCTGCATTTGGACAAGCATGAGAATCTTTACAGTGCTGCATTCAGTCTTCGAGTGTGGCCTACAGTGGATGGAGCAAGAGCACCTGGCTGCAGACACAGGGGAGCTCTGTTAGTGCAGGCCCAGTTTGACCTGAGTATGCACATGTGTAGTTGGATCTCTGCTGTCATCAGGAAATGAGGTGATCTTCAGGGTTGTCTTCATTGTGTCTCTTTCATACTTTAGATGGTCCAAAGACTTTTGAAGTTTGATAGTGTAACTTGCAAAGTCGAGAATCGAGTAGCTCCGTAAGTGATGCTTAGTTTGAGGTTTACCTACCAATCATGAACAATAACGGATGATTAAAACTGATCTGTTTAATGTTCTCTTGATCAAAATATCAACCATAAACAAAAATATAAACAAAAAACAGATAATGCAACAATTATGAACTTGCAGTTTGAATATCAAACTATGTCAAGAGTCTATTTACACTTTATGGTTATAAGGGACACAATGAAAGTGTGTCATGTCCTCTAAAAACTGAGATCCAAACAGAGGTCAAACTTCAGACCGAACACTCACTAACAGAGCTCCACTGTGTCTGCAGCAGCTTCTTCATGGATGAAACCTGCCAACACAGACAGATTATTTGGGGTCATATGATCATATTTCCTTTGTGTCTTCAGTTTGATCTAGGAAACCTCACCTGAGCTAAGGAGGCAGGCTTCACCTGAGGGGTGTGGCTTAGTACACACTCAGGAGACAGAGCTTCACCGAGGCTGAAAAGGCGGGTGCTTTTCCTGAGCTGAGGAGGCGGGGCTTCACTTGAGTGCAGGTATGTTCACATCAAACATGGTATGATGCTGACTGTGAACTGATTGGTTCATGAATTAAACTGATTAATTCACTCAACTCTTCACTCTTTTTGTGACTGTCTCTCTTGAAACCTGGCTGCATCACCATGGTAACTGGCACCACACTCCTCACCTGAACTAGGTTTCTGTTCAGAGTTTCAGCTTTAAATCATCCATTTACTGTGTTCATTTATTACCTGATGATGTTCTGTTTTATTCGTTAACACCCTCAGCTAAAAAAATAAAGACTAGACAAGCATTTCAAACTGTAATGTTACTTTAATAATCCTCAATTACTGTCCTCATTAGTCCTTTGAGGAGTAAAAGCATGATCACAGGGTCCTTGGATGGTGGATTATAATTTTAAATTCAGCCAGGATTGGCCAGTGCATCCTGAAATCTTCAACCATGATTGGTTATCTGTCTTACCTTTGATTGAAACCAGCAATCTGAGTTGTGGTTAACAGGCTGTTGGTAGTAGTCTTTCGAAAGTTCACACCAAGAATGAGTAAGCTTAAAGTTCAGTTTATGCAAACACATAAAAAAGAACTAAGTTCATGGTCCCAAAACTTGAAACTTTGAGACATGTGTAGCTATGATTTCTGACTGAATATATGACAATGTGTTTTGGGATGGTTTTCACGTCCTCTAAAAATATTAAAGCTAGAGGTAAAGAAACACTAAACAAACACAAAGATTGCATTATTCTCCAATATCAACAAAGCCAAACCTCTCTGAAACCATTTACATTTTTAGTTTGTTAGAATTAGTCCTGATGGGTCCATGAAACTACTTTAAATTTCCAAAAGAATTTGCTTTATCAGGATCTGAATTGTTTAAAGCAGCAGGTGCCATCAAGCCAACTTTGGCTGGTTGATGAGCAGCAAACTGAGCAGCTCAGTTTACCTAAATGTAAGTGTGTAGTATGTTCATGCACAACACTGGTGTGTAGCTTTTTTGTGTTTCTATGCAGCATTTTTGTTAAAACTTTTCAGTGTGACTTTGAGGAAACAAGAGAGTAATTTCTTTTGATTATTTTCTATATGAAGTTTAAGTAGATGTGGTTGGTGGAGATACTGTCCTTGGTTTGAGTTTAACTCCTTCTGCTTACCAGCCTGGGCACCCTTACCAAAGTCAGGGTTCCAGTTTGTGCCCCTCAGTCTAAAAAGTCTGGACCCACCATTTTTTAAGCCTGGAAAAAATATCTTTTAAAATCCAGATATAATCTGGTGGTTTAACAGTGAAAACATAGTCAAAGTGATTGGTCTATTGGTATTTGTCAAATAAAATCATTAAAGACTTTTCAAAAGTGATTTTCTGTGTGTAAACAGGAGGTCCTGAAAGTGTCACACATTGAAATCAATAAATAAATCAAATGATCAAAAACTATTCAGCCAATAAGTTTGTGATGGAGATGTGTCACATCACATGATAGACATGCCTTTTTCTGTGAGCATGCTCAGTGAAGCAGGCAGCCTGAGTAAACATAGACAGATGACAACCAGCTTCATTTTACCTGAGATCTACCTGCAGCTTCAGGGTTTAATCCAGATTATCAGAGACCGAGGTGATGATGATCTGACCTCATGGTTCAGACATGACTCTCCACGCTCTCATCATGTTTCCCCCTGAAGGAGACACTGATTGTGTTTGTTATTTTCACAGTTTGATCAGCTGATCATCAGCCTGGTGATGAAGACTCTGTCAGCAGCTATTCATCATGTGACGTCACACAGGTGTGTATCAGTCTGGTCTCTGTAGCCTCCCTCTCTGTAGCCCTCGGTGCAGTGCTGCATCTCTGGTCAGTTGGTAGTCTGAGATGAAGCACTGTAGCTCGGGACACAGGACTACACCTCCATAGCATCTGCAGGTCTAGAAGTCTAAAGGTAAGCAGGTCTACAGAGGAGCAGGTCTGCCGGTAAACAGGTCTACAGGTAAGCGGTGCGTAAGTTAAACAGGTCTACAGGTGGGCATGTGTGTGTACTAGAGGCCCAGAAGTTTTTTCATACTTTATTTGCAAGACTTCTGAAAAAAAAAAAAAACTAATTATTTTGTTATTTTGTTTTAAAGCTCCAGTAAGTAACATTTGGTTTGGTTCAATTTTGATGTTCCCCGTGAATGACGCTGTCTTTGCTTATCTTGTCCGTTAAGGTTCTTCAGTATAATTTGACAAAAAAATCTCATCCTGCTGACTTTTGACAAACACATCATTTATGATTATAATATAAATATAATAATGAGGACAACAATGATAATGGCACTGACAATGATTGTCACAAGGGCGATGATGATGGTGATGAAGATAATGATGAAGATGGCTCCTCCTCTCTCCTAGGGTCCAGTTTTCCCAGGAATCCCTTGACCAAATAGAAACGGGGATTCCTGGAAATACTGTTCTTGGGGGCGGGGCTTTTCAGCATTTCACTGAAACTCTGAGTTTACATCATGTTGGTTAATCTGTGTGAGTTTTTGTGTGCGTGTTTGGGGGGTCCTCTAGAGGCTGTCTCAGAATAGAGTCGATCCTGTATTCCTGTATGCTGTAGAATTATTGATATCTGATGTAGTTTTGTCATATTATCTTTGTCCCTATCATTCATAACTAGTAACCTTAGTATCTCTTATCAATAAAACAAAAAAATCCTACAGAATGATCAAGGCCAAACTGTTTATGCACCAGGTTGTAAAAATGTTTTCCTGCTCCGAAGAGATGCTTTTTAGAGTGGGTGTGTACCTGGCTTCCAATGCTTTTGCAGTCAGCCCCTGGTGGACACTTGAGGAACTGCAATCTTCAGCACTTCAGTAGTGGCCTCTGATTTCAGACCGGAGGTTGCTGCTAAGTCAATCCCCATCACTCTCTATGTAAAAATGTCAGACTTCACAACAAAAAATAAACATGTTTGCAGCCTGGTACAGTAGTAGTTTGGGTCTCTGCCGTTTATTTCTTTATTCATGTGAAGAGTACAGTCTGAATTTAAAGAAAATCCACCCCCAACTTCACCTCTAAGCCTGTTTCCAGATCAGCAGGAAGTTATTTGGAGTTTCATTATGGCGAACTCTTCAGAAACAAACCAGTGGCGGCACTGAGACTACGAACAGGTTTATATGGTCTGTGGTAACTACTCTGTAACTGTGTAGTAATGTTGTGTACTGTTTATTTTTGTGTACAATGTTTATGTGTTTGTGCTATGACATGTTGCACCCCCTCCTCTCTCCTCAGGTGTGTAAGAAAATCAATGATAAGGATTCAATAAACACAAAAAACAATAAATGACTGCTCATGTTGTGAATATCTGAACACTGAAGATAAAAACAAATTCATGAAATATAATTATTCCATGCTAATATTGATGAAAAAGTCCTGAGTCAGAGTTTCATTAACATTAACTGTGCAAAGGAAGTGACGACGATCATAAGAGTGTTTGATTCTGCAGAAATACTCTAATGTTTGACCACTAGGAGGAGCTGTTTCTCACATGCACTCACGCTTTTACACAGTCCATATCATAGACGTTATGTATGTATGTGAACTATGGACAACTTGGTTCCGCCTACCGCCTGTATACGGATTTGAAGCCAAAAAGCTCTCTGTATTTCCGGGATTTTTCTTCATTTCCTGAAACCAGCGCTGCGCAGTAGCGATGCGCGCAGTTGGCCGCGCAGTCGCTGAGAGTCGCTGTGTTGACGCTCGTCTCAAACAGCGTATCCCTCGGGTGAGCTACACAATCCCTGAACGCCAATAGGCTGTATCAGGTGTCAATCATAGAAAACATGAACCCCCCTAATAACTTTTCAAAACAGAGCTTCACAGAAAAAAAGAGGACTTGAGCACAAACCAGTCTGACAATAACTACATGTCAACATCACAATCAGGGGGGAGAAAAATTTATATTCTGTGTAATAAATTTCTAAAGTTTGTCCACAGCCCCGTATGCTTTGCTGGCGGAGGCGGGATTGATGACATATACTGCAGCCCGTCAACAGAGGGTGCTGTTCTCTGAGTGGCTTCACCCAGCGAGGAGGCAGACTCTGTCCATTCTATATATGTCTATGGTCCATATAAAATGTCATATAAATCAATAATTGCACAGAGCAGACTAAGACTGACTCTGATTGGCTGGTAAGGTTGCCACTCATCACTGAGACCTCTTGAATGACAGCATGTGACAGCACTAGCATACTGTTAATCTTAACACTGAACCATCAAACTGCAGCTTCATTATACCCCAGTTCTTTTAATATCTGTATAAAATGGAAATAGCCCATAAGCAACACAATGTTGGAATGTTCATAGGTTTATGTCCTGAATAAATTAAGTATTATGATTCTGAAAATAAGCATCATGCTTCAGTTTGGACATTTGCTGTAGTACTTGCACAAATTTTAATTAAAATAGGGAGTGAATAAAAATCACAAAACCAGTTTTTTTTATCATTTAGCTCTGCCACTTACACAACTATCAAGAACTTCAAGTCTTTGCAGTGACTTATTGTACCAAAAGCTATCAGTGTAAAGCAGTTAGTTTGTAACTTAAGTTGTCATTGTTTGGTGCACCATTGAGTGTTCATCTTTACTAGAAGAGCGTAACATAGGAACAAACCAAGATGGTTGTTGTTTTCCCTCTATTTGGCCAGTCAGTAAAAAGCTCTTTTCTTGAGGTGTTTGAGTACAGCCTGTCATGATCAAGTGGTAGCTTTTTGAGGATAGGTGTAAACTGCCAAAACTAATGCTATCATCTAATAGCAGTTACCTTCCTTCTGCACATATATGCTGTTAAAATTCCAGGGCAAAGTCTGTTGATCACAGGACATTTCAGACAGTTTGGATAAATGCGTATCATGGACTGTTCATGGACAAGAATTTATGACCATGAAGCCAAAAGGTCTAGAGCTCCCCCTGCTGACTGTCCAATGTACAGACCATTAGCCCCTCCTCTTCAATGTTAACTACTTAGGCAGAGGCTAAACTATAAAAAAATAAAACAAAATAGAGGCATCAAGTTGGCTGAGTTAGTTCTTATTGTGCTGATTTACATCCAAGTGTGAATTTTAGTTTTAAGTATTTCCTTCAAAAAATTATGGCGGTGGTATAACTGACAGCTCTGTTGTCCAATAAGGCTCCTGCTATTTTCCCTGTATTGTCAAAGAAAGGGCGAACCGTGAGAAGAAACGTAACACTGACGCAAGCCCACAAAAGAACCTATGCTGCTGTGGACTCGGATCACCTGAGGGAGCTTTGACGATTCATCTGTGGGTTTAATGTGTTTTTTAGTTTAATTTTCAAAGGTGTATCAGCTACACCACCGCACATGCATGGACAGTCTTTGGACAAGGCTCACAATAGGTGAACATTGTCTGTCATTTACAGTCAGAGGTTTAGACATGTACGACACGTTGATTCCCAACCACAATATCCAGGTATGTCTGTCCCACTTTGAAAAGTTCTATTTGATGTGATTTTAACCGGACTAACTTTTTCATAAGCATTCTACAAGTCTGGTTTTAGTCAGAACATCATGCAAACATACAGACAGTCAGTGTGAGTATGTTGCAGTATAATACCAGGAGCTGCACAATCAGTGTGTATGTAATGCAGTATAATAAGTGGAGTCTGGAAGTGAGAGTTCTGTCATGTTTTTATTTTTGGAGAAGACCATAGGTTTTACAACAGATTTAATAATAATTGAGAGCTCTAAAGAGAGAGGGAGAGTCATTCTACCATCGACTGTTGCCATCGGCTGCTTATATCGTCAACAGGCAAACTCCTAATCACCATAGAAACAAAAGAAAACAAGAAAGAAATCCAACATCTCTGATTTAGTAAAGAACATCCAGGGTTGCATCATTCAATTATTCAGAAACAAAAGGGTTTAACATGTCTTACATTTGGAGGGGAGTAAAAGGAAGGAAGGGGTGTTTCCATGGGGGAGAGAAGAGAAACAGAGGGGAAAGGGAGTGGTTACCTGTCCTTCTTCTTACCTCAGTCTCATTAGAAATCAGACAGACACCTGGGCTGGGGGAGGATGTAAAGGGGGAGGAAGGTGAGTGTTTGTCTGAGGGGTTTAGGGGGTTAAGTTGGGTGGGGGTGGGTTGGGGGTCAGGGGGCTACAGCCTCCTCATCAGAAACAACCTGCCCTCACTGTGTTTGTTTGGAGTGCAGATTCTTTATTTACAGGTGAACGTTCAGCACACACATCATTTTATGAAGGACACACACACGCCGTCTGTCTCCGTCCAGGAAGAAACACCTGTTGGTCCTGGTAACCAACACCTGCTGCACCTCTGCTCAGGGGGGGAGGGGGCGGGGCGGGGGACTCACACCTCAGAAACCTGCAGAGACAGAGAAGTATGAAGTCAGTGTACGAGTAACAGTCCCACCTTGGACACTTGCCTGAGGACACAGAGAGGAGGAGAAAGGTCAAGGGGTCAGTGTGTTAGAGGATAAATTAGGAGAAGAAACAGGAGAAATGCAGGAACGAGAGCTGTACCTGACAGGAGGAGGTGTAAAAAGCAACAGATGGTACTGGATTTTTATGACAGAAACACAGTACCACAGTGATCTGATCTGAGGGTAGGTTAAACTAGAAGTCCCCAACCACCGGGCCCCGGACAACAAAAAAATAACGATCATTAAATAATTTTTTTCCTTCCTTCTGGCCATCCTTCCAGTATCTTATTTTGATAGACCACCACAACACTTCCGCCATCGCCAGAAACAGAGTTCACTGTAAATGAGAAAGGGTTGATTCTGCATTATGGTGAGTTGATGTTAAAGTGTAATAAAAAAGTGCCTAATATAAATTGTAATTGTTGTATCCAGATTAAATACTATGTACTGATTAAGGTTTTTGTTATTGGAACCTCCACGCCCCTACCCGGTCCTTGGAAAAAAGTTTCCTGCATGAAACTGGTCCCTGGTAAAAAAAAAAGGTCGGGGACCACCGGGCTAAACTACAGACCATCAATTGGTCCAAGAAAACTACTGATCACACCTGTCAGTCACACACAGGTAAACAACACCTGATCAACCTTTGATGGATGGCATTCAACATCATTCAGTCAGTCAGATACAAACCTACACTCCATCTTTAGTGTTCAGACTGTTAAAGACACACTTCACACACTCTGCATCACTGTGACCCTTACTTAAGATCCCCACCCACCCTGAACAGGTACTCTCAGCAACAAAGTACAGGGATACGGGCTTCAGGTCAACCAAGCTGATGCTGTGTCTCACTAAGCTCAGGGATAAATCATTAAATCTGTTACTGTCAGCCGTGCACGCACGCACACAGTCAGTACGTTAACATGGCACTCAAGAAAACCGAATTATTGCCTTACTCTGATTAAGATTGGACAACTGAAGTGCATGTAAAACACCTAAGTCCGACTGTAAATGTAGGTAGAGAACTGTGATTGGAGTCGGAGAACTCCGATTATGGCTTCCAGATAATGTGATTGGAATTCGATTTTCTCTACCATGTGACCAGCATAGTCGAAGTATGATCGGACAATGCATGTGCGCCATGCCTCTGTAACTCCAGAACAAAAACACTGGGGAAGAAGTGGCACAATTATTTAAAGAACTTTCGACTTAAAAGCAACTGCAACATGGCTGAAGCACGAAAGGACGTCCACTTTTGGAACAACGAGGAGAGTGCCATTATGCTTTCCGTCCTGACAGAAATGGACAATTGAAAGTATATGGATGGTCGCAAAACGAGGGTGGAGACATCTTTAAAAAGGGTCTGGAAAAAGCACAGCTGAAAAGACCCATATTGCCCCACAGTTTTGGGGAGGAGGACACGTTCACATCAATAATTATATTTTCTCAGCTGCATGTATACGTGGACAAGGAGAGAAGTCTGATTCAGTAAAAAAAACGAATTATGAGCTTAGTCTGATTGAGCTGTGCAGGTAAACGCACTGAGTGACGCAGGTCACTATAGTTCACTGACAGACACACAGTAACACAGAATAACACTTCATGTTTCCAACAATTGACTGACTACAGAAATAAATCTATCCTTTATACTGATGTGCTCAAAATGTTAGCTTTAAAAATCTAACAGTAAAGGGTGTTCAGAAAGCTTGGCAGGTTAGCGCAGCCCACATATGGGTACCATGGTCCCCACAGCCATTGGTGTTTTGAGTCCCAGCCCCGACCATTTACTGTGGGTCTAGCGCTGTCTACCTTCCTGTTTCTCTCCACTTTCCAATAATTAATCACAATCAATGCAAGTAGAGTTTGTATATCAACATCTCTTAATCTGAATGTGTGGGTGTGTTTTGCAGCTTTTGTGCAGCCCTTCCATAAGTTACAACAGGCACAGGAGTAAATGTAAAGGGTGGATGGTTTTGTCCTCTCAGATCACACTAATGTGAACAGGATGTCCGATGTTTTTGCTTTAGATCTGCATTAGTACACTGCAGTTTGTGTAATGAACTGATTTACACTAATTCAGCAGCTGCCTCGAGCTGTAATTATGAACAACGCTGCAAGTGCACCAGTCTTTACAAATGAAGCATAAAGTGTGTCTATAAAGTTCTGAGCTTGTTCATGAGTTGAAGGATACATTACATTAAAACCTCATGAACTTTTGGAAGAGCTAATGCAACACAATGGTTAGCATGTTCCTATGCAATTTTGACTGAAAAGTTGTTTTCAATGAAGTACAGATTGCAAACCATCAAAACTTTCTTTTTCTTATAATCTTCTCAACAGTGTACTGACTTTTAGGATATACCTTGCAGATATATATCAAGCCCACTAGATGAGCAGCTAGCTACAGATCAGAAAAAAGCACAAACTCTTTTGTCATGAAAGTGTGATGCTAGTTTCCAACCAGAACATGGACTGTGTGTTTTTGCACACCTGAGTGAGGATGGCATCAGTTTAGACAGAACTTTCAACAGTGATAGAATTCAAAAGGAGTGTTTCACTGATTTATTTTGATATTGGGGGCATGGCTAGACTGGCCCCTCCCACCCAGTTTTATGGCAGATGAACAGTTAAATGTCCTTCTGCTTCAACCCACCTGTATTCATTATAAAATTCATGTTACAGATAATTTGTATGATTTATTCTAAACTGTTAGGAAGAAGGATCTCACCTGTACATTACCTGTGTAAAAAAAAACAAACACCTGAGCAGAGGACACCTGAGAGGCCCTTAACAGATGAGGCTCACACATCTAAACTTCACTGCAGACAGACTTTGACAGATCCACACCAAAATAACAAATCAAACCTGCAGAAGTTGTTTCCAGCACTGGTGAGCTGTATTTGTATTAACAGGTTTTAATATTTCTCTCAAATATTTCTCTGAATATTTCATGAGCCCATCTGAATGTGGGTGGGTAGAGGGCTGGGTTATGGTTTATACAAAGGACTCTGCATCTTGATGTGTTTTGAACATTTTTAGTGTCAGTCTTTGACCCATGGTGTGAATATCCCAGAAAACAGTCCACGGTCAGAACCATTGACTTCTTATTCAAATGGATGTCACACTTGATAACAGAAGCTCTAATTTAACTGTCAGAGGTTGGAAAGTTTTGCCAATCCAAGGGTAAGTTATAAATCTGACTTTAAAAAAAACCATAATTCCTGTAGTTTTGTGATTACACAGACTGTGCGTATGTGTGTGTGTGTGTTTGTCCTCTCAGGTATCTGCAGACACAAACAGAAACTTGGTCAGGTTTATTTTCACAGATTTACAAACCTCACAACAAGTGAATATTTTCCATCTTAATTCATATTTTAGATGCATTGTATTTAGGGCACCAGGCCTTTATATGAAACAGGATTTTATTAGGATATAGGCCTTTATTTCAAGTCCTATTTTTAATACATTTTCTTCTATGCCAGCACTTCAAAGCTCTTTAACAACATACCAGAACGGTGTAATCAACAATCATCAAAAGTATGACGTCTACTTTTGAAGTCCAAAACTCCAGACCACAAGTTCAATCCAGGAGATTCACATCCTTGAAAAACGCATTTCAGTGGAAAAACGTTAACTCCCTTTGAGCTCCTCCACTTCAAACCTTGCTATGCAAAGGCACTTAAAATACGATCAGATTTCAGATATCAGATGAAATCATGAAATCAAGTTAACTGTTGAAAATCTGATAATCCAGTCTGTGGTTTTTATCCTGATCAGAACCTCCAGTTTGTTTTGGTTTAACATTTGAGTAGGGTCATGATCAGGTTAACCTAATTACCAGCAGAGGCCTGGACTCAGGCTAGACTATAGGAACCACATGAAGAATTTAGTTCCCTTAGAAGTGGATCTCGGTGCCCCCTAAAGTATGCAGTATCACATCCTTCTGAGAGCTCTGGTAATCTTGAGCTGGTACTCTTTACGAGCCTGTATAAGGATCAGATTCACATAATCCAGATTTTCTATGAAAACCCAAGATATAAGTAAAACCTGGACAAAAAAACAAGAAAAACAAATGGGTTCCTGATATGGATTACACCCAGACTTTTACTGAAAAGGTTCCAGTAGCAGAAGTTATCTCAGGAAAATAAACTCATAATTAAAAGTTTTGTTAAGAATTTGAGAACAGTCTAAAACTGTGCACTAATATAAATCAGATCCTCATCCTGCTGCCAGAAACACTGATGGCCCTCTCTTTAGGATCCAACTTTTCTGATACATGCAGAGAAGCAACAAAATCTAAATGCTAGGCTACTAAAACACTGCTAGATATTTACACCACCAGTAGATGACTTTTCAGTGATGTGTCATTCACAGAGGCATTCAGGTAGGGACAAGTCTGTCCACCTCTGACATCCACCCCTTAGACATCCTAACAACAATGGTTACAATGGCAGAATAGGGGGATGATGAAGCTGATGTGTAGTACCTAATTAGATGACATTTCAAATACAACATTAAATAATCTTATTTCCTGTTGGCCTTTAAAATTTGAGCTTGGCACACATTCATTTGTTTAATGTATTTAAAAACCTGTTTAAGCAACAACTTAACACTGCAGAATTCCAAGACCTGTAGTCTGTATACGCTCTTATAAAAAGAAATTTACAAAACAAACTCAGGTCTCACAATTCAGAATTACTTTTTTATGGCAAGATGATAATTTATGGTTTCTGTAGAAGTTGGCCTTTTTTAAGTGGAATTTCGATTTGGATAAACAGCAAGGTCACAGAAAAGTTTTGTGGCAGACAAGAGCGTCCTGTAGCCATAGATACTAGAAAAGAGAGAGAGCAAGACAGGGAGTGAAAGAGCGAGAGAGACAGAGAGCAAGACAGAGAGAAAGAGAGAGCAAGACAGGAAGCGAGAGGGAGGGAGAGAGAGAGAGAGAGAGCAAGACAGAAAGAGCATAAGAGGGAGAGAGAGAAAGAGCACAGATTTACTAATTGTTTGTACATCTACAGACATCTGGACCTCAGTGACATTAAAGTTGGATGATCATCATGAGAACACGTGGACACTAGGCATGAGTCCTAACTGGATTATAGTCGATTAGCACAATATTATTAGGGGTAATGTAAGCTAGTGGCTAAAGGAGTGTGGCATTTTAAAGTGCATGTATAACCCACTGATAAAGACAAACAAACATGACTCACTGCTGCTCATTTCAAACCACAGGCTGCCGAGTTCAAGCTCAAAACAAACATGAGCATGAACATAAACAACTGGGGGAAAAAATCCTCATACTTCAGCCTGCAAATGCCCTACTTATTTAACTGTGCTGTTGCAGATATGTATCTTAGTGAAAATGTTCAGTTTTTACTACCACTGCTACTTCTACTACTATTGCTGATGGGGGCTGGGATGCCATTGCTGTGGACTGTAGTGGGTCTGCTTTTGCTCTCAACAAACTGTTTTTCCCACAGACATCATAGCCTGCTGATAACCGATTGCTCAACAGTACTCAAACTAGAATGCAGTACAAACAAAAGCACAAAACTTCTCAGACTGAACTTCAGACCTCTGAGTGCAGACCCCACATTAAAATGTAGAATCTGTGACTCAGATGTGATTATTCTGATTATCAAACAGGTAGCCTCCACCTGCTGTCCAGGTGTCCAACCACCCTCACACAGAGAGAATCAGAGTTAGGGTAAAGGCTGTAGAGGAGTGTTAATACAGACGGACAGACAGACAGACAGACGGACAGACAGTGTGGGATTAAAGCAGAGAGCCCGTCGTCCAGCCCCAACACACCAACAGAAGAGCAAGGCAGCAAAGTTAGTAGTCAAATTCCCCAAGGACGTCTTTGCTTCTGCAAGACAGACCAATTGTGTCTGATTTTTTTTTGGATTTCTTTGGGTGTGCCTCCTCGGAACAATGAAGATGGTAGTCTTCATCATCCAGCAGGAACAGACTTAAGAATTTTTCATTTCCAATCAGCTGTTTTTACTCTTTTTATTTTTTTTTAAATATATATCTGGGCTGTGGGTCAGGGAGTCAAACGATCTCTGATGGTCCTAAATACACGAATAATGAAACAAGCAATTGGTGTCTGTAAAACGTCGCTTGGCTGTTTGCTACTAACCTTTCATGTTAGGCTTGGGTTTGTCAGTTTGCTTGCCTGTGGGGGTTTGTGCCTGCTGGCCCTGGCCCCCGGAGGAGGCCCCCTGTTGGGCTGCTTTCTGTTTCAGCATGGTCCAGTCAAACGTGTAGTCATACTGATGGTTCAGAGTCCTGTAACACACACACACACACACACACACACACGCACATGCGCGCGCGCGCGCGCGCACACACACACACACACACACACAGAAAATGTTTACATCAATCAGCTGTTTACAGAGGGAGAGCAGGGTGAGGGTAGAAAGAACGAGGAAAGAGAGCAAGAGATGAGGAGGAGAGGGGAGAACAGCAGAAATTAACTTCCCTTCCGTCAGGTAACAGGAATCAGTCTATTATTTCAATCACACCATGGGTTGTGTAGTCACTCTATATCACAATATAAGTTTACTTAATTTAAAAAAAAAATCTGATTAATAATTAGATTTTTTTTAACTTCAGACTATTCTTAAGCAAGATGATGCAAAGTTTAGTGGAAGCTGAAAGTCATAAATAAACCTATGTAAGAGTGAAGGCTGTAACAGCTGTCTGGTTATCATTACCAGAGTAACGGACAGTATTGCTCCTCCTATCATGACCAACATTTGCTGTTGCAAATGACACAGTAAAGAGCATGACACAGTATGTGTTCATTTTCAAACATCTTCAAGCAGCCCAAAATCTCCCCATGCGAGTATGTGTTTTACTCGCAAGTAGTTGTGTAGACCTTCGTTCCTGTCTGATGCTTTTTGTTTACATCTGCACACAGTTACCACAACCACGTTAGTAAAACTAACCGAGGGACCGGGATTTCAAAGAATGGTTCACACTAATTAAGTAGCTGCCGAAAGTCTTTTTTGGACAATGACCATTTGTAGCAGGTCTACCTGTTGCTGTTAGCAGCTGATCAGGACAGTGTCATGTCATGTAAAATAGAGGTTTGTTATGTTGTTGCAGTAATACCAAATGACTCGTGACTTTGTTTTCCATCTTGCTAACAGTGGGTATCGTTTCTCCCTGCCTGTTGGTCTTGAACTACATGTGGTTTGGTTTCTACTGCCATTGTTGCACCAGCGCCACACTATCTGCTTCATTGTCAATTTTGTAACATGTGGATAACTGTATAGTATCAGATAGCATCAGATAACTGTATAGTATCCTATCGATATTTTGAGCACAGCCCTAGTGTGTGTATGTGACTCTATATAACTGTATACCTGAAGAGGATGCGGAACAGCTGGCGCAGGTACATGTAGTCTGGAGCCTCCTCAAAGCGCAGGCCACGGCAGTAGTTCAGATACATGGCAAACTCTGCTGGGAAACCCTGGAACATGAATAAAGAGCATCAATCTGCGTGTAGATAGATAGATAGATAGATAGAGAACTTTATTAATCCCCGAGGGGAAATTCGGTTGTTGTAGTAGCCGATACAAGCAATAAGTGTGTTTGTAAGAAGAGCGATACCTGTAAGGTGTGCCTCTGCTAATCTTACCTTACAGAGGACCTCCACAGGGGTAGACATCTTCTTCTCTGAGATCTTCTCATACTTCTGCTTCTTTGTGGCAGCCTAAAGCACGCACACACAAATAGACACACAATAAACTGATATGAAAAGAGAAAAGGGCCTACTCTGAAGCAACAGGTCTTTTCAGGTGTGTTTCTCACCTTTAGTCCTTGCCAGGGCAGACTGGTTCTGTTGAAATACATCAGCACGTAGCCTAGTGACTCCATGTCATCACGGCGACTGAAAACAACAACAGAGACAGCTGTTTAGTCAGCAATTTGAACATGAGTGTATACACTGAACCCATGGCAGGTTAAACTGAAATTCGTGGTGTCAGGTCTGTCTGACCTCTGTTCGATGCCCAGGTGTGCATTGATGGAGGCGTAACGTGCAGTGCCGGTTAGGTTCTTGTCTTCTCTGTAGGGGATATGCTGTCGCGTTCGGTTGTCTCGGTACTTCTTTGCCAAACCAAAGTCAATGAGGAACAACTAAGAGAGTGAGAAAGAGACAATATAGCACAACACAGGTGAGTAACCTGTCTGCCAAAACAAGATTTATTTCAAGACTTTATGCTAACAAAATTCATGTGATGTGTTTACACACAGACACTAAGCAGATCCCTGTGTTAATGCATGAGTGTTAGGAACATTCTACTGGCTGAAGAAATCATCAAACCATGACATGATAAAGCAGCTATATTAACTCAATCATGACCTCACTGTCTAACCAAGTCAAAACAGACAGCCTCCACTCGGAAAAATGTGTGCTACATTTTGTTCCTTCACTGTTTAGTTCATCATTGAAGGTTGTTAAAAGTGATCTGAAAAAAAATAACAGTACTATCTGTGCTTCAAAAAAAAAAAAACAAACAAAAAAAAACCGCAAAGGCAGAGAGAGCTCAGACATTACTGCACAAGTAACAAGTTAGCATATACACACAGCGGTGCTTGAATTAAGCCACCTGCTACAGACAGGTGTTTTTGTTCAATTTTTCTGGTGAACTTGCTAAAACTACTGGTGTGTGTGCGTTTCCCCCAGTCCTTGTGTCACATGCTAATGTTTACAGTGAAAGTGGCTCTGTCATTTGGCTGGACTGTATTCTTCCTCTTGGTTTGATGTTGGGTGATAACACTGAGTGGATGTATTCACATGCGTAAATGCATCTCTTTGGGCTTTTAGGGGGTTTAGGGGAATTGGCTTTGAGCTAGAATAGGGGCACAACTGTGATATCTATCTCCATAACTCACTTGTTTTAATGTATGTGACTGTAAAAAATGTGATTTAAGAAAGCAGGATAAGGTTGTGAGACTTGTAGTTCAAATACAAGTCTTTATATACAGGGTTAATGAAAACATCAATTAATGTTGCTCCACTAAACCTTAGTTCATCATTCAGTAACAAATGCAAAATGTATCCCACTAATTCTTTCCACCCAAAGTCCACCCATAACAACTTTAAAAATTCAGAACACAACAATAACCTGTCTGACCATGTAAACAAAACTTCAAAATGTAGAGGCTTCCTAAGGGCAGAGTTTCTGGTGGAGTTGCTGTATTAGGTTGCACTGTGTTATAGGTATAGGCCATTTAAAAACTTCCCCAACTTATCCCGTAGATGGCGCAGCGACCTAATGACAATCTTCATCCACTAACTACCTCGCAGCACAGCAGAGTGACGCAGCACGGAGACAAAAAAATCCATATTGCTCTGCCCTAATACAAAATGACATAATTTCAGGATAATACACTTACTACTGCCTCTTTTTTACACTAAATCAGCCTCCCAAATCATTGCTGCACTTTGCACAGAAAACGATCTCAAACTAATAAACTAAAATAAACTTGTGAAGTAAATATGAAAATCCTTCTCTTTTACATTAAACACCATTACACAATGCTGTTGGTTAAGATACGGGGCAGTGGTAGATTCTGGAATCCATGCTGGCAGTAGAACAAAAAAAAGGTTCATTTTCAGCCCGGCTACACGCTCCCACAGAAAATCACACAGACAGCTACTGTGATCATTGACTGATGTTACACAGAGTGAAGTTTGATCTCATATAAAAGAGATGTTAGAGATGATAACTGCAGCATCCTTATAAATCTGTCATTCAGGTGTCCTCATGAAAAATGTGTTATACAGGTGTTCTCATGGTAAAGTGTGTGTCATGTGATCACTGAACTGCAACAACATGTTCTCTAAAAGGTCTTTTCAAATTTCACGGTACAGATCTTGTTTCCATGACAACAAATAAATATGGTCATTCTGCACTGGAGACGTTGTAACCTGTCAAAGTTCAGCAACACTAATAGTGATCTAGAACCTAAGCAAGTGTCCACAGATACAAGTTCTTGACATCCAACGATCATAGTGTTACAAAAGCTGAGTGTTCACACTCACTGAGACAAGGAGACACCAGGTACCACACAACTGTCTAAACATATGCTCTCTCACACACACACACACACACACACACAACTCTGACTGATCCCCTTTAACAACCGGCACCACGTCACTGCACACTGTCACCGTGGCTTACTTAGTATAACTAAAAAGGCCAACTATTGCACCACCTAGAGGCTACTTTGTGAGCTGCAGGAATCTCATCACTTCCTCTTACTGAAATCATTTACCTGCCTTGTGATGTGCTTCATTCAGAGACACCAGGAGGGACAAGATGCTCCTGCTCTCAATAAACCTGGACATCCCTCATCACTGCCTAAGGTAATTATTCACCTGCAGTCAGTGTGAATTAATGGCTGACCGTTTAAGACATCATGCAGCATAGCATCACATTTTAAACCAAACACACATCTAGTTTCAGTTTCACAGGGTCAAACAAACAGAGCACATCAATATCACATCTGATGTCTGTGCAGCACAAGCAGCAGCAGTCAGCGGGGAAGGCTAATTCCTGGAGGTTTGTGTGATGTTTACTTGGGCCTGAGCAGTGTGTTAGTTTTGTCTCTAAGCTAAGTCAGGTATTAAAAAGCAGAGGCGGGGTTTTGTGATTCTCACTGCTAACCAGCTGCATGATGAAGCATGTGAGGCTTATGCTAATGATGCTAATGGTAGATGAAAATGTGAAGCATGTTAAAGCTGTAAACATTAAACTGAACACAGAGGAGTTGAAGAATGTGTCGTTATACTGCTGGGCCAGGGATCTCCACAATTAAACAGTGAGTATCTGACAGTTAAGAACATACTTGAATACAATATTTCACTGTTAGGGAGAGATAAACCGGATGTGGTCTAATACTGGAGTCAGCTTTCAGGGAAGAGTTGAGTTTACGGCACATTTCACCTGCTATTTGAACCTGGATACATGGCTTACAGAGTGCTATGAAGTAAATCCAGAGAGACTTTCCAGACTGGCAAAGCTGACATACAAATAACATAAGAGCCTTCTGATTGTGTATTTTCTGATTGGACTGGCTATGAACTGATTATGTGCAAAACTGGCCCTCAGCTGTTTATATAAAGCACTTTTGGCCTTACATGACTACACGGCCAGGGAGATTACTATACGCCTGCCCTGCATGCATGCTGGTGTCCAGTGCAATAAACTATATCCATCTCTGTGTTCTGCTTTCTAGGGATTATTGTCATTTATATCAATCATGTTGCAGTGGAAAATATATGATTTAAGGAGAAAAACACATTGGTATCATTTTTGGGACCAGAAAGAGTTTTGATTATAGTTAACATTTCAAAAAATCAGCTCAAAGGCATACGTTGAATTTGCATCACTAATAGGTATAACCCATTAAAATTGATAGGAGATCAGTAAATGCCCTATCATCAGTTCTGTGTGTGTGTGTGTGTGTGTGTGTGTGTATTTCACATTAAGCAGGTGAGCAGGTGATATGGGGGCAGGCAGTGGATCACACAGTGAATGTAGCTGCTGTTATCTATGTCTGAGTGTGTGTGTGTCAGAGAGAGAGAGAGAGAGTGTGTGCGTGTGTATGTCCTGTGGTTCATACTTTTAACTATTCCTTAAACTACAACAATCAACTTCTTTGAATAGCATATCTCTCACAGTACGTTAAGTTTAAATGCTCCCTCTCTCCCAACCTCCGCTCTTCCATGTCTCCTTTCCTTTCTCGTTTTCTTCCTGTCTCTTCTCCTCTTTATTTTTCTCTCTCTGCACTGTGATCCACTCTGCTCCTGCACATCTGTCTCAAACGCACCTGGCAGAACAAAGTCATTTTCCTGTCAGTTTTACAGTAAAGAGCTAACTCTTCCTCCCTGACATAGAAACAGAACGTACAGACATGTGTTGTTGAAGTATTGGTTTAAATTTATTGTCTCCTCACAGATCTGTTCTGACCTTCATTCCTCAACATATCAATACATTTGATTTATAGTAACAGCTAACCTGAGTTTCAGTCTGCAGGATACAGTTCGATACTGTTGGAGCTGATGTGTATTCTGTTTGATCTCAGTTATATTTATTATTCTAGGTCTAAACAGCGCCTCAAGCAGACAGACTGACTTGAATAGGAAGGTGATGAACCATTACAGTGACTGGGAGCTCTGGCTAAAACACATACACACACATACACACAGGCTCTCTGATATAAACTCTGCTCTCTGAGTCTGATGGATGTCTGCACTGTCTGTCTGCTCTGTTTCTCTACCACTGTATATATCCTCTCTTTGGGTTTTGATGGGTGCAGGCAGGATGCTGCTGGTCTGACTGGGAACCAGTGTGGTTAATATGACAGCAAAGCGGCAGCTGCTGATGTGGACAGCTGGTGTTGAGGTAAAGTCACACCTGGTTTAATCCTGAGAAAGATGGGTCCTGAGAAGAGCTAACAGCCAAGCTTCTTTTCCTCTTCCCCACTGACGAGTCTAAACACTGGGGGGGGCACACAGTAAAGGGGAGGGGTCTGTCAGTCACATTAGCATCAGTCTGCTCTCTGTCACACAGCTAACAGAGCCCCTCACCTGCACATGCACCTGAGAAGGTCATGTGGCCATCCAGAACAGAAGAGACCACAGGCTGTGGTCACCTCCTGTCAGGACAACACATGAACCTCCTAGTCTGACTGTGACAGAGAGCCAGAGCAGTCAGGTAACACACGGCCCATGAAACACCTGGAGAAAGGAGGAGGGGGCGTGGTCGTCCTTTATCCACCAGCAGAAATACAAATATACAAATGTTATCAAATTTTCTACAGATAAAGCTCTAGAACATGAAAACTTGAAATAATGCACTGTGTCAGGCAGACATTCATCTTTTTGCCAACTCAATGCACACCTGAGTTCAGGTGTGTGGATAAATTATAAATATAAATTGTATATAAAGTTAGGCCCCATGTTCAGAGAGAGAGCTACTGTCTGTGGTTTATCATGGCTTACACTCACACACAGGTAAACAGAGATTTACCACAGGTATTATAACTACAGTCGAGTAAGTACAGGAAGAAATGTGCAGGGATCTCGCATTAACATCAGTCTGGTGTGCTGGATTCTGAATCTCTATACTTTTATTTTTCAAGCATCAAAGTTCTGGACATGTTTCAACATCTACTGTGACGCAGGTGAGTATGTCAGCTAACAGAGGAGTTTGTGTGAATTTATTCAGTACTGTCTTGAAATAAACTTACCAAATAAATACAAACATTTATCATCTGAGAGTATACAAGACAGCGTCCAAATATAATCTGTCCAAAGATGAGGGCACAGGTGGCCCTCATACTTTAGTACTTTCAAATGTGTATCTGAAGCTGAGTAAGTTCTAAACTAAGTTCTACATTTCAGTGCTTACAAAATGAACTTTTCAACAGTACAGTTTCTGTCTCACAGCCTGATTTTACAAGTGTAACTGCATTTGGAAGTGCATTAGGCAGAACATATTGATCACACTGTGGGAGCTCCACTTCCAACACACACTCAGACATGCACACAGCCGTACTGGCTAAGACACACATTCACTTCTTTTCACCCATTACACCTCTGCTACCACCTCTCCTTGGCAGATCAGAGGTGAGACAACTTCACCCCACCATTATGCCTCTGTGTGTTACACATTACAGACAAGGAGTGACAGCTGTCAATGTGTCAGAGCCAACAGGCAGCAGCAGAGAGGATCCAACACATGCTCTTCATGGAGGAACTCCTTTCACAGCTCTTTGGCTTTATGCAGGATCCAAAATGTATGATGTTAATGTACCTATTGAGTGTAAACAAACATGTTCAGTTTTTAACTTCACTGAAAGGAGTAAACCTGACACAGGGGCTGTGTGGTGTTTTCAAGCCCATGATAGCGGCTAAGCACTGAGCTGAGCCTGAGGCCAACATGAAGCACAGCATGGAGACAGTATGCTAACAGTACTAATGGATACAAAAGGAGGCAACATTGCTTTCTAACCTGGTTGGGAAGTGTCTCAGTATTTGAAGTTGAGTTTGAAATGGGATGTTGAGCAATTTTATTGAAGTCTGCATTTGGTGGGTGACTTATTTTCAACTCTGACACACAAACACACACACACACACTCTTTCACTGATGATTGAAAATGAAATTGGATCTGATGATGATGGTCTGTCAAGCATCAATCTGAAAACTTTTTAATCATTATGAAACACTAGGTAGGAAGTCCTTTAATTACACCTAACTAGATATCTTTATCAGATCTGCATGATATATGGAGCAGTCAAGATTACTACATTGTGCGTACTAAGACATTTAACCATAAAACATCAAAATGGTGTCAGTGTTGTTTGATGTCTGTCAGCTAGGTCTGAACCGCGGGTCTTTAAGTGTTTGTTGTTCTGTGAACAAATTGAGATCACTGTTTCAAATATTCATCTGAACATAAAACACAGATTCACACTTTGTCTCTGCATCATACACTGCTAACACACACACACACACACACACACACACACACACACACACACACACACACACACACACACACACACACACACACACACACACACACACACACAGCTTTAGGTGTATCACGCGGCCCTGTCTTAAAATGCTTAATTAATTGAGGATGTCGGCATACAGTATGCAGACACACAGTCACCAGTCACACCTCCTTACACAGTAATCTGTTTCCCATTCTGACACATACAGACACACACTGTCACGTTGAGTTTGAGCAGTCAGACCTGTTCAGACTCAGCATGCTACGTTCAGACTCGTTTGTTCGAAAGCAAGGTGTGGCCCGAGTCATTCCACATAACGAGTTTCAGAGTGTTTGACAGACTCTTCGTGCTAAAATCTGTAACTTTTATTTTCACAACATTTGAGAGACCCTAATAACCTTCTCTTCCCTAACCCCCGCTGCTTTGTCACAAACCAGCCTGTAGAAAAGCCAAGATTGTCAGTACACGCCTGGTCTCAACACACCAACTACTTACTGTCATATGAAGCACAGCAAAACATGGTATGACTGAGAGCCTCTCTGAATACTATCAAGATACTATCAAACTTTAACCCAGCTTCTCTTCACAGTTTCTACTCACCCCTTACAAAAACTGTTTTCTGTGCACAGTCTGACTAAAGTGTGATAAAAGCCTACTACAGCCAGTGAAAACCATGAAAACAGCCATAAAACTAAACAACCAGGCTAAATCCTGACTTCAGTCTGACCACAGCTCTCAGAAAGGTGCTCAGTGTCTCAGTGCAATGTGGAAGACGTCAAAGGTTACCCTGCCTGTTCAAATAGACAGGTACAGGAGACTGTCTGAGGGGACAGGTGCTGGAGGATGTCTGCAGGGACAGCTACAGCAGACTGTCCAGAGGGATAGGTAGGTACAGAGGACTGTCTGACTTCAAAGACGAGTACAGCAGTCTGTCTGTCAGTCTGATTCACCAGAGGCTGAGCAGGTGCACAGCACAGCTTGGGCATCCTCTTATCACAAACACACACACAATGACAGTGTGTGTGTTTGTGTTTTGTGACGCAGAAATAAACATCCCATAGTAAAATCTCAGTCTACGCCTGCTCTGCATGAACTTGTGAGTTTAATTATGATATGAGTTTATGTATCTCAGCTGAAATACACAGATTTTATTCCAATTCTGGTCCATCAGTGAATTCTGGACATTTACGTATATATTTAAAATTGCAGTTCGTCTCAAACTTCTGTCTAATTATTACTGAATTGTGTCTCCAGTGTAATAATGGCCACTTTTCTCTGGGTAAGGGTCTGCCAGGGACTCGTGTAGAACCTGTTTTTCAATTTTCCAACAAATAATTTAGCTGCAACCCAGAACACTCTGAAGATATATCTGAAAAGAAAAGCTACTGAAACACCTGAATGTGATTAACTGGATAAGCTTGGCTAAAATGGTCTGAAGATCTAAGGCAACCCCTTCTGAAATATTTCGCATAAACAGAAAAAAGGACACGCAAAGACAGAAAAAAAAACTGTCGGTAACAAAGAGCGCCTGTATTCCAGCTATAGGTCTGATTATCAAGTTATAACTCAGGTGTACAGCTTACACAGTCAACATGTGTTGAGTGTCTTGTAGCAAACAGCTTTCCTATAGCAGCTGTTCATCAATGTTATGTTGAAAATGTTATGGTGACAGCTGATGTCAGTACTAATCTGTAATATGCAACCATACTTTTACATTTATAAAGTTTATGTTTGAGAGATCAAAACACATGATAGACACTGACAGGAAATAGTCAAGATAATGACAGTGTACATTAAACTGGATACCAAAACATTGTATGTATGTTATTAACTGAAAACCTAATGATCTAACCTGCTCCATGTTGTTTTACTTTACTTATGTGTACATTTTCTCTCAAGTTAATTCAGAGGCCTGTATAAACAGACAGTCATTTTGAGTTTTAAACCTATTCCAGCATTTTGTCAAATATTAGTAAATATAATCTTACTTATATGAAGCTCTCCTTTAAGCATTGTCATTTATCTTAAATTGAGTTTTTCTTTATGAAGCTGGATTTTCTGACAAGGTTCTTAAAAAGTTGCCTACCAGCAATACATGTTGGAGGAGGACCAATCAGGTGCCTCCACACTGCCTTCTTTCTGCATTGCAGACAAAACATATTACAAAAAATGAAGTGTCAAAGGCATATTTTTTCTGTCATGGTTGATGGTAAAGTAAGAACAGGTGCAAAATCACAACTCAAGATCACAATGTCTGTCTAAATGTGTGGTTAAGGACTGTGATGTTCCTGTGGTAACCATGCAGTTGGTGTGGTGACTCCCAGGGGGGGCAGGTGTACAGCCTTACCTTGTTACAGTGACGGCCGATGCCCATGAGGAAGTTGTCTGGTTTGATGTCTCTGTGGATGAAGTTCTTTGTGTGTACATATTCAATTCTGCTGATCATCTGAGGAAGAGATGGAGGAGACGTCATCAGATCATCCTCAGTAATGATTATCATGTCCTGACATTGTACATAAATAATACATGATCCCTGTGATCAGCAGACAGCTGATCCTGACCAGAGTCATCACTGAGGTCCCAGAGGCTCAGGTGTTATTCCAGAACAACACTAAGTTAAAAGGATATCGATGAAGCTGATAGAGAGCATGTGTTTTAACATGTTCTTCTTATACACATATAGCTGTGTTTCTCTGTGTGTGCATGCGTTACCTGGTCTGCCAGCATAAGGACTGTCTTCATGGTGAAGCGACGGGAGCAGAAGTTGAACAGGTCTTCCAGACTAGGTCCCAGCAGGTCCATCACTAGGACATTGTAGTCCTTCTCCTGTCCATACCACCTGCATGAATACAAACATACTGTACGTTATAATTTCACATTTTCAAACGTCCTTTTTGATCATTTACATCCAACAAATTGTGGCCATTTGAAATACCTTCCTCAGCTCATTTAAAAAAAAGGTGCATATGGAACCTATAGAATTTCACAATGTTTGCTTTTTTCTGTTCACTACTATTTTATCACTACTGAATTTCTACTTGATTGATGAAAATTGGATGGTACAATTTATTTCTTTATTCTATAATGCTATACAGCTCAGCCCTTTCAATAAAGAAATGACCTTTACTTGTTTTAACACAACCTAGATTCTGAATAGACAAGCTAGAAAGAAAGACTGTAATACAGCTGATTACTCCGAGCAGCACGCATGCATAAGAGTCACTAGATTTGTGTTTTAAGTGCCACCACATTTTTACACATTTGGTTCCCAGTGACATCAAGCAGGTTCAAACTTTTGACAAAAAAAACCATGGAAACAAAGAGCTAATCAAAATGGGATCATTCTTTATTAGCACAGCCTTATTTACTGTATCCTTCTCTAAAGAAGATGCATCAAAGTGCTAACATGTGCACAAAAACATCTATTATGGCTTACAGCTGGTAATTTCAAATCAGTGCTTATGTCAGTGATATCACCAACATTTGCATAAATCTAGGGGAATCTCCTCTCTGATCTTTTACTACAGACAACATTAAGTCTGTCTGTGCGTACAGTCAGCCGTTTCAAGAATTATTGCGAACACCCGTGTCACCTTTGACCTCAACAGTTTATCCTCACTCTGCTCCTCTCAGGGCTTGAGACTTACTTTTTTTCAGAAGGAGCACATGTGCTCCTAAATTGAAAAAGTAAGGAGCACACAAAGAACTTTAGGGGCACAATGAAAGTTTATCAAATAATGTGTGTTTTGTTGGTCAACATAAGTACTATTATTTGAAATCAATTTTAGGTCTTTTGGTCACGTGACATGGAAGCTATTGAAGAAAATGTTCAAAATTTGCCTTTAAATTTAACACAAAATTTTTTAGAGGACAAATTGGGGAAATAAAGAGATGTGTCTTATTGTTCGACCTTAATATTACTATTTGAAATCAATTTGAAATCAATTTTAGGTCTATTGGTCACATGACATGGAAGCTATTGAAGGAAAACAGCCTTTTTTGAGAACATCAACCGGTAATTTATTGATGGTTCCTTATTCAACACCTGAGGTTGACAGCGAGGATGCCGAGAAGATTTAACCGCGCGGCTGTTTCAATTCCTGGTTATGGAGCGTGAGAAGACACTGGTAGATCAGCGGTGCATGTCCGTCGAATATTCAATCTAAAACTAACTTCGCCGCGGTATTTACATGAAAAAAACATTTGTTGCCTCGGCTGATTTTATTTATGCGCACATGTGCCCCTAAATACATTTTACAGTCGCACTGTCGAGCCCTGCCTCTTTAACCTAAACTTGATGCACCACTTTGCTTCTCCACTGCATCACCTGGTCCAACCAAACACTTCAGTCTGTCTATGTAAATCTCATACTTCTGTGTAGAGAGAACTACAGTGTCGATCAGAGCACTACTCAAACCCTGTATTAGCAGTCTGTACAGTATTAGTGATGAGTAAACTCAAGATGAGTCATTTCCTTGAGTGATATAAAGTGAGTTTCCATTGAGACTCTAAAGGTATCACAGTGTGCCCTGAGGACAGACTGGCAGGCTGCAGAAACAGGTTTGGAATAGGGAGGACATTCTTGGCTCGTGCTTTTAAAGCTGTAAACCACATTTAACTTCACCAACTAAAAGCATGAATAGAGAATGTTGGGAAGTTAAGTTACTGAGATACTAGGTAGACTGTTTAGTTCTGAAAAGATCTTTATCAACTCAGTTTAATACTCTGATATGAAACATGACACCAAGAGTAATTCCCATTTGATCCTTACCGGATACGCTCCCATACTTTGACCTTAGACAATGAGCTTTGTACACACAGGCTGACACACCCTCACACACACAATTGGCTGCTGCAGCGCTTCAGCTCAGGGTGGAAACTCTTCAAACTCAAACAGAGCTTAATATCACACGCTAACACGACAGGCTACAGCAGAGTTAAACTTTGTAAAATAACAACACATGTGGACGTGTTAAGTGTCTTTGTGTGCAGCAGTGCGTGTGTTACATAACAGATCATTACAAAACTCTCCTGTCTCTAATAGCTAGGAGCTGTTAGCAGCAGGTCTAAACCCGTTACCCTCATTCTTGAACTTCAGTGTACTGTTGTTGGTCCTTACAGGCATTAGCCATGGCAATTTAGTTTGTTGCTGTCTTAATAACGGGAGGACGTTTTCGTTGAGTGTTTGACTTCTTAAATCTTTAAAGTGACTGTGAGTTATTAACAATCACATGGATGTGTGCTTTACTGGGTCAGCTCAGTGTGATATTACTTTAGTTGCAGAATTCCAATTAAAAAGAGATTTTAAAACAACAAAGAGTTCAGTCTGTCAGATTAGTAAAGGTGTTATAACCTGGCAGATTAAACTGAGCTCCAATAATCCTGTGCTCTGATTTAACCAGCTGACGGCGGCTGTTTATGAACCCTTTTTATTTTAACACATGGTTCACTTTGATATAATGGTAAATATTTACATCACAAGATCTTTGGGGGGGGGGGGGGGGGGGTCAAGCTCAGTCCCTCACACTGTATTTACTTAAAAAGATGATGTTTTAACTCTGAGCACGGTTCACCTGTGAGAGAGCACACTGTGCAAGTGAAAGTCAGTTAAGTAGTCAAGAGAAGGGGAGGGGCAGCAGGACCAGCAGGTTAGACTGGCTCAAGCAAGAAGCCAGTACAACCAGAAGACAGAGCACAGCACTGTACAAAACAGAGCTGCTATCACTGAACGCACAAACCTGCACAGTTTAGTTGAGCGACAGCTATAGCTCAATTAAATTATTTAACCGGACTACTGTCCTTGTCTCAAAAAATGAGCACCTGGCCAGAGCCAATTCACTGAATGTCCACATACGTCCACCCCCACTACAGTAGGTGTGGCTGTTCTGGTTTGTTACTACTGACCATCTTTCTGCTGACGATTCACTGGGGCTGGGTAGTGAAAACCGGTTCCTGATGAGAACCAGTTCCTACTGTCCTGATCCATCAACATTATTAGCCTTTCTGCTTAATGATTCCTTTATCAATGCCTTAGTGCCGCGTGCCTTACAAAACAATTACATCAAGCCTCGCAAGAAGCTTTCAGCACAGAAATATAAAAGTCGAGGAGGTAGTTTGGGCAGAACAGGATAGAGAGAAGCGGTCTGCGGCTGTGAAACTGAATTCAAGTGAAGGTTTAAATATTGCTTAAACATTTGCTAATGCAGCACATTAAATATCAGGAGTGCCTTGTGTTTTGAAGCTCGATGCCAACAGAGCGCTCTTCAGCAGAGCAGTGAAGAATGCTATGTTTGTCTTATGTTAACATTCGCACAAAGCATGAGGGCCTAGCTTAACAACTGATTATTTATTTGACTTAAGACCTAAATTTAAAAAAAAAACTGTCCAAAAATTCTCTTATTTGGTGTATTTATGTAATAGCGGTGAACAAGAATTGCAAATGCCATACAAAAGAAAGATTTCATGTTAATCCTCAGAGCAGATTTTTGTTTACTTCAGTCCATGCAGACTTGTTAACGCAGAAAACCAGTAGAGGCCTACTTTTTTCCACATAGGAATTGATAAGCAAATTGATATTGATAAAATCTTATCAATTTCCATCCAAAAGTATTACACAAGCTGCTCACTCCCTCCCACATTAACTTCATCTACTTCAGCCACCGCTCCAGCCGCTACAACTTTTGAACCGTCTTCCTGTCTTTCCCTCTTTGTTACAGACTGGATGGGGTGGAGTCGTGTCTCTAGGACTGAGTCTCAAAAGGGACACGAGACCATAGCCTACCTACACACATCTAAAACCAACTTTTAATATTTTTTTTTTGACACCGAAAATACCAATATGGACAAAATGATGTGGGTTCTTGTCATAAATTTCAGCATCAGTAAATTTTCGGTTTATCGCCCAGCCCTAGCCTGCAAGTAGACAAACAAATGAGAATATGGCCTACTGGTTTTGCATTGAAGAGTAAAAATATGGACAACTTTCAATCTTTCCATCCAAGTATGGTCTCTACTCTCTACTTCTGGTGCAAACGCATGTCTCAGCATAAGAACTAGCTGACACACTGATCACCATGGACACAACCACTGACTCTCCCCATGACAGGGTTACTATACAGCACAGGTGTTTCTTTAAAATAAGGGTGTGTGTGGAGTTCAGGTTACACAGATCATTAGTGTCTCCTCAGTCATTGTGTGGCTCTGTCAGCTGTACTGCAGGCTGTATATGGTGCTGTGTTAGCATGTGCAGTTAGCCAGATATAGAACAGGAGTGAAATCTACACTACACTCACACACAGACACACACATACACTGCTGTGTATGTGCGTCTATAAGAACAGGTCTGAACACTAATATTGACCCTCTACAGTCACACCCTCAGCATGCTCACATGCTCATCATGAGTCACTCTTGCAGATTGTATTGATTCAGGAACAAAAAGTGTGAGTGCCCGTATTTATTGGTTTGCGTTTTAGTGTGAACATACTCATGATCAAATGATCATGACACCAAACTTCTCCTCTGCATTGGTTACTTCAAAGTTTACTTGGTGTAATAACTCTTACTTTTACTGATCCAGAGTGGTATGATGCTCCGACTCAGTGCTAACAGTGAGCTCTTTGTAGCAGTCAAATGCCATGTGCTGTATAAGAGCTGTATATTATATATGGTATGAGTAAACAGTCAATCACCGACAGAGATTCATGCAGCAGCCCGCAAAAGCTCACATGAACAACAGCTCACAGCCTGCACACAAAGGATCAGAGACAAAAACAAAAGCAGCTTTTAGATCAGCTGAAGGAGCAGAAAATAAACCAAGCACACTCTCTACTAACAAATTTACAAGACTACAATGTTTCCCAGAATCCTTCACAAAGACTCAGCAGCAGGTCAGGACATTTGACTACATCATTTCTTCATTCAAACACAGCATGTCCTCTCTGCTGAACTTCCTCTATCAGCTCAGACAGAGGCAGAGTGAAACATATCAGCCTGTGACAGTCAACACAAATATCACAGCAGATCCTGAATCTCACAACAATGGCTCAAATAGATGAAGGAGGAGTTCAGTAGGTACCCCTGCACCAGATTTTAATATACAGCTATAGACAATACAGATTGAAGCCATCTATAAGTCAGTCTGTCCAGGGATTAATTAGCCTTAGATAAAGTACTAGACTAAAATAAACCTCATTTGGACTTCCTTAATCATGGAGGAAAGTATATGATTGAAAACAAAGAAACTTTGGATATTTTTGCAGTAATGGTCATACCACTCACTATGACCTGCCCCACAGTAAGACTGCAATGCAATTCTGGACTCATGTCTGTGCATGTAAACAGATACAAAAGATTATATGAGTCACTGTGCGCGGCTTTAAGTGAAACTTCAAACTGAATCTCTGTTATCAGAGTTCTTGTTCCTCTCCTATTTCTGTTTGTTTTTTAGACAACTACTATATTTGACTGTTTTAGCTGTGTTCAGTCACTACCACTAAAGCGTGCCATTTCTTACTATGACTATTTCCAAATAAAAGGATTCCAGAGATAAAACAAGAAGGACTTTTGACAACAATGTGTCTGAAACAAAATGTTTGTTTGATGAAATGAGGGTTTAACCTTTGTTCACTGGTCTGCCACAATTTACTTTTGTTCTAAATACTGACACTAACCTCTTCAATACACTGCACTTTTTTTATCTGACTACATGGCTGCATCAATATTAGAAGAACCAAATAGCATAAAAAAAATAAACTTATGTCTGAGCCAGTGGTGATGACATTACATGATACATGTTTTGGCAAGATGTGACACCAGTGACAGTATTTATAGTAGTACATCCCCTACAGCTAGTCTGAGTGTTGTTTCGTTTGTTTGACCTGTTACAGGTCCCTCCACAGACACGTGTAGGTTCCCGTCTTTAGCAGATGAAATCTTTACTCAGCTGCCCTGAATAAAATAGGAGTTTATCCAATAAAAAAACAGACAAACAAAAAAACCACATCAGTCTCTTCCACTATTTGACTTCAGAGCAGCTTTTGAAACTACTCACTGGCATAAAAATAACTCTCTGCTGTGACAGTCTAGTCAGTTGTGATAGCAGGTGACCTGTTTTTTTTACATAACAGCTAACATCCAATCTGTATTTCCACACTGCTCATTTCATCTCCTGGATGAATGCACAAGCTGTTTTCAACATGCACTCCAGAAAAAATCTAGAAAATCTCATGAGTTCTGCCTCCAGAGATGTAAATGACCTGAGTGTCAACATATATGCATATGCATGAAGCCTTCACAGTCAGATGTGGGACTGTATGGTTGTTTCCAAACCTTTGTTTTTATTGTTTGTTTGTTTGTTTTTAATTCATCCTGAATCCTGTCCTTTTAAAGCTTGATTTCCTGTAAATAACTGGCATGTCTCATTATGCAGGTTCACAGCTGTGTCATTGTCAGTGATTATGACTATGTTTCTTGTTTTTTTTAAAGTCTGAAGGCAACGAAACAGGATACAACATCAGTTTTTACCTTCATATCAGTGCTATCAACTAATGACAGGTATCAACAAATGACTGACAAGACACCAACTGGATGAAAAAGAGTGTAAGGCCACTTCCCAAAGTTTCTTGTAATGTTTTTGCCCCGTTGTGTCGCCCTTTTCACGCCTGTGTTGATGATAACTAGCTATCCAAGCAATGATGCCTGTCACTGCTGAGAGCATGTTTTAAAAAAAGACATGCTTTCTCTGAGATCTCAATCAAGGATTTTATAGTAGAATTATATCATAATAACACACTCTTATTGTGGTATTTCAAATGCCGTTGCAGTTGTGCGGTTTAATGTGATTCTTTACTGGGAGCACGCTTCAATAATGAACAATTCTGTACTGAGATACACTTTCCCTAAAATCTGTCATAAGTAATTCATATTCAAGAATCAAACCATGTTCATGTCATCCTTACAGCCCATGACCCCATCTGTAACCAAATGACACTGATAAATAGCACAAACTAACAGCCTTTGTCATCGAATCATGTTGAAGTAGCAACAACGTCAGACAGAATATAGGTCAACAGATATAAATGACAACACCTCCGCCCACTTGCAATAATTTGTCTGATCTTAAAGATTTATTGTTGCGTTTTTATGTCAGTTCACAAAGACCCTACAGGAAATATCTAAAGTGGAGTGGGGTGTAAAACTCGCCCCTTTTGGTTTTCACGCACACAGCTCACCTAGGTAATTTTAAGGAAGTTTTCAGGAACTTTGTACATGTCTGAAATTGACTTTCTTACTGTTGGACCGGTGGACAATATGAAAAGACAGTAAACAGCATAAGACTAAGAAAAGTTTTGGTCTAGGACAGAAGACAACATCATGGATTTGCTATATAACCCTTTGAACTACAAACAACCTGGTCATTTCAATTTTAATGCCTTTTATGCATATTTGTTGCACTTATTGCAGGTTAATACCCACACTGTACTGCATTAGGTTTGCATAAAACACATGATCTATGATCAGTTGTAGTTTAAGTAGTTACATTTTACAAGAAATAAATGATTTCTATTGTGTGCACTACCCCTCCTTGCCGGCCCTGACATTTCTCACAACTGAATATTGTATAAAAGTGAATGACACTTCTTTTAATAACTTACTCCACCTTTAATCTAAACTACTTCCTTGTCGAAGTAAACCAAATTATTAAGTTAACAGTGTCTAAAGGATAATAAACAACACCGGCTCTCAGTGACGGTACACTTATTTCACTCATTTTTTCATGATTAAATGAAATTAATAAAACTCTACAGCCATTGGCATATCCGCAACTGCTCTGGCCTAACAAACAAAACGTAGCAAACATGAAGGTACAACTATTTCTGAGTACACAGTGGGCTCAGTGTGTCTTCTCTTCATGTCTCATTATATTGGCTATGGCTCACCGCTAACAACGAAACAGTTTAACTCTCAACGTGCATTGTTCTGGGAACTTTAAACAACACTCACCTCTACGTGCCACGTAACTCTCACCTTCAACATTAAACTGTCTCTACATGTACCATCATAGTTACAGAATCGAACAGAGCGGCTGTGGAGCGGAGACAGGCCGTGAGCGAAACCTCCTCCTCGGGTTGGGATTGTTGTTTTCTCCGCCGCCATTTTCTGAGAGAGCAGCCATGTTGGAGCTAACACAACAAAGAGGAGCGGCCATTTCCAGAGACAGCCTCAGTTCATCTTCACAAACAGCTGCTTTCTCGTGTCAACTAAACACATCTGGCCTCTGTATACCTCAGCCTTTTATACGAAGAGTTGAAACACGACGAGCTGTGGCACCGAACGCCGAGAACACACCATCACCGAGCCGATTAATACAGTCAGCAGATTAACAGGCCTCGTGTACAGCCTGCTGCTGCTTTTCTACCCAACTAACTTTACTTTACAGATAGTTTACACAGTGTCACTGCACTTTCTGTCAAGATAACACGATATTTAATTACATTTATCTACTGTTATAGATGTTTTGAAAGGTTTGGGTCACTTTTTACCTGATGTGCGGGATCCCGACTCCTCCCTGCAGGATTTTGTACAGTTTGCTTTCATACAGCAGCTGTGGGTGTCTGGCTTTCTGTGACTCCAACTTTACTGCTACCTCCTGGAAACACCACACACACAGACATGTTAATCTATATTAAATGTATCGATCTGATACCCACACATTCACTGACACAGCGGATTCACACTTTCTAGAACTAATTCCATTATGGTGAATGTTTCACACATTTTAGATAATCCTGATACACTCGACAAAGCTAAATAAAATCTCTGTTCCTGGCACACCTCTGTGTGATCATTAAAAGACACACACACACTAATCATTCCGAGTTTCTCGGGTAAAATACATGGCTGTTTCAGGACCGTGAACGTCTCAGTACCTCTCCGTTTGTGATATTGATGGCAAGGTAAATATCACCAAATGATCCAGATCCGATCTTTCTGACCAACTTGTACTTTCCACCGACTATAAACTCCGCTTTAGAGCCGCTGCTGCTCGCCATGATGTCCACCAGGTGAGATCTTCAGGTAAAGAGTCCTGTTTATCAGCTGATGTCGGTAATTATGACCCAGCTCTTCCAAAACGGTTATCAATAAAAAAAACAGAACACTTGAAGTAATAATATGTAAAATCCGCCGGGATTAATGTCCTTATTCATAGACTCCCTGCTACGATAAGCCCTGCGCAGTGTCGAAATATTTACATCCGAACTGAACCCGGAGAGCTCGCGGCCTTCAGCAGCAGCTTGTGAAGCTAACAGAGACTAACGTTAGCATCGGGCTAACGCTGTCGCGAGGACCGCGGCGACAAATAAGTCCGTTCCTCCTCGGCTCTGAGGGGCAGAAACCGCCGTTTCAGTCACACTTTAAACGGTTCTGTTTCCTTATCGGTGTCTTCAATCCTTTAGGGGCGAATTTGTTGCACTTCCAGGGTCGCAGCTTTCGGTACAAAGCGCAACCCACTCAGTCCGCCATCTTGTCTTCTCTACCCTTCTCTCTCTCTCGCTCCCTCAGCTGGGAGCCGTTAGAGCTGATTAGCTAAGGTTATCTCATGACGCCTTCAACTACCGTCGGAAATAGCATAATCCACCCTCAGTAACAATGTTCGTTTATCTAAAGCTCATGTGAGGAGTTTTTTGTTGGTCATGAAACTTACAAATGCCTCTTTATAACCACACAAAGAAATAGACCTATCAACACCAAAAGTTAAGGATTTAAACTAGCTTTTTTCATGTCTAATTCAACAGTTTCTACTTGTTTTGTAGAAAAAACCTCAATGAGGGATTCACTTGACTAAAAGCAAAGTAAAGATTTTTTTTTCCAAGAAACAGTAAAAGTACATGTAGAGCACTAAATAAGTTAAGACTACCTGGTCCACAAAAGGCGCCAAAATTTTCATAGACTTAAAGTTGCGCTCAAGATCTTTTAGAAACACTTCTTATCAAAAAATAGGAGGTGTAATTTGAATTGTTGAATATATATATATATATATATATATGTATGTATATATATATATATATATATACGTGTGTGTGTATGTGTGTGTGTAAACTTTGACTAAAAGTATATTTTTGACAGTCAGGCAGTAAGCAGGAATTTGACAGACTGATTCCTCTTATCAGTATCTCTCAACAACCAAGTCTCTGACATACATGATAACACAGTTGCATTTAGTCCAAATAATTTGCTGCATTCATGCACCTTGCATGGTCCAGACTTCGGTGTGACAATAAGTGAATTAATCAGATGTTCCTTAACATTAACAAAACATTACTTGTCTGCCATGTTGATGATAAATAGGGCAGAAAGTTGGCCCCTTATTCTTGCCACAGTATCCGAATTTTTTATTGATTTCATAAACCAATTTGGATATGTTGTCATCATGAGTATGTAGTCTTTGTTTGGTGACATTGCCTCATTTTACTAATTTTTCTTTATCTTTGTTTTTTTTTACAGTGTCTGAAACTTTTTGAAATTCATCTAAAAGAGCATACATTTAATATTTCATGAAGATGTGCAAATAAGATGCGCCACTGTCTGAAGCATTAATTGTGTGTATTGTACTAAAATGAAATAGTGACAAAAAAACAGAGTATAGCGAACTAAAATGCGTGTGATGTTATAATGAATCTGGTTTCTGGGTGTAAACAGGGTCTATGACTGCTGGAGGGGTTACCCATGCTCAGGAACACTGATTATTTTTGAACAGGAAGAGGTTGCTCCAGTTTTTCCCATTCTGCAGATGGTATCTGAAGGCAGCACAGGGTGGGACTGCATGACTGTGGGCATGTTGCTTCAGGGACAGGTGAGCAAGTCGTATACAATCCAGAAAGTCCTGTTTGAGCAACAAATCAACATGTCAGAGGGTTTATCAGTCAGTTGGAGCAGGGCGGGACTTTACACTGGTATTAGTCACGTTTGATTCCCTTTGAAACACAAAGAAGACACTGAACTGAAGGAAATCCAGCACAACTGGAGCCAGAGCGGGCAGGGGCAGGGCACAGGAGAGGATTGTGGGAAATTATTACTCACACATTGATCCCCAACTATAACAGACACAAAGAATTAAGTTTTCCTGGAATGCTTAAAACCAAAAGCCTAGCACACATTCACTGTAGAAAAAGTTTAATTGTTGATGTAAAAATCAAAAGAGGTGTGGTGTTACACTTTGTACTGATTCCTGTCAGCTCTGTCTGTTAGATGGTATGTTCCTACTGCTGCACTGACACGTATGACACACCCCTACATGCCAGAACAACTCTACATAATCATCTGTCTGATTCAAAACCATGCTCCTGACTGTCGTTTAAATGAAAAAAAAAAGTAATTTAATAAGTTCCTGATGTTTAAGCGGGTGTTTGTAAAGTTCTCAGAGACATACAGTAGAGTTTGTTTCATACCGCCAATCTTTTTATGTTTGTATACACATAGAGTGTACTGTATATTGTTATGATGTGCATAGATCAGCGGCTCTTCTCTCAGATGGTAAATGTCTGCTAACACCACATGCTGGTGATTCGCTCCCAAGAAGACACAATTTTAAACCAGCTATACTGTCCAAATATGAGGAAACAACCAGTAAAAACTCCAAAGTGACCTCAGGCCTAAAGAAGGCAGAAAGTGATTCAGTGACTGTCTAAGTTTATCAAAGTGGTTTTCGTACTGGGGTTACAGCAATTGATTAGTGGTTTCACTCCAGTCATGTGTGCAAATTGATAGAGGTTGTGAAATTCAACAGGTTTATTGCTAAATTGGAATGACTCAAGGATTTGTTGGTTATTATTTGACTCATCTCACCACTTATATGTCACAGAACTCCCTTTTGACACATTTTCCCTCACACTAACTGCCCTGGATTCATGGCCAAACTGACTACTACTGTGAGAACTGTTCAAGCAAGCGGTTATGTGGTACTTTTAGACTAGGCTGTAAGTCTTAACACGTTGTTGTGAGCAATGTTTGAGCCCTTTGGAAGACAGGAGGAGGGCACCAGACTCTGGTACCTCTGTTTGGGGGTCCATCTCAGAAGTCCCTTGAATAGTACAGGGATGTACAGTACATTGTCAGATAAAATATTGAGTTAAACACATAGAACACTGTTTAGTTGTACAGTGATAAATGATGTCATAAAAAGTATTAACTATATGGAATAGTGAAGTGCTTTACACAGAAAAGTACATTGGCATAGCATGGCATAGTGAGGCAAGTATAGTGTACTGTGGTATAGTATAGTGTAGTTTTGTGTAGAATGGTATAGTGTAGCTAATTATAGGATACCAAAGTATTGTATATAGCAGAGTAAAGCACATCATGGTATCTTAAAATATAAGAAAGTATATTGAACAGTTAGGTCTAATAAACTGTAGTGAAGCACTGTGTAGTGCAGTACAGCAAAATGAAGTATAGTATATGGTATGATGTAGTAGGGGTGTTTTTTTCATTATAGTATAGTATCGTATTGTATAGTATAGTATTGTATAGTATAGCATATTATAGTAAAAATAGAATTTCCCCTCGCGATAAATAAAGTTCTTATCTTGCAGTGTAGTATAGTATAGTATTGTATAGTGTAGTGTAGTATAGTAGGGGAGAGTGGGGTAAGTTGAGCCAAAGTGTAAGTTGAGCCCCCTGTTGCTTGGAAATGGTAAAAGAAATTGATCATGTGACCAAATATTTGGGAGATGGGTATCAATTCATGAGGTCTGTGAAGGTTAGAGGCACATGGGTGAAGGGGTTAGTCATTAATTTCCAAAAAAACATTTTTCACTCTTGAAAGTGAATTTAGTCTTACAAAACAGCTTTTAGCAGTTATATGCAATAATAATAAAAAGAATTATTGTACCAGTTGAATAGTGTATAATAGATAAAAATACACATGAATGTGAAGAAGTGACTGTTATTAACAGAGAGAGAAGGTGAGGGAGGGCTGGGGTGGAGGGGGTGGGGGTAGGGGGTGGGGTAGTAGGGATACGGCTCAACTTACCCCACTCTTATGGTCAACTTGACCAAAGGAGACCACTTTTTTGGCATGCTATATTAACAAGACAGTTATGTTTATACTCCTTCTGTTTGTTTGCATTGGACAACATCTTAAAATGTATGCAGATACACTAGTTAGAGACAAAAATATGATTGCCTTGATGTTGTGATCCGAAATATGAAAAATGGCTCATCTTACACCACTTTCCCCTAGAGTATAGTAAAGAATAGCAACAAATAGACAAGTATTGTTTGGTATGTACAGTATTACTCTTTGTATACCTGTACAATCTAGTGTCCCATAGTACAGTAAGGTATGGTACATGACTGAATATCTGAATTTACTTTGGAATAGTTCAGAATAGTTGGGTATACAGTATCTAAGTCAATGGTTGTACAGTTAAGCATGGGAGGGTATGGTAAAATTTTAAAGAATACTATAGTTAAGTAGTAAAGTGTATCATAGTATTGTGAAGTATTGTATAGTATAGTATGGTTTAGTTAAGGTTTTTTTTGTATAGACTAGTTGAATATAGTTCAGTATAATTTAGCTTAGTAAAGTGTGGTGTAGTTTGGTATAGTATACTTAAACTGAGGTAGTTATGCATACTTTATCATGATTAAGTATTCTATTGTATAGTCTATATTCTATGTCCCCCTGTTTTTTATATGTTCCTGAGTCTTGTTTTATTGTTCATGTTAATTGTCTGGCTCTTTTCATTTTGTTTTTAATTTTACTGTACAGCACTTTGGTCAGCGCTTTGTTGTTTTTAAATGTGCTATATAAATAAACCTGGATCGGATTGGATAGTATGGTACAGTGAAGTGTTGCTGTATTTTTGTCTTTTTTCAGGTCAGTGAAGTAAAATCTTGAGATCATATCAGGTTGGCCTTAATCTGTATTCCTGCAATGTTTTTCTTAGCGCCTTTGAAACCAAACTTTTTAAAAACTGTTAACTTTTTGTCATGAGAAAATGGAATTGTTGAGAAAAGCTGTAAAAGACTATATTTTAAATCATACAGTAACAGTACTGAGAGCAAGTGATGTTTTGTATTTCATCACCTGCCGCTTATCCAGCTCCCATTTCAATCTGCACCTGTGACTGTTTCTGTCAGTCACAACAGCAGGGGGAGCTGCAACCTAAGGTTACAACTCTGAGACGAGGAGCTATCCTGTCACTCTCTCCTGTTCCTTTTTCATGTCAAACGCATGTTTGCTGATTTGTATGTATGAGCATGAGTGTGTGTTTGTGCATGTGTGTCTGTGTGTGGTCATGTTTATCTGCTGTCAATTAAACAGTCCAGACTTGGTTTTGGATTTCACCTGTCTACAGGTGGATGTTTGTTCTTGATGTGTTGAGAAAACATGTGACTCAGACAAGCTGCTAAGTATCGCTCGGCCTTGAGTCAGCAGCCAATCAGAGCAGAGCAGAAGGTGGACAGACTGGTTTAGTAAACCAGGAAACCTGTTGGTGTGAAACAAACAGCTGCTGGCCAGAAACGCGTCATCATTTTGAATCATGAAGTTTCCTGTGCTGCTGCTCTGCTCTGTGCTGCTGCTCTCCATCTCAGGTCTGTCTCTTTTTAAAGGTTTATTTATCACATGTTTAAGCTAAAGAGTCAAAACTCTTTACTGGCCGAAGTACCAACTTGTAAAACTCCAAACTGATTGAACCTCAAACTGACCACAGTTACTCTGCTGTCACTGTGATGATTAATCTTGGAACAGAGCTCAGATTAAATCTGTGTTTACCATATAAGAATCACAGAAGTAGGCCAGTGGAAAAAACTTTTTTGGACTGTAGGATTCATTAAGGGAATTATTCATTCATGGACATGTTGATTTATGATGAATAGAGTGTAAACACAGATTAGTGTGTTTATTTTTGTTTGCTTTAACATGTTTTTTGTTTTTTACAGACAGACTGTGACATTAATGTGTTAACTATGAACTGTTTCTGACTATGATCTAAGTATGCATTACTGGACTCCTTTAATCAGGACTGAAATTCTATCTTTATAAGGGAACAGGCTGTGAGACGAAATAGTTCCTCTTTCACAGGTTGTCAACCTCACTTCAGGTCCTTTTTACAGAGACAGGAAAGATGCAGAGTGATGATCTGCTGGGTCACATTTCTGAGCCAAACACTGTGACATCTTCCCATTGTTCTCTAACGAATGTGTTTGTGTGTCTTCAGAGATACAGGCTGATATTAGATTATTTTTTAATCCAGTTTTCTCATAGAGGAGGCTGTGGTTTTTTCTCTCAGTCCATGTGACTGTTTTACAGCAATAAAACATAGCTTTAAGCTCCACCACAGTGAGCAATAATCATTGGAGGACAGTAAAGAATTGTAATAAGTCTCCTCAAAGAATAATACTCCAGCGAATACTCAAAAATGGACTTGGCCATGACCTACATTAACACACAACAGGTGGATATTTTTTCCCACCTTATTGTTCACAGCTTGTAACCTTAGAGCCTTGCTTCTCTTCACACACCTGACTGTTGTCTACTGTATTATTTAGAAAATTTAAAAAAATTAGACAGGTCCCTTTTAAAGCTTTAAATTCCTTCTCTGACAGAAAAGCCACACCTGCCACATTCATCTACAGATTATGACTGAGATAGGAGTCACTCTCTGTTCAATTGAATCTCATGTGTAATGTGTGTACGTGCGTGTGTCTGTGTGTGTGTGTGTGTGTGTGTGTGTGTGTGTGTGTGTGTGTGTGTGTGTGTGTGTGTGTGTGTGTGTGTGTGTGTAGTCCTGTCTCAGGAAAATGAGGGTCCACCTGATGGACAAGGAGACTCTGCTAAACCCAAGGCGGTAAGACTCAGAAACACACACATTAACACACTAATACTCATGCAGAGCTCGGAGGAGTGGTGTGTTTCCGTTGATGTTAAGTTGTAAACATGATTTCGTCACTTCTAAACCTTCTGGGGTGAATTTACCAAGAACAGAGTGGAGTTGCCTTTTTTACCATGAGTTGTGCATCATTTGCCTTTGCTCTGAGCTCCATCTCCACCACTCATGTACATTTGTGCAGAAATTAAAGGCTACAAATTTATTGATGAGATGTGTGTGTGTGTTTTTGCGTGTGTGTGTGCGTGTGTGTTTTATCCAGGCCCATTGTGAGAAATACAACTTACCTATCTGCAATCGGGATCTTAACCCTGTTTGCGGTGATGATGGCGTAACCTACAGTAACGAGTGTACACTCTGTGTTCACAACTTGTAAGATGTGCACACACACACACACACACACACACACACACACACACACACACACACACACACACACACACACACACACACACACAAATCTGCTCTTTCAATCCTTTGTGAGACTTTGTGAGATTCTGGATACATGATTTTGGCCAGTATGCAGTATGTCTCCAGAAAATAAAAAGAGGCTGAGAGAGGAACCCTGAAGAACACCATACTGAGGTTTATCAGAGAGACAGAAAAACTCCTGTCAGAGATATATTTACAGTCTATAGCTCCCACACTCTGATTTCTCAAAGACTATTTTTATAATTATCGTATTAACTCCACACACACACACACACACACATTTCAAATGTAAAAACTAACTTCTTGAATATTCTGGGTTTTTTCTTTGTTTGTTTTTCTACAGGGAGAAGAAGGACAATGTGAAAATCCTGAAAAAAAGGAACTGTAGCGATTAACTGCTGTGTGCCACACGCATGCACACACATACTGAATAAAGTCTCATACTGATTCCCTCACACCCTCTGTCTGTGTGTTCATTTCACTTGAACTCAGAAGATAAAGCAGAGTCTGAAACACTGATCTCCATGTTTGGAGCTCAAACACCTACCTCATGTTTTTACCTGCTCAGACCCAACAGTAAATTAATGAATAACTCTGAGAAACATCAAAACACTGCGCTGTATTAGATGTATCCCTGAGATCTCTGGGATGCATGTAAACAGACAGCATATGGTGGCCCAGAAGGTCAATGCAAGAAATTTTTCAGGAAGGCAATGAGGAGATATTTTGGATAAAGAACAGAAAACATTTAATTGTGTGAAAAAATATATCCTAACACCCACAAACATTTTACATAACAAAACAACAAACGTTAACAAAATGTGTACTGGAAAACACACAAAGAATAAAGAAAATATTAAAATGTTTAAGAAAAACATTTTGAAAACAAAAATATTTTGGAAACAGGTATTTTCAAAACATAAGAGAACTTTGATAAAGGAAAAAATATTCTAAAACCATCAAAAATTGTTTATAAAATGCACATTTTGGAACCATGACAATATTTTGAAAACACAAATACATTTGTAAACACAAAAATATTTTAAAAAACAAAAATAGTTATGATATAAATTTATATATATATATATTACATAAATATGTTATATAAAATTTATATAAAATATAATTTTTTTATTTTATGAAAAAATTCTCTTACCTAAAAATGTTCTGCTCTCAAAATGTTTTGCTGCCAAAGGGGTAGGGGTAGGGCCAAACCACTTGATTGTGATGGGACAAAATTGAGGTGCTGAAGTATTTAACATTTCTGTATTTTCAAAATATATTTGCTTTTTAAATTATTATTATTATTATTATTTTAATTAGTGTTGATCCGTGGTTTAAAAATCGCTTTTTATACAAAGTACTAGGGCCAAAAGTCTGTTGATCCTAGAGAATTCTCAGATATTAACCCATTCAGACAGCACATTTACATGTTGTTCAAACGTTAGGATTTTTGCCTTAGTTGGACTGGGACTGGACCTCTGGTATTTTGGCCTCCTGTATGGAATAGATAATTCACAAATCTAAAGTTGATACAACTCTATAGCTCATGGAACTAATAATAATCTAGGTTGGCCTGCTCCTGCAGCCCCACGACCATGAGATTGTAAGCAAGGCTGTCTTGCAGGAGCCCGAACTATCTGTCTGTTGGAACATTTAATCTCTGCCAGGGTCAAGACGAACCTAAACAAAGTGTCGTGGGGCAGACATGTCATCATGAGGGGCCTTCTGGAGAATTCACATACACATACACACACACACACACACACACACACACACACACACACACACACACACACACACACACACACACACACACACACACACACACACACACACACACACACACACACACACACACACACACACACACACACACACTCACACAGGATAAAAGGGAGTAGAAGAAAAGCTAGGGAGGCTTCCTTCGGTCTTGGTCGAGACTCTGTTTGTCATCTGTACTGATTTCAACATCTGTACTATGAAAGACGCCCCAGGCTGTTCTTCAGATCTCATCCTGTCTCCTGTGCACTGTTTTACTAAGTTTATGCTGGACTTTCTACAACATTTGCCTCTGCTCTGAGCTCCATCTCCACCACTCATGTACATTTGTGTAGTAATTAAAGGCTACAAATGTATTTATGAGATGCGTGTGTGCGTTTTTGCGTGTGTTTTTGTGTATGTGTTTTTGTGTTTTATCCAGGTGCATTGTGAGAAATACAATTTACCTTACTGCCATCAGGATTATAACCCTGTTTGTGGTGATGATGGCAAAACCTACAGTAACGAGTGTACACTCTGTTTTCGCAACTTGTAAGATGTGCACTCCATGTTTGGAGCTCGACCACCAACCTCATGTTTTTACCTGTTCAGACCCAACAGTAAATTAATGAATAACTCTGAGAAACATCAAAACACTGCGCTGTTAGGATAAAATATTACCTTACACCCACAAACATTTTACATAACAAAACAACAAATGTTAACAAAATGTGTATTGGAAAACACACAAAGAATAAAGAAAATATTAAAATGTTTAAGAAAAACAAAAACATTTTGAAAACAAAAATATTTTGGAAACAGATATTTTCAAAACACATGAGAACTTTGATAAAGGAAATAATATTATAAAACCAATAAAATTGTTTATAAAATGCAAATTTTGGAACCATGAAAATATTTTGTAAACACAAATAAATTTGAAAATACAAAAATATTTTAAAAAACAAAAATACTTATGAGAAAACTCAATAATACTTAAGAGTATAAAAAAATTATCTTACCTAAATATGTTCTGCTCTCAAAAACTTTTGCTGCCAAAGGGGTAGGGGTAGGGCCAAACCACTTGATTGTGATGGGACAAAATTGAGGTGCTGAAGTATTTAACATTTTTGTATTTTCAAAATATATTTGCTTTTTTAATTATATATATATTTCCTCAAATTAGTGTTGATCCGTGGTTTAAAAATCGGTCTGCTTTTTATACAAAGTACGAGGGCCAAAAGTCTGTTGATCCTGGAGAATTCTCAGATATTAACCCATTCAGACAGCACATTTACATGTTGTTCAAAAGTTAGGGTTTTTGCCTTAGTTGGACTGGGACTGGACCACTGTCATATGTTTTTGTGTAACTGTAGCCTGGTACTTTTGAAAAGTCATCAGTGAAAAAAAAAGGTGCAGCCTGTCTCGGATCAATGTGAAAATGCATTTTTAAAACTGTAACAAAACAAAGTCCAACCACAGTATGAAGAAACTGAAAAGAAACAAACTATAAAGTCAGTTGAACAGAGAAGAAGAAGACGAAGGTATATAATATATAATATACCCCTCAGAGCAGGTGTACATTAGTTTTACTTTAAATACATGCTATATGATCTTTGTCTGTTTTTAAGGTTTATAAAATAAAGGGTGTCACATTTATTTATTTACCACTAACCCTAACCAATAACAATGTAATCAACAAATTATTAAAAGTGTTTCATAGTTTTATTAAAAGGTCTTTATACCCAGCATAATTTAAAATGATTAAATTCTGGAAGTCGTCAAGCTTCCTGTGTTTATCTAAAGCAATGTTTTTACATGCATATCAATCACGTTTAACATAACTGTAATATATGGTGTCATCTCTCCTGTTTAAGCTTCTTTGAACCGGCTTTCTACTTGTTCTTCGATTTTACTGATGACTTTTAAAGCTCCCCATTGCTTTTTTTCAGCTAGAACATCTGATAGTGCTGTTTGAGCTGACACATACAAGATCCATCTGCTGAGATCTGTGCCTTAGCAGTGAAGGATCAAAACTCTCATGAATCAGTCTGCCAAAGGGGATCAGGTCTGCTTGGGAACTCATCTCTTAAATTTTCCTGAACACTTTTATTTGTGAGTCAGTCCTGATCTTACACAATATTGGGGTCTATCAAATTTATCTCCTACAGTTCTGTTGTATTTTGCTGTCTGCGTTGTGCACTGTATATGGGATTTTGATGGTCGATAAAGTGAAGTTTATCATTATATATAATAATCAGAAGGATATTAGTGTTAGATTTAAAAAAAACGGATTCCCGATGACGAACATCAGTACTCTGATCAGACGCAACGACGGTCTTTGTAACCACTAAGGGGCACTGCTGCACAGGAAACTCCGTAAGTCTTAATATACAAGCATGTAGTTCCTGCTGTGGGCCAACAGGAGGCGCAGCGAAAATTTGAATTTTGTTTTCTATATATACTTATTCATTGACTGATTGGTCATCATTTTGAATCATGAAGCTTCCTCTGCTGCTGCTCTGCTCTGTGCTGCTGCTCTCCATCTCAGGTCTGTCTCTTTTTAAAGGTTTATTTATCACATGTTTAAGCTACAGAGTCAAAACTCTTTACTGGCCAAAGTACCAACTTGAAGAGCTCCAAACTGATTGAACCTCAAACTGACCACAGTTACTCTGCTGTCACTGTGATGATTAATCTTGGAACAGAGCTCAGATTAAAGGCCAGTGGAAAAAAGTTTTTTGGACTTTAGGATTCATTAAGGGAATTATTCATTCATGGACATGTTGATTTATGATGAATAGAGTGTAAACACAGATTAGTGTGTTTATTTTTGTTTGCTTTAACATGTTTTTTGTTTTTTTACAGACAGACTGTGACATTAATGTGTTAACTATGAACTGTTTCTGACTATGATCTAAGTATGCATTACTGAACTCCATTAATCAGGACTGAAATTCTATCTTCATAAGGGAAAAGGCTGTGAGATGAAATAGTTCCTCTTTCACAGGTTGTCAACCTCACTTCAGGTCCTTTTTACAGAGACAGAAAAGATGCAGAGTGATGATCTGCTGGGTCACATTTCTGAGCCAAACACTGTGACATCTTCCCATTGTTCTCTAATGAATGTGTTTGTGTGTCTTCAGAGATACGGACTGATATTAGATTGTTTTTTTATCCAGTTTTCTCATAGAGGAGGCTTTGGTTTTTTCTCTCAGTCCATGTGACCGTTTTACAGCAATAAAACATAGCTTTAAGCTCCACCACAGTGAGCAATAATCATTGGAGGACAGTAAAGAATTGTATTTAGTCTCCTCAAAGAATAATACTACAGCGAATACTCAAAAATGGACTTTGCCATGACCGACATTAACACACAACAGGTGGATATTTTTTCCCACCTTATTGTTCACAGGTTGTAACCTTAGAACCTTGCTTCTCTTCACACACCTGACTGTTGTCTACTGTATTATTTAGAAAATTAAAAAAATTAGACCGGTCCCTTTTAAAGCTTTAAATCTCTTCTCTGACAGAAAAGCCACACCTGCCACATTCATCTACAGATTATTACTGAGATAGGAGTCACTCTCTGTTCAATTGAATCTCATGTGTAATGTGTGTACGTGCATGCGTGCATTTGTGTGTGTGTGTGTGTGTGTGTGTGTGTAGTCCTGTCTCAGGAAAATGAGGGTCCAGCTGACGGACAAGGAGACTGTGCTGAACCCTGGGCGGTAAGACTCAGAAACACACACATTAACACACTAATACTCATGCAGAGCTCAGAGGAGTGGTGTGTTTCCGTTGATGTTAAGTTGTAAACATGATTTTGTCACTTCTAAACCTTCTGGGGTGAATTTACCAAGAACAGAGTGGAGTTGCCTTTTGTACCATGAGTTGTGCATCATTTGTGTAGGGGAATCTCTTCATACATTTAGGTTAAGAAATATAGAGTAATTATCTTTTAGTAAGAAGCTACAAATAATCTAGGTTGGCCTGCTCCTGCAGCCCCACGACCATGAGATTGTAAGCAAGGCTGTCTTGCAGGAGCCCGAACTATCTGTCTGTTGGAACATTTAATCTCTGCCAGGGTCAAGACGAACCTAAACAAAGTGTCGTGGGGCAGACATGTCATCATGAGGGGCCTTCTGGAGAATTCACATACACACACACACACACACACACACACACACACACACACACACACACACACACACACACACACACACACACACACACAGGATAAAAGGGAGTAGAAGAAAAGCTAGGGAGGCTTCCTTCGGTCTTGGTCGAGACTCTGTTTGTCATCTGTACCGATTTCTACATCTGTACTATTAAAGACGCCCCAGGCTGTTCTTCAGATCTCATCCTGTCTCCTGTGCACTGTTTTACTAAGTTTATGCTGGACTTTCTACAACATTTGCCTCTGCTCTGAGCTCCATCTCCACCACTCATGTACATTTGTGTAGTAATTAAAGGCTACAAATTTATTGATGAGATGTGTGTGTGTGTTTTTGCATGTGTGTGTGCGTGTGTGTTTTATCCAGGCCCGTTGTGAGAAATACAACTTACCTATCTGCCATCGGGATCTTAACCCTGTTTGTGGTGATGATGGGGAAACCTACAGTAACGAGTGTACACTCTGTTTTCGCAACTTGTAAGATGTGCGCACACACACGCACGCACACACACACACACACACACACACACACACACACACACACACACACACACACACACACACACACACACACACACAAATCTGCTCTTTCAATCCTTTCTACCTGTTAAGGTAATTCGTGGAGACAGTTGATTACTGGACAGCTGACCAGTAACTTCTGCTCTGAGATCAATCTGATGTTTTCATCCATTGTCTGTGCTCTTACTGAGCTCAGATCAATGGATGGCTTAGTTTGAGCAGAGAGAGCAGTGTGTTGTTAGCATGCAGATGGATCACGATGGCTGCATCATTGAGTTTAAAGAGATTTTAGGGTGAACAGGTTGTATTTCTGTGAGTTGGGCTCTTTTATGCTCTAGTGAGACTTTATGAGATTCTGGATACATGATTTTGGCCAGTATGCAGTATGTCTCCAGAAAATAAAAACAGGCTGAGAGAGGAACCCTGAGGAACACCATACTGAGGTTTATCAGAGAGACAGAAAAACTCCTGTCAGAGATATATTTACAGTCTATAGCTCCCACACTCTGATTTCTCAAAGACTAGTTTTACAATATTCGTATTAACTCCACACACACATTTCAAATGTAAAAACTAACTCCTTGAATATTCTGTTTTTTTTTGTTTTGTTTTTGTTTTTCTACAGGGAGAATCACGCCACTGTGAAAATTCTGAGAGAAGGGAAATGCGATTAACTGCTGTGTGCCACACACATGCACACACATACTGAATAAAGTCTCATACTGATTCCCTCACACCCTCTGTCTGTGTGTTTATTTCACTTGAACTCTGAAGATAAAGCAGACTCTGAAACACTAATCTCCATGTTTGGAGCTCGACCACCTACCTCATGTTTTTGCCTGTTCAGACCCAACAGTAAATTAATGAATAACTCTGAGAAACAACAAAACACTGCGCTGTTAGGATAAAATATTACCTTACACCCACAAACATTTTACATAACAAAACAACAAATGTTAACAAAATCTGTATTGGAAAACACGCAAAGAATAAAGAAAATATTAAAATGTTTAAGAAAAACAAAAACTTTTTGAAAACAAAAATATTTTGGAAACAGATATTTTCAAAACACAAGGGAACTTTGATAAAGGAAAAAATATTATAAAACCATTAAAATTGTTTATAAAATGCAAATTTTGGAACCATGAAAATATTTTGAAAACACAAATAAATTTGTAAATACAAAAATATTTTAAAAAACAAAAATAGTTATGAGAAAACACTATAATACTTAAGAGTATAAAAAAAATTTATCTTACCTAAAAATGTTCTGCTCTCAAAATGTTTTGCTGCCAAAGGGGTAGGGGTAGGGCCAAACCACTTGATTGTGATGGGACAAAATTGAGGTGCTGAAGTATTTAACATTTTTGTATTTTCAAAATATATTTGCTTTTTTAATTATTATTCCTTTTTTTTGCTGAGATCTGTGCCTTAGCAGTGAAGGATCAAAACGCTCATGAATCAGTCTGCCAAAGGGGATCAGGTCTGCTTGGGAACTCATCTCTTAAATTTTCCTGAACACTTTTATTTGTGAGTCAGTCCTGATCTTGCACAATATTGGGGTCTATCAAATTTATCTCCTACAGTTCTGTTGTATTTTGCTGTCTGCGTTGTGCACTGTGTATGGGATTTTGATGGTCTATTAAGTGAAGTTTATCATTATATATAATAATCAGAAGGATATTAGTGTTAGATTTAAAAAAAACGGATTCCCGATGACGAATTTCAGTACTCTGATCAGACGCAACGGTCGTTGTAACCACTAGGGGGCACTGCTGCACAGGAAACTCCGTAAGTCTTAATATACAAGCATGTAGTTCCTGCTGCGGGCCAACAGGAGGCGCAGCGAAAATTTGAATTTTGTTTTCTATATATACTTATTCATTGACTGATTGGTCATCATTTTGAATCATGAAGCTTCCTCTGCTGCTGCTCTGCTCTGTGCTGCTGCTCTCCATCTCAGGTCTGTCTCTTTTTAAAGGTTTATTTATCACATGTTTAAGCTACAGAGTCAAAACTCTTTACTGGCCAAAGTACCAACTTGTAAAACTCTAAACTGATTGAACCTCAAACTGACCACAGTTACTCTGCTGTCACTGTGATGATTAATCTTGGAACAGAGCTCAGATTAAAGGCCAGTGGAAAAAAGTTTTTTGGACTTTAGGATTCATTAAGGGAATTATTCATTCATGGACATGTTGATTTATGATGAATAGAGTGTAAACACAGATTAGTGTGTTTATTTTTGTTTGCTTTAACATGTTTTTTTGTTTTTTACAGACAGACTGTGACATTAATGTGTTAACTATGAACTGTTTCTGACTATGATCTAAGTATGCATTACTGAACTCCATTAATCAGGACTGAAATTCTATCTTCATAAGGGAAAAGGTTGTGAGATGAAATAGTTCCTCTTTCACAGGGTGTCAACCTCACTTCAGGTCCTTTTTACAGAGACAGAAAAGATGCAGAGTGATGATCTGCTGGGTCACATTTCTCTGAGCTAAACACTGTGACATCTTCCCATTGTTCTCTAACGAATGTGTTTGTGTGTCTTCAGAGATACGGACTGATATTAGATTATTTTTTATCCAGTTTTCTCATAGAGGAGGCTGTGGTTTTTTCTCTCAGTCCATGTGACCGTTTTACAGCAATAAAACATAAATTTATGCTCCACCACAGTGAGCAATAATCATTGGAGGACAGTAAAGAATTGTAATAAGTCTCCTCAAAGAATAATACTCCAGCGAATACTCAAAAATGGGACTTGGCCATGACCGACATTAACACACAACAGGTGGATATTTTTTCCCACCTTATTGTTCACAGCTTGTAACCTTAGAGCCTTGCTTCTCTTCACACACCTGACTGTTGTCTACTGTATTATTTAGAAAATTAAAAAAATTAGACCGGTCCCTTTTAAAGCTTTAAATCTCTTCTCTGACAGAAAAGCCACACCTGCCACATTCATCTAAAGATTATTACTGAGATAGGAGTCACTCTCTGTTCAATTGAATCTCATGTGTAATGTGTATACGTGCATGCGTGCATTTGTGTGTGTGTGTGTGTGTGTGTGTGTGTAGTCCTGTCTCAGGAAAATGAGGGTCCAGCTGACGGACAAGGAGACTGTGCTGAACCCTGGGCGGTAAGACTCAGAAACACACACATTAACACACTAATACTCATGCAGAGCTCAGAGGAGTGGTGTGTTTCCGTTGATGTTAAGTTGTAAACATGATTCCGTCACTTCTAAACCTTCTGGGGTGAATTCACCAAGAACAGAGTGGAGTTGCCTTTTGTACCATGAGTTGTGCATCATTTGCCTCTGCTCTGAGCTCCATCTCCACCACTCATGTACATTTGTGTAGTAATTAAAGGCTACAAATTTATTGATGAGATGCGTGTGTGTGTGTTTTTGCGTGTGTTTTTGTGTGTGCGTGTGTGTTTTATCCAGGCCCATTGTGAGAAATACGACTTACCTTACTGCTTTAAGGTTTATAACCCTGTTTGCGGTGATGATGGCGTAACCTACAGTAACGAGTGTACACTCTGTTTTCACAACTTGTAAGATGTGCACACACACACACACACGCACGCACGCACAACCACACACACACACACACACACACACACACACACACACACACACACACACACACACACACACACACACACACACACACAAATCTGCTCTTTCAATCCTTTTCTACCTGTTAAGGTAATTCGTGGAGACAGTTGATTACTGGACAGCTGACCAGTAACTTCTGCTCTTAGATCAATCTGATGTTTTCATCCATTGTCTGTGCTCTTACTGAGCTCAGATCAATGGATAGCTTAGTTTGAGCAGAGAGAGCAGTGTGTTGTTAGCATGCAGATGGATCATGATGGCTGCATCATTGAGTTTAAAGAGATTTTAGGGTGAACAGGTTGTATTTCTGTGAGTTGGGCTCTTTTATGCTCTAGTGAGACTGTGAGATTCTGGATACATGATTTTGGCCAGTATGCAGTATGTCTCCAGAAAATAAAAAGAGGCTGAGAGAGGAACCCTGAAGAACACCATACTGAGGTTTATCAGAGAGACAGAAAAACTCCTGTCAGAGATATATTTACAGTCTATAGCTCCCACACTCTGATTTCTCAAAGACTATTTTTACAATATTCGTATTAACTCCACACACACATTTCAAATGTAAAAACTAACTCCTTGAATGTTCTGGGGGTTTTTTTGTTTGTTTTTCTACAGGGAGAATCACGCCACTGTGAAAATCCTGAGAGAAGGGGAATGCGATTAACTGCTGTGTGCCACACGCATGCACACACATACTGAATAAAGTCTCATACTGATTCCCTCACACCCTCTGTCTGTGTGTTCATTTCACTTGAACTCTGAAGATAAAGCAGCGTCTGAAACACTGATCTCCATGTTTGGAGCTCGACCACCTACCTCATGTTTTTACCTGTTCAGACCCAACAGTAAATTAATGAATAACTCTGAGAAACATCAAAACACTGCGCTGTTAGGATAAAATATTACCTTACACCCACAAACATTTTACATAACAAAACAACAAACATTAACAAAATCTGTATTGGAAAACACACAAAGAATAAAGAAAATATTAAAATGTTTAAGAACAACAAAAACATTTTGAAAACAAAAATAGTTGGAAACAGATATTTTCAAAACATAAGAGAACTTTGATAAAGGAAAAAATATTGTAAAACCATTAAAATTGTTTATAAAACGCAAATCTTGGAACCATGAAAATATTTTGAAAACACAAATAAATTTGTAAATACAAAAATATATAAAAAAAAAAAAATAGTCATGAGAAAAAACAATAATACTTAAGAGTATAAAGAAAAATTCTCTTACCTAAAAATGTTCTGCTCTCAAAATATTTTGCTGCCAAAGGGGTAGGGGTAGGGCCAAACCACTTGATTGTGATGGGACAAAATTGAGGTGCTGAAGTATTTAACATTTTTGTATTTTCAAAATATATTTGCTTTTTTAATTATTATCACCTTTTTTTTAATTAGTGTTGATCTGTGGTTTAAAAATCGGTCTGCTTTTTATACAAAGTACTAGGGCCGAAAGTCTGTTGATCCTGGAGAATTCTCAGATATTAACCCATTCAGACAGCACATTTACATGTTGTTCAAAAGTTAGGATTTTTGCCTTAGTTGGACTGGGACTGGACCTCTGGTATTTTGGCCTCCTGTGTGGAATAGATAATTCACAAAAATAAAGTTGATTTAACTCTATAGCTCCTGGAACTCACTATGCAACATGTACCTGCCCTCCTCAAAGCATGTGTCATGTCCTTTGTTGCAGCATTTCTTATTTCTTAATTTCCTGTTTTTTTTGTCCTGTCATATGTTTTTGTGTAACTGTAGCCTAGTACTTTTGAAAAGTCATCAGTGAAAAAAAAAAGGTGCATCCTCTCTCGGATCAATGTGAAAGTGCATTTTTAAAACTGTAACAAAACAAACTCCAACCACAGTATGAAGAAACTGAAAAGAAACAAACTATAAAGTCAGTTGAACAGAGAAGAAGAAGACGACCTTTATTGATCCCCGAGGGGAAATTCATTGAGATATATAATATATAATATACCCCTCAGAGCAGGTGTACATTAGTTTTACTTTAAATACATGCTATATGATCTTTGTCTGTTTTTAAGGTTTATAAAATAAAGGGTGTCACATTTATTTATTTACCACTAACCCTAACCAATAACAATGTAATCAACAAATTATTAAAAGTGTTTCATAGTTTTATTAAAAGGTCTTTATACCCAGCATAATTTAAAATGATTAAATTCTGGAAGTCGTCAAGCTTCCTGTGTTTATCTAAAGCAATGTTTTTACATGCATATCAATCACGTTTAACATAACTGTAATATATGGTGTCATCTCTCCTGTTTAAGCTTCTTTGAACCGGCTTTCTACTTGTTCTTCGATTTTACTGATGACTTTTAAAGCTCCCCATTGCTTTTTTTCAGCTAGAACATCTGATAGTGCTGTTTGAGCTGACACATACAAGATCCATCTGCTGAGATCTGTGCCTTAGCAGTGAAGGATCAAAACTCTCATGGATCAGTCTGCCAAAGGGGATCAGGTCTGCTTAGTAACTCATCTCTTAAATTTTCCTGAACACTTTTATTTGTGAGTCAGTCCTGATCTTACACAATATTGGGGTCTATCAAATTTATCTCCTACAGTTCTGTTGTATTTTGCTGTCTGCGTTGTGCACTGTATATGGGATTTTGATGGTCTATTAAGTGAAGTTTATCATTATATATATTAATCAGAAGGATATTAGTGTTAGATTTAAAAAAAAACGGATTCCCGATGACGAACATCAGTACTCTGATCAGACGCAACGGTCTTTGTAACCACTAAGGGGCACTGCTGCACAGGAAACTCCGTAAGTCTTAATATACAAGCATGTAGTTCCTGCTGCGGGCCAACAGGAGGCGCAGCGAAAATTTGAATTTTGTTTTCTATATATACTTATTCATTGACTGATTGGTCATCATTTTGAATCATGAAGCTTCCTCTGCTGCTGCTCTGCTCTGTGCTGCTGCTCTCCATCTCAGGTCTGTCTCTTTTTTAAGGTTTATTTATCACATGTTTAAGCTACAGAGTCAAAACTCTTTAATGGCCAAAGTACCAACTTGTAAAGCTCCAAACTGATTGAACCTCAAACTGACCACAGTTACTCTGCTGTCACTGTGATGATTAATCTTGGAACAGAGCTCAGATTAAAGGCCAGTGGAAAAAAGTTTTTTGGACTTTAGGATTCATTAAGGGAATTATTCATTCATGGACATGTTGATTTATGATGAATAGAGTGTAAACACAGATTAGTGTGTTTATTTTTGTTTGCTTTAACATGTTTTTTGTTTTTTACAGACAGACTGTGACATTAATGTGTTAACTATGAACTGTTTCTGACTATGATCTAAGTATGCATTACTGAACTCCATTAATCAGGACTGAAATTCTATCTTTATAAGGGAAAAGGCTGTGAGATGAAATAGTTCCTCTTTCACAGGTTGTCAACCTCACTTCAGGTCCTTTTTACAGAGACAGAAAAGATGCAGAGTGATGATCTGCTGGGTCACATTTCTGAGCCAAACACTGTGACATCTTCCCATTGTTCTCTAACGAATGTGTTTGTGTGTCTTCAGAGATACGGACTGATATTAGATTGTTTTTTTATCCAGTTTTCTCATAGAGGAGGCTGTGGTTTTTTCTCTCAGTCCATGTCACCGTCTTACGGCAATAAAACATAGCTTTAAGCTCCACCACAGTGAGCAATAATCATTGGAGGACAGTAAAGAATTGTATTTAGTCTCCTCAAAGAATAATACTACAGCGAATACTCAAAAATGGACTTTGCCATGACCTACATTAACACACAACAGGTGGATATTTTTTCCCACCTTATTGTTCACAGCTTGTAACCTTAGAGCCTTGCTTCTCTTCACACACCTGACTGTTATCTACTGTTTTATTTAGAAAATTAAAAAATTAGACCGGTCCCTTTTAAAGCTTTCAATCCCTTCTCTGACAGAAAAGCCACACCTGCCACATTCATCTACAGATTATTACTCAGATTGGAGTCACTCTCTGTTCAACTGAATCTGATGTGTAATGTGTATACGTGCATGCGTGCATGTGTGTGTGTGTGTGTGTGTGTGTGTGTAGTCCTGTCTCAGGAAAATGAGGGTCCACCTGATGGACAAGGAGACTCTGCTGAACCCTGGGCGGTAAGACTCAGAAACACACACATTAACACACTAATACTCATGCAGAGCTCAGAGGAGTGGTGTGTTTCCGTTGATGTTAAGTTGTAAACATGATTTCGTCACTTCTAAACCTTCTGGGGTGAATTTACCAAGAACAGAGTGGAGTTGCCTTTTGTACCATGAGTTGTGCATCATTTGCCTCTGCTCTGAGCTCCATCTCCACCACTCATGTACATTTGTGTAGTAATTAAAGGCTACAAATTTATTTATGAGATGCGTGTGTGTGTGTGTTTTTGCGTGTGTTTTTGTGTATGTGTTTTTGTGTTTTATCCAGGCGCATTGTGAGAAATACAAATTACCTTACTGCCATCGGGATTATAACCCTGTTTGTGGTGATGATGGCGTAATCTACAGTAACGAGTGTACACTCTGTTTTCACAACTTGTAAGATGTGCACACACACACACACACACACACACGCACGCACGCACGCACGCAGGCACACACACACACACACACACACACACACACACACACACACACACACACACACACAAATCTGCTCTTTCAATCCTTTCTACCTGTTAAGGTAATTCCTTGAGACAGCTGAGTTCTCAGAGTTTTTTTGTGACCACTAATATCTGCTCTGAGATCAATCTGATGTTTTCATCCCATTGTCTTTGCTCTTACTGAGCTCAGATCAATGGATAGCTTAGTTTGAGCAGAGAGAGCAGTGTGTTGTTAGCATGCAGATGGATCACGATGGCTGCATCACCGAGTTTAAAGAGATTTTAGGGTGAACAGGTTGTATTTCTGTGAGTTGGGCTCTTTTATGCTCTAGTGAGACTTTGTGAGATTCTGGATACATGATTTTGGCCAGTATGCAGTATGTCTCCAGAAAATAAAAAGAGGCTGAGAGAGGAACCCTGAGGAACACCATACTGAGGTTTATCAGAGAGACAGAAAAACTCCTGTCAGAGATATATTTACAGTCTATAGCTCCCACACTCTGATTTCTCAGACTAGTTTTATAATATTCGTATTAACTCCACACACACATTTCAAATGTAAAAACTAACTCCTTGAATATTGTTCAAGATTTTTTTTTTGTTTTTCTACAGGGAGAATCACGCCACTGTGAAAATCCTGAGAGAAGGGAAATGCGATTAACTGCTGTGTGCCACACACATGCACACACATACTGAATAAAGTCTCATACTGATTCCCTCACACCCTCTGTCTGTGTGTTTATTTCACTTGAACTCTGAAGATAAAGCAGAGTCTAAAACACTGATCTCCATGTTTGGAGCTCGACCACCTACCTCATGTTTTTGCCTGTTCAGACCCAACAGTAAATTAATGAACAACTCTGAGAAACATCAAAACACTGCGCTGTTAGGATAAAATATTACCTTACACCCACAAACATTTTACATAACAAAACAAAAAACGTTAACAAAATGTGTATTGGAAAACACACAAAGAATAAAGGAAATATTAAAATGTTTAAGAAAAAAAAAAACATTTTGAAAATAAAAATATTTTGGAAACAGATATTTTCAAAACATAAGAGAACTTTGATAAAGGAAAAAATATTATAAAACCATTAAAATTGCTTATAAAATGCAAATTTTGGAACCATGAAAATATTTTGTAAACACAAATAAATTTGTAAATACAAAAATATTTTAAAAAACAAAAATACTTATGAGAAAACTCAATAATACTTAAGAGTATAAAAAAATTCTCTTACCTAAAAATGTTCTGCTCTCAAAATGTTTTGCTGCCAAAGGGGTAGGGGTAGGGCCAAACCACTTGATTGTGATGGGACAAAATTGAGGTGCTGAAGTATTTAACATTTTTGTATTTTCAAAATATATTTGCTTTTTTAATTATTATCACTTTTTTTTTAATTAGTGTTGATCTGTGGTTTAAAAATCGGTCTGCTTTTTATACAAAGTACTAGGGCCGAAAGTCTGTTGATCCTGGAGAATTCTCAGATATTAACCCATTCAGACAGCACATTTACATGTTGTTCAAAAGTTAGGATTTTTGCCTTAGTTGGACTGGGACTGGACCTCTGGTATTTTGGCCTCCTGTGTGGAATAGATAATTCACAAATATAAAGTTGATTTAACTCTATAGCTCCTGGAACTCACTATGCAACACGTACCTGCCCTCCTCAAAGCATGTGTCATGTCCTTTGTTGCAGCATTTCTTATTTCTTAATTTCCTGTTTTTTTTGTCCTGTCATATGTTTTTGTGTAACTGTAGCCTAGTACTTTTGAAAAGTCATCAGTGAAAAAAAAAAGGTGCATCCTCTCTCGGATCAATGTGAAAGTGCATTTTTAAAACTGTAACAAAACAAACTCCAACCACAGTATGAAGAAACTGAAAAGAAACAAACTATAAAGTCAGTTGAACAGAGAAGAAGAAGACGACCTTTATTGATCCCCGAGGGGAAATTCATTGAGATATATAATATCTCAATGAATATATATATAAAATATATAATATCCCCTCAGAGCAGGGGTACATTAGTTTTACTTTAAATACATGCTATATGATCTTTGTCTGTTTTTAAGGTTTATAAAATAAAGGGTGTCACATTTATTTATTTACCATTAACCCTAACCCTAACCAATAACAATGTAATCAACAAATTATTAAAAGTGTTTCATAGTTTTATTAAAAGGTCTTTATACCCAGCATAATTTAAAATGATTAAATTCTGGAAGTCGTCAAGCTTCCCGTGTTTATCTAAAGCAATGTTTTTACATGCATATCAATCACGCTTAACATAACTGTAATATATGGTGTCATCTTTCCTGTGTAAGCTTCTTCTTACACTTCTTACTTCTTACGCAACAGTCTTTGTAACCACTAGGGGGCACTGCTGCACAGGAAACTCCGTAAGTCTTTAAGTCTTAATACACAAGCATGTAGTTCCTGCTGCGAGCCAACAGGAGGCGCAGCGAAAATTCATATTTTGTTTTCTTTATTTACTTATTTATTGATTGATTGGTTGATTGGTTCGCTTAGTTGCTGCTTTATTTAATTATCTATGAGGTGTTTTTTCTTCTCTTTTGATATCCAGGAGATTTACAATGCTCTCTCCCTCCCTCCCCTCTCTCTCTATTCCGTGTGTGTGTGTGTGTGTGTGTGTGTGTGTGTGTGTGTGTGTGTGTGTGTGTGTGTGGCTCGAGCTCCAGCCAGACAGACGCCAGTGGAGTTGTGTGAGCGCGAGCCCCCTCCACTCTGTGAGCACTGAGTCCGTTCTCAGGCTGCACGCGCTGATCTGATCCAGGACCAGCACCGGGAGACCGGGAACTGTCTCTGGACCAGTACCACTGCATTGAGGACCGAACGTGCTGGGATCAGATTAGAGGATTGAACGATTATTGTTTATGACAACTTCATTTTAAAAAGTGATCTGGACATCTTGCTACTGAGAGGAGAGCTCGAGTACCGGCACAGAGACCATCATCATCATTATCATCATCATCATCATCTTTATCATCATTATCATCATCAACAACAACAACAACTACAACAACCTTATGAAGAATCATCACGCTGCTATACTTGTCACAGGACTGTCAGGTGGAGAGAAACACTTACTACTGAACTCTGTGTGTATGCGCGCGCGCGTGTGTACGTGCGTGTGTACGTGTTCATGTGTAAGTGTGCTTATGTTTGCAGAGAGTCTGTGTGAAACGGGGTGACAATCTGATTCAGATCAGTGTGTTTCTCAGAGTGTCTAAACTTTTCTGTCCATTCTTCTGCAGAGCAGCTGCAGCTCTGCAGCCGGCCTGTACTCACTTTGTGTGTGTGTGTGTGTGTGTGTGTGTGTGTGTGTGTGCGGGTTATTCACAGAGCTGCTATGCAGACTGAGTGGAGCCACAGTCAGACAGCCTCACTGTGAGCTCAGAGAGAAACTCACAGCTGACACAGCTCTGCAGGGACGGACAGCAGATGTTTCTCTGCTCTCAGAGCTGAACCAGACTGAAGTGGACTGAAGAGTACAGTGTGGACTAAAGAGGATTGAAGTGGACTTTGTGGAATGAAGGATCCTGTGTGGACTGATGTGGATTATTCAGTTGTGCAGACTGACTGGAGCCACAGTGACACAAATCCTACCAGAGTGAACAGTCAGTTTGTTCAGGTGTTTGATTGACCTCTTCATCACAATCTCCTGCACAGACCTGTACCTGGACTTTAGCTCAGTCTGAATCTTCTGACTTGCTGAGGGTGATGGACCTGATGTTTCCAGCAGGTGAAGGGTTGGACAGGTGACAGAGACTGCTGTTTTTGCTGCTTGTAGCCTCTGCTTGTTCTTAGTTTGATCCTTGCAGACGTCAGAAAACATGAAGAATCCTCATCAGGTCACTAACACCTGGACCAGGTCCATCAGCAAAGACCCGGTTCTGGTCCCCAGCAAGAAGTTCAAGAGGAAATCCAGAGAACCTAAAAGACTCTTCAGTGACCCGGACCTTGACAGGACTAAGTGTTTCCCTGCAGATGGGTCTGATGCAGACTCTGCAGATGAGGGGGGTCCTATCAGCAGGTTGGACCCCCAGCAGAGACACTTGATGGAGATGGGGTCTAGGTCTGCAGGGATCCTGTCAGAGGGGGTTGGTGCACCAGCTCACAGTGGGGCCTTGGACATGAGGATCGGCTACAATGTGCCATCTATCACCTCCAGACTGACCCAAGTACCCCTATCTACCCTCTCTGAGATCTCACACTGGCCCCCCACCATCTCCCAGCCTCTGAGCCACAGACTCAGACTGAGCCGCTCCACCCTAACCCCATCAGCACCCACCACCTCCAGCCTCTCCATGGAGCCATCCCAGTCAGGACCACTTACAGCCCTGTCTGGATCCAGAACCCCCCAGTCCTCGCAGACTCCCCTGATACAGGATTACGTGGAGCCTCAGGTCCTGCCCCAAAAGGTAAGTGTTTTGGGCTCCTGAGTAAATACACATTGGAGTGTGTGTGTTTGTGCATATTGTCTATCTATCTAATTTATATAGATAGATAGATAGATAGATAGATAGATAGATAGATAGATAGATGGTTTTATCCAGGTTTATGTCATCCTGGATCACATGATCCTGACTTTTGTGAGTCTGGTTTATCTGGTCCTTGTTCTTGTGATCCTGTATCATGTCAACCTGGTTTTACATCACATGTCTCAGTCACCCATTCACACCACATGTATACATGGATGGTAGAGGCTGTCATGTATACAGCCCACCAGTTTTTGACTTACACCATGCCCACTAATCGCTTGCCCATGTCTCAGATCACGCTGGGTTAAGAGTGCTAGTCCAAGTCTTAGTCCTTATCAAAGTTTTGGTCCAAGTCTGGTTCTGAGGTCAGTTTCTAGCCAAGGTCTGAGTCAAGTTCAAGTCTAATTCCGAAACTCAATCCAAGTCTAGGTCTAGGCCTGAGTCAGGCTCAAGGGCCAGTCCAGTGGACCAGTGGCGTGACTCTTGTGTCAGTTATAATGTTCTGATGTTCTGAAACACACCTGTCAGTGTCACCGTGAATCGAGATCAAGTTTGTAATAAGAATCTCTCTCAGGACTCACCAAGGAAGAGGACAGGGCTGATTGTTGATGGACCTGGACCTGGGCCTGGACCTGGACCCGTATCTGGGCCTGGGCCTGGATCTGGACGTGTTCCAGAGGTGAAAGCCATCCAGCAAACCCGCAGACTTCTTGCTAACGCCAGAGAAAGAACCAGAGTACACACCATCAGTGCTGCATTTGAAGCCCTGAGGAAGCAGGTGAAACTGAAACAGATACACATGCACCCATGTACCCATGCATGCTCTTATAGCAGATGGTCAGATCTCTGCAGTCAGTCTCTCTTCAGTCTCTCTAATCATCAGGCTGAATGTTTTTTTGGTTTTTCATTTTAATTAAAGGTGGGGTAGGCAGGATTCTGTTAAAGAAGCATCTTTTTTGTGGTGTATATACAAAAAAGCTTTTAATATCAGTCAATAGCTATTAGTTATTGATGACATTTGGTAATATCACGATATTGCTGTGTTTTCTCATATCTGTGTAGTCAACATTTTGAATTTTTTTGAGTGGCCTACTCTGTCTGACTGTAAACAAAGCCATTCTTCGCCTCCCCCAACCTGATTGGTTGTGAGGCAGACGCTGCTCCCCCATGTCGTTCACGATCCCAAACAGTTAGCGTGCTACAATGTTGTAGAAACAAACCAGAAAGTACGGAAAATTATCTGAATCCTTCTTTGGCCATGACTGCCAACACAAGCAGAAAAACTAAGTAAATACCAGAGACTTTGGCGGAATAACAGGCACTTAAAATGGAGGAAGACTGGACAAGAGCTAATAAGCCTGCTCAACATCAATGATTAAACGATGGGGGGGGCTTCAGGATCTGGACCCTGTAACCTTTCTGCTGGACAGGTAAACCGTTTTATAAAGTAAGCCAAGTGTCTGTAACAGAAGTTTCTTGTCAAACGGGACCTGCTGCATGTTGTAGCGCTGCTAAACTGTTTACCTCGGGTCCTGGAGTAGGTCACTTTATCCTAGTTGTAGAAGTCCTGCAAACATTGTGTTTGCTGGTAGTCTGTTGGCATCCAATCCAATCAATTGGCATCCAGTAGCACTAATGCTTTTTACCTTCATGTTGACTGGGCTCCATTTGTAATTATCTAAAGTATTTATCTGCATTATATCTGAATTTAATTGAAACGATACAAGCGAGCGGGAGCGCCTGTTTGTGGGCGGGGCTTGCTGGAGCAGAAACTGAGGGGAGAGGAGGAGCTGAGGGGAAAACTGGTTGGGAGGGGTAGTGTTTACATTCAAGATTCCTCCAAAAAACTGGCACTTCCTCAGATCCTGACTACCCCACCTTTAATTCATCATTTATTAACAGACCACCAACACTGACACACTACAACTCTACTTCAACTGTGAAGTTTATGTGTCTCCCGGAGAGTGACTGTTCAAGGTGAGTTTGACTGACACCCTGCCAATCATACTCTCTATGTGCAGGTTCCCTGTTACTCATATGGGCAGAAGCTGTCAAAGCTGGCCATCCTACGTATCGCCTGTAACTACATCCTGTCTCTAGCTCAGCTAGCTGAGCTGGACTACAGTCCGGACCGCAGCAGTCTGAGCTTCTCTCAGTGTGTGGAGCAGTGCACCAGAACCCTACAGGCTGAGGGACGCAGCAAAAAGAGGAAGGTAAAAAGATTCTACTACTAGGAACTACTACATTCTACTAGGAAGGCTCAGGAAGCTGTTCACGCTAAGGTGCACAGTCAAAAAGATGGCTAGTGTGGTGATGGACAATGTGATTCTGGATGAATGTATGGAGGATAAATTTGACAAAATTAATGGATGGATAAATGGCAAGAGGGTGAATGAATGGATTGATGGATGGATGAATGAATGGATTGGGAAATGGTTGGGTGAATTGAGGGATGGATGTCTGGATATATGAATGGATTAAAGGATCCATAAAGATGGATGAATTGGTGGAATGATGGTTAGATTGATGACTGGACAGATGGATGTATGGATAGCTGTATGAATAGATAGATAGATGAATGGATGGATGAATGGTTGGATTAAAGGTTGGAGGATGGATGAATAAATGGGCTGATGAATGGTGGATGCATAGATGGATAAACTGGTAAATGGATAGATAGAGTGGTAACAGGTAAAGACTGATATACTGGTGGATGGGTTTAGTGATGGGATGTAAAGGTATGTTTAATGCATTAATGGGTGAATGGGGAAATGATTGATGTGTGTGTGTGTGTGTGTGTGTGTGTGTGTGTGTATTGGTGGCTGGATGGATGGATAAATAGGTTGGTGGATGTTGGTACTTAAGTGTGTATGTATTTGTTGATGGATGAATGGATGGATGAATGGATAAATGGATGGATTCCGCATGGGCGGATGTTTGTATGAAGGTATGTATGTATGGGTGGAAGATGGATGATGTTTGGATATAAAGAGGGGTCCATCCATTCCATGTGTTGATGGATGAATTGATGGTTGGGTGGTTTGATAAATGGATAGATGTATATGTGTATTTAGGTCTTTGGTATGTATGTGTGTGGATGAATGGATGAATTAGGAGGTAGTTGGATAACTGATTGGTAGATGCCTGTGTATTTGTATGTATGTACTGTATGGATTAATCAATTGATGGATATTTGATGAAGGGATGGATGTTTGATGAACAAATTATTGGATTTTTTTATTTTAGACTGTTGGGTAGATGAGAAAAGATGATAGATAGATAAAGATCTGATTAAATAGATGTAGACTTGATTCTGTAGAACTGGGTACTGGTGGAGTTTCATGTTAAGAATGATCAATGACATGATCAGTGTTGCTCTCAGTTTATTTGAAGAGAGCATGTGTCATCATGTGTTTGTTTTCTTCAGCTTTGTCGATGCCCCTTTATTCAGCTCCTGGTGTGTTCTGATAACGTCTGCACAAAACTGACTGATTATATTCGAACTGTAATATTTAAATGTGTCCAAACATCTGAACATATCCACACTGTCCTGTCAATGAAACAGTGTGGTAGTGGCTGTGGTGGTGTATTTGTGGCTGTGTGGATGTGTGTGTGCATGTGCGTGTGTGTTACAGTCAATCACTGACTTTGTGCAACTACACTCTGCACTCACACTGCTGTTCAGATGTAAACTAGCTCAGAGCTGTTTCTGTGTGTTACTGTGTGTTTGCATATATTCGTGTGTGTATGTGTGTGTGTGTGTGTGTGTGTGTGTGTGTGTGTGTGTGTGTGTGTGTGTGTGTGCTCAGTCCCAGACACCAGATGTTTAGAGTGGAGGGGAAGTGGAGCTGGCGCCATGAAGGGCAGAGGGCAGAGAGAAGGCACGCGAACTGAAACCACACACACACACACACACACACACACACACACACACACACACACACACACACACACTTGGCACATTCCCCAGCAGTCTCTGCAGCACATTCCCCTTCTCTCTCTCTCTCTGTCTCTCGTCCCTCTCTCGTCCCTCTCTCTCTCTCTCTGCAGGCCATCTGCTTCAACATACTTTGAAACAAGGAGGGGAAAAAACACAGTCATCATCAGCCTGTCAGACAGCAGCAGCTGCTAGTGTGTGTGTGTGTGAGTGGGTGTGTGTCTGTGTGTGTTGAAATGTTTTTTATTCTCTCAGAGACACTCAGTCTGAGTGCTCCGTTAGCTGAAAAACAGACATTTTTGTTTCTTTGTGATGTTTTAGCAGAACTCAGTGCTCGGACTCTGACTGATACCACTTTAAACAGGTTCATGTTTATTCAACTCTCCACTCTGACCTCATCATTGAAGCATTTCATTTCATTCAAATAGTGTCAGGTAGTAACTTAAGATTAATTTAAGTTGAAGTTTTTCATGCTGGACAGCTACATAACATGCTCTTTTTTTTAATATGGGTGCCCAGCATTAGTCAGCCATGAGACAGAATCACTTTCTTTTATAGGCAGAAACATCCAACAGAACCAGACTCACTGGATACCAGGACTAAACTTGAAATGTGTTGAGTCTGGATGAATTAACTCAATCCACAACAGTCAAGGCCCATAGTAGTCTCAGCCTACATCATTGTAGACCAAAAGCAGTCAAAGCCTACAGACCAATCCAACAAATGCTGGAAGCTACCAAGCCGCCAATACTGGGGTGGCGTCCTCTCAAAACATGAGTGCTTTTTAATGCAAACTGTGGCCATCCAAGCCTGTAGCAGTCAAAGCTCATTGCAGTCTAAGCCTATAGCAGTCTAAGCCTTGAGAAGTCTGAGCCTTAAGCAGTCTATGTCCACAGCAACTCAGTCTATGGCAGTCTGCACCTATAGCAGTCAAAGCTTATAGCAGTCTGAGCCTATAGCAGAAGCCTAGTTCTCTGTTGTCAGCCAATCAGATCATCTCAGTGTATGAACATGTGACCTGATCTGTGCACATGGAGACTCCTGAAAACCAGCAAATTGGAGACCTGTGTTTAACTTTCTGTTCTTTTGTTTTGTGTCAGGAGTGAACTCGACAGATGAATCAGGATCTGGATCAGTAACAGAATCAAGATGTGGATCAGGATGTGGACTCTGGATCCAGAAGGACTTTTAAGATGGTTGTTGGATGTTGCAGCAATGATCTTTCATCGTGGACTGACATCAGGATTTCAATGAAATCATCATCTTTGTGTGATGATCAGCTGATGTAGAGACTAATAACCCTGTTACCATAGAAACAGATGAACTCTGCTGTGTTATCATGAAGAAACATCATTTGCAGAATAAAGAAGCTTGTCAGATGTGACAAAAAACAACTCAAAAACCCTTAACTAAAACAGATATTAGACTGTAAAAAGCTCATTTGATTATTCATGAATTTACTCATTCAGCAGTGTTTAATAATTTAGTTTTAGCATTTTACTCCAGCCTCTTTCAGTTTATTTGTCTTCTGTATAAATAAAATATTTTAACGTGATCATATCCCTGTTTTTTTTTTTTTTTCAAATTAGGTTTCAAAGCTAAAAAACTTTTTTTTTAAAACAAACATTTTTAGAATTAGGTGGACTTAAATGATTTAATGTTTAATACTTCTGAAATTGTGAATGTGTGTGAGAAACAGTTTTGAAATAGCATTTAAAAACCTGCAGCAGAGACACACACACAGAGATTTTTTAGGCTAGAAACTGTGGATTCTTTTTGTTTTAGTGTATATGAATGTTTTTTTTTCATGCTCCTTCAGTCTTAAGAGGGAACCGGAGACTGACTTTAAATATCTGATTAAGCAAGCAGGGAACGTTTCTCTGTTAAAAATAGCAATATGATAGAGAGTACAGAAGAATCTCACTCATTCTTAGATAATTACTATGACAGTAATACGCTGTTTTTTATAAAACTATAATAACCACCAGAATAAACATTACAATAGGTTAACTGTTATTTTGACAAATAGAAAGCTATAAATATAGCAATTAGAGTCATAACTATAACAGTCAGCAGCATTACTTAACTCTTCATTGTCAAACACTCTGATATCAAACTCTTCATTAAATGATCTATTGGCTAAAGTGAGAACTCTCCTTTCATTAAGATCACACTGCCACCTGCTGTTTGTTTTAGATGAGTACTGTATTATCATGCCAGCACAGATGTTTTTTGAGGGGACACTGTTTGTGAGGTTTTTATAAGCCAGAAACAACGACAGATTGCAGACTTCTGTCTTTGTAAACCTGAATTGAAACACTCTTGATAGTGTATGAAAAACTTAAAACTCTTGTAACTCAATCAGCAGAGTGCCTTTAAAACATCAGTGGTCACAGAAGATCATTTAATGAATTATAGATAAAAATCTAGACTCTATATTTGTTGGCTAAAAACTGAAAAAATATCTAAACACTCTGTATGAATAATCTATAGATTTCAGATGGAGAATCTACAACCTCTTGCTTTTTCTTTTGCAGTCTCTTGATCAATTGTCTTCAAACTCTAGATAAATATTTTTTACCTACTGTATAAATAATCTACAAAAATTGGGTTCATAATTTACAGGTTTTTAATAGATTATCTATGTGTAAATTATTAATCTACAGTTTGTTGCTGATGATCCAGTGTTATTTGATAAAATATGTTGTGTATTTCTCATATCTCTCAATCAACAATCTAAAAAGCCTTGTCTCTTTTTACGAATAGGATTTATCTGCAATCTCATGATTGAAAATCTGCAAATGCTGGATTTATAAAATATTTTTTTTATAAACTCTGGATAAATAATTTACTAGCTCTGGATATTTTCTAAAATTAATCTACAGAATTTTTTTTTTTAAAACACAGTGAATGGATAATTATTAGATTTTGGACATATAATCTCTGTATTTATGCATAAATCCAAATATTCTGGGTTATTTATTCACAAATTCTGGATCAATTCTCCTAAAACCCCCAATCAGTAATCTTTAAATTCTTGAGTGGTTATCTTGAATCTCTTGATTTCTGATCTATAAATTCTGGATGAATTGTCTTGAACAGCTGGGCTTTTTGTTTACAAATTTTGAATCAATATATAAAATCTCCAGATTACCATATACACAGAAACACAGAGACAAGCTATCCCCAGTTTGCAGACTTTAATTTTCAGGTGATGCGCATGTTCATTGCTGATTTGAAAGTCAAATTAAAGTTCCTAAATGAAAAAATATTTCAACAAAACAATTCAGCTGACTTTCTTTTTCCTTCCTCTAGAGTTAAAGTGACAGAATCATCACAAGAGTCATTGAACTTTTAATAACTGTGAGCGTCTGCTCCAAACCCTCTCAGGTTCTGTTCTGCTGAAGACTGGACCCACCTGGGCTTTAAAGCTTTATTGTCTGTCTGGTTAGAGGAAGAGAACAGCAGAAATACCACGACTCCACCGATCAGATCACTTCTGCATGTCCTGGCCTCATAACGCATCATGTGCAAAATATGCCGGCATCCACTGCGCCAGTTTTTTTCACAATGGGAGGAAATGGAAGTGTCCATATTTATGTTCAGTCAGTGATCCTGATGATCCCTCTGTCACTTCTTTTTGCACATCAGGATGCTCTTCATTAAGATCAAAGAAAAACAGAGGTGTTGGTTTAGCTCAGTAGTAAAGTGTTTATGGCATGTCCTTATGGCATTGGTATTGGTTTGAGGTCAGTTGCTCATCACGCTCCACTCTCTCCTTCTATCATTTCCTTTCTCTCTTCACCTGTCCTGTCTTACAAAGGTAAAAATAGCCCAAAAATCCATCTTCAGAAAATAAAGAGAAAAAAAAAACATCTTTTAATTTAAGGAAGGTCGCTGCAGAGTCAAGTTCATATCTGATGAAGAGGAGACCATCTCGTTTGTTTAAGGAGAGTGTAATTTAATCCGATATGAGTTTTGAGTGTGGATACATGAGTAAAAATAATCTGAAGAAACTCTGAGTGAAAGCTGCTTCATCATAAACTCCTGACTGTCTATCTGTATGACTGACAGCCATCTGTACCGGGTTCAAATAGTCCTCCTCCTCCTCCTCCTCCTCCTTCTCAAGCGTGTCAGCGTGTCACCACACACACATCCAGGATGCAGAACCGAGCTCTGCAGGTGGGACATGGGACTCGACTGGACAGCCAAGTCTCAGGTCTCTGCTGGTCCTGACGACTCGCAAACCACCGACCCAGACAGGAAAGACACCACATGGGTCTGCAGAAACACTGCTGACAGTCCGAGTCTGAGTCTGAAACACACACACACACACACAAACAAACACACAGTTACACACAAGTACATACTTTCACACAAACACATAGTGGCACACTTAAAGGGATATTTCTATGTTTTGAATTGCGGTTGTATGTTATTAGTAGGTGTTCTAGTCACAATGGATGCAGTTTCTAGAGGTGGAGCTGACTGACATCCATTATAGCTAATACACCCAAGTGTTACCTTCAGAGTGGCAGAGTGTGACCAGCTTGCTGTTAGCAAGAACCTGCATACAGCCAATACAGGGCTCCAGATCCTGAACACACACACACAGACACCCGATTTAAAACTATGTTTAAGGAAACTTGTTCTGTATGTTACAGAGGTGGTCATAGACACACACACACACACACACAGAAGGAGTAGTGAGCATACCTGTCCACTGGGCAGTGTGTAGGTGGGGTTGAGCTCCACCTGAGCCCTGAATGTGTCCAGAAAGAGCTCACTGATGGTCTGATGGATCACCACGTTAGCAGAGCTCCTGATGGGAGCGTGGAGCTTCTCCCTGAGCTCAGAGTACTCTGTGGAGTTCACACTGACAAGCAGGAAAGAAGGGGTCAGTTAACACACACACACACAGGTAGGTTGAGGTAGAGGTAGAGGTAGAGGCAGGCAAAGGTAGATGAGAGGAGTGTGTACCTGATGTAGAAGGCTCTGGCTGCAGGGTTGATGCTGTCCACTCTCAGGGTGAGGATCTGTGTGGGTGAGGGGGAGTCTGGACTCAACTGGTGCTGTCTGGACTCTGTGACTGTCACATGACACTCTGACTGCAGGGCCATGTACACGTGATAGGTGGTCACCTGACACACACACACATAAACACACAGGTAAGTATGAACACGGTCACAGTGTCATAATTCAGAGACCTCTACAGCAGCTCAGATTTTTCACAGATGTGTTCATACAGGGTTTCTGAGTTTTCCAATAAAATTATGTGAAATCTTATCTGGTCCCTCAGATAAGAGACCAGGGAGAGCCTCAGTGCAGACTCTACCTCAGAGTCCAGACCTGTCCATCTATGTGTTTGAAAATTTGCCTCCATCCATGGTGTGAGGAGCATTCTGGGACTTTTGGTATCCTGGATGTGACTGATGGCCAGAAGCAAATGGTGGAGAAATATAGAGAAAATACATATAGCTGGGAGTACTGCTTTAATTGAAAAGACTTTTTAATTTAAGCCAAGAAGTGACATGGCCAAAGTGGGCGGGGCATCTGTTAGCATCCCGGCCACCCTGGTGTGTCAGTGCCATGAGGAAGAAGGTCATCAAAGTGCAGGCACGACTCAGAAAAATTAGAATACAGTAAAAAAGATAAGTTCAATATTTACCATCAGATATTTATGTTTCTGAAAAATTCAATCATGATAATTATGGTCTACAGTTCCAAAGATGTCAAAATACTTTTCTCAAACATAGAGAAGATTTTATTTCAACTCATTATTAAAACAGTATAAATACCATGGATCACCTGGTCTACTTCAGAACACGAAACCACAATCATGATTCAAACTGCCGACTTGACAGTTGTCCAGAGGACCATCTTTGACATTCTCCTCACGGACAGTCAAAAGGTCATTAGTAGAAAGGCTAATTGTTCACAGAGTGCTGTATGCAAACCAGAACTGTAGCACTCCAGTCCAGGGCACAGACTCCACTCCTGTCCTGACTCTTCTTGAACTCCAGCAGTGATGACTCAGACTTGTTCTCTGACTTGAGCATTAGCTGAATTAGGACCCAGATGGGCTACAACAAGTGTCCTGAACCAGAGACAACATCTTAAGAATCTACCCCCTTTGCTGCAGTTTGGGTCTGCCAACTCCGTGACAACTGAGAGTTGTGTGTTTGTCTCACCTTCAGCACCCAGCTGTCAGTAATGATCGCTCGGGCTCCTGGAGCTCCTGTAGCAAATTTGTCGATGCGCCTGAACTCGGTGTTGACGCTAGAGGCCACAGAGCCCCAATTGGAGTGGGGGGGCCGGACATGGGCCTGCAGGGCCCGGCTGATTGGGTGGTAGGTCCAGTTACGGCGAGACCAGTAGATGACAAGCACCCAGCCAAGCAGCTGAAGAGCAAGCGAGATGAGCAGGAACGTCCTCCAGCCATCACTCACCTAGACAAACATAATGTGACAGAAAGACAGATCAATTATGATCAATAGATGAGCTCAGAGTCAACACAGTCTAATCTGTCTTCAGTTTTTATTTAAAGAACCAGGATAATGGTATCAACACTGTCTGTCCACTTATAAGTATTATGTCATTATTGTCTTTACATTACTATCTCATTTGAAACAAGGATATTAACTCAAACTGCGGGGTTCAAGTTTGTTTACTGAAAAAGTCACAGTTCAATCAGGGGTAGTAAGGAAGCAAAAATACATATTTTTTATTTTGGTTTTCAGAGACTTTGCAGTCTGAAAGATAATCCACTTTACTCTGACAGTCTGAAAAATCCCACACAAGCTGCACTAAACACTTTCTTCTCTTTTCCAGGTGACCTACACGTGTGACTCCGTGTGAAGTCAGAGGCGGGGCGGTTATGTCATTCACAGTGGGTGGAGTTTTTCTGCCCTGTCCTAGTTACTGCTCTCCTTATTGTCTGGTGTTTTTGCTATTGTGTTTGTACTATGTAAACCTCCTTACACCTGTTTTATGTGCGTACATGAAAAGCCAAGGCAGGGAGAGCAGCAGCAAAGACCTTCAGAGTACAGAACTGGGCAGACATAAGTGCCAATCCATAAGACACAAAATTCAGACATAGTATATAAAGAGGAGCTGGGAAGGGGGCAGGTTGCAAAGTGGTTCGCAGAGGTAGCAGAGAGAATGCAGGTTAGAGCAGACTCACCATTTTGACAAAGCAATCAGTGGAGCTGTCAATTGGAGTTATGATCAGCTGTGACCTGAGCCTAACTTTGTGGCCTACCTGGACTGACTATTATTTTGGGATTGAGGGCTGAGAAGTTGTGAAAGAGGTAATTAGGTATTGTTTATGCATGAAAGGGGGTAAATGACAGGTAGACCTGGTTGAAGTATGTCAGGTTTTTTTCAGGAGCAGCCAGACACATGCCCATGTAGTAACCTGCAGAGGAGAACAAGGACATTAGGCCTGATATAAGAGCAATATATTCACAATAAGATCAGATCAGACTCAGTGTCATCTGTCTGACAACTCACAGTGGTCACACCTAAAAAAACACTGAAACTAACAGGTTTAAATGTTAAATGTCAAACAGCTGTTAATAAAAGGGATATCCCGGTGTAAAATTAAGTTAGGGTCAAACACACGTAACACCGAGTTAGACACCCCGTCGAAAGATGAATGTTGCTGACCGCTTGCATCTCTAGTTATACCAACTTTAGCAACGACCACATGATAGCAATACAGCGCTCAACCAAAAAGCCACTCTATAGCCACAAATAATGCTCAGAACCGCACCTAACTTCATCAACAGTACATATAGGGTCCCAGCCATAGTACTAGCCATCAGACATCTTTTTAACTTTGCCTGGTTTCTTTGGCAGAGACCAAACACAACTCACCCACTCTGTTCCAGCAGCCGCTTGTTTGTACGGAGACCTCCAGGTGAGTCCATCCACTGCAGCAGGGGTGACACAGCTCAAGGAAGAACATTTCTTTGTCATTTCATCATTTTCTTTAAGTAATAATCATCATATTAATCATTTTGCACTGCAGACACAGTAGTTCTTCTACCTTGGCATCTCGGTCTGATTGCATTTCCTTGAGGTAATAATCATAAATTAGTTTCCTTGAGCTGTGTCATCCCGCTGTAGTCGATGGACTCGCCAAGAGGTCTCCGTACAAACAAGCGGCTGCAGGAAGTGAGATGGTAAGTTGTGTTTAGTCTCTTTGCTAAAGAAATCAGGCAAAGCTAAAAAGATGTTTGATGGCTAGTACTGTGGCTGTACTGTTGATGAAGTTAGGTGCTGTTCTGAGCATTATTTGTGGCTATAGAGTGGCTTTTTGGTTGAGCGCGTGGCTCTATGTATTGCTATCGTGCGGTCGTTACCAAATCTGGTATAACTAGAGAAACAAGCGGTCAGCAACATTCATCTCTCGACGGGGTGTCTAACTCGGTGTTACATGTGTTTGACCCTAAGTTAATTTTACACTGCAATTTTCCTTTAAAACCAAGATTTCAAAAAGGTTAGGACGTAGGGTTAACAAAAACAGAATTAATGCTCCCAAAGGTTTAAATGGAGGACTGCAGGCGGGCCAGTTTATCAGCAAGACTCTTCTCCTACAGAGCCATGCTGTTGTAATATATGTTGTCAGAGTGTGGTTTGTCATTGTCTCGCTGAAATGTAAAGGTCTTCCCTGAAAAAGTCTTTGTCTGGATGGCAGCAGATCTTGCTCCTAAACCTGTATGTTGATATGTATGTTAATAATGTTAAGAATGGAAACTTCACAGATGTGAAAGATACCATGACATGGACACCAATGATCCCTTTACCATCAGGGATGCTGGATTTGATCTGAGAGCTAAGAATAAGCCGGGTGGTCCATTTGCTCTTTAAAGCAGAGGATGCAGTCCATGATTTCCAAAAAGAATGTCATGTTACCTGCATTTGTGGATGTGGTGATGAACTGTGTTCACAGATGACGGTTTTTGAGCCCATGCAATGATTTCCACGACAGAGTCCTTTCTAGTTTTAATGAACTTTGAAACATCTTCTCGACCTTCTTTCAGTCTTTTAATGATATTATGGGCTGTAGATTATTACATTTTGTTTTGTTGCCATGGTGCTGTAGGACACAACTGCCTCTCCAGTAGCTCTAAAGTGCTTTAAATCTTTACACCGATTTCCCCCCTTTCTGTCACCTTAATTTTACTCATTTTAATATCACTTTGCTGACACTGTGTGCTTTTTTGCCTTCTCTCAAATTAAGTGTGTTTTTTTATACTTTTAAATTTCCTTGAGAAAAACCCACCAAAAAGGATCAATACAGTCGATCAACATAGGGCTGACTGTTGCTACACAACTGCATTGAACCTTCATCAAAGCTGTGGTTAATGTTTGTGAGTCTTTACCTAGAGGCAGGGCGGAGTGGACCAGCACAGTGACGCTGGTCCTGCGGACGTGGTAGGAGATGAAGTCCACATCCTCACTGCCGAGCCAGGAGCTGAATAAGTTCTGGACAGTGAGACCCGCAGACCGGAACTCTGTGGGAGTGAACACGAAGCAGAGACAGAACACGATGTAGGCCAGAGAAAAACTCAGCTCCGGACTCTCCATACTGGACTCGGACCCACAGCTGGACCTGTTTACGCTGCTTTATTTCCGCATTGCTTTCTTCTTTTACGCTCTCTACTGGCCGGTAGAGATTGTAGAGTGTGTGCTGCCACCTGCTGCCATGAAAGAGAAATACAAAATGTACAGACCAGAATTTTCAAGCCAAGCGTTGAGGGGCACTAACTCACTGCATTCAGACTGGAAAATGTTACAGAAAACAAAAAAAAAATCATAACCAATTTTCATCTACTATAGACAGATTAAACAAACATGATGACATTCAAACATGCTATTTCAGTTCCTCTGTTTTTGTCATACAATGTTTGATTACATTAATGCCATTCATTCTGTTCTGATTTATGGAGAAGATAAAAAACAGACCACACCAGCTAAACTGACACTGAAGCAGTTTGATCTATTCAGACATATGATCTAATTTCTATCTTTGCTCTTCTTCTGTCTCTCTCCCACACACACTCAGTGACTCTGACCTCTTCACACAAAGCAACACAATGAAGCCATCACCATCAGATTTACATATAAAAATGTATCTTTATTCAGAAATACAAAAATAAATTTCATTACAAGCAGCAGAGAGACAAATACACAAACAAAATATTTACAATAAAAGCAAATTGGAAGTTTTATTGATGTAAAAATAAAACATTCAAGATAAAAATATAAATAACTGAGAAATTCTAAGATCATTAAAAAGCATTTTCAGTTAAACTTGGTACAAAATGCCTGATGGCTCATCATGTAGTTTGAGTGTTTCTGAGGGTTTGTGGTGGTCTCTAGATGTCTGTGTTGGTCTGTTGAAGTTAGTCAATGTCTCAAATGGTCTGTGGAGGTCTGTAGTAGTCAGTAGTGAGGGTCTGTAGTGGTCTCTGACAGTTGGTCTCTGATGGTCTGTAGTGGTCTCTGATGATCTCTTGGTTTCTGTGTTGGTCTCTGATAGGTAATCTCTGAGAGTCTTTGATGGTCTCTGAGGCTCTGTGGTGGCCTTTGGGGGCCTGTGGTGGTCCCTGGTAGTTGTTTTTTGATCATCTGAGGGACTTTGTTTTGTTTGTGGTAATATTTGACAGTCTATGACGGTCTCTAATTGTTGGTCTTAATGGCATGTGAAGAGCTGTTGTGGTCTCTTATAGTTGGTCTCTGAGGGTCTGTTCTTGTCTCTGTGGGTCTTTGGTAGGGTCTGAGGGTCTCTGAATGTCTGTGGAGGGTCAAGGTTCTGACTTGGACAGACAGTGTAGTCCTGGTAGTCTCCAGCGTCGGGCCGTGCTCTGGATCCTCAGATCCAACCAGTCCTGCTGAGCAGAACCCAGAGCCGCACTGAGAGTGACAAAGACAGACAGTGTTAGCAGATTACTCAGATATCACCTGGCTGCGTTAAATACTTGATTCTGATTGGTCAAGACCCCATAACCACAAAGATTTATCAACAGCAAAAGTGGTGCCTGGGACAGCCTGAACACACCTCATATCTAATCAATTTACAGAGAGGACTCCTGCCCTTTTCACTTCTGCTGATTGACACTGTGGCAAAAACGTTGTCAGCAACTTCAGTTTTATCGGCATATCTTTGTGAGGTTGTCAGATTACTACATCAGGCTGTTTCTTCCTTCACAAAACCTGAACACAGTTGATAATCACTGTGTCAGATGGAGAGTGGAGTTTCTTGCCCTGAGTGATTCTGGATGTGACTTAGTATGAAACACAGACTGAAAGGACTCCATGGAGCACTGGGTACCTAGGGGCCAGGTAAGGCTCTCTTGGGGTGGAGGGGTCCACAGGTGGGAGGTCAGAGGTCACCACTGCTGGGTCAGTAGGCTCCTCCCCCTCCATACACCTGAGGTTCATTATACTGCTGCTGCCCACCACCGAGTCAATGCTGTCCGTGCTTCTGTGAGCTGGACCTACACACACACACACACACACACACACACACACACACACACACACACACACACACACACACACACACACACACACACACACACACAGAACATTTATGTTAATGTTTTGACAGTCACTAAGAGAACATATTCAGCTTTAAGTCCCAGACTGTCTGCAGTGATGACAGCCTCATTTTATTTACCTCTCCTCAAAAACATGTGAATAATTTCTCAGGAAATAATCAGAATATCTTAGTCAAGCAGATATTTGGTTACTGTGTACAGACCTTTGTTGCTGTTTTAAAGTATGGATAGCAGAAAAACAATTAATTGATGCAAGAGTTCCCATTCTTTATCCCCATTTTCCTGAATTGATTTTTAAAGGTCCAAAACATCTTCTGTTTTTTTTTTTTTAATCTCACCAGCTGTCAGTTTTTAAACTACAAACCTATAGCTAATGTTTTTTTTGTCTCCTGCTTTCTGTTGTCAGGAGTGTATTTGTCATAACCAGGCACTGGGCTGCTTATATTAGTCTCAGTGTCATTTTCTGTCTAAGGAGGCCAATGTTTGGGAGCACATTAAATCAAAACATCGATTAAGTATGATTAAATGTTGTTTTATCTTATTTATTGCTCAAATCTGTGACGTACTGTACATAAAACAACTTTGGTGAAAAAGGTTAATTTGTTTTCTCTTTAAAGCTCCTATGAGGATTTTTTTTGTTTGTGTGGACAAAGCGGTAACCCTCTAATGCAGATTTTGAGTTGTCCCTCTTCAACAGTTATTAATAGACCAATTATTTATCTATTTTTTATGGAAAAAGTAACAAAGGCTGTCTCTTTCACATACCTACCCCCTAACTGCAGTTACAGGTGTTAAAAACTATAATGTAGAAATTGTCAGACTTATCATTGATGGTCTAATTGGCTTTTGTACATCTAAGAGAGGCATCACTGTCCATTTCAGTCTGTTTCATGAGAGATCAAAGAAATATAGGAGCTTTAATTCATTTTAAAGGTGAGTCAATTTGAGTGTCAACGTGGAATTTCTCAGATCTGCTTACGGCAGTGTGAGTGAAAACTCTGATACTCACAGCAGTGTGAAAATGGCTCCCACACCCTGGACTGCAGGTAGGGTTTAGCCTGAGGCTGCTGCAGGAGACATACAACAGCTGAGTCCACCTGCTGAAAGACCCTGCACAGAAAAAAATAAAAAAAACAGACACATATAAAGAAAAACAAATCCACACATATATTTGAATAAATTCCCAACAGTGAGATGAACCTAAAAGTTGATGCAGCTGTGAAAGTTTGATAGAGATGTTGCTCTGACTACAGACATTGAATGAGCTATGAAGCCTGAATATGCAGCAGGATGCAGGTGTAGGTGAAACCCTCACACTGAGGGGGTGATGATGATGAACAGGTGTGTATTACCTGAGGTTGAGCAGTTTGTGGTGAAGGTCAGCTGACAGGCCATACTTTGCTGATTGGATCATTTCTCTGATGGAGTCAAAGTCCTGCTTCAGCTGCAGAGCTCCCTGCACACTGAGGAGGACAGATGACTCAGATCAGCATCACTATCATACATCAGACAAAGGGGATGTAACACAAAGACAGGCTGCTGCACATGATGGGGACAAACAACTATCAGTATCATCATTACAAGGGTTAAAAACCAGACCGAGTCAGACAGAACTCACCTGAACCTGATCTTGTGCCGGAGGATGTGCTCCATCCAAGCCTCCATAAACGCTGTCATGGTGATACTAAGCGCTTGTGCACGGGCGTCATCAGACAGCGGAGCCACACCCTCCAACACCTGACCAATCACATTATGAGCTGCTTCAGAGGCGTACTCGCTGGGACTGCTAGGATAACCTGCACAAAGAAAGAGATGCACAATAATGACTATACAATAACATGAACCTCCACCTGAAATTAATGTCAGTGGTTAATAAAGATCTGAGCATCACTGTTAACTGTTACAGGTAAACTTAACCTTGTTACAATGCTATTGTACCATGTTACCACCTAAAATAAACTAGACAAAAGGACAGCTAAACCAGATGTTGTTGCAGGTATACTGGACCCTGTAACAGATAAACTGGACTCAGTTACATCCTAATTAGACCTTGTTACAGGTAAAGTGGACTATGTTACGTGTAAACAGGGCCCTGTAACAGAGTCGGTTTTGCACCTTTCCCCATTTAGGGATAGTGGGTGTGGCCACTGCAATATCGCCCTAAATTTATAGACTATCATTTATTTAAGATTTGAATCTAGTGATTGAAATCATGAAGCCAGTATCTAGGCCAGTGGTTCTCGAGTCCAGTCCTCAAGGCCCACTGTCCTGCATGTTTTGGATGTTTCCCTGCTGATTCAAATGATCAGCTCGTTATCAAGCTCTGTAATGGATTAATAATGAGCTGATCATTTGAATCAGGTGTGTTGGAGCAGGGAAACATCCAAAACATACAGGACAGTGGGCCTTGAGGACTGGATTGAGAACCACTGAAGTAGGCTATCCCATACTCTTCTTTACAATCAGACTTTTCCAAGCAGAGGAGTCTCCCCCTGCTGGACATTGAGGAGAATGCAGGTTTGAGGAACTTTTGCATTAGCTTCATATTGAAACAAATAGTCTATATACACTTCCTTTTGACAATACGTGGCTGCATAATCTCTTGATTGTGTAGTATCATGTCAAATCAATCCTTGCAGAAGAGAAATGTGATCAGATCTGCAATCACTGATTAGGATGAAGGTTTCAATCTAAATCTGGTGGAATGTGTTTAGTCATATGATTCCATGCTCTTTATCTGATACCTAAAAGTGGGACACAGACCTATTTACAGAGGGTCAGGACTGTTGTCATGACATGCCCTTATTTATTTTGAATTTGTATTCTCTGCATAGTTTATTCACACTCTAACACATTAGGAAGTGTTAATGCAGGAAGAGGTGGATATTGCTGGTACTGTTTAACAAATAGCAGACCTTAAACCAGTACCCATAAATAGTATCTGTGGATTCATATCATAATGTCATTATGAAAGATGTTGTTACCTGTCCTAAGGCTGGGTCTCCAGTGAACTGCAGCAGGCATGGTCTCTTCAAAGATCTCCCCTGAGATCCTCTTACAGTCTCTGGAGAACGTCTTTAGCACCCCACTGGAGAATGACTAACACACACACACACACATACACACACATACACACACGCTATCATATCATAACATGACATGACTCTGCTCCGAATAATGTCCCGATCTTTTTGCATTTTATAAGATACAGAACATAAGACTGCAAACATTCCTGTCACTGTATTGAGACTACAGCAGAAAAAATATTCAAAGTAAGTGAGTAGTCTCTGACCTCTGACTCAAGTAGTGAGTCAGAGGTTGGTTGATAATGTGACTGCAGTTTAGAGGTGTGATGTGTTTGTTAGTCAGAGGTATTACCTGCAGCTTGGACACAGCTTCGCCCAGGTCTCTGAGCTGTTGTTTCAGTAGTAGCTGATGATGATGATGGTAGTACTGGAGGGCACACTGACTGTCAGAGGTCATCATCATCGTGGACTGAGTCTGATGAAGCATCGACTCCAAACACGCTGTTAGTACCTGAATGGATAAAAGTTATATTTTTGTTATTCTCCATTTGTTTTCAATTGGTGATAAGTCAGGATTGCAGACAGGCCAGTTTATCGGCCCTGCAGAATGTGGTTTGTCATTGTCTTGCTGAAATATAAAGGTCTTCCCTAAAAAAGTCTTTGTCTGGATGTCAGCAGATGTTGCTCCTAAACCTGCCGATATTGATCAGCATTAATGGACCCTCCACAGATGTGGAAGATACCCAAGGCATGGACTTTGATGATCCCCAAACCATCAGAGATGCTGGATTTGAACTATGAGCTGAGTGGTCTCTCTTTGCATGATACAGTTTTAACCTTTATTTGTGGATGCAGTGTTGAACTGTGTTTACAGACAATGACTTTGGAAGTGATTTTGAGCCCATGCAGTGATTTCCACTACAGAGTCGTGTTTGTTTTTAATGTAGTGTTGCCTTGGGGCCTGAAGATCAGGACCAAGCAGTCTTGGTTTTGGTCCTTGTTCTTCTTGTACAGAAGTTTTTTCCAGATTTTCTGAATCTTTAAACGATATTATGCTCTGTGGATGATGAAATCCACTCATTCTGTGACATTATTCTGAAACCGTTGAACTTTTTTCTCTCACAGAGTGGTAAAACTCTTCCCATTTTTTCCTTCTGAGAGACTCAGCCTCTCTGACCGTCATTTTTATATCCAGTCATGTTAAATATGACTAAATTTGTTCTATACAGAGGTGTGTAGCATGTCTAAGAGTTAATGACTTTACTGCACATGTGTGAGGAGAAAAAGTCTCTGACATTCATCATTCTTAATAAGTGAGCCACTCACACATTTCAAGAGTGAGTATGTGTAAATGTTACTTGCCGTAAGTATTTATAAATAATGTGTTGTGTAAATCTTGGACATACCTTGAGGTCTCCCTGGGTGATGAGCAGGAACTTATTGAGGCTCCATGACGACAGGAACTGCAGAGACTTTGACATGACCCAGACTGTGGACATCTGCACCATGGCTAATGCTAAGCTAACAGTGTGTCTGTGCAGAGAGAGCCTGCAGGGGGGGAGGCTCAGAGGACCTGAGGGGGGAGACAGAGAGAGAGGAGTTTTCTACTGGACCAAACATCAGCCAGTAATCCTGATTCTATAAATTATAAATAAAGATGAAATAACAGAGTAAAAACAGCAGCTGAATAATGAATAAAGCTGTAATGTCAGAGCTGATGAAGGGCTGATGAAGAGGAGCTGAGGTGAAGCTGCTCTCTGATGGAGATCAGATCAAACACTGATGAAATTCAGCAGGAACAGCTGAGGGTGTTCGGGTGTCATTACCTGAGCTCCTGCCATTTGATTGACAGCTGCTGAGTGATGACATCAGAGGAGGAGGCAGACGCAAGAAGTGCTCCATGGTCAATGACATAATCACTCCATCGTCCTGCTCAGAGGATGACTGAACGTTCACTTCTTTGAGACATCTGTCTTTCAGGGCGGAGCCTAAAGCCCTGCACACCTCTGAGAGAAAGAAAGAAAGAAAGAGTGAGAGAGAGAAAGAGTGAGAGAGAGAGAGAGATCTTTTTTTTTTTACTTTCTCATTTTTATCTTAAGTGTTGAACTGAAGATGTTGAACTTGTTTACAGTAATTAAATGTTCTGAAGGTTTTCCTCTGTCATCATTTAGCTCCTTTTTTTCTCTTTCTATCAAGCATCACTCACACATTTTGCATTCAATTATTTATAAAGATGTGAAAAGAGACTCATTGTCACCTAAAAGTGTATTTATAACACTTTAAGATTTCATCATATTCATATACATGTGTACTAACCATGGTCCCACTGAGCATGTGCAATAAAGGCCAACAGATACAGACTGAAGTTGTGCAGCATGTCTCTGAACTCCTGTGTGAGCAGATCTGTGATAAAACAAAGGAGATACAGACAGATGAAATCATGATAAAAACAAGAGAAACTCTCCCGCTGCTCTTCATACCTGCTCGGGTACCAAACATGAATGATAACATATTCAGAGCAGTGGACATGGTGCAGTGAAATACGAACTCACAACAGAGTGTGGAGCAGCTTTTCACCAGTCCTGTCTCTATAGCCTTGCTCCTCACCTTTCCCTGCAGCCTGTTGGACTCTCTGCAGGATCCTGGTCCTGTTAGAGGTGTCCTGCAGGTTGAGACTCTCTGCACAGTTTGGTGTTGGAGGGGCCATCAGCTGCAGCCACAGGGCTCTGCTGCACAGAGTGACCAGGAGGGGACGGTACTGTCCTAACAACTCCGCAAACAGCACAGATTGACCCAGGTCCAGCCATTGCACAGAAGGAGACCAGCGCACGCACACCGGGTCCTCTGATGCAGGCTCCTCCATCCCTCTCTCTGGGTCTGCATCTGCCTGATTACCTGAGCTGAAACACGTCAGAGACTGCATGTGAGACGTTTTGCAAAGTGATGAAAAGTCTTCTGAATTTAAAACCGTAATTAAGACTGTTGAGCCAACAGCTCTTAAACAAGGACAGGATCCTCTGCAGACTTTAATTCTCTTCAAACCTCATCAGACAGCGAGTTCATGTTGTCAAGGGACCTGATTGTGCATTAAACACTTAAAAACAATATTAGAGTGACTCACAATCACACGAACATACAGATCAACAAATCCATGGACCAGCAGATCGCATGTTCCCCAAGTAAAAGTTCCTGTTTCTTTATCAGTGTCTGCAGAGAGTGGCTGTTTGTGGTTACAAATCTCATACATACGGTGAGGTTTTGTTGTAACAAATTACCATCACAGGACTCTTGACAGAGACTGAACAGTGATGGGAACTGTTAATGACTTCTAAACAAGTCTTGATGTTGATGTGAGGGCTGCTGTCAGATGGCTGAACACACTGTGGTTATAATGTGGTAGGAGGGGGATTTCACTTGAAGGCAGAAAACAGTCTAATAGATCAGAATTAATAAGTATATCAGATAATACGAAGTTTTTAATGGTTCAAAAAGTACCTATAACATAAAAACTCACTTTTATGGTATAAATTTCTGCATTTTTTTAATCATAATTACAGAAAGCAAAAAATTGTACAATATGGATTTTTTTTTGGCCTGACTTTTAGCGGACACGGTCAACAGGTCTTACCTGTCCACGGTCTCTGCTGATTTGATCTCCAGTTTTACATGCTGGTCCTGGTCCATTTCTGGTCTCGGTTGGTCAGACTCCTCTGACTCTGGATTGAAGATCTGAGCAGCCAAAGTTCTCCCATGTGGTGCCATTTCTTCTGGTCCCTGATTCAGCCTCATGTGCTCAGTTGCTGGTGATGTCAGAGAAGCCAGCAGCTCACCTGAGGAAACCTGCAGCTGCAGCAGCAGCTCTACTGAGAACCGGTCCTGCTGGACTCCTGACAGAGGCACAGACCGGAGTAGACTGGCCTCTAAAGTGGTCTGAGGAGTCTTAGGACAAGTTTGAACTGGGTCAGTCTGAGTTAGGATTTGGCACTGGCTGGTCTGGTTATTGTGATGGGGTTCTGGTCTGTACTGGACTGAGGTGACAGATCCTGGGTGGTGGTTTTCCTGGTCCAGATGGTGGTCTGAGTTCCCTGGAGGAGTTTGATGTAAGGAGGTTTGAGGAGAAGACGACTGTAGAGGACACTGATTAGTAATGGAGGTTGTGAGGTATTTGTGCTGCAGCTGGTCCCAGGTCCACTCAGACCTCAAAGTTCTGGTCCCACAGTGCCCTCCCTGACCAGCAGAGGGGTCAGGACCTGTATGGATCCAGTGGATCTGACAGGTGTGGCAGAGGTCAGGGGTCCAGTTATGCAGCTCTCGGGCCGCTCGCTCAGCGTGATGCTCCGCCAACACTGCCATCAGCTCTCTGAGTGACACCCCTGCAGGGTGGCGGCCCCTGCTGGGCGGTAGACCAGGACCCAAAGCAGGGTGCTGAGCCTGCTGTAGTACTGCAGTCCTCAGCTGGGTGGCACTGTGCTGCGCTCTCTGCTCCCCCACAGTCTGGTTATACAGCTCTGTCCCTGCTAACAAATCGTCCAGGACTTCTTTGGGTATTGAGTCCAGATCAGAGCGGGTCACAGCGCTTAAGACTAGGAAGACAAACTTCTCCATTACAACCAGAGCCTGCAGACCCAGCAGGTCCAGACTCTGATGGACCTCCTGCAGCATCTGGGTCTGCCGGATGACAGCCGGTCTCAGGTTCCGGTCCGACTGGATTTTAGAGAACAAACAGGGCCAATGGTTTACATGGACCCGCAGCTCCTGACTCAGAGAGACCAGACCCACCCTGAAGGAAGACCAGCCCGACCGGGTCTGAGAGGAGAAGGAGGAGTTAGGGAGGAAGGACCCATGATATAAAAACTTCACTTTTACACACAAACACATTCAGTCTGTCCAAACACCCTCTCTCTCTCTCTCTCTCTCTCTCTCTCTCTCTCTCTCTCTCCTTCTCACTCTCTCGTTGTCCAGCAGGTCGTTCTCACCTGGTCTAGCTTCAGTTGTGCTCTCTCCAGCAGGCGTGTGACTCTGGATGTGAAGGCTGCAGCCAGTTGAGCCCTCCTGCTGAACTCGTGGATGAAGAGCAGCAGAGAGCGCTGCTCCTGCAGCCTACTGAGAGACAGGTAGATCTCCTGCAGGGAGGGGGATGAGGAGGGGGGCAGCATCAGGACCGCCCCTTCAGCTGGGAGACCTTTAACACACACCTAAGGGGGGAGGAAGAAGGGGAGGAGTCAGTGGAGAGATGAAACTGCCGGCCTCAACATTTTGATTAAAAAAAAAAAAAAAAAACATCTTACAGTCTACAGACCCCCACCTCTTTTCTCCTCACTGTCTGTATCCTGCTATGACTCACCTGTGCAGACCCCGCCCTACCAACAGGCAGCCACTGTGGGGCCACAGTGAGCAGAGTTTGCTGCAGCCTGAGGAGGCGTGCAGATGAGCGAGACACCAGGTTGTGAGCGAGCACAAAGTTTCCCTCCTCCTCTTCCTCGTCCTGACTGCGGGCGTGAAACAGCCACTTGAGACTGGGGTTAAAAGTACTCCTGAGCAACGTCTCTGCCCGCTGCAGGGAGCGTGAGATTGACCCCTGAGACCACGACCCTGAGGGGCGAAGACAAGACACCAAGACCGTTTAGAAAACTGCAGAGAGCTAATAGAAGCACAGAGGAGAGGGACTGTCTAAAAATGAGGTACTTTGCTCAGCCTCTTCATATCATCTACTGTCCGTTAAAGATACGCTCCACCCCACCCCAGCACTCTGGAAGCCTCTTCCTCTGTTACCAAACTACCAACTTGTCATCATTTACCTTAAACTGAATTTTTTTGGCAGGTTGCAGTTGTCCTGCAGAGACAGACACCATCAGCCACAGAAATTAAAGCCAAAAAATCATTTCCTGTAATAATCGTCATATTTACTTGTGAAACATGAAAAAACACAGAACCCACTCTTGGGGTTTCACAATTTTACTCTGAAACAGAGATTGGGTGACAAGATGAGATTATTTTATGATTTTAGCACAAATAAAACAACCTGCAGAAGAAAAAGGAAATCTCGTTATCAACCACCATAGTGAGGATCGGTTCCCCTAAGCACCCTGGTATTAAAGCAGAGTGGTGTGTATTTGTTGGCTGATTGTAGTGTGTGTATGTGTGTGTGTGTGTGTGTGTGTGTGTGTGTGTGTGTGTGTGTGTGTGTGTGTGTATTCACAGTACCATCATTGTTCAGTTCCTCGCTGCCAGAGCAGGGTGAAGATCTCCTCTGAAACACAGAGCATATTATCGATCTGTTATAACAGAGTCAGAGTGAGGGACTGTTTGATGGCCTGACTGATAAATCAGCACTCACACTGCTCACACACTTCATGTATGAACCTGGGGTTGTATCTTAAGCTTTCAAATTTGGACTAACAATTGTAGTGCTATGAGTTTTTGCTGAGCCAAAGCAGAGCTCTAAGATAAAACTGGTGGTTTTCCTTGTGCCCCACAACAGACTTGCTGCTGCTTAAACATCCTGCTTCACATGGTTTGAATCTTTACCCATGAGCCCCCGGAGTAACAGAGAGGGTCAGTCCTCTGTCTTCAATGAGGGATCTGAATGTCTATGTAAGTCACACCGTAAATGCTCATTCATTGTGGTGACCTGTGTGAGCATGCACACATGTCAATAAGTGTGGTGTAGACCCACTCTTTTGGAAAGCGTTTTGGGACAACGACTGTTGTGATTTGTGAAATATCAATAAAAATTGATTGGTTGGTTGGTTGGTTGATATATTGATTGATTGATTGATTGATTGATTGATTGATTGATTGATTGATTGATTGATTGATTGATTGATTGATTGATTGATGTTTGAGAACTCCAGGGTGGCAGAATACAATAATACAAACTGACCTGCTCTTTTTCTGGACAGAAGGACTCAGACGTCTCCCAGTCTGAAAGACACACAAACAAAACACCATCATAACATGACTACACAATGTTTAAATGTTTGTTTATCTTAACACCTTTTTATGTGTGACACTTGAGCATGGTGAAGTGGAACTGGGGGTTAGATTTGAGATTCGAGTGAGTGTGATTCTGATTAATCCTAATTAGACACCCCTGAAAAATGTAGACTGCAGCTAAGTTCCTCCACCTTTACACTAAACCACACACACATCATTATGATAAGGGTGTGTGTTATTTTACACAGTATTACAGAGTGCAGGAGCAATACAGACATGATGAGTGAACAATCTGTCTGTCAACAAAAGAAGTAACTTTCAGTTTCCACTGCAGGTAGTCATCAAACACCATAGTGCAATGACTTGATTTAAGTCTAATTCTCCTTTTTACAGTACCATTGGTTATTGATATTTTATGTCAGCTTATTTGTGTCTATACTTGTGTTGTAATCAGGACTATGTATAGTGAGCAGGTGGCTATGCAAATCAGAGCCTCAACAGGGACAAGCATTTCATCTATACATTTTTCCTTTGCTTCTCATTATAACATTAAAAATATTAAGTCTTTAAACTTCTGGTCAAAAATGCAGTGTACATATGTGTATGTTTGTGTATTACCTATCAGCAGTCCAGGTTCTCCTCCAGGATCTCTCAGCAGCTCTGTGTTGTTGTAATCCATCTCAGACAGTAGAGCATAGCTGAAACAGAAATCAGAGACTCACTCAGTGTTTATCTATGATATTTACAGGCAAATAGTCAGGGTGTTAACTCACAATGTGTATTGTTTCTACTGTCACAATGAGATAAGATGGGCTCACCCTGTTTGAATTCTATTTCACATCATCTCAATGGCAACAGAGCTCTTATCTGCCTCCTTGGGAATTACATTACCATTAAACTAAACATTTCCTTCGTAGTAAAGTCAGAAAAGTTTCAGCAAAGAAAAAAACTGTTTGTATGGATTTTAGACCAATCAGAATCAATTATTGAACAAAGCTGGGTGATAACATACGTTACTGTCCTGACAGGTTTTTGTTGAATTGAATTAAAACAGTTCAAAAAAACATTTAAAACAGTTGAAATAAAAAATGCAAAATAACTATTTCAACACCAAGTTCAATTCTATTTACATGTCTGAAAAAGAGAGCAAAGAAGTAACATTTACTAGACCCCTCGGCCTTATTCTTAGCCATCCACTCAGCTTCCCTTTAGCACCAACATGTACAATAATAATCTTTTCAGTTATCATCTACATTCTAAACACTTATTACCAAAAACCTTTCTTTCTCAAAAAATGTAAGCATATTTATATAAAAATACATCATTTCATTTATATCCTACCCAAGAAGGCAAATTATCTTTACATACATGGGCTCTACTCTAGAGTAGTCAATACATAAGTATTGATTTAGTAGTATTTACAGGAATTGTATACACATATTCTCAGGGGTTTCAGGACTACTAGTAGCCACTAGTTGCCACATTATTTAGATAAGTAATTAACTAGTCATAATGTACAGAAGACACAGAAACAACAGTTCTATCGCACAATGAAAAATGTACTCTGCTATGAAATGTGACTTTGTTCACAACCACGTTTAATTTTAATTAAAAAAAGAGAAGTATAGCAGTGAAGCTTTTCTTTAAAAAAAAAAAAGTCTTTAGCTCCTATTTAAATGTTCCTACAACTTCTGTCTCCTGCTCCTCTGGTGTCTGTGTGTCAGTACTTAACAGGTCAAGCTGATATATTGCAAGCATAACATAGGCGCCACTGTCACTCTACACCAGTGTAAACACAGTTGTTTGTTCTCTCAAATATTTAGCATTTATAGTAATTTACCATATTGACTCTGTCAGCCCCAACAGCGACAGATCATAACATTCATTTTAGTGAATTTTGTGAAAAAGAAAAATAACATGGATGACTAGTTTACTTCCTAATGAGTCAAATCAGTGAATATCACAGGTTTGTGCTCTTTCTCTGAGCTTTTTGTGAACTTTCATCTATTAAATCTTTCATGTGGTTCACAAACCTCTGAGATTTTCCTGTGAGGCTATTTCCATAGTTGATCGTCCTAGTCTAGGGATTTTGTTCAGGTGTAAATTGATCAAATTTAGCTCTGGATACTCTTTTTGAGTTTGTATCCAACTTGATACCTTACTGTCCCTACACAATGTACTGTATGTGACACAAAAAAGCCAATGATTATGATGGCTGGTAGAAACCATGTCCGGCCAGTGGATTTTTTTCAGCCACCATAGCCAGTGAGTCAAAAAGGAAATTTATGACCCTGTCTGAACCTCTTTCCTGCACTGACCACTCTTTTGCATGTTTTAATCAAATAGAGACATTGAATGATTTGCAAACCACCAAATTCTGTCATAATCCTCTTTTTACTCAGCCCCCAATCTCTGATGGAGTTGAGGCTCACATTTGAATCACAGGCTAATATAGGTTAAAGTCAGTAACAGCTGAGTGTTTAAGCTCAGTGGGAGTATTGTAAACACATGTTTATAATCCCCCTTACACTCTGAGGTCTACATTTACAGGAAAAGCTCCAGACCAGGTGTCTCTTTGAGTGCTGAATCACTCGGTAGGGTTAAATGAACTATTCCTGGTTATTCAAACACACACACAGAGAGAGAGAGAGAGATAGAGAGACAGACAGAGAGAGAGAGAGAGGGGCTGATTTAAAGGTTTGAAATCGTAATGATTCTTACTCAGCATGGGACATATCGTCTGGACCTCCATCTCTGCCGCATTCTGACGCCACAGCATCTCACCTGTCCAGAACACCTGACTTTATCACTGCACGAGCAGCTGCATCTCCATAGCTCCCTCTATTATAGTCTCTGCACACTTAGCTCAGCGTTTCATCCGTCTCTATTCTTCATCCTTATCACCTTTCTTCATCAAACCTCCTCAGAGGAAAAAGAGTCCTGTTATGGACTTAAACGTGCTCTAATTTGCACCTAGTAATCCTCTGCTCAGTAGGAGGACGGGTTTAAAATAGCACCTGTTAGCTGCCAGAACGGAAAACACACAGGTAAACACCGGAAGAAGTAGTAACCAATCAGAGGGGAGCGTCCACGTTGCTATGGAAAGCGCAGGAAATGTGAAAAGAAATGGAAAAGAAAAAGGCATTCATAAATACAACTTAAGGTTTATTCATTTTTATGAATTACCGGCGAATTTTATAGTCTGACTCTTCAAAATTAAAAAAAAAAAAAAAAAAAAAGACAGCCGGAAACTGTCTCAGCGTACTGGCTGCAGCTTGTTTTCACACTGCCCCCTAATGACGTCGCCTACCTCCTACAGCTCTTAACAGGGAAAAACCATAGACTGTATATGACTGAAAGCGATAACAACAGTTGCTTCATTACCGATCCTTCTTAATCGAACCAGAAATTACAGCTCCTCATAAACCAATACATTAAACTGGAATCTTTCTAGCATTACTCATTTCACACAAATTCAGAAACAACAGCTCACCTCATCTTTCCCTGTGTCAGTACAAATACTCTCTCTTCAATGCAGGATAGAAAGATTCAGAAGATCTTTTGTACCAACAGCCATTAGGCTTTATAACTCTTGTGTAAATAGTAGATCACTGTTAAAGACATATTATGTGAGACAAAAGACATTTGAATTTCCCCTCGGGGATTAATAAAGTTCTTATTCTCATTCTTAAAACAGATTACAGTACACTCCATGACAGCAGGTGGCGGTATACACCAAAACCTTAATTTGCGTTTAGCTAATAGAGGAAAATGAAGAAGAAAAAAGGCACTCAAGATAACCCCGCCTCCTCCGGTCATGTGACCTGTTGGATTGTTTGGGGCCGCGCGCCTTTCTCTGTTGGCGGGTCTCCGTGGACAGTCAGTCAACAGCTGCAGGAACCAGGAGACACACTCACCTCAACCGCTCTCTGCTGATCTTTTCACAAAATGTCTGACTGGAAGAGAGAAAACAGACATGAAGCCGACGACAGGGAGCATGGAAACAGGTGAGTTTCTTCTTCATCTGTAAGTTTCACTTTCTCTGAAAACGGACCATTTAGGTTTCAGTGTCTTTAAACACTAACCTTCTTATAATCCCTCATATTCACAGTCCGATTGCTGCTCTGTAATGTTGAGAAGAAAAGGTGAAAGCCGATAGTTTAGCTGAGATGTTGTTTTTTGGAGGCAGTTTGGCTATTAACGGCGCTAAAATGAAGTAGCTGCCAACACAATCAGCAACAAGCTAGCTCAAATTTAAACACCACTTCGGCTTAATAATAGCGTCGTATGTTCAGATTCCTGTCTTTAATTAACTAAAATAATTGATATAGGTTGAAAAAAGGTTTTAATTTAATTGGTTATTAGCTGTACTGTAGGGTCAGAGAGATAATGGATGTAACGTCTGAATGAGCGGAAGTGTGTCAAACATGGCGGGAGTTTACCGAGTTTAAAGAGACGGTTTCCTCTCCTTTCAGGTTTTAAAAGACTTTTATTCAGTTAAAAACACCGGACGTCAATAAAAACCGAAGCTTAAGCTTCACACAGTTTGTTTTCTGTTTGAGTAATAAGATAAGATATGCTTAAACGAAATTTACTTGTTACAGCAGCTCAGAGTAAGCTATGCACAAAAGAGAAACCCGAGCAAAGCTGTTATGGGATGTTTCAGTACATGTTTACCAGCACAACTACAACTGAATGTAAAGAAATGAAGTAACATAAATGAGCCCGAAATTGATCATAAACTACTTGTATAATCAGAGTTATACTAATACTACTGATATGCTTAAACGTTATACACTGCGATAAATACAATATGACATGATTCAAACTCATGTAAACATGCAAATAATCATGACCTGAAAAGTGTGTTAAGCCAATGCCTCAACTAACATCTTAAGTTTTTTGTGTTGGCAATTAAGGGTCCAAAACATGTAGCTACAATGGACCATTTGTCATTTCAAATTGAGAAATATTAGTAACTCACATGTGTAGCTGAATGCAACAGTAGTAAAGCTTTGTATTTAGTGATTTTGAATAACTATTGAGTTTTTTGTGTGTCTGCTCTTCAACCTAATTTTGTACACAATACATGGGTAGAGCTGTAAAAAACTTCATATTGCTGCTTGTCTGTAAATATTTGACCATGTCCTCTGTGTCTGTTCTGTAGGAGCCACAGTGCGTCTCGATGGTCTCACTGCAGAAAGAGAGGGGTTGATGGAAGTCTGAGGACCAAGAGGGACACAGAGAACAGCGAGAAAGGACACAATAATTACAAACCTGATAACAGACACGACAGGTAAGCATGTAAACCTGCATTACACACCTATCTTCAGCGACATGAAGTGCATACCAGAGTGTGTTCACCTGCCGTGTTTGCTCTTCAGTTTCACGACTCCAGAGGGTGCCGGCCCCGTGTCCCGCTGTGGACGGCAGACAGACTGGGGTAGTCAGGTAGAAGAGGAGGAACAGCTGAGGAAGAACGTACACAGAGACATGCAGCGGTAACTAAACTCTTCTCCTGTCTCTCTGCTTTTATCTCTGATCTGTCTAAAGGCTGCTCCTTATTCACTGATGGTGTGTTCAGTTACAGGAGGAGGATACTAGGAGGAGACGCCACTCAGAGGGAGAGACGGGCATCGTCCGGCTCCTCTGAAAGGTAGGATACGATCTCTCACACTGTTTCTTTTAAAAAGGTGTTATTAAAACAAATTAAACACACTCTGAGCAATACTTTTTCTTTGTCTGTTTTTAGCTGTGACTCCAGAGAGGGAGACAACATTGAGACTGATGAGGAGGTGTTGCTACGGCGACAGAAACAGATAAACTACGGCAAGAACACGCTGGCCTACGACCGCTATATCAAAGAAGTTCCCAAGTAGGTCCTCCCCCACTTGCACACACTTATGCATGTTTGCTACATGAAACATTCAGTGTATAGTAATTTTCTCTCAGAGCAGGTTAATATGCTAATGAAATGAGTCGTAATAATCAGGTTTTGTTGGATGCACAAAGATAAAGCCCCTCTGTGTCTTTGTTTTTCTGCAGGCACATGCGTCAGCCTGGTGTTCACCCAAAGACTCCCAACAAGTTCAGAAAGTACAGCCGGCGCTCGTGGGACCAGCAGATCAAACTGTGGAAGGTGAAACTGCATGCCTGGGACCCCCCTGCAGAGGAAGGGGGTCCTGAAAAAACTTTAGAGGACAGGTAAGTGGACATGAGTCTTTAAGAGGAGGGTAATTTCTAGATGGTTTAATCAGTCGTTTGTTCAACTTCATACGCTGTTTTGTCTGTCCCTGTAGAGACGAGCTTGGTCTGGATGATGTCATGGATATCGAGCTGGACTTCCCCTCCCTGCCAAACACTCAGAATGTACCTGTCCTGCTCAGCACTAACAATCCGTCACTGGAGGTCAGTTTGACTCTCACTCTGCTGAAATTTTGAGAAACAGCTAACACAAAGTCAGAACCTGTGTAGTTCCTTTTGAAGAAACTCTGTTAAATGTCTTCATGTTGACTCCCAGGCTGATGAGATTCATCGTGTTCAGAATTTCAGATCTAATTTATAACACAGCTGGAAACAAGGACTGGAGGGTGTAATAGTCTCTGCTCAGTAAGATTTCAATATTAAGATTTTGTTAGTCATAGTAGGGGGCAGAGATGGCCCAGAGGTCTGACTTTCATTTCTTTCTGTGGCCCCTTTCTTGCCTGTCATTACTGCACTCTGCCCTGTTTCTCTATTTCTTGATAACAAGGCCAACAAAGACCGAATGACTAGTATCGTCAAAGACTTTACTATGATCTTAAATAAAGGTTTGGATTTTTTTCATGAATTGTACAAGGTCTTTTTGGCTAATTTGCAGTTTTTTAGTCAGATTTAAGCCTTTTCGTCTTCTATTACCTGCTTCATAGTCAAGCCTGGTACCAACTGCAACAAAAGCATATATAGGCCTTAGATCAGTGGTTCTCAAGTCCAGTCCTCGAGGCCCACTGTCCTGCATGTTTTGGATGTTTCCCTGCTCCAACACACCTGCTTCAAATGATCAGCTCGTTATTAAGCCATTATAGAGCTTGATAACGAGCTGATCATTTGAATCAGGTGTGTTGGAGCAGGGAAACATGCAGGACAGTGGGCCTTGAGGACTGGACTTGAGAACCACTGGCTTAGATGATATGAACAGAATAGGTGACATGTTTCATAGTCAGTGATAGTTAAAGAAATCATCCAGTAGTAAGAGCATCTTAGTCAAACTGAAGCTGTGAAGAAAATAAACACGTGCTGTTTGTTTATTCCCTGTGTTTTGACATGATCTCATAAATCTGTGCTGCTGTTACTTGATTCAAACTTTGATCAGTAATTGCTGATGATGCTGATGAAATGATGGTTTCAGTTTTCATCATTTGTTTGTTTTCTCCTCATCAGGATGACGACTGTATGGGAACTCCAGTTAAACTCCAGAAGACAGAGACCCCAGCAGCTCCTGACATGTCGTAGCTCTTCGTCAACAAAATAATACCCTGCTTCATTTTTTAACCCCGCTCACAGCCCTCTGCTACACGTAATGCACCTCTTCAGAGCAGTGCTGGGACCAATTCTCAGCTGATGGTTTTTCTCTCTTCTTTAATTCAAGGCTTCCTAATGCTTGGATTTTTTTACAGATAAATAATCTGCTCAGGGAGTTTTTTTCACAGTCGGGTCACTTGTTTTCTTTTAAGCACTGCAGATGTACAGTTCGTAATGTTTTCATGTTTCATCTCAATCTCACACACAGTTCAAATAAACTGTCAGGACTCAGAGTCCCATCAACAGTTTGATGGAGATGGACAAACTGTTTTTACTTGAAATAATCAGACGGGATGTGTTATTTTTGGATAGTGAACATTTTATAACCGCAGAGTGTTTTCCCTTCAGCCTTAGCTGTGGTTTGTTTCACTTTGGTTGTTTTTGACTTCAGATGTTGCTGTTTTTTATTGCTGTTTTCTTTATGGTGAAGATTTGAAATAAAAAAAAAGAAAATTTCAGCGTTGTGTTGGTTTATGTCTGTACTGCCAAATCTTTAAGAAACATTTTTGTCAAGGTTATTAGAGAGCCTGACAAAATATTTCCCTCTAATATGAAAGCTGGTTGCAGAACCTCATGTAATTGTGTATGACTTTGAGCATGTCTTATGAAATGTGTGGTGTTTATATAACTTCAGTCATCAAAAGCAGAATGTAAGGATGTTTTAGATGACCATGGATGAATTGAGTCGTCCTCTGTTCTTTAGTCACATTCATAAAACAACAGGAAACAAAAAATATTCATAAGACTTTAAAAAGGATTTTTCTAGCCGTCAGGGAAGCAAACTGAAATGGACATTGATACCCCTTTATGCACCATCAAAAGGAAATAACCATCAAAATGGAAATAGCACATCTGTTGATTTGTGACACTTGACATTCGTGGTGAAGTTGGTATTCTGGGAAGTGATTAACGAACCACCAAAAGACATTTTCATACTTGGACCATGAAAAAAAAATCCTTAAAATATATAACCTAAAAGAAAGGATGCGACACAGACTGAAAGTTACTTACAGGAGCCCAAGCTGGTATTAACATATAATACTTTGTTAAAACAAAACAACAACAAAAAACATAGAACTAAACAGCAAAAAAAATAAAAACAAAAAATACAATTAAGAGCAATTTAGGATGAAAAAAATGAGCTGAGATAAGGACAGAGTATTAATGCTCGTCATGTTTTGAGTGTCAGTACCGGTCGCACTCCGAGGGGGCGGTGTGGAGTGCACACGTATTTGACTCTGCTAAAACAAACAGAAGGGGGTGAAGAAGAGCGAAAACGGAGCGGAGGATAAAAAGAGGAGAGCTGGGTCTGTTGTGAAGGTTAAAACTGTCAGGAATAAACAAAAAGAGTGATCCAGCAGCATGCTGAGGGCCTGTCTGAGAGGAGCTAACGCCACAGCTCGGGTAAGTCATTGCTTGTCATTCAACTAAGCGAACTAACCCCTCCCTCACTGCGGAGAGCTAGTTAGCATGTTAGCGATAGCGTGCTGTCATTCAGTGACCCGCACTCCGTCTCAAGGTGCCACACAGGAGGAGTTTATAGAGACAAGGACGCGCTCTTAACCCTTTAAAGCGGGTTAACGTTACATTAAAGAGGCTAAATCCGCTCTTTATTTCGATTGTGTGTTGAACAGAAGTTAATGACAGTGTTAGCTTCAAGTGACAGATGGCTAACTGAGGCTAACTGCAGAGCTGACTGTCAATGGGAGGTCAGAGAAATGCTTACCTGTCTGTCTACAGACACACCCAGCACTCGTTTTAGTTTAGTTATAAAGATATATTATTTCAAATAGTGTGAAAAAAATGCTTGATTATTGATGTCTCTTTGGACAGATTTTAAACGCCTAGTTTTAGTAACAATTGAACAAACGAATAAAAAGCAGAAGAGTGAACACTTAAATCCAGACCACAGAATCCACTTTTAGCTTTTATGTTTAAATTCTGCACAGGATTAAGGATGAATCAAAAACTCAGTATAAAAAAAGAGAACTAAAAACCAGTTTAATACTCACTGGAACATGATGTACCCGATGTAAAGCGCATACATTTCTCTGTCACACATGTATAAATCAACTCATGTTTATGAAGGATCCACCTCTCTGATTAAAACTCATCTGAGCATGTTGTACCTGGTTTAAAGGAAACTTAAACATGTTTGCTGATGTGACAGCTCCCTCAGAGCTTTTGGTCTCAGTTTTGGTCATCATTTGTCTTAAACTAAGGATGCCTGACAATACCGACATAATACTGGTACACAGTGTCAGATAGGGCTGGGCGATAAAACGATATGTATCAAAAATTAATTTCCCTCTATCGATATAAAACAACATAAAACATATAAAACAGTCAATATGCTAGTCAGCATTCCAACATGTTTTGGTAGACTGTGCGAATAGACCAGGGGTGGGCAATCATGTGCCATGGAGGGCCGAGAGGCTGCAGGTTTTCTGTCCAACCCAAAACTCCACCAGGTGATTTCACTGATTACCTTACCTCCAAGCAGAGAGCAGGGACTAATCAGTGAAATCACCTGGTGGAGTTTCGGGTTGGACAGAAAACCTGCAGCACTCCATGGCACATGATTGCCCACCCCTGGAATAGTCAATGAAAAGGGGAGTTTTTCCGGGTCCGCTTTGTGTTGAACCAATCGTTCTGAATTCGAACTAATTAGCAAGCAGCTGTGTAGTGGCAGGCTGCAGCTACACGCAACCATGGCACTTTAACACGGGAAGCCAACAGCACTGTTGGTGAGAGAAAGAGAAAATGAGTGCTACCCACGGCAGAAATGCAGATGAAGGCTCAATAGATGATGACACTGGCACGAAAATGTCAGTGGTGTGGAGGTATTTTGGGTTTTTGAGGTCGGACATGAAGCAGAGTAATGTGCACTGCAAATTATGATGAGTTCATATTCTTGCAAAGTCGGGGAATACCTCAAATCTTTTTCACCACCCGCTGGAGCAAGGAGCCCATGGCGCCTGTGCAGCGGAAACAGCCAACCATTCAGTCCGCTCTCTCTAGCGCAACGCCTTACGACAAAATGTCAAAGAGACACAAAGACCTCACAGATGCAGTAGCTTATTGTATTGCAAAAGACATGCTACCAATAAGCATTGTTACATTTCATTTTGTGATATCGTGATACTGTTATCGACTGATATGAAAAAAAGTATTGTGATGAACTTTTTCCCATATCGCCCAGCCCTAGTGTCAGATATCTCTGGTGATGGGAACTCCAGATCATTTGTAGCAGCAAGAACCTGCTCTTTCAGCTCATATACTTCTCTTTTATTGTCGTATATTGTTCATGTAAAAGTGCATGAATTGTTCCAACACATGATCATTCGATCCTCCCCAGCTCAGAGTAGATGTCTGCTGCAACAGGGCTGTGTGTCTGCAGTGAAGTCATGTAATGTGAAAATTAGGAGGTTCGAGAAAAATGTGTTTGATCAATGATCATAAGTTCAAAAAGAGGAAAACGCATGGCTGTTTCGGTCAGACTCATTTATTCATTCATTCATCTCTCCCATTCATCCACCTGACAGCAGAGACTCGCTCACTGCTTTTCTGAACAGGGAAAGAATTTATCAAGACACGTGAAACACTGAGGTCTGATGCAAACGCACAGATACACACAGGCACATACAGGTAGATAATAGTGGAAGTTTCAGGTCCAGCACAAACACCAAATAAGCCTGCTGTCTGCCTGCCTGCCTGTCTGTCCCTAACAATAATAATCTCTTATTTTCTTTCTGCAGACGAACTTAAGAGGGACTCGTCCAAACAACCTGCAGCAGTGCAGACACTACACAGCAGGAGAGTCCAGGTGACATGCACATACTCACGCACACACACATGCACACACCCAGATAACATGACTGCAGACATTATGACATACTAATCTACCTCACTCCTCCTCCTCCTCCTCCTCCTCCTCCTCAGTGGTGGAGCTGCTAAGGTGGTGGTTGCTGGTCTGTTGACCGTGGGCGGAGGTGTCGGAGGGACAATTATCTACGCCAAGTGGGACCACAAGTTCAGAGCTGCTGTTGAGAAAAATGTCCCGTACTCAGACCGGCTGCTGGGTCTGGCTTGGGGACCTCTCCCTCAAGATGGCCGCCCTTCAGTCCAAAAACAGGTGAGGGTGTTGTGTTTCGATTTTTCTAGTTCTGTAGGACAGAAAAAAGATGGGACTGATCGTAGAGCAGAGGTCAAAAGTTCTGGCACAACTTCACCAACTTCAACCAAGGTGCTCTAAGAGATCAGAACAGCTCCAGCAAGAGTTGAAGTTCAGGAAACAACTTTATTAGGCAGATGCATTTCTGCAACCAGGAGAGAGCAGAAGGTGACCTGTGAGGAAAGGGCTGCAGGCTTTAACTGGACTGGGTTTGTCAACTTTAGGACAATAATCTTGGAACAGAAGGCGCTCAACCACTAAACCATAGTGGTGCTCCAGCACACCTGTACTCTAATGTTGTTACTTTCACTTACGGATTTCCAGGGTTACTTTGTATTTGTGCACAAAAAGCTGCTCTTTCTTCTGGTGCATTTTCACCACGTGGTTTGGCAAGTACAGTTTGGTATGGTAAACCCAGATCTTGCTTGTATTATCTCAGACTGAAACTTGACGTGGGTTGGCTGGCATTCAGACTGCTGGTGAGAATGCCTGACAGACTGAGCAGCTCCTGCCCTGTTTGTTTCACAGGCCAAATATCTAAAAGGACAGAAGCCTCACCTATCTTTCCACCGAGCCTTGTCTGAAATAAACAGAAAACTGATAAGCTGAGGGCTGTAGCGGCTCCTTACCAGTCCTGTATTTATGTCACATACCTCAAAGTATGAGGTTAACGGGCAGTTAGTACAAGAAGTGACTTGCACAGCTCTTCATTTAAGTCTACATTGAACTTGAGCCTGAAAGAAGTTGTCATGATAGCGAGCAAGCTATATTGAATATGTAGTGATAGGCGGCAGGAAATATAGCTCCTTCTGTGATCTGCCCCTCGCTTTCCATCTAACTCCCCTTCTCTGCTCAGCTGCTGTGGCTGAAGTTTCTGAAGAGACAGACGACACCTGTTTAACATCTGAACTCCGCCTTTTCAATGAATAAATACATACGTTTAACAGAGTATTAATTCATTAAGGGACATCATTTTAGTGATTAAACAACACCAGATTAGGAAAGATATCATCCAGTATGATCTCTCCTTCCCCCTATATTCACTCGTTCAGCTGATTGCAGTGTGTGAAGCTCTGCCCTTTAGGGTTTGAAAGGTTCACTTGGCCCCTCGACGGAGGTGTGCCAAATAAGTAGGATGTTACAGACAGGTTATTTTTTTTTTTACCTGTCCTAACTTTGGGCATTGGAAACACAAATAATTGCCTACCGAGCTTGACCAAGTGGTGCTGAACAGAACCGCTTGGTGGAAACAGAGCTTTTTCTGGCTGCCACTAAAGTTCAGCTTGGCTCTGCACAGATAAATATTTGATGACAGCCGTTACCGACTCTGTCCTTAGATTTATTTTATTAACATTGATTGAACACGCTGCACTTGCTCGGACAGATCATCTGCAGTAAATTGTAACATTCAGCTAACAGCTGATCATCTACAGCCAGCTGTCTCACACTTTGATTAAAATAACATCACATGTTATCAGCTGGTACTGAGGGATACTGTTCACAGACTGAAGTAAAACCTGTCTGTTGTCGGCTGTCTGTCCTCTGACAAAGGTTGTTTATGAGCTGAAAGAAGCGTCACTCTGGTACAGAGGTGTTATTGTGTAGTCTCCATCAGAGTAAGAGTTCTCTTTTTAGCTGCCCTGCATGCTTCATCTTAAACTTCATCTCATGTCAGTGATTTCCATTAATCTGCTTCATAGTTATGAAATGGGATTATCTGTTGTGACAGTTTGGCTGAGTGTCTGAGCAGCAGTGTGTTTTTGTTGCTGTGAGACAGTAACTGTTTTAACTTTTTATTTACTTCCTTCACTGTAAAACAAACCTGAACCCCAACAGTTTGCATGAACAAGCATAACTGGACCCTCTTTCACATCCTCTTCTTCAGTCTTTCAGCTCAGTTGAGGACACGGCCGTTCATACATTCTCTCAGTCCTTTTCCTCTTTTCCTGAGGTAATGAGTCAGTCTTTCCGTGGAGTCAGTTCTCTCCTCTGCGTTTGACCACAGTGCTGCTTTGGGGCATCACTCTTCAGCCAGCTTTTTTTCCTCAAAAGTATCGGGGTTATGAAGAGCTGGCTGTCTATCCTCTGAGTCATGACCGTGGTAACCTTTTCTACGTAGCCAGAGCATGCACGAGTGATTGGCATTTACTCACCCACATTACTTCTGTGTTTATTTTTAATTTGCGGTGCATAAAAAAAGGTGTGCCAGATATTTCCACCCACTATCTAAAGCCAGTGGATGCCTGTAGTGTTTTGTAAATAGTTTGGTTCTAGTTTCCATTTCATCTTAACGTACGATGAATTATTATCCACTGGTGCTGATGAGCAGCACAGGAAGGATGTGATCTCTTCTTTTCTCTCAGAAACGACAGGCTGCAGGTGCTGATTACAGGACTGTTTCAAAGAGTTAGAAAAGTCAAGCTGTGATGGTGTAAAAGGTGTTGGTATGGTGAGGTGACAAGTCTTTATAGTAGCCATCAGCAGATAGAAGCTTGATCGAACAACAGAAGATATCTCTAATCACAGAAACCGGATCAGTAAATGTCCTCTGTTTTGAAACATGTTGATCTGACTGTGAACATAAGACCTGTGGGACCTGTAAGGGGTCTGTTAACATGTCTGCTGACTCTGGTCCTCACTTAGGTGGAGGTGGCCCAGCCTCCGTCCATGATGGAGAAACAGATGAAGGCGTCCAAATCCAAGTCAGAGAAGAAGGCGAAGGAAACAACAGAGAGTCCGGCAGCAGAGAGTGCTCCCGTTCCACCTGTACAGAGTCTGGAGGGTCAGTGCGTGAGAGAGATGATACATCTGCTTTCTGCATGTCTAACTGTATGTTTTATACCTGAAGAGGTCATCAGGGGGCAGCAGTGTGTCATTAATCTGCACATGCCGATTTTCCAACACTGTCTCATCATTCCTCTAACATTCACCATGTGCTCCTTCATAAACTCACAGACTGTTGTAGATATGAGAGGTGTGTGTCTGTGTCAGCACATTCACACAGGTCAGTACCACTCAGACAGTCCAGGAGAACAGAGTGAAGAGATGTTAGTTCATGGTCACTCACTTTAGTTTGAAACAGAAACTCTTCTGTTTGAGCAGCATCAGTGGTCAGCTAGATGCGGTTTCAGTGAGCTGAACTGGTCACACTGAAGGATCTGAGTGCACCAGCTGGGTGTAACACGACGTCTGATCTACAGCTGAAAGTAACCACAAACTAAAGGTCCTGGTTTGTGCGCCAGATAGACTGATTATAATCTGAATCGAATGTGCAGGGATAATGAGCCACCCAGAAGCATTTGTGGTATCCTAATATGCTTGTTATGATCCAGAAAGACACAAAAAGATGGTGATGGTTATGTTATACACAGCAGAGGGAACAGTGGTTGAAGTGGGATGGTTGAATAATTGATGTTGAGATTCAAACAGCGTATGAAATGATAGTTAAAAATAAAAACAATTAGTAAGAGATAAACACAGATTAAGTGACAGTATGAGGAGGTAGAAATTTGTTTCATAGTTATTTATTTTCCACCTGTAAATTGATTGTAGTTAACTCTAACAGAAACACAACAGTGGCATGTTTTGTTTACAGGATAACTAATATGAGGAAATTAAAATGAGAGGCAGCTTTCGTTTAAAACAGACAGCAGCATGACAAAGGTATCGTGGAGAAGTTAGAGAAAATTGAGGAGTAGCTCCTGATGTGTCATGAGACATGTTAGTGTGTGACTGTAAAGAGGTCTATCGTTAATAATGATGATTATTATTGTGCAATACAATTGTCCAGCAGTGTTTTTTAGTAATATTTAACCTTGGCAGACCACAAGTCTGAAACACAGCAACAACAGTTAAAGGCTAAACTGATCCTAATGTACACTTGATGTGTATGTGTGTGAGTTGTGAGGATGTGTGTGTTATAATGTTGCTGTTGTTGTTTCCCTGCAGACATCAGAGGGGGTAAGCTGTATGTGATCAGTAGCCTGCCCATAGAGAGCTGTGACCCTGTTGTATGATGCTCAATCACCAACAAGCTGTAGCACACACAAAGCTGCAAACACTAACATTTATTATGAGTACTGCTACAAAGTTTGATTTGCACAGATGATCTTTTAGAAATCATGTTTTTGCTCGTTCTTTAAGTTTCTTTCTTCGTATCGCCCAATAGCTGAATCAGAATAAAACATTGAGGGGAATCTGTAAATATTTTGGCTTTAAAATTACTAATGCAGGATGCTAGAATATAAGAACAACTAAAGCACAGTGCAGTCTAACTGTTCAGGTTTTTTAGTCATTCGTATACAAAGTCCTTAAAATAATTGGTTCATTTTTTTTTATTTCTGTTACATTTTCAGGAGTGACTACTAGAGTGTTTTGACAAAGACAAAAAATGAGAATACCAAAGTGATGTGATTCTTCCCCATTCACCTGGAAACCCACATTTTCGGACCTAGAGAGGGGTCCTTGAAGTATACATAACAATGTATTTTGAATAGAGTGGTCAATAGACTGCACAGTGAAATGCAGAGAACTTCAGAACAGCTACTGGATTAAAATTCACAAGACTTTGATTTCTTTGAGTTCATGTTGCAAAACGTGATGAACAAATGGAAAGTCACCTGAAGATACACTCTTCCATATATGTTTTTTTTTTTTTCCACATTTCTCATTGATAGCATAATATCGAGCAGTGTTGTTGCACGACATAACTTTTCACCTCCAGCAGGCCCAGAGTCAGATTTGCTCGTAAAAGTCTAAACCAAACGTAGTTAAAATTAAGATCAATTTAGTTTTGTAAGAAGAAAATGGACTTAAAATCACAGATTATTAGAGACGTGATTGTTTATTTTTAAATGTATGTTCATCTACGCTCAACATCAATGTGGTTTGATTTTCCTGTTTTGTTTTTTTTTTATATTGCAGCAAATATTATGAAGAAAAAATATTGTAATGTTAGTTTTTCAGCACTCTGCAGCCCTGTTTTTGACCCTGCCAGGCTTCTGTAGTGTTAGACTGTAGTTTGTAGTTGTTACACGTCTCTTTTTAATGGGTTTGTTTAAACTCCTCTGAACTGTTAGCTAACTGTGTGTGTGTGTGTGTGTGTGTGTGTGTGTGTGTGTGTGTGTGTGTGTGTGTGTGTGTGTGTGTGTGTGTGTGTGTGTGTGTGTGTGTGTGTGTGTGTGTGTTTGTTTGTGTCGTCAGAGGCTTCAGCAGAGGCCACTCACATCATCTCAGCTATCAGTGAGGTCCCATCAGTCCCTGCTCCGTGTGACACAGAGGCAGTAACAGTCAAAGGTAATACACAGGTGAACTCTCCTGTGGATATTTGACATGAGTGTTTGTGTCTGTCAGCTGAAGGTCACAGAGTCAACACTCCTCTCACTGTCAGTGATCAGCTGACCGTCTTTGTGAACTTTGGCTTCATCTCTTTTTGTAAAACAAGTGTTTGGTTATGAAATGCTCCTTTTAAAATTTTTATCAACCATCAAGAGTAAATCTAAACTTCTGTCTGTGTGTTTGTGTTTTGTGCAGAGGAGTGTACAGAGTGCCATCACCATGACGACAGCGCAGCACCAGTAGCTGAGTCTCCTGTTACTGAACCTTTGAAGGAACGACCAGTAGAAGAAGTGTCTGCCAGACTGGCCAAGCAGGACCAGGAGGAGCAGGATGTGATCGCAGGTACACTCGGGACCAAAGACGCAGTTTCTGATATGAACTACACCAAACAACCTTTAAAACCCATTTAAGTCAGTCATGTATGGAAACAATTATGTACTCCTGACAATAATTTTCATATCTGCTGATATGATAACAAACGTTTTAAGCTATTATCTGCAGATTTAGATACTAAGCTGATAATATTTTGCAGCCCCACTCACAGAGGTCTGTGTAGAGGACCAGATATGACTTAATGGTGTATCACTAACTCTTGGTTTTTAATGTGGGCCTTCAAAGGGAGGTATGTTTGAAAAGTCTAACCTGACTGCTCTTACACTCAGTGGATTTTACTGATGTTATGCGAGTCTGCTGAGTGAGACCTGCGATCTAACAAACTTGACCTACACTGGGTGAAAACTCTGGTAGATGTGACAGCACTCAGGCTTTCAAATGGGGAGGAGCTCAGGACGAGGCAGCCCTCAGCCACTGAGACTGACTTAAGATCTGTGAACCCCTGTAAGGTTTTCTCATCTGAACATGTGGACTTGATATCATTTTAAGGAAGATTTTAAACCCCTTATTTAGTTGTTTTTAGTCTGTAAAATAATCTCCTAGAATCCTAAAATGGGCCATCATATCTAATTCTGCTCTGTCTTCTATTATAAATGTTATTGTAGTCTCCACTGACTCAGCCTGTCAGTTTGTGAATAATATGTACAGCACTGTGAACTACAAAAAAAGGCTCCTTAACCACAGAAGAATATTTATCTGTGTAACTATCAAAATCATGAAGTGTGAATGGTCGTCTCTCATCTTTAAGTCTCATTAAATTCATGAAGCAGCAGAAATCAGTCTGAATCTTGGCAGCAGGCAAACTTAAAATGCATCGGTCTGAAAGCTGAAATGAAAAGTTTTTCACATTGACAGGCGCTCAGCTCACCCTCCTCTACCCTCATGAATCATAAATTTGAGTGATAATATTTTTCAATCCTGTAAAAACAGCTGCAGCTGCTGTCATGCTGGTCGTTTGTTGTTATGCATGGCTGAGAGGTGTGTTACTTTGAATGCAGTTGACACAAAGAATTATGGGTCATTTTTCCTCCCCTCTTTGATAAAGGTGAAAATAAAGAAGCTCCACTCTAGAGACTCGGACATCTCTAGGTTGTTTCCCTCAGTTTGGATCCTTCCTAACCAACAGGGCCACTTCAGTGGATTCATAGTTTCCTTTTTAGCCTCACGACCCTCGTCTCAGAGTTTCATCCTGACGAGTTCATAAAGCAGATTATTTGAAATCAGAGTCTGTGGAGGGAGAATGAAGCTCCTCTCTTTTTGATCTCTCCACTCTCTGTCTCCTGTTGTTGTTTCTGTATCCTGTCTTTATGTCACTCATGTCTCCTGTGTCCCTTTCTCGTAGCGGTCTCTGTCAGTCTGGAGGAATCTCTGGCGAGCTCGGCTAAATCAACTTTGCAGGCAATTGGAGCACAGGAGGCCGCCCTGCAGGCTGTCATAAGACACACACTCAAACTGAAGGAGGCCATGGAGGCAGAGGTACACACACACACACACACACACACACACACACTGATACACACACACTGATACACAAACCTGAGCTGGGCTGATTCATTTCTGTCATTATTACAGTTCAATAGTTTTTTAAAACTCAAACACAAACTCACCTGCACTGTTTACCACTGAAAACTCAAACTGGTTGAGACTTGATGAACATGAGAGCAGGTGTACAGGTATAGAATATGTATCAGTCTATCGAGTAGTGATCAGGTGTTGTACCTGCAGGCTCCTCCTCAGGAGAAGTCGGCTCAGTGGAAAGATCTGGAAACTTCCCTGGCTGAGAGAAACTCTGCAGTGAATGACGCTGCAGCTGCTCTGACCAAAGCCAAGTAAGACACATGCACATGCACGCACATACACACACACTCATGTGTTTAGGCAAACGCAGATTTATATTTTCTATCCTGTTTTGATATATCATAACCCAAACACCTCATTGTTTCCTCACAGTGTGGCGTTGGACAGCCTGAAGTCAGTGATCGATGAGTCCAAAGGGCTGAAGGTTTCGGCTGTCCGTCCTGTGGTTTTAGCTGCAGAGGAGAACCTCCATAACATGGTGGTGGACCTGGACAAAGCTGTTACCAAGGTAACCACAGCATCACCATCAATGCTATTATCATAATTGGGAGTGTATGATAACAGTTGATGAAGATAAGAATTTTCCACGATCAGCAAACACAGGGAGATGGTGGTATCAGAAGAGTCAAGCTTTTGTGGCTTTACACTCATGAATGAACACATAAATGTCATTTGTATTTCAGAGCAGAGGTGACTCAAACAAGTGAACTGAACATTTAAATGAATCCAGTATGACAACACTACAATCTGGAATAAATAGGATAAATAACAAAGACAGATTAAAACAGATCATACTGTCCTTTACTTTTTCTTTTGATTAGACAGATTTCAAGATTTGATCCAGTCTGACTGTTTAAGCCTGATCAGATTACCTTGGATCTGGATCTGATTACTTTAAGGGCCAAGAGGATAATTCTTCATTATTGTTATTCATTCTGTGTGGACTGATCAATGACTGTGTGTGTGTGTGTGTGTGTGTGTGTCTCTCTCTCTCTTTCTATTTCTCTTTCTGTAGGTGCAGACGGCAGAGTCCGAGGCTAAAATCGTCTCTCAGTACAGTGAGCTGGTGAATGAAGCTAAACTTCAGTTCCAGAAAGAAGTGAGCAGTCTGACCCCGGAGATCCAGGCCAACTGGAAGTCCCTGAGTAAGACCTGGAAAAAAACCTCACAGTTTAATATGATACTAATTCAATATTGATTGATATGTTTTGAAATGGAGTCTATAATTAGCATAGATGACAGAAATAGTCTTACAACTCTGAGCATGTTGGCAGCATGGTCAGGGGCGAGTGAAGTACAGGTTCTTTGTCGTTTAACAACCATCTGTTTATAACTTCTGTCAATGACAGGATTCCAGTGGACCCTTAGAAATTCCTAAAAAACCTTTCATTAAAGATGGTTTGGACAGTCTTATTTTCACTTTTTAGAGGACTCAGATAGCATGTGACTGCATTGATTCTGGGGTGTCATGATTTTAAGTTATGACATCCTGCAATCTATGTGTGTAAAGCTTTCCTCTTGAATGGGATCATCACTGGGATTTTTGCTGCATCACGATTGGCCTAGTCATGATTTTAGACAACTGTCTTTACTTCGGTGAAAGTAAAGTTCTTGTAAATTACCATTATTCTGCCGTAAAATAATGGGATTCATTTTTGAGAGGTCCTTAAAAGTCTTAGATTTTAATTTAAAAAATGTGTAATCTATAACCCTGAATGAGTCTGCTGTATTTCTTCCTGTATTTCTTGGGTGCAGAGTTCTAGTTTGGTATTACATAGCATGGTACTTTACATAAATAATACTTTACATACATAATATGGTTCTGTGTTTTTGTGTGTGTTTGTATCAGCTGGTAAACTGTCTCCAGATGACCTGAATGCTCTGATTGCTCATGCTCACCGTCGGATTGACCAGCTGAACAGAGAGCTGGCAGAGCAGAGGGTCAGAGAGCAGATCCACATCGATGCTGCGCTGGAGCAGCAGAAACTGGAGGACCAGAAAGCTCTGGAGAAAGCTGTCAGCACATCACTGCAGCATGTCAAAGAGGAAGCGCGTCTGGAGCAGGAGAGGAAGGTAAATCCTAAACCTGTGAGATTTGAGGGAATAAAACCTTTAAATAAGATCAGATAAACCTGCAGTGTTAACAGCAGCAAAGAATCAGCATAGAACACATAAACCTGCTACAGGTCACAGAGTGTCGCTGAAAACCTGTGTTTATGTGTGTGTGTGCAGCTGACTGAGCTCAGGGAGGTGATGGAGGCTGAGATGAGAACTCAGCTGAGGCGTCAGGCTGCAGCTCACACAGACCATGTACAGGATGTCCTCAAAGTCCAGGAGGCAGAGCTGAGGTCAGAAGCAGACCAGGTAAGTCTGCACAGATGTGACAGATGAGAGAATGCAACAGAAGGTTAGCCCGTCTTCAACATGCTCTGTGTTGTGTTCAGGTACTGAGCAGTCTTGAATGTCTTCTGTGTTGCCTTCAGGTGCTGGGCAGTAAGCTGTTGGAGCAGGAGACTCGTTACCGTCAGCTGAGTCAGGAGCAGCTGGACAACTTCACTCTGGATATGAACTCCGCATACGCACGACTGAAGGGCATGGAGGAGGCTATAGACAGTAAGACGCACACATGCGCACAATCACAAACACACACACACACACACACACACACACACACACACACACACACACACACACACACACACACACACACACACACACACACACACACACAGTGAACAGAGGAGTGATTAGTAGTGTGCTAAAGTCCCCATGGACAGGGCAGTCTCCCAGGTGGCACCCTGGTTAAAGGAATTTTAGTTGAAAACCACTTTAATGTCATATGATCCTGAGACTCCTCATGTGACCTCTTCCTGTGTTTGATTTTAGGTCATGTGATCGCTGAAGAAGAGGCTCGTAAAGCTCACCAGCTGTGGCTCTCTGTGGAGGCCCTCAGCTACACTCTGAAGACGGCGGACACCAACGCCCCCTCTGTGCCTCTAGAGGTCGCTGCTCAGGCCGTGAGGGACAACTGCAGCGACAACGACTTCGCCCTGGCTCTGTCATCAGCGTTCCCTCAGGAATCCCTGCAGCGCGGCGTCTACAGTGAGGCCTCGCTCCGCGCTCGCTTCAACTCCCTCAGATCGCTGGCTCGCCGCGTCGCGCTCATTGACGAATCACATAACTCCTTGTACCAGTACTTCCTGTCCTACCTGCAGGCCGCACTGCTGTTTGAGAACAAACATGAAGCCCCGCCCACCCAGCTAAGCAGCGAGGACTTAGACCCGTTCAAGTTGCTGTCATACGCTAGCTACTGCTTAGAGCACGGAGATCTGGAGCTGGCTGCCAAACTGGTGAACCAGCTGAGGGGGGAGGCTCGGCGGGTGGTGGAGGACTGGCTGACGGAGGCCAGACTCACCCTGGAGACCCGACAGGTCATCAACCTGCTGTCTGCTTACGCCAACGCTGTGGGCTTAGGAACCACGCAGGCGCCATGAGACATCACCGAGATTAACTTTAAAGGAAGAATCCACTGAACGGCTGTGTGGTGTTAGACTGTCGCCCCCTGCAGGAGAGAGAGGGAGAGAGAGTCCGACACTCAGAGCAGGAGTCAGTGGGTGGTTCCTTTAATGACACACCTGATGGATGTAATGATGCAACAGAGTCTCTTATTTTAAAGCACTATGTCACTGAGGACGAGTCTGTACCTTGTCATGAAGAAGCTCTTGGTGTAGTCGTCTAATTCAGGCCACAGCTTCATTCAGGTATTTATTTGTGTTCATAAATCTAACAAGCACTCGTCCTGCTGCATTTTATCATTGTCAAAACTGCACATGTTCCAATAAACCATGAAAGAGAGAGCTGTCTGCTGACTTCATTTCTACTGTGATGAGTGAAGATAAAACTGTGTCCACAGGTATACACTAATATTTCTTCAGCAGACAGAAAGAAGGACCACCAAAAGCTCTGACATGGTTTTAAGATATGTCCATTGATGCTCAGGTAGAGGACTATCATACTTTGCTGTAGCACTAAATAAACTACCTGATGTGAGTGACTCTGCTCTACATTTAACCAAGGAGACTATTTTCCCTGTACAGGTACGGCAACACCATTCAGACAAAGCACACTTAGAACTACACCGACAGTTTTTTGTCTTTGGGATCAGATTTTGGACTGGAAAATTTATCAGCCAACTCAGAAGAAGAATTAAACCTCAGAGAATATAACATCTTTATTAATGACACAATAAATATAAACCATTGGAACATTTAAATAACATAGATTATCATAAATATAACATCAGTAAGAGTGCAGCACCTGCAGCATCAGTTCATGTGTGCTTGTGCAAAAAGTCAGTGTGCAAATATTGTGTGGAAGAAAGAGCTTGAAGTAGAGAAATAAATCGTGTGTGTGCTGTCCCTAAATCTTAGTAAAGACGGTCAGACATGTTGACTCTGATGCTGCTCTGTGTGGGACTCATTCACAGACGTGTCACTGTGTACTGTCCTGTAGTGTTGCTTCTCTGAGCAAAACTTCCATCAAGATCTTCACTGTAAGAGAACATTTCAGCGCTGTTATAGAAGTCTGAGAAACACAGGCCTTGTATCAGTCCTGGAATATTCTGGAGGTTTTTGATCTGAGACCTTCATATCCTTGGGAGGAAGTGTGTCATGGTCATGGTGGGGTTGACCCGGTTACCCCTCTTGGTTTTCCCGGTCTTGCTGAGTCCGATGAACAAGCCAGGGTATGCGGCTGACTCGTAGGCGTTGTAGTTGTTGGGGAGGAGCTTCTCCTTAAACTTGCACTCATCGTTGTAGTGACCCTGAGGAAGAGGAGGAGAGAGGATTTATCTTTGGATAGTTTTGAGACTCCTTGAGCTCAAACAAACTCCTGCTGTAATCTTTGAACATCCAGGTCCTGACATTTTCCAGGCATTTTCATTGCATGTCGTGAAAACTTCTGAGTGAGCCGCATGTGAGTGTCACACACACACAGCCAACCAAGGTAATGATGGGAAGTCTTCAGCATCCGGAGTGCGGTGGGTGTATGAAACGAGCTCTACAAACTATCAGACCTGACCTGTCAGTGATCCGGTACCTGGCTGTCAACATGGCAGGTCGGGGTCTGTCCTTATTGAGTGACTCCCCCCCGCTCTCCCAAACCACAGATATTAAACCTCCTCTCACTGCTTTATAATTTAATGTAAGGAGATAACATCGTCACAGAGGTCTGGGCTCCAGCTAAAAGGTCAACCTAAACCTCCCACCCCCACCCTGACTGTACCCCCCACCTCCACCTCCATGCATGACTGCCGTTCTGAGCAGATGACTAAGTGCGGGATGACTAACTGCTGTTTGGTTTAAGGTTCACTTCATCTCAGTCAGCGTGCACAACAACTTCAACTCCAACTCATCACTTCAGCGTCCAAGCAGTGGCAACAAACTCAACATCACAAACATGACCTAACATTAACTGTGACTAACAAGCACACAGGGTATTTATATAGCCTTCATACACACATACATCAAACCGTGTAGAGAGCATGAGTAAAGTTTACTGAAAAGTAATGAAAGCAAAAAATAAATAAATAAATAAACACTGACATGTCCTTCAGTAAGGCTTACATTCACTTCTAATTCATCATGAATTTTCAATGTTATCAGAAAAATCTATTTGCTATGTTATTTGTGTGATGTACACCAATACTTGCAAACAGCAGGATTCCCTAAGTCTCTCAAAGTAGTGCAAGGAATAACATGTGTGCAGACTAGGATGCAGATTCAGGACTAAATTGCTGGGGCTGAAGGTCTAGGTGGTTTTTGTCAGTTTTACATTTGAACAACAGCACAGCATGTTATTTGACTTGATACTTGACTTTATTGTGCTGCTTTTGATCCTCTTCAGCCTCTGGTTCAGAGTGGTAAGAGTATCTATGTTTAACAAGTTGTGGACTTCCTGTGTTTTATTTTTTTATTTCTGATGCGCTTGATGTTATCTTGTGTCTTGCTGTCTGCTGCAGATTAAATATCTCTCAGGATAAATGTGAAGTTAAAATCGAAGTTGCTCTTACCGAACCATAGAGTTTCCCTCTGTCACTCATTGCGATGAAGAGGCCACTTCTCACCCCAAACAGAGTCACCACTCCTCTCTCCACTGGGGAAATCTCTAAAAGGCCTGGAGTCAAAAACATGAGTTTGTGTTTGGGTCAGTTGTTTGAGTAGCTGAACAAGAAGGGCTGTCTGTCTCAGTAACCAAAATCTACAAAACCCTTTTTCATTCTTAAAGTTTGAACTTGCAACCATACATCTCCAAACTGTGGCGATAACCCTTTTTAACCTAATTCTGTAACCTGGCTTATGATGCAGATTTAACATCATTTTTTACATGACAGAAGTATGTCAATTGCATTTGTAAGTAAAGTTGATGAAGTAATGTTTCACTCCTCCTGTGCTCTCCACTACTCTCATGTCTCTTCTTCTCTCAGAGAGCTGAACACACTGACAGAAGAAGGAAGGAGATCTGAAAGCAGAAGGTAGATTGAAAGATCCAAGTTTTAAATGGTAATAACTGTGTTGTTAAAATTTGTATTGTTTCTAAAAACGTGCTTTGATCATCTAGTTCAAATTATGACAGTTTTTCCATATTGCAGGAAAATAATGGATAATTAGTTTTTTCCCACTATCATGCATCCCCAGTAAAAAACTATATCAGTCATGTGTTTCTGTAGTTCTGCGCATGGTTGGTCCAAGTTGTGTATGGTGCATTGTCTCTGTGGATGAACATAGACCTAATGCCCATAAGATCAGACAGGTCATTTATTCATGGTAATGATCCTGCAGCAGCCATAACTTCAGGTCATGTTTGAGCTTTTTCATTATATCCTACAAAAACTTACTGTCCAACTAAAAGCATGTGGAGGTTTGTGGCTGAACATTTGTTTTATTCTGTGGCTGGTTGTTCCTGTTATTCTGGAGCCACAGCATCATAAACAGGAATATAGAAATACTCACTGTATCTGTTCTCCGTGTGCACTCCTGTGATCTTCCCACTGGGCAGGACCTGGATGTGGAAGCCGATGCCCACGTTACAGTACAGTCTCCTCAGTCTCTTTATACCCAGCAGGTACTCTCCGTCCCTGCCCGTCGTGTCCCTCTTGTCCCAGGAGCTGCCACTGGTCCAAACTAGTGAACTCACGCTGTGGACAGTTTGTCTCCTGCTGCTGATGACCGGGACAGGAGTGAAGGAGCTGCAGAGGAGGATCCCATACAGGAGCAGAGGGAGTCTGGACGATGACATCCTCTGCTGTGTGATTCAGTTCAGTCAGTTTAAGGAGGAAAGATCACAAACTGTGTCCAGCTGCAGTCTGTCAGAGAAACAGCACAGAGGGGATGTCTGAGCGTCTAAACCAGGAGTTTCAGAGTTCATCTTCACACATCTCTTATACACGAAGCCGTCAGGGTGTCCTCTGTCAGAGAGCGGCTGCTGTGTCCTCTTCAGGTCCCTCCAGCAGACAGACACACACTTATATGTGGCCCATACTGCATCACGGACCGCCTGCTGCCATGTTTGTCTGTGAGTCACAGATGCACACAAAGTGAGGACGACGTAAAACACAAAGTGACAGAAAACAAAGAGGAACACGCAACACACACAAAAACACACACAGAGGTAAATCAGCTCATACAGAGAGCATGTAAACAGGCCCGGGTCGGCTCATCTAGACCAGCTTTAATTCAGGGGCCAGTCTGCAGGTTTTTTTTTTTTTACCAGGGCTGAGGAAACATTGTCCACGGTGTTATTCATGAGCTCATCTTTTTTCAGTCTAAGGAATGTGAAGAAGCTGGGTTTCTCCAAGCACAGACTGCTGGGGTCAAAATGTTCACCTGAAAGAAAACATATATGTACCTCCACATGCTTTCTTAGGATGGACAATAAAGTTTGCAGTACAATGATTCAAAAAGCTTAAACCTCAGACGGAGAATCTTCATCCTTCTCTGCTGCAGCATCATTGCCAACACAAAATGGTCTGATACGATGAATGTTTGCTTTGCTTTTGCCCTACATGGAGACAATGTGTCAGGTATGGCAACGCCACTTAGACAAACCACACACAGAGTTACAGAAACACAGTTAGTGGAGTAAAAATTATATTTATCCCCCAAAATGGCAGTCAAGTAAAGCATACATACTCAAAAATTATACTTAAGGACAGTCCTTAAGTACTGTTACTCCATTGCTATCACCACTACTTCACTGTGCACCACCAGCAGCTAGATCTTAAGCAGCGGCCATTGGCTGCAGAGATCCTGCAGCACCGGGAAGCTGGGTCTCTGCACTGGGTTCTGGGTGATAGGTGGAGGGCAGCAGAGTCTTTGGGGGGCTTTCTCAGCAGCAGCGTGATGCTGGGCAGAGGTCGTCAGTTTTGGCTCCCTCTGTGGAAAATTAAATCTGAAAAAAGTTAAAACTACTACTTGTTTTCAGCTGCTCTACTAACATCACAGTGGTTTCAGGTGTTAAAAATCACAAAGTGAAAACTGTAAATTGTCACTGATGTTCATGTTTGCTCAATTACAAAAATGCATCAGTAGAAATTTTAGTCTGTTTAAAAAAAACTCCTCACGTTGCTTGAAATGTTAAAAAATTGTAATGTCAAGCACAACATGGTGACCATCAGAAACCAATGTGCAATGTCAAAGAGACTGCGTCCATGCTTTATACAGTCTGTAGTTAGTAATTAAACCAGAACTCTTTACATATTTGTTGTACCATTTTATCATTTGTTAAAAAGATGAGATGTTGCAGCATGTCATAGTGATGGAGTGAACCCCCGGCTGGAGACAGAGTCAGATATGGACATCGTGAACGATTGTGTAGTAAAACAGCAGCCTGGATGAAGAGCAGAGGCTTCAGTCCACTCTGTGGTAAACAGCTCTGATATGAAACGGATGTTAAGTCCATGTGTTACCATGTGACCTGTAGCTTTGGGTCGCTACAGACAGTGTGGCATCCTGCAGAGCATGCTCACAGTCGGTGAGGTGGAGCTTTGTTTGGAAGACAGGGTGAGAATATCTATAATTATTCTCCAGCGAAAAACAACGCCGCATCACATCAGCGAGCCCACTTTCTCAGGCTCCTCTCACCCCGTCAGTGTCCCACTGCCTCTCTCATGGCTTGAGGGACACCCACTCTGATGTCAGAGCAGATGTCTATGAATGATCACCAGCGTCACAGCTACAGTGGGGTTTCCTCCCGGGGGTGGGACCAGTCCTTAACATGTGTACACACACCATCTATCACTGCTCTGCCTCTCTGCGTCCTGCCATGAGCCCCATGAGCAGCGTTCTGACGCACCACATGTCACATGATATCAGCTGTGCTTTGCTGCTGCTCTGTGTCCTCCCAGCAGATAGAACAACATGTTTGCATGAATCACACTGTTGTTTGGAGTGTGTCTTCATGCTGCCCAGCAGCAGAGCATGCAGAGGGAGGTGAGAGTCTCCATCTACGGAACAATCCCAGATTGAAGATTGTCATGACCTGACTCACAAGACATGACAAAAAGAAGGGAAAATACATGATCATCTAAATGATGCAAAAGTTTACCACAAAAGAATTAATTCAAAACCAAAGTAATGAAGTAAGATGAGTTTTGCCAAACTTGTGACCTTGATATATTTGAAAGTAATGCATCATAAAAAAAATCACTTCTGTCACAGTGTGTGTGGAGAGAAAGATGAGTCTTTCAAATGAAAACAGTTTTTTGAACCATGGTGTAAACATGTCTGTTTATGCTCAAAAGATGGGCTTCATTAGAATAAGTGTGTTTGTGGTTTCTGGTGCTTCTGCGGGCAGCCTCTACCGAGGGAAATGTAGTTCTCAGCACTTCCACATTCGCTTTATTTTTCAAGACCAGAGGATGTAGCTCTCTCCCAAAGGAGAGGTCCATCCTCTCCTTCTCATGTTTGCAGTCCTCAAGTTTGAACCAGCCTTGAGTTGAGACAAGGGTGGCAAGGGAGGTCAAACTTGTGGGGCCAACAGGCAGAAGACTGAAGAAAAAGAACTTTATTGACCCCTGAAAGGAAATTATATTCTGGGGAAACTGGGTTGAAGAAGAGGTTGCTAATTACAAAGCAGCAGACAAACATTTATTATTAAAATATATAAAACTCCTCCTTTTCTCTTTTTCATACCCCTAAGGGCCCTGGGTCAATGACACCCTAGCTCATCTGTCTCCTGTTCTATGTTACAATCATCAGGCCTGCATGCTGGGAGTGTAATGCTCTACTGTACGGGGAGGTAATAGTTCTCCTGAATCTTAGCCTTGCTTTCCATAGGGTTAATAACTTCATCCTCATTATGATGCTACATGATTAAGTGGAAGTATCAAGCACAGCATTGGACTACTTTTCTTTATACCTACCGTAAATGACAGAATTTCATGACAGTTAAATATATGTATGATTCAGATCTGTTTATTTAACAAAGAGTATAAAGCTGCATCTTTGGTGTGTGTGTTACCAATCAATGTTATCCGTGAGGGTTGAAGATATTTATTGTACTTGTCCTGTATCTCCAATTGGCCCCCAGGGACGAATGACATTTTCTGAATTTGAATTTCCCTGTTATTTCAGTGTAAAGTACATTGAGCTCACCTTTTCTCCAGTGTGAATTCTGAACCAAATGGCAATCTTATTTTGCTTGTTTGCAGATTCACAGTGTAACTCAAACATGTCTGTCATTTAAGAAAAGGAACCAAAGCTGCATCTTAATTTATGATGACCTCTCTTCTAAAAAGGACGCAGCAGTGTGTTTTGATTAAAATCTGTAAAAGATATATGTTGGGTTGGTTTTATATTGAATTCAATAGTTAACTGATGGTAATGCACATTTTTCAATCTTTGTGGTGATCTTTCCACAACAATCACATTTTCAATTTAGGATCTGTGCTGCACGTACTATGTGTGACCACTAGGGGGCAGAGGTAACCCAGGTGAGTCCCTGTCCTTCACGTTACTTGCAGATATCCACATGTAGGATTAACTTAAGTGAGTTTATTTAATGGTTTATATTTACATATTTGATGCTTTTTCATATTTGAAATTATATTATCAATATATCAGCGGTTAACTTTGCTGTGACATAAACAAATATATCAACTATATGCTATAGTGGGCTTTATAATAGTGGGTCCAGTTGAAACATACTGGATCATAAAAAAAGGAAAGACTTGAAAACGAGGACAGATAACAATAAAATTCAAAACAATTATTGCCAAAATATATGATATCGCTCTGAGTTAACCTTAGCCAGCAAGTGTAAATGAATGAACCCTCTCAATGAAGGAAAAATATCCTCTCTGAGATACAGATACAGACACAACAATGATTTTGCACAAGAATTAAGACAGATTAATGTAGGCCCTCATATCATATCATGAACTAACTCTCTGTTAACAGACCAATCCTGGAGGACATGCAGGAAGAGCAAGACATGCCTTTTATTACGGTAAAAAGTTAGCAGAAAGTCTTTGGTCTCTGCAGATCTATCCAGAATGTAATAGCAGGAAAAAAGAGCCTGTAAACAGATCCAAAATAGTTACATAGTTATGTAGTGTCAGTCTGAAGCACTCTGCCTCCCTGATTTTACACTGTCTCTGAATATGTCGCATTTTTAGTCCTTGTCTTCAATTTGTCAGTTAATCCATAACAATCCCTGACTTCCAGCAATGTTCTCTTTTTTGCCAGGAAATACAGATTTTTCTCTTGGTATAATTTATAAAGGTATATGTAAAAAAGTTGGTACATTACTTTGGAAAAGCAAACATGCAGCAGCCATGGCGATTAAAAGGGTACAAAAACAATGAAATGCATCAGCATGGAGAATATGTCCGAAAAGCACAAAAAGGACACGGTCTATTTAAGACCGTAATTCAGCTCATGGTATGTTTTATTTACAAAAAATAAAATCTTTGAGGTTTTGTCCTCTAGGACATCTGTTAACATTTGTTGACATGTTGCTGGAAGATCTTTAAAATGAGCTTACAAATTCATGAAACCATAAATCTTTTCAGTCTCAGCAATTTATATACTACTGTATCTTCAGTTGAATTTAGACTTAAATGATCTGCAAACCACCAAAATATGCTTAAATATACAAACGCAAAACAAATGTTACAAATATAAGCATTTCTTTAAGTTTAGATAAAAAATTGTTTGTTTGTTTGCTCCAAAGGCACATGTTCAGCATCATTTGATGTCATATCCTTTTTGAAGGGAACTTTAAAACACAGTGTGGTAAGTCTGTACTTCTCCTCTTCAATATTTTATCAATATCATTGCGCACACATAGAGCAGATTAATTGATTGTCAACTGTGTTGTCAACATATTCATGAGAACTTGCTTTAGATGTTTCATTTACAAAAATGTAGATAAAGTATATAAAAACAGGAGTTGATTAAGGTCTTACAGTGACAGTTCTGAGGTCTTCAGTTAGCAAAAGGCCCTAAAATGGCTGAAATGTCAACTGTGTTACCTGTCAACTGTCAAGTTTACTGCCACATTTTATGTTTATATTTAGAGACAAACATAATGATTTGTGTTTTAGGAAGATGGGTTTATCTGCTGCTGAGAAGCAGTGCCAGTACAGGGGTCGGTGTGATGCTGATTCTGATAGAAGGGCTGCATTTTTACAGAAACACTGAGATTAAAAAGGTTCCTCCTGTTCACCTGTCCTGTCAACTGTGTTACTCCCACCAACAGTGTTACTTTGTCTGTCAACTGTGTTACAAGTGTTTTTATGTCATAAATCTCTTAAATGTTGAATAAACTGTTGCAAAAAAGATGGGGGACATCTCTAGAGCAGAAAGTCTTACATAAGAATGGTGAATAACTCTAAATTCAGTGTAATGTGAGTTCATGTTGAAAAAGGTTGCAATCTACATCACTGTATCCCATAGCATCACCATTATGAAGCTCAAAATTCACATTTTTAAACCAGTTGGACAGATAAACTCAAAACCCCAGGTGTATAGACTCAAACACTTTCAAACAAATGTGTTATCAAATCTTTAGTATTTTATATGTTTTATATGGCACAACAATTGTCCGTAACATAGTTGACAAAATGATAAATCAAATGTTCATTTTCATTAAAATTTTTAATTTAAAAGTCATTTGAGCTTAAGCTTGCCAATTAATTGATTTGGCACATTAAGGGTGTAAATCATAGAAACATCTAGTTTATGTATCAAAAAAGAATACTGATACTTTGAGTTTTTGGTCCACCTAAATTGTACCCCTAATAGTAGAATGACTCAATTGATCAAACATTTTCGGACAGTCCACAGTTTTTATTTGTCCTTTTCTCTCCAGGTGTTCTCCTCTCACCTTGCAGGTAACATACAGTGTGGTGGCGTCATGTTTTCGATAACCAGTTGTTGTTTTTGTAGGTCTTAATCTGAAAGTGTGACCGGAAGCAGGTGTGTTCGGTCTCGTGTCCGCTCTCTTGACGCAGCCGCTCCTCCGGTAACGATGCCTGCCGTCACCGTAACGTTACCTGGATGAGACGCTCCCGCATCCAGCTGTGTCCTCGCGCACCGCACCGGAGCGTGCCCGGCGCGAGACAGGACAACGGTTACTGGCGGTGGTTGGAAGGCTCGTGCGTCTCCGTTAACGGCGAACATTGGAGAAACACGCACGGCTGTCCCCGGAGACCTGGTCCGGGACGGGCAGAGGGAGGCTCGCGCTGCATCTGTTGCCTGGGTGAATTCACGAACACGTTAGCATCAGGCTAACGCTGCTAGCTTTATACACAGGTACAAAACGGGACAACGAGGCGATTTTACAACGAAATTAACGGATGTCATCCCTCGTTCCAGATAAACGTCACTCCACGTGAATGTTTGGTGAGTCTCGGGTTCGGTTCGGGGGTGAAATAATCCGTCCTGAGCGCGAGACCTACCTGAAAGGTGAGGGAATGGGCTTGCTGTAAGGCTAACGGGGGTTAGCGTGTTAGCCTGATGGAGGCAGAGTAACCTGCTGATAGAGATCATGGACATCCTCTTAGTCTACTAAAGGCCGACTGCTCCATGGAGTCCTTCCTGCAGATAGCGCCTCACTCCCTGGCTATAGTGCTGTCCAGGACTGGGGCCGGGACCGGGGCCGGGGAGGCGGGGGGAGCGGGCGGAGTGTCGGAGAGCGACGAGCTGCCCAGGCACCACACCGGGTACGAGATCTTTGCGGATTTTAAAGCGGAGAACACGCAACAGCATGTGTGGAACCAGAGGATCACTGAGGCCGTGTCCGAGACCTTTTTCTTGGGCTGGATAGACGAGCATGTGCTGCTGATCCAGGGGAAGGAGGACCACCTGGAGGTGCTGAGGGAGGGATGGATGCGGAGGTCCCTTAACCCGCCGCGGGGATTCACCATCAAATACCTGGGTAAGGCCTAGTTGCAGGTGCGTGTCCAGAGTTTAAGGTTGGGGGGCCGACTGGGGCTCCGACTCATACAGGAAAGAGCATGGGGTATGTGCAGCAAGGACTTAGGAATATCATATATTTATATCACTATTTTCACCAATCACATTGGTTTTAACTGTTATAATATCAATGTGTTATTTCCATTAGCAGTTCTTTAAAGTAATAGTTTCAGATGTTTACTTTAGTTTGTAAATGGGACAGAATAGTGGATGGAGCAGGAAATGGGGAAAGAGAGAGTGGGATATGACATGAGAAAGGGACTGTCTACTTGAGGACTAGACTCTGTACTTTGGGCGCGAGACTCCATCACTCGGCCTCATCTCTGCCCAATAAATACTTTTTAACACTAACAGGTAAGAAAACATGGTGTCAGCACATAATGCCGATCACTTCTGTCTCTATTTCTGCATTCAAAGCTGCAGTTAAAGGTCTGAACACTAAGGTAGCGATAGAAGGGACAGTTGTTTTTAAATCAGAAGATAGACTCAAAGATATGAATTATAAACAGTAATAACAATGGTTTTGTGAAAATGTTTTGTTGTTCCTAAGTACTTAAAATGTACATCAATTTCTGGTATGAATAAGTGCATTTTTTACATTAAAGTATATATTTCTAAAAGATAATAAATAAAAAATAATAATGTTAGTATTTTATTCATGCTGAAAATGTGATGATATATATCTTATGTGAATAATTGTATTTTCTGAACAGAATGTCAAAATGCATTACCAAGTTATTTTGAGCCATACAAACCCCCACAACAATCAACATTTGCTACTAAAATGAAGGAAATAGCCTGTTTATGGGTTTAGAGTCTTTAAGCCAAGCTAGCACGCTGTCATGTAGTCATTTTGAACTCCACTTCAAGAGTTGAATTTCTTGAATATACTTATAAATATAGAGAAATATAGAGAATATAATATAGAGAAACTATAACAAATGTCTCTGTGGGGATCAATAAAGTTCTTGTATTGTGTTGAAGAAGATTTCAGGCTAGGATTTATAGAAAAGAGAGGATTTTTGCCGGCAAATCACATAATGGGTTTCAGGTTGACTCTTTTTGCACAGATATGGAAGAAAACGGCACAAACCTTTTCAATCTAATTCTTTAGGATTCAGAAAGACGATTTTTCAGTGTAACAATATGAAGAATGAATGTGCTAAACTGAAACAGAAGAATAAAACCTGCCAGCAGCCTGGTGCATCGTAGACCAAACAGTTGACTTTAACTCAAACCTAACAAAGCAAACAGCCAATCATAGTCAAGGATTTTTGGGGTTGATATCTGTGGTAGATGTAAAGCGAGCCCATGCCACCCCTGCCCACCCTCTGGACACGCCCCTTCCGTGTGTGATTGTGTTTGTGTTTTCTGCACACCACACTGCACCTGTTTATTTGCTACATTCAGGTAGAACCAGATTCTCCACATGTACCCTGAACCTGTTAATAAGCAGCTCTGACACCGTTGAAGCACTGAGGTGGAAAATGTGATAACTGAGTCTTCAGTCTGTGGTTAAACGCAGAGAGTTTTACTTTAGTTGAAACTTTCCCTTTACCTTCAATGCATGCACATGGGGAAGAAAAACAATATGGAGGCTGTGTTTAAATGTGCAAACTGCAGGTGCAAATCAGTATTTTCTTGGAGTAATGACACGGGTAGAGTAATTATCTTATTCAACTTATTATTATGATACTAACAGCTGTGGATAAAACGTGAGGTAAATACATACCTAACCCTTCTATTGAAAACTTAGGCTAAGGACATTATAGCTCTTTGAAGTTTGTAGATAACCTTTAAAAGTTAAGAGTGATTTTAGAAATCACTGCTGTCAGTCATGAGTAGAAGGGTGCATGTTTGATTGGTTGTAAACTAAATGAGATGCTGATGACCTCACCTGACCCTCAGTGAACCACTACCCCCAACCCCAGCTGACTTCAGGAAGTGAATGCGGTTTGTGTGACAGACAGGATGGAGTCATCAGTAACTTAGAGGTTTCACACTCTTTTTTTCTCCCGTCTCTTTACTTTCTCTTGCATGTTATAAAGTCACTCTGAATCTATGAAGCCATGTCGTGAATTTTTTTTTCTAATACTTACATTATGTTTTTATCTCAGTTTGGGCAGCCTTTGATAAATAGGTGTCTGCTTCTTCTGGGTGATTGTTTTGAAAAATACACAAATATGACACACATAGAATTAGTATTACCTTGGGATCTCTGCTGATGTGGAAATAAGTCCCTTATGTCGGTGTTTTAAGTGGCAGATTTTCACAGAACAAGCAAAGTTTTCTTAAATTTAAGACATTTCTGATTGAGAATACCAGTGTGCTGCACCCCCCTGCTTCCTTCTCGTCTCTGTGGGCAGCGTCACACTCTAAACCCTGCTGAGAATTAAGAAAAAAGAAGAAGCCGCCTCTGTCGGATTATTTCCACAAATAACATGTTTAAAACAAGATAGAACTTTACATCATACAACTTTATAAGTTACCTTTCAATAAAGCAGGGTGTTTGCAGCCCCACCTCCAGCTGCTCCCCTCTCATTTAAATGGTAGGAGACAGTAATTTCACCTGGCTTCTAAATGGTTGCACCAAAAAAGTCTTGAATTAAAAGTTGTTTACTGTAGCAGTGACTCTACAGCTTCAAACGTTTTGTTTTCTTCATATATTTTGGGGATCAAGACTTGATGTGAAATGTGTGCTTTAACATATACTTTCAGTATGTATTCAACATGCCATTACCTTGAGGAAAAAAACAGTGTGTTGTACAAAAACCCAATTCGTTACTCAAGCCAGTAGAAATATGTCTTTCCAATGAATGTTTGTATTTGCCTGCAAAACTGGCTGCAAGTCAAAAAATTAATTTTGGATCTCTCAGGTAGCATCGTCTGACAAACTATTAGCACTCAAAAGGCAATTAATCCATTTGAAAAGTAAAAAAAAAAGTTCCTAACTTCATGCTGCAAAGCACAACATCTATCTAACACTGTTCTACACCTGGATCTTTGATGGATTTTGTTTGCTCTTCAGTGAATGGGTTCTGCTTCTGTGTAGAGAAATACAAAAAAGTTTTGCCGGCAAAGTGCTGTCAAAAAATCTTGATTTGCAGTGTCCAACCCAGCCTCAATCATTTTTGACCAGAAAAGCTGCAGAGATCTTCTTACATTTGGTGTTTTAAAGGTGTTTTTGATGCAGATCTAAACTTCATGAGCTGGATGGACAGGATTTAATAAAGTCAATCTACATCTCCACGCAACTTAAGGTTGTCAGACAGACGTGTGTTTATCTGAGAAAAGTCACATGGTAGAAAAGAGGTGCTGGACTAAGTTGTGTCTCTGATATCTCTGTTGTGTGTGTTTGAATCTGTCTTTGCTCAATAGATTCACACACTGTGAAAGAGGAGCAAAGGGGTATTTCTCTTTGTTTTCAGCTGACTAAGGAAACTCATCATGTTTTATCTCAATGAAATGTGCTGTTTCGTGTATGTTACAACATCTGACATGTTTAGATATGTGCTGACTGTCTCCTCTCCGCAGCTCTTCAGTTGTTGAACTCTTTTGTCTTGGATTACGAAGAGAGATATAGAGAGAGAGTGTGTGTGTGTGTGAGAGAGAGAGAGCAGGTTTTCTGCTCTGATTAAAGAAAAGAAAGAGAGAGAGCCATGAATAGAAGTCTTATTCTCTCCACCACCACCACCACAGGCAGTCACACACACACGCACATGCACGCACGCATGCACGCACACACACACACACACACACACACACACACACACAAATAATCTGGCTATCAGATATATTTGACCTGTGTTATAAGGAGCTCAGATTATGAGCGCTCTGATTGGTGGTCAGTTGAAAATAAAGATCCTGGTCATACAAACTAATATCTAGAAAGTTTTTATCTGAAATATTTTACAGATTTAAGTCTTTCAAAACTGTCAAAGGACTTTCTTGACACTAGAAGAAAATCCATAATAATGTCTTCATGTTACTTTTTTTTACTCAAGTTTGGGATTTTCTTTGCCTTTTTATTCCTCTTTGCCTGAGTATCTTGAAATTCTGTTTTCAGATTAAATATGCTTTTATTTTGAAAGCACACAAAGGCTCTTCCTCTACATGGTAAAGTTGGAGAAGTCAGTAATAACAGCTGAAAGAAGGATCAGCAGTAAAAATGGTAAATGTAATAGCACCTCTCTGTAGAAAAAAGGTCTTTTGCTGTCATAGAGAAGTTTGTTATGGCTCTTTGTGTACAGCAGCTCTCATTTAGAATCTTTGTTTATGCACAAATAAGGCCTGAAACTGGTACCGTGTTAGATCCCTACAAGAGCCTTTGTTCCGCTGGCTAATATAACTGCAGTTTAATAACAAATTGTATAAAATACAAATGTATTTTCAGTATCATTACCCTTTTTTTCTGCAGTGGAGTTTTGATGACAATCATATCAGAAATGGTGATTCAACTTGACTTGTGGTTGACCCAGCAAAAGGCAGAGAGATGGAACTGAGGCAGGCTTTAACCTTCTTGCAGACAGCTTTATTACAAATAAAGCACTGATTTGGGAAGTGCAGGGGGGTGGCGACTGTGCATCACATTAAAAACCCTCTAATTTTTAAGGCGTGGCGGTTATTCAGCCATGGCGGTGCACCATGATCTGTTACATGTAGAGGAAACCCTGGATTACCAGTAAATTGAGTCAGCTACGATGAAAAACCTCTGATCTTGATGTCCTCGAAAGAATGAGATATTTAAAATTATAAATCTCGAGACAGTGTGTATGAATCGGTAAAGAAGCTACTCAGAGCAAAACTCGTTTTTGAGCCAGGTTGTAAACATGCTCACTCTAGCTAAAATGATGGACTTTTTTTGAATGAGTGTGTATTTGACTTTTAGGGCTTTTGCAGCCAGCCTCAGATGGACACTTTAGGAACTGCAGTTTTAGCAATCCTGCACTGGGGCGGCTGTGGCTCTGTGATAGAATTAGGCTTTGTCCACACGGAGATGAAAATGATATATTGTTGTTTCATCATGAAAAGGTGTTGAAATAGAGTGGTGCGATAACACTGCCACGGAAATGCACCAAAAGACAGAAGAGGAGTACAGAGCATTTGTACAAAGGTTTCGTGCTGTATACAATTCAGGTCCATGCAGGTGCCTAAGAAAGTTTTGCAGAGACGAAATTAATTTGTATACAGATTTATGTAATCTTGGACCCGTTTGATAAATAATCATTCACAGTCACCTGAAACGCTGTTTCTTTGTGAATGAAATGCCAGTACAACATAAAACTTTTGTGTTTACTTCTACATTTGTTTCCGTGTGGACGAGGCCTTAGTCTTAGTCAGGTCAGGGGTTTGATCCCAGGACCTGTTGCCCACATGCTGAGGTGTCCTTGGGAAAGACACTTGATCCCACCCACCCCTGCTGGCTGCGCCCACGAGTGTGTGAATGGGATTAGTTAAAAGCTGATGAGTTCTTCACTCCTGAGAACAGTTTCGACACCACAAGGTCTTTAAATATGAGGCGAGCCGACTGGGAGATCTCTGAACTCACATCTAGGAAATATATTTGAAATATTTGTAGACAAGATTTGGTTACCTCCATATAAATGCAAATGTGGGTTCAAGAGAGTCTTATACCAGAGTGTGATGGGACGTTGCTGTGGTCAGGAGGTTTTTTGTGAACAGGAGTCACATATTAAATACAGTACAGGGCCTTAAACTCATGTTGTGAGGTAGTTAATGCTCCGTCATACTGGACATGCCCCCCACGTCCCTGTGCCCTTATCTTTCAACGAAACTCAGTTTATGTTCTGCATCACAAGTGATGTAACGGTCCACTGACCCAGCAGGTCCTGACAAATCAGTAAAACTTTATGGGAACTTTCAAATTCCCACTGAAATTTAGTCGTGATGGATTTATGCTGCTGTCAGGAACCAAAAAGCAGAACCAGAACGTCCCACACTGACAATTTAAACTGTCTGCTGTGTCAACATGTTCACCACAAATGATTTTTTTTAGTGGCCGTTATGCACCTCATATGCTTCCAGTGTAAATCCTCTGCTGTAACACATTCACGATCAGGGTTTACTGTGCCAGGCTACTAAACTCTACTGAATCCAGCTGGACCCCTTGGTGGAGACAAGTATTGACTTTGTTTGGTAAATGAGAGCTCAGGTGTAGCCCATGTTGGTGTGCTTCTATTCAGCTATAGGTGAAAAAGACACAGTGATGTCCAATGAGAGAAGTCAAAGGCAGAAAGCGCCTTGTGTGGTTTATAAAGAGTATCAATATTAATTTGTCACCTCACAGATATGAGTCATCTCTGACACACCTGTAAAACCATCTTCCTCCTCTGTGGCATTTATTTTACACCTGAACTTATTCACTGTGCACACTGACGCCTGTCTGTAAATCAGCTGATCACACATATTAATCAAACATTAGGACTTCTGTTGAGGACTATTTTTAGAGGCGAATGAATCCACATCATCCTGAAGTGAGAGTTTGATACTGATAAACTGTAGAGAGTTCTAGAGTGACCACACACAAAGGCAGTCAGGATGTGTTCACATTAACTGAACCATAAAACATAAAGTCTGACTCTTTCCTCACCTGTCTGCACATCTTCCTGTGTGTGTGTGTGTGTGTGTGTGTGTGTGTGTGTGTGTGTGTGTGTGTGTGTGTGTGTGTGTGTGTGCGTGTGTGTGCGTGTGTGTGTTTGGCTCAGAGGTATGAAGACAGCTCTGAACATTACTCAGCAGATCAAGTTACTACAGCTATGTGGTGTCTCTACAAACACACACACACACACACGCAGACACTAACACGCACACACACTGACTTACACACCTGGTCGTGTACAGACAGATGAGGTTAGTTTTGAGGTAATTGAGCTGAGCCTTTCATCTGGAGGAAAATTACTTTTACCATCACAGACCTCAGTGTGTGTGTGTGGGGTGGGGGGTACCTGCCTGCAGGCGTGGGGTTTCCTCCCCCTCTCTCTCTGTCTGTCTGTCTGTGTTGTTGTTGGTTCGACTCTTTCATTAGTTTGTCTTTAATTAATGTCATTACAGAGTCAGAGCTGTGTGTGCACAGGATGTTCACCATTACACACAAATAGACACAGTATCAACACACACAAAATACAAAAAGTAAAAGTTGTTTTCATTGACTTACTCAGAAGCCGACACATCCTTGGAAGAAGGGCGTCACCAGTTTGGATAATTTTTTTTCACTGTTTCCAAAGAGGATAACTCTTGATGCAGATAGCATTATAAGTACTTCAGAGAGGATAGAAAAACTACTTGAGTTTTAAAACAACAAATCTCACAAGTAACCTGGAAAGTTGTGGCTACATATAAAAAGTATTGACGACATAAGTAGCAGTAACTACAACAAAAGAACCAGTTTTTTCATGTTTCAAAACCTAGAAATGAAAACCTTGAGCTTATTGAGTCTGTTATACAGTCTTGTGGGTCCTGTAAAGTAATGTTACGCTTAGATCAATCTTATCAGTGTTGCGTGCACATTGTAGACCATCTTATGATGTTTTTTGAAAAGAACGGAAAATTGAATTAGTAGTTCAAGGTATTAAATTACAGAATAATTCTTGTTGCAGAGTTTATTTCTTTTAAATGACGTACATAAGTAGAAAATATAAAAGCTTGCAAAAAACAGCATTGTAGTTGCGGAATAGTTCAAAGCCATGATGTGTTTTTTGTTTTTGCTTTTTTTGTTCTATAAAATTTAAACAGTGCAGTATTGATGTTTGCTCTGTGGTCATTTCTCGATCACTGTGAACACAGGCCTTTTATAAACCTATGAACCTCTTTGTCCACCAGATGGCGACAGAATACAGTGAAATTTGACCCAGTACGCTTCCTCAGTGGTGTCTTCAGTTCTGTAGTGATATCTACATGAGTGGTATGTGTGTGTGTGTGTGTGTGTGTGTGTGTGTGAGAGAGAGAGAGAGAGAGAGATGTTCCATTAACAGTCAGTGGTCACATACATGTCAGTAGGAACAGTAGCAAGGTGCGCTGTGTTGCTCTCTGCTGTCCACTAGAAGAACAGCATGTACAAAGGTATGAATCACAGTCCCATACAGCAGGTGGGACTATACGCTGTGTATGATTTATATACGACATTAATTCAAATACGCAGTGAAAAATATTGATCAAAACAAAATTTGATGGTTAGTAAATCGTTTAAAGTCTGTATTTGATTAAAAATGTTCAGAAATATCACATGTCGTAACTGCCAGCAACACGTTTCATAAAAGTTGGTACACGGTCATGTTTCCCGTTGTTCTTCATCAGCTCTTCTTTTTACAACACTGAACATATCTGTGAACCCAGGAGACCAGTTTCTGCAGTTTGCAAAGTGACATGTCCCATTTTTGCCTGTCTAGAATTTCAGCTACTCCACAGTTCGGGGTCTCTTTTATTGTATTTTTTGTGTCATGGTGCTCAAAAGGTTTTCCTTGGGTGACAGGTCAGTACTGCAGGCAGACCAGTTTAGCAGCAGGACTTTTCTACAACAGAGTCATGCTGTTGTAACACATGCAGAATGTGATTGTCATTGTCTTACTGAAATGTGAAAGGTCTTCCTTCATGAGCCCAGGTCATATATTCTGTGACTTGTTTCTGTTGTGTTGTGCAGTTCTGCCTCCTTCCCCTGCACTGTGTGGATTCTTCTGTGTGAGTGTGACTGTAGGTGTGTCTGCTGTTTTGGTGCTGATGCAGGTGTGATTGGTCATTTCAAGCAAAAGTTCAGCATTTGATTCTATTAAGAGGTTTACCACTAGTTTAAATCTCAACTGCTGCAGCCTGCTGTCTGGGAGCCAGGTGAGCCCTTCCCACTTTGGAGTGGAAAATGTGGCGCCCATGATTGTTGCTCTGGTCTTCAACCATGTGTAAAACTTTGTACTAGTGATGGTGAGATGAAGCCTCTTGAAGCATTGAATCTGTCCATCAAATTGTGTCACTTGTGGGCCGAAGCTTCATCATTGTGCTTCATTTGCTCTACTGTGCCATCAAGTGGACAATATATGTAAAACAGACAGAGTGATTGTCAAAGACACCTTGAGGCTTTGGTGCACAAAGCTTTTGAATTGAATGAATGAATGAATGTGATGCCATGTGTTTGTGATACCAATACAGAAATGATGTAAGTTACTTATATGGTGTCTGTCTTTACGACAGTAGGAGGGTCAAAAGGAGAAGAGGACATAAATAATAGAGAGGGTTGTGATGTGAATGTGCTTGTTACTTGTGTTGTGACTGTGCATTTGTTATGGGGACAACATGGAACACGTAAACATTTCATTCATCTTTATTTAAAAACAACAATTTTTCAACAAGTCTCAAGTCTACAGACTGTGAGGGTTACTCCATCATGTTTCGCTGTCCCTTATCACCGCCAAACCCGCGAACCAGGTCCTGAATCAGTCACGTGTTACGACCGGCTCGCAAGGCTTTGAACGTCTTCACACATGTCATCAACACAAGCTTTGATACTCACTTCACTGAAATTTTGCGGGATTACTTGACAAACGCTCCAAAGCCTCGACACTAAAGAGCACATCACTACTCTGTACTACCTAGATGTAAACAATCACAGATGACAGATGGCATCTTATCGCACGGTGTAGTTTCTTAGTATTTTGATCTAGAAAACAGGGATAAGGTTTTGTGAAGGTTGTGTCTGGTTCAACTGAAAGGAAGTCTCATACTCCATGGATCGATTTACAAGATCCGCCTTTTGTCTCCAATACCTGATCTAACTTTTTTTGGTCAGTATTTGGCTGATACCCAATACCAGGATGGGATCAGTACATCCCTAATGTTGGCTACACCTGGCAAACTAATTTCACATCGTTTATCCGCGAAAAATTTGTAAGAATCACAAAAAGTCCACGTAATACCTTTAGACAAACTGGCTTGTTGTCAGTATTGAAAATTTCTTTTTAACAACCAAGAAATGTGTCGGTATCCGTCCATAGCGGGCCATGACAACAAATGCTGCTAATCAGTTCTAACATAAACACTAACATTAGAATTTGATTGTGTGAAAATTACGTGTTAGAGTTGATGGTCTGTTTTGCCAAGGTCAGACTACACAGTCTTTCTCTCTATTATGATGATAACTACAAATGCTTATGACAATACTTTCTAAATTGCTAAAGAGCATCCACTACTTCTGTCCAATATTTCTCTTTGTTTATACCACCCTGGTCAGCTGTCAACCTCCCATCATAAAGGCAGGAATGTTGTCGCCAGAGTTCAAACTTTTCCTCTGTCCCATAGTGCCATCTTGCCCCATTGGTCTTCTTTCACTTTACCATTTTGGTTGTTTAGGCATATAACTTTTGGGCATGCCTAGTGCCCTAGGCTCTCATTGTCTGATGTGATAGGGCAAATCATAGAAGGCAGAGGAAAATCTAAACAAATCAGGGTTTTTATCAGAAGGTTATGAGGTGTCAAAGATTTTACTTCAACTGATGTTCAAACTGAGACACTACACGGGGTAAAATAAAAAAACAAAAAGATTTTTCAGGGCCAAGTCCCAACACCCTACAACTAAGTCAGTCACTGTGCTGATCATAGACAAATCATTTGACACAATACAATGAAGAGTATGTGTCTGATATTGACATGAAAACATCTTCACCCAGCCCCAGTACACAAATACATAGGTCATAGGTTAAATTCAGGGACTTAATTATCTGAGGTGACACCTTTCTTCTGTTCCCTTTGAAGCACTCTCACATGCTTGGCACAGACATAAATCACAGTACAAGATAGTCTTGCAGACATACAAGAACATCATTCAGTCTCACATTTGGTTGTCTTGCAACTACAATTGACTATCTGCAAAACACTATCAGGGGCAGGATTTGTAGTCATCCATGTCACTGCCAACTCCCCATCCTCAATGTGCCACCCATTGTGCATCCATACATTTACAGGTTGTGAATCGGTGGTCGCCCTTGCCATGAAAGGTGACCACTGCCTTTCATGGCTAATCAGAACTGAAAAACAGTCAGTCTGGTGTTGTGTCAGTATTCTTGCTTCTAACCAGGATGCGTCTTTTTTCCCCCCGGAAAGTCGCAAAATCGCATCACACTTGATGTGTATAGTCAGGTGCGTCAAAATTTGCCTCTGAATATTTAGTAATTTGGGTCGTATATTTGCATCGTTCCCGGTTAGTAAGGACCTTAAGAATAAGAAGAACTTTATTAATCCCTGAAGGGAAACTCAATTAAGGAGAAAGGAGCTGTGCCCTTTTGTTAGCCGTAACTTTCTACTTTCAGTGAAAAATAAAAAACAGGTCAGTTCTTAATAAATGCAAGAGTGTCTTGAGCAGGGAAATGAGCTAGAGAGACTCAAACTTTTTTTGTACCAGACTGTAAACATTTGCATTTCTGCTGTATAGTTGAACATTTTAACATGGAGCTCTATGGGGACTAACTCACTTTAAGAGTCAGCCTCTAGTGGACATCGGATAAACTACAGTTTGCAGAGGTTGCTGCTTGTTGACAGCTTATTGCTCTCTATAAATACTGTGTTGCTGCCTGTTGCAGCATTTGGTCAGTGTGTTGCTAACTGGAGAGTCAACTTCAGAGCTGTGTGCTGATTGGCTGGCTCATGGACTTGGCTGCTATCCAGCTACACTTTCAACAGCACACAAAGACACACAAAAGCTTACATGTCTGTACATTTCCCCTCACTAACGGGCTCGGTGAGTGGGGTTTAGATTTTGGGGGTGAGGAGAGGAGGGGGAGGTTGGGGTGTTGACTGACATGATCCCTCCCTCCTTTCTCTCCCATAACAACACACTGAGCGACAGAGCGAGCAGGGAGAGAGAGGGAGAGAGGGGCGAGCGGACAGACGAGCAGACAAAGGAGAGGCAGCGCTCGCTCTGCTCTGGATTAACCCTTTGTCCTGACTGCACGCTCCTTTTTCATGGATTTCTCTCTTTTACATGTCCGCCATCATCCCCTCACCGAGCAACACACACAGACTCTCTCTCTCTTTCAATCACACACTCACACACACACACAAACACACACACACACACACACACATACACGTCCACACGCTCACACACTCTGTGTTCTCCCAGAGGATCAACAGCTGGTGTGTGTGACGGCGTCCTGGAGGAGCGGTCGTGGATGGATGGAGGGGAGATCGTGTCGCTCCCTCCCTCCGCTGGCTGAGCAGCTTCATTTCTCTTGCTCTCTTTTGTATTAGCGCGCCCCCTCCCTCCCTTTCTCCTTCCTGTCCTCCTCCCTCCCTGCTCGAGCTTTGTCTCTGTGACAGAGGTCCACGCTGGTCTTTTTACCGTCCTCCCAGCCCAGAGACCCTCTAAGCGTCCCCTCATCCTTTACACTGCTGCTGCTAAAGCTAACAGCAGGAAGAACTGATGCTGGAGCACCATGCTAAGCTAACAGCTAGCTTCTGGAGCTCTGTGGACGCCTTGGCTTTCTGAGTGTTTTTTTGGTTTGTGTGTGTTTGTGTCTCAGTGTTTGGTGTGTGTGGGAGAGTGTGTGTTTGGTGTGTGAGTGCAGAATTGGAGGAACCCCTGCTTTCCCTCTGTACTCCGTGTCCTCTCCTGACTCATCTCTGTGGACTCTTCGGTCATGTCAACAGCGACGTGACCATGACTGAGTGGACCTGGGTTCTGTCTTTCCCACTGTGGATGTTGTTGATATCAATCAGCTGATTTATCTGTGCTGACACTTCAGGATGGAAATCACGTGAGGACGTGTGAAGCTGCAGTCCGGGGTCAGACACTGGACCCAAAGATTGAGAAGTTTTAGTGGAAACTGAATAAGAGTTGTAGATAGATCTGCCGTCTGTCTGTCTGTTTGTGGAGCTTGTGGAGAATGAAGAAGTCGAGCAGTGGTGGTGGCAGGCTGAGGCGGGCCTGGCCCAGCTCGGACCTGATTGAGCGCCTGCTGCCTCCTGCAGCGTCTGCAGAGCCGCTCAGGAGCCGCCGCTCACGGAGTGAGAAGGACTACAAAGTCCACAAACACAGCAAGAGACACCGCTACCCTCCACAGTATGTGTGTCAGAGCCCGCCTGCATACACACAACCAGGTACAGTACATCAACACACACACACACATACACTACGGAGAGTTTAACACCAAATCAGGTTCACAGATGTCTGACTGTGTGTTGGCCACAAATTTTAGCCAGAGTTTTTACATGGATCTGAGAGTTCCAGTTTTGGTTACAGCAGGATCTGTTTTGGGGTAATTCCCCCGAAAAGTAAAGTATAACCTCCTTACTAGCTACTTTTTAGAAAAGTGATTACTCAAACAAAGGATCATGGTTGGGCCGTGGTTTATTTCAACCATCTGCAAGGTTCGAACTGTGTGTGGTACATGGATTGACTCATCGACATGCACAATAACAAGTTGTGACTAGCTAAAACTGTTTCTTGAAACCCTTGCTTCTGCTCCAAACTAGTTCATGAGAAGTATGTATGTCTGTTTGCAGTACTCCAACCTGTGTATGATTCTGTATTATTGTGTGGGTGCAGACTTCAGAGTTTGATGACCAAAGCAATTAAAAACATTAAATTAAAAACACACACACACACACACTGTACAAATCTGCTTCATCCTTCTCCTCTCTCCTACCGCTCCTCTCCCTGCTCTCCTCTCTCCTACGGCTTCTTTCCCTGCTCTCCTCTCTCCTACTGCTCCTCTCCCTGCTCTCCTCTCTCCTACTGCTCCTCTCCCTGCTCTCCTCTCTCCTACGGCTTCTTTCCCTGCTCTCTCCTACTGCTCCTCTCCCTGCTCTCCTCTCTCCTACTGCTCCTCTCCCTGCTCTCCTCTCTCCTACGGCTTCTTTCCCTGCTCTCTCCTACTGCTCCTCTCCCTGCTCTCCTCTCTCCTACCGCTCCTCTCCCTGCTCTCCTCTCTCCTACCGCTCCTCTCCCTGCTCTCCTCTCTCCTACCGCTTCTTTCCCTGCTCTCCTCTCTCCTACCGCTCCTCTCCCTGCTCTCCTCTCTCCTACCGCTCCTCTCCCTGCTCCCCTCTCTCCTACCGCTCCTCTCCTTGCTCTCCTCTCTCCTACCGCTCCTCTCCCTGCTCCCCTCTCTCCTACCGCTCCTCTCCTTGCTCTCCTCTCTCCTACCGCTCCCCTCCTTGCTCTCCTCTCTCTTACTGCTCCTTTCCCTGCTCTCCTTTCTCCTACGGCTTCTTTCCCTGCTCTCCTCTCTCCTACTGCTCCTCTCCCTGCTCTCCTCTCTCCTACCGCTCCTCTCCCTGCTCTCCTCTCTCCTACGGCTTCTTTCACTGCTCTCCTCTCTCCTACTGCTTCTTTCCCTGCTCTCCTCTCTCCTACCGCTCCTCTCCCTGCTTTCCTCTCTCCTACCGCTTCTTTCCCTGCTCTCCTCTCTCCTACCGCTCCTCTCCTTGCTCTCCTCTCTCCTACTGCTCCCCTCCTTGCTCTCCTCTCTCTGACCGCTCCTCTCCCTGCTCTCCTCCTCCTGCTCCTCTGTTTACTGTGTGTGTGGCTGCTTGATAGTTTGTAATGATGCAACATGTTGAAGACATAACAATCTCACTTATACTTAAACAACTACTTTCCTGTTCACCCAAACTTAGTTGCACATCAACCTGAGCTGTTAATGAAGAAGTTAAACTAAGAGCTGTTTAAAGGAAGGGGGCCACGCCCATACTCTGATGTGAAGGAGAGCTCTATTTATCATACAAGAAATTCATTGATGAATAAATAAACGGATGAGTAACTTTACTGTTTACTGATATAGTTGTACATTGCCCATTTCACAGTCCTCCTATCTTCCTCTGAGCTTTGACAAAACCTGACTCTGCTTGGTTGAGGTTAAGGTGTATATATTTATGTATATATTCCATATTTTCTTTTTTTCTTTCAGAACTCTCTGGGTAACAAAACCAGGATAAGGGCTTATCAGAGTGGGAAACTCAGTTTCATGTAAACACACTCATTAATCAGCAGATTTCAGCATGATTTTTGAAGATATTTGTAAACTCAGACAAGATTTATAGTCACAGTGACTTGTCAACCAGAATAGAAAGAAAGCATGGTGTAAATGTTGTCATTTCTTAAAAAATAAAAAAAATCTGGGGCCGGTGTTGTGCATTGTAAAAAGTTTCAAGATGTTTTATGAGCTGCTTTTTTGTTGCTGTTGTTTATTTCCACGGTTAAAGTTAGGAGCCAATATCTTTCTTCATACTGCTCCATAGAGGCCTCAGTGTTGAGATGATCTGATCAGTGTGGCTTTGTTTGCTGTGTCCTCCTCCATGGTGATTATCGGGTTTAGACATGGACATTTCACACACACAGCTCATGGTTAGGTTTGAGGCTGTGCTTCAAATGTCACAGAGGCAGCTCTGGCTGCCATGTTTGGACATATGTCTGAAATAATGTGTCATGAAGCCTTATACAGAGGTCTGCTGGCACTTCAGTGGATGGGGCAAAGATTCTGGTGAAACTGTGGGAACTCTAAACTCTGATAAACACACTGTGATTGGTTGAGAGGAGACTGAAAGCTGAATGGATCTAGTGGGGGTTGAGTTTAAGTTTCAATGGAATATTTTCTATTGTGTGACAGCTCAGCGGCATACCAGCAGAACTTCCCCTGGTCTCATAGTAACAGCAGAAAGATTCTGGAGTAGAACCAACAACTCTCAGCAGGACAGGCTGAAGCTGTAAGCTCCCATTCATCATTGCAAAGACAAAAAATACTATGTTTATAAAAGAAGAGAGCTTCTATCTCCTCTATCACGTTAGCAGACCTGTAAGAAACACAAATACCAACATTGTTCCAAGGTGGAAACACAATGAGAGGGGTTTGAGATCCACTTAGATCACTTAGTCCACATGAGGAGGTAGTCTCAATGCCAATAGTATTTCTACTCTTTATTTTGGTTTAAAACTTGCTTTCATCTTGGCATAATTTCAGAGATTATTTATTAGAGTGATCTTAATCTCTGTACCTCATTTACGTTGAATTTATGTAACCACATTACCCGGATTTCGCATGTCATTTTGTTGTTAAGTTGGTATTAATTCTTTTCTGTAGTTTTATGTTATCTTATCAAGTGTTGTGCTAGATGTTGTCAGCTTGCTGTAAAACAAATTGACCTGCAGGTACAAATAAAGTAACCTGAACCTGAACCCTATACCCTAATAAGTACATTGATGTACATGTTGTGGAATCGACACAACAGCAAAGGCTATGCTGGCAATTTGAAAACACTTAGCCTTGGGTGCCATGCAAAATAAAGCCAATAGATAGAAGTAGAAGCCAAACTTCATGATGATCAGAACGAACATGCACGGAGAAAGTGTTTCTACTGCCAGCAAGATTAAAATCAGAGCTCAGAGAGCTTTTGGAACCCCAGAAAGTCTGGAGTTGGACAGGAGTCATGCAATGTTATGACTACAACATGATTGACCTCTGTTTGCACAAGACGAGACCTGTCCGGATCAGCTGCTTTCAACATGAAGTAGACGTGCTACACGGACTGATGATATTTCGAAGCTAAATTTTCCTCAACTACTCAACTTAGAAGATAACATGTTATACTTTGTAAAGATTTGTGAGTGCACTCACTGGTTTATTACACAAACTGTAGTGTGTTAGTGATATGTAGCTGTAAATCAAAAACACCCTGTTCATATCTATGTTATTATCCTTTTATTATTGTGTTTGAGAACAACAACCATGCATAAGCGTCCTTCTCTCCTCGAGAAACGGGGAGAAATATTTCTCCACTCATTCACAAAAGATGCTCTTGAACCAAACCGTTCTGGGGACTTTTTGAAAGAGAATTATCCACTGGAGGGTCCCCAAGAACTTAACACCATGAGGACTTTAATTTGGTCTGCATTTGCACAGCCATGGTGATATGAACCTGAAAGTGACATGAGCAGACAGTTATCAGAGCAACAATACTAACACAACACAACTGAAAATGAAGGCTAAAGGACTGGGTGTGTTTGATGTGTGTACCAGGGAGATGAATATAACTGAGTTTGAAAGGAGACGTGCAGATTAAGATGTCTTTGACCTGTATTGCATTTAGCCTATTTGAGCTAGTCTGTCTTTATGTGGCCTCTGCAAATAAGGAGGAGGACGAGAGTGAGAGGTGGACACAAACAAAAATCATGCATTTCAGGTCTTTCAAAACCTCTCTACATTTGCCTTGCATGCCTTGTATAAGCCTGTTTTATTTACATCAATATAATCTTTATGATTCTTTATGCTGTATGCAAGTACATACAATATTTAAAGTTCTCTAAGTATCTGCTCTAATGGAATGTGATGTTACATGAAGTTAAACTTAGAAGCTGAAGCTGGCCACATGTTGCAGGCAATACAGTGACCTATATAGGCTGACACTCTTTAAGTTCAACTTTCTCCTGAATAGTCTTTGTATTTAACCTTCAAATGATTCCAAAGTCTGTCTGGAGGTGTTTCATCAGGAGAAGGAACATCTCTTATTTCCTGTATTGAAATGCTTTTTATCCCTCCTCTACATTAGGGGCAAACCATAGACTGTCTATAGAATGGACGCCGTCTGCCTCCTCGCTGGGTGAAGCCACTCCGAGAACAGCACCCTCTGTTGACGGGCTGCAGTATAGGTCATAAATCCCGCCTCAGCCAGCAAAGCTTATGGGGCTGTGGACAAACTTTAGAAATTTATAACACAGAATATAAATGTTTCTCCCACTTGCTTGTGATGTTGACATGTAGTTACAGTCGGACTGGTTTGTGCTCAAGTCCTCTTTTTTCTGTGAAGCTCCGTTTTTAAAAGTAATTAGGGTGTTCATGTTTTCTATGATTGACACTTGATACAGCCTATGGGCGTTCAGGGATTGCGTAGCTCACCTGGGGGATACGCTGTTAGAGCCGAGTGTCATCACAGCGACTCTCGGTGAATCTCCCGCCGAATTCGCACAACGGATTTGGTTTCAAATCCGTATACAGGCGAGAGGCGGAACCAAGTTGTCCACAGTATATACAGTCAATGGGGCAAACCAATTATCGGCCTTGACTGATTATTGGGGCCAAAACCTGCATTTTACCGATTATCTGTTTGTGCCTTTTATTTTATGGATGGATGATCAAACTACGTCCTTAAAAAGTATGCAACTTGGGGCTCAGATGGCCTGTTGATCTAAGTGCCCCACATAGAGGCTATAGTCCTCACCCAAGTGGTAGCCGTAAGGTTTTTACTGGCTCTCAACCCCCCACATTGCCTGATTCTCTTCAGCTGTTATATTTAGTTCATGCCAAATGTCCCAAATTATAATAACTTAAAACTGTTAGTTACTGTGAGCTGTTAATGTCAATAATCATAAAACCAAGCCAGACTTTAGACCACTTCTGTTTAATCTTTTTGTCATGACTCCTGGACTCCTATGTGCTCCGGTGGAAGCTTCTTCTGGGGCATTAAAGGCAAGCAGAACAAAGGCATCGATAAGGGAACAGACTATGTCGATGGCTCAGACTAGTAGGAGCAATCACTTGTAGTGGATGCAAATTGACGATGCGCGATTGCCCGATCAAACTGTGTTTTGGCTTGTTTCATGGCTGCTCTGCTCTCCCTCAACCCCTGGACCAATTTCAGAAACCATGAGTCAAGCACACACAAACATGGGAATAACGGGCCCAGGTTGAAAAACAACAAAGTTCCCCTTTAACACAAGATAAATATACAGTTGAACTGTGGAAGTCAAGGTCATGCAGTCTGTCTACTTGGAATCTAATGTAGTGCTTCTTTGATTATTGATGAATGTAAATTAATGCAGTTTATGGATCACAAAGCCTGTAATTATTTGTGTTTTCTCATATAAAATCCCAGCAAAGCTCTGTATGTACCTGCACACAGAGAGAATTTAATGTTCATTTGTCATCAACCTTTCGGGAAAATTCCCAGAGATTTATGAAATATAAACATTGATAAATAAAGATTTGACTTCCTGTAGTGATGGGCACAGCAGTTCTTTTAGATGTACTGAATCACTAGAATCAGTTCACTAAAAAGATTGGTTCAAAAGATTCGTTCACCAAATCACCGACTCATTCAGCACTTTGCGAGAGGAGCCTGCGACTCTGACTTCCTATGAATCTGAATGGTTCAGGGTTCAGTTCAGATTCATAGCCTCTGGGACTGGGAGATGAGAGTGTTGTGGCTGTGTTGCTTTGACAAACAGGTTTGTGAAAATGAACTTGTCTATAAATCATGATGTTTTAAGTGTCCAAAGGTATGCTATTTATCTGGTCTACTCAGTAAATTGGGCTCAGTGAGTGATTTGTTCGCTGAACATTTACCCCACAGTACATTCAGTGAAGAATGAAACTGTGGGTTTTATACACTACCTGTTACATGCTGTATCCTACTGTATGCAAGTTGTTGTGGCGGCAATTTAACAGAGTTTTTAAAAAAAAGTTAGTTTTCTCTGAGATACACTTGAACACGACACACCTCCTATCTCCCTCTGTCACTCTTGTGAAGAGCTTGCTACAGCTGGTGAGTCTCACTCTCTTCTCATTACTACCAGCCTAATGTTTTAAGTTTGTTTAATTGGGGACTAAAACTGTTAAAACAAAGGGGAACAACAGTCGACATGAAAGTGCATCCCTCAGACAAAAATGATTCCAAAGAGTGTAGTTCACTGCGTGATTCGTTCACCAAGTGATTCAGGCGTCAGTGTATGGGGTCCCTTGCTCGCTGGCTGTGTGCTATGGTAGCTGTGCTTCTGACAGCTCAACTGAAGTGAGAAACTACGAATCACTTGAGGAAGTGATTTGGTTCAGTATGTTCACTTAAAAGATTTGGTTCTTTTGAACGAATCATTCGCAAACAACACAACACTAACTTACTGCAGTTTTTCAAGTTGGCTTCACCTGAAGGTTGATGACATCTGAATCTCAGTGGATCATGTAAGCACTGCAGAGAGGACAGGAGCACAGAACAGGTTCAAATAGCTTGGATAAAGTAAAGAAGGTGAAATGATACAACTCTGCAGATCTACAGTGACTAAGATATTTTTGACAAAATGAAGATACACAGTCACTCTGTGAAACTCTGACTTGTGATTATTCACAGACGCATGACGTGTTGACAGCAGACTGAGGGAGCAGTGTGTAGGAACAATGAGAGAATAACACTCTTCAGACTGGGACCTGGACTAAATGCTCACATCTTCAGCCTGTGTGTGTGTGTGTGTGTGTGTGTGTCTGTGTGTGTATCTGTGTGTGTGTGCGTGTCCTCCCCACTATTTGTAGATATCCTCTCTTTCAGTAAAATCTTTACAGTCACATGTATTTTCTTTTACTTCAAAAAATGCCAACCCTAAAAGTAGGGATGTCCAGATCCAATATTGATATCGGATATTGGTCCGATATCAGCAAAAAAATCAATATCGGATTCTATCGGCCTGCATCAAAAACCTCTGATCAGCACTTGGATACAAGCAGTCCATTCCCGACTCAGCTCCAGGACTTGAATCTAACAGCGCCCTGATCCAGCATGCAGAGCCCATGTAATCACAACAACAGTGTGTACTAAGATACTAACAAAGTAGCCAGGAGTAGAAGTGATGTTGGCTGTGGGGCAGCAGAGTGCAAAACTTGTCATGCACAAGTTTGTGCCAATATCGGATCAATATCGGTATTAGCCAATATTGAAGGCTACAATATTGGAATCATATCAGAAATAAAAAAGTTGTATTGTGACACCCCTACCTAGAAGTGTGGACAGCCAGATCACTTGTATTGACCGCTGATTCTGATCTGAATTTTTGATAATTGACTGCCAATACTGCGTCCCAATCCAATACTTGTAATCTGTTTAACATGCTCTGCTGTATGAGTCCAGCAAAACTTCTGTGCATGTTGTACTGCTCGCTTAAACTCAAAGCAATGCTGAAGTAATGATGCCATGATGATGCCAGATTCATAATGGATCCGACCAAAAATGTATGTTTGGAACATCAGCTCATCTTCTTTACCTTGTTTTTTTTTAGAAATTTTCAGTGAGAAGTGAAACGCGACAACCAACAGATTGACTGTTAAACTGCTGTCAAATATCACTTTTGACATATATCAGCCATGTGTTGGAATCTGTGACATGGCTCACTGTGTTTCTTCTGTCATCAATTCATTACAAATCTATCTAAAACATGTTACAAGCTAAGCTAACATGTATATTAGATTTAATGAAATTCTACAGGATTTTCCTTTTTCTGTTTTAACCCCCAGTATTAACCCTCTATTTGTTAATTATCATTATAACTTTAGATGGCTGGATGGAACTCAAAAAGTCCCTTGTGGTGATATTTTTCTGAGCCAAACATTGTCTCCTTTGAATTCAATTGATAAAATGTTCACTAAAGTTTTGCAATTTTTAAGTACTGATTAATTCTCCAGGAAAAACAACAACAATGTGGTATAGGCGTTAGGGCCCAACAGATATGGATTTTTTTGGGCCGATACCGATTATTGGAGGGGCAGATCCGATTACTGATTTTTAAATTTTTTTTACAAAGTTCAAAAGTTCTAAATATAAATATATATTTTTGTGTACTGTAGATATACTGTAGGCTACTGTTCTTCACACCGACGGGAAGACCCCCCCCCCCGGTCTGGTCTGATTTGGTGAGCACAGTGTGGGCATCTCTCATGCCAGAAAGGCAAAAAGCAGAAGCATGTGGCTGATGCTGAAACAACAGTGCCTCAGAGGGTTGGACTGTGGCTGAAGTTAAGGTCCAACATCAAGGTGGACACAGAACATGGCAGTCAGAATCAGCTCATTATTGTGAGCCAATAAGACTTGCTTGTTGATTTGGAGTCTCCCGTGCACCACGTCCACCAGCAGTGCCAGATAAGAAGGAGTAATTTCTCATGTGCAGGATGAAATCAGCAGGGATCACTTTGTCAGTGGGGGGCGCCAAAGTCCACCCTACTTACAAGTTCCTCATTGGAGCTTTAAATGCAGTTTGGTAAACCCAGAAAACTTTATTGCATTAAGTACTTTTGTGTTTGTGTCTGCATTCATTGTGCTTAGTGACAGCTGATGCAAATGACTAGGAGAAATGATTATCTAAATTTGCTTATCCAATCTCCATGTGGTCATATACACACTGTTCTTTTGAGTGCCCCCTACAGGCCTAGTAGTAGCCTGAATGTGTATTTTTTTCTGTTTTGCAGTTGTTTCTGGTTCTGCATGCTTTGAGTCTGCATCAGTGTAGTTGCTGTGTTAACTGTTTTTTTCACAATTTTTAGGATTTTATTTCATTCGTTGCTTGGTCCTTGTGTTGCGTTTGTGTTGAAGTTTGCATGCATTTATGAGTTTGCAGCACAGTTTCCTGGTTGAGATCACTAAGGCCATTGCAGATTAGCTGCACTTGTGAGCCCCTATAGTTTTCACACTGATAATAGACAATGAGTTACAAAAAAAAGTCTCTCCATGTTAAGCTGTTTAATATTTTGATTTAATGTTACTTATAATTAATAACAGTCTGATCCCAGCTCAATGTGTTTAACTGTTTGTGGTGACAAACACTGTTCCTCTTCTCCTCCTCCTCATCCTCATCATCATCATCATCCTGCTGCTCTAAAGCCCATGCAGCTATAGTTTAGATCCTGAACTCATTAACCCTCAATGTGCTGCAGCCTATGGACATTCCTACACACACACACACACACACACACACACACACACACACACACACACACACACACACACACACACACACACACACACACACACTCAGCTGATGTAATGGGTGCTCCTCTCCTGTAATGTGATCATAGCTCCTCCTTTTCTCCGTCTGCTGAGTTATGCTCAGGGCTGCTACACACACACACTCACACACACACACACACACACACACACACACACACACACACACACACACGTATGCATGTGCACACACACACTCTTACACACACTGTCTACATCTTGCCTGTTTTCTCTCACACACTTATATTTTAACATTCTTATCCTCTCTCTCTGATTTTACTCTCTTTTTTCTACACAAATGCACACACACCGGCATAAACACACACACTCTCTCCTCTCTCTTGGTATTTTGACCAATCAGATCGACCGTAGCTCTGGCCTGGTTTAGAAGGTCCGCCCCCTGCAGTCCTGAGCCTGCAGCAGCTCAGGCTATTTCTGTCCACATTCACTGTCTATTTACACACACACGCACGCACGCACACACACACACACACACACACGCACACAGTTGTTAGTGGATCCTTAAGCAGACTTTACATGCGAGACTCTAATTGAAAATCTTTACCGAGGTGAAGGGATCAATTCAGCATCACAAATCCTGATCTTTAAACACTTTTGTGTATTTAAACTTTGAATATTCTCACACCTTTACTGCAGAGTTGATTGTCTGAAGATATTTAGACCTGACAGAAAAAATCCTCCTGTTACATTACAACAAGTTATCAATACTGAGAGAGGACAACACATGTGATGTAGGAATAGGCTGAATGAGCAGTCAGCTTTATACAACGGCTATTGGCCAACCTGCTCTCTTACAATCAGTATCCCCATTGGCCGCTAAAAAATGCTAATTGGTCAACCACTAATTTGAAGACATTATGGAGTGAATAATGGGGTAATATGAGAAGTTTATCTATCAGGAGAGCTGAAACAGAAATAAATCAAAAGAAAAAGGCTGGGAGTGAACTGACTGGACTGTAAAAACAGTGAGCGATAAGACTGATTAGCCAATGGTGCCCCAGCTTGCTTCTTCCTTTTTGGTGTATTTGTAGTGTCAGGGTGGGGAGGAAAATGATTCGTTGATGAACCAGGAAACATGACCAACCTTTGTGGACATCCTACCTCTGATCTCGTGCTAAGTGGTATGCCAAAATAATTAGATTGCTGTGTTTTTAAGATTGCGGCAGTGTCACATTTTCTTTTTTTACTGTGTGTATTCGGGTACTAAGGTCTTACACCGGGGTGTTGTAGTTTCCCGGAAAGGTACACCATCAAGCATGACGCTGACGGTATACCGCTGTGCTCGGTATATTGCCCAAGAAAATGTTAAAATTAGAGGAATTTGTAGAAAACACATGAGGGAGCTTCATAATTTCCTTAACTCAGTTGATAACAGTGTAGGATACACTCTCGGAATCAGAGCTTTGTGTAGAAATGAGGGCAGTCACCAAACTGTACAAAAGAGACTGGGATTTAACTTTGACTATATCTTTTATCCAGTCATGCAAAGTTTTCTCTGCAATAACACTACACTGCAATAACACCGATTTCAGCATTTGAAGATCTGAAAGTTTTTTAATGTTAGAATTCGACCCTCCAAAAATAGTGGTCTAGTAATCTAATCTAGGCCTGAGTCTAAATTTTGGTAACATAACAGCAGTATTCCCTAAAGCTGTCAAAGGTCAAAGCAGAGTGCAGTAGCAGATAAATTACTGTATCACCCAGGATCATCAGAGGACCACGATGACAAAACAATGTGATACAGTCTTGAAATTATTCTGTAAAGATTTAAATGTTTATCGGCATAAACGTGAGGGCAGCCTGCTGTCAGTTTCTCTGAACTAACTGGTTTCACATTCAGAAGAGATGTAGGTCACAGACAATTCTCCTAAATCTAAAATCTGTCCATCTTTAATAAATAAAATACAAACTGAAACAGGACTCCGAGTTCATGTTCATGTCCAGCTGGCGACCTCTGGCTTTACAGATTACTGCTGGACACACACACACACACACACACACACACACACACAGAGTAACACCTTGTGCCCTTATAGTACATACATGTGCAGCATCAGTCTTTGGATTAGGGCAGAGTCTGGATGGACCAATCAGCTGTCAGTGTGACTCGACAGATGTGGAGAGTAAAGCCTTCTCTGCTTCATCTGCCGGTGATGCTCTTCTGACATCATTCATAAATGTTTTCACATTATTTTACCCACATTATTTAAAATGTGTCCTTGGCATCAAATTTAAAAAGAGCATGTAGTTTTCATGAAAGATTTTTTTTTTTTCAGTTTTAACTTTTGTTATGTAGGCTTTGCGCCATATTTTAGATTAGATTAGACCAGACTTAATAAAACTTTTGATCCTTTTGGGGAACTTCCCTCAAGGAAATTAAAAAATATAGGCTTTAAATGATTTTGGGACTTCATCAGTCTTATTGACAGTTCTCACAGCACCTTAACCTTTTTGTAAGTGGGTTGTACTGCTTTGACATGTATAGGACAAGTTCAGTAAAGAGAAACTTTGTGCATCTTTGCACACAGGGGGCGCAAACAAACATTTACAGGGAGTTCCTGTTAGCAGCTTCAGAGTTTGCAGTTAACCAGGCTGTTGATACTGTGCTGTTAAATCCCCCCTCTCATCAAGACAGTGTGATCACAAAATCAAACAATTAAACTCCAGATTGAGTCAAGAACACTAAGAAATACATTAAATAAATGGTAGTAAACAGATTAGTCCCCCTCCCCAGCAGTCTGACCTCTAAACATTCGGACTACTGACTTCATACACCCTCACAGAAACTTGGTAGCTTTTAGCTTGCTTGGCTTTAAACTGAATAAATATGTGATGTAATGATATCAAAACATTTCATAAAGTCTGTGTATATAGGTAAACAAATATAGTCTTCTTATGTTTAAAACTTTAAGCTGTTATTCCGCTTTGACAAATTCTTGTGTTAATGTTTGGAGATTAGAAACTTCCTATCTAAACTTCCATGCTGCCTGCTGCAGCATGGAGTGTGTGTGAGTGTCTTTTGGGGGGATGCAGATGAGGGGGTCTCATGGGAAAAAAGGGGGACCCTCCTCCACCAGTTTCAGCTTCTTTCATTCTTTTCAGCAGTTTAACCCCTGCAGCTCATCCTGGTTCAACAAGTCTGAACCAGCCTGACACTGAGCTCCTCTTTCACATGTTAATGTGCCTGAACTCTGTCTGCTCTGTATACACACTCAGAGACACACACTCTGAGCAACACACCCAGAGACAACACACTCACAAATAAGACACTCTCAGCAACGCACTCAGAGACAATGCATCAACACACTCAAAGCAAAGACACAAACAAGAAAACACCCACAGACAACACACTCTGAGACAAGACATGAACAGAAAACACTCTGACAACACACTTGCTGTTTTCACTTGTGGACTCTGCAAAATTTCTACAAAATTCCAGGAGTTTTGACTCCAAAACTAACTCTAGTGTTTACACATACTCCCCTGAGCACAAAACTTTCCCTGCTAGACAAGGTTTCATGGAGGGGATCTCAGGGCGCTGATCATGGCGTCTAATACAAGTCATGCGGTCATTATTAATTACTGCGTTTTTTTTAGGGAAAAAAGTGATCTGAGATTTTAAAGAGATTCTTCTGCTAAAATGCATGTGATGAACAATGAGGCTGAATACTGTATTATTGCTGTTGTATAGCTGTATCTAGGGCTGGACAAAGCGTGAAAAAGTTTATCACGATAAATTTTTTTCATATCAATCCATATCGATATATATCACAATTAGGCCTGGGCGATTTGGCCCAAACCACCGCAACACAACCGACGTTGAACAGCCTTTCAACAATAGCATCTTTAGAGGATAACTCAAAGTCGCGGCTGACATCTATTTTGCTGCCCTCAGCTCCGCTTTTAGCTCCACGTTCAGTCATTCTGTGTACTTCTCCGGCAACTTACAGAAATGAGCAGGAAAAGCTCGACTCTGATTGGCTGTTGTGACGCACATTTCCGCTATGTTTGATCGAGTAAATATGCTCACAGCTGATCACCGTGTTCAAACTGAAATTTATCACGACCATCGATCACGATTATATAATAATCGCCCGGTCCTAATCACGATATTAAAAGATGAAATTTAACAGTGCTTATTGGTGGCATGTCTTTTGCAATACAATAAGCTACTGTCTCTGTGAGGTCTTTGTGTCTCTTCGACGTAAGGCTTCGCTTTAGAGAAAACAGAATAGTCAAGCTGTTTCGGCTGCACAGGCGCCATGGGCTCTTTGCTTTGCCCAGGGTTTGTAACCTTTTGCACTGCACGTGCTTTGAGGTATTCCCCGACTTTGCGAGAATGTGTAGTCGACATACTTTGCAGCGCACATTACTCTGCTTCATGTCTTCCCTCAAAAAAACAAAATACCTCCACACCACCAACATTTTTGTGCAAGTTTTGTCGACAAGGTTGTTATCTGTTGAGCCTTCATCTGCATTTCTGTGGGGAGTCCCACTCATTTTCTTTTTTTCTCACCGACAGTGCTGTCGTCTTCACTTGTTACAGTGCTATGGTTGCGTGTAGCTGCAGCCTGATACTACACAGTTGTTTGCTACTTGGTTCTAATTCAGGTCATGATTGGTTCAGCCCAAAGCGAACCCGGAGAAACTCCCCTTCTCAGTGGCTATTCGTATAGCCTACCAAAACATGGCAGAATGCCAACTATCAAAAAGCATATTGACCATGTTTTTATTGATATTGAGGGAAATAATTTTTTGATATATATATATATATATATATATATATATACTGTATATATATATATATATATATAACTTTATGATGGTTGTAGTATGACAGTAGTATTACTGTGGCCAGGCTGTAGTATTACTGTCCTATAGCTGTGGTAATTGTAGTAAATGTAGTATACCTGTGGCATGTCTGCACTATGGCTGGTTGTAGTGTGGCTGTAGTTTAGCTTAAGAATGGCTGTAATGCGACTGTAGTATACCTGTAGTTTGGACCAAGTATTGCTGTAGAAAAGGCATAGTATAGCTGTAGCATGGCTGTAGTATGGCTGTATTAAAGCTGTAGCATGGCTATAGTATGGCTGCATATCGCAAGTAAGTCAAGATTTTTTGGTATAGCACATGTCACAGAACAGAGTCATGAAGCACCTCACAAAATAGCAATAATAAGAACAGCAGCAATACAGAGAAGAATAAATAAACAAAAAGACAATGTTAACAGAATCCATGACTTAAAGGTTCTGCTAGTGAGGTGAGGATGGAGCTGCTCAGAAATATTCACTGGAGCTTGATTGTGGCTGGCTTTATAAGTTAACCAAAGGATCTTGAAATTAATTTGTAATTTGATTGGCAGCCAATGCAAAGAAAATAAAATAGGGGTAATGTGGGTTGTCCTGCTGCATCTGGTTAACTTTAGCTGTAATGTGGCTGTATGATAGCTGTAGCATAGCTGTAATGTAGCTTCAGAAAGGCTGTTGCATGGCTATAGATTGGTTTTAATATTGTAGTAGTTTTACTGTGGTTCAACCGTAAAACTACAGTGATACAAAAGCCATACCACAGCTATACTACTGCTATACTACAGCTATAAACATCCATACTACAGTCAAACTACAGTCATAAAACAGACAAACAATTGTCTTACTAAAATCACATTGCAGCCATACTATATACAGTCTAATGTGGTTCAATATTAGTTTTAAGTTAGTGTGGCTGTATCATTACTATAGTAAGACTGTTGTTAAACTGTTGCATGGTTGTAGTGTGACTGTAGTTGATTATAATAGGACTGTAGCATGGCTCACGAGCAGCTTTAGTGCAATTTAAAGTCACTCAAAAGGGGTTAGGTGAAATAGACCTAAAATTAAATCTGGTTATTCTAAAGCATTGTTTGATGACTTTTATGACTTTATAGAAAAAAGTACCAAACATCTTATGACACTCTCTGGGCAGCAGAATTTTGTGTGCAAACAACATTTAGATCATTTTCAGTCAAGCTACTGTCATTCTTCCTGATTCAAAGTAGGAGTCTAATGTCACCATGTGGCCAGAGCAGCATTACAGTGAAACGTTTCCCACACATAGAAAATACGTTGGCAGGCTGCTCAAGCAAACTTGAAGCTTGTGGTCACTGACACATGGTTTACTGCAGGTGATGTGAGAGAAAGGTATACCCTGGTAGGTCCCTCCTTGACATGGGCTGAAGGGAGATGTTCTATGTTGAATTTGAAGCTCAAAAATTATCTGCAGTTAATTGCAGCAATCTGCACTGACATTCTGCATTGTCTGAGTTTCGACTGTAACTATGGCAGGCCTCGTCCATGCTTGGATCACCTGTTGAGACAATAAAGTAAGTTGAAAGATTTCCAAACAAAGGTTGCATTTTTGTGGTTCTCCTTATGGTTCTGACTGTATTTTTCTTTTTGATTGTATAAGAAAAAAGACACAATGAGACACAAAATAGTACATGTCACTGTGTTGATGTGCATGCCTAGGTGTGGATAGTAAGAGGATAGTAGCAAGTCTTTGAAAAGATTGAAAAGGAACATTGTCATTGCATTGTATATATCATTGATATTATTGTATGACACGTTTTTTATCAGGTAAAGATTCATACTAGTATTATCATGGACACTATGATGATGGCACAGCCTGAGCACACAGGATCATAAAAACACAGGGAGGAAAAAGATTCAAATACCTGATCATAAAAATGTAACTGCATCGCTTTATTTATATAACAGACGGTTCAGAGTGTGTGTGTGTGTGTGTGTGTGTGTGTGTGTGTGTGTGTGTGTCCTACATCCAGCCTCAGTGTCTAACTGGGTCACACCAGAACCCAGCTGCAGTACTGCAACACCGGCTCAGAGAGCATGTGCAGACACATACACACAGAGAGACTCACACGCACACACTGCACAATCTTAAGACTTTGCAGAGAGCGAAAGAGAGAGAGTGTATTTATTTATTTATTTATTTATATACATATGTGTGTGTGTGTGTGTGAGAGAGAGAGAGAGAGAGATACCAACAAAGAGCAACTGGGGATGCGTTGTCATGGTGACCCTTTCGGCAGCCCGCCCACCAGCCTCTGTGTGTGTGTGTGTGTGTGGTGTGTGCGTTTCTCAGTGAGGGAGGGAGGAGAAACCTCGGCTGCAGTGTGAGGCGGTGTGTGATTGGTCACACCCCCTTGTCTTTGTGTGGCGCAGGGGATTGTGGGTAGCCCCTGACTGAATGCTCATTTGTGTGTGAGTGGTAAAAGAAGGAGGGGATGAGAATACGTGTGTGTGTGAGCGCGTGAGAACAGAAGAGGACGACGCTTGTGTGTGTGTTAGGAGGGGGAGGAGCTGAGTGTGTGTGTGCGTGAAAGAGGGGAGGATGAGCCAGTGTGTATGTGTGTGAGAGAGAGAGTGTGTGAAAGCTGCGCTGCCATCAGGAGCTGAACTGGATTTATACTGGACCCATTTCTACTGAACTAGGACCAAGACCAGCTGAGGTACCTGAGTGTGTATGTGTGTGGGACACTGTGTGTGCGTGGGGTGTGTGTATGTGAGCGTGTGGGTCTGTCTCACTCTCATGTCAGTCATTAGCTAGCCTGTTAGCAGCTGCTGCAGCTGCTAGTTAGCATTAGCAGCGTAGCGTCCCAGCTCCTCAGACAGAGAGAGAGAGAGAGAGAGAGAGAGAGACGCAGACATGCTGCAGGAGAGAGAGATAATGGAGGGCAATATGAAGAGAGAGAAATGGAGAGATGGAGGAGGAGAGGAGTGGAGGGTGAGAGAGCGGGTGAGGGTGGGAGGGAGGAGGGAGTGCATGACAAAAGGAGGGGGTGTGGTTTAGAGGTTTGGACAAAGGAGGCTGGCTGATTGTTTACTACCACTGCAGTGAGAGAGACATGGGCGATCAATGCTCCTCTATCACTCTCTCTCTTTTTTCCTTTCCTCACCCTCTGCTTCACATAGCTGCTCTCCTCCTCACTTTTCCTCACCCTCTGCATGTCTGTTACATTGCCTTACACATCACCCTCTCTCTCCCCTCTCTCTCTCTATCTGACAGTGTAGTAGTAATGGAGCGAGCAGAGCTAGGGTAAGCTAACAGCTGCTGCTGCTACAAAATGGCTCTTCTTCTCCTCCATCAGTCACGTTATCCCCCCCCACACACACACACACATACTCACGCATACTCTTTGACAGCAGACACAGTCAAATCAAACAGCTGATGTTTTCACTCCGTACTGATCAGATGTAGTAATGATGACGTACCCTGCTCTGTCCTGGAGTGTGTAAGCTAGCTGTTAGCTGTTAGCTGCTGTGTGACTGTCAGGTGCAGGGAGAGCATCAGTTGTAGTAGTAGTAGTAGTAGTAGGAGTAGACATGTAACAGTGGTAGAAGTGTAAACTGTTGTAGCGCTGGAAGCCAATGAAAACGGGGCAGAGATGTAGTGCGATAGCCGCATTTGTCATCATAGAGAAGCAGCAGTACAAGAAGCAGCCAATTAATTGTAGTTGTGGTAGAGGTATAGGTAACACAAGAGCAGTAGTATGTGGTTCAAAACATTACAACTCACAGTACAAAGGCTGTATTTGCAGGGGGCATTATAACTATCGATGAAGATACCAATTGATGACCTTTTGTAAGTCCCAGAAGGGTGAGCAGAAGTCGGGGTCCTGTTCATCCTGAAAGGCATAACCACATGCTTGCTATACATTACCCCGCTCATTATCCAACCATATATTAAAGATATGAATAATCTGACACAAACACTAATCTAAAGAGGATTTTATTGATTTAACAATGATCTCTGCAGCTCAAGTAGTTCCTCTGATTCCTTGCTTAGTAATGCTTTCATGGCAAAGGATTCTTATTAGCCTCCTTACAGGACAGGAGACTTCATAAACAAATCATTCAACAATTTCAAAGCTGTCCTCAAATGTCCAAGAGTGGGTGGATTTCATCGTCTATAGTACATAATGTCTTTAATAGATTCAGAGAATCTGGAGAAATCTCTGTACAAAAGGGAGAAGGATCAAAACCAACACTGGATGGACCTGATCTTCAGACCCCTTAAGCAGCACTGCATCGAACACAGACATGAAGCTGAAGTGGAAATCACTTTATTGGCTCAGAATCACATAGATCAATGTCTGTGTTCATCACTGTATCTACAAGTGAAGGTTAAAAATGAACCATGCAAAAAGGAAACCAGATATGAACATGATCCAGAAACACCAGAGACTTCTCTGGACCTGAGCCCATTTAAGATGACTGGGGGGCCGTGGAAAACTGTCTTGTTTGATGAACAAGACAGTTTGATGAATCAAAAGTTTACATTCTTTTTGAAAATCATGGACACTGCTTCCTCCTCTCTTAAGAGTAAAGGGACCACTCGGCTCGTTGTCAGACCCTGATGGCATGAGGATCATCTATGGCATGAGTGGTTTACACGTCTGGGAAGGCTCAATAAATGCTGAACAATGTGTACAGTTCTTCTACCCTTGGCTACAAAGAGCAGAGGGACCTTCTGTCTGGTTCCAAGTGCACATTTAAGATGGACAGAGGGGAAGTGGAACACTGTCCTGTGAACTGATGAATTAAATCTGACATTCTTTTTGGAAACCATGGACACAGATTTAAGGAGGAGAGGGACCAACAGGCTTGTTATCAGCAGACAGGTTTTGGAACAACATATGCTACCACCCAGACACAACACTTTTTTCAGGGAATTGAATATTGTATATTGTAGCAGGACAATACCAAACCACATTCTGCATTTATTACTACTGCATGGCTCTGTAGTAGGAGAGTCCAGCTGCTTAACTAGCTGCCTGCAGTCCTAACCCATGAGAACATTTGAAGCATTATGAAACCAAAAATATGACAGAGGAGACCCTGAACTGTTGAGCAGCTCAAGTTTTATCAGGCAAGAACGTGACTATGTTTCACTCTCAAAACTCCAGAAATGGGTCTGCTGGGCTAAATGTTGGTAAAAGAAGAGCTGATGACATTCAATGGGAAACCCTAAACAGCGTTTTTGAAATGGATGGCTGCCTTTAAACTTTACATGAGCTAATAAGAAGAACTTTATTAATATTCCTCATAAAGAAAGGCAGTGTTTTGGTTTCAGCATTTTAAATGTTGTCTTTGCACCAGTTTTAATTAATTATAGACTTTGATGATTTGCAAACTGTCAAAAACCGACTCTGATTAAAAATTCAAGGTCTCCCAACTTTTTCAGAGTTTGAGTTGTAGATGGAATACGATATCATTCTCATCATACTCTCAGTGTTATTCAGCTCAGCCTTGGAAAATATAAATCATTCATCAGCAGACACACCTATAACACCTGCGCAGGTGGGTATTATTCATCTTCAATAGTCAGAACAGGCTTTCAGTCCTGTGTACACAGTAGCAGCAGTCCCCGTTCTTCTGTTGACAACCCTTTATTCAGGAGCTGGTTATTAGCTGATATCCAGTCTGAGAATTAGCCTTTGAGTTCTCACTCAAATGTGCCCCTGACACCAGATGCTGATGTTAGCAGAGAAAATGTAAACCGAGAGCTTTACCTGAGGGCAGCAACATTTAAAAACAATCAATGGAAGTTAAGTCTGAAAGAACTTAAGTCTAATTTTCCACATTTATAACCTCCCTCAAACTCTGACCCGTCTCCCCCCAATTGGACCCTTTTCTGTGCAGGAATCATCACCTGCAAACTGGAGGGTTATTTAAGATAACTTTGCAGGTTGCTCAAGTGAAATGAGAGGTTGAGTCAGTCTGGAAGATTTCAACTTCTCTTAAAATTACCATCAGCTTAATGTAGCCAATGATTTATGAAATATCTAGTCATCTATTATTAAAACATTTGATTAAACAATGGAATAATGAACTGTGCAATGTCCAAACAGCTCTTATTTTGCAATTAGCTTTTAAAGCTGCTGTGAGGAAGTGTCAGTTTGTATTGATTTGGCGCCCCCTATGGGCAAAGTGATACCTCATTCTTCTTTGCTGATCCTTCCAGTACATATGTGTGGAGTATTTTGTGTAGAAAATTGCACCCTGCTGTCTTTTGACTGTAAAAGTAAAGCGTCAGTGTTGCCCTCAGTCTGTATCAAGTAAAACAGTTTATTATGGAAGTTTTAAATTCAACATTATCCTGTCGAACTAAAGACATACCATTTAAAATTTTGATGAGCCAAATTTCTGTCATTCAACACAACTAGCCCACTATTCATGTCTGAGGAGTTATGTAGTTTTACTGTGTAACATGGTTACCATAGTAACATGTTTAGAGTTAGCTCCACTGTTTAGAGTTAGAGGAGAAGGAAGAAAAAGAGCTGAAAAGGAGAGAAAAAGATGAAGTGCTCCAGGGAAAGGTTTGAAGGTGAGGGACTGAAAATGTAAATGAGAGATAACTAACAGTGCCGCTCTAACTTTGCACTGTTACACAGCTGATGTTTAAAACAAAGACTTCTAACATGCCTTCTCTTCCAACACTCAGACATTACTAACATGCTCTTATGATGGGCTTGGCCTGCTCTACTGCAGCCGTGTTTTTTTTAAGACTAAAGTGGGTCCAGACTTAAGAACTTTAAGGATGTAATGATGTTTCATCTGCTGCTGCAATTTTGTCAGGTTTTGTTTTCCTGCTGCTTTTTGTTGGTATCAACTCTCAGCAGAGATAGTAAGAATAAGAGATGTCTCACTCCATGAACACTTACCTCCAGAAAACTGTTAATTCAACTACATTACGGAAAAAGTGATGTGCAGTTGACCTCAAATTAACAATTTCACTCTGTTTTTAACTAACGCTGATTCTGTATTGAATCCATGCTGTACCTATGCACATGCATTAGGGTACAACCTGAAGTGCATCTTCCCAAAAATAAAACCAATGCATATAACAAGCCCTGTGATTGGTCCACTTGGTGGCAGACAAGTACTGTTACCACTTCTGTTCTCTTCTTCAGTGGCTGTATGTTCTATCCCCTCGACATCTCCGCTTTGCAATAATTGCAGTATGATCAGCAGCTGCAACTCAAACATATTACACACAGATTCAGAGGTTATGTTGTCCCTTATACAAAAAAGGAGAGAATGTAGTCCTCCTGGAAACAGTGGACAAGATGAGAACAGAAACTGCACTGCTGACAAGTGTTATGGTAAAATATTGCAGTGTGCTATACAAATATGCACAAGTTAGGACTGTGCGATAAGGCCTCAAATCAATATCACGATACACTGAGCAGTTCACCTCGATAACGATAAATGGATGATAAATACTCCACAAGCTGCTCACCCACCCCCGCATTAGCTTTGTCAACTTCAGCCGCAGCTCCAGCTGCTCCAACTTTTGAACTGTCCTCTGTCTCCTCACCTGTCTTTCCCTCTTTGTTACGGACTGGATGGGGTGGAGTCACGTCTCTGACGTAGGACAGCATCTTAAAGGGACATGAAACCATTGCCTACCTACACATCCAAAACCAACTTTTATTTAAATTTTTTGACACTGAATATATTGACATTGGCAAAATGTTGTCGGTTATTGTCGTAAATTTCGGTATCGGTAAATTTTCGGTTTATCACCCAACCCTAGCACAAGTGCAAGTAAGTAGATGTAGAGTCAGTGCAGAAGTACAAACCAGGCTTTGTGGTTAGACTTCCACTTTAAGGCTGTATAAACTACAGCATAGCTTTTAGCCATTTGCTATTGTCAGTAGACTAACATGGTGCTAGCATGTGCTAAATGACACCAAATCCAAAAACACAGCTGAGCATGGTTATAAATGTGATAAGTTTTGAGGGTCATATAGTAAAGCTTGGTCCAGCAGTGGCTCTGGCTGATCTGGTTGATACAAAAAATTTCAGCAACAGATATCAACATTTCACACTGATTAAAGGTGATCAGTAGATTTGTTGGGGATCAGTAAAGTTCTTCTTATGTTATCTTTTCCTTTCATTTTTGTTAAATAAACAGATATCTGTTTTCTTGTAGGTTTTGTTTAGCCTAACAGCATTGAGGTCCCACTGTTTCTGTGTGCTCTGTCATTAAATGTTGTGCTAACTCTGTGAACACAACATTTCTGATTAGATTACTTGGTTGATCTCTGAAATAATTGATAGAATACTTGATGATTTTATAATTGATCACTGCTACTCGACCTATGTTGCTGCTGCTGACACTTTTTCTGTCTTGAGCTCAGCCTGCTCAGTCTGTTGTTTGCAATCCACACATCGGGGTAGTGACTGAACTTTTGAGCGTGCCCTCCAAAGGTTTTCTCCAATATCAGCCGGGTGCATAGTTGAGTATATTTTTAATCACACCCAAACTGTAGCCACACTCATGCACAAAACGAAAAAACAGTACTAGCAGTATGCTTGTAGAGCAAATAATCAAGCGGTGGGAACAGATCAATAAAAGCAAAGATTAGTTTAAATGCTGTCTCACCTTTGCAAAGGTTGATAGGGAGACAGAAAAATATACACACAGTCCACCTGTCTGTCTGTGAGTGTGTGTAAGAGGGAAAGACTGACCATTCTGATGGGGTAAACTGACCCTGAATGCACCACGGGAAGCATCAGCTGTTTTCTGGAACAGGTGTGTGTGTGTGCATGTGCTGTCTGTGCGTGTGTGTGTGTCAGTGGATGGAGGTCAACAGCTGTTGTTCCTCTCGGGCTGGATTGTGGATGGTGTGTGTGTGTATGTGTGTGTGGGGTCATGCTAACTCCACAGTGTGTGTTGTTATCATGGAGCTCTGAGCACTGATTCACATCAGTGACCAGCAGCAGAGATTTGAAGCTGAAATACTCTGCTGTAGTCCCCTGTGTGTGGTTGTGTTGCTGTTAAATCAGGTGGCACTCTTCTTCTTTTGATTTTAATGTGGTTAACAAACAGTTTTCAGATACACAACAGTCACCCTCTGGCAGGAGTTTGGCAACACTACCAGGCAATACTAAAAGCAGTGGAAGTTGTTTTAAGATGAGGTCACAAGGGCTCTGTCTAAAGAATTGAAACATCCTGACCGGTGTTTTTCCGACACTGTTTCTTTTTCTCTTACGGCCTTCAGGTGTTCAGTCGTTCTGTCCTGAAATGATATGAATTGATATGGCTTTTGGAACAGCTTGTTTCTTCAACCTGACATCATGTTGTGCCGTGTTTTCGGGACAGTGCTGAAGCATGGGCCCACCTGGAAGTCCTGCTCCTCTTTCTTTTTTATCTCTGCTCTTTTTTGGTTCAGCCTGTCTCTGAAAGTTCCTCTGAGCGTTCTTTTGGTTGGAAAGGAAACTCAGCTATTTTCTCCTCCCAAAGGCTACAGAAAACAGTGGGAAGTTTTTGTTGTTTTCAGGACAGTAACAGCCATTATGTAGCTGTATGAGCTCGTCACTTCACAGATGACTCCCTTGTAAACAATGGCCAGCATGAGCTGGATTTGAGTCTTAGCCGTTACTGAAAACCGGTGCTGTTCACCTGTAAAGACGTTCATAAAGGCTCAGAACCACAAGCTGGAAGAAATATTAAAACAGCTGATCATGGAACTGTAGCTAGCCTCAGACATTTCCTGTAAAGGGCTAACTGTAGGGTTGTTTTATGTCTACTAAGCTGTGTAAAATGTAACCTCCAAGCTGTGTCAAACTTTCTATTAGTGGAAGGCAGAGACTGAATAGAGCTATAGTGAGAATTTTTACTGCTGCCAATAAGTTTAAAAAGTATTTTTTTAAGCTGCAGGCCTTTACAACTCCTCTCGTCTAGATGTCCCAGACTGACAAAGCAATAGATGAAAATTAGTGTAATTGGTCCTCTTTTAAATGAGCTGTTTTCATTTGTATCATTATTAACATGTAATACTCTTTAAACTAGAGCTAGTAAGTAAAGTAAAAGGCTTTCAACCTTTTGTACACACTTTTGAAAGATGCAGAATTTTGTCGACTATTGTTATCTGTTAATGAAAATATTGCAATATTATTGTTCATCGATAAAGTACACGGACGTTTTCATATATGTCAACTCTTTTATATCATGGGTGTTCTCACACAACAATAACAAAATAAAACATAGTAGCCTTCTTTTTATATGTGTCAGTGTTTTTTAAATAGAACTACAGCGTAGCTCTGCTTTAATCTATCATAGTGTTAGCTCACACAATCTGTGACTGTTCTCACAAGGTGTGAGCAGAGTTTATGGGAGGCTTGTTGTAGCAAACAATAGTCAGATGAGAGTGCAGAATAATGCTAGTACCAACCTGCTGCATAAATTCACCTGAGAGAACCTCCAGGTGAAGTCTCTGTGTGGGAAACACTGGATGGGCAGAAGCAGAGGAAGCAGATGTGAACAGAGTTTAACTGCAGCTGAGTTTAGTTACAGTGGTGAAATCAGATTGACTTTGCGTGTGATCACATCTAAGTGAGAGCAGTTCATACAGTTTGAGCACATGATCAAGAAATACTGCTGAAACATCAGATAATTGACTCATTATTGTGATATCAAACTTAAGAAGTCAGAGAGAAATAGTTATTCATACTGTGGTTCACTAATTATCATGGAAACACACAATGAAGTTTGACTCAGCCTCACATAGACCATCCTGCTGCTGGAAATAGTCACTGCATCACAGGATGAGGATTCATACGCCGCTGAAAATAGTTCCTAATAAAAGCATTGTTTTGTCCTGTTTGAGTGACAGTGGATAAAAATACAACACAGCACTGCTGTTTTTAGTGAGTTTCTGAACTTTTTTCTTTTTTTTGGATACATCAGAAACAGGAGGTCAGGAGGAATTTAGAAGCAGGTTTTATTTTAGTCTTCATTTTTTGCTTTGTGACTGTGTAGAGTTTAAATTATCTACCTCTAGTTTTTATATTAAAATTATAATTATCTCAAATCTAAACAAACTTTTTTCTCCTCATCTGTGCTTGGCGCTTTGGTGGTTTTTCAGAGGGTATTGCACTGTTATTTCTTCCTGCAGAGTGGGATAGTTTTCATGTTTTATTGTTCTGCCGATAGAAGAACAGACATCACAGCAGATCCTATACATGACGCTGCGTCTGTTTGTGATTTGTTTCTAACGCAGTATGACTTAAACATTTGTTCTATCTCTCCACAGGTGATGTGTCACCCATCAGTATGTCCCCCATCAGCCAATCACAGTTCATCCCTTTGGGAGAAGTACTGCTACTGGCTATCTCTGCTATGAACTCCGCCCACAAACCTGTGACTCAGGAGGCTCTGACTGAACATCTGCAGACATGTTTCCCAGGTAAACATGATAACTGTCAAATGATATCTCTCATTGTGTACCTGAATCTGACTGCTGTAGATCATTAATCTACTAATAATAACAAAATGTCAATATATTATGTCAATATAATGTAGTATATATCAAATAATAAAAATTACACTTGGTCATATTTTACACACCTCTCTGCTGCTGTTTACTGATTAAGTTAATGGCTGTTATTATCAGCTGTTGTCCTCCACGAATCCAGTGAAGTTATTCTACAGAAATGGAGTACATGATCAAGCAAAGCCACACTGAGAAAGGCACTGCAACGGCAAGTCATCAACCTCTTATAAGAAGCTTTTAAAGAGGCCATCACCAATAGAATTTAAAATTTCAAACATCAGGGTTTTTCCTGGCTCAAATTGAGGCAGAGGTGGCACCATCCTGACCGTGCGCCATGACGTGCATGTATTTGTAAATTCAACTGACTCACTTTCTTTTACAGGCAACATACTTTAAGTTAAGAGTTCAAAAAAGAGTGTGACCATTATCATGTTAAAGCATTCATTTATTAAAACTATATACATACACAAATCAGCTGGCAACTTTAAATTGAAAGTACACTTCATCCACACATCTCACAACCAGACAGAACATTTCAGCCTCCTCTTTTTCATTCTGTAGAACCTCCTCATGCACTCCTTGTAGTCCAAGGCCTCCTGGTCTGGTCCATCAACGGCCACCTTACAACAGACATCCAAGTGCCTCTCCTTCAGTCTGTTCCGCAGAGGTGTCTTCACCTTAAACAAAACCATTCATCATGCATTAAGTATTTTTTGTTTTTATTCTGATACAGACATGAAGGGTGATAGTGTTTTCAATCATATATTATATATATGTATACGCTGCAGTGTCCTCCCTAAAAAAACGACAACCAATTATTTCTTAAACTATCTAAACTATGATATTTTAGTTTTTGTAACTATTAGTTGAGTGTTTTTAGGTACTACCATCTTTAATATATTTCTCCTTCTCTTCTGCTGCTTTGTGAATGGCTATCACCTCATGTCTTTTTAATGTGTCCAGCCTGTAGTTGGTTGATGGCTGTCTCACTAAGGAGGCAGCAATTGCCTGCTGTGTTGGGGCACAGTGCTTTTGGCATAAATAGCAGTGCATGCATTCCTCAGTATGCCTGAGCCAGGTACATTGATTGAGCCACTGCTTGTCAAAGCCACTGGCTCTGTGTTTTTGAGAAGATCTGGAAAGAGGAATAAAAAACCACGTACACGTTGGTTTTGCGTTGTTATGCTCCTAATTGGAAACTAATTAATTAATTACCCTCGCCTCGCCGACTCGTCCTGTCCTGCATTCTGACCCTCGCGATCACCAGTCCCTTGTGAAGTACTTTCAGACCTGACACAAATTTCCACATTGTCACCACCATGAATTATAGCATTTTAACTGCCTGTTCCTTTTTTTTTCTCTGCTGTGTTTCACCTGGACTCTTGACTTTCCTCCTCGCGAGGTCGCTTTTTAAAGTACTGGCTAGGCCTGAACGATATATCGTTTGACTATCGTCATCGCGATGTACGTGTGTGCGATAGTCACATCGCAGAGCCTGCGATATTGGAGGTGAATGAACTCATTTAATTTCAAGGGTAACCGACTGAGATACACTCCATGTGACTCTGCATGTGCTGTGCAGCGATCCACCAATCGCCTTCGTCCTTAACTCAGTTGCCAATCAGACTCACTTCTCAGTTGCCAATCAGACTACCCTGCCAGCTGTCAATCAAAATCAGGGCGGAGAAAACCCACCCCTGCACATGTTCTGCACATGGAGGGAGACGTGTGTCCGCTGAGAATTACTTTCGGAACTTTACTCATGACTGTTAAGCCAAACAAATAAGAACTGTATGGATTTTAAATTGTACATTTCCGTGGACCACTCTACTATAAGCAGTGCGCGTTTTGCGAGGTGCATGCAATTCTCGGAGGACATGCGTTTCTCGGCACAACACCGCTAACAACAACAACAACGATCGCAAAATGAACAACGAACAAGCGAAAACCACCGAAAATGAAGATTTGTTGCCCAAAAGAAAAGGAAAGTCAGTTATCTGGAATTATTTCGGTTAAAAGAAGGATGATGTCGACCAAAACACGTCTTCTGTGTTCACCTGTTGCCACAATAACGTCCCAGAACAATAAAAGCTAAAAATATCTCTGAGACAGACAGAAGCCGTTCTACTAACATTCACAAAAAGAGGTAAGATCAGAGCAGATTAACTGTCCTCAAGATTTCAGCAGTGCAGCATAACATTAAGTGCTATTCAGGTCATCTGGTGAAAATACTGTATTTTTAATATCGCAATATATATCGCAGGGTTGAAAAAATCGCAATATTATTTTTTTCCAATATCGTGCAGCCTTAGTACTGGCTGATTTTGCCTGTCATAACTGCAACGCTAAAAACGGAGTAAACTTTTTTTTAAAATAAACACGTCATGCTCGGATGCAAAAAAGACAAGCAGTATTTACCTGTTTGTGTCCAGCCGCCAGGGAAAATCAGGACGCCGATAGCACCAACTAGCGGGAAAAAAAACATGATTCGATCCGTTTCTTCTTTGGTAGATGCTTCAGGTCTTTCCGATGCACTGCTGTTGATATAGCGCCTTTATAGTGGTGCAACGCTGCAACTGCAGTTAAAATACGTTGCTGCTGCAGAGGGACATCATACGCTCAATCAACACAGCTGGAGCTTTACGCTGTGTTGAGCGAAATCAATCGCTCTGGCTGGGGGCGGCACAAAATTAGGTGGAGGCGGCCGCCACGCAATTTTGAACGCAGGAAAAACCCTGAACATATCTGAACATTTGCACATCATGTTTGGTGTTTGTTCAAAATTGGATTTTCGGGAAAAACTGAATAGTTTTCTAGTCAAGATGAACCTTATGTCTGCGTGGTGCAACCAAACTAAGGTACAACTTAAGTGATTACAGAACTAGTTTTAATGTGTAGCTTAGTATGAACTTTAAACCCTAACTTGACTTGTGCACAGCTTATTCACCAGTCCACAGACACATTTATACTGGTAAACATGTCAACCGTTGAAGTAAAGCCACACCCCTTTCTTACATCATTGGATTTAACAAGTGACAAGGAACCAGACTAGACTATCTTTTCCCCCTCACACTCAGTCTTAATGCTAAGCTAAGCTAATCATGCTCCCAGAAACAACTGAGAAACAGAGAGTTTAAATCCACTGTTTATTATTTAAAAAAGCCGCTCATCTTTGGCATGTTGAACACATGGAGGCTTGTGTGTGTGTGTGTGTGTGGCTGGGTTTCCCTCTTTAGAGAACTTGCGTCATGTCACCAAAGCAACTGCACAAGCATGATGTAATGACAGGCAACACACACAAACACACAGTCAGTCAAGTCAGTGTGTTGGTAATTAAGCGTTAGGTAAATTGATCAGATCAATAAATAAACTGATGAATGAAGTGTTCCCTTTTCTCATGTCACCTGTGGAGCTTATAGGTGTACTTCACTCCATCTTTCCCTTTATTCCTGTTGTCCCAGATTATTAAAATCCAACACATCGCAAAGGTGATTATGGACATTATGAGATTTTAAATCAGTCTGCTGTTGCTGAATGTTTGCAGAGGAATGATACTGTGATTTCAGGGGCAGATTTTTTGCTTTCTTCACTCCCTGATTCAGGTTCATTATTGAAGAGTTCTATGTCTGTAGTATTTGACAGGAAGCACTACTTTATTTTCTAAAGATTCCCTCCACCAGTGGTTGAATTGATAAGGCAAGCAATACATTAACATGCTATTCAGAAATTGATTTATTGAAATAGTACAACTAAAAATTGAGTTATAAAGTACATTTATACGTGTTTTTATGACTGAAATTGCACTAAATCAAACTTCTCATAGTTGGACCAATATACCCAGATAATGTGATGGGATTTATTTTCTATGTCATGTATTACAGATTAGTTTGACTAAAACTGGCCTAAGTGTTTAAAGCCTCACCTGGGCTTACATCTGAGAGTGGATTGGCATCAATGCATTGCTAGGAAGCTGGATAGTAAACAAAACCTCAGCAGAAGAAAAAGGGGGACCGCAAAAACAGATAAAGCTGTTGTTTCATCTGTACAAAAGGTAAAGAACTGTGAGAGTGACAGTGTTTTCATCATGCAACGAACAACCCATTAGCAACTAGATTACACATTCATTTTTGCAGCTAATACAAAGTGGAGTTGACATGCATCTGGCTGTAATTCTGGTCTTGCTGGATGCTTGTGAACTGAGACAAGGACAGCAGTTTAATAAAAGCACCTAATTGAGCCCAAACTGTAGCTTAACGTAACCATGGATATAATTGTACTGAATGTGTTTTATTTCAAAACACAGAAGCCCTAGGTAGGTTCACACAAGGGATCTGCTGTATGGATACCTCAAACCAATACCAAGTATCCAAAAGTAGCTGCTGCTGATGGCTGAAAAGCTTAGAAATGTATTTACATTTTTGTATGTATAAATTGGTAGAATCTGCATTTCTGTGATGTTTGGATTCAGTGTACAAAGATGCATGTATCCTCTGCCATTACTCTTATGATTTCTGTCCTCTCCCCCCTCTCCTCCCTTTGAGCTACGTCACTTACCCTGGTGGGTCTTTAAGTACGTTCAGTTCTCTAGAGCACTGAGGACAGTTGAACTTACTCTTGTGTTGTGTAGCTGCTTTGACTCATTGGCTAACACTCTACTTATGAAAGAAAACTAAACTCTCAAACATCGTCCATCCCTCTTATTGACTGGAGGGTTGTGTTTGACGTGAGACGGGATGTATTTGTGTTAGGTAATTTCACAGCTTTGTATAGTTGTTTTTAATTGTTATTGACAGCCAGTTCAGAGCCAAACAGCCCTGAGGGGACAGAAGGCTTCACTCTGCAGACACACACTCACAAACACACTCACTCTCACAGTGAACACACTGTTCACTGTTGAAGGATCTGACTCATCCCAGCAGCACCGGATTATTCTGGTTTATTACAAGTTATGACTAAGTTCCTGATACAGGGATCTGATGTGAACATTTTTTTCTGTCTGGGGTGAAAGAGTGTAAAATTTTGAGTTTACCTTCTCGAATCCACTGAACCCTGCCCGTACAAATAACTATTGCTTGGGCTTAAACACTTCTTGCTGGTCCCTAAATGAGGTGCTCTTCGACAGGTGGAAGTCAACCCAGGAACAAGTAACCTTTTGACATACTGTGTCTTTCAATAGCAGGAACCAGGGTCTAAATTTACACATTTAGTTCTGGGGTAATTGATCTGCCTCCTTGGAAAGTCCATGTAAAGGGAATAGTACTTTCCACAGGTCCAGGATTTTCGGAAGGCAGGACCTGAAGACAAAAAAGCACCTGGATGGATGTGCTTAATTAGTCCTTGCTTGTACTCAGAAAGTTCCTGTCAGCGCTTGCCTAATCTCTACCTGTGTTTATATGGCCTAAGTTTCTGTGTAGATGGTCCTTGCCTGGGCTGAAATGAATAGTTTCTTTTTCTGCTTAAGTAGTCTTTTGGTTGGTTCTTACATAGTCCTTGTGTTTGAGAAGGCCCTGCTTATGCTTATATAGTCTCTGCTAATGCTGGATGTTACCTATACTTACATAAAATACATTAAAAATGAATCCAGCAAAATTTACCACCAAAAGAAAGCCAGCTGTGCTTTATTTCAGCACAAGCAGGAGCATCTTTGAGGGAAAATCTGAACATGATATCACTCGCACAATCATTTTACCTGCAAAAACCCTTAATAAAATTGATTCATTCTTAAAAAATCTGTTTTATTAAAGAGCTCAGTAGACACAGGCTGAGAAGAGGGGGCTGACTTATCATTCCGACTCAAATTGTCTTGAGGAGATAGGAATCGGACTGAAACTGGATTCTAAAAACACATCTACGTGCCGCACTTCGCTGAATATCTTGAAGTGGGAACAATGCACTAGATAATGTGGCCAGGAATGAATTTTCTCTTGCATTTCAATTGGCTCCAAACTGGCCCAAGTGTTCAGGCTTGACCTGGAAGTTGAACACAAGACATGTATTGTCGGGATTCCAGTGGTAAACTAAAAATTCTACAAAAAGAAAAGAAGGGAGTAAAAAAGACGAGGCTTTCATTCAAAGCCATTCAATTACAAAACTGCAAAGTTGTTCATGTTAGGGCTGGGCATTACGGCCTCAAATCAATATCATGAAATATTGTGCAGTTCACCTCAATAACGAAAAATGGAGGATAACTACTCCACAAGCTGCTTACCACCTCCCACATTCACTTCATCTACTTCAGCCGCCGCTACATCCGCTACATCCGCTACATCCGCTACAACTTTTGAACCGTCCTCCATCTTCGCACCTGTCTTTCCCTCTTTTTATAGACTGGATGGGGTGGAGTCACGTCTCTGATGTAGGACAGCATCTTAAAGGGACATGAGACTATAACCTACACACATCCAAAACCAACTTTTATTATTTTTTGACACTGACTATATTGACATTAGCAAATTGTTGTCGGTTATTGTCGTAAATTTCGGTATCGGTAAATTTTCAGTTTATCGCCCAGCCCTTGTTCATGTTTTACCAGTCAACATTCAGCCAGTTAGCCTCTTGCTAACCTGCTTGTTGGTTGTTTTGGTGTGTGGCATGGTGGGTTAAATGAAAGATCAAATAGCAAAAAAACTAAAGGGGGCATATTGCCACCTACAGCAGTGGTAAATCGATTGTCAGCTGTTGCTTGTGTGCTTTGACAAAGATAATAGTTCAATTGAGTTGCATTATCTTGCTATACCTGTAGCTGGACTTCTCTGTTATCATAGCAGAGGCTACCACCATATGTTCACTGTGAGTAAAACAAATGAAACATGAATGAAGCAGCTTCATCAGAAATATCAGCCACCAGTGGAGACAACTAGTTTCCTCCGTGTGCAGTGTGAATTTGTGTGTGTGCATGCGTGCGTGTGTGTGTGAATCCATAATGGCAGCTGTTAGATAGCCTGCATCTATTTCTGCTCATCTTTTTATCAACTAGAAAGGAAAAGAGATGGACAAACATCTGTCTGTCTGTGTGTGTGTCTGTGGGTCTGTCTGTCTGCATGCTGTTGCATCACTGTGGCTGGTCTGAAAGACTAGTATGATGTAACTGGCAGTAATACCTCCAGACTGACAGAATGAGAGAGAGAAAGAGAGCGAGAGAAAGAGAGAGGAAAGAATGAGCAGGGGGAGAGAGCAGAGAAAGAGGAAGGATTTAAGAATTACAGAATAAAATTGGAGGCCAGTTGAAGTAAAACGTCTGTCTGGATATTTGTAGAACGTCATAATTGAAGAGGTTAAAAACCTCACCTGATAATCGCCATTACAACTGCTTCAGTGCACTGAGAGAGGACAGTTTAAACGCTGTTCATGTTTTTTGTATCACACATAAAGCAGAGCCAGAGCTGAGTATAACACTGGGAGCAACAGAAACCTTTACAGAACCAAAGAAAAACACAAATCTGTCCGGATGTATTCCTCACTGATTCTTGCTCCAGGACCTACTTTTTCATACTTTGTGACTGACTAACAGGAACAGAAAAGCTTGGAAATCTCTGTTGTAGATGAGTTGATCCTGCAGCAAGTAAACAGGCTGTAATGTCTGAGACATTGAGACATCATCCTGTGTCAACTAGAAGTTCTTGTTTTTGTTCCCAACAGGACAAAGTGTCTGACAACGTTACAGAAGTGATCCCAACAGAGAGAAAGCTTTTGGTCGAAGACAAAGATTAAAAAAAAAAAAAAGAACAGAAAGAGCTTTTACATTATTCTCCACAAAATGGAATAAAACCCCATGAGCCACTGGAGTTATTGGTCTTCTACTGCCTTTGTTAATTTAGATGTTAGTTCAGGTAGGCTTCAAAAGCCTCTTTCAGACATGCCCATGGTTCCTGAAACGTTCCTGAAATTGTGCTGTGGGTGAGCTGTATGTGTGAACAGAATCCGCTAAGTCTCGACTTCACCCAGAATTTTTCCTGCTCGCCCCCCTGGTATCATTAATTATAATTTAAAGGGAAAGTGTGTAATTTCATGGGAGAACACAACAGCAAATCTTTCAGATTTAAAAATAATGTTTGAGGCAGGGATATAGCGTAAGACCCACATTTCCTCTCCACTATGTTCATTTCACTTCTCTGCTGATAAAGTGCATACCTTCAGTTACTCATTATATTGATACAAAGGTTAAAAAAATGTTGATAAACCAAAAGTTATGTATCGGTCTCAGTTTGTCTACTTTTTCAAAATTAGATTCCTTTTTTAATAATTCACAGAGTTTGACTGAACATCATGACTATCGCAGCATCTATTTGACTTAATGATAAGCCTCCTAAACCTCACCCCCCCACACCCCCCATCTGACAGGGGAGACCAGTGTGAGGGTGTGTGGACAGTACAGTAAGGTAAATTTCCAAGTGAGAGCCCCTGAAATTTCCTGGAGTGCATATCTGAAAATGGCTAAAGTCAAGCTAAGCCCCCATCACCTGGTAGCATACTGCATTCATGGCACTGTGTTTAAGCTGCACAGCCCCCCCTGCTGTTAGCGCTCTCATGTAGCAGGTGTTTCTTTGTGTGACTTAAATGTTTCATTCGGTTGTTGCAGATTGAATGCAACAATTTTTAAAACACACTCTGTTTTTTCTCAGGTGTACCCACGCCTACAGAGGAGGTCCTGCACCACACGCTGGGCATGCTGGTTCGTGAGCGGAAGATCTACCCAACGCCAGACGGATATTTTATTGTCACCCCTCAGACGTACTTCATCACACCGAGTCTGATCAGAACCAGCTCAAAGTGGTACCACTTAGACGAGCGATCAGCTGAGCGGCACCAGCAGCAGCATCAGAACCAGCAGCAGCACCAGCAGACGCAGTGCACCTCCCCCCTCTCTGGTACCATCACCCCCTCCACCTCTGGGCCTGTCAGGGACCGAACGCACCCAAAGTCCAGCCAGAACCACAGTGGGGGAGGAGGAGGAGGAGGCGGGGATACTTTCTACAACAACAGTTACAGAGCAGACGACCCCCCTAGCCACCACAACACCCTGTCACGCAGATCCCCTAAAGACCACAGGGAGGCGTACTCGTCGCCACACTCCCCACAAACTCCTCCCCAGCAGGCAGGAGGAAACACAGAGAAGAGTCGAAGCAGCCTCGGGTTCCCCTTCAAGACGGACACACTCACCAAGCACCGCGGAGGGGGAGGTGGGGGAGGAGGTGGAGGCGGAGGAGGTGGGACAGGAACAGGAACGGGAACAGGAGAGGTGGAGAAACAGACGGGTGGAGGCAGTGGAACAGGAAGTCGAAAGTTTGGCCTGAAGCTGTTCCGGCTGAGCTTTAAGAAGGACAAGGCCAAACAGCTGGCCACCTTCTCTGCTCAGTTTCCACCCGAGGAGTGGCCGCTCCGCGATGAGGAGGTGCCCAGCCAGCTTCCCCGCCATGTTGAGATGGAGATCATCCGCAGGATCAACCCTGACCTCACTGTGGAGAACCTGGCCCGCCACACCGCTGTCATGAAGCGTCTAGAAGAGGAGCGTGCTCAGAGGAGCAAAGCCTCATCGGCCAATCAGAGCTCAAGGAGCAGGAGAAGTGGGGGGCGGCACAGAAAGCAGTCTCAAGCCAAACTAAGCCGCTCCCACAGTAAGACGAGGGCGTCCCGCGGTGAGCCCAGTGACCTAGAGCTAGCTGACCGAGACTACAGAGCGTACTCTTCCTCACTGGCACGGTCGCCCAGGGAACATGCTCTAGCAATGGAGAGACAGCGGGCTCGGCTTCACCTGGCCCACAGCAATCCTAACATCCTCGACTCCTCCCATCTACCTGTTACGCCAGAGTGGGATGTGTCAGGAGAGCTTGCGAAGCGCCGCACAGAGATGCCTTTCCCTGAGCCAAGCCACGGCCCTTCTGCCCACCACTCCAAAGTGCACCGCTCGCACTCACACACGCAAGAGAGGAAGTCCAGGAACGAGCGCAGCGACAAGGCCAAGGAGCGCTCCCGGTCCATGGACAACTCCAAAGGACCACTGGGAGCAGGTCTCATTGGACCTCCTGATTACTATGACGACCGAAGCCGCTACTATACTGATGATGGTACTCTTAGAGCTAATCAGAGCTCTTCTCACTACTCTCGAGCCACGCCCCCCTCAGCTAAGCTGCCTGTGGACTCTCTGGGGCTGGATGGTGGGCGGAGCTTAGAGAAAAGTAAGAGCAGGGACAGCCTACCGGCATACTCCCCCAAACCGCTCCCCCCCTCAGTCCCTCCTGATGATTACTTTCAGTGTTCGGGTTCATCTGAGGCAGTCCTCACAGCTGCTAACTCGCTCGGAACTTTGGGTAAGAGCAGCCATGAGGGGTTGAAAATGGGCGGGACTGACAGACTGATGGACAGGCAGACGTCCCACCCCCTGGACAGTAAGGAGGACTTGTCAAAGGTGGGGCCTAAGGGAGGCAGCCTCCCTCCAATACCTCTGTCTATCCCTGACCCACCACTGGCTAACGGCCGGCCCCCTCACAGTGCCTCCTCTGGTCAGGAGAAACGTAAGGAAATCTTTAGTAAAGACACTCTCTTCAAACCTCCCCCCAGCCTCCCTCTACCTGGGTACAGCTCCCTGAGAAAACCCCCCACCCTCGTCTCCTCCAACCTGTCCTCCTCCTGCGATGCTCTTGATTCTCAGGAGGCCTTCGATGCCCCTAAACCACTGGTTGCCACATCGTCTGCCCCTCCACCAGGGATTGAACCTACACCCGGAGCAGCAGAGGCCTCCTTTGACTACTACAATGTGTCTGACGATGAGGAGCTGGAAGAGGGCGGCGCCAAGAGTCGAGGGGAAGATGATAAGTCAGGAGGAGGTGTTGTTGGAAGAGGAGGGGGAGGAGCAGGGACCATGCAGTGGCTCCTGGAGAGGGAGAAGGAGCGAGACCTTCAGAGGAGGTTTGAGAGGACTCTGGCCTTCCCTGGTGCTAAAGAGAACCTTCCAGAACCCGCTCAGAATCAGCAGTCAGCTCACTCTGCTCGACTGGACAGTATGGACTCCAGCTCAGTCACTGTGGACAGCGGCTTCAACTCACCACGGTGAGAACACACACATCAAACACAATGTTCACAATCACTGCTATACGTACACAAAGGAAGGTATAATCGATAGTATCATCAGCACAAGACCTCAATCATCTGTTAATTTTCTAAAACCTCCATTCCAAAGTTATTGAGATGCTGAGTTTGAGTTCTCCTTTGCTATCATTTGGTTTCATGATTCACTTCAAGTTTTTTACAAATGAAAAATCAGGACTGCAGGGAGGTCAGTTTAGCACCAGGACTGTCTTGTACTACAGAGCCATGCTGTTGTAATAAGTGCAGAATCTGGTTTGGTATTGTCTGCTGAAATACGTTTCCCATTGTGTGTCAGCAGCTCTTTTTTTTTTTTTTTTTTTACAACGGACTCATGGGTTCCCTGAGTGAATTCTGGCCCAGATTTTACTTTTGTTATCACTGATAACATGTAAGAGCAGGAAAGCAGGAAAGAGAGAAAAGCAGTTGTTAAAGCTGCTAAACTGAAGTCTGTTTTTTGATTTTTAGCTTATGTTATATGGACACTTGTGATCCCCATACCAACAGGGAAGCTGATTTTGAACTGTGAGTGAATATCAAGCTGTGTGGGCCCTCTCCTCTTAAGCGCAGAAGAGGAGGGGGCCCACATGCTGTCTTTGATTTCCAAAAAGATTGTCAGATTTTGATTTGTCAGATAGCAGGACATATTTCCTCTTCTTCTCTGTATACCTTAAATGTTCCCTAATAACAAGTCAGGAGTTCCTGTCCTCTTTGGAACCAAGGGTTTAGTGTCCATGATTCCCAAAAGGAGAACAAATTCTTTTATCACATGGAACTAGTCTAAATTTACCACAAATTTAAAGCTACTGTCTACGATCTGAAAACCAGTTTGGCTGTTGAAACAGATTTGAAAAATGCAGCCTACCCCCCCTTTACTCACCCTTCCCCTCCGTGTTCCAAGATCCCGCCCCCCCAGCTCGTGTTGCCTCCTAACAATACGCCCCCTCCGATAGAGCAAGAAGCCGGTCAGCAGAAAATATCAGCAGTGGTACACAGTGGTAGCCATTTTAATTGGACCGGTACGATCAAAACCATATATTGGCGGGGCGAAGCGGGTCTGGCGTGGCCACTGCTAGCTGCTCAGACCAGAGACGATTGTGGGCGAGGCTTTACCTTTCTCGGCGTGTCTTCACCAGCTCAGTTTACAATGCTAAAGATGTGTGGCTAACTTATGCTCAAATCTATTGACAGAGCCTACCCGTTCCGACCAACAACATTCAGTCATTAGCCGGTATCAGCACAGACTAACCAGAGTTATTCAGCAGACATCTCCCTCTGTAGTAAACAAAGTAATTAACCTGTTAGACAGAAATTCATCTGTCTCAGTGTCAGTTTTCAATCCCAAATCCTTCTGCAGCTTTTTCCACCGGTCGTACGTTTCTCCAATGTAGACTCTCCGTTGGCACCTGTATCACTCACTTCTTCCTTACTTCAGCCTTTTCCTCGAAACTTTTACGTTTCCTTCCCTCCGATGTGAAGGGTAACAGAAGCGGCCTCCTGGTTTCGGTGTTTGTCTTCTCCGGTTCCATTACACTTCAGCAGCTGTGCAGCTCGCTAATCACATGTCAGTGATTAGTTGGTCGATTATTATGCCTTTTTGCAGAGGATATACTGAATGGATTTTTTTCGTTCTTTTTGATCTCGATATTGCGTAGATCGGACCATAGGACCATAATGGCCTTATAAACAGTGTTATTAATAAGCACCAAGCTTCCAAATGGTAGACAAAAGCTTTAAGCAGTCGAATTGTAACCATAAAAAGCATCTTTACTTTTAGATACATGTTATTGTAGGTCAGTATAATAATCACATTGTAAGAAGCTGAGAAGTTGGACAGTTGTCTTAGCTTTGGTGCCTTCATAATTTATTGTGATCCAAAACTCACACAGAAATTCAAGTAAGCAATAATAGAATCATATAGTGAAATGTGAATGTGATGTATCACAAAGAGGCTACAGAGAGATCTTGTATTATCCAGCTGCTCTTTTTTCTGCTTGTGACTAACACCCCCTGTTGTCTGTTTCTCTCATGTTGTTATTTAACACTGTGTTGCTGTATATTGTGTTGTTATGTTGTCTGACATCTGTGTGTGTGTGTGTGCAGGACGAGGGAGAGTTTGGCGTCAAACACCTCATCCATCGTAGAGAGTAACCGTCGACAGAACCTGGCTCTGAGCCCCGGACACCTCGGCATCACCTCCGGAAATGGCCCCCCCTTTTCCTTCAGAGCCATCCCAGAACCCTCCGGAACCCAACCAGAGAAACTCCAGAAGCCCAGCGCCTGCCTCGCGTCAATCACCAGCGTGTAGGGGGTGGGGCTAAGGGCTGGGAGGAGCGCCGAGATCTGATGGACAGAAAAATATAAATCCACCCCCACCTGATAACCCCCCAAAAGGACTGTTACACCTTCAGACTGACGGACTGTCTGAGTCAGTGCAACTGTAAACACATACATACACACACAAACACACACTCTCTCTTTTTCTCTCTCTCTCTCTCTCTCTCTCTCTCTCCTTTTCTCTCTCTCTCTCTCTTACACACACAGACACACACACACACACACACACACACACACACACACACACACCGACAGCAGACACACACCGGGCAGACTCTGACCATGTCATCTACAGCCTCCAGTTTACACACCGCTGTTGTGTTGTTTCACTTATGTGGGTATTAGTTCTGTGTGTGAATGTGTGTGTGAGTGAATGTTTGAGTGTAATCTGTATTCTCAGGTCATGTTATTTCCCATCCAGCTGCTCTAGATCAGCATGTCTCCCCCTGCTGGTGTCTCATGGTATCACACGCTTAAGAGGCGCTGCTCTGCTGACTACTGATGCAAATAATACACATGCACACACATGCACACACAGGAGACCTGTTCACACACCTGTTGCTAACATGAGTCTGCAGCTCTTCTCTCTGACCAGACAAACCTTTTTTATGTTTAAATCATCAGATTATTAAGTGATGCAGACCTTTTCTGTTCCTCATCAGGTCTCAGGAAAATCCTGTTCTGATAAGTAAAATGACATTTTTACTGAATCAATACAGGATGATATGTGTCCTGTGTATTTTTGCTGACCTGGGACAGCTTTAGGTGTAAGCGATCAAAATTTGCATTATCATGCATCTCCAGCTGCATATGGAGGGACCACTCATGATCAGATATTAACTTCCTACTTTAGAAGCAAAAATCAGAAATTAGTTGCTTGAGACTATATGAGTCCTACAAAGGAGGGTCTGCTGTGGTTTCTAGTCGAGTCTATGACGTTCATTAGGACACGTGCATACACACTATTGGAGGATTGAGGACAGATGAGTCTTAGATTCACCCTTAGTTTGTCCTGAGTGTGTTCACACCTGTGGTTAGGGCTGTGAGCTGGTCACTAAAATCAGATGTCAGTGCTAGGTGTGAAGGCAGTCAATGTGCTCTGAGGAATCAGATTTGGAGATCATTTCTTTACGTGTGCAGCTCAGTCTGATAATTGAAGCTCATTTTTAGGGGGAGTGTATACAAACAGCCCGATTCTTCACCGTGATGTTTACCTGCCGGCCCTCAGCAATGAGAAAATGTCAGTAAGAGGGACCTGTAAGGATGATGGCCTTAGAGGTTGTTCTGAAATTTTCAAACTGGCAGTGCATGTGTGAACGTGATGTGTCTCTTGTGCATTTGGTCTCTTTGAACTCATATTAGTACCAGGTGTGTTTGAGATGATCTGATGTAGAATGAAGCAGAGCGGCTTTCTTGCCTGTTGACCCCGTGGCGACCTCTTGCAGGGGTCAGATGTCTGATGTCATGCTCATTTTAGTGGTAGAGCTTCCAGTTTCATCTCTGTGACTCTTCATGTTCACACAGTGAATCAACTGAGTCAGGATTCAGCTCACACACTGCTGTCAGAAACTGTAACTAGTTTCCACTCTGAAGAGTGGTGTGTTATTGATCTCTGAGTGAAAACTTACCTGTCACTACAAAGAGGGAACATAAAGAAAAGTATTTACATAAATAAAAACTACAAAAGATGTTAAATTAATCAGAATAAAGACAGTTAGACACAGATTATATGTTAGCTTCCACAGTATAAGTAAATATATGTACAGTGTATAGAAACCTTTATTTATTAACCGTTTAAATCAGATATTTAATGACATGCTGCTTTTGTTACTGACTTTACACACAGAAAATAGAAATGAGTTTATCTTGTTAGTTTATAGAGTCACATCACAGTACAGTTCATATAATCATCACTGAGGAAATAGACACCATTACAACATGTAAACATATATATTTATGCTAACTGCTAAAAGAGCTGCAACCCTAATCCTGATAAAATCAGGATGCTGTGTGAACTTCAGTGAAACATTCTGTTTGATTCATTTCTATAAATCACTGAACAAAAATATTCAAAGCTCAAACTTCTGAACCATCCCCAGTTCTGTGGATATTTACACATTCTGAAAAAAGTGACACAGCACCCTGAGTTTAATAGGATTGTTACAGGTAAAATCCTCAACAGGCCATGAACTTAAAAAACAGATCTCTACTAAAAAAAGGTGAAGAAAGATGATTGACCTTAGTTTATTTGTTAAACTTGTCCAGAAAGGCCTGACAGCGAATAACAGAGCAGGAAAAGATGCAGCATTTGGCTCTCAGTCTGTAGTTTAAAGCTTTAAGTCATTTATGATTCTTTTGTTCCAGATTACATTCATGTCACATTTCTTTTCTTAGATATGGGACCTTTTTAACTTACACCAAGTCTGATTTTAGTCCTGAGATGCCTGCAATTCAGAGAGAAACATGCTGATCTAATGTCCTGTGTAGCCCTGCCAAAGATCACCAGAAAAACACTGAATTTTAACATGAAACGGCTTTATTCAGTGTTAAACCTTTATTTATCAGCAGACATATTTGTTTAAGAAAGACGCAGATCTCTGCAGGTAATTTGACCTCTCATGAACTTTGGTCATGAGTGAAAATTAGCTGCTGGACATGTGGATATAAACGCTGTGTCCCCACTAAGCGGTCCTGTTGGGTTCCTTTCGATGTTCTTTGGGTTTCTGTCATGAAAAATACAAAAATAACTGATTTGTATGGTCCCACTGTTTTTTGGGGTACCAAATGTACCAACCAGACTTCAAGCATGGAGATAAACACTGAAGTATTTTGATTGAGAGGAGGGGGAAGGGGAGATCATACCGACATCAGCTGGGCAAAGAGAAGGGCACATAGATTGATGCAAAGGGAGAAAGAGAAGAGTTGAGATGAGTCCAAATGGGCCATGATTGGTTTGAGGGTAATTAGAGACAATAATTCAATTAGCAAATATCAGCAGTAGCTTTGGACTCTGGCTTTTTGCTATGAAAAATATTGCAGAAGTAATATATTTTTCATATTTATGACACAAACATGAAAACAAAGTCATAAGAGCCCCACTCATGTCTCAAAAATCGGCTGGCCTTCTGTTCTTTTAATTATTATCCACATTTTAGACATGCCGCTCATGCTGCAGTCTGAACAGTCTAATGCATTCACCTGAATGTCACAATGAAAATGTGGTCATTCTGAAACCATCATGCAGCAGATGTGCTTTTTGCATGAAGTCCTGGGGTAAAGTTGTCCGTAGAAACACATGCTGGATGCAAGATCAGGGTTTACGCCCTAGACCGGACCGCTTGGTTAAAACGCAGGATAAGATTCAATCACTTTCTGACCAGTTTCACAGAAAAAAGATTTGAGAAAAAGACCAAAAGTCAGTCTGAAGTTTTTAACAGAGGTGCCAGATCTGAATCCTGAAGTCAGGGGAAGGTGATTCTGCAGAATAACAGAGTTAAATTGAGTGTGTGTGAATACACACCTGAGCAGCTGAGTGTCTGACAGAGTGTGTGTGAGGTGTGATCCAGACCAGTGATAACACACAAGACAGGATGTGACTTCATATTCAGTATTTCTTCATTAACACACACCTTTACCATCATTAGACATACTTATCATCACCACACACACACACACACACACACACACACACACACGTCAGTCCCGTCCATGAATACTTGAGTTTCTCTCCAAACTGACTCGTTCCCTGAGCCGCTCTCACTCCTGGTGCTATGATGTGTTGTGGTCAGTGGCGGCCATGATAAAAGTCATAATAATTGAGTGATGATGTAATGAATTACAGTGTTAAATGGCTCCTCAAACAGGTGAGCAGATGAGCAGGTTAGCTTTCAGCATCAGCGTGAACAGGACTGCACTCGGACTGATGGACCTCTGACTCTGACTGGGGAACGTGTGAAAAAAGACTCGTTCAAAAACATGACCTGACCTGAGCTGAGCTGGAGTCGCCTGTCTCATAAGATCCTGCAGTCCTATAGGTCAATCATGTTCCGCCCTCCTATAGGCTCAGGGAGCTGTCAATCATCCCGGTGTGGTCGTCGTCTTCTTGGCTCCTCTACAACTACCTCCACAGCAGCAAAAACACAGCCCGTCCTCTCTGCTAACACACTGTCATCAGCCTCCAGCCTGTGAATGTCTACACACACACACACACACACACACACATGAATACACACACTATCTATCTACACATCAAAGTGCTGGACTCCCTGTTGCCCCTCCCCCTCTCTAACATACTTTCTTCTGATGGTAAATGACGGTTTACGGTCAAGCTGCAGATCTTAAAGGTACACAGAGAGCATCATTTAGCCTTAAAGGGTTCAGTATGTTCGACACACTTTTATATGAATCCTTGTCTGTGGTCTGTTCTACCTGTCCCCGATTCCACACCTGACCGTACCTGATTTATCACCCGTGGGCGGGGTTTAATCTCCTCCTGGCTGCATCAGAAAGCTCTTGAGATCTGAAAGGTGTACCGGCCCTTTAAGAGTGCCTCAGTAAAGAGTGTTGCTGCTATTGAACCCAGAAGTTGTTGCTCTGACTTGAAGCTCGTTTTAAGACTTAAAAAGTTTTTAGTTTATTGTCACAGATTTTCCTCCTGAGTGGTCTACTCTGCAGCTAACCTCTCTTTGCTTGTGTGCAGTCACCCACACTGACTAAAGGGGTTATTGATGTGGTGTTGGTCAGTTTATGGGTTTAGTGAAACCATAGACTATGTACAAGAAATGAACATTACATTTAGGAGTGTAGAGTTTGTCATTTTGGGTCCTTGAAGCAGGATGTTAATGAATTGGGTTTAAGAGACGAGCCAAACGGGAAAAATGTACTTTTTCTTCCGCTTTTCCAAATGGGCATATTTCACCCAGTGAAATGCTCATAGAAAAATGAGCAAATTGTGCCCTTGGTTCAGATTATTTCTGATAACAAAGGATGAAAGGGTACATTTTTTTTGTTGGATAACATGATATGAGGTACTGCTATGTCCACAGGGGGCACCAAACTCAAAACAAATCCAAGATTCTTACTGAAGCTTTAAACCATATGGAGAATATAAACAGTAAATCCTCAGAGCGCCTTTTGGTAGGACTGAATGTAGGCCGTTATTGTAACGACCTTTCATTCCCAAGTGTCCCCTGTCGAATTCCCCCGTTTTCTGGCCTTTTGGCCTTTAAATAAAATGTAAATGTACTTAATATCTTCATGCTGTGTTGAAGAAGAAGAGATTTAGACCATAAACTCATGAGAAATGCATTAAACCGTTTTCTCATAGATGTTAGTGTCACCCCCTGCTGGATATCCAAAAGAACATGGTTCTAAACCACCAAAACAAAGAGGCTACGTCCACTTCTTGGTCACAGTCTATGGTTGAAAAACGTAGCACCACAGAGAGTCAGACTCTTGAGAATGTTTATCTAAACCCCTTTGAATCCCAGTGAAGACCTATTCCAGATGCCTCAGTTTGAAGAACTACAGGAGTAGAGCTCTACTCTCTGACCTTTTGTTGGGTTTCAGTCCTGATTTGATCCCTGCACCTGTTTCTGTTTATTACCACTACAGGAGGGTCAGTCCTGATGAGTGATCACTACAGTGAAGAGGTCAGTCTGATTCGAACCACTACAGTCAGGGCTCCTCTTCCTCCATTGAACAGCACTGTTTTTTATTCTTTGCCCTCTGAGAATATAACCACTACTCTGTCAGCAACCTAAGTTTCAAACCACAACGACTCATTTTAAGTTTGCTCCACCAATAACTCGGATTAAAACCTGTTCTTAAAGCGTTTGGGGGGTACCGTGTTGTTTGAAACTTTAAAACATCTCAACACTTTGGCTGCATTGAACAGAAGCAGTCTGCATGGTGCAGGGTTGGAGGATAGATGGTGGTACAAGACGCATTAACTGCTGCAAACTTGTGACCCATATCACCTGTCCAGTTTAAAGTTTAATCAGATAGTCGCGGGAAGTTCATCTTAATTGTGCGCCTAATTAACCCCCAAAGGTCCTGAATTGACCCTAGTTCCTTGTGTCTGAATATAACTGATAAATTACAGTCAAAATCAATAGTTCTATGAAAAGAAACTATGACAAATGGAGAATTACTACAATCATACCATTTGGAGCAGGGGTTTATTTTGATACAAATTTCAGTGCTTAATGATCCATCCTATGTGCTCAGTCTGAAAAACTACCCAGACAATATTGTGTTCAGTGCAGCCAAAGTGTTTTTCCCTCTGTCCTCTGGTCAGAAACTGCATCCTCTTTCTGATTGGACAGCAGGTTTCTGACCCTGCAAGTCAAGTTCAGTCTGAAAAGCCTCCACCAAACACCCTCAAGAGGTTCAACGAAGTCCAGTGTTTGTATTCAAATTAAATCAAGACCCAGAAGACTAAAGATCTTTGCACACAAATTTAAGGACTCTGTTCCTACAAGTACAGAATTTTCAGTTTCTCTTGTACCACTAACTTTGGGTCGAACCACTACAGTGTCAGTTCCTGTTGGAGCAGAGTTCAGGGTTTCTGGTCTGCAGCCAGATGGAGGTCCTGCTTCTATCCCTTATATCTGTTTGCACTGCCCCCTCCCTCCCTCCCTCCCTCCCTCTAATCATCCTCTCTACAGTCCGGCACACAGACCCCCCCCCCATCCTTTTCTACAGACGGTCCATGAAATGTCTTCCCGTGACAATTGCGCGGTGTTTCTACAGTCGGAGGTTCAACAACAATAACATTGTTTCTAACGGTGACGGTATGTCATACTGTAAATGATGTTTATCTGTCATGCCTAGTCAAATAATTTAAACAATAAAAAGAGGGATTTTTTAAATGTCTATAATATCTGAAAGTCCCTTTGATGTGTAGTTCTGGTGTTACTGTTGTTGTAGTGTATGTGATACCCTGTGGGGTTTGTGTTACTTTTTAAGATAATAAAATAACAATGTTTGATTAAAACATTCTCCTGTGTCTCTATGCCAACACGAGTGGATTGTCTTTTATGAATAACTGTCATGGTGCCTCAGAGAGGGGTGAAGATCAGCACGAATGAGTGACAATTGAATTGGTGAGATCAAAAAGGAAAATGTAGTTTATCATGAAAAACTTCAATATTTCCTGTCCCTTTTACAAGAAAGTAAAAGTTCGATATATATAGAGTACATTAATAGATAATAATGAGGGTATAAGTAAGCAGATTTTCCAGAAGTTAGACATTTGTGTATTTTAAATTTTTATTGATCTGGGGAAAAGGTTGTACAATTTGTAATGAACTTTGAGCCAAAATAATTAAAATCAAAACAAAAAAGAGGCTTGACATATTTCACTTCACAGCTAGTGTAAAAGCATGAAAGTTTAGCTTTATGAAATAAGGTATAAAAAAAACACTTTATTATATTATTTCTATAAAGTGTCTTGCACAATGATTCAATGTTTTTTTTTTAATAAAAAAATTTTGATTAAAATTTTAATTTTTTAAACTCAAAATACCTAAATCTTGCATTTTTTATACATCCTTGCTCTCTGACAATACATTTTACTATAAATATTGTTTATCTATTAATATTGTTTACTATAAATGTTAATGTAAGTCTGAATCCACATCCAAGCTTTCACATTTCTGTCACTTCTAATAATTGAACTTGTAATTATACAGTTTAGCCTCTAGGTGGGGCTGCTGCATCAGAGATGATCCTATCTATAGGACAAAAAGGAACCCCTGCTGCAGCTGCCTGTCTGAAGCCTGAGTGAAACCATGGTCTAAAACTGCAGACTGGAGGTCAGAAGTAACAAAAACTAGAAAATTCCCTCAAGGAAATTTTGATAGGGCCACAAGGGCAAGTGCCAGGGTGTACATTATGATGAGATTCAGAGATTTCAATTCATTAATACTAGTAGCATTGTGATATTATATACAAGAAACACAACAACAACATGTTTTTTTTCGTTTTTTAATATTTAGTTATACAAATAAATGTTTTTTGAAAAATCAGAGCTGGAGCAGTAGACATTTGAAACACTCCAATAATTGCTCCTTTTTTTTGGCTTGTCCCATTGACTTCAATGCAATATTTATGTATAGGGGACAGAGCCTCAGTGCGTTTGCACTGTGGCCCTTATTACATTAAGTTTATGCAACAAGGCAATATCTGCCATGTTGACTGTTCTTTTTTAAGACCTCTGCAATTTGCCCTGGCATGCTGTCAATCAACTTCTGGGCCAAATCCTGACCAATGACAGCCCATTCTTTCATCATCTATCCTTGGGTTTCAGCCTTATCCTCATCAACACTTTCACCTGTATGAACAAGAGAATCAATGAAATGATGTTAGCAGGTCCTTTTGTGGCAGGGCTGAAATGCAGTGGAAATATGTTTTTTTTGTGGATTATGTTCATTTTCTTTGCAAAGAGGGATTTTGAAATTAACTGCAATTCATTTTGACCACTCCTCATAACAGCTGCTGCAGATTTGGTGAAAATTAATATTTGTGTAATTCTCAAGACTTTTGGCTGCAGCTGTGGAGACTTTGAAACTAAAAACTTCTCTATTCAGTCTGGCTCTGATGTAGGGTTTCATTATTTCCACTCCACTGTTTATTTCACTCTGCACAAAAGAATGAGTCTGCAGGTCTTTGGTGTCCATGAAGGACCATTAAAAAGCCAAAGAGCAAGTTGCATGAAAAGAGATCACAATCAGCTGTAGCGACAGAAGGGAAGTTTAGTCTAAAATACAAACTACAGTAACAAAACAAACACCACACAGTTTCTGCTTCTTAAATGATATCATACCAGTCATCAGTGTTGTTCCCTGGCAGAATTATGCTTAATATTCCACCTGAGTACATAGACTTTTAACAGTCACTATTCCTACATCCATTATAGTTTTCATACATCCCATGTTTGATCCCAAGTTTGGTCATTGCACTTTTTGGACTTTGATTTGCATTTGATTTGAGTGAATGAAGGTGCATTAAAAGGTGCAGCAATAGACCAACAACTTTAGTGTACCTCAAGGTAAAAGAGCTGTTTTTGTAAATATTGTCTGGTGGCTTTGAGGAGATATTTTGATATTTTGGTAAGGTGCATTAGAAAGCAGGTGTTATTTTTTAAAGCTGTCGTCTGAAGCAATATAAGAATAAAAATAAGATTTTTATTCATCTCCAATGGTAAATTCATTATTATTATTATTATTATTATTATTATTATTATTATTATTATTATTTATTAATAATAATAATAATAATAATAATAATAATTTATTTGATCACTTCATAATTTCTTGATTTTTTTCCTCTACTTTTGCCTTTCAAAGTCCGTGACTCAATTCTACAGACTACTTTTAATTTGTTAATTAAAGTCATTTAGTTCGCGTGTCTGTGATTGTATTTTGAAGGTCGCACCCCTCACACGCACACGTGGGTGTCGTGTTAGTGTGTCGCCCCCCACGCACAGTATAACCCCTCCCCCCGCATAAAAAGACACCAGACTCCCTCAGCTGTCTGCATATTCCTCCAGTGAGCCTTCTCTGTGCGGTGTCTGCGAACAGAACCCGAGGACAGTACGTCATGTCCCGCAGTCAGAGCCCCGCGTACTCCCCGCAGATGGGAGCTCTCTTCCTTCTGCTGCTGGTCGGTGCGGGACGGCCGAGTCTCGCGGGAAAACCGTTGCTTGCGTTTCTAATTGATGGATTCAGGTATGACTACTTGGACGACCTGCACGCTCTGCCGGGATTCAAAGAGCTCGTGACCAATGGAGTGAAGGTGGACTACATGACTCCGGATTTCCCCAGTTTGTCCTATCCGAACTACTACACCCTGATGACAGGTAGGACATGTAGCCTGTCAATCAACCTGTCAATCAATATATGTATCTTCCTAATCAACTTGCAACTTGTATGATGTCTGTACTGTCCTCATATCAACACATTAAACCGTGTAACCATACAATACTACCAGAGAAAGAAACTAGATCAATAACGTATGTGAACACAAATGATCAATAAATGAAGAGCCTGATATCAGTGATATATCTTACAATCAAAAGCCTCTACTAAAACAACAATTTAACAAAGTAAATCTGCTTAGCCTCCAGAACATCAGACTCTCTCTGCTCTGCTCAGCTGTGTGATACAGGAGTTCGTGCAAGGGCGAAGAAAGTTTTTAATCTAGAAATTTTGGAAACACAATAATTCAAAGTGTTCTATTCAAGACAGTAAAAGAAACCTAACAAAGGTCAGAAAAACCTAGCCAACCATCATAAATCAGTCTACCATAAATCTGTTATGCACATGCTCAGTTCTGCTGGATTGTATAAAACATATCATTTCACATTGTTTGTCTTATTGGTAATACAATATCAATTCATTTATCATAATCCATAATTAGATTATTGTAACACTGCATCATATCAAATATGGAATTTTATGGTTTTGCGTCATATCTGTCATATCATATATCATATAATATGATGTATAAACGAATAACATGTATCATCTCATGTATCATCTTTTGTCACAAAGTGTAAATGAACAAACCCTGTTAAATTACATCATCTCATATATCACACCTCATATTTCATGGCATATCGTTCATAATTACTCGACAGTGTAAATTGACAAATACTTCCACATATCAAACTTCATCATGTCATACTATATTGTGTTTTTTTAAACATATCATAGCACATCAGAAGGTTTCATTTATCATATCATGTAACGTTACATCCCTGATTCTGACCTCAACCCTCTGACAGCACTGACATATGAAACACAATCTCAGAGGAATACTCAGTCTTAATTGTGATTGTCAGGTTTGCTTTTGTAGCTCTGATGGCAATTTCATGTCTGATTACAACCAAAATACTTCACTCAAGCTGTAATGACTGAAAGGGTAGGTTGTAAAATGAAAAGAAGTGAAAACAAAGATGAAGAAATAAACACTTTCAATGACAAAAAAGTTCTTTCAGAAAAAGCTTGGAGAGGAGACATTAGATCGATATCTGTCTGAGGTTAAAAGCAGGGATTTATTATGACAGCCTGGATGATAATAAACCTTGTTTTATTTCTGTTTTGATGAGCTGTTCATTTTTCCATGTGTCTCTGGACTCTCTGAACCCAAAGGTCCAAACTTAATCACCTTGTGAAGCTGAGCCCAATGGGTTCAACATAAGTTTAATCTGATTTGGCTGTAAAACATGAAGCTTTCAGGGTTTATTGTTTTTTCATTTTAGTTCCCGTCCATATTAACTTCTCCATCAGCTTAGTTTTAGTGTTTAACCTCTTTGACTCACCTCAGCCAACTTTTTAATGAACATTAAAATGTTTCAGACCGATGACTTTTTAGAATAGAGAAAATCTCTAGACTATAATTGATCCGCTGCTCACTTACAAACAGAAACCTGAAAGCTTTACAAGCTGCATTCATCACCCATGCAGACTGAGCCTTTTTCACAGTCACAACTCCTCTGCCTCTACATGACCCCTTTAGTTTCTGTGCATACTGCCCCTCACTTCCACATCACATTTTTGAGGACATGCATAGCTGCGCCCCAAACCAAATGCATGAAAAGCATGAGAGCTATTATGCTATGCATCCATGTAATAAATACGAGTCAGTAAGTCTGTTCAAGCTAAATCAAGGGTTTGCTAGCTAAACTGAGAACACTCAGGAAACTGCAAGTGTCAATCAGTCCTGTCACATTCAACATCAGAAGGCTTCTGCAGGATCAAACATGATACTGGAAAGAGTATGTAACAATTTTATCACTGGCCTTAAAGTCCCACACAGCCCCACTCCATTTTTTTTGAATAATTAAAAATGTTCTCAGTGGTCTTTAAATTGCGATTATGAAGTTTTTAGCCAAAATAACCTTACCTGTGTCATTTTCAAGAGCTTTTTCTTTTGCAGAGCTCCAGTAGCTCATAAGCAATTCGCCTCTGAGTTGTGGGTGGAGACAGCACTGCTCTGCACACTCCTCTTCATGCTAGCTTGCAGCCGAACATTGCCGGTGTAGTAGAAGAAGCAGGAAACATTAGGAGCTATTTAGCTCTCTAACTCATGTTTTTGGGGGCATTATGAAAGCTAATACCATAATCAGCGTTCTTACCACACACACTTGTCCCGCCATTGTCCTCGCTACTTCTCGGGGTCTGGCCTGCAAAGTGGAGAGCTTGGGGTGGAGCTTGGACTTTTGATGTAGAAAATCCCACTGTGTCTGAACCTGCTGTTTGGGTCTGCCAGAGGTTCACAGTGTTTGAATGCAGAAATACTCAAAAATGCAGTTTTGCATTTCTCATGATGTTTCCTCTAGCAACAGAAAAATGCCATACGACCATGAAGACAACAAGAAAAACACGATTTTCAGCGGGGTGGATCTATAAACATTCATAATAAAGAGGCTGCAGGTTTAAGTCCAGGTCAGCTGATTCAGACAGGTGTTTTTTCACAGGCAGCTCCTTAAGGTAATGCGGGGTCAGATCAGGAGTGCAGAGCATGTGGAAGAGGCTGCAGTGAAGTGGTTTTATAGCCACTTCAGACAGATCTACAGCTCTACAGACCTAATGCAACCTATTTTCCTACTGACACAGATTTCTTACTTTTTCTCTGCTGACAGATAACAGAATATTATTTTTGTGTGACCTTCACATATTTACTCCCAAATGAAGAGCCCTCCCAGAATATTTCAGATAACCTCAGTGAAAAACTCTACTTCTGTTTGACTCATTGCTAAAGGTGTTGAATCATTCTTGTAGACACGGGTCTGTGGTTTGAAGCTCATAACTTACCACCAAAATGCTGCAGACTTTATCAGCCCTGTGTTCAGCAATGCTTCAGCTGTAAATGTAAAACAGCTGTAAACTGTTTTACTGTGGGCGTATCATTTATCACTCAGTCACTTTATCTGTGTCAGTGAATTTGACACTGTATTTGTGATGATTGGGTGCTGTGGGATTGTTGTACATCTTATTGTACTTGGCTGTATACTGAGTGAAGAGCATTAATGAGTAACTGATGATGATAAGAGTGCTGCAGGCCTGCAGGCTGTCTGTATGTAAACAGAAAAAGAAACAAGGCGTAGACAAAGACAGGACACCCAGAGTCAGAATTTAAAACATGAACTGATGCTTTGTAGCGTTCGTGAAGCTGCAGGCTTATTTATGAGCTCTGATTCAGCTGCAGAATACATTTGACTTCAGCCTTTTCCAAAGAATACGAGTGTTTTGGAGAGAAGTGGAGAGTGTGGCTCGTGTGTTTCAGAGAATGAGAAGAGGTGTGTGTAGGTGTTGCAGTGAGTGTGTGTGTCACTCTGAGGTGTTCAGTGTTAGCTGTCGGCTGTTTGTTAGTTTCATAATGGAAACAATGGTTGAAAACACAGCATAGACTCTTCAACAGTTCACAGTCGGTGTGTGTTTGTGAGCTTTCACAGTGTCACTGAGCTCGGTTCACTCTGATTTATTTTAGTGTGAAAAATTTCCCCTCAAAGCAGCTTCATTCCAGTTTTACTCAAATGTGTGGTTCCTGTCCACATTTTACAAACCCAGATTTATGAGGCAGTGTGTGTGTGTGTGTGTGTGTGTGTGTGTTTATGACAGTAGCAGAGTGTATAATTGTAACCATATGGAGGAGAATAATTAACCCAGCTGTCATTAGGTCCGGTGGGGAAAAAACACTCTGACTGGAACAGATTATACTCTGATTATATATTAAAGCACACTATTCTGAAAGCTGCTGGGTCAATTTATCAGAGATGAAGCGATTCATCCCGACCCCCTCCTTTTATTCATAGTTTTTTTTCTGGATGTCTCTTAGTATAGTAAAATTTCTAAGAACATTTATGATTATCAACCAATGACTGTGTCTGCTCTGATTACACTGAGCTTAAACTGGCATTTTTGACTTCTCTCCTTTCACTGTCCCCACCTAAAATCCAGAAAACACTCACAGGTCCTTGTATGATCTAAATTGGTGCATGGATTTATATTACAGTAGCATCATTTTTTAAAAACACAGGACATGGTGAGAGTATCAGACAGAATCTAATGATGACGGACATTGCTTTTTGCTTTATGAGCATGTATGACAAAGAGCTTGGTGACCTCTCAGGCTGCAAACACAAAACCTGACTGAAATCACAGCAGCTGTGCAAAATTAAAGATTGAGCAGAAAAGAAAGAAATATGCCGTACATGTGTTAAGACTCATTATTACACTTTCCCATCATTACTACACATTAGATTTGACCCTGATATCCAAACATCATCTATACTTCTGTCCTATTCAGGGTCCCATGAGGGCTGGAATCTATCCCAGCTGTGACTGGGTGAGAGGTGGGCCACACACTGAAGCATTTGTCAGTATTACAGAGCTGACACACACACACACACACACACACACACACACACACACACACACACACACACACACACACACACACACACACACACACACACACACACACACACACACACACACACAGTCAATTAAGAGTGACCAATTAACCCGAAGAGCATGCTTTTGGACTGTGGGAGGAAGCCAAAGTTTCGAGGGGAGAATGTACAAACCCCACACAGAAAGACCCCTGCCTGTCTGCCGGGTCGGGGTTTTGAGCCCTGACAACATCAAACTGGAAAGGAAAACACAATTCAAAGCAACAAGAACGTCTAAGTGCAACAGTTTAAAGGTTCTGGTGTTTGTGGTGATAATGTGTAACCAGTCTGTCACATGAAACCTCACAGAAAAACACTATGGGAGTGTGTTTTGAGCCTCTCTGAAGTGTGTATGGCGTGGTGAATTAAAAGCTTTTAAGCATGGCTTTGCTGGATATTAATGAAGAAGAACCGTTTGATTTCCTGGTAAACATGACAGTAGTAGCCCACTAACGCCACAGCACATAAAAGAAGCTCTGTTTGTCTGTTTTTAAAATGTACAGAATAAAGCTTCATATTGAAAAATACTCACCTACATGTAAGCTGGACCTCAGAGGCTTCAGATCCTGAGTCCAGTGAGGCTGAATTTAAGAGCATTTAAAAAAAAGACACCAATGACATGTGGTAAACAGCTAAAGTCGTGTTATTTGGGACCTTTCAGATAAAACAGACCTTTGATGTGCTGTGATGCTCATATAAGACAGAGAATCCTATCATTACAAACCCTGTGATGGTTCAGGCTCTCAGAATTAAAGCATTATCTGTAGTTTTCCCAGAATATTTCTTTGCTTCTATGTATTTCCACGTCACACTTATCAGCTGACATCATTGCCAGCTGATTGACTGTCTGTGACTCATACAGTAAAACAAACTGTGACTGTACAAGTTAAATGTCAGGAAATACCATCAACACGTCAGCCCAACAATCTACACAACTGCTGCTTTTGAATTCTTCTATATTCAGCTTTTTTGTGTTTAATGATTACACTCAAAGCCTAGATCAGATTAGATAAGTAGAGTTGTACCTAATCTGATCAGATAAATAGAGTTGTTTCTAATCTAATCTACACTGTGTCATAAAAACTCACTCTGATAGTCTTAAAACGATGTTTAGCACCTCTGACCTCCTCTGTGCAGAAAACAGGGAAGTATCCTGGAGTGTTATCATATGAAATGTGAATTATTTGATCTGTGTTCTCCTGATCCAGCTGATCTGAGTTTGGTTTGGCTCAGTCTGATGGGTCAGAGTGGACACAGACTGTGTGTGTGTGTGTGTGTGTGTGTGTTTTCACAGCTGTGTCTTTGTTCCCTGTCATCCTGTGAATTCATGAGGAAGAGCATCAACAGATCTTTGAGTCAGCTCGCTTGCAGGCTTGCAGCAAAGGATGATGGGAGTTCAGCTGGAAGTCAGCCTCACCTGCTCATTCTCATTCACCACAGTAACCCGGTGGTTAGTCACTTTAACCGAGTGGCTGAGAGCTCTGGTCATCATAGCAGCCTCTTTGACCTTTGACCATGATGATGTCATCACTCAGGAGCGTATCAGAGGTTATATATTCAATGTAAACATCAGTGAAGCTTTAGGTCAGAGCACACCTGCAGGACTTCCCACAAAGACATGAGGTTGTCAGCCAGCTTTCAGGGTCTGTGTGTGTCGTGGGTCTAAATCTGATGACTGTTTAGGTTAAACTCCCATCTACCATCTACAAAATTTATGTTTGGTAGATATTTCTTTGTTGTAACACTACTTATGGCAATAAATCCTACCCGTTGGAAAGCTTGTTTGCTTCTTTTTTTAAATGGTGCCACGTTTGTGATGAACATGCATTTGTGGCATGAGCAGCAGAACTGAGTTTGTGGGTTGAGTCCAGAAAAAAGTTGCCAGACTTTCTCAGCTAATGTCAAACAGCTTATTCAGCCATTGATTCTTGTTTGGTGTTGTTTGCAGCATTATATGCTTGCAATAAAGTATGGCTAAGCATCATAGGTCTCTGTAAACCTCTTAAACATTCACTCATGCAGTCCCACTCTGCTAATTTTTTTTTTTACTATTAAAAGTGTTCTCAGAGGTCTTTAAATTGTGATTGTGAAGTTTTTAGCCAAAAACACGTTACCTGTGTCACTTTAAGGGTTCTTCTTCTGCAGAGCTCCAGTTGTTCATTGGCAATTCACCTCTGAGTCGTGGGTGGAGACAGCACTGCTCTTCACACTCGTCTTCACATTAGCTTGTAGCCTAACATTGCCGGTGTCATAGAAGAAGCAGGTTAACATAGGAGTTATTCAGCTCTGAGACACTAATCTCTTTGGGGATGCGATGAAAGCTGATATCATAATCAGCTTTCTCACGAGCATTGCAATATGCTAACGCACACACTTGTTCCATGATCATCCTCTCTATTTCTGCGAGTCTGGCCTGCATAGTTGGGCTTCAGGGGCGGAGCTTGGAGTTGTTACATAGGAAATCTCACTGAATCTGAACCTGCCGTTTGGGTCTGCCAGAGATTCACAGTGATTTGAATGCAGAAATACTTATTTTTCTCATGCTATGTCCTTTAGCATCAGAAAAATGTCATTTGAACATGTAGACAACAAGAAAAACATGATTTTCATTGGATTGGGCCCAAAAACATTCATTCACAATTCCATTCCTTAAAAAAAACGGGTATTAATTTTCAGGGTAAGCTGATGTGTGAACACAAAGGACCAAATTTGACTCTCAGACTTTACCCCAAATTTTTCCAGCCAGTGCCTGGGTAAAATATCTGAGGTGAGCTGATGTGTAAAAGAGCAGAAAATATTCAGGATAACTCCCTGTGAGCGAGGGGGTGTGGCAGTGATGTTCATATGATGTGACTGATGAAAACCATGAAGAGTGACACATAGCAGGACAGATAAAAACATATCAGACTCATCCCCCTCCTTATTTCGTGGGACATGTATAAACAAGCATCTTCAGAAAAAAAATTATATATTAATTTATTTTTATTTAAATCGTTTTTTTTTGCAGTAAATCTCCTGCAAACTTTTAGAAAACTTCAGGAGTGCTTGTGTTACAGAGTCTACAGATACAGAAAATAGTTTTAGTCAGTGTCATAAGTGTTTCCATCAGAGTTACTGCTGTTTTCTGCATGGTTTAGCTTACAGCCCCATGTTACAGAAAGTCGTGATGATCTTTTTTTAGGTTTTTTGTTGGCTCATTGTTGCTGGGCTCCACTTTGCCTCTGTTGTTTCAGGACTGTGAGGCTGGCCATGTGACCTTCCCACCAAACCATCATGCTCTGATAAACTGCAGCCTTCACCTTATTCAACCTGTAAAATTGGACCCACTTAACCAGAATAAGCCCAAAAGTCTGTAAACATAGACCTTTGTTAGCTGAGTTTTCTGAGTCTGACTCTGCTCGGCCTCCATGGTGCTCCTCCTCCTCTAAACCCTAAAACAACAGACTGTCCTGCTCAAAGAGCTGTGAGCTCTGCAGCCTGATGATGTGCTGATGTGTGTGTTTTCACTGAGCATTCTCCTGCTCAAAGAATCACACACACACACAAATACACACAGACACATACGACTCCACCCCTTTTCCCATTGTTTGTGTCTGTTTTCCATTCTGTCTGAATTTACTGAATTTCCTATTCATTCAAATTCATAAACAAGACTGACTCTTTCTGAAGACTGTTTTCCCTTCAGTCTGTTTCAGATTGTTCAACTTCTTCTGCAACTCACAGATGATATCATAGTTACTGATTAGATAATTCTGCAGCCTATTGTCACCCCATGAAGTCATCCTTTATCCTATAAAAGGACTAAATACTATGCAAAATGATCATCAGACTTTCCTTGAATATAAAGTGAAATTTTCAGACCCTTTTTTTCGTCACACTGTCTTCAGTCTGTGTTAAGCGCTACCCATCTACAGAGGTTATGTCATGATCTCCAGTCAGCTCCTGCCCGATTAACCCTAACAGATAGAAAAATGAAAACAGAGTTGTTCAGGGAGAACAGTCAGAGGTTAACGTACACACTAGGCACGGACAAGATCCTTTAAGGGATCAGTTATTGTTCAAAGTTGTCCTAAAAAAGTAGAAAAGAGAGAGTTTCAAGTAAACCAAGTTTACTTGTTCTGCAAAGTCCAATGACAGTTAAAAAAGAAAACTCTTCCTCCATCTCCTCTGCTGCAGTTTCAGCTCTGAGTCTTCCTCTACATGCCACCTGATGCTGTGGATTTAAAGTAGACCCCATGTTGGCGCCAAAATGTTGTTTTGGGGTTGAAATGTAATTCTGCTGGTTCCCACTGGGAGGCGCTCTTGGATCACTTGGGGAGGTTTAAAGGGCCACAGGTATCATATCCGGGCAGGCGACTGAACCCGGAGGTTTTGACCGCAATGCGCCACATAGCATCATTTTAGTCCACTTCCTTTACCAGTTTGTTTTGTTTTGTTCTCGGGCTCCTTTGTTTGCTGTGAGCTTGGTTTTTGGAACAGCATTTTGTGGCAATAAACCACCCAATGACGCAACAGAAGTAACAGCCTGGACATTCATTCATTCAACTTAGGTACCGCTTCCGTTTATTCATCCCCTCCGCTAGCGCGTCAGCCAGGGTCGCCCGGAGCCAGTTTAGCCTCAGTAGTTCCTGAACAGGTCAGAAACTGCTTTAAAACCCCATCTCTACATCCATCAGTGCATCAGTTTCCTCATCCACTGCTCCACCTGTCGAGAGAGAGAGACAGAGAGAGAGAGAGAGGGAGAGAGAGAGAGGGAGAGAGGGTTTATATGTGGTGTATATGTAAATATGTGTGGATATAAAACAGTGGAAGTCTTTCTGTGGTCGATGAGGTTTATATGAGGTAAATAAATGTTGTTGCAGCTTTAATAACCTCTCCTTGTTGGAGTTTGAGAGTCTAAAGTTCACTTCGCCGCTCCACTTCCTGGATTATAGAGGGGATGTATTTCCCCTCCCTGGTCTCTCATACAGCTCACTCCAATCTGCACACTCACTTCCTTGTTCCCTTCACTTCATTGTTCCCTCCCCTTCAGATCTACAGTCTGAGGCTGGGTGTAACCAGCGTGTGCTGAGTTGATCCTGCTGACACACACATGATGTTGAGATAAGAGCTCAGACTAGTTTCACTTCTGAGGAAATAAAACTCAGTCAGTCAGTCACTCAGTCAGTCGTCGACAGTGAGAGTTGAAATGGCGCAGAAAGGAGTTCAGCTGGACCGTGAATCTTTCTCTTGTTCCATCTGTTTGGATCTACTGAAGGATCCGGTGGCTGTTACCTGTGGACCAGTGGCGGCTGCTGGTCTTTCAAGGAGGGGAAGCTCATTTTTCTGGCCTACATCATAATTGTATTTGTTTATTAGTATGTAACAGAACAGAGTCGCCAAACACAACGGCCGTCGTTTTTAACAAAGACAAAAGTCGCTGAGGATCGGTAAAGTCTCTGGAGCAGTTAAGAACAAAGGAATGAATGACTTGGAAAATGCTCTGGTAGATGTTTTATTCTTCAAGATCGCTGATTCGCTTGTTTAGCTGTCAATCAAAAAAGGATTTCGCCTCAGACAGCTCATCCAATCATGAATGCAGAAGCTTGGAGTCCGGGAGAAAGTCGGGACCGCCCTCTCGCCATAGAACTCCAGTGAAGCTTAGCTTCCATTGGGCGGGACAAAGCCCAGCATTTATCCAATGAGCGTCTAGTTTCGCTGCTGGAACAACCCACTTTAAGCTTCCACATTGAAGTCAGCAGAAGCCCAGCGTCCGGCTGTTTAAAGCGCTGAGGCGCTGCGAGGATGAATGAGAACGAAGTTATGCCGGTTACCTGTGATTATCAGCTTCTTATCACAGTGTCTGAACAAAAGTTGAAGGCTTTCTAGTGCGTATTTAGTTAATGAAATGTACACACAGCCGTACGTATTTCACCACTTTTTCTTTTTTTGGGGGGTGACATTTTAAGGGAAGCCGAGCTTCCCTTGCAGTCTTAGAGCAATCGCCACTGCTGTGGACACAGCTTCTGCATGAGCTGTATTCAAACCTACTGGGATAAAGAGGATGAGAAGAAGATCTACAGCTGTCCTCAGTGCAGACAGACCTTTGTACCGAGGCCTGTCCTGAAGAAAAACACCATGTTAGCAGGTTTAGTGGAGGAACTGAAGAAGAGCGGACTCCAAGCTGCTCCTGGTGATCCCTCTGATGCTGGACCTGAAGATGTGGCCTGTGACGTCTGCAGTGGGAGAAAACTAAAAGCTGTCAAGTCCTGTCTGCAATGTCTGGTTTCTTACTGCCAGATTCACCTCCAGCCTCATTTTGAATCACCTTCATTCAAGAAACACAAGCTGGTAGAGCCCTCCAAGAAGCTCCAGGAGAACATCTGCTCTTGTCATGATGAGGTGATGAAGATGTTTTGCCGCACTAATCAACGGTCTATCTGTTATCTCTGCCCTGTGGACCAACACAAAGGCCACGACACAGTCTCAGCTGCAGCAGAAAGAGCTGAGAGGCTGAAAGATCTGGAGGAGAGTCGAGAAAACATCCAGCAGAGAATCCAGGACAGAGAGGAAGATGTGAAGCTGCTCCAACAGGAGGTGGAGGCTATCAACGGCTCTGCTGATAAAGCAGTGGAGCACAGCCAGGAGATCTTCAGCCAGCTGATCCGTCTCATGGAGAAACGCTGCTCTGACGTGGAGCAGCAGGTCAGATCCCAGCAGGAACGTGAAGTGAGTCGAGTCAAAGAGCTTCAGGAGAAACTGGAGCAGGAGATCACTGAGCTGAAGAGGAAAGACAATGATCTGCTGAAGCTCTCACTCACAGAGGACCACAACCAGTTTCTGCAGAGCTACCCCTCACTGTCAGGACCAGGTCAACCTGCAGACTCATCCAGGATCAACATCCGTCCTCTGAGGTACTTTGAGGAGGTGACAGCAGCTGTGTCAGAGCTCAGAGATAAACTCCAGGATCTTCTGACAGAGACGTGGACAAACGTCTCACGGGCAGTGACTGAAGTGGATGTTTTACTGTCAGAACCACCAGAACCCAAGACCAGAACTGGTCTCTTAAGATATTCACAAAGAATCACACTGGATCCGAACACAGCACACAGACGGCTGTTATTATCTGATGGAAACAGAAGAGCAACATGGACAGAACAACCACAGTCTTATCCTGATCACCCAGACAGATTCACTTATGATCCTCAGGTCCTGAGTAGAGAGAGTCTGACTGGACGTTGTTACTGGGAGGTGGACTGGAGAGGGGACAAGGTTGATGTAGCAGTCTCATACAAGTCTATCAGCAGAGCAGGAAACTCACATGATTGTATATTTGGATTCAATGACAAATCTTGGATGTTAGTCTGTTGTAAAGACAGGTATGAATTTAGGCACAACAAAGTCGGCACTCGTGTCTCAAGTCCTCCGTCCCCCAGAGTAGGAGTGTACCTGGATCACAAAGCAGGTATTCTGTCCTTCTACAGCGTCTCTGAAACCATGACCCTCCTCCACAGAGTCCAGACCACATTCACTGAGCCGCTACATGCTGGACTGTGGTTAGGCTGGTCTATTGGAGACTCTGCTGAGTTTATTGAAGTGAAATAAACAGAATTTTGAGTCAATCAGACCAAAAACATGTAAATGAGATCATTGAACTCTTGAAATGTTCTGGTTTGTAAAAGTTTGTGGATCAGTCTCACCAAAAACTCTCAGTTTAGTTCTTTATTTCAGCTTTTTCATTCTTTTCTAAAGATGCTGATTTGGTCGCAGCTTTAAGGACAGTCATAGTGGATAACTTTCGTTGTTTGTATTTCTCATTTTGAAAAATCTTCACACAAGTTTGATAACAACAACATCAAAGATGATCACTTGTTCAAATCACCTTCAGTTGGTGCAGATTTTGAAGGTCTGAGACTTTAGAAAAAAAGTGACGTCAAAGAAGAAAGATGAAAAGCTCAACCTTATTTCCTGTCCCAAATCCAACCGTCTAAAGTCTTTCCAGTCTGCCCCTAAAACACTTGTAATGATCTGAGCTTTCAATGTTTGCTGAATATTTGTATTTATGTCATGGATGGATATTTCTGTCTGCTTCTGTTGGATCAGTGTGTTTATAAAGACATCTATAATGACATTTTTGGCTGATCAACATGTTGTTATGAGCTTTTCAACTGTGGGTTTCTGATTGTGGATAAAAAATAAAAAAAAAACATCAAACTGTGTCACTTGAGGCACCTGGCCTGTTTATCTTTATGGTTTAGTCTGCACGACAGCGACCGGCGACAAGTGTAACATCAGAGAGTGAGTCCAGATTGACTGACCTGGGGGTTAGACATCATGCTGCCCAAAAAGCATAAATCGAGGTATGGAAAGAAGAAAGAGAGGAAAGAAAAAGAAAGAAGGCAGAATTAGGGGAGGCAGCTGTTGACTGCTCTCTTTCCCAAAACTGAACCCAGTTTACTTGTTCTGCAAAGTCAAATTAAAGTTTATGTGGTCCACTCCAGACAGCTGCTGCTGATGTTTGTATGCTCACCTGAAGTCTTTAGCTTAGCCAGTTGCCGACCAGACTGCTTGCAGCTAAAAGTATGAAGACAATTATGGAACAGCTAACGTTAGTTGTCAACATAAAGCAGTTTCAGAAACGAACAGTGGCGCTGCCGCAGCAGCTGGAGCAGCAGTGCAAGGGAGAGAGAGAGAGAGAGAAAGAGAGAGAGAGAGCTTCCCGACATGAGAGTTGGTTCACGCGCTGAGAGGGAGAGAGGTTGTAATATTAAGAAAGGCGTATGTATGTTGTAAATGCTGTATGTCATTTACACTCAATCAAAGGCAGATATAAAGAGCAACCAATTGCTTTTGTTTGGATTCATAGTGAATGATGACTAGTTCAGTGTGTAGATGGGAATTGCAATACTTTATCTTACTGTAGTTGGAGATCATCATTACACTGGAAAAAGTAAATTTTTAGTACAGTAAACTCTATTAGAGTAATTGTCATCATTTCATCATTAGTAAGAGCAGGGTTTTTTAATTTTACAGGCTCCTTGCTGGGCTGTTAGAAAGACCTACTCATCTCACATGGAGGGTCTGGAAGCAGGATTATTGTGGCCCAAATTAAACCTCCCTAAGCAAAAAAAAGTAGGGTACAGTGACCTTTTTCAGGGTTTCACATCTTTCAGCTTGTGTGCACAAGATATCTCACTAACTCATTTCAGCATATAAATAACTTAATGGAAAAAAAACTGTCTCAAATTATTACCTGTCTGAAAGGCCAAATATACCACCAATATGGTCATGGTCCATGACACAGTCTGTTTTAACAGAGAGTGAGAGAGAGATGCTTTATTGATTTATTCATCAGTGTTTCCGGACATGTAGGGCCATGCAGCTGTCCAAACACTTAAAACTGTTTTTATTTTGTTTTTTCACTTTACAAAGCACACCTTATACTGTATGATATCCTGGAAGTGATAAAGGAAAGACTGTAATATTGATCAATAACTCGCTTTTTCCTATGTCCATCATTGTGTACGCCCAGCTTTGGAGCTATTTTTCTCATATTACTGTTTTTTTTCCCCTCAGGGCGCCACTGTGATGTGCATCACATGACAGGAAACTACATGTATGATGAAGTGTCCAAGAAAGAGTTTCTGATTGGGACCAACCCTGACAGTCGCCTCCCTCTGTGGTGGGAGGGGTCAGAGCCGCTGTGGGTCACTCTGCAGAAACTGGGCAAGAAGGTCTTCATGTACTACTGGCCAGGTGAGCACTTACACTTAAGGCTGCACAATTAATCGATTTAAATCGTAATTGGAGTATTTGATTATGACAATATTAAAAAATTAAGATAGTCAAATCGATTTTCCTCTCTATCATGTCTCGTGCCTCCAGGCCACCGTAGGCTCCCCCTTCCTGCGGGAGCGCTCCCTAGTTCCCACACACACCAGTGTAAACAAGCATGGCGTTTGCAAAAGAAGGCGATAATTTCGTGGCTAAATAGGGCAAGAGCAAGTGAGTTGTGTGGAGTTGGTACAGCTTCGCAGTTTCAGACGAAGAGCAAACCACTCCCCTCTGCAAGGCTGAAGGCTGTATCAACCTGTCCACACAGAAACAAATTCAGGAGTAAATGCTTAAGTTTCCTTGTTGTATCGGCGTTTCATCCACATGGAAACGGCGTTTTGGGTGACCGTCCACAGAACAAGAAAAAGAGATATGAGTGGGCAAAAGCTCACAAAAATTGGACTTATGATGACTCGAAACAAGTTCTCTTGACCGATGAAAGCGAGTTTGAACTGTTTGGTTCAAAACTCAGAGTCAATGTTCACAGACAAACTGGTGAATGTCTGAAAGCACCATGTGTTACACCCACAATTAAGCAAGGAGGTGGTAGTTCCATGGTATGGGGATGTTTTGTAGGTGATGGAGTAGGAGACTTGTTTGAGGCAAAGAGTATCATGAAATAGGGACAGTACCACTCCATCCTCCAGCGCCATACTGCTCCATCTGGACTCAGACTTGTGGGTCACAAGTTTGTTTTGCAGCAAGACAATGGGCTCTATTTTCGTGCCTCGCTGGAGACGTGCGGCACCGACAAGGCATTCCCAAGCACAATTTGGTATTTTGGTGAGCGGCACAGCCCGGCGTAAGTATCCCCCCTCCCTAACTCAGCTCCTCCCAGCAGCGTAAGTCGTAGCGAGGGAGGAGAGAGGGCGTGGAGTGGGTTTAACACAGCCGAGACCTGTATTGACCAATAACATCAGCTCCTCTCCTCGCAGAAAATAGAGCCCAATGACCCTAAGCATTCTGCCAAGCTTTGTCAGGGTTACCTAGACAAAAAAGAAGAGGAAGGTGTTCTTCAAAAGACGGTTTGGCCCCCTCAGTCTCCAGACCTTTCTCCAATTGAGCTTGTGCAGGATGAATTGGATCGATCGGTCAGCCACCATAGTGCGTACCAGAATGGTATACTGGATTAAGATGGCTGTAGGGAAACTGGTGACTCTGACAATTTTACTCTTCTGTGTGTTTGCATTTCAGGCTGTGAGGTGGAGATCCTGGGTGTGCGTCCGTTCCTCTGTGAGGAATACGTCTACAACCCAACAGAGAAAAACATCACGCACTCTATCAAGAGCGCTCTCAATGTCCTCAAGTAAAGCAGACACACATTTCTATTTCACCATCTTTCCACTGTTTCCTCCTCACTCCTCCAAATAGTTTTTCACTTTAGGAGCTCTCTGGAGGGGGTGAATTTATCTGTGAATAACTGTTACAAAGATCTAGGCTGAACTTTTAGGGAGATCTCTATCATGGTTTTCAAAGGTTTCTTAGACTTTTGTCACCACCAGGAGTGGCTCTTTAGAGCTTTGTGATTTTTAAGCTATTTTTGAGCAACACATGTCACAGTTCTGCAGGGAGCACAAGTAACTCATGCTCAGGGAAAACAAACATGGAGGACAGCTGGGACGAAATAAGGGCAAGTGGAGTGTAAGTCCCTAAATGCACTCTGGGTGCAAGCAGAATTTGAGGGGTTGTAATGTAAATGTTCTGCATTCGAAAGCCTTTCATTAAACCCTTTTCAAAGTAAATAACCCAAGGTGTGTGTGAGTTTTGTCATTATGTGTGTCTGTATTTGTGTGTGTGTAGGTCAGGTGAGGCGTCCATGGCAGCCATTTATTACGAGAAGATTGATGTTGAGGGTCATCACTTTGGCCCAGACTCTCAGCAGGTCAAAACAGCCGTCAAACAGCTGGATGGTATCATCGAAACGCTCAACAGAGAGATCAGGGTCAGTGACATCATCAATCCTGTTAACATGTAGGATAACTTTTCACACAAGAGCAACTTATTGCATCATGAAATCACTGCCAATAACTTACATTTCAAAGTAAAGTTTTAGAGTACTCTGGCCTTATCAAAATCAGTAACACTCCTCAAACTCTCGACCTCTTACATGTCAGTTGTGATGTGTGGCCAACTGTGTTTAGAGAGAATGGACTCTTCAGCTGTTGTATAACCCTGTTTACTGCCTGTAATCTTTACAGTTTCTTACAGTGTGACAGTCTGACTGTGAAATTAGAGGCGTATAGTGTCAAGCAGCTTTTTCAGCGTAAACATTGAAAGATCAGCTAGTTAAGCCTCCAAACATGTTCCAACAACTGTTTAACACATGAAAGGTTAGAACTCAAAATCTGTCGTTTTCGGCTTATAGTTTTAAATATTTATTATTTTCATGTGTTTTCTGCAGGACAGAGGGATGGAGCAGCAGCTGAATGTTGTCATGTTCTCTGATCACGGGATGACAAATCTGCAGTGGATGGAGAAAGTCATCGAGCTGGACAAACATATCAACATGTCAGACATCACAAAGATGTTGGACAGAGGGCCTGTGGTCAGCCTGTGGCCTAAAGTGGACAGGTACCAACAGGTGAGAGAGCCGCACCTCTGATGAAGCTCTGTGTTCAGATGAACTTCAACAGAAACACATCCTTTAGGTCAATTCATCAGTGCTCCATAATGTTTAAGATCAATACAACCCAAACTAAAAGTTTTACTAAACATATTTTTTCACAATTTAAGAAACATAAAAAAAAAAACACTAAACAAAAAGGACAAATATTTTGCAAAATTCAAATATTCTGTAACACATGAACATTAGAAACACAACACTAAACTTGAAGCATTTCATGAGATAAGAAATGTAATAGGAAAATATATATTGAAAAAAAAATTTAAAGAATAAAAATTTCCCAAAAATATTTCCCTTAAAGGGATAGTCCACCATAAAATTGAGTTGGGGTCAAACACACTGCAACACCGAGTTAGACAGCCCGTTGAGAGATGAAGGTTGCCGACCGCTTGCTTCTCTAGTTATACCAACTTTAGTAACCACCTCAGATAGCAATACAGAGAGCCATGTGCTCAGCCAAAAAAACACTCTATACCCACAAATAAGGCTCAGAACAGCATCTTACTTCATTAACAGTACATAAAGGGTCCCAGCCATAGCACTAGCCACCAAACATCTTTTTAACATTGCCTAATTTCTTAAGAAAAGAAACTAAAAACAACTCACCTACTCTCTTTCAGCAGCCGCTTGTTTGTAGTGAGACCTCAGGCGAGTACTTGATACTTAAACATGAAAACAATTCACAATTTTATATAAAAAAAAAGTAAAAAAAGTTGAAAAAAAATCATTAAATGCACAAAACACAAAATTCTTAATTGTTTTTGAATCAGTTTTATTCTTTGATAGAAATTTTGTGTACCATTGAATAATTTTATTTTTAAAGAAATGTTTTTACCTTTAAGTGAAATGTCTTTTTTCTTCATGAAATGTGCTTGCTGGGCCACTGTACATGAATAAGTCACAAGATTTTAAAATGCAGACACAAGGATAAAATATCATATTTAAATATCATCTTGAGATTATTTCTCAGAATTTGAAGCTCTTCATTCCACATAATTTTATCATGACCTTGACAGTCAAAGTGATAAAGTATTACTGAAGAAAATGTCAGACAGGATAACACAAACAACAGTCTCCTGCTCATCGTGTGGTAACCTTCTCAAAGTGCACACTGACGTCGTCACAGAGTCACAGTTCTTGCTGTGGTGTAAGGATCACACTGCAGGTTTCACAGAGTTCATTAAGTTTTCCTCTGAAGTCAAAGCTGGTGAAGTGCAGCTTTATTGGAGGCTAATTCAATTAAATTTGATGTCATGGAAGATTTGAGGGATAATCGAATTAAGGACTTATTTCACCAGAGACACTTTTACTGCAGCAGAGGAAATCTGAGACGTGAGGAGTCATTTGTTTCTCTCCGCAGCTGAAGGAGCAGCAGGGAGGGGGGGCATCTGATTTACAGACTTTTGTATGTGTGTGTGCTCTGTGTGTGTGTGTGTGTGTGTGTGTACTCCTCCAGGTGTACTCTGCTCTGTCTAAGGTGCCTTATATGCGAGCGTACAACAAACAGGAAGTCCCCGATCGTTTCCACTTCAAAGGGGGGAGGTTTGTCCCCCCCCTTACGCTGGTGGCCGAGCCTGGCTGGTTTATCACTGAGGTAAGACTTCACTTCTCACTGTACCTCTGTCACCTGCTCTTTTTCTCACTCTGAGAGGCTGATAACACAGATATATAAGCAGACACAGGGCAGTGAGGGAACTATCAGCTTCACCTGAGACTTTTAACAATACAGACTAAAATAAAACCCAGTGAACGAAGTGCTTCAAAAAGTTCTGAGATATAACCATTCACATGCATTTTAAAGACCCTCATAGATCTTTACACCTGTTCTCAAGTTGAACTTCTTTTGTGGATTTTTATTGTATGGTTTATGGTCCTTTAAAATTTGTTAAAGACAAACCAAGGTTTTGTGATCTACTCTGACACACACACACACACACACACACACACACACACACACACACACACACACACACACACACACACACACACACACACACACATTGTCATGATAAGTTCTTGTTAGTTTCGTTTGTTTCTGGTTTTGTACTTTTGTAGTTCCTTCTCCTTGTGTGTTTGGTTTAGTCTGGTCGTTTCTTAGTTAAGTTTTCTGTGTTTTAACAATAAGAGTTTTAACAAAAGGAAAGGACTTAAAATGGAGCCTTGAAAAAATATATATTTAATTGACAAAAAGCCAAGGAATAACAAAGACTTTACAAACAGAAACAGTTTCACCAGAAAGCAAAGCCAATAAAACAAAAACACCAAGAGCAAGCAATCCAACGTTCTCGTGAGAAAACATGAGATGGAGTTGACAAGGCATGAAGATCATTGACAATGAACCAATACAGATGGGGGAGAATACAAGAACTATATACACACACTGGGTAATGAGCAACGTGAGACATGTGAGACAGTAAAACACAGGCGCAGACAATCACCAGGGAGGGAAAACACACAAGAAGAAGAATCTACAGAATAAAACAGGAAACACTAAAAAACTCACCACAAGAATAAAACCCCGAAAACTAAACTAAGAATCTGAACAGTGAAAAACAAGAACAGGAACATCAGAATAATCATAAACAGAGGGAAACAGGAATGACAGTGAACAGAAACACCAGGACAAACACACAGAAAATACAACTCAAGTAAAAAAACAGGAACTAGCTGAACTAACAAGAACCTATGGAGCTTCTGCCTGTTTTCTGATCTTAAACTCAGTTTCTCTGCAGAATAAGGAAAACCTCCCATACTGGAAGAATGACTCTGGGGAGGCCTCAGCATGGCAGAACGGCTGGCATGGCTACGACAACGAGTTCATCGACATGAGAGGATTCTTCCTCGCCAAAGGACCCAGTAAGAAAAAGAACAAAAAAACATCTATCACAGTCTGAGAACAGAAACGATACAGTTGATATAAAGCGGGAAGACTTATTATTATTATTATTATTGTTATTATTATTATTATTATTATTATTATTATTATTATTATTATTATTATTATTATTGGTAGTAAGTATAATTTATCATTTTTTAAATTAGTATTAGTAAATAAGAATCATTGCTGCATGATATCGATATCAACTTACTTACATGTAATCATCTCTGTAGTGCTGCATCAAAGTACAGGAACAGCGCTCAAAGACTTTTTTGTGGAAAAAATAATATTTTCTTTTCTGTATAGAATTGAAATCCACACTTTTTTGAGTGATCTTAGTTATCTAAGGGTGGGATAAAAACAAATACAACAGTCAATCATTGAATTTTAAATTGTGCCCTGAACAGCAGGACAAAACAATCTACCTAAAAATTACAGGTAGGCGTCTTTCCAGTAGTAGCCACAGATTGTATGATAGGGGCAGAGCGAAGAAAGCAAGTAAGTAAAGTTTATTTTCGTAGTTGTTACAGAAGTCATGAAGTGCTTAAGTAAATAAATGACACCGGGAAAAAAACCTACAAATAAAAAAATGAAAAGTGCCATGGAAAGATGAGCCACAGCTATAGGTGTGGTCAAATGCCTTTCTGAACAGATTTGTTTCTGACGTATTTAAAGGCATCTGCAGATTCAGCCGAGTGCAGGGGTGTTGGTGGAGCAGTCCAGTTTTGGTGCTATTGCCTGGAAAGCTCTGTCACCTCTAGTCCTCAGGTGTGCATTTGAAACTGGTATTTTATGGTATTTAACTTGAGGGGACGAGCAGCCCAGTATCAGAGAATGAGTTCAGACAGATTCAGATAATAACTTTAGGTGTACTAAACAACACACTCTTGCAAAGAATCAATATTTTCTGTAAACACACTCGTTATTTACCGGAGAGGCCATAATTTAATGTCATTATTTGCCAGTGATTATCTGCTTTGATGGTGTGAACAGTGTTTCTCATGTGCTCATACAAGTGTTGCAGTCAAACTGGTATTTTGTGTGTAACATAAGCGCCCTCCTCTGGCCAGAACTGAGGTGTGCACCCTGTGTTGTAAGGCCGTATGCTATCGGAAAACAATATTAAAATATTTTTATTTCCTGCAACATAGATTGCAAAATTAGAAAATATATGAATAATACAGGATGACTGCATTTTTTTTTATAGACAATGAATAATTAATTTTACCTTTCAGTATTTAGATTTGAGTCTATTTTCTGCCTGTGAACCAAATTCCCCCCAAAGTTTACCAAACTGTGTCCAGCTTACAAACACTGAGCAGACAGGAACACGCTCACTCACACAAACCGCCTCACTTCACGAGCATCAGAGTTCTTGGTTTCATATTTCTGTGTAGCTAACTGAATTAGTCTTGCGTTTAATGTGTTCCTGTGTAAGTGCAGCTGGTTTATGTGGTTGTTTTTTATCTGAGACCCTCAGATTCCCTGAGCAGAGCACCTGCGTCCCTCCAGGGGTACCAGAGCCTTAGTTTGACCAACACAGGATGCAGATATGATGAACTGCGCAGGCCTGTAGTGAAGCTGAGTAAAATCAAGTGTCGTTTAACTCGATCAGTGTTTTATTGTTTTGTCTCTTTGTTTTCTGTCAGACTTTAAGCGTGATGTGCGAGCGGCTCCAATCCGAGCTGTGGACATCTATAACCTGATGTGCTGGACTCTGGGGGTGGAGCCTCTCCCTAATAACGGCTCTTGGTCCCGGGTGGAGTACCTACTGAGCAGCTCTGGGGGTCTAACCTGCCCCCCTGCCCTGTGGACCTGCTGGGTGGGGTTGTTTGCAATCATACTGGCCCTGCTGGACTTCATCTAACATCAGGTCTAAACCACTGAGCTGGAAATGATCTGCTGCAGAGGTTAAACCATCAGAAACAGATGAGCCTGGAGTAGGTTTCAGCACTGCTAAAACCAACAACCTGAAGTCTTGAAGGGTCCAGAGGGTTTTCCAGGACCTATCCATAATTTCCTAAACAGACCAGGGAACTAAGATCCTCCTGTTTGTCAACAGAGACTCAGAAAGACCTCAGTCTACATCCTGAAAGCTCTAAACTTGTCTAAGGTGCTTCAAATGTTTTCCTTTCTCATTTTCCTCAGCTTACAGTGAAGCAGAAACTTCTGCACACCCAGATCAGACTTCATATTTTTATAATCACAGTAGAGCACTTTTGAATCAACAGGGACTTCTGTAACAGCGAGAGTCCATTTTTAAATAAGAATGTAAGAAATAAAGAGAGTGAGCACAGACACGTGTAGGAAACACAATACTCTTTTTTTATGCTTTACAGTTTGGCAATTTCAGTCTTGCAGGATGATTATGAACTGTTCAGAGGTGGATTATCACACAAATATCCATGTCTTTATGTTTGATCTGTCAGATAAGCCTCATGGTGTAAAAAGTGATGTGAAAATCAATAAATTTGCTCTGATTTAGAAAAATACTCTTGAGAGTCTCTCAGGGTTTTATCAACCTCTGAAGGAAAGTCAAAGTCATAAAGTCAAGTCACAAACTAATTCTTGAATCATTTCGTTCTGGAGATTTGTTTTGAATTGAAATAAAAACATTGTAGACTCAAGGCACACTACAGCACTTGGTGAATTAAAGTGTGTCCAACCATGTTTTGCTAGTTGAGCAGCGTGCAACCTGAGAAACTAGCGGTACACAGGGTGAAAAGAGGATGGATTAAGTTACTTATAGGTCTGTTTTTATTCCTAAGAACAAGGTGCGCCTACAGACAGGGTGTTACTACTTACACAGCTTTCTACTACAGCAAACTGGGATCTAACCCCTCTTTCCCCTCTCTTCCTCTATTGTCTTCCTAAAAACACAGAAAATGCCTAGTTTGATGTTCTATCCTCTATAACAATTCATCTGAGTGATGGATTCATTACACTACAATTACAGCAGCTAAACTGTATTTACCATTTAACACTCAGGGCACGACAGTATCTATAACGATGATGATTCATGTTTGGTGTACTTAATTTCACAGAAAGGTAGGCTGATAATCTTTGTCTTATTGATGCTGGATCACATGTCTATATTCTGTACTATGTGCGTCATGGACACTCTAATCTTTACAAATATCTGTAGCATTATGGTCAGCTGCATCAAAGGTTATGCCTAAAGGTTGTAAAAAAAAAAAAAAGACTTCTTGGTCAGTGGGTGTGTGTTTTGAGACAAAACTGATAACAGGAGAGATTGGTAAGGAATTGTTCCCTCCTAGAATCTCAAAGCTAGATGTTGCTAAACATCCTCGTTCTACAGACTGCACCTTTAATCTTGAATGGAGGTTTTTGATTGCGTCGAATAAGGTGGATTCTGGGAAAAGCTGTTTTGTGACTAACCAACAATTCTTCTCTGGAGCCAGATGTTGGTGCTACTGTCCTACAGAAGAGAGGCCATGATCAAAGGGAGTCACATGTTTCTTTTCCCATGAGTGGTATAGGTCTCACTGACTGATCTTTATGTATTCATGTTTGATATCTGATTTCTACACATAGACAGTGGTTAAAAGTATAGTGGGAGTTTGCTTTGACTTAAAAACTCTTTTGCACCATGCTCATAAGCGTTAACCTCTTTTCCTGTTGATGAGAGACAAAGATAATTTACCACTGAGTGATACTTCATAATGAGTGGAGTTCTGCAGCGATCAAACAGCTTCACCATTTCAGATCAGATCTCTCAGTTTCTTAGAGACAAAAACAGAAATCTCGTCCCTGATCTCTCGCTCTGCTCTGTCCTCTTTGCTCTCTGTCAGATGTTTCAGTTGGTTTCTCTTCAGAGATAATCACTCCTATTTTTGAAACACGCTGACTCTTAAATCTCTTTACACTTCATCTTACACACAAAATGCATTATAGACACAGCGATCGCACTCTGATGAGGAACAGAATAAATGAGTTTGTATGTCCTCTAGTAGAGGTGGTCTCTGCTCGTTTCTAATTGGACCCTGTGATGGTTTATTTGCATTGAGATCAAAATAACATCGCTCAGCCTAAGAGCTTAGGTGTGGCAGCAGTGGATTATGAGCCCTTCGAGCAGAGGTACACAGCCTTTTTCACTTGGACCACTTCTTGCAGTCAAAAATATATCAAATTTGATATTTTTTAATGTTTAAATAAAGAAGTTTGGAAAAAGGGTTTTAAACATATTCTTATCCAGTAAGTGTTAAGTGTTGAATACTTTGGTTGTTAGATTAGTGCAGTAATAAGTGATAGAGGGTAGCATGGATAGAGTCCACATCTCCAACCTCCAAACACAGCTGCATGTCCTTGGCTATAAACGCTCTCTCAGCGTCTGTTTTTTGTGTCTCTCTAAACCAGTGGGATCCACATGGCAGAGGGTTTCAGCGAGGAACTTTTGCTTCTTGGATGGCTGTGCTATCACTCCTGCTATCCTGCTCCAAGACAGTGATACAGCAGATGTGCAGACATGTTGGAGGTGTTTCTATTTGAGTAGACAATGTTCCCAGTCAGTGGCAGACAGTGCTGCCTCTTCTCCCTTCTCGTCTTGTTGAAGTAATGTTTAAAATCTGACACCTGTAGCCTACTGTGGGCCGCTTAACTTTAGGGCAAAAGGATACAAGTTCCCCTATCCCAGCACGTGCACTGAGAGGCGTCCCAAATAGTTACAGAAAAAAATTCATCTTTGGGGTTCAGGGATGAAAAGTTAGGCTTTAGAAAAGTGACCCCATCCTACAATTATATCTGTAATACACTTATTAAAACTACTTTTAAAACTAGAAACTAGTTACTTTTAAAACTAGAATTTCTGACTGTTTAAACCAAAAGAAAAGAAGTAAAAACAAACAAACAAACAAACAAACAAAAACAGAGGTCAACAGACAAACATTTGAACCAGATGTTCAGAAAAATGACAGAGACGTTGGTCTAGACTTCAACTTTTAGTTTAACTGCTGTATGTTAAAACTGAAATCAAATCAGAGGAGGTTATCAACTTTATGTCAAAACTATATGCCAAAGATGTTATGATCCAAAGTTTGACTTTGTCTCAAACATTTCAACTCTAGTCGGACATTTTGACCTAAAATTAACCATTCTGATTTAGTCTGTAATAAAAAAAATGCATTCATCATTTCTTCTCTTTTTTTTCTTGCATTAAACGATTTCTGCAGAAATTAAAAACACAAACACCACAGATAAAACAGATTATTAGGCCGTTTGACAGAGGTAGTGGAAGTCTCTTTGAAGGGTACACTGTTAAAAATGTTCTGAACTCCTGTAGATCCTTGCTTTTCAGTAATTTTCTCACGTGAGGGTCAGACTGTAGAATCTAGACCACCTGGATTGGACTCAGAGACAGCCTGCAAAGAATGGTGGAGACTGAATAGATATGTTATAATTCTTTATGAACATATTAAGATATCAGTCATTAAAGTCGAATAATTTTCACATCTTTGTTCTACAATGTTGAAAATCTGCGAGTTTTGATGGTGGTTGAGATTGAGACTAGATCATGATTACAGAAAGTGAAATGTGTTTGTTTGTTTGTTTGTTTGTTTGTTTGTTTGTTTAAACCAATTAAGTGCATTTTTCTGTTCAGAACTTTGATAAAGAAATAAAAATATGCAGTCTGTCTACAAACATTTAATACTTTGATGGCTAGTAGAGTACTCCGGCAGCTCAGCAGAGTGCAGTTTGATGACTGACCTGCAGGGGGCAGCAGTGAACTGTGAAATGAGGCAGCACGTCCCTCTATAATGAAAGGGGGACTCTTGATTCCAACACAAAAACTGAGCACAAACATGGACAGAAAGATTTCTGTTGGAACTTCAGAGAAGTCAGTATTCAAGGAAAAGACACATTCAGATGAGAAACAGAAAAACAGAAGAATGACTCAATGGAGAGGCAGTTTCTTTAGACTGTCTCTAAATGTTTTGAAAAGAGACCAGGCTGGTTGACGACTCTGTTTATGTGTGGATGTGCTTTATCTTTGTTGTTAATCAGACTGATCAAAAATAATCAGGATTTGTTGGCTGTAATGAAGGCTGATATTTCTGCTCTTTGACTTTTCAGTAATAAGAGAAACTCATCCTCTCTTTAGCCCTCTCCTGAAGCAGTCAGAACTTCTACTGTTTTAAGCTTTTGTAGTGGAAAAGTAAAACCTTTAGTGTTTGATTATGATAATCTTCATTTTTTTTCACGGATGCACTGCTTAGATCTTCAGGGTAGTCCAAGTCCCTGTGTGTTTCAGGGGCCGTCTTGGATTACATATCTATGATGGCAGATGTAGACAGTCTGATGATTGTAGCTCCATCATGCTGAATTGATCAAAACTAGTCCTGTTATTTGGGAGGAGATTTGCCAGGTGATTGTGAGATGAGGTGATATGAAATCAGTTGAAGTTGCCTGTCTGAACTAGCTCACAGGTTTTGCTCCATTGTTTTGTACTGTTGTACAGTATGAATGAATGAGTGGAAAAAACATGCTGGGAGCAGAAAAGAGACAGACACATTTGTCATAGTCCATTAAGTCTCAAACGTCTTTGATTCACGCTAGTATTCTCCAACTCTCACACATTCTGCGTTTGCATCGATTTTGGCGCCCTCTCTGGACAAAGCTGTAGACTACGTCACAGCTCTTTGCTAATTTTATCCAGTACCCGAGTCTCATCCGGCCTTAAACCGTTAAGTTTATCACTAACTGTGCATGTTTGTGGTGAACCAATGAAGACACCACAAATAATCTCATTTGACACCTACCCTCTTTACGGCAGATACAGGCTTCTAAAATAAACACATCAAAAACTATCAGTGTTGTCTCTGATGGTCTTGTTTGCTTTTTAAGCCAAGTGGAGGCATCATTGTTAATTTTAGTCTGATTAATTGTTAGTCAAATATGCCTTACAGGAGTTTTAAAAAACGTTCTTTTCCCACTTAAACCACGAGGTGTCTTTCAGGATGAGTAACTTGCTGTTAACGTAATTTACAAGAACTAACAGGATACCCATTTTGAAGCAAGATATTAAGCTTTTGTCTGCTGTGAGTTGTATTAGTTTTTAGTTTTCAATTGAGAGTTCTCACCCACATACCAAATATGGACATTACATCCACCCTCTTGATTACAAATGGGTTTTCAAGACCCAGTTCTAAAAGACCCAAGGCCTGGTTCAAGTCCAAGTCCAAGTGGTTGAGAGTATTGACAAATGTTTGATTGTTAAAAAAATGTTTCAACAGAGAAGTTCACATCCCCCCAGCTGTCAAACACTCACACGCTCACCCAATGTCATAGAAGTGTGTGAGGGCTACGGCTCAGGCTTTACTAAGGCAGAGACTGGAGAAATAAGCACTATCAGTACTCTAAGTGACCAACAGGGGGCAGTGTCAGACCATCATCAGGAACTGAGACTGTTTCAGACACATTTTACTCTTTATATGTTTGATAAATGAAGCTGTAGAGAATCTTTATTTTCATTTTCTACACATCCTGATTTCAATCCTCTCACACACGTTTCCTCCTGTTGATTTTAAGGGCTGTGCCCTCAGCTGTCACCTTTTAAGGTTGTATTATCATCCGTCAGCTTTAAAGGCTGTATGTTGAATTATCAGAC